TTGGAGAACCTCAGACCGTTACTGGACGAGCTCTAGCGACATATAAGGCGGCCTTATCAAGACACTTTGACATGGCATGGATCGAGGAACAGGACCACATATCTGATCCTACCGTTGCTTCAGCAAACTCAACAACTATCGCCCCAACCCCATCGGACATCGACGCCCAGGATGACAACAGCATTCGCACTATTACCCTACCTCTTGCGAAGCTGCTCAGGACGAATCTCCCCACGAAGGATCAAGATTACATCACCAAGAGGCTAAACGACGTACAGGGTGAGGTGTCTGACTTTATGGAATCCGTTGCCATGGGAGCGTACAAGACAACACTATGGGTATGTTTTCAACATTCTCTGTCTTGGTTGTGGTCGCGCAAGGACATATTTATTTCAAGTTAACTAATATTATATGTTATCACGACCGTGTTTACTTTCTAGATCTGTCGCGGTGGCATCCAAGGAAGCATACAGCTTAACCTAGCTGACATATTCCCGCCATCCTTTGATATCAGGGACGACTACTTCAAGGAGAACCCGATCGTGGAAGCGGGAGTCATTACTCCGGAGTGGCAACAGATTGTATCCGATGCTACGGAGTTGAAGCCCCGAGTGAAGGATCCGGCAACCTTGCTATCCCAGGATTATTTGCAGTACCTTGGAGTTCGGATTCCAGAATTGAGACGTGCGAGGAAGACCCCCAAGACTACCACCCACCCCTTGTGGGATACAGTGCTTGAAAGCATCTATAGCGGGAAGCTGGTACCACAAGCCTGGGATGATTCAAGGCATCCTGACTCACCCTCATCCAACCCCTTCAAGATCATTCCAAGCTTGTCTCAAGCCTCTGGTTCCGGCGCTGTGGATGATGCCTATGCTGCTGCTGATGCCAATGTCGAGGTCGGATACCAGTCAGAGGACTCATCGAAGGAAAGCCTGGGGGGCTTGACGGCCACACTCATGCGAGAGTACGCTACGAACATCAAGATGATATGGTCTGGAGACATTTACGAGAGGTTGAGACGGTACGTGGTGCACAATGTTCTCCGACTCAATCTACGACCCCAGAGCGAGGAGAAACACCGCATCCAAAAGCGGAAGCGTGCTATCAAGAAGGCCGAGGAGATGAAGGAGGCGTCGGCATCGGCAAGCCAAAAGCGTCGAGAGTCCCTGAGGAACTGGAAAAGGCGAAACCAGGACCTATTCAATCAACTTGATCACGCATTTGATACTAGTCGAGACGAGGAGCGCATCAACAAGATTTTCGGGCTCATTGACATCCATCAAGAGCGGCGGCCAGGAGTCAAGGAGCAGAACAAGTCACGTGGACTCACCCAAAGCGACGACTACGAGACGGACTCGGAGTTTGACGGCTCAGACGACTCAGACGACGATATGGATACTGAGTTGGTTGTTTCGGGCTCGAGCAAGAGCAGCGATGATGTTTTAATGCCTTGCACTCACACAGCAGATCAAGATTGCGAGATGGGGGTCATGGAGGAGCAGTCAGATGCCGGTCGCTCTATTAATGCAGAGGCTCAGAGCAGTGGTCCGTCTGAATCTGTGGCACGCTCCTCAACAGGTACCAATAACTAATATCGGACGCTGCTCCTTGCTGAGTTTGTGGTATTAACTGTTGACTAATATCTCTCACTTCCTTTTTCTCCACCGTAGGACCAAAGGAGCCGACGTCAAAGAAGCTCCGAGGTCTAGAAGCAGTAGCTATCAGGTTGCTGGAATTGCCAGACTCGAACATACCCATCACCGAAGAGACAGTCAAGGCGAAGCTCTACGAGCCTGAGATGTACAGCACGGAGGAGATTTTGGCCGTCTTGCGGCTAGTGACATTACTGAGACCGTTTACCCCTAAGAAGGCCCACTCAGGACCCCAGTCAACTTCCTATCCAAAGAGCGTCTTGACTTTGGGGCCGTTTGTGTATATTGCAAATGCAATCTTGAGATCGGCGGGATACAAGGATTTCACCCGTAGGATTTGCCCAGTTCCTGCTGTTGGGAATCGGCATGCTGTGCCGTTGGACGCGTCAGGGGTGTATGACATATTTGGCGGGCGAGCACCAGGACGCTTCGATATCAAGGGCCCAAGTGGTCGAGTAATCACCACGTCGACCGTCGCGAGACTGTCTACCGATCATCGCAAATATGTTTTCGGTGGACTTTTCAATATGGCCATCATCGACGATGCCTGCACGAAACATGGACTTGAGTTCGCACAAAGGTATGCATACATAAGGTCTTGAATATGACCTCTCCTCATTCATATCTATGACCATCATGAGTCAATTGAATAACAGTTTACCGTGCATTGTTTGTAAAATGATAGAATGACGTACGTCGACTTTTACACAGTACGCATCACGGGACGACGGGCGATAACGGGACCAAACCGCCACTTCACCAACAGTGCGTACGAAGACAAGAAGAAGAAGCATGTTAAGCCATCAGGTGTAATCAACTGGACGTCGGAACTACTGGAAACCGGGCACACCCCTCAATCTGCAGCCAAAGCGTCGGAGGAGATCAAGATTGTTCAGGATCGTTTGGTCACAGAGCTACAACCCCTCAAGAAGGGCCTCAAGGCAGCCACGACGGTCAGGAGAGAAAAGGACCGCACCCTTCGTCACTATGAAGGACACGACCAGAGACACAAAAAGGGAATCTACCAGAACCTACAGGAGGCACGAAAAGTCGTCAACAACCTGAAGAAGAAGATCGTTCCTCTCGAGGCTGAGATCCGGGAAAAGAAGCAGCAACGCTACTATTACAACAGGTTGTCCAAGGCGACCGCCCCCCCAACAGCACTATCAGAAGACCCTTCTCCCCTGCCCATCACGACTGTCACAGAGTCTGTCCCAACTGTTCAACATCCTGGGATGCAAGACTTTGTTCAGACAACCTCCATCAAGCAGCTACTGTTAGAAATTGAAGACAAGGACCGACAACTACCTGTACCAGGCACTGACAGAGGATTGGTGACTATGTCTGAGACTGTCCCCTCCTTGTGGTCAACTCTGGAATCTTTATCAAACCGATACTATATTCTCCATGGTATGTTTTCTTTTCTGCTTTACTACTGTCGCTCTATCATATCAAGATCGTGTCTTCATGCAATAATTTCCTACGGCGTTTCATTTGACGTTATAGGTCATCCCGATACTCACCACACCGGCAACGACGACGGGGCTTCAGAGCCGCCCACCTCTCACGCTGATGCTGTGGACATGGACATTGATGGCACGGACACCCAGCCCTCTCTGCATTCAGAATCGAAAGCGTCATCTCTTCCAGAACGGACTCGGAACGCCATAACGATAACTGGCTCTTTATCCCGGAAGGCAACGATCGAGGACATGCGTTTTGCCAAGTCCAACCGCATCACCGCAAAACAGGTCAAAGAAGTCGGTGGAGTAGGTAGGGCGACTCGAACAAGGGAGCGTTTGCTTCGACAGCCGGAAAATCAGAGGATTTCGGAGCTTCACAAGGAGATAGGAGAAAACTCCGTTTTGAAGGCGCAGACTATCAGTGAAGTTGACTCTGCACAGGTGACCCGACGATCAGCTACACAACCCCTTCGCAACTTCGAGGGCAGCAAAAGCTTAGTGAAACAAACCCACCACAAGGATCTTCAACTGCAGCGAGCATGGCAGACGATCGCAGCCGACGAACGACGGAAAATGCAGGATTTTTCCAGAGGTAAGTTTATGGATTTAAGAATCGGAGTGCATTGATTCCTTGTTGTTAACTCCAATGGGCATTCAAATAACTAAAACGTACTTTTATTTTTGTTTTCTTGATAGGAACAGGACAGACCCAACCAGCATCAGTCAACACAGTCGACTCTATCGATGGGTGTTGCAAGTGTGGTAGACACCACCTCCCAATCCGCGTTGGAAGGGCACTCACCTATCCACAGGAATGCCCCAGAGATGCGTTGCCCATCATCCCTATCATGTTCGTCGGGACGGCAGGAATCGGAACCGGGAGTCGCATTGGCGGTCATCTAAAGTACGGCGGAAAAAAGGTCGTTGAGCAACATGCCCTCTCCGTCCCTGTACTGATGACCGATGAAAACATGACAAGCAAAGTCTGTCCGTTTTGTTTTGCGATTCTACGCCTCGTCAAGGAACTGAGACTTGTCAACGGAGTCGAGAAGCTGGTCACAATCAACGGTGCGGTTCAGTGCGAAAACCCCAACTGTGAGAGTGTCCGCGCCGGTTATGCACGTCGAGGCAGGGACAGCAATGCATGTGTCAACATTGCACTTGCGGGATTCACGACAATCATGAGCGACAACAGACAGCCACTTCCTCCCTACAGGAGATCAACGCGTCCAGAGGGCGCCACCCCTTCAGAACCCCAGTCTCTCGCTACTGGAACACAACAAAACATCGAGCACTTCGACAACGGACCCATTGACAACAATGGCTTCCCGCGACGCTGCTGATGAGCTAGCCTAGCTAGATTTATGTAAGTTCCCATCTGCTTGTTTCCCATTTATGATTTGCTACGGAGTCTGCTATCAGTAAACCTCAGATTAACCAAAACATCCTAAATTTTGGATGAAATAGACAATAATTATATTGTTTCATCCGTCGCATCTGTTTACGCGTGTGATGGCCAGGTCACCCAGAAACATCCTTGTTTGCACTGCCATACCCAACCACTTTCCAGTCTGAATAATGCGCTTTGCTCGAATGCTCTCGCTGGTCTGACGTGATGTTGTATTATTCCCTTTTTCATGCATCCGTTTACTGCGCGAGATACATTGGGCAATTGATGTGTCTTGAAGACTCATGCAGTAGAGCCTTCAAGTTCTACACCAACGACCGACGAAGTATGATTGTGTGCGAAGTGGCAATTACATCACGTGATGCATCGGCTTCGGCTCGCTAAAGCGCATGCTCTTTTTCCCACCGTCCGTTCTTGTCTACTTGACATTTCTTCCTCACCTTTCTTTTTCTTTTGCAACTTTTACATTTCGCCATGTTCGCTGCAGCACGTCGTGGCACCATTGTTCGTGGAGCCTTCACCAGGAGGGTTATTGCTCCCCAAGGTACACTTCGACACCAAACGCGACATCCAGAGACAAACGTCGTTGCAATTGCGTTTTGGGCGTCAGAGCAGGAATAGAGCGGGAAGACAGAAGACAACACATCTCCATGCCGGGGACAGAAACACCAAAGAACATTTTCACAAGCCGGTTTTCATAGGAGGAATCACGCCTCTGAGCAGACCAGGCGACACCGTAGACCTTGTGGTTATATGAAAACTCCCAACAAAAGCGCCAACACCTTTGACTGAATGGCTATTCTTCACATGTTGTCTGACCCCACGTTTCTCCTCTTTCCTCCCTTTGTTTACCCGTTCACGTTTTTCAAACAACAACCACAACAAACAAACAGCGGCTGGATTGGCTCTTAGACACATCCGAGGCTTAAACTCTTCAACAACACTCCTTGTCAACGACAACTCCTCCCTCGCCACCTCTTCATCCTCCTCGTCCTCCGTATCTACCTCAGGAGCCGGATCGGCAGGCCAAGGGTTAGGTGTCCAGGGAAGCCAGCCCGAGAAGCGTATCCGACGATCCATTTTCTATGGTAAGAGACCACCAAGGAGTTTTTTCTTCAGTGCGAATTAACGAACAACTTTGATGAAGCTGGGGAAAAACGTGTCTATGACGAAAATTGCTTTTATTTGACCTAACCGCATTTGTAATTCTCCATTGTCAATAGTTCCAGGAAGTGACGAGCGCAAATTGAAGTCTTCATTATCATTGGGAGCCGACTGCCTTGTATACGATCTTGAGGATGGTGTCGCATTCAACCGCAAGAACATTGCTCGTGAGATGGTCTTTGATGCTTTGGAGGCCTCGGAGCACCGCAAGGCCGAGAAGGCCGTCAGGATCAACGCTGTCGGATCTGGACTCGAGTTTGATGATTTGAACGTCGTTGTATGTCTACTCTACACCATATCAGGAGTTTTGCTTTCTGAAGAGAATCATGACGGGGGAAGAACTTGTGCCTGACATGTTCCTTTGTTATTTTTCGTGCATGTTACACGTCGCTTAATAGCTCCGTTCCAGCAGACTGCAGGCGATTGTGATTCCCAAGGTGCAGTCAGCCAAGGATGTCCAGTTTGTCAGTCAAATGGTTGACAGCGTCGCGCCCTTCATCACGTAAGAGAGCAGCGTCGGCATTGTCGCGGTTTAAATCATAAATGTGTGACAGCGTCTTTCTCTGTCTTTTAGAAACAGAAGGCGGGAAAACACCTTTGTATTAACCATTGATGTTCTTGCTTTTGGAGCACATAGTCGCAAGAATGTCAGAATTATCGCCTCCATTGAGAGTGCTTTGGGTGTCATGAACCTGAAAGAGATTGCTACCGCCGACCCTCGTGTCGATGCTCTGGTGGTATGAACAATGTCGTTTTTTGTCTTACTTTGGAGGTCAGTGAACAGGCATGAAGGTGTGAGAACGCGCAATAATTAATCTTATTATTTCCGTACCATTGTTGTGTTTAGTTTGCTGCGGAGGATTACTGCGCGGATTTGGGATTGACAAGGACCCGTGAGGGGACCGAGATGCTCTACGGTCGCCAGGCCATCGTCACAGCCGCCCACGCTTACGGTCTCCAAGCCATTGACCTCGTACGTACCTTTTCTGCTATTTTTTTCATGTCGCTTCTGTGTCCCTTATAACCAACGTCTGTTTTCAACATTTTCGAAACCATAGGTGTGCATGGATTACAAGAACGACGATATTTTGAGGGAAGAGTGTGAGTTTGGACGCAGGATGGGTTTCTTGGGCAAGCAGGCCGTTCACCCTCGCCAGCTCGAGATCATTCAACGCTGCTTCTTGCCCACAGACCAAGGTAAAACTTACTACCTGTGATTCACATGAATATGTCCTGGGAGGATATGTTACTCATATGTTTGTCTCGAGTTTAGTTTAGTGTACTCACCATGTGTGTTTTTTTGTTTGTGTATGTCAATAGAAATCGCAAGAGCTGCGGATATTAGCGAGGGGTACCAGGAGCACTCTAAGCGTGGCGTCGGAGCATTCAACTACAACGGCAAAGTGTAAGCCACTTCCAACATGCAAAAACCTCATGAAGCGCCAACATAAGCGAAAGTATTGCAGCAAAAAGACAAACTAACAACCATCTCTCGCCTCACAACGAAATGAAAAAAAAAAAAAAAAAAAAAATAGGATCGACTTGCCGGTGGTGAAGTGGGCAGAAAAGATTCTCAGCAGAGCACATCAAGGCGGAGTGCCGATCCCTAACGCCGATGAACGGCAAAAGATCTTGCAGGCTGGTAGCACTCCTGCTGTTACCGCTGGTGCTGGTACTGGATCTGCAGCATCAACGACGACGACTGTTGCCGTAAACAGTGGCAAAGGCGATAATTCTACCACTGCTGCATAATTACTCAAGTTGGCAAAAGCAGTTTTGCGTAGAAAATAACATAAATAAGGAACAACATGAACAATGGCAAAAAAAAATGATATGATGCAAAAAAAAAGTGTCTGTACAAATGTCGTCTATGTGTTTATTTATCGCGATGAGTTAGATGGTTGGAGTGAAAAAAAAAAAGGATTGTACGAAAAATGAAAACGAGGAGAGGAGCACTTAATCGGTGGCAGAGAAGGAGGCAAGGCCAGTAATAGCACGTCCCAAGATAAGGGCATGGACATCATGCGTGCCCTCATAGGTGTTGACAGCCTCGAGGTTCATAACATGACGGATGATATGGTACTCGTCCGAGATGCCGTTACCGCCCAACATATCACGGGCATTCCTAGCAATATCCAGAGCCTTTCCACAAGAGTTGCGCTTGATCATCGAGATCATCTCGGGAGCAATCTTGCCCTCGTCCTTCAGACGACCAACCTGGAGACAGGCCTGGAGTCCCAAAGCAATCTCGGTGTTGGCATCGGCCATCTTCTTCTGCATCAACTGGAAGCGAGCCAGGGGAACACCGAACTGCGTACGGTTCAAGGTATAATCACGAGCCTGGGCAAGGCAGAACTCGGCAGCTCCAAGGGCACCCCAGGCAATACCGAAACGAGCATTGTTAAGGCACCCGAAGGGACCCTTAAGACCATGGACGTTAGGCAACAAGTTCTCGGCAGGGACCTCAACATCATCCATCATGATCATGCCGGTGATCGAGGCGCGGAGAGAGAACTTGCCCTCGATCTTGGGGGCAGAGAGGCCCTTCATGCCCTTCTCGAGGACGAAACCCTTGATCTTGGCGCCGTCCGAGAGATCCTTGGCCCAGACGACAAAGACGTCAGCAATAGGCGAGTTGGTGATCCAGGTCTTGGAACCCGAGAGGACGTAGTGACCATTGACCTTCTTGGCCACCGTCTCCATCGAGCCGGGGTCCGAGCCGTGGTTGGGCTCTGTCAATCCGAAGCATCCAACAATCTCACCCTTGGCTATTTGTTGTTCGGGAAATCAAACTAATTAGATGTGACGTTGCATGACGACTGGACGAGGGAAGGACAATGAGAGGGAAGTACACAACATTCATAATAAAGAAGAGAACGTACCAAGGCGGGGCAACCACTTCTGCTTCTGCTCCTCTGTACCGTAGGCGTAGATAGGGTGCATGACCAGCGAGGACTGCACACTCATAGCAGAGCGGTAACCACTGTCGACTCTATTATCATCAACAACAACCAAGGGGAGAATCAAAATCAATGTGGGGTTAGTTCAAGTCGGGCGACAAAGTGACTGCACAAATCTTTCTATCGGGGCTTCTAGAGACAAGCAAAGGCACATTGGCAAGGAGAAATAACGAACCTCTCGACCTCGCGGGCGGTGAGACCGTAGGCGACCGAGGAGACACCGGCGCATCCGTATCCCTCAATGGTCGATCCCAAAAGACCAAGCTCTCCCATCTCCGACAAGATCTCCCTGTCGAACTCTGTAAGCAACAAGGAGGATAAATAAAAAAGTGAAGGTTAGGTATTTGTATGATTTTCGTACAATCGATCTCTTTTTTTCTTGCTACAGAGAAAAAAGGATAGGAAGAACGTACTCTCGTGACGGTTGGCCATGGTAACGCGAGGCATGAGCTTGTCCTGACAGTAGTCGCGGGCGACATCTCTACAAACAAAGCAAACAGTCAAGAATACAATCCGTCGTTAGTCATTCTCGTCAAAGTAAGGAAGGAACAAGGGTGAGAAAGCGATTAATCCACCGCGTTTTAGACGTTTTAGAAGCAACGTAGGGCGCGTATAGGTCGTACCTGACGGCAATCTCATCCTCGGTGAGCAGGGAGTTCAAGTTAAGAGGGTCAGTCCAGTCGTACTTGACGAATGCTATTTGGTATTCACACAAACACACAAGGACAAGAACGTAGATGTGTGAGTGTTACGTTTAAAAGACTGCTTGTTGGGTCACTTTACGCCTTGTCACCGTTGACTAGGGTAATCCGGTTCATGTACATTAGCAACTAAAAGCTGATGAACAAGAAAGAGAGGAGTGAATTACCTTTTGATTTAGAGGCCATGGTGCGGGAGTTGGCGACCATGGAGGGCTTGATGGCCCTTGTGAGGATGCGAAGAGACATGATGTATATGTGTTTTATGTGTGATGTGAAAGAAAGAGAGAGAGAGAGATTAGATGTCCGTGAGACAGGAGAGAGTAGGGCGTAAGAGTAGGGGAAGGGAGAGTGGAGTGGGGAGAAGTGTAAGGGGAAGAAGAAGAAAAGAACGGAAGAAAGAGGCAAAAAATACAGTGGGAATAAAAGGGAGAAGCGTGTTCCGTGGGGGAGTGATTCGAACCAGCAACCGTGGAGGGAGACAGAGGGAAAAGGGTCATCCAGTCTGTCTGGTGGCTTGCTTTGCTTGCTATTGCTCACACAAATTTGACTCTTTACACGGGTCTACCACGGTCATCGTACTTCCCCGAGTACCGTGGAAACTGTACCTGCCTTAAGAGGAAGGAGGCAAAAAACTCTCACGCTCATTTTGGCATTTTGGTCGACTGCAGTAACCCATGTTCACCCTGACTTCTCTCTCTCTCTCTCCCTCTGTTGCCTGTGGCTCTCAACCCCACCTTCCTCCTCTCTCTCTCTCCCTCTCTGCCCGTCCCTCTCTCTCTGTAACGGTCGGGTGGGTGAGGGACCTGACTCATCGTCACCAAATACCATCACCTTCTCTTTCCCTCTGCTTCTCTCCTGATCCATCTTCGTATTGTTACTCTCGATCCATTTACTTCTCTGCCCTCTACTTGTCGCTGCCTGGTTACTCGTCGTTCAGCAGCAGTAAAAGTTATCCTCATGTAACCATCAATTGCAAAGAAGAAAAGTTAGGCGCCCAGCCCCCGCCTTCGCTCCACGAAGAAGAATGGATGTGGGAGCCAGATGATTGGTTCATCAGGACCTGAGCTTGTTCATGTGACCCCTTGGCCTTGTTTTTCAAGCCCCGGTTACTTCTCTGTCTTTGAGTTTGTCTCGCTCTATCTCAGTTTCCGTCATACGAAGGGTTATATACATTTTAGAAGAAGACGTAACTCTTGTTGTGGGTCAACGTCTGGTTCCAGAATCAACACACAACAGATCATAGAAACAAATACACACGCAAGCAACGAAAAAAATAAATGAGCGAAAAAGAGAAAATGGTTCATTTGAATGATTTGCTTGTTCGCAAAAACTAAAAGATACTTCATGAAAAAAAGGTCATAACTAGATACAATCCTTCTCACTCCCGAAGAGGCACTAGGGCGACGAAAGAGGAGAAGGCATAGGCAACGGCATAGGCAAAGGAGAAGCACTCAAAGCCCCAAAGGACGTAAAAGCCGTCGACTGCACTGGAGAAGGACTACTATGATCCAGACCAAGCCCGATACTGATACCCAACAACTCCTGTTGACCCTTCAACGTCCTCGCATGATCCCATTCGTTCATCTGCCGGGTCCAGGAGGCCATCCGCCATTGTTCTTGCAACTCGTCCTGTTGGCGTTCGAGGTTCTCGAGTTCAGCGGCGCGGACGCTGGCGGTTGTTGCGATCGGTGAGAGGACGCCTCGTTCGCCGCCGTGTTGTTGGTGGTGGTAGATTCCCAATGTGTTGCTGGTGATCGTAGTGGTAGTGTGTTGTTGGTAGTGCGGGGAGTAATGTGGAAAGCTCATGTGTGACAGGTACCGGTTCTTGTACACCGACGAATGACTTGTGGTCCTGGATCGAGGGTTGCGAGGACTGCTGTAGTTCGACAATGGAGGCAGGTCGATCGATTGGACATGACTCTGGGTACGACGGTGCTTGGGCGAATACGGGAGCAGGTTCAACTGACGACTGTCCCCTCGGGAATGGCGACCAAAGCTCGTAGGTCGTCCACTGCTGACGACCACGTTTTCGTCAAGGGGACCTTGTCCATGAGGAAAATAAAAATTGTGGCTGTTGCCGATGTTGTCTCCATTCAGACTCTGAAGATTGGTGGTGCTGGTGCCGTTCGAATGTTCACCGCCACCAAGGGCCTCTCGACTCGGGACCGGATCGAAATCCTGGAGCATGTCCATAAACGACATGGGTCCTTCCTGACTCTTCCTGTCCAGGCTGCCCGTCATAGCATGACCTTCGTCAGAATCGGTTCTGCTGCCACGTCTCTTGGATATCTCGGAGCGCGACAGTGAGATGTCAGACACAATCTTGTCTGCTCCTTCCAACAAGAACGACGACACATTGCCCGACACGGGCACCAAAGAGGGTGACTCTGTGCTTGAAGATGACAGAGTGGAAGCCAGCGAGATCACGGAAGAGGCCGAGGGAACCGACCGCTCAACGACTTCACGGATCGAGTGGGTTGAAGATCGTCTGCTGGCTGTAGTCCTGCGGTTGATGGTGTTATCCCCAATAAAGCTTGAACGATGCCGAGGATGCTGGTGTGCATGAAGCGGGTGAGGCGACTCGCCCTTGATGCCCAGCTCGTCAATCAGCAATGACCCAAGCAGATCACTCTCATCCAGCTTGGCAGCACTGCTCGCTCGTCGTCTTCTGGTCCGTCCTCCAGATCCCATCTCCATCTCCAACTCCATCTCAAGTTCTTGCTCAATCTCCTGTTCCAACTCGACAATTTCGTTAGTCAAGTTCAACATCGACTTGCGTAGGGGGAGATACGTTGCCGTGTTGTAGACAGAGTGGTGAAGAGTATCAAAGATCGGGAACGAGCTCATCTCAAACAGATCCTTGTTGAAGTGCTCCTGAGGCTGAGTCGCATGTCGTGTAGGCTTGATAAACATGATCACCCGGATAGTATTCGTATCCTCCTTCTCCAAAGGCGAACAGTTCCAAATTGGATCCACATCCATAGCTGCAACACTCTTCCTCACCGCAGAGGGTGTCGAAGGAGGCTCAATAATAGAGGGGCGAGGATCTTCTGACGTCAGCATCTCCTCAGGGGTTGGTGGCAAAGAGTTGTTGTTGCCAACATTGCCAATGTTCTGGTAGACAACCCGCATGGTATCCTGGGTATACATGTCCGACGGGTTCCACTTGAGCTGTGTCAGGCGCGACAACTTGGCTGTTGAGTGTGCAAACTCGACCTTGAGGTGGTGCATGGGGTCGTCCTTGGAGACAGCGCAGGCCTTGGCGAGCTGGTTGAGGTCCATGGATGTCGTGGATTTAAGCCAGTCCCATTCTTCTGGTGCGATGGTAGTATTGTCTCTGAGCTTGACGATCGGGATGAATGTCCTGCGCTGCTTTGGGACGAGGATCTGCAAGCCTGACATTGTGCTCTCCGTGTAGTACAGACCAATGTACAATCCCGACGTCGGCCTCGTCACTATTGCATGTATGTTACAAAAACAGACTTTGTCAGTTTGGTGTTCAAAATAACCTTCTCTGCAATACGGTCGTTAAAGTAAAGAGGTGAGCAAAAGGTAGTTACCTCGGATGTTGTCATGATAGCTGGTGAGTTGGGACCAAATTTCCTCGTTCCTAGTATAGACAGATCCCGAGATAGAGTCGATGCTACGCCACCGGAACGAACCAGCATGCATAAGCTCAGGAGAGATATGGCTCTTGTTCTCGTCCTTGATATACTGGATAGCCATGACACTCTTGGCTCCAACTTGAGTCAATTCGATGACCTTGTCGAACAGCATGTCAATGGGTGGGATCCCCAACTTCCGTTGCAACTGATCGACAGCTTCGACATAGTCCTGGCGCAGCCTGTTCTCTCTCCCGCAGTCCTTCCGGCGGTCGATGTAATCATAAACAGGTTGTTGGTTACTAACGTCCGAGATGACAGAGGACCGGTCGACAGATATCGAGCTCACATTCGATCTAGACCCAACGCCGGAAATGTTCTTGAGGTTCTTGCTGCTGCCCCGATTGGTGCCAGAGAAGGATATCCTCGAAAGAGGTGGAGAGATGATGGAGCTGGCAGCAGAGCCGACAAATTGTGTCGCGGTACGGGGCTCAGGGGTAGCACATGGGTCATGGTAGGAGATCGATGGAGTATCCGAGGCCCAGTCGAGGGTAGTCTTGACCATCCATGCGAAATCGGCAGAGTCGGTGTCAAAGCTATAGTAGTTGGCCAAGCCGCCGACAGTGGAAACCATGACCGTGGGGGGCACGCCACTGGGGCCGAGGAGGATCTTGTTGTCGCTGTTGAGGATTACGATTGAGAGGTAGATGCAGCCCTTCTGGAACCGGGAGACGAACTGGTCATCGGATGTGCGGAAAAAGTTAAAGAGGCGGTGCGGATCAATGGGCGAGGTGGGTCCACGCAGAATGGTCGAGTCCCGGAGGGAAGTCTACATTTGTTGTTTTTTGTTTCCCACGGCAAATCACAGAGGATAGAGAAGGGAGAAGGAAGGGCAGAGGTAAGAATCGAATTCATGTTACACGGACATAATGCGAACAAATAAACAAAGGCCCTTGCATTGCAGACAGATGGGGCAGAGAGTAAGATTGCACTCTTAATTGGGCCATATCCTGCTTGTAAACATACCTTGGAAGGTTCGAGGGTGGCGGAATATTTTGCCTCAAAGTACGCCGGGGTCTTTGTGCGCATTTCTAGTGATTTCTAAAAACCGTCAAATGGGAAAAAAGAGGGAGGTCAGCAAACAAAAGAAAAAAAAAAGAAACAGTCGTCGTCAATGATTAGGAGGAAACGCGTTTCATATGCGGAGTTGTGCAGTGGTCCCAAGTAGTAACCGGGATCAATAAATGCGATCTCCTCCGCTTTTCTTTGGTTATTTTTATGTGTGAAGAGGAGATAGTACTTACATGGCCCTTGAAGACGATGTTCATGAGGAGGATGCTGTCGTGGATCCACCCCGCGTGCTTCTTGCTGTACCTGCAAGTTCCATTATGAGTACAGATAGATAGTATTAGTGATGAAGTGCAAAAAGTAAACACAATGTATACCCACACAAGACCAGCGCTAATAACAAAGAAAACAACAAGGAGCGACAACGTACAAGGCCATTGTCCAGTCCTCCGGGACTGCGAACGCGGCAGAAACCTAAACGCGAGATACAAAAGTTCAAAAAGCCAAACAATTTCGTGTGGTCAGACAGAAAGGCAGTTAGTGTGGCTAAAGAAGAGCAAGGGGAGATTAGGGTAACTCGGAATCAAGCCTTCTTCTGCCGTCATTGCATCTCTCGTGCATTCATTCACTTTCATTCGTTCATTCAAACTTCGAACTTTGTTTCTGTTTCTTCCAAGCTTACCTGCTCGACGGCGAGTCGACATGTAACGTGAGGGGCAAACTCAAAGATGCGTTCCTGTTTGCGGCCATCCTCCTGGAAGGATATTTTGATCAGGGACGACATCGGTCTTCCTGGCATGAGTAAGTGTGTGTGGGTAGTATGGTTGGTTGGGGTAGATGTGGAGGGAGAAGGGTAAAGAGCGTGTTGGGAGTCAGTATGCAGTTGGTGGCTGAGTGCGTTGTTTATAGCGGGATATTAGGAAGAATAGGGGGAGGTGAGGCAAGACGGCACAGAAGGGCAAAACTGGGGAGATGGAGACAAAGGAAAGTGAGAAAGAGAGGTGAGAGAAGGGATGTGTATATGTTGAGAGTGAGGAGAGAGTGGAGAGTAAAGAGAGCGAAGAGAGAGAGAGAGAATGAAGTAAAGAGAGTAAGAGGAAGGATGGGAAAAAGAGAAAGGGGTCAAGAAAGAAAGAAAAATAAAAGAGCAGCAAAAGGGCACAACGAGCAGGCGAAGGAAGAGGGAATAAGGAAGAAGATGGAAACGGCAGAGTGGAAGAGATGGGATTTGGCGAATATGCGACCTTTAGAATGTACGGTTGGGTGGCGATGATGGGCGATAGCGATCGTACGATGATATGGTGGTGTGAATGGTGGATATTTTGGAAAAATACTCGAGATTAAGGTAGTTGTTGAAGGAGAATCTCTCATTGGACGATCAAAGAGGCGTTTCTTTGTTGTTGATCAGCGTAGTGATGGGAGCGATGGTGACTGATGAAGGGTTCGGGATGATTACCTTTGTTTGTCCTGTGCTCGTTGGATAAAGAGTTGTTGCTTCCGTGAGTGTTATTTGTTGATTGTTGAATGCAAATGCTGCCTTGCTTAAGAATGAGAAGGAGGGGAGGAAGAAAAGGAGGAGGATGCTTTTCTTTTCGTTGTTGTCGTCGTCGTTGTTGTTGTTGTTGTTGTTGTTGTTGTTGTTGTCAACGGATGCTACTTGTTGAAAATGGGATTGTCGTCGGCAGTTGAATACGAATGATGAAAAAAATGCTGGCTATGCTTCTGTGGAATATATACAATGGGATGCTGGGTTTTGGGGATGCTATTTGTTTGTCCTCGTGATATATGCTGTGTGCTGTTTTGCCTCCTCGTGTCTCCGTTTTGTATTGTTGTCGGTGCGGTACGATGATATGTGCTGTTTTAAATTGCGTTGGCTTGTGCTTCTTGAGGGAGATGTGAATGTGGCCCGGGCGAGCGAAACAGCAATAAAGCTAGAGACTAATTTATAAATGAATGGGACACAAAGTGACAGTGAAAGAGGGAAGGAGAAGGAGAGAGAGAAGAGTAAGAGCGGAGGGGTGTAGAAACGTGTATGAATTGGAGGGAGAGTGAAAGGAAAGGAAATAAGACATAAATAAAACCAAGGGCGGGGAGGGAGAGTAGAATAAGGATGAAGGGAAAGGATCAAAGCAAAACAAAAAAGAGAGTAGAAAGAAGAGTGAGAAAGAAAAGCGTGTCAGCATGTTGCTTTTCGTATGTTATTATAGGAGCTCGGGAGCATCTGCACACAAAACACAATAAACAATTGCATATGGGTATGGGAACAATCGAAAGCGACAAAGGGAGACAGAGAGAGAGAGAAAAAAAGGATCGTCCTTTGTAGCACACGAACACAAGCCATTGACAAAAAACAGAGAGATATGCATTATTGGGACACACAAAAGGGCCATTGTGATCTCGGAGGAGAATCAACCAACAATGAATAGCAATGAAAGGGAAGGAAAGTGTTGGGCTCAAGCGAGGGATGGATCATGGATCATGGATCATGGAGCAGGCTTATAAAGCAAGATCCTGAAAAGAGAGCAAAAGGGCAAAAGGTAAAAGTATAGAAGGGGAGAAGTAACGAGAAATACGAGGGAATATAGAGCTGTAAGATATCGTCAATGGTACAACAGGAATTGCAAAGGCAATTAGCATTGGCCAAAACAACAAACAGGAAGAAGGGAAGGAAGGATGGACGAGGCAAATCTTCATTCAATACCAAGGGATCCATAGCAACGCCAGCGACAGCAAGGGGTGCGAGGTGATGAAGCAAACGTGTCTGTTTGTTTTGTATTCCGCCGTATCCACCGTTATAGGTCGTTCCAACAGGTTACGAAGACAACACGCACCCACACTGTCTCGTAGGTTGTATGTTGTTTGCTGTGATGTTATCACTTTATTCGACAGATCCCTTTTGGTTCCTGGAGACTTTTGTTCACAAAGAGCAGGAGAGGGAGAGAATAGGAAAACAATTGGTGTTGAGAATGGAGTAGAACAAAGCCCAATGAACATCCATAGCGCCACGTTCGTTGTTGTATGTGTATCAAATCCGTCTTTCTGCCACGAGGGCCAAGGGGGAGAAATCGAGTGTAAGAAAAATCAGGAAAGAAGAAAAGCAGCGAAGAGAAAAAAGGAACGAAAAGTAAAGGAAAGGAAAAAAAAGAAGAGAGGAAAAGGGGAAAAAAAGAAAAGGAAGGAGAGAAAAGGAAGGGAGGGAAGAGGAAAAGGAAAGGAAAGGGAAGGGAAGGGAAGGGAAGGGAAGGGAAGGGAAGGGAAGGGAAGGAGCGGGTATGGGAGAAAGAGTCATATGGAACAGAGGAACAGACGAAATCCGATACTCCAGGCTCTCTGTTGTTTGTTGTCATGGCAGGCTGAGTAGCGAGGGAACAAGGGAAAGAAGGGGACGGGGAGGGAGAGAGGGCCATGGCATGAATGTTGTTTGCTTGGATGGGAAAGAATTGGCCTTGACGCATTCAAAAAGAGAGAGAGGGAGGGAGATGATACACAGATACACAATCATAGTTCAGAGTTCCCGCTCCCCTTTCTTACCTTGGATGGATCAAGAAGAAGGGTAGGGGGGTTGTTCCCAGTTCTGATGACTGCCACGACTCGACGGCGAGAATGAGAGGGGGTAAGAGAAGAGCGAGAGGGAAGAAAAGGAAATGTCGCAGGAATATGCAGGGGAGGAGTGGGGAGTCGGACTGGATGGTTCAAGTCACAGAAAATAAAAATAAAAGAGAGTTGGAGGATGTCCTCGATGTTCCTTTCGGAGAGAAGAAAAGCGAAGGAGACTGGAGGAGTCGATTTGGCTATCTGACCTTGGGAGGAAGAGGAAGTGAGAGGAAGAGGAAGAGGAATTAAGAAGATGAAGAAGAAGGTTGAGGTGGGGGAGGTGTGCCTGATCTGCCTGTGGATTGGGATATGGATGACAAGGTAGAAGATAGGATTAAAGGTCCAAAGGAAAATGCTCTGAGAATGGAGGTGAAGTAAATGAGAAGTTGATTGAATGGGTATAGTGTTGGTTACTGCTGGATGAGCTGAGGGAGATATAGTTGCACAGTTGGCGAGAGGAAGGGGACGTAGGGCAATGGGCGAAGAAAGAGTGCTCTTAGAGATGAAAGTGGAAACAGGAAAGTGGAAGAAGGGAGAAGAAAGAAGAAAGAAGGAAAAATGGTGGATGCGTGAAAAGGATCAAAATAAAAGTGTGCTCTTGCTTACTGGGATGCGGTGGCTGGGATGATGGAGGGGCTGGAATGACCGGCAAGCTGGCTGGGATGGATGGACGGGTTGAGTGGGGAGAGGGTCGAGATATGAAAGGAAGGGGGGGTTTCGCTGCAAAACAAAGGACTGGCTGGGATGGGCAAGAGGGAGGGAAGTTAGGAAGGAGGAAGGAGGAACAAAAAAGAATCATAAAGCAACGCACTCCTCGTGCATCAACAGCACACACGCGCGGAACTAGAACACCTACAGGTGAACAGATAGATAACAGTCCTCGTTCTTGCTCTCTTCAGCCCTCAGTTTCCATGTCTCCCTCTCTCTCCCCTTTTCTCTCTCGTTGATATTAATACGGCCTTGAATGGCCTCTTACTCCTGATTCACTCGTGGACAATGGTTGCCTAATACCTAACATCCATACTCACAGACACACCACGCTCCATCATCTGTCCTAACTCCTAACTCCCAATTCCTAGACAGGAAGCAGGATCAAACGCTTAACAGCAAGTAAAGTATAGTAGTTTTGATACTGGGTAACCGCCCTTTTTTTTTCTTGGCAAGTTGGCATGACAACTTTGCTTGCATTCCGTTTGATGCTTGCGACTCGCCTCCCTCCTTGGATTTCTTGCAACTAACTATTGTCGTTACCTGTCTGTTCAACAACTGTTACTATTAATGCGTCACCGGTACTCTCCTTCTCGTTCCTTCTCATTTCATTGTTGCCTCCTTTTCTCACTTATCGTTGTTGCTTCCCTCTCTCTCATCCACGGCCGTCAGTAGTTGTCATGAGGACCCCGCTTGGTCCGGAACTATTCCAAGAAATCAGGGGCTCGCACAACGCAATGAACACAATGACAACCTACGCACACACAAAACGCACACATGAACTTACACGCTGCATGATCGACAACCCATCGATTCTACAAGGAAAGGCGCCCTCTTGTCTTCTTTGTCCCACCTGAATTCTCACTGCCTTTCCTGCATTTTCTGCTTTTTTGGTGACTGATCTCCTTCTATTTTTTGTTTGTGCCCATGCCAGACTATTCAAAGGCCCGCGCCGTACCGTCTCCCTTCCTTGCCCCCTGCTCCTCCGGCGGCAGGGCATGGCAGGACGGACAAGTATTTCTATCAGATGGAAACATTGACAAGTAGGACCATATACATTTACGAATGCAATTGTATTAACAGTGGAAGTAAAGCGAACACATGAAAAGGGAAACTAACGGTGAACGATGCGTTGTTCTTCATGCTTACTGTCTGTTAAATGTACGTGAAGCGTGAATTCAATATATGCATAATAGGTCGTGTGTAGTGCTGTACTTGACAAGCGTACAGCAGTTTTGCATTCCCGCATGAAAAAAGACAATAATAGCAACGAGCGGCGTGCGCATGAATCAAAAATCACCTTGTTGGCAATGGTAGGAGAAGCGAAGGAGGGGGGAGCATGTAGAAGGTCAAGGGCACTACATGTTCGTATATCGTAGCAATTCGGGCAATTAAATATCGTGCAATTAGTTAGTGTGCAATTACATGTTGTGCATTTAAACATTGTCCAATTCGAAGCCGTTGTTTGTTTTCAAACCCTTTTCTTTTCAACAACCACACAAGAATCAACAGCACACTTTTTATTCTTCTTCTTTCACCATCCACGCGCGCACTAAGCTCCCCAACTACAACCACCAGGCACGCCAGCAACAAACGATCAGCCTCCAGACAAACCAACAACAACAACCTGATCACCAAGCGAATCTTCACTCTCCTTAACAGTAACGAACAACCACCCACCACTACAACACAGAGGCAGTCCTTTTTGAACTCGTCCGCCACCAAATACATTATTACTCTCCCTGTCGCGCTGTGCACGTCGTCGCCAACCACTTCTATTGTTTTTGTCAGGACAACATTAGAGTCTGCGGCGCTTACACACGCACACTCTCGTTCACCTTTACACCACAGCCTGCGCAACGACTGAATTCATGACCCTGGCCCAAGGTAAGAACGATGACCACATTGAGCATCAACGATCTCAAATGGTGGTACTAGTAGTCCTAGTTTGCAATTAGACGCTAACGCACAAACATTGCCTCACTTTGCTGGTTTAGACTCAAAGATGACTTCCAAGGGCAAACAGACACAACGAGACACCCAACCCGAAAACACATCAGAAGCAGGAGAAGCCATGGACGTCGACCAGCAACATCAGGAAGAGAACAACGACGGAGCAGACGACAGCGACACAGACTCGACCATCTCTTCATCCCTGCCAAACTCATTCCTCTCGGCAGGACTCAAAACCCTCGAGCAAAGAAGAGTCTCTACATCAGGTCTGGCTACACCTTTGCACACACGGAACCCCATGCTACTGGAAGGCGAGCGAGCCGCAGCAATGGTGCCACGACGACGGGTTATGAAGACCCCTCCACCTATAGGCGACGACGACTTTATCTCCACACCTTCCAAGATTCATGGAAGCACAGCACCTCTCGTCAAACCCACGTTTGCTCGGCCGGGGTCCCTTTTGTCAAAAATGACCGACAACGGCTCACTTCTCGGAAAACACCCGCAAACACCCAGTCCAGGAGAGGAGACCCTTCGAAGCAAAGGGTTCAAAAGTCTTTCTTCCAAAGGTGCGCCCTCACAAGTCATATGAACATGCTCTATCAGGAAACCCAGGCGGAGAAGCGGTACATGAGGAATTTAATAATAATGCAGGACTAACGATGGAACATATGCTAAAACAGAAAACGATGCCCCAGTTAGGATCCTCGACTTTTCCAAGCCATCGACACCGGAACCAAGTGGAGGCTCAATATATTCACCAGTTCTTGCACCAAACTTTGGAACACCACCAGGAACGCCACGACAGAATGACCCTCTCAATTTCTCATTTCTCACAAGAACTGCGTCGGTCAACTCACCCTTCGGAAATGACGGTGAAAATAACCCGTTTTTGGGATCACCAAAGCCAAAAGCGCGCTTCGAGATGGACTATCTGTCGGAAAGTCAGTGGTATTCAGAGTACCCGCATCACCTGACAGAGGAGTACTTGGAGGACTTGTTCCGTCTCGACCGACGAGGTGAGCACCGATTTTTATCCTTGTTGTAGTTTGTCTTGTCAAAAATACTCGTTTTTGAAACACATGAGCTAATCATGATCCTTTGTTTCTTTAATAGTGATGTTTTCAAAGGGCAAGGCAGGATCGAGATTATACCCGGACTACCTGACGACCAACTTTTACGTTAACGAGATAGTCCTTGGAGCAGGAGAGCACGCTGACGTTTTGAAAGTCCAGAGCAAAAACAGCAAGGAGTTTTACGCTGTTAAGCGGCTCTTGCGCACTGTGCAAGGTGCCATGGAGAGGTACGCCAACCTGTGGCCTGGATTTGCGATTGGCAAGCCTTCCTTTTACCTTATGTTGTTATTGACATCACCGCCTTATTTCTGGCCATCTGCATTATAGAAAGCGATATTTGAACGAGGTCAGGAATATGTGGCGGGTAGAAAAGTCGCCCAACGTTTTGCAACTTCTGGAGGCATGGGAACAAAAGGGCAAGATCTACATGCGCATGGAACTGTGCAAGCTCGGAAGGTACCTTTGGTCTCTTTGACATTCATGGTACCGGTATCATAATTTATGTGGGCGTCATTGACTCTTGTATTGCTTCCTTTTTCTTCGATATAGTTTACAATCGGCGCTGCTGGCTCAGAAGAAATATGGCGGGTTTGACGAGAAGCGGACATGGAAATGTCTCACCGATCTCGCATCTGTAAGTAATTGATCCATTTGCTTGGTGCTTCATATGTTTACCTTCCCCTCAGATTCTCTAACACAGATTGGTTGTTTGTGACATAAATGTAACAGGGATTAAGAGCCATTCATGACAGCAATATCATTCACTTGGATATCAAGCCTGAGAATATCTTTATTACAGCAGCAGGAGCGCTGAAGATCGGTGACTTTGGCCATTCGATTGCCTACCCTGTCGAGAAGAAGGATATTACCGAGGGCGACAAGTTCTACATGGCACAGGAGTTACTGAATGGGCACTGCGGCAAATATTCCGACATTTTCAGTCTGGGTATGACAATCTACGAGATGATCACGAACCAGAGCGGTGACCTTCCGGGAGAGGGGCGACATTGGCATGAGCTCCGAGACGGCGACTTTTCGCTGGAGAATATTACGGACCAAGGCAGGAATTTTATTGAAGGAGCACTGGATACCCCTCCCAACGAACCATCATCAACAGCCACCTCGACCGCGTCTACGACTGCATCCTCATTAACAGCAGTTATGAGTGCAAGCCCACTTTCAGGATCGTCAGTTTCAGCCCCGTTCGAATCTGTCCTGGGATCGTCGATTTTAAAGTCGAGTCATCAGAGGGTGTTTTCTGAGGATTTGGTTGAGCTGATGAAGGAGATGATGCAGCCGGACTACTTGATGCGGCCCAGTACATCGTCTATTCTGAGCCACCCGAAGATTCAACGGATCCTGGGCAAGCGTAATGATGCCGCCAGTAAGGGTGCACGCACCGAGGAAGCCATGTCCGGACTTCTTCTGCAGTCTGTTTAATCGCTTGTCTGCTTGCCTTTTTTTTCTTTTTAGTTTTTCTTTTTTCTTTTTCTTTTTCGTTTCTGTTTGCTATTTACTACAAGATCGCTTTGCTATGAATAAAAACACTAAGAGTGGGTTTGTTTCTGGTGACGGAATAAGATATCAGATTTTTCCAGTGTCGAGACAAATCGAATCTGATTACCCTGTTTTCTCCTCCGACTTTCTTTCTCTTTCTCTGTCTCTTTCTCTTTCTCTTTCTCTTTCTCACACACACACACACCCACAAAGACGTTAACGGTCGTCCCTTCATCGACCCCTATCTATCTTTTCCCATTCCCTTATATCCTTTCTTTCTTCACCACCTTTATTTACTCACCCCTTCTTTTCCCCCCTATCTTTTTTTTTTCGGACCTCGACCTCGGAGACTCTTTTCCTTTTTCTGTCTCACTCCCCAACCTCAGAGTCACACAACCAAACTTCCACTCCCCTCTCCTCTTTCCATTGCACATTCACTTGAATCGACACCAACCCCAACAATCAACATCATCAACATCAACATCATCAACATCAACATCAACATCAACATCAACACACAGGAACGTTTTGCACAATGACTGGCTACCTAAGTATCCCAACGTTCTTCATTATCTTTCGCGAGACGGTCGAGGCAGCGATCATCGTCTCGGTTCTGCTTTCATTCCTCCGGCAGGTGTTGAGTGATGACCATGTCATGCGGAAGCGACTTTCTCGTCAGGTAATTTGGTTTTTGAAAGGAATCAGAAGAGAGCGTTTATTGAGTTGTGTTTTTTCGTATCTGTTTGTTTGTTGTTGGTGGTAGGAAGGTCAGGCGAGCAGAGAGAAGGACGAAATAGAGAGAGGGGGGAAAGGACGTTGCTTTGTGTGTGTTTTGTTTGTTCGGAACTAACAAAATTTGTGTGTTTTTGTTTGTCTTGCTTCTCCGACGGTGTAGATCTGGGCAGGAACTGCTCTTGGATTGTTGATATCTTTGGCTATCGGCGGAGCCTTTATCCTCGTCTGGTAAGACTACTTTCTTCTCTCATAACACAATCAACAGTTCGCCCGTTACTTGTCACCGTTCTATGCTGTCACTTTTTCAATAGCTCTTTTGTGCCCTGTTTGCATTTACGTTTGTGGAAACACGCACTCACAGACATTCAACTTGCGCAACTTGGATAACATAGGAACTGGTATGGAAAGAACTTGTGGGCGGCGAGTGAGGGGATCTGGGTCGGCTGCTTCTCCTTCATTGCAGTATTGATGATCACCCTTATCGGAATCGCCATGCTCAGGACCAACCAAATGCAGGAAAAATGGAAACTCAAGCTCTCCAAAGCCATGGACGACGAGAACGCCAACGGACTCGGGAACCAGTCTCGCAAGTACGCTCTTTTCTTGCTGCCATTGGTCACTGTCCTGAGAGAGGGACTCGAGGCGGTGGTTTTCATTGGAGGCGTCACGTTTACGGAGGATCCCAAGGCGATCCCTCTTGCAGTTGTTGCAGGAGTGGCGTTGGGGCTGCTCATTGGGTTCTTGATCTACAGAGGAGGAAACAAGATGAGACTGCATCCTTTCTTTGTGGGCTCGACTTGTTTGTTGATGTTACTTGCTGCCGGTTTGGTCTCGAAGGGTGTTGCGGCGTTTGAGGCGGATCATTGGAACCGACTTACGGGAGCGCAATCGGATGATGCAGGAACTTTTGATCCGCGGTACAACTTGTGGGCGCTGAAGTGCTGTGACCCCAAGCAGCCTGATGCTGGATGGTGGAGTGTTGCAAATGCATTAGTTGGGTGGAGCAACATTGCGTCGTATTGGACTGTTGGGTCGTATATTATGTACTGGGGTCTTGTCTCCGCCTGGTTGATCCGACTCAACAACAAGCGTGTTCAGAAGGTTGGAGAGAATGTGACGGCTTCGAGGCCCTTGTTGAGCGAAGGCTCGTCGGCAACTGAGCTCGAGGAGAATGGCGAGGTGTACACGCCGGTCACGGGGTCTTCCAGCGAGCACGCGAGTGAGCAGACGTTGGCAGGATATGAGAATGCGGAGAGCAGTGCTCATGATGGACACCAACCACACCACCTCACTCGTCGCCACGATGGATATGGCACCGTACGAAATGCTGGTGCCAGTGCTACCCCAGGAGCTGGTGTTGGTACTGGTGGAGGAGAGCGGCCAGAATGAATCGCAATGCTGCCAGTTGTTGGCGCAGAAGTAGGAGTAGGAGTAGGAGTAGGAGTAGGAGTAGGGGTAGGAGTACCTGGTAGGAGACTGACGCCTCAGCCGCTTGTGCATGCCCCGGGATCTGTGTTAGCCCATGTTCCTGGTTCAGGATTGGGCTCTGGTTCAGGAGTGCCAATGGTTAGGCATCGACGGTCTGTTGTATTGGGTTCTGTTCTGCAGGGCAAGAAACAGGACTGATCATTGTCGACCTTTTGGCATCTTTGGTCATCTTATATTTTGTTTTTGGAGGCTCTGTTGCAACTGTACAATACCTTTTTCTGTTTTTCTTTCTGTTAATATATACTCACAAATGGACTTTTTCAACATCATGTGTTATTAATGAGCGCATTTTAGTCACGATATGGAGAAGAAGGGAAACGAAGACGAAGACGAAGGAAGAGAACCGGGGAACCGGGGGAAAAAAAAGAAGAATCAAGAATAGCGAGAAGAGAACCAAGAAAAAATGAAGTTCTTCAAAAAGAGTACACTGGGAGAACGTGCTGTAGAAAGCGATAGTGATGGTCTTCAGGCCACATGTCACCTAGGTGGGTTACGCGATGACGAGACAGAGTCTCGGAAGGACCAACAACAGTTCTAAGTTTGCCATCTTGTGCGAAATATCGTATCGAATACACGTCCAATCTAATCACCAAAGACTCTGTAAACTCGTTGATCCTTTTCGCAAGGGCTGGCCCTACGTCCAGATGGTAAGTACCGTGGTAAATGGATATTTCTTGCAGCTTGGAGAGGTTGACGGCCTCAAGTGCCGCTGCCAAAGGTGTGTGGCCAACGCTATCAAGGTACAGTCGAGTCAACTGAGCGCTCTGTAGAAAGTGTGTGGGCACGATGGTGTCGGAGGTCATACCTCTAATGTATAACTGCTCGAGTCCCTCCCAGGTATGACCAGCAGTCCCATCGCCAATCGTCTCCAGAAGAAGCTCAAGATTGGCGATGTTAGCGTCCATTATCGAGAGACTTTAGGGAAGCAACTTTGCAGTACTGGAGTAGCACATGCGAGTATTTGTTGCATCCAAAGTGGACTAAATCCAGGCGGGGCAAGACAGTCGACAGGTACTGGGGAGATGGACGCGTCAAGAGCACTGAGAGGTCGAGATGTGTGAGCGCAGAGAAGTGAGGGACATTGGAAAGAGGCGCGGCGGGTCCTCTCATGTCCACCAAGTAGCGGAATAGATGGTGACTTCTCAGGGCCAATATCGAGGGCTGCTTAATCATAGGAGCAGAGGACGAGAACCTCAAGCACAGGTCCTGATTGTCGGATGATCTTGGTCAAAATACTAGTATTCTCGAGGCTCGAGTAATAGACGATCTCCTTCAGAGGTCGACAGTCGTTGGCGTTGCCGCCTTGATCCCTTTCTAGACTCCAACTACTAAGATGTAGCCGCCGCAGCATTTTCAGGGAAAACACAGCCTTCGTCAAGCTCAACCCCATGGAGCGCCAGCCTCATCATCGCTGATCCGTCCATAGAAGCAAAAGGTCTGGAGCCACGACGCATTAAAGTTGGTAGGCAGGTTCGATATGCGAGTTGACAGGAGATAGAGGTTGGAAATCTGCAGGCCCCGAAGCTTGGTGTTAGACAGAAGACCAAGGAGAGAGTGATAGTGTCCTTTCCCGGGTCGCAGTGATGCAATGGTGGCGTTGGAAGTGTGATCGTCCTGCAGATCTAGCTTCACGACCTTGACATTGGACTTGGCGACCATATCGACAAGAGTGACCAGATCTGTAGACCCGAAATCCCAGTCGAGGGTGACATCTAGGCTCTGGACGGCTGGGGCTTGAGTGGTAAGTCGGCGGAAAAAATCCTTCGACGTGGTGCCGGACTTGAGGTTGATCGTGACCTGGCCGAGATGAGAGTCATAGCTGCCACCGGCTGCCTCGACTGACTGGACAAAAGACGCTAGCGCGGTTACACGGTACTTCTCCTGATAGTATTCGAAGCAGACCCACTTGACGTGTCCTTGCTCGGTGGTGATCCGGTAGAGGTTGCCTAGGATCTTATCTTGGTCGTTGTTGCGGAGGAAGGTGTCGAGGCGTCGCAGGTCAGCCCCTTCGAGGGCTGCAAGGTTTTCGAACATGTTGTCGTCATCCTGTCCATTGGATACTGCTCCTGCAAGAGCGTCGGCTGTATCGGTGTCCCCCAGCTTGATCTCCAGAATGTTGATTGACATATCGACGGCATTGATGGTGCTCTCGGAGATCGACTTGACTCCGTCTATGACATCCTTGAGGCCACTGTCAGCCAGAGCAGCAACTGGAGCAGCCACAGCTGCAACTGCCAAACAATGCTTCAAGATCCTGAGTATACCAAGGACATAGGGTCCATATTGATCGAAGAACTCGGTAGGCCGCGAGAGCTCATACCCCTCGTGCTTGGCGAGGTGGATGCCGTTCCTGACAGGGACCGGGGTTGTTGATACTGCATTGGCAGTATCGATCATTTCCGAGGATGGAACTTGGGGTGTACCAGAACTACAGTCGTCACTGCACTAGCACAGGAAGAACAAACGGAACCGCTCCATCAAAACGGTTCTGGGGTCCCAGTCGTTGAAGGAATCAGAAAGGACGACAAAGAGCCTGGGAATCGGGTACTCGTGGAGCTCGTAGTTCTGGACGAGGATAGCATCAACCCGCTGTTGGTTCACGATTAAGCGGTCGATCACCTCCTGCTGCATCTCCAGCATCTGTTCCTCCCTGATCTTGGACTCGGCCTGTTCCTGCAGCATCCTCTCTTCCCTCTCCTTTGATGCCGCTTGTTCTTGAAGCATCACATTTTGCTGTCGGACCATCTCGTTTTGTTGTGCGACCATGTTGATGAGCTGGTGCATTTGCTGTTGGTGATAGACTGACTGCTGGTCAGCTGAGCGTTCGAGCTGCTGCTGAAGCTGTGTTATGTCCAGAGCCATTGTCGAGAGCATCGCCATGGGACGGGCGATGGATGTTGATTGTAGGGTAACAACGTTGGAAGAGGAAGAAGGAGAGGGAGGGAAGGCCTGAAAAGGAGTGTGGACAAGGGCGCTCGAAGTTGCAGAAGGCAGGGGTCGTAAGGATAAACGTGACACCGAGAGGTCAATGCTGTTCGTTGAAAGCCCCATTGGCGTTGTGAGGTTGAATGTCCACTGTTGGTCTGGGATAAGAGTACGCCGGAAAGGGTGACGGGAGGACTAATAGGGATTGGAACAGGGTCGGTCGCAACGATGTCGATGGTGTGGTTGGGGTAGTGTGTGACCCTTGCGGGTCATATCTAAATCTCAGTAGGAATTGGGTGCAAGGCCAGCATAACGTACACAATCATGAAAAGAAAAAGCAAAAATACACATAGGAAATTAGCTACTTTAGATTGCATCTTCTCATTATTATTTTCACGCACAAACCTTTTCCGTTTTACTTCTATCTCCACTTACACTTGTTCGTTCTCGTCCTCGAGGTAGTTCAGGAAGACACCATTGGCGTTGAACAGCGATGCGTTAAGGAAGAACTTTTGGATATCCGTTATGCGACTGTAAGATTCACCCGTGGTCATGTCAATACGGATGGCAATGGATACGACGGTGTCTCCTTGTCGGAACCGTTGGTGCGGCGTCATTGTCAATGGTATGGGCCAGCGAAAGGAGATATAAGGTGGAGGGAGGTGAGGGTAGTGTTTGGTGTTTTGTTTTCGGTGAGGTAATGAGTGTCGGTGATTGCGAAGGGTGGATGAGTGAATGAATGAAGACGAGGAATGAGCTGCTGGACGGAAGTGCGAAGAGAGGCAGGGGAAAAGTGAGCAAAGAGAAGGGGACAGGAAAGAAAGGAAAGAAAATGGAACATGCATGCACGCCAATGGTGATAGTGAGCCCTGACAAACAACAGTCAATTCAGTACCCATAAAAAAATAGAGATAGGGCAAGCTCAGGGGATCAGTGCGCTTCTTTTTGTTTGGCCGAACCAGGTACGATCAGATATTGGCATCATCTGGTCCTTGTAGTTTGGGACATGATACGTAATCGAGAACAACACTGCCTCTTTGTCTCTTTCATTCTCTCTCTCTCTCTCTCTTTCACTCTCTCTCCCTCGAGGAGATCCCAGCTTGTGGGTAACCAATGGGAGACTCGGTGGCTGCCCGAGACGACGCCCCAGGTTTCATTCCTCACGCTTTTTGTTTTCTTTCTTTTAGTTTGGGGTTTCTATTGTGCCGCATCATCCTATTAATTTGACACTCTTAAGTAGAAGGCCCGTGGCAGAGCCACGATCGCCCTCTTTGTCTGTTCGCGGGGGCGGCGGATGGGACGACCGTAGGGCAGTGTTTGTGGCCCATTTTTTTTGGCCACATTAACCGGTCAAGCAAGTAAAAGGTTAACCTTTTCTTTTTTTTCAGGTAGTATAATCAAAAGGACGATACATGTGTATCCCCTTTATGTGTTAGCTATACTCCATGCTCTAATTCATTTGGAGTACCTAGAGTGGTTAGTTAAAGTTAAAAAGACGAAAAACGAAGCCAATCTGTGGAAAGTCTGTCAGAGAAAAAGCTTTTTTCTTTCTTCGCTTCAGATCAATCAAAATGAGTTGATCGCACAGTGCAATTCTGGTGCATGGCTTCTATGCCGTGCAGCATTCAGTACAATTGGTACATGGCTTCCACCCCGTGTAACCTTTTAGGGTATCTAAAACCAATTCTTTCTTTTTCATCCTTGATCATTTCTTCTGCTTTGCATCCTCTTTTCTTCATTGGTGCACGTTTTTCTACTTTCCTCTTCTTCCTTTCGCAACCACCACCTCTTTCCTTCTTCGCTTGCTAAGAGCAATTGATGACTGAATAAAACACAACCAAATAAAAATAACGTAACAGTAACAAGGTCAGCGTTATCTACTTCTTCATTGATTTCTAGATCCGTCGTCACTGCCTGCTCTACTATCGCCATCATTCTCAATTCTGCCGTATTACTGACCTTTTGATCCCCTAAGCTCATTCACCCTTTGCGCAGCTTGCTTGGGGCACTTCTTAATATTGTGGCCAGGCGTCTTTCTGTGGGAGCAAGTGTGAGATCGCTTTCTCTTCTTGTCTGGATCCTTGTCGTCCAGAGTCAGGAGTCTGTGACAGTTATTACGTTGAGAGCGGGTTCGATTGGGATCCTCGAGTTTGCTTTTGTGGAGCCTACTCTTCCTTCGCCCTCGCTCTCTCTTTCCCTCCTCATGATCCTAGACCATCATATCCCGACAGCCTTCAATAGGACCCATCTCGTTAAAACTATCGCTGGAACCTTCATCACTCGAATCCTCTCCGAAAGAGGTGTGTCGTTTAAGGAGCCAACGTTGACATCAAACATACGACGTGCACTACCTTTGACTGGACCTCGCCGAAGGAGCCCTCACTTCCTGACCTCTCATCACTAAATCCTTCCCTATTGGATCCCTTATCGAAAGCCCCATCATCTCGAAATCCTTCATCGTCTGAAAGGGTATTGTCAAGACTTTCTTGGACGGGATTCGTCTTGATGCGATACCCACACCTAGAGTCGATTGTCAAGTCATCGGAAACTTCTATATCTTCACTGCTATCGTCTGACACTCCATAAGGAGTATACCCATCGCTTTGTGTCTCCACACTCGCTGCCATTCTCTGAAAATGCGTTGTCATCTACCGCTTGATGTGAAGGGGCCCTCACGCGCTTTCCTTTTCGATGCCTGGCGATCGCGATCCTTCTTGAACTCCTCAAATCCTTCTTGATCAAGATCTGCCGCTTTGCTTTTCATCTCCAAAACGTGGTTGTCAATCGCTGCGAAGCGCCATAAAATAACAGCCGCTGAACAGGGTGGACGGACCGTATGGACTTGTTCTGGAAGGAAATGCAAAGTAGGTCGCCTGGAACTGGTCGTCGGGTAAGATGGCCTTGAGAGCGGATTTGAGCTTGTCTGCGTGAATGAACGAGTGTTTTTTCACGAGTGTGTTCTTTAATAAATTGAGTTGTGAAGGAGGAATTATTTTAGCAGAGCAATCAAGCCACCAGGGAGCCGCCTATTTAAGGCACCCTAGGGCTTGATATTGAAGATCCCTCTCTTGTTCTCATTCTACGGTATTTGCTTGCTGCTTGTCAGGTAGCACAGGGTGGGTTCATCTTCCAGCACGACAATGATCCAAAGCACACAGCGAAGTTCAGAGAGCGGTATCTGGAGTCTGTTCACCTCACCAAAGCGGAAAGAGCGCTCCTGTATTGGCCAGCACAGTCGCCAGACCTCAACCCGATTGACCACATGTAGGCTTACATGAACTGACAGCTTAGAAGGTACAGTACAAAGCCAACAAGTTGCAAGGAGTTATGGGAGCGAACCTCTGTGAGTAATACAAGATTCCCGTTGACTACTGCCGCAACCTGATTCGGAGCATGCCCCGTCGACTCGCTGATGTGAGGCGTGCGAAAGAAAAAGCGCACAAAGTATTAGAATTGCGCTTCGTTGACAAGAATTTTGCGGATTAACGCATTCTGAGTCCCAACGCCATAACTGCTTCATTGCACAACTATGTCAAGGGGAAAAAAAAAATTAATTGCTGCCAAATTACTATGGTGTAACCAACAATGGTCTGTCTATCCTTGGTACAAATACAGAAGCGTTCGAAGCACGGTTGGGGATGTATTTACAGAAAAAAATCGAAGACTTGATTTACTGAAGCGGTTTTGGTGCTCACTGTAAATGGCCTCTCATGCCACCTAAACAGCGACCGGCTAAACAGAGAGCATTAAATTCCACTCTAAAATCATCTGCGCCTTGACTTTTGCATCTACCATGGTACTTCTCAAGAAAAGAGAACATGAAAAGGTTGGTAGGCTACGCTTGACCCATTGCCAGCTAATGATGAGATAATTGCCACTCTGACGGCAATGTCCTCGACCAATTGTGCGATATCAATACCACCCTCTGTGCTGTCGATGTGGGGTGTAGGTGTAAACGAGAATCTCTTGGAAATAAAGTTGCGGCAGGTAATGGTGGAGATATTTTAGATATTTTTATTACGGGCGTAAGCATAATCAAACGACATAAAGTGGCCAGTGGAGAATGAATCTGAATGAAAAAACTTGCGCTGTGAGAATGAAGAGTTCCGATACCCATTGCGACCCCTTCCCCAACAACAGGTATACTCTTTTAAGCTGCATAAGAGTTTCCAAAGCATGGCATGCTTCGTTTATTGAATTCATTCTTTGTAAAACTATGTACAATCATACGACTCGTGGCGGTAAGACAAAAGCCGGCCCAAGTCGCAACGGGGAGCATTGAGAGAGAGAAGGTTGCTATTTACAAGTCAGTGCTTTCCAACAGCGAGGATACAAGAAAAGATTCATTGATTTCTTATTTTTTTTGGATTGATATTTGATCGAATTTTTTTTGGATTTTGGATTGATTTTTTGAATTTTTTTTGTAGTGTTTTAGTCAAATTGTAACAAATCATTGCCATAACTTAATTGCCATCAGAACTGGGCCGATAATGATTGACGGTCCGTTACATCGCTCATGCGCATTTACTTGCCCTCAATTGGAGCCTCGGGCGCGGTTGGTGGAGCGCCGCCGCCTGGAGCCTCAATGGGGTCGGTTCGGTTTTCAGGGGGAGGAGGAGGAGCATCAATTCCAGGACCTTCAGCAGAATGGCCAAAGAACCTAGGAATGCAATACCTGCCAAGCAGGCATCTGCTACCGCGTCTGCAGCAACCACCTGGAGCGGTATGATTGCCGGAACAAGAGATGGCGTTAGCATTTTTTCTGTGAGAACCTATTTGTCTTCGAGAAAAATAGAAAGTATAACTTACGTCCACAATCGACCGTGTAATTGGGGCGGCATGCACACTTCCCTCCTTGAGTGCATCCGTATCTGCAACATGTGCGGCTACATACATATGGGTAGCCCAGAGGACAGCATCCACGATAGCCTATGCTACACACCTTGCTGGGTCCGCAACACCATGGGTTGAAGCCCCAGCTACAATGACATGGAAGCATTCATCAGCTCAGGATGACTCAATAAGAGTTAACAGAAAGAGTGAAGGAGTGCCTTTGTAGCACCTACCCACAGCGCCTATAACCAGGACGGCAGAACAAGCGCGCGGCATCGGTGCCGTCGGCCCTAGGATTGAGATCTTCGGCCTCAGTAGCAAGAGCACTCAAGGAACCATCATATGCAAGCGGCTCATCGCCAACGGGGTTGGCCATGGCAAATGTGAAGGCGGTTGTGGTCTTGGACATCAGACTGAGCATGGTCAAGGTCAGCAGCGAGGCCAGGACCGCCAAGGATGCGCACTTGATGAATGAACGCATGGGTGTAAGGAAATAAAAATGTAGACTGGGAATGAAAGGGATAGTTGAGAGGGAGGAGAGGTAGATAAGATGTGATGCTGAAGATTAGCAAGGAAAACAGGATTGGAGTGGGGGTAGCTTATCGCATTTATAGTTTCGTCCCAATTCTAAGTTCACATGCTCCACAGCTTTCACTCTTTTCCTTCTTGTCCTACAACCGTCCATCTTTTTTTATAAATGGCAGTTGCTGTTATTGGACAGGTCCTGCTTAAATTCATACAGAAGAGCCAAGCTATTTTTGAACCTGTTGTTGTCGACTCAAAGGTCCTGGTTCTGGAACTAAAAATGACTAAGGAACGAATGTTGACGCGACTGAGAATACAGTATGAGAAAGCTAGCGAGTACTTGATTCTCTCGCACATGCTCCTGGGGCCAGTTACCCGTAGACGTCTCCAGGCTTTCAACGAGTCTAAGGATGAGGCACCTTTTGCCGTGCTACCAGAATCAATCTGATCGTTGTATGGTCTCCGAACACACTACTTCGCTGTAGAGAACCTGTCCCATACAATTAATCGCCTCAAAAGTATCGTAGTCAGACCTTTAAAAATATGGACGAAAGTGACTGGCTTTGAACGAGCCATTGGGCTCTTGTGTGCAATATTACCGGGGTCTAGGCTGAGGCGCGAGCGGCACCGCAGGGTTTCTTTTAGTGCAGCGCCGGTAACGTTCGTCGAGACAATGCAAAGCTGCAATACATGAAAAAACGAGAGACATGACAGAGATCCTAGCTGTTGAACTTCAATGAGCCCTGCTTTTGTGTTGCAGTACAACATGTCTACTTACTACACTGCCAATCACGATCTGTCGACTCTTGGCAATATCAACACTGACCGCACTATTACTACACATTCGCTGTATTACATATTGCAATCTATTGTGTCGTCGGAAGACATTGGTCAGTGCATTATGTTTCCGGGCTCTTGTGTGCAATATTACCGGGGTCTAGGCTGAGGCGCGAGCGGCACCGCAGGGTTCCTTTTAGTGCAGCGCCGGTAACGTTCGTCGGGACAATGCAAAACTGCAATACATGAAAAAACGAGAGACATGGCAGAGATCCTAGCTGTTGAACTTCAATGAGCCCTGCTTTTGTGTTGCAGTACAACATGTCTACTTACTACACCGCCAATCACGATCTGTCGACTCTTGACAACATCAACACTGACCGCACTATTACTGCACATTCGCTGTATTACATATTGCAATCTATTGTGTCGTCGGAAGACATTGGTCAGTGCATTATGTTTCCGGGCTCTTGTGTTCAATATTACCGGGGTCTAGGCTGAGGCGCGAGCGGCACCGCAGGGTTTCCTTTTAGTGCAGCGCCGGTAACGTTCGTCGGGACAATGCAAAACTGCAATACATGAAAAAACGAGAGACATGGCAGAGATCCTAGCTGTTGAACTTCAATGAGCCCTGCTTTTGTGTTGCAGTACAACATGTCTACTTACTACACTGCCAATCACGATCTGTCGACTCTTGACAACATCAACACTGACCGCACCATCACTGCACATTCGCTGTATTACATATTGCAATCTATTGTGTCGTCGGAAGACATTGGTCAGTGCATTATGTTTCCGGGCTCTTGTGTTCAATATTGCCAGAGTCTAGGCTGAGGCGCGAGCGGCACTGCAGGGTTTCCTTTTAGTGCAGCGCCGGTAACGTTCGTCGAGACAATGCAAAACTGCATTACATGAAAAAAAACGAGAGACATGAAAGAGATCCTAGCTATTTTACTTCAATGAGCCCTGCTTTTGTGTTGCAGTACAACATGTCTACTTACTACACCGCCAATCACGATCTGTCGACTCTTGACAACATCAACACTAACTGCACCATTACTACAAAGTCGCTGTATTACATATTGTAATATATCATGTCGTTGGAAGGTGTTGGTCAATACATTTCCAGGTGTAACATCAGTTTGCCTGGAAGCGGAGAGACCGAGAGTGAAACAAAAAAATTAGCTTTGCGCATTGGCCAGATCCTAAAATAAACGCGACATTTTTGAAATGATCCAGGCACCGCTTATCTAATAATAATACAAACCGAAACCAAAATCGAAAGTTCCGTGTATGGCATGATTTGACGAATATTTTTTTTCCTGGTAATCTATTCCATCCGCTCTTTGCCTTTCAGTCATCTCACCGGTTCTTCTAAGACTTTTGCCCAAGCACAACCAAATCTGCTCTTCGGTCATCATTTCTTTGCATCGTCAGCATAAAAGTGAGTCAGATTCACGATTGGCAGTTGACCATCACTCGAGAATACTATTATTTTTACGCCAACGATCTGCCCATCAAATGGTCATATTCGCCCATTCACCTGGTCTTTCCATTGAGCTTTCTACCTCTCGTCCCGCCTTTTGTAGATTTAAGCAGACGAAGACCATCGCTTCTGCGAGGCTCCCAGCGACCCCAAATTCTGAACTTACTGTATATGCCTAGGCGGTTGCAGAGGGGAGGGAGAATTTTCACCTTCCTGTCCGCAACCAGACTTCATGGACAAGCATTAAAGGCAAATCAGAGGCAAAGGGAGCATGGCGCACTGTCCTCCGAGTCACCCAGCCAAGAAAAAGAAAGTGAGACATCGTTCATCGAAGACAAAGAATGATTCGTCCAACCAAGGAAATAAAAGAGCGCTCAACCCAAGAAAAAACGAGACGCCAATTAAACCAAAAAATATATTTGAAGAGGCCTGTGTCAATTTGTTATGTATAATAGCAGTGCCGAGGGAAGAGGAGAGGATGGGCCTGTCCATGGTCAGTCGCCTTCTTTTCCTTTATTAGGGTGGGCATAAACCTGTGACAAAATCGAAGTGGTAAAATCTAGCAGGGCCACAAAATAGCCAAGCATCTAGAACATCCACAGGAGTGACCATTGAGAAAAAGTGGGTACCGTAAAGAAAATGGGCGACCTAGACTGTAGTATCTTTTCATGACCCTCCGTGTATAAATGGTCTCTCATCGCACACCAAATGTCCATTCAAGCAAGTCGCTTTTTCGTCAATTCAACATAAAGCCATTAAAACCTCCTCACCTGTTTCTCGACCTTGTTCTCCACACTTTCGTGACCTTCTCAACATTCTAGACCCTTCTCGTTTTTGATTTGTCCTCTTCTGACGATAGCCGTTGCAATATTTATTTATGGATCATATTAATATCGTAAATCCAATTGGTAAAATTCTTAGGACGTTATGAAAGCAACGCTATTGGTCAGCTACATTATTGTGGTGTTGTGTCTGGCAGCGTCAGTCAACTGCCTGACAATACCCTCGATGGTTTAATTCCTGACAGACCTTTTGGCTTGAATTTCGGAGAGCGTTGTATGAAGCACGATACGTGTTATGGTGCCTGTGGAGGAATTGCTTCTTGCGACCTGAAGTTCTGGCGGTGTGTCATGAGGTTATGTAGCAATAAGTTCAGGTGGTACAACCCGAAGAGATATGGTTGTTATCTAGTCGGAAGCACTTACTATTATGGTATTTTTAAGCTAGGATGGGTTAGATACCCTGTTCGCTGTTATACATAATAAACAAATTGCTATTCCCACCACATGCCAGGTTCTGGGCCGGAGATGAGTCAGGGTGAGAGAAAGTGAAGAAGAGTGTGAACAAGAAGAAATGTGTGAAATTGCTCTACTATATGTTTTACTTGGAAGATGAAGAAAAAGGGGAACGACGATTATTTTTGTATGTTGATAGGACAAGCACAAGAACAAGGGAACAGGACAAGGAAGGTATAGGGAAAAGAGGAAAGATGAATGCCAGGTATTACAGGATCATAGTACACACCTCAGCCCTTTCCCTATTCCCTATTCCTTCGCACCACCATTCCTCACCCATCATTCATTCAGGTACGATCAGTTTACGTTTGCCTGTTTCATCAAATCGAACTAATGATTCCTCAGAATGTTAGTTCAACTGACATTGGAAAAAAAAATAAAGAGAAAAGGAAAGAGCTAGGCTGTTGCAACATGCTACATGCAAAATGCCGCTTGGCCAACCAAGGTCAAAAGAGAAGGTCGCCTATAACGGTTTTCTTTTACCTCCACCTTGTTTCTTGATCTCATTCATTCAGTTCCATGGAGCGCACATTACCTTCTTTTTCTTCCAGTCAGGGTCAAGTCTCCTTCGTTCCCTTCCAATCAGCGTCAATTTCCCTATATTCCCCTCCTTGACTCACACCCTCATTCACCGCCTTCAACACTACACTCGCATCAACAATCACTTTTACATTTTTTGCATCCCATTTCAATTCTCCACTTGCGAGGCACTTCACACACCCATCAGTGTACACCCAAACTATATACTCTCTTTACCCTTTCAACAATGTCGCATTCCTACCTGCAACAAACAATACCCCCCTTCACCTTCAAATCGCGCCTTATCTCCCTTGGACGTCCTGGAATGGCTCCGGCTCATCTTTTCCTTCCTGGACCGCTTCGCCATTGCTGAGTCCTTCATTCGTGTCCGTCGTTAGTGGTTTCTCCTCAACCAACACCGACTGCACCGCGAGGTCGCTTGGGACGTCAATTGGGGGCCATCTCAACCAAAACATGCTCTGGCAAGTCTACCACGGTGCTGAGCGTCTAGTCTTGAATTGCTACCAGAACGACTTCAAATTACCTGCTTCAAATGGCGCGGAGCTTTGCATATTGCCGAGCTTGTAGCCCTACAGCGACCAGCTGATAGTAGACCCTTCCGCACTAGTATCGGAACACATCACGCCCGTCACAGAATTCACAGCTCGTTCCCTCCGCGGAATCATGCTCACAATTTCCAACAACTTTAGCGACGATTGGATACACAACCTTGCATTTCTATTGTCCCTCACCAGCCCCACCAACGACGAGACAGACATCTTGGGCGTCGCTGGATGTCGGCAAGATTCTCGCTATGTGCTTGCACCTCGAGTCTCTGCACTTGTCCAGTACGCTTCTGGTCAACTTTCTTGGGCCTTCGACGAGTTGAGGAATAGAAGCACTACCAGAACGCCTACCACTGCGATCGCTGGTCCTCAGGCAACCCTACAACTCCCAATTATGGATCGAGGATCTGTTGACGAATATCCCCGACTTCGAGGAACTCAAGCTCATCGGTATTGTAAAGGACGGTAACGGGTAGCTTTGATACTGACCGCGTTTTCGGGACTATGTGCAGTCTTGTTGCTCCCTCTCAAAAGCTCAACTACTCGACTGCCAAAGTGTTCCCGACTCAATACAAGCTGGAGGAGATGGTCTTTTCGGTATACCCCAAAGCCAAGTAGCGGAATCTACGACTCTACCACCTAATGCCCAGGATCACCGGTGGTTAGATGGAGCAGCCAGTCTTTTTGACGACCCTGGATATTCCCCTGCCTGAGCACGCCAACTGTCATTCTGACAGCTGGTTCTTGGATTACCAGGACGATATATCTATATACACGGCTCGACCTTTGCACCAACTCCTCTGTGAAGGATCGTGTCGAGAATCTAGACTAGAACAAGGCAGAGTTGACCTTTTCTTAGGCAGGATCAGGAAGAGAGGTGGAGGAAGAGAACAAAGGGAATAGGGAGTCAGATATGGGTTTTCAAGGGGTAGACAAAGTATTATTGTTACTCAGGGGAGAGGGTCGACGGCCAGAGTTGTAGGACCGCTGTTAGGTCCTCAATTGGTACGGAGGAGGGGGGGAAGGGGGTTGTAGGTTGGAGGGAGGGGAAGAGATAATAGCGTCCTAAAAGAATCACACAAAACGATACACTGCAGCGTGCCAGCGAAACTCTTGTCAATACTGCTCTCGTCCAAGTGATGTGTAAAAGGACCTTGTATTCATATTAATAAAGAGGGGGTTGTTACCTGCAGCGTGCCAGCGAAACTCTTGTCAATATTGCTCTCGTCCAAGTGATGTGTAAAAGGACAAAGAGCAGACAAGAGGGCTCGGCGCACTACTAATACTATGCCTACTAAAGAATATGACTGCTAACCTAAGGCATCGCCGCCACTGCCTAGCCACCACATCTTTTTGTAACATTATTCAAGTTACTAGGTAAGGATCAAACTATTTGGGGTACTATGGGATATATATATGTGATTGTGAGCAATGCTAATTAATTGTCTTGGGCTCATTCAACTGCGCCCAAGGATCAACTGATCGTGCCAAGGGTCGACCGATCGTGCCAAGGGTCGACCGATCGTGCCAAGGGTCGACCGATCATAGGGAACGACGCGACAGATCGACTCTGCCGCGCCTTAAGACCTCAAAATGCCTCACCTGACCGATTTCATGTATCTCCACCGCCGTAACATGCTTTATGCCACCTAAGAGGAGATACAGAACATGAGGATTGCCTACGGATATTTCTGCAGGGTTTGCTATCGCCTATAGGATCTTCACATCGCAATCCCATCCAACTGCATGTACCCCAACACCATGGAGCCGGTCTATTATCAGCTCTACAATCTGCAACCTGGACTGTGTTTGTTGTCAAGGCTGAGGCACTTGGAGTGTTTACGATTGGAATATCTAGGATTGAAATGCGACATCTCGGAGATCAACTCTGTCGATCGGGTCGGACTGTAGAGCATAGAGCAAATAGAAAGGCTTTTGTTGACAGGTGGGGCGACTGGATAGATACGGAGGTTTTTTGGAGGGGCTCATCAGAAGTACAACACCACTCCCAATGACATACTGTGTCTTAGAGCCAATAATAAAAAGGTGATGGATGATCTTAGGAAGTTGAGCCTTCTCAAGGATGTTTAGGAGATGGCGGAGGATATAGACACGGACGAGTAAGTTTATGTGCCAGAGCTCCAGCGACTTGCTCGTGATCGCTACATTGAGCAGTGTCCCGAGAAAGAAGTGAAGTCGTTGTTTAATGTTGAGTCAGGCGGAATAACAGCATGACTTTCTAGTTGGAGTCCAATTTGAACTGCAAATAAACTAGCGTGTCTGTGTTGACGGTAAAAAAAAGAGCTGTTATGATTTTGTTGTCCTTCCCAGTGAGTGGATCTGTATGCTGTATGTGACTTGGCTCGCTGCAGTATATCCATGTCGCCGATTTGAATGACTGCAAATCAGCAACAATAGAAATAAAAATAAAAAAAGTAAGACGCGCTTGTTTCGTGTCGAGACAAATAAAGCTTAGCTACTGTATCTTTTCGCCGAGGACTTGTCCGACGGCTTATAAACATTGTACGAGATGGGAAACCCACTTCATGTCCCGCCCATCCCACCCCATTTAGTTTAGCCTTCTACCTCGCAATGTTCCTACGCGGATGGTGGGATTCTATGTACTGCACTTTTTTTCTTTTATCTTTGGATTTGCTGAGAAAATAAAGATTGTCACGTTAGACATGAAGTGGGTTTCCCTCTCTTGAAGTACAATAGTAGTAATGGGCGATCGACGGTACCTGAATGTTTCACTTGATCCAGGAACTCGGTGCTTCATTTGTAGCTTTTCTTGATCAGTTGGCCTTGAAATGTGGTGCAAATCATTTGTGCTCACCACTAAAAAAAAAAAGTAAGCAATCTAACAAACAGATAGACCGCCAATGAGTAAGTGGTGCAACCTCCAGTAATGGAGGCCGTGACACGTTCCTACCAAGGCCGACTTCTGTTTTTCTTCTCACTCACAATAGCCGTTTCTCTTTTTTTTTTCATTCGAACTTTTTCATTCACACACTTCTCGTCCACCGCTCATTCATTTTACACCTGCTATCATTTCACGCACACTCTCTCATTCACACTCCACCTCTTTTATTACATTATCCCTTCATTCATCCACATTCAGTCACACATAAAAGGCATTTACGGCCTTCTTGTCCACACGGAGTAGTTGCCTTTGAGTCATTGACAGGATTGGAGCTCAATATTTCTCCAGGCACAATCAGTTATGCTCCGATCAAGGACAAAAAATGCAGATCAGCGTTAGGATGACTGACCGCAACTGACTGAACATCCTGGTATGAATATCACCAGCAAAAAAAAGGGGGTTTGACCTATAAGCGACGATGTTAACAAGCATAGCCTCCTTGTGGGAACTTAGTCTTACAAACCTGCAACCATAATGAATTTTGCCTATCAGTTGCCGTTTATTATGGCTCAAAAATGAAGGCGCCGTTGCTGTTGTTGTCTTGATAGATGCATCTTTTTACTGACCAGAATAAAAGGTAGCGCAGACACATGGCTTCTTGGCTGACTTTCCAACGAGAAGGCTGGGTGGCAACAGCAACCCTTGACCAATGGCTTGTATTCATTTTCTTTTTTCTTTTCAGCCAATTGGTCCCATGGCATACTCATATCGGCGAGGGAAAAAAACGACCCTGTTTCGTTACGCTTTACTTGTCATCCAAAAGAACACGAGCGCAACATGAAGTACAGCATAACAAAAAGCATTAACTTTAATAATAGGTAACAGGCAAGATGGGCTGCAAGAATCGATAATGCATCTCATCCTGATGAATATGTCCCATATGCTGCACCCACTTCTCCGACAATCGCGTCTTCACCGCCCTAGGATCGCCCACATACGCCATATCCTGACTATAATGCCGGATCGAGCGCTCGTCCAACTGCACCGTCAGGTTCCCCAGAAACTCGTCCGCCCTCCTCGACAGGATCGCCTCGGCCGCTTTCGAATACTTGCACTCGTAAATCGACAAAACTTCCAATCTCGAAAAGTTGATGGCTTCCAGGAGTTGGCAGAGACGCTGCTCGTCGTCAACGCGGCTGAGGTGAAGGCAGGTTAGAGGGATAAGGTGGAGGATTTGGGGGTAGTGAAAGTCGACTTGTTCGTAATATTCGATTTTTAGAGAGTCGATTTGGCAGGGGAGGGATTTTGTGATGAAGGCGTCTTGGAGGGGTTTGAGGTCTGTGTCGTGAGTTATCCCGATCGAGAGTGACTTGAGGGTGACAAAGTTGACGTGCTTGAGGAGGTCATCGATATAGTGGACTGAGCCAAAGTGGATCAGACGGAGGTGGGGCAAGGCGGCTCTCAGGGTGTTAAGAGAGTGGTTCGTTAACTTCACAAAGAGATCGATATGTGTCATTCTGGAAAAGACGGTCGTGGCAGAAAAGACTCCCAAAGATGGCAACTCGTAGGGCATGGGTCCCTCAAAACCAAACTTGGGCTCAGGGACCATCGCAAAGTGGTGCTGGTAAAGGTTATGACTCTCCAGGACCAGGACCTCCAGCATCGACAATGACCGCTGTACTGTATCTTCCAGAAGACGACCGTCAAAGACAACTGTGGAACCGACTATCTCCTTCATCGTCCTGGATGTCGTAATGGCAGTGGGGCAGGTTTTGTCGAGGTCGAAGCTCCTGTACATGCATTGCAGGTGAAGGCTCTGCAGGTCCTTGAGTGAACATATCGCATGGTGAAGCCTCTGGCCAAGGTGGCCAGAGTGGCTACCAGAGCCAAGGCGTAGGTCAACAAGTCCCTGGCAGCTGGAGACGATCCTTGCAAGGCGGTAGTCGTCCTCGAGACGGATCGCTCCAAAGAAATGAAAACTTCGTAGAGAAGATCCCATCTGTGCCGAGGAGAGGTCTGGTGTCCTTGCTCCTAGTAGACTGAGGTTGGCAAAGTGGACAGCTCGGAGCTTCTTGTTCGACAAAAGATCGAGGAGAGGGTAGTACTTTCCTCGGCTGAGTCGAATTGCTTCCCAGGGTGTAGGTGATCCTTCGCTGTCGTCGAAATCTAGATGAAGAACCTTGATGTTGGTCTGAGAAATCTTGTCAACAAGGTACGCCAGGTCTGGTGACCAAAAGTTCCACGCGAGGGTGACGTGGAGCTCGTTGACAGTAGATCCCTGGCTGACGAGGCGTTTGAGAAAGTCCTTGGCAGCGATGGTGGATTTGAGGGTGATGGTGACTTTACGGAAATGACGGTCATAATGACCCTTGGCAGTCTCGACTGACTGGATAAAGGTAGCCATATTGGCGGTCCGATACTGCTCTCCGTAATGCTTCAAGCAGACCCACTTGACATGACCCGTGTCGGTGGTAGCCCGGTAAAGGTCGCCCAAGACCTTGTCCTCGTCGTTGCTCCGTAGGAAAGTGTGAAGTCGTCGCAAGTCAGCGCCCTCGAGTGCAGCAATCGTTTGGAGGTGATCGCTCAGTTGGCTCTCGGCATCGCTCCACTGGGTGCTGGTGTCGCTCCTCTGACTGCTGATGTCGCTCCTCTGGCTGCTGATATCGCTCTTCTGACTGTCGGCATCGCAATCTTGCCCCAGTCCCATGTTGACCTGGTATTCCTCCAGCGTGTTCTTCAGGAAATCAATCGAGCTATCGATCGACTCCAGATGAGAGTCGGCGAACAAGCTCACCTCTTTCATGACAGCCCTGACTCCTCCGTGAACCAGACCAGCGACCGGGGCGACTGCACTCGCCACCTCCAGACAATGCTTCAAGATCCTGAGTGTGCCCAGGAGAAAGGCACCGTACTGCTCAAAGAACTCTGTCGGCCGAGACAACTCGTACCCCCTGTGGTCCGTGAGGTGAACCCTGTTCTTGAACCGAGCATCCCTGTCCAGTGGAGCAACAAACTGGTTTGAGGAGGGGCGGCGATGGTCGCTACATTCGCACAAGAAATGCAGGCGATACTTCCTGCCCAACAGGTTGGTCGGGTCCCACTTGTTCGTCGGCTCTGGCATAATCACAAACAGGCGTGGGATCGGGTACTCGTGGAGCTCGTAGTTCTGGACCAGAATGGCGTCGACCTGTCGTTGGGTGATAATGAGGCGGTCGATCATCTGCTTCTGGTTCTTGATGATCTGCTCCTCCCGCTCCCTTGCTTCCGTTTGCTGCTTGATCATCTGCAACTCCCTGTCCCTCGAGGCGAACTGCTCCTTTCTCACTTCGTACAGATGGTCGTTCAGATGGTGTAACGCATGAGCAAGTTGGCCCCTGGGGTGAGCCAATGAATGAGCATCGTCAGATCCGTCGCACTGTAACTGTAAACTGGTTGTGATGTATGGAGAGTAGACGGTCGTCTCTTGAGCTGTAGCGACGGATTGGAGGTATCCTGGAGAATGTGCAAAGGTGGTGTTGGTAGTAGGCGAGACAGAGAGCGACGTTGTTGTTCTGGTGGTGGTTCCAGAGTCAGTTTGGATGGAAAGAGTTTGGACCGAGAGGTCTATTGAGTCGCCAGGGCAGACATGATCTGGGTGCTCGTCGAGGGATATAGATATGGACCTGTCGGAGATACTGCTTGGCGGGGTCGGGGGCACAGGCACCGAGGTTGTACAAATAACATCGATGATATCGTCTGGATGATGTGCAATCCTCCTTGGCTCGTATCTATCCATCCCAAAGCATTCCCCACACAAACAAAAAAAAACAAAGAAGTATCAGTTTGCATGAAATGAATGCAAAGAAACGATATTCTCGCATTTGTTTGTACCCTTTTTGCTTCCTTCGTACATATCTGTCAGCATGTACTGCACATCCAACATGCTTCTTTTCTTGAAAACTTACATATTCTCGTTCGCATCGCGCATAAAGTTCAGGACCACGCCATCAACCTTGAATCGGCGGGCATCGGGGTAGGTGTGTTTGATGTCATCCAGGCAGCTGTAGCGTTCGCCTGTTGCCTTGTTCTTGTGGACTGCCAGGAACTCGACTACCCTCTCGTGGCGGAAGCGCTGGAAATGTTTTGGTGACATGGGTTGGGTGTGTTATTAAGAGTTGGGGGGTGAGAGAAAGACGACACAGCGGGATCCTCTTGTAAACGGAATATAGGGTTGCGTTCGGATGAAGGCACTTAATGTCTTTTTTTCTGTTCTTGTTTGTGAACTCAAAAATGAGGGTTGGAAAAGTCAAAAAGGGAAGAAAAGAGGGGGGAAAGTAGGAAAGAGCGACAAAGAGCGAATGAGGGCGGTGAGGGACAGAGACGAAAGGAGGGAAAAAGGTAAAAAAGGAAGGGAAGATAAAAGAAAGAAAAACAAGTGTGGATGACAGACGCATGAATGCAGGATCCGAAAGAGAGAAGAAAAAAAAAGGGGACGATGGGAGATGGGGGAAGGAGTGACAAGAACAAGAATAAGAACAATAAAACAACAACAACAACGTCAACCAATACAAACACAAACACAAGCACAAACACAAACACAAGCATAAACAAGACTGACCACAACAGCAAACAGGACTTGTCCGAAGAAGCAAGGGCAGGGGATAGTGAGGGATGAACAATGACGTCCAAAGGCAGGCGGGTCGTGCCAGGAGAAGTAAACAACAACAACAGAGCAACAACGAAGAGGTGAGATGAATTGAGTTTTTTTTTCTTTCTCGCTCTTGCTTGGCTTGTGATTCACGCCCACCATTCCCGTCGATGGTGTTCATGTTGTCGATGATTGGATCTTTCCACACACATACACGCACGCACCCCAAATACAGTCTCTTTCTACTTTTTTTTTTTTTTTTATTGTTTGTTTGTTGTCGCCTCCGAGTCGTCTTTTTTTCGAGACGTCATACGTAACACCGCAGCATGGTCTATGTGTGGTTGCCGAGACTAACTCTTTTTCGACTTGGTGCTACTTGGGGACCATCTCGTAAGCACACCACGAAAAAATATTCCTACTCAGGTCCGAACCAAGTTTGACGACTATTTTTTGTCGCCCCTCCCCTGGGCCAACAAAAAAAAAGCACTTCATTTTGACGAATGGTGCCAATGGTCCTTCTCATCATGCTAACAAAAACATAGGGTATGACCTACATACGATCTTGGCAACACGTTTAATCCAAAAAAGAAGATTGTTCAGTAGGAGGATGTAGGTCCCGATATTCTACGCGCTCGTAGGAGAATCTGCGCATTCACTGAGGAAAAAGGCGATTCGACGCGTTGACTGAACACTCGGCATGAATCAATCGCCTTTTCATGACCCGTCCGTCACCTTCCTGCCAAGCTACCACAATTGCTCGCCAGCTAAGGCTGTTGAGTACAAAACAGGTGCCCCACTTCCTTTCTGTGCGTTTCATCAAGTGCAGCATGCTCCCCAAACGTGCCTCTCTCGTGTCCTCTATTCCATGCAATGCACCTTGAGTCGTTGTAAGACTGCACTCCAATCCTCCCGCCCTTTCCCGCTCTGAAAACAAAAGGTCTTATGCAGAAAAGCGACCCGCTTGTCTCTTACTCTGGGGGACATGCACGCAATACATGGGTCAATTGAATGTTACTGCATCCTGCACTTCTTCTCTTGATCTTGTTTCCTGGGTGCTGCAAGTGCTAGTACCACGTCTAAGAGCATGATGACTGAACATGAGGTCGTTGAAGGATAGAGTGAGGTGAAAGTGTCACCCGTCACGACTATGTTGCTGTCGCGAGCAATTTGGTTTGAGGATTGAGTTTTTGTGTGTAGACTGGTCAGAGTACTAAGGGGTAGGTGGTGGGGGTGTTGTCTGTGGGTCTATTACAAGAGGGAACTGTCTTCGTTTTGTCCTTTGCCATTGCAATTACATCCTGCTCGAGTCGGCTGTGAAGTAGATTTCTTTCACCCATGCCATGGTCGTCTTTCTGGATCAACCAGAAACAACGGGTTGTTCCATCAACCTTGGATCACGATGAGGATGAGGATGAGGATGAGATCCTAAATGCCAGAGAAGTGACGTCGCTGTTGGCGACAATGCTCTTGGTCTTGTGGGCGAATGAGCGGGAGGGATCCTTGAGTGGTCGGTAGTGAGGGTCGCCTTCTTTGGTGAGTGGTTATGGAAAGGGGGAGAAGAAAAGGAAAGAATAGAAGAGAAGGAAGGCAGGCAAGGGAAGGCGGGAGGAGGGACGTGCTCTCATTTTTGGAATATTTCATTGTACGAGAAACCACATTATGAGACACTTCTTTCCCCCTTCTTCCCGCCGGCTCCATCTTTCCACATGAACATTTTTCCTTTTTGTCATTCAGGGGTACACACTCCACACATAATGCACACCCACGCACGCACCAACAAAAAAACAAAAGCACTCCTCACCCCTGATCACCACCATTCTTCTTATACACACAACTCAACAACCTCCCTCTTCACCACCATCCCCGTCATCAGATCTGGGCGGCCCCACCGCTCCCTCACGGCTGCTCACCACTCCAATCCTCGTACCTTTACCTCACTCTTCCTCAGCAACCATGCCCTACGCCCCACCCCCCATCATCAACAGCACCAATTAGCACTGATACTCCTTACCACGGATTTTCCAAATATCCTCTTTTCATGAGAACGACAAATACACAAGCGCGTATCAAAACATTAGTGAGGAATAAGTGGTTGCACGGTTGAGGTGCCATATGAAGCACTTTATTCGAGTTGTTAACACTGACTATCATTTTCCTTTACGATTTTTTGTGGCATGATCGCTGTACTCGGTAGGAATGTATGTTTATCACCTTCACTTGCAACCCTCCATCGACCAAGTACGATGCAAATACCTATACAAGTATCCGCGGCAACCAAGTATAACGCACACATTAATCGCCTGCAGTCATATACCTGTATAGATATCTCTGTAGTCGACCTGGTCAAGACATCCAAGTTCGAGAGCGCCGGCTCTTCAGGAGAAGCGTAACAGGTGTGCGTACTGTTCACTGTCAAATATCCTGTGTAAGTATCCTCCGCCAGTCAGGTGTTATATGAGACGAAGCGTTTATGCATAGGTGTATGTCTTCTGGGATGAGGCTCCAATGATGCACGGAGAATGTCTTTGAGGCAATCGATCGATTTGTCCGTCATCTTATGAAGATGCCGAGGATTCCAGAGATTGACAGGGAATGGCAAACATAAATTTGATAAATAAGATTTTCTTTCACAAATAACGGCTTCCTTTGCATATGCTCCATTTTTTATTCTTTGAGGTATCATTGCCTTGGGTGTGCATCACATAGTTCGAAAGAAGTGTTGGTGGAGAGAACTTGCATTTCCAATTGCCCGTGAGAAAATAGAGTCGCTGTAGGTTCAAAATAAATCCTCGATGACGAGGTGCTGACAAAAAAAGGGGTTCCAATATGCTGAAAATATCACTTTGTGTGGTGTGGACCTTCCCTCGCGCTTGTGCCATCTTGAAAGAGAGAACAACCACCTTTCGTCATATCTTTTTGTCTGTACAAGTGACAGGCACTGCCTCAATGCTTGCACACTCGGGTGATGTTTGGACCATTTTGGACCAGTGTTGTTTTTGCTTGTGTTTTCGTTGTCGCCTTCAGAAAAAAAAGAAAGTTTCGATTGTGAGGTCAATGCTCACAAGCAAGATGATGTAATTTGTTTGTTTATTTGTTCTCCCTCTTCTCTCTTTTCTTCCATGCACTTTTTCCACCCATCCTTCTTCTTTTCCCTTCACTGTCACCTCTCTTCCCTTCTCTCTTCCAAACAATCCCTCTACTCAAGAATCCATCCACAAGGACAACAAACCCAAACAGAGACAATACTCATCGCATATCACTACCCAACATACTAGAGATCCTTCAGGCTATTTCGCATTCTACAATTTGCAGGAGCGACGCTTTCGTATGTCGACAATGGTACCATCTCAAAAATCGTCTCCCTCGCAGTGTCTATTGGCGCAGCGCCTGGTGATAGAAAAAGCAGGATCATGCCTCAAAATAGGCTGGCAGAGGCAGCTCGGATCAAGTTCTTCTTTTCATCTGCTGTTTCGACTGATTTTGGATCGTTCCGCTCACAACGGTGGCGCTGCCCAGAAACTTCTAGCACTGGCTCTGGAAGAATTCCAACAGCTGGCGGAGAAAACATACCACCAACAATAGTGTCATTTAACTGCACGTGCACGGTGGTAAGGGCAAACAACAGCCCTCTACAAGTTCAGCCCTCTCCAGGAACTGTACCTCGATACCAGCTCAGACGAAAACATCCACGCAATCGAGACCTGTCACAATTCGATGACTCTTTCTCATTGCGCTCAGTGGTCAAGTAGCCCTTTGGTCACATGCAAGGCCGCTTCGCCAAGAGGCTAAGATCGAAGGCAAAAATACCTACTTTTTTTTCTTCCTCTCCCGCACATGTTTTTCTGTTACCTCCAACACACATGCAGGATGCTACGCAACATCAACTGCAGGAACCAAAAGTCAACAGCAGTGACCAATGCCTCCACCAATACGATATTCGCTCAGCATAACTGCCATGAACACCAGCATCACGGACAACCGGTCGAAAATTGCACTAGAGAGTGTAGCAAGCGAATGGGGGCAACATAGAACCGGCTCGGCGACAAAATGGAAACGCTAAAAAAGATCGACAGCGTTAATAGCAATAAAAGCAGCGCCATCGCGTCAGAGGTCCTGAATCTGGGGCTGTTGCGAGATGTATGGAGATGGTCAATGAGATGGTGGAGAAGGCGGATAGCGAGTTTTGTCTAATGCCGGCGTTTGAGAGGGTGTTCGTACAATTTTGGCCATTCTGCTGCGACAAAGTCGAGGAAGAAGTGACCACGCCATTTCGTTAGATCGTCCTTTACACAGCGGACAACAACATGCTCGGCACCGAGGATTTGGTCCAGTGCGTTTCCTGGTTTATGAAGTAGCTAGTTCCTGTCCCATGAGACCCCCCGGTACACTCGGTGTTGGTTGAAGAGAACCCAATAACGACGGACACGGATGACAGACTCGGCAATAGTGACGGGTTCACGAAGGAAAAGATGACCTGGGGCAGTCCCGGGACGTCCAGGGGAGATAAGGCGTAATTTGAAGGCGAAGAGGGTTTTGTTTGTTGCTGGTTGGTTTGTGGCATCGCTGAAAGAATAAAGGGAGTAAATAGTTTGGGTGTATAGCAATGGGTGTGTGGAGTGCCTCAGAATAAAAGTAATGCGGAGTGTTTAAGCAAGATGCGGGACCGCTCCGGGATGTAGTTTTGGATCCGTCGAAAGGATGTCAAATCCAGTCATTGCGGATCAGCGATTTGAACGATTATGATTACTGCCTTGTCCACAGTGCCAGGATCCTCCCCCTGCAGCGCCTCCACCTTAAATATGTCGCTTCGTTCACATTCGTCGCGATTATAGACGCAGTCGACCTATTACAGTCACAAGTTATATCCATCCAAGAAGCTTTATACGACGGAGCAGCAGAGGCGAATCTGGCAAGGAGAAGTCAAGAGTTTCCACAGCCGTTAGTCGTGCAGCTGGATCTACATTCTCAGAGACTGTAAGAAAGGCATGGTGGCGTTGCTGTGAGACTCGCATTGAGGACAGAGAGATGTTTGGCTGCGAGTCGTGTCAAGCTTGTGGGGGAGATTATATCGACGCGTCGATCCAAGTCTGCCAATGTATCTCTGCTAATAAACGAAAAGGCCCACGGGTTTTGTAAGATGCTCTTTTCCTATTTTCCTCCCTTATAGTCCCTCTTGCCTAATCTGCTGTCGTCTTTGTCTCTTTTCATCTTTCTACAATCTCTCGCTGCTTCATTCCCCATCACACCAAAACATAGTAACAAGGACAGGTGCCTACAAGATGTCAGGTGTTTTGTTTTCGTGCAGCGCGGCTCATAACAAGCACGTCAGGAACGATCCATGAACCGAAACCGATAGCACAGTTGTTGAATTGATTGTTCCTGAATCGTGGTTCGCGTCAAGGATAACAAAATGACACTTCCGTTTTTGCCACGAAGGAATCCATGTGTGTCTACCTCACATGTATTTTTTTGCTTGTAACTGCCACCGCCTACAAGGTGATGGTCGATCGCAACAAACAAAGGGATCACAGTGCTTCCGAAAACCCCTGCGTGAGCACTAAAGAGAACAACTGTGAGTGTGGGCTATGCCGTTGCTCACATTTGATCGGAGAGGCAGTGCAATGCTCATTTACCCGCAGAAGGAACGATGGGTTATGACGCCTTGCTCTTCTCCCTTCTGCTCTCTTTTACACGCCGCACAGAGACACTTTAACTTCTTTCTTTTCTTTCCCTCTTCTCTTTCTTTAGTATTGTCTTTCATTCAACCTCCCCACATTTACCCTCACTCCCATTCTGTTAAAGAGCATTCGCTTCTTCGCCATCACATTACTTTTATTCTTTCATTCCTTCATTCCTTCATTTTCATATTTCGCCATCATCTTTTCCCTCTTACTATCATTTCTCAACGCTTGTCCTGTCGAAAAAAAAAAAAAAAAAAAAAAACTTAATATCTCTGTACCCTCATTATTCCCAACACAAAAACAAAAAAAAATGCTTTTGAGGCTCAGTCCTTTCGCCAAGCATTCCCAGTCACTGGTTCCCTCAACACCTTCCTCATCAAGTCACCCTACCTCCCCTCTGGACGTCCCTGAACTACTACAACACATATTTTCCTTCCTCAACCAACGTGCACTCAGGACCGTCTTCCTCGTCTGTCGAAAATGGCTCTATCTCAGCCAACACCGTCACCGTCGTGAAGTCATCTGGGACGTCCGCTGGGAGCACTCTTCACCCTTCAAGACTCTCACCCGACTTGGCGGCGCCGAACGTCTCGTCCTTCATAATGGGCAGTGGGGGTTAAGCTGGATCAGTCTCGACCTTCGAAGTATCCTTCAAGGCATCCAGGCCGCCAAAGGATACAATCCGTTCGTACTTTTAGGAATTACTGTCGGTACCTTGGTCAAGACTGTCAAAAGATCGCACCCTATCAATGGATTTATTCATCCTCTCCGCGAATTGGTCTTTTCTACATGGGACATTAAGGGTGAATGGGTTAATTCACTCGCCTTCCCAGAGACCTTGACAAGTCTGAAGATGGAAAAGCTCTGTGAGTTTCGTGTTGATATCATAAGGATCCTTGTCGTCTGTCCCCTCCTAGAGTCTCTGGACTTGTATTTTGACATGTGTGTCTGGGGTGAAGGCCCGTGCACCGACCAAGGCAAGGATGCCCTCCCGGCTCGTCTACCGCTCCGATCCCTAGTTCTCACGAATCTTAATGCTCCACAATCCTGGCTCGAAGATCTGCTCACTCTTACACCCAACCTCGATACCCTCAAGCTCATTGATCATGACAAGCACTACATTAATCATACTAATCGTACTTGGGAATATTGGGACTGGGACCGACTCCGCAACCACCTCCAGTCGCTCTCGCTGCCCCGCAAGCAACTCTTCTACGGGGAGTATTGGTACCACAATAATGAGCTCGCACCACTCGAAGCCGACCTGACCATCTGTCCCAAAGCGCAAGACCACACCTTCCTCTACTACAATTTGACGCCAACAGTGCTCACTTTTTTGGATGAACAGCCGGTCTTCCTGACGTCGCTCGAGATTCTTCAACCCAAGTATACACACTGTGTTTATGACGGGTGGAACCTGCACAACAAACTCCCGTACACAGCCCGACCTCTCCACCAACTACTCTGCGAGTGCCCCAACCTTCGACACCTCAAGACACTAAAGATGCACTACATGACTGATTTCATGGACGTGCATCGGCGCATCCCTATATATCCCGTACTGTCATCAACCGACCAGGGGCAGGAGGGGTGGCTAGAGGATGTACAAGAAGCTCTACCCCCAAACAACGTGCCTGGGATCTGGATCTGTCGCGGACTGGAAACACTCCACTTGGAACTACACGTGCACGACCAGGCTATCGAGAAGGGCAAGCACCATTCCAGGATTCTCTACGGATACATCGCCACTGTTTGTCCACAGCTCATCAATCTTCGGATCCGATTCCCACATTTCTGCCAGTCCCTAAGTATAAAAAGCTGGTCGTCCAAATACGAGCCCTATGTTCTCGAGGGAGGGCTGTGTTTGCTTTCGAAACTCCAGCACCTGGAGCGTCTTTGGATCTCGCACGGGATCTTTGTCTGTGAGAACCCCTCAGAGTTGAACTGGTTGGCGAAGTTTGGGAGGACGGAGGAGCATCGGGCAAGGAGGCGAGAGGTTGTTGATGGGTGGGGATCTAGGCTGAGAGGGGAGGCAATGTTGGAGGCAGATCGTTTCGAGAAATGTGCAGGCATCGCGGGTGAGATACTTGGTGCAAGAGCCTTTGATGAGGAGGTGGTGACGGGATTGGAAAATCTAGGTCTTCTTCAGGACGTGGTGAATACGGTCGCAGAGATGGATGCTGACGAGTACAAGATATTACCGGAGCTGTTCAAGGTTGCCTGTGGTATTCATCATGAGCGGAACCCAGAGAAGGAGATAAAGGCCTTGTTCCACAGCCCCCCAGTCGGACTGAAGGCCAAGTTGTTGAGCAGGGTTTCTACTTCTTGATTTTGTTAAATAATAAACATTGCGCGCTGAGCATGCGATTTTCAGTGTAAAGAACAAAATTCTTACTGTCATTGGTGTTGAACGTGAATGTTGTTGATTTTATTTGTGTCAATCACCATAGGCATCTTTCCTGCCGTCACACTCTTAGGCTGCTGAAGCATCTTCATTTCAAGGGATGATTGCTTTAGTTTAGGTAAGGGGCGGAAGTTGCCAGGCTGCGTATGTCGGAACCTGACAGCCACATACACAATAGGCCTAGGTTCTGGAGATCACTGAAGACCTGCTGAACTCTCAAGAGTCATGCTGGAGGAACAGGTTCAGTGACGAATGGCCCCTCGTCTTCTTCAGGCTTTTCTTTTTCAGCGATTCATTCGACAACGTCTGTGTCCGAGATGGTTGCGACAGGGTGATCAGTCACAATTTGATCGTCCGTCTCTGACTCCACCATCATCATAGCATTCCAAATGTCGATGAGATGGAACCAACCTTGGCCCTAATTCGCGTCATCGTTCTAATCCATATCCACACCCGATCAATAGACATTATCGCGGCGACCGTGCCGTGCTGGTTCTGGCTTTATAACAACGGCGGTTGTACTGGTGGTCACAGTTGCCGGCGAGGACCCCGTATCTGCTTGCGGCCAAGGTTCCGGCAATGACTCTACCACCATTTCTTTCTTAGCGGAGCCTGCTACTATTGCTTTATTATTGCATCGGCACGATTATTTATGAACCGCATCAACGAAAAAAAAACAAACATAATGAAAAAAACAAAACAAAAAGGTATTAATCAGTTGCAGCAGTGCGACTAAAAACACAATTTAATATAACCAAAAATAACAAAAAGATCTATAATGGTCACTCCTGCTTCTTGGCTTGCGGAGTAAACCCTAAAACAACGAACCGTTGATGTCCAATCATTGGCACTCCTGAACTTGAACCCGATTCCGAACCAGGAACATGGGCTAACGCAGATTCCGGTGCATGTACAAGCGGCTGAGGCGACAGGCTCCCATCATCTACTCACCCTTACTCCTACTTCTGCGCTGGCAACTTGCAGCATTGTGATTCATTCTGGCCACTCTCCTCCCACTAGTACCAGCAACCAGGGCCAGAAGTATCACTGGTGCCAGCATTTCGTATGGCGCCATATCCATCGTGGCGAGGAGGAGGGCGATGGAGATCCGAGTAGAAATCAAAGAGAAAGAACGAGCGCGGGAAAAAAGGAGAAAGAACGAAGAAAGTGAAAGTGAAAGTGATAGCAGTAGGAGAGTGAAGGAGAGTGAAGTGATAAGGTAAAATGCAAAGAAAAAAAAGAGCGAGTTGGAAGAGTGTGTGGAGCATTAAGAAAGGAAAAAGGAGGGAAAAAATAGAAACAACGTGGATGATTTGTGCTCTGCATGCACGATAGGAAATAAAGAGCGCCCTTAAAAAACTCCAACATGCATGCATGGATTAATCGACCAAGCTCGTGCATCCCTCCATGTCTGGACACCAATAGAGAGTCATTTGCCCGCCCTTGCACAGCCAGCTTTCTTGTCGTCATGATCTGAAGCGGGATTGATGAACGAATCTAACGAGGGAACGGAGAGTGACAAGCGCACAGTCGACGGCCTGAACAAGAAAACAGGGGTAAAGAAGAAAAAAATATACGGTGCGTACAGTGGCATCACTTTGCTGCCAAAACAATAGTACCATCCACCTCATCCATATCATGGCGATCCAACACCGAGCTCAGACCGTTGAATACAAAGCTGCTTCTTGTTTACAAAATACGGCCAATGGATAGAATATGTTTACAACCATTTTTCTATTCATTACGAGGAAGAGGGAAGGACGGAAGCGAAATATTCCCTCTCGATATCACCTTTGCTCATAAAACGAACGCGCCCACCCGCCAGTCGTTCCGAGGATCCTTGCACATCTCTAGAGTTCGCCTTATAAACGTCTCCAAGACCCTCGTTGGGTTCACGCCCCATCTGTACCTCCAACCCGTATGTAAACTCGGCACTCCTGGCGGCTAGAACGGCCTCAGTTTCCCAATCGTAGTAGTAGTCGAATATCGCAAGGACTTGGAGCTGAAGCAGGTTGAGTTGTTGGAAGATGGTAGCCATGCTAGAAGCACCCAGCTCAGACACGTGTAATCGTTTCAGGGGTAATGCAAATAGGTTCTCGCACGCAACCGTCGTCAAGTCGGTCGCATCAATCCTCAATGACTCGATCTGACAATCTACCGACGAGAGAGTGTCCGAGTCCCATAATGAGTCCAAAGCAACGTTCTTGATATCCTGCAGATGAAGGGATTTGAGGAACTTGAGGTCAACAAGAGAGGAGAGGCTATAGGTGTCCTCCCCGATAGCAAAGTGGATTAAGGCAAGATGCGGGATAATGGACTTCATCATCTCCACTGAAGCTGCGGGCATCCGTATGGTGAGATCCAGGTGTGTCATTCTGGCGAACGGCAGGCGACCTGATGGCATTGCAAGTGGAGAGGAAGAACCAAGAATGTATTCCATGTCCAAGGTTGGGTTTGTGCCGGTCCAGTTGCGTGCGATCAGAACCTCCAGCGTGGCTGCCGACCTGCGAATGGCATCTTCGAGGAAACCGTCAGGCCCAGTTGGGTATGCCATGCCAATGTCGACGATCTCTCTGAGCGCAACAGTGCCATATGGAACTGCATTTGTTTTGATGCTGTTGATCCACATGCCCTCAAAAAAGCGGTACCGGCGTAGAACCTGCAACTGCGAGAGAGAGCCAAGGACTTTATCGACTCTGGACATGTCCTCGCCTGCCCAGAAAACGGAGCCGAGAATCAGTTCAACAAGCTGAGGGGATAGAAGTACGATCTCCGCCATGCGATGGCCATCGATAGAACGGAGTCTTCCTGCAAAATGGAGCCTTTGAAGGAAAGAAGGACTGTGGTCGTGCGGGAAAGCGGATGTTCGGGGTCCTATGAGTCCGACGTCGGTGAAGATGAGTCTACGGAGCTTTGTGTTGGAGAAGAGGCTGAGGAGTGAATGGTATCTCCCTTTGCCTGGACGCATTAGCGACACAATCGGACGCTGTCCCATTGTCTCCTGCAGATCCAGTTCCATGTCCTGGACGTTCGACTGAGCAACCTTGTCGACCAACATGACTAGATCAGCTGAGCCAAACGACCAATTCAGTGTGACCTTGAGGCCAGTGACTGCAGGCGCGTGTAAGGACAGTCGATAGAAAAAGTCGTTGGCGGCTGTGGTTGAATTGAGGGCAACGGTGACTTTGCCAAAGTGGGGATCGTAGGTGCCGCCATTCGATTCGACACATTGAAGAAATGACGACATAGCGGTCTCGCGGTAGACTTGCCGGTAGTGGTCGAAGCAGACCCACTTGACGTGTCCAGTTTCGGTGGTGATCCTGTACAGATTACCAAGAACCTTGTCCGCATCTTTGGTCCGCAAAAACGAATTCAGCCGTCGGAGATCGGCTCCTTCTAGTGCAGCAAGGCCACTGAACGTGTCATCCTTCTGGGTGCTAGTAGCACTGCCAGCCGTCAAATCCGCCACTGCATCTCCCCCCAGGTTCTGCTCCAAAAAGTTGATCGACATGTCGACTGCCTCCATGGCGCTCTCCGAGATCGACACCACAACATCCGCAATATCCTGGAGGTCGCTCTCAGCCCGGGATACTGTAGGAGCCACCACCGCCGCGACGGCCAGACAGTGCTTCAGGATCTTTAGCATACCAAGAACATAGGGACCATAATGATCGAAAAACTCGGTGGGGCGGGAGAGCAGGTATCCTTCATGCTTGGCGAGGTGGATGCTGTTTTTGACAGGGATTGGGGTTACTGAGGCAGCATTGTTTAGTCGGCCCGAAGAAGCACCATGAGCGACGTCCGAAGTGCAGTCTTCGCCACACTCGCACAGGAAAAAAAGTCGAAATCGCTCCTTGACAAAGCTCCTCGGATCCAACTTCTCGTACGAGTCCGGTAGGATGACAAACAAACGCGGGATAGGATACTCGTGGAGCTCATAGTTCTGTACCAGGATCGCCTCGATCTTCTGCTGGGCCACGATCAGTCGGTCAATGGTCTGTTGCTGCATCCTGTGTAACGCCTCGTCTCGCTCCTTGGCTGCCGCAAGTTCCTCCAGCATCATCTCCTCTCGCTCCTTGGCCTGGGCGAGTTGCGTCAGCGTTTCATTTTGTTGCTGGACCATCTGGAAGAGTTGTTGCATAAGCTGCATGTGGTGATCAGACTGGTCGTCTGTCGAGCGGTCGATCTTGGTTTGGATCATTGAGATTTCTGTGGCAATTGAAGACAATACTGCCATAGGGTGGACAGTGGAGGAGGAGGGTGGCACGAGGGCGTCAGAGCGGACTGAGTCGGCAATTTGGATTGAAAGATTCAACAATGAAACCAGGCTATCGTCTGTGAGGGATTGGTGTTTGGCGTGTATAATGTCTGAAGGGTCGTCCAAAACAACGTCGATGATCTGGTCCTGGTAGTGAGCGATCCGCTTAGGTTCATACCTATGATTTCCAGTGGGATGAGCAAGAGTTAGCTATGACTAGTGCAGTGTTGTCAAGATTCATACCATTACTCTTTCCTTAGTGCTTACTTCTTTCCGTCCTCGTCTGTCAGGAAATTGAGTGTCACTCCGTCCAGCTTGAAACGGATGGCACCAGGGAAGGTCTCTTGGATATCATCGATTCGACTGTAGGGTGGGCCATTTCCGTCTTGACAGACAGCCAGCGTTTCTACCAGGTCGTCGCCGACACGGAATTGTTGAAATGGTTGCATGGTATATTTTTTGTAGCGAGCTCGCTGAGTTTTGGGCGGGGGAAATTGATGAGCTGAACGGGTTGGCGAAAGATTAGAGTCTGGGAAGGGGAGATGAGTAGACGATGGTGATGTGAGGGGGGGGAAGGGAATAAAGAGTGAAAGAAGAAGGGAAAAAAAATAAAGGAAGAGAGCAGCGTGAGAGGCAGAAAGAAAAAGAAAAAAAACAAAGGAAGAAAGAAGAACGGGATAGAAGAAAGGAACAGGCGCAGTGACTTGCTTAGCATGCATGCATACAAACAAATTGGAAGTGCGAGACAAGGGGAAAAAGAATACTCCGATGCTGCATACATTGACCAATCAAAACTGCGATCGAAAAAGCAGGTACAGTACCGAGCAAGTAAAGGATCGGGAGGGATCTGTTCACAAACTAAAGCCATGGCCAGGAGCAGGTAAAGTGGACATCAATACCGACATAGCGCACCTTTATCCCTCTCCGAGAACTGAATCTGTATATCGCCTTTGTAACGCACGACTACGTCAGTACCTTCCCCTTCCATCTTCCTCCACAAAGATGACCCTCAAAGTTAGTTTCTCATATAGCGTGTCTTGCGACCTCTACAGGATCCTCAGGACATGCCCGCTGTTGGAGCACTTCTGCGCAGAAGCACTCCCATGAAGCATACCAAGACAAGATCTGCCATCTGATCCTGTCGCGGCCCGGAAACACTCCACGTTGAGCCCAATGGTAAATTCGACCCTCGGGTGTTAACGGACACCTGCCGCGTCCTGCCACAGCTCCAGGAACTTGTCATCATCCGCCCTGAGCATTATGGGTCGGTACTCAGATTGTTTCATTATACGTCAGCCGCGTTCTGGTTGAATGGAGGCGGCCTTTGTTTATTGTCACTGGTGCAACGTCTGGAACGGTTGTGGATTAAGTCTGAGGGACGCGATTTCATGATTTCGGAGGATACAGTGACGCGGATGGTACTTAGCTGGATCGTCCCCGACACCTCTTGGTTGTTGTTGTTGTTGTTGGTAAGAAGCAGGGACAAGGCAGAAAGTCGGGAGTTCATGAAAAAAGGCGAGGACTGGGGCACACCGGTCATTGTAGACGGCACAGCGAAAACCAAGGACACGACGACCTCCAGTAAACGCAGAGCCGTCGGCCGCAGCCATATGGTACCAGGTGCGACGCTTGGGACTCTATCGGGATGTTGCAGGGATGGTCAAGGAGATGGACGCAAAAGGGCTCAGGACTCTGCCGGCGTCTGAAAGGTTGTCTCTGGGATCATTGTATATGAGGCGGCCAGAAAGGAAGCTGCATTTACTGTGTCCTCCAAAGAAGTGGCACCGGCGACTCATAGAAGAATAAAAACACTCACAACTGGCAGATACCTTGTTGTTTATTTTGACTATACACTCCAAAAGTAATGACAAAGAGCAATTTAGCCTCCTTGATACCATCGAGTCAAGGTCGCTGCTCAAACGCGCCAGCAAACGAGATACGTCCCAGGGACGGGAAACATCGAAACTCGGGAGAATCCATTGACTCGATCAAACGTGACAATGCCGAGCACACTCAAGTGGACGCCTGCCGTAGTCGACACACCTTAGGGGCATCTCTCCCTTTGGTTTTTTTTTTCGACCAAAAGTACTATTATCCATCTTGCTACACCATCGCTCTGGCGCAAAAAGGCAGTTGTGGGAAAAGAAGCTCGACCAAAGTATACTTGTCTCTCACTGACAACAGTTGTGCTGACCAAAGACAGAAAATGTCAATCAGCCTCAGGCTCTTAGATCGTGTCGAACATGCTTGGAGGGAACAACGGGCACAACTCCCAGGTGATGGCTCATCTCCCTCTCACAAAAAAAGAAAACAATTAAAAAACGGAGACGAATGTTGTGCACACTTCCTTGTCTATCAACTTTCACATTTACCCACCCCAATAATCTTAACCGGATCAAAACAATTACTACACAAACAAATAGCGATGATTTTATTTGAATAGATCAGGATGATACCCAGTTCAGCAACCTTGATGTCAGTCCTGCTGGAGGAGAATAGAAAAGCGACCGCATCTCCTTTTCCGGGTTTTGCTCATAATGCATACCACAGGCGACTTTGTACAACTCTGGAAGAATACTGTACCCATCTGTGTCCATCTCTGTAACCATGTCAACCACATCTTGAAGGAGGCCCAGGTTCCTCAGCCCACCCATCAACTTTTCGTCGCCAGCTCGTGGTCCAAGAATTTCGTCCGCTATTTTTGCGTTATCCTCCTGACGACTACCTTCCTTCATGGCCTCCTCTCTCAGCTTCACTACCCAGCCATCAATGACATCCCTTCTGTTTTCTCGATGCTCATCGGTCCGTCCAGATGGCGCTATCCAGTTCAGCTCAGAGGCGTTCTTGCACACAAACTTTAAGTGCACAATCCAGAGACGCTCTAGATACCTGAGCTTCGCAAGGAGACACAGCCCTCCCTCCAGGACGTATGGACGGTACCTTACATCCATCCCCCTGTCGTTGGTACTACAGAAGTGTGGGAATCGGATCCGGAGGTTGATGAGCTGTGGACAGACAGCGGCGATATAGCCGTACAGGATCCTAGTGTGATGAGGTCCCTTCTCGAGTACTGGATCATGAAGGTGTAGTTCCAGGTGTAGTGTCTCCAGGCCGCGACAAATCCATATTCCTGGAACGTTTGGGGGTGGCGTATCCTGTTCCTGCTGTTGTTCCTGTTCTTGGCTATCTGATGCCGGATACAAAGGAATGCGGCGATACACATCCATAAAATCGGTCATGTAATGCATCTTCAAGGTTTTGAGGTGTCGAAAATTGGGGGACTCGCATAGGAGCTCGTGCAGCGGTCGCGCAGTGAAAGGAAGTTTCTCGTACTGTGTCCAGCCGTCGCGAACACAATGCACGTACTTGGGCTGCAGTATCTCGAGCGAGGTCAGGAAGACTGGCTGCTCCTTCAGGAAGGCGGCAACCCTGGGTGTCAGGTCGTAGTATAAGAAGGTACGCTCCTTGGTGTTGGGACAGATGGTCAGGTCCGCTTCGAGTGGTAGGAGGTCATGGCGGTGGTGCCAATGCTCTGAGTAATGGAGCTGCTTGCGCGGGAGCGAGAGCGACTGTAGATGGGCGCGGAATCGATCCCAGTCCCAGTGCTCCGTGATGCGCTCGGCGTAATACTTTTCGTGTCCAATAAGCTTGAGTGTTTCGAGATCAGGCGTAACTGAGAGCAGGTCCTCAATCCATGACTGCGGGGCTCGAAGGTGAGTGAGGACCAGGGACCGGAGTGGCAAACGAGCCGGGAGAACGTCCTTGCCTCGGTCGGTATACGGGCCTTGGGCGATGACATTATAATAGCTCCACAACTCCAAAGACTCCAAGAGCGGACAGATGATGAGAATGCGAGCGACATCTATTTCGAACTTCCAGGTCTTGTCGATCTTTAGACTGGTCAATGTTGAGGGGAGACTCAGTTTATTGATCCAGTCCTCTGTAAAGTCGCTTTTCAATTCCAGTTTACGGAGGGGACTGTAGAGTTCCTTGACAGGGTGTGATCCAGTCATGGTTCGGACTAAATATCCTACTGCTATGTTGAGGCGTGCTGCGGGATCGATTCCTGAAGGGTGGACGGACCTAAGCAGACAGTCCGCATCTAGACTTTTCCAATCGATCTTCCTTTGGTTGTTGCCGAGGATTAGGCTTTCGGCGCCTCCAAGACGACCAAGCGTTTGCAGTGACGAGGAGTGCCTCCAGCCAAAATCCCAGATGACTTCTCGGTGGAGGCGGTGCTGGTTGAGGAAGAACCATTGGCGACAGACGAGGATGGCGGTCCTGAGTGCACGTTGGTTGAGGAAGGAGAAGATGAGCTGGAGTAGTTCCGGGACCTCCAGAGGGGAAGAGGGTCGGGCTGACGAGAAGGGTGTTGAAAGAAGCGGTGACGGAGGGTACATGGCGAAAGGATTGAGTATGGCCAGTAACAGTTGTTGCGGCCAGGATGTTAGGGCGGCGAGAAGAAGAAAGAGAGGAAATCGGAATGAAAGGCCAATGAGAGTGATGTTGAAGAGGAATAGTAATGCCGGAGCGATGAACGAATTGAAGGGAATGCGAGCGTAGGCGAAGGCAGTGGGTAGTGATCAACGTGATAATGGATGTGAAGAAAGTGAAGGGCGCATGAAAATGAGAAGTTGATGGCAAGGAGTGATTTGGCAGGAGGATGCAAAGGGAATGGAGTGTGGTTGGTTCTGACCTTATCAAAACACCCGTCACAACCCCGTGATGCGTGAAGGATATCGTTGCTTGAAAGCTGCATGCATGGTATTGCCCGCCCTTTCTTCTTTCTTAACTTTAAGCAACGTGTAAAGTTCCATCGTGAGTTTATGCGTTGTGCTCTGTTTGGAGAAGGTGTCCACCACCTTAAACTCACCCGCTGTATCTAAACTCAAACATATACCCTTTCTTTGTTTTTTGTGGTGCCAAGACCTTGGTAATGATCTCGCAATAATAATCATTCATCTCTTTTTGCTTCGATTATTTCGTCACTTTACTCGCTTTTCTTCCCTCCTCTCTTCCTCCTATTCATCCCTGCCTTCTATCACCCTTACACCCTTGCATAACTCCCGCACCTTATTTTTTTCGAACATCTCACAACTGCTCACACGCATACAGCAACACACAAAAAATGAGAAACTAGGTGCACCTACGCGAGTTCCTAGCTCCTACAACATCACCACCACAACTGTGAGTGTGGGCTATGCTGTTGCTCACATTCGATCGGAGAGGCAGTGCAATGCTCTTTTACCCGCAGAAGGAACGATGGGTTGTAACGCCTTGCTCTTCTCCCTTTTGCATGGTCGGCTCTCTTTTACACGCCGCACAGAGACACTTTAACTTCTTTCTTTTCTTTCCCTCTTCTCTTTCTTTAGTATTGTCTTTCATTCAACCTCCCCACATTTACCCTCACTCCCATTCTGTTAAAGAGCATTCGCTTCTTCGCCATCACATTACTTTTATTCTTTCATTCCTTCATTCCTTCATTTTCATATTTCGCCATCATCTTTTCCCTCTTACTATCATTTCTCAACGCTTGTCCTGTCGAAAAAAAAAAAAAAAAAAAAAAAACTTAATATCTCTGTACCCTCATTATTCCCAACACAAAAACAAAAAAAAATGCTTTTGAGGCTCAGTCCTTTCGCCAAGCATTCCCAGTCACTGGTTCCCTCAACACCTTCCTCATCAAGTCACCCTACCTCCCCTCTGGACGTCCCTGAACTACTACAACACATATTTTCCTTCCTCAACCAACGTGCACTCAGGACCGTTCTCCTCGTCTGTCGAAAATGGCTCTATCTCAACCAACACCGTCACCATCGCGAAGTCATCTGGGACGTCTGCTGGGAGCACTCTTCATCCTTCAAGACCCTCACCCGACTTGACGGCGCTGAACGTCTCGTCCTTAACCAGGAGCAGCTCAGCTGGAACAGGGCCGACCTTCGAATTATCCTTCACAGCATCCAGGCCGCCAAAGGATACAATCCGTTCGTACTTTTAGGAACTGCTGTCGATACCTTGGTCAAGACTGTGTCGAGATCACACCCTATCAAAGGATTTATTCATCCTCTTCGCGAATTGGTGTTTTCTTCGAGCGAATTTAGGGATGGATGGATGAATTCACTCACCTTCCCAGAGACCTTGACAAGTCTGAAGATGGACAAGTTCTGGGGGTTGCAAGTTGATATCGCAAGGATCCTTGTCGTCTGTCCCCTCCTAGAGTCTCTGGAATTGAATAGTTCCTACAATGTTACTGTTCAAGGCCCATACACCGATCAAGGCAAAAATGCTCTCCCGGCTCGTCTACCGCTCCGATCCCTAGTTCTCACGAATCTTAATGCTCCACAATCCTGGCTCGAGGATCTGCTCACTCTTACACCCAACCTCGATACCCTCAAACTCATTGAACTCGAAAAGTACATCTACGGAGGCCTTTCAAGTCCAAATTATCATATGGTGTTTGTTACATCTCTGCAGATCTTGACGATATCCACCGCGTCCATTAGAGGAGAATGTATATATGATACCAAGCATATAAGACAACCATTGTAACATTTTTTGTTTAACTATCCTACTAAACACCAACCTATTCTCCAAACAACAAAGTCTTCTTATTTTTCGCACACCAAACTCTTGAATATGTCCATCTACTATTAACCTGTAACCCTCACTGCAAGATTCGACAGAGTAGTTCTTGTATGTGATCATCTAAAGCACTTGTATTCTCAACTGTATCTTTGTCGTGAAATACAGGGGAGAGATTACATTTTAAAAATTCTTGTGCTGTCTATTGCTATTTTATTCTGTGTTCTGTTGCCCACTATGAAGAGATATGCCAGTTATGGAAGTCAACACTCCGTTCCTTGGACTTTGGATATTTTTTATATGCCTTTTTATATCCTCTGCACATGAAGGGGCCGCTACGCCAATCGTACTTGGGAATGTTGGGACTGGGTCCGATTTCGCACCCACCTCCAGTCGCTCTCGCTTCCCCGCAAGCAACTCTTCTACGGGGAGTATTGGCGCCACGGTAACGACCTCGTACCACTCGAAGCCGACCTGACCATCTGTCCCAAAACGCAAGACCGTACCTTCTTCTACTACAACTTGACGCCAACAGTGCTCACTTTTTTGAAGGAACAGCCGGTCTTCCTGACGTCGCTCGAGATTCTTCAACCCAAGTATACGGGCTGTGTTCATGACGGATGGAACCTGCACAACAAACTCCTGTACACAGCCCGACCTCTCCACCAACTACTCTGCGAGTGCCCCAACCTTCGACACCTCAAGACACTAAAGATGCACTACATGACTGATTTCATGGACGTGCATCGGCGCATCCCTATATATCCCGTACTGTCATCAACCGACCAGGGACAGGAGGGGTGGCTAGAGGATGTACAAGAAGCTCTACCCCCAAACAACGTGCCTGGGATCTGGATCTGTCGCGGACTGGAAACACTCCACTTGGAACTACACGTGCACGACCAGGCTATCGAGAAGGGCAAGCACCGTTCCAGGATTCTCTACGGATACATCGCCACTGTCTGTCCACAGCTCATCAATCTTCGGATCCGATTCCCACATTTCTGCGAGTCCCTAAGTATAAAAAGCTGGCCGTCCAAATACGAGCCCTATGTTCTGGAGGGAGGGCTGTGTTTACTTTCGAAACTCCAGCACCTGGAGCGTCTTTGGATCTCGCACGGGATCTTTGTCTGTGAGAACCCCTCGGAGTTGAACTGGTTGGCGAAGTTTGGGAGGACGGAGGAGCATCGGGCAAGGAGGCGAGAGATTGTTGATGGGTGGGGATCTAGGCTGAGAGGGGAGGCAATGTTGGAGGCAGATCGTTTCGAGAAATGTGCAGGCATCGCGGGTGAGATACTTGGTGCAAGAGCCTTTGATGAGGAGGTGGTGACGGGATTGGAAAATCTAGGTCTTCTTCAGGACGTGGTGAATACGGTCGCAGAGATGGATGCTGACGAGTACAAGATATTACCGGAGCTGTTCAAGATTGCTTGTGGTGTTCACCATGAGCGGAACCCAGAGAATGAGATAAAGGCCTTGTTTTACAGTCCTCCAGTCGGACTGAAGGCCAAGTTGTTGAGCAGGGTTTCCACTTCTTGATTTTATTAAATAAAAAACATGGCGCGCTGACCACGCGATTTGCACTGTAAAGAATAAATTTATAATTGTCATTGGTGTTGAACGTGAATGTTGTTGATTTTATTTGTGTCAATCGCCATAGGCATTTTTCCTGCCGTCACACTCTTAGGCTGTTGAAGCGTCACCATTCCAAGGGACGATTGATAGAGTTCAGGCAAGGGGCTTTTTAGAATAGAACGATCTTTCATAAGTTCATAAATTCAGGAGTATCTACAGTAACCCGGAAGCCAGTGATGTAAGGTTACAATTAAATACCTAAATTGAAAGCTAAATTCTTGCAAGTGAACAAAGCATCACAACGCGACCTCGGATTCCTACTGAAGCAGGTATTGAAACAGCAGATATGAAAAAAACAACGTCACTTTGAATGCTTGGCAGTCACATGCCAGTTGTCGTCAAAACATCACCTCCAATTAGGGTGTTGTTTGATACCGAAATGATCGGTAGGTGTGTCGATCTGTTGTTGGAAGGGCAAGTGATGCTGAGCGCGACTGTTAGAATGATACTGTGAATATGTTGGTTGTTCTCGTTAGTAGTGATGGCGAAGGCAAGGGAATGTAAGAAAAAAGAAAAAAAGGAAGGAGAAAAGAGTGCAGGAAAGCAAGAATAAAGAAAGGAAAACGAAAGAAAGCGGCAGGGAAGGAGGGAATGAATATACCTCACCATCCCAGTGAGTGAGCGTGCTTTGCCGTCATCTCATTGATCATAGAACATTATTAGCGTCAAAGCTTCAGAAGCAGTCTCCCCTTGTCTCAAGCACAACGCGTCCTGTATATCAAGCGTGTGTCTCACTTTCAGTAACCCGAACTCGTGTCGGCGGGCTCAAGGCCCTTTTCCTTGTTGGAATACTATGCCTTTTCATTCTTCTTTTTGGTTCCGGCTCAGAGAACCATACAGACCATACAAACGTTAAGGATTCTACCAGCCATCAGGTACTCTATGAACTGTTTTTCCTTTCTGCACGCCTGGCGAAGCGCCAGTTTAGTAAAAAATAAAATAAAAATCACAATATCTAGCAATGATAGAAATACATACTTCTCGCGTCTTCTCAGCATGAACATGAAGGCGGCATTGGAACGCGACCCACCACACATTTGTTTTATCGCTTCATAGAACCGAAAAAAAATGAGCTAGATCTTTAATCGCATAATCAAAGCCAACCCCATGAAGAAAGCCATTCGACGACGAATGAAGATGGCCTAGAATAAAAGACCGACCTCATTTCCTTCTCCGGTGTCTGGTCCAAGTGACGACCACAAGCAAGTCGACGCAACTCTGGTAGACAATCAAACTCATCCGTGTCCATATCTTTTACTGCATCTACCACATCCCGAAGAAGGCCCTGGTTCTTCAGACTTTCCATCAACTCCAAATCAATACGTCCTGATCCAAGCAAGATTATAGGCAAACCGGCGACGCCCGACAAACGTACACTCTCTACATCAGCCTCTCTTTCATAAATTTCTTTCCAGTCGTCAACAATCGTCCTCCTCCTCGCTCTGTGCTCCTCCATCCGTCCAGATCGACACAGCCAGTTCAACTCTGCGAGCTGGCAATCGACAGGTCCATCCCTGTTCTCTATCCTGAGACGCTTCAAACGCGCCAGTCTCGAAAGTAAACACATCCCCCCGCTCAGACCAAACGGTCTGTAACCCCAATCTGGATCACCAGGTGGGTAGGGACAGTTGATCGGAAACGAAATCCGAAGGTCCTGTAAGTGTGTGCAGACTCGGGCGACATATCCATAAGCGATTCTCAGATGCAAGTCTCCTCGCACTCTTGCGCGCTCATGAAGGTGTAGGTCCAGGTCCAATGTCTCCAGTCCTCGACAGATCCAGATCCCAGGCACAGCCATTACCGAAGACCGTGAAGGGCCATATCCTTCTGCGGGTGAGAAATAGCCGAGGCGGTGGTGAATGTCCATCCAATAGGTCATGTAGGGTATCTTGAGCGTCCTGAGGTGTCGAAGGTTGGAGCATTCACAGAGAAGTTGATGTAACAGTCGTGCCGAGTACTGATATCCGTGATCATTGGTGTCCCGCCTCCAGCCATCTCGATAACAGTATGAGTCAAAGGGCAGGTGAATCTCGAGAGTCGTCAACATGATTGACTGCCCTGTCAAACTGCCGACGATCTCCGGCGTCATATCATAGCAGAGAAAAGACCGCTCCTTTGCCAGGGGGCAAATCGCAAAAGCCATCTCTGCTTGGTCGGGTTCGTCGATACTGCTCCAATGCTGCGAGAAATGGAACTGCCTGAGGTGGCCGAGAGAAAGACCCTGAAGGTAGTTGCGGAACCGAGGGCTATGCCAAGGTGCGCCGTTGTAGCCCTTGACGTTGATAAGTTGGAGTTCCTGGAGATGGGGAGTGATCGTCAGCAAGTCCTCCATCCATGATTGGCGGACTGCGGGATGTTGGAGAACCAGGGACCGCAACGGCAATGGATCTTGAAGAGTACCCTTTCCTTGACTCGTGTACGGTCCTCGGAATACCATCACGACCTTGCTTGATAGGTGCAAGGTCCTCAAGAGCGGGCAAATAGCCAGAATTCTCCCAATGTCGAGAGAAACCAGCATGTCTTGGTGAATGGTCAGGCTGGTCAATGATGGAGGGAATGGCAAGACATCCATCGCTGTGTCCTTGAAGTTGAGTCCCACTGTGAGCACCAATTCTCGAAGAAGACTGTAGTTATCAAATTCTGTCGCCGTTGTCGCTGTTACTGAGTTTCGATACCAGGCCAAGGATGAGTTTGTCGTCCATTGGCGTGCGGGTGTCTGGAGGGTCAGGAGGGCATTATGCAGATCGGGACCACGCCATTCAAGGGCTTCCTGGCTGCAGCTCAAAACCAATCGTCCGGCACCGGGTAATTGCTTCAGGGCTTGTTTCGGTGCAGAGGGTTTCCAATTGATGTCCCAAATCACCTCTCGGAACAGACGGTCTTGATTTAGGCGATACCATTGTCGGCAGACAAGGACGGATATCCTGAGTGTATGTCCGTTGATGTAGGAGAAGATGAGTTCGAGTAGCTCTGGGATGTCCAGTGGTGACAGAGGTCGAGTAGAAGGAGGAGAAGGTGTTAATTGTTGTGGATGAGAGTCTGGTTGGTATGGCGCTGGAGAGGTCGGCATTCTGTCCTTGTTTGCGAAGAACGTGTGAAAAACGGTGATGACGTCAAGCAGGAGAAAATGGTGATGAGAGAGAAATTTCAGGGTTCACTGATGACAATGTCACAGGAGAACTCTTGAAAGGAGTTTAGGAGAGGTCATGCCGATCATATATACCAGGACGGACCTAAGGAGGACAGGGAACAAGAACGCACTCGAGAGGACAGGCACAGCCGTTGGGACGGCACTCGCAGGGAAGGCAACAGTGAGGAACAATAGGAGTAGCGGCTACGAAGCTCAAGTAATTGAACTGCATTGCGAATAGGATGAATAGAAGGTTGCGAGGCGGGTTTGAGATAGAAAAGACTGTGAGGTGCGTCTGAGAGAAAACAATCCTTTGAAAGGCCTAATATATATATACACAGAGTTTGAGATGAGTGTGAAGTAGAAAAAAAGGCAAGGGTTGTATGAGGAACGAGAAGATAGGTGGTCAGAAAAAAAGATCGATGCAAAACTGGAAAGGAGAGGTCCTAGAGTAATCAAATTATGGTGTTGAAGATGGAGAAAGAAAGGGACAGGCCCCTCGTTCAGCAAAATCCAAACCATCATTTTTTAGGGTTAATCATGGCCAGCCCAATTGATTTTCAACTCCCTATTCAGGTACATGGCATCATGGCATCATGGCATGAGTACTGTCATCAAACAAAAAAAGGAGCGCATCCTCTCCATGTTGTCACCATGACGACCTTGACTGCCTCTTCTGGTCGCAAAAATGTAGAGTAGAGGAAGGAGAGCATGTCAAGAGAAGGCAGCGGACGGAACAATGAAGGGTCCATGCAACGGGTGCCATCGCCATTGTCGTATAGTCTCAGTTGCATTCACTCACACTTTCCTTCAGTGGATTGTGGCCAGCATTGATGGCTTTATTTCTTCTTCTTGCTATGTGAAAACATACGCTTCAATTCCTCTTCTGGTCGCAGCAAAATCGGGTAGTTAAACGACAATCTTTCGAGAGATGACATCGGTCGGTATGCTCCTGGTCCCTCCCTACACATCATGTCCTTCACATCCTGCAAGAGGCCTAGATCCTGGAGTTGTTCCAAGATGGGTGTGTCCGTCGTAGAGGAACTGTGGTGGTTATTGTCGTCGGCGTCGTTTCGCCTTGGTCGCCAAACACGTGTTCGGACCCACTCCATATGGTATTCATTTCTCCTCCACTCATTCCAGCTCGCAATCTCCCTGTGTCTCTTCTCTCTTGCGACGGTGCACAAAAACTCCGAAGGAAGCATCCAGTTTAAATCCCAGTCCTCGCACTTCTTGATCGTGTATTCAGGATCCGAAACGATCTTGAGTCTCCGCAAACGTTGTAATCGACTGAGCAAGCACAGGCCTCCCTTGACCTGCAAATAATACTCAGGGGAATCTTGTTCGCTAACGTAGGGATCGTGGCAAGCTTGTGGAATAGAGATCTGAAGATCCTCGAGAACCGGGCAGACACGGGAGATGTATCCGAATAGGATTCGACTGTGGACAGGATGAAATGGGATGGGGGCGTGGATCACAATGTGGAGGGTGCGAAGACCTTGGCAGCCCCAGACTGCTGCAGGAAGAGGCGAGTTGTCTGAATTGATTTCCTCTGGAGTAGGGTTTCGTCGTCTGTCCAGATTGGTGTATCCTGCTCGGTGGAAAAGATCCAGATCCTCCAGTTGTACCTCGGCTTTGAGGGTTGTGAGATGGACAAGATGCGGAGAGACGCAAAGGTACTGGTGGACGAGTTGGTTCGCTACAACAAGAGCCGATCCCATGCGTTCCTCAGTAAAGGTAGACAGTGATGTCGCCTTCCACAACACCTCCAAAGTCGTCAGCGTGTTTGGCTGCAAGATCACTCCTTGAAGGAGCTGGGGTGTAACATCGATGGCCCAGAGAGATCGTTCCAGTGACGCCTTTGGATAAACATCTCTCAGAAGCAGTTCGGTCTCCACTTCCGACATCCTGGTTCCAAAAGTCGAAAAGTGCGCTTTGTCGAGGGTGATGTTGTTCACCTTCAAAGATCCAAACAGTCGAGTCCAGTCAAACGACATCTTGTTGTAGAATAACATCATCGCCACCAGCTTGAGCTCCTTGAGGCTGGGCGTGAGCCCTAAAAGTACCTCAAGTTCAGGTTGAGCAAAGGCGATGTTGGAGAGAACTAGAGATCGAAGCGAGAACGGACGTGGGTAAAGTTCCCGTCGCTCTTTTGGCCACCAGAAACTCATCACGACTGCCGAGCCCTCACGCATGCCATGACCTTCTGCGTAAAATTCTTCCAGTAATGGGCACTTTAGAAGAAGCGAGCCAAGGTCGCACTGCGCGCGGTGGAGGAAACTGGCCCTGATGGTCAACTTGGTGAGAGACGTCGGCAAAGCGAATGCATCGAGGCTCTTCTGTGTCGACTTGCCCAAATAGACATCCATATCCCTCAGAAAAGAGACCATGTACAGTGCAGACTTTTTTGTTGCTGTTGCTTTTTCTGTTTTCAGGTGGTGATATCTGCTGTCAGTGTCTGGAAAGAGTCTGGTCTGCCCCTCGCTCTCCCGCAGATGTTGTTGATGCTTGGGCTCGAGGAGGTAAAGAGCATGAAGGAGATCCTCATCGAGAGGTATCCTCTGCCCAGTGAGCACGTCGCCAGCGATATGACAATAGTAGAAACGGGCAGCTCCGGGTAGCATGTGGAGGGCGCGCTGCTTCCTTGATGGGTCCCAGTTTTGGTACCAGACGACTTCCCGGGCGAGCCTGTTTTGGTTGATGAGATACCATTGGCGACAGACGAGGACGACGGAGTGGCGGATGGCGCAGTCGTCAAGGTAAGAGAATATGAGCTCGAGTATCTCGGATATGTTGGGAGGAGATTTGCGACGGGGGCTGCTGTGAAGGGCGGAGAAAGGAGCAGTTGCTGAGAATGTTTTCCAGAGCAGGTTCATTGGCAGGGGTGGGCGGGTATCTGGGTTGTGGGAAGCGGGATAAAAGAAGGAGAAAAGAAAAGCGAGCACTGGGAAAGAGGAATTGATCAATTGAATGACATTCCAAGCGTTAAGGGGCGAACCTGTATCCCTGAGTAGACCATGGACCTTGTTTTCTAGTCTCGACCTAGTCTCCATCCAGTCCTTCTGGAAGAAAAGAGGGGGTGTCAAAAGGGTTCATTTCTATGCCCCATTGCTTCCTTTTTGGGAGAGGCCTCCAATAAGTCACCTGATCTACCGATAATCCTCAATTGACATCTTCAGAAAAGCACTGAAAGTCATTGAAAGAAAATAAATGGAAAATGCAATAACTAATTAATAGTCCTAAGAGCTACGAAGATATCTGCAGTGTTTATGGTCGACGAAAGGGTCATTCGAGTCTCCACAACTGCAATTACTGGCTCCCTCGTCGTTTTCGTCTTCGTCAACCTCAGCCATATAGTTTCGGGTTGCTTGCCCGAAAATTTCCTCCATTGTTTCCTCGTTCCCAGCCCTAGAATTAATGTAGATTTTCTCATCTCTCGAGCATTATCCACCATATCATCAGTATTTCTCCTGTGCAATCTCCAGATGGAAATGTCATGAAATGATTTTGAAATCGTTGAACTTTTTCGCGGCTTCGGGCTCTGTCTCTTCTCCGCAAAGAGTATAACTGAGAAGCAAAGGGCATTTTGCACTCGAGAAGGGGGACTTTAAGGAGAATTTTGCTATTAAGCTGAGGCACAGTCGTTACTGGGTACACCAGGATGTATTCGTTGAGGGGCGAGGACCGCGAAGGGCTCGTATCCAAAATTGGGTTGGGATGGTGTTCTTTTACATGTATCAGATCATGAAAGCGAGTACCTTCGTTTCTTGCAATCCTTCCCACGTACAATTATTAAATCCAATAAATACAAAGCATTTTTTGTTTTCATCGAGTATCTCACATGTTGCTTGGAGGTTTGACTTGGCTAGCGAATCGAATTTTATGGCAACGAACATGTCCTTTTTTATTCCGACTTGATTAGCGTGGTTTGCCGCCGGGAAAGAGGTATGCGAGCGCATCGACAGGACGCTGAGTGATTGCCCACGAAAACGAGACCCTGTCCAGGACTGGAAAACATCTGTACCCATCCAGGTCCATTTCCTCTACCACCGCCTTGATCTCTGACAACAACCCCAAGTTCTTCAACTGCCCCGCCAACCCTCCTTCTTCCTCATCATTATAGTCGCCCTTCTCGAGGGCGAGGACTTTTGCATATCGAGCACCGGTCAACAAACGCTCCTTCTCGAGGCGCTTCTCTGTGTCCAGATTGTTGTCCCACTCTTCTACGACTTTCCGTCTCTTCTCCCTGTTCTCGACCCTGTTCCCCTCTGCAACAATCCAGTTCAAATCCACAGGCCAGCATCCTGATTTCCTCGAGATCGAGTACGCGTCCAGACGGAAGGTTGTCAGATACTTGAGCCGGGAGAGTAGACAGAACCCACCCTCGAGGCGCATACAGAAATCTGTGAAATACACCTGGGACGCGTTGTTGGTATGCACAGTGTTGCGTTTTCGGCATTCGCTGGAGACAGTTATTTGGAGGGCTGTCAGGTTTGGGCATACGATGGATATATAACCGAAGATGATCCGGCTGTGGACAGGGGAGCGGAGACCGTCTTCTTCATGGCCGTGGAGGTTGATATAGAGGGATTCCAAGCCCCGGCAGGCCCAGATCCCGGGAGTAATGGAGTCCGGGGATGTGACGGCGGTGTCTGCGTAGCGGTATTTGGACCGGCGGTCTAGGTCGCCAAAGGGGGAGCGGCGGTGGATGTCCATCCCTTCGAATTGCATGACGTTGAGGTACATGTTTTTTAGGTGGACCAGGTGTGGGGACGTGCAGAGGAAGTGATGAAGGATGGAAGGGTTGTTGTGGACACTGGTGTTGGATACGCAGCTTTCTTGGTGATGGCTGTAAGGGCGGGGGAGCTCGAGGGTTGTGATGACATTGGGGAGGGATCCAAGCTCCTGCAGGATGGTGGGATGGATGTCGTAAGGTCGTAGGGACCATTCTGTGGCTTCTGGGCAGAGGTCGATCACCTTGTGTCGGATATCGTCTAGAGTTTGGAACTTGTCGTTGACGGAGAAGTGGAAGGCGGAGAGATGGAAGGGGGCCAGGCTGGTGAGGAGGCGGGACATGGTGTAGGCTGGGTGAGTGTCGTTGAGGTTGATGAGTTTGAGCTCTGTGAACTGTTGTGGGTCGACGGCCGCGAGGAGTAATTCAAGACAGGATTGGTGGAATTGTATCCCGGAGAGGATGAATGATCGTAGTGGGAGAGGAGCTGCCTTGGACGACAAAGAAGAGATGGTAGATCCGTCGACAGAGGTATAATCAAACACCCGGATATGCAACGTCTCCAACAGCGGACACTCGTTCAATATCCTCCCCAAATCCATAGGCGACCCATGATAATTACTCAACTGGACTTTCAACACCCGCAACGACGCCGGCAGCGGCAAAGTATTCACAGTACTCCCACCCCTCAACTGTGCATATGAGATCTGAATCTCCAACTCCCTCAACGGCGAAAAGAACATCACCGTCCCTTTCTGCTTCCCCCTCCCCTTCCTTCTCTCCAGCTCCACCATCATAGTTTCTTCCAGTCCCTTCAGTGCATTTAATATCAATTGTCGACTCTCATCATCACTCATAACATCTGGCACACAAACCGAGAACCTCCCCGCACCCGGCAAGAGTGTAAGTGTCTGTTTAAGGTTATTGGTACGCCAGCGGTGGTCCCAGTAGAGAGGTCGCTGGACACGCGGGTAGGCGAGGTGAAGCCATTGGCGGGAGACGAGGACGATGATTCGGGTGAGGGTTGAGTCGTCGATGTATGAGAAGATGTGTTGGAGGATTTCTGTGATTGTGAAGAGGTGGTGCGGGGGTTTTGGTGGTTTCGATGAGGAGGGAGTGGTGGTTGTAGATATGGGTTGGTTGTGGGTGGAGGTGGTGTATTTTCTGAACAGCCTTGTGATCAATGTCATCTTGGAGGCGAGTGAAGGAGAGGGAGGACGGAGAAGAGTAAAGGAAAGTGAAAGGAAGGATGAATGTTTAGTGAGTGAGGATGAAGGAAAACGAAAGGAAGAAAGAAAAAAATGAGAGCACAACCGCAGCCGTTGTCAAGAGTCGAGAGGATGTGGTAGCAGAAATATGCTCTCCTTTTTTCATTTTTGCTTTGCCACAACGGTCTAGACTTACCCTTTTGGACTTAAGCACCTTTTGGCGGTACTCTCTGTTTGTAAAAAGGGTTGGCACCGTCGCACTTTTGGTTTCGAATCTGCGTGAAAAGGACTGTGGCTTAGGTAAAGATTATTCTCTCAACACTCGACAAGCGAACCATCAATGCGAGTCTCGTCGCGGAAAAACTCGAGGAGGCACCAACGGAAACGCACCGCCAACATCTCCACCAAGCAACAACACAGCAACCCGCAACAACCCTCAGTGATGATCGATACTTGTATAAGATCCCGGGTGCTGGACACACGCTACTGAAGGTGTTCCACGTCGAGGCTGCCGGATACAACAATGTTATTCGAATCCCAGGACGATGGCGACCCATCAATACAACCTCAGACAAGGATGCATCACCTGCACATCGCACTCTCGTCTCTCTCCGTTCGTTTATACTCGGACGAGCCATTTTCGAGCAGCCAAGTTTTGAAGACCTGCTCGAGCACATACCTCGCTTCGAAGCATTGCATCTGATTCACCTGATCAAGTGCGACAACCCAAAGCTGGCATAGCTATGCATGATGTCCAGTTGCGGGTCCTCAATGGCTACATTGCCCACGTCTATCCTCGCCTCCGAAATATTTTGATTCGCCTCCCTCCTCTTTGTTCTGAGGGTGGTATACCGGAGAGATCGGCTCTGCAGCTGCGATTGGAGAGCAGTCTTTGTCTGTTGGCGCGACTCGAGTGTCTGGAACGGCAACACTACAGGCTCCACCCTTCCGAATGCGATCTGTGGGCCCTGAACTACTCCTTCGGGTCAGAGCGTAAAGTCCAAGGGCAAGAGACAGGGAAAGATGGAATGGTGGAGCACCTGGCGCGAGGAGGAGAACAGACTGGAACAGACTGGGGGCAGAACTGGACCGCCAATTGGATCAGAAGGATACGGACAAAGGATTGTTGACTGTGCGGGAGCAACCGAAGACCCTGGGGTTGATTTTGGATGTGGTTTCGATGTCTGCCCGTTCTTCCTCAACTGGTATTGGGAGTGAGTTTGAGCAGGCCCCTGTGCAGGAGATCCGCCACCTCTTTGCCTCCAAGTGGGGTCTCTTCCGCTAGTTTATTTGAAGTAAATTTTTCTCCCTACTCTTTTCGTTCTTTCACGCGTCTTCAATTGCAAAATGAATGGAACGCGGCAATTGAAAAGGGCGCGCGTTGTTATCCCATTGGCCCAATTGATATGATCAGTGAGCGAGCCATAGCCCTTAAGAGGCTCCCTTGTCGAACCTTCTTGGTGTCCATACTCCAATGGAACCTGTCAGAAGAAAGAAAAAAAAAAGAGATCTCTCTCACCTCGCTTGCACGCACGCACTTTACTTTATTCTCACTTTCCTTCATCTCTTTCTCGTTTTCCTCCGTCTTCATTACACCCCCTTTCGCCCTTTTCACTTCTCCTTTCCCTTCCCAACAACACTTCCCCTTCCTACTCTTACTCTTACTCTTACTCTTACTCTCTCCCCTCTTTCCGTTCTACATATAACAAGCACAAGGATGGCAGACCAGGCAGAAATCCTCAGGAAGAGACGAGAAGCCCGCCAGAAAAAGATTCTCGAATCGGGAGAATCCCGCCTTAGCAAGATCACCGGCACATCAGGCACCAACGCCCAGGTCGCCCCTTCCCCCGCCGTCATCCAGGCCCGTGAGCAGCTCCAGAAGAAGGAGCAGGAGGAAGAGCGATTGAAGGCGATGAAAGCCACTGTTGGAGCAGGAACAGTGCCTGCCATCATCAGCGCGGACACGGTTGAGAGCAGTGAGCCAGGTAAGAAGGAAGTGAAGGAACTGAAAGAAGAGGAAGGAAGGGAAAAGGTGCACTTGTACTGAAAGAGCATACCCGAAGGCATAAACTTTGCAAGACATATGGACGTACCGCACCCCAATTTTTTTGAAAAGAAAGAAAGAAGTCGCAAATGGGTGGGTGATATTCACATGCATGACGGGAAAGTAGGGTAAACACCAACTCATACCACTTTTTTCTACTGTGCACAAAAAAGTAGCAAAGAACACGTCCGCGCCAACGTCGCCACGGATAAGCCGTCAACCCTCCGTGTCATCCACAACTGCACCAGCACCAACGGCATCATCAACAACAGGATCAGGAGTTCAAACAGCATCGGCAGCAAAGACGACACCCACAGTTGAGGACGCCAACGACGCAGATCCTGACGATTCATTAGGCGCCCCTCCAACACACACCGCCAACGCATCCACATCCTCGCCCTTTGCCACAATGGGCGCCGGTGGCCAGCCCAATCCGTTCATGATGAACGATCCCTTCTTCTCCTCGCCACAGCAACAACAGGCTCTGACCCGGATGATGATGCAGGAAGAGGCTGCTGGAAGCAACAACGCCGCAGCAAGGCAACACCAGGCTGGATTTGGAGGCGCACCTCCAGGATTCACGGTGATCACACCTCAGGTCGATCTGACGGCTCGCTGGTGGAAGCTGTTGCACTTTGTGCTTTCGGTCTTGTTTGGCGTTGGCGTTGTGTATGCAGAGTACAGACGTCAGGGGGATCTTGGACGCTTTGATGCCCTTGCCACCGACAAGCCCACGCCTTATGGTGTCTACCAAGTCGCACCCATGGTAACTATCGCCTTTTTTTGTTCTTATTGTGGTTGATGTCTGTTTGAGGAATGCTTCTTTGATATCTTTATTAGTTTTTGTTTTGTCACACCTATTCACAACCCAACGCTCACACATATATTCCTCTTCCTTTTTCTTTTCCCTTTCTTATTTCCTTTTCCAACTAGCCTGTGTTCTGGTACTTTGTGACGATGGAACTGATCCTGCAATCGAGTCGGATGGTATTACACGGCGTGACGGCGTCGCCCAGCAGCACTTTGGGTACCATTGCAGGATTCCTTCCTCCACCCTTCTCGGACATGATCCGGATCTTTATGCGCTATCGCCTCATCTGGTCGTCAATGGTCAATGATCTCTCGGTTATTGTCTTTATTGTCGGCATCACCATCGTGTTTACTCATATGTTTTCGTAAAAGACGCCACGGTTTGCTGTTTGTAACCTTCTTTGGCAATTGTACAGCTGAGGCACACACACATAAAAACGACAATCTTAATAAACATTGCTCAAAAGATACATGTCCTTGCACGAAAACTTCTTTGGTTGTTATGCTAGTTTATTCATTGGAGGAATATCCAAAGTCTCTATATCGAAAACTCACTTCCGTGTTGTGTTATGTTATGCTGTGAACCCCCCTACATTCCCTGCCAATTCTGGTGTTTGTGATCCTGTTCCTAGATTTTATGCTGACGCGACAGAGCCTTCGGTGGTGGCGACCAAGAACTGTTTGCAAATCTCGGCGGATTGTATCCTGGAGCACGAGATCTTCTTGATATCATTGTTGGCTATGCACCACATACATAAGATCAAGAAAGAAACAAAGACCTGTCAGTCGAATAGGAGATAAAGTTCACATGGGGTTGTCCCCAGCTATTGATTACACATTGTTAAATGAAGGGAGTCGAGGGGAAAGCGTGAAAGTAGAAGAACGTACCAAACTCGATGGTCAACTCTGGGCTGACGCCGGCTTCCTTGACCTTTTGGACGTCAAACTTGATGGTGGGGTTGTTGTACTGAAGGCGAGGCATGTTCTCGCGAACAAAGTATCTATACCATCAATGGGAGGCGGAGATCGCAAGGAAAGGGGTATAGTCTGTTGGTCAAATGTGCTGGCTATGGCCTGGGGTTCGTGTTCTCGTCCAACTGCCCTTTGCTGCATAGTTGTGTGTGAAGGCCGACAGTATGTTGTTGCGGGCAGTTGTTTTGTCGATGTTGGTGAAGGGTAGGTAGGGCAGGTGGGTAGGTAAGGTCAAAGACTGATCTTCCTGACTCTCGCTGCCCTTGTTTTCCTGATTCGGTTGTGCTCTTGCCTAATTCCTGAAGTTTAGTTTTCATCACCCGAGCTACTTCTCCCTTCCTGTCCATGCCATGCAACCCCTCCTTAACTCTTTCCTCATTCTCCCCTCCCTTGTCCCATGTATCAACATCCGGTTCTTGTCTCCCTCGCCACCTCAAACTTTGTGTAGGTGAAGTAGTAGTACCTGGCGCCAGAGTTGTCGGACTTTCCAGAAAAGACCAAGGTGACCTTCTTGACATCCGAGCGCAACTTGATGGCTCCCAGACCGTTGCGGAGGTCATTGGCAATGGTGGCGATCCTTGACATGGTGTTGTATATATAGAAAAGTAACAAGGAGAGGGGTGTTGGGCGTTTCGTGGAGGGGAAAGTTAACCAGCGAGTTTCAGAGGCGAAAGGGGTTGGCAAGCCCAGGAAACACCCAAACCTCGGAGTAGGAGCACTCTTGGCAAAAAGCAGTCCCGGTGTTGACAATTCCACAAGCCACACAGATCCAATCGACCAAAACTGCGAAAAAGTGCCAAAGAACGCGTTTGATTTCTGCAAAGATAGCGAAAAAGAAAGGAAAGGTTGTTGTTGTACAGGAACATAGAAAAAAAAAGTAGTAAGCGTATCATATCTAAATTTGCTAAAGGAATCAGTTCATGTCGACATCTTGGTCAACGTTGCTCACGACAAGAGCACTGGGTGTAACGGGTGCAATCGTAGCAATAGGAGCGACGGGAGCGATAGGGGCAACAGGGACAACAGGGACAACAGGGACAACAGGGATAACAGGGATAACAGGGATAACAGGGGCAACAGGGGCGGCAGGGGCGGCAGGGGCGATATCCTTGGGAGTCGCAACAGGCGTAACAACCATTGGGGCTGCAACAGGTGCAACTACAACAGGCAAAGGTACTGGCTCTTGCTCTGGCATTGCAGGTGTTGAGACAACAGAGGTATGCTCGTCGTCATCGTGATCTTCCACAAAGTTGTAGTCTCCATCCTGGTCCTCATGGTTAACACTGCCAGATGCCGAATCCGCTCCCCCGTCAGCCATACGAGTCCTCTGTAGCGCTGCTCGGATCGACGAGTCCGACTCGTGACCCAAACTGGACCGACGGCTCATATCAACACCTCCAATCGAATCCTGTGTGTAAAGGTGGCCATTCGATTGGTCAATGCTGTAGTCTTGGCTCTGCTGTTGAGGGTCTTGAGAATGTTCTTCCTGTTTGAAGTCTCCGCCGTCCTGGTGGATCCGTCTGCGACTCGACGGCCTTCGGTAGATTTCGTACTCGTCTTCTTCGAACTCATCCTCGTCATCGTCAAATGTATACTTTGGTGCGTTCACCCGGTTGGAAGAACGAGTCCTGGTCGTCCTGGTAGCTGCCAGCTGATGCAATTCCGCGATCCTCTGCAACTTTTTCTCCTGTCTCTCTTGTTTCTATTACGCCACGAGAATGGCAAGGTAACGGGAAATACCAGTTAGCACTTATCCTAACAATTGATCCAGCAAGGCATAATAAAGAACAGAGAGGACACATACCAGCTTATCGCTGACGATTCTCTCCTCCTCGGGCTCGATAATCTCCACACGCAACTTTTCGCGCAACGCCTTCTCAGCCTTTGATACTGTCTTTTCGAAGCTATTGGCGAGCTGTTTGAGTTCCTCCAAATTAGTGGCGACAGTCTCCCACACTGGTTTCCTCTTCTTGGCGCCCTTGGTCTCTCTGTACATCATCAGCGTTCCGTCTATTGTGGAAATCAGAACAAACGAGGGTATTTTAGTTAACAAATGTAGAGCTTGACACATTGCTGAGTTCATAGCTACACACTCCAGATACAACAGCTCAACATACGTCCAAAGTGCCAGTAAATACGCCTTGCTTGGTCGAATCCATAGGGCTCTACACGTGAGACCTCGTTGTCCTGCTCAATTCCCTGTCGAACGATCAAGCCCTCTTGAAGAACCCAATCGATCAATGCCTTGAGGATCTGAGCTCTGTCTGGGGTGGGGATAGTGTAGTAGTCGCCATAGTACCGCAAGGGGTTTTGATCGTATTCCAGTTCACCAGTCCTCAACTTTGCGTCCAGCGTCTCAGAAAGTACTTTTTGCCACGTCGTCGCACTAATTCATGGATCAAATAATGTTTTAAACGTTGTTGCGTTAGTGTGAGGCAATGGCACGTAGAAAACGACGTAATCGGTAAACACTGAAGAATTGAACGCACTCGACAGACTTCTTGCGGTTCAGCATATTTGACAGGAGGTTGGAATGGATCTCCTCGATGCAGTTGTTGCTTTCTGTCGCCGTCAATCCTGATTCAATTTCCTGAAAAAGAAAGTTGTTTGGCAGAGACAATAAAGAGGCCACATGTTAGTGATATGAGGATAGTTTGTTTGTTTGTTTTGGTGGCAAATTGAGTCGATCGATCCATGGCTGGCTGAAGAAGCGAGGCTTACTGCTATCGTGATCTCGCGAAGCGGACAGGTCAGGCGAAGCAAAGACCGGAACTTTGTCAAGAACCCATAGATAAGCGCCACTGTCGAGTTAGACCGAAGGTCTGAGCCGTCCGTAGGAACCTCATTAGCCCCTGAGTCTCCGTCTGTGTGGTCCTCTTCCTCGTCATCCTCCTCGTCCTCGTCATCCTCCTGCTTAATCGAATCATCGTCATCATCACTACTAAGCGACGATCCAGACAATGCAGGACTCAAACTCCTAGAAGATCGACTCTCTTCCTCTTCGCGCTTCATTTGTTCCTGAAGGAGTTTCTCCTGAAGGGCAAGTTCTTCCCGGAGGGCGGCCTCCTGTCTGGCTTTTTCTTTTCTGGCCTCGTCCCGAATGGCCTTTTGACGCATGGCCTCTTGTTCGGCCTCGAGCTCCTGTTGTCGGATTGCTGATTGGCGGGCTGATTGGCGGACCGGTTTTGTGGATGACATCCTGTTTGTTGTGATATGAAGTGAAGAAGGAGAAGGGTTCTAGGAAGGTACCCTCGTTCGTATGGGAGAGGGAGAGAGCGAGGAGGGCGAAGAGTGAAGAGGGTAAGAGAGTGAAAAGACGAAAGACAAAAAGAACCACTGCCTGTGTGGTGAAAATGAACATTGAGCAACACGCGTTGCAAAGCCACTCAAAAAGAGATCACAAAATGTAATTGCTGTTAAGGTTCTTTCCTTGCCCTTGCAACTCATCCAGGACAAGCATATGTAATACGTTGTTTAATAGGGAACTAATGAAGCTTGGCTTGATAAAGAAACGGACTCGCTCGCTACTCTAGGTCTACTTGGCAAGGAGAATGGCGGCACCCTGGAAGAGCATCAAGTAGAATCCACCCTTAGGCAACGCGGCAATACCAACAACACCCAGACCCAAGCACCAGTACCCCAACTCCCTAGGCACCACCCTCTCCGAGCGAACAAGATTCCTCTTCTTCTGCTCCTTTTGGGACTTCTCCTTCTCCTTGTCGTCAGTCAATGCAGCGCTGGGTGCCTGCTCCTTGTCCTCAGGGAAGAGATACCAATCGACGGCACGGCCCAGGAGGATGAGATTGACGCCGACAACCATGAACCAAAAGGCGTTTAAGCGGGGGAAGTTCTTTTCAAACTGGTTGACGTATCCGTGTCTGATGGCGTCCATGAAGTTGCCGCCGATCTGGGGTAGCACGAACGCGCCGACTAGGTTATGGCTGAGGCCAGTCCAGACAAGGAGGCGAGCTGGCCAGCGTGACGAGCGGTATGGGATAGGCGTTGTGGAAGAGGATGAGGAAGACGACGAAGAGGAGGACGAGCTGTAGGCTGTAGTGGTAGTGGAGTGAATTGTTGCCATTGTTGTTGCTGATGGTATTGTTGTAAGTAGAAGTTGTTGTTTTTTGTTTGTCGATGACCACTTCGGACTTCGTTTAAATACGATTTCCTCAGAAGCGATCGAGGATCCGGACTGCAAATTACCCTTGTTTGTAGATTGTAGGAACGGACCAAGGTTGAAGTCCAGACGAGCAGGGCGCAGTCATCGGAAGGCAAACAAGGGCTTTTCTCCTTTTCTCACGGTCAATTCCTCGCTGTCTGTACGCGATACGAGGCCTACGCTGACTTCGCACTCCTCTCCAAAAGCTCTCTTCTCTGGCCACTGTCTCTTTTTGGCCCTTACCGAAAGAGAAGGGGAGGAGAGAAGAGATCGGCACCCTTACTGTCACTGCTCCCCTTTCTACCCGATATACCCGTATCCCTCCCTGTGCATCGATCACTCACCGCTCTTTTTTTCTTGCTCCACAGCAACCAGCCAATCGATATTTGCGAAATACCCAACCCTCCCCTACACTTTTCACTTCACTTTTCTTTGCTTTCTGACGCTTCTTGCTTCTCTATTGGGAACCTCGGCAGGAACCAGCTACTAGATGGTTTCGATTAGTCTTTCGCCCCTATACCCAATTTGACGATCGATCTACACGTCAGAAAACGCTACGAGCCTCCACCAGACTCCCCCGGCTCCACCCTATTCAGGCATAGTTCACCATCTTTCGGATCTCAGCATATGAACAGGTCAAGTCTATGCGAGACGACTTACACCCATTCTCCTAGTAGACTAGGGACCGAGGATGCGCCCACCCACTTCCACCCCTTTTTGGCTCATGTAGATAGCAGATAGCACACAGAGGAGGGGTCTAATTTACTCGGTCATACTTAGCACAGCATCAGTCCCTGGTTTACTTGGAGAATGGGTTTAAGCCGTCCTGCGTAGACTTCACCTGTTCATTTCACCTGCCTTGTTGCTCTCTCGCTAATCTTGTCCTTCTTCCTTTCTTATTTTCCATCATTCTCCGAACAAGCACCGACACATCGCCCGCAATCAAGACAAGGACCACAGGAGAACAACCAAGGAGATGACCTCCTCAATGTCATCACCCCACCAACCTCAACCCGCACCAACATCACCCATTGAAATCCCAGAACTCCTCGAAAAGATCCATGCCTTCATCCCCCTTCGCACCCTCCGCCACTCTGTCATCTACGTCTGTCGACAATGGTTCCTGATCAACCGACATCACATCACCCCACGGGAACTTGTCTGGGAGTATCATTACCAGAACGAGAGTATGAGCAAGGCTGTTCCTATCCTGGCGTATTTGGGGAGGATCAAGTTGTATTTCCGGTCGGTGAATCAGGAGCAGTGTCAAGTTGAGAATCGGCAGTGGAAAGTCTTTTTTAACGCGCTCAAGGGGACTCATACTCGACGATTACAACATCTACAGCAACAGCGAGACCAGGAGCAGGGTCAAGATACGAAAATGGTGGGTCGGAGACTGCTGTATGAGCCAACACCGATCCTAGATTTCAGTCTGAGCGGGACGTATCCCAGCACCAAGGTCTACGAGCTCATCCCCTACCTGTCCCACGTCACCTTCCTCCGAATCGATCAAAACTGGGACCACCACGTCTACCCCTACAAGATATTTCAAGGATGTCCCCACCTCCTGCGCCTCTACGTCGGATCCAAGACCCGCGTCGAGATGTTTGGCGACTGGCTTCCTTCCGCTCCAGAGGAACAACAGCCTTTTACCTTGCGGGAACTCATCCTCCATAACGCCTACCTCAAACAGGACAGACTGGAGGAGTTCTTAGGGTTCACACCTCATCTCACGGACTTGCATCTTTCCAATCTCTCGATCAAGGGCAGGCCGGTCATCCTTCCGGACCAGCGGTATGATTGTAGGGCTCTGATTGCGGTCATCAAGTCTCTGGGCCTACCACTCAAGACATTTCATTTCTCAGTCTATATGCGGCATCAGGTGTCGTGGGATGCACTCGTTGACGAGGACCTATTCAAGTCGATATGCCAGGATTCGCGAGAATGGACGTTTGCAATGGGCGATTTAACACCACAACTATTCCAAAACATCCAGTGCCTCCCCAACACCATTACGACGCTCAATATGGTCAACCGCCACACGGCCTACTACACACCAGACTCGAAACTTCACCTGTTCCTGTGCACCTCCCCGCAACTACTACACCTCCGCATCCCCAGGACGACCTATCACATGTCCTATCTAGACCTCTACCGCCGGATCCCAAGCGTCGTCTTCGGAGACCGATCTACAGTCGCCCAGGAGACCGAAGCTGCTCGGTACCCAGTCCCGGGCGTATGGGCCTGCAGAGGACTCCGGACTTTACACATTGCTTTCGAAACTCCTGGTGGGCATTGGACCAATATCCGACTGGAGTATCCTCGGGTTGCTTTTGGGTACATTGTCAAGGTGTGTCCGGCCCTGATAGAGCTCGAGATCCATGCGCCGAATAATTGGGAACGGCATGCGTTCCAGCGGTACGATCTCGCGGGCGGGTTTTGTCTCCTGGCTGGGTTACGGGATTTGGAACGATTGCGTGTCCCAGAGGGGCCGCAGAAGAATGTCGACAAGCTGCATGACATGGACTGGATGACTTCACCGCGGAACCTTTCTAGCAGCACTGGACTACAAAATCGAAAAGAGCGACGCAAGATTGTCTCCCAATGGAGGGGGTTACTACTAGCAGAGGCGCACAAGGATAGCAAGAGGCTCAAGATGCTGGGCGACGAGTTCCAGAGACATGAGGGTAATACGTTGGGGTGGGAGTATTGTGATGACAGGTTGAGAGAGGCATTGGGGAGGGTGGGGTTGTTGTTAGATGTCAAGATGATGATCGAGAGGATTGATGGTTCCGCGACAGAGACAGAGACAAAGACAGGGACAGATCAGAAAGGAGGAGGACGAGGAAGGGAGTCATTTGAATGTTGGCCGCACCTGCAGAGGATTGATCTTGGATCGTATAGTCCGTTTGGGTTACGGTCTGTAGACCAAGAACTGCAGCGCTTGTTCCCTGCGCAGTTTGACCCTTGTCCGAAGGAAGAATGCATGTAAACTCTAATAAAAATCGTGGATTGGTTACCTCCTATGATTTCATTTGCAGGTGTTGTCGGCCAATTGCTAGGACAAAATATCTCTAGGCAATGAATGAATTTTGCCAGTGCTTTGAAGCAAAGGTATTTTTGCGTTAACGACGCCAGGGTAGAAGAAGGAATGGAGAGGAAGAAGAGGTTGTTGCGATGTAAAACATGAAAGGAAAAAAAGATGTGGGAAGGAGGACGATAGGCATTTCTTGGTCTATAATGAAGGCAAGTAGATTATTTTGATGAAAATTAAAATGGGATCCACTGTGCAACTTGCTTTACAAGACCAAAGGGTTCCTTATTAAACAGGGACCGCATCTCCCTATCAGGACGCTGTGGCAAATGATCCCCACATGCCACCACTTGGAGCTCAGGCAGACATTTGAAATCACCCCTATCCATCTCCAACAGCACTTTCTTCACATCATGAAGAAGACCCAGATGCCTGAGACTTGACAGTAGGTGGTCGTAGTCGTCTCCTGCACCGGTGACATCGCTGTCTTCCAGTGTCCTGTTTTTCACACGCTCCATTTCCAGGGCAGCCTCCTGCTCGATTTTACATCTCATCAACAAGCTGGCGCGTCTTCTTGCCCGGTGCTCCTCATTCCGTCCCGACCGGCACAACCAGTTCAGCTCTGCGATCTCGCAGTCGACAGAACAGTAGTCCACCCTAAGCCGCTCCAGATACCTCAACCTCGATAGCAGACATAGCCCTCCCTCCAAGACATAAGGATGTAGCCTCCAATTCATGTTCTCATAGAAATCGCGGACACATTCGAGAAAGATATCTATAGACGATCCTGGCATATGCTACTCCTCTTGCCGTCGCATACTCGTGAACTTGTAGTTGAATGTGAAGTGTCTCCAACCCTCGACAGATCCAAATTCCAGGCAAGTGGGGTGAAGGCCCTTCCGAGGAATACATTGGTTTGGCGGCGGTGAATGTCCATATAGTCGGGCATGTAGGGCATCTTGAGCGTCTTGGGGTGTCGGAGTTTCGGGCACCCACAGAGGAGGAAGTGCCACTCCCACGCCGTATAGTTCGACTCGCGGGTGTTGTAAGCCGAGAGCCAGCCGTAGCGAGTACAATACAACCGGCCGGGGTGAAGGATATCGAGGGTAATCAGAACACTGGCCAGTACCACAAGGTCTTGACTATCCACCACGTGAAGTGGTGGGTCATAATGGTAAGCTCCTGTGCTTGGGGACAGATAGCAAAGTCTTCCTTCTGGTATTCCTCATCGGGCGCGCTGTCCCATTCGATCGAGTGATGGAACCGTTTAAGAAGGAGGGAGAGGGTCTCCAGGTGGTCGCGGAATCGTGACCATTCCCAACCGTTGTGAACGTCCCAAGAGAATGTGATCAACTGGAGTTCCTCCAAGTTGGGCGTAATGGCCAACAGGTCCTCGATCCATGCCTGTCTGAGCTCTGGTTGTTCGAGCACCAACGACCGCAATCGAAGACGGTCCGGAAGAGCCTTCTTGCCTTGTTCTGTTAGAGGCCCACCGAAGGTGATCACTCTAGTGCAAAGGAAGTGTAAAGTCTCCAACGCTGGACAGATGGCCAAGATTTGGGTGATATCAACAGTCGCCCAATGCTTCATGGTAATCTTCAGACTCGCCAAGGTAGTCGGAAGTGGTAGTGCGTTGAAATCGTAATTGTTGGAGGATAATGTGAGCACAAGTTCGCGGAGAGGTCGATCCAAGAGGTTCCTGATATGTGCTGCCTTTTCGCAACTGCCAAACAATGCTTCAAGATCCTAAGCATACCAAGGACATGGGGGCTGTACTAGTCAAAGAACTCGGTGGATGGGGAGAGTTTGTATCCTTCATGATTGGCCAGGTGTATGCTGTTCTTAACAGGGATCGGCGTGGTGGACGTTAGAGCGTCGATATCGAGCCGGTCTGAGGATGCGCCCTGCTCAATGCCTGATCCGCAGTCGCTACCACATCCGCAGAGGAAACGCAGGCGGAACCGCTCCATCAAAAGTTCCTGGGAATCGGGTACTGGTGCAGCTCATAGTTCTGGACGAGGATGGCATCGACCCGGTGCTGGTTAACAATCAGCCTGTCGATCGTTTCCTGCTGCTTCTTCAGCACTTGCTCCTCCCTGATCTTGGAGTCGGCCTGTTCCTGCAGCATTCTCTCCGCCCTCTCCTTTGATGCTGCTTGCTCCTGAAGCATGACATTTTGCTGTCGGACCATCCCAGTTTGTGGTGCGACCATTTCGATGAGCTTCTGCATTTGTTTATTTCTTACCTGACGCCGCCTTCTTATTAATGCATGATTTTGATGTCTCCGCTTCAAACAGCATGAGGCGGAGAATGAACGATCTTTTTTTTGTTGAATATTGTCTGCCTGCCACGGAGAGATGATGGTCCTTGTGTTCTTTCCCTCTGCGTCCAATGGTAGTGGTTTATTTGAGTTCTGTTTTTCCTTCCAGTACTTCAACTCTTTTGATGTCTAATTCCGTTTAGGTTTGCATCTCAATTGAATACAGAAACACCTCTCCTTCTCTCTCTGTCTCTTTCTCAGATCTGGTTGCGGGGTAATGAAGCAACACCAGTACAGTCCATCTTGACAATCCCAAGTGGTGTTTAAATGATAACAATTGCTTCGAAGGAAGATGCAAAAACGTTAACTACCGCTACAGGAATCGTGGCGTTAGCTGTTTTTGTTGGTTTAGTGGGATAGAGAGGGAAATCAACCTCATTATAATTGTCGGAGTACCCTGTCTTCTTTTTTGTCTTCATTTGCATATTCGTTACACAACATTGCATTGGGACCTCATCAGTATCTTTTTCTCTTTCGCCTTCACCCCCAAAGATAAACATGAGCAGTGTAAGCGAGATGGGAAAAAAGGGTGAAGGAGATAAGAAAGCCAGTTCATGGCCCACTCGAGTCTTTTTTCGTCTCTTATCTTTTTCTTCTTTCGACTCGTCTAATTTTTCTATCTCTCCTCTTCACTCCTAACATCATTTCCCATTCCCTCTCCTCCAAATCCCACAAGCATGTCGACGGCAACCACGACGGATCCACAACACCATATCCTTATTGTCGGTGCTGGGCTGGGAGGCCTAATGCTCGGTGCCTCTCTGGAGCGATGCAACATCCCCTACACCATCTTTGAACGAGCATCCACCGTCAAACCCTTAGGTACGCTCTCAACAAACGCGGCTCTCTTCAATCTCCAATTCCATAAAAGGGGCACAAGCACTATCCAACAAATCGATCTCACACCACTTTCCCTTTCTACCTTTTTGTTGTCTTGGATAGGATCGGCATTGAGTGTTGGAGGACAGATCATGCCGGTATTTGAGCAACTGGGTCTGTATGAAAAGTATGTCGATATGGCCAAGCCGTTCACCATGTCGACAGATATTCGCGAGTCAGGAGAGTCCCTTCCAGCCCTGGATCTCAAAGTCGCCGAGGACATGTGCGTCTCTTTTTTGTATTTTGTCGCCAACTAAGAAACAATGACAAAAAACAGGGGCTCTGTAGCTTACACACTACTTCTCCTTTACTCATAGGTGTGGTTACTCAGGATATATCGTCGCTCGACCACTCCTCTACGATCTCCTCCTCTCCCAAATCCCAAAACACAAGATCCTCTTCAACAAACGCGTTCTCACTATCTCGGAAAAGGAGGAAAAAGTCACCATCCAGACAAGCGACAACTTCATTTATGAGGGGGGCATCCTTGTCGGGGCTGATGGTGCCTACAGCGCAGTTCGTCAGAGACTTTATGATGTGCTGAAGAAAGAGGGCAAGTTACCCAAGAGCGACCAAGAGGATCTTCCTTTCAACTGCACTTGTCTTGTTGGACAGACAGAGCCCCTAGATGTGGACAAGTTCCCACAACTAAAGGATCCTAAGCACCCTTTTATCAACACCCTCGGCGACAACAAGCCCTTCACTGTAAGCCACCCTTTTTCTTCGACTACTTGATTTTCACAAAGTGGTTGTTTTTGTTCTTTTCTTTGTACTCGCACCTTGGCTAACCTCAGATCTGCTGTCAAAAGTGGTCCCTGTTCTCTACAAAGCAGAACACAATAGCCTGGGTCGTCATCGAACATCTAACAGAAAATACGAGCAAGGCAGCCCAAGAACAACGATTTCGCCATTCAGAGAATTCGGAATGGGGTCCACATGCAGCCCAGACAATGTGCGACCAGACTCGCGATTTTCCTATCCCCTTCGGCAATGGAAAGCTGACACTTGGAGATATGTACGACATGACGCCTAAGGATCAGATCTCCAAGGTCATGCTGGAAGAGAAAATCTTCAAGACCTGGTACCATGGACGCACCGTGCTCTTGGGGGATGGTAAGCAAAGTGAGAGGGTTGTCTCTATGAAGTGATCATTGTCTCTTTTTTTCCTTTTCCTTTTCCTTGTAGGCTTACCCTCGCCTCCTTTTGTCTTTTTTTTTCTTAGCGTGCCACAAGCTACACCCTTCTGGTGGCCAAGGTACGTTGGTTTATGGTACTTGTTATTCAAAGTTGTAACTAAGTTATGTGGTTGGAAGCATGTCACTCATACACAATCTACCTCTTACTCTCCTATCAACTTACCCCTGTAGGTGCCATCACAGCAATGCATGATGCGATAGCGCTCGCAAACCTGATCTACGCTCTCCCCACAAACACATCCAAGGATATCGAACACGCATTCGAAGAGTACAAAGCCGAACGCCTCCCACCAGTGATCGAAGCCGCAAAGGGCAGTCAACTCCTAAGCCTACTTCTGAACCGTGGCTTCCTGGGTACACTGGCGCTACTTTTTCTAAAGTACATGCCTCGGTGGTTGTGGTTGAAGTTTGTCGAGGGTATTGTTGCAAATAGACCGACGCTTGGGTTTCTGAGCGAGGTTGAGAATAAGGGGTCGAAACCTGCAAGTGTTTCTCCGAGTACCGAAAAAGCCAGGAAAGTCTACAACAAAAGTGTCAGTGCTGCTGCTGCCGTGTGAGACGTTTTTTTTACTTGATAATATATTTTATGCCTTTGGGACCTCAGAAATGTGATGGGTCAGTGCTGATTGTGCCTCGACCACCAAAATGTCTTGTTTCAAAGATTAGATTTTATCTTCAATTGCGAGGCTCCTTTTGTTTGTGCACCATGCATGGTCTCTTTTAGAGCAGGTTGTTTTTTAAATGCAATGCATGGGTCTTCCTCCCTCTCTCTCTCTCTCTGGACATGTTGATCCTTCCTTTATGTTTGCTCCTTTTCATGGAGGTAGAAGACAGGATTCTTCTATCCAAAGAAGATTGGCATCCAACGAAAAGGTTGATCTTCCCAGTCACCATACCTTCACCCTTTACCTCATTCTGCTCTGATCTCCAGTCCAGCTCTTTGAGTATATTTTCAATTCGAGTAAGAGGGGATGGATGAGCTCCTAGTTATTGGGCAATACACTATTAGAGTGATTATCTCCCAGCTTTAGGTACTGCCTTTTCTACATTCGCTCACTGCAAGGTCCTGGTGCCGTGTGGTAAGGAAAACGAATAAGAAGGGAGAGGAGGGGAACAAAAAAAAGGGAGACAAGCAGCTCCCCACGTTTATTTACAACCCTTATTCATATTACCCCCCTCACAGCACTTGACAATCCCGCCCTTCACAAAACTGGGATACTTCTGCCTCACGACCTTGGCCAACTTGACCGCATACGACGCCGCGTTTTTCGAATGCCGGTTTCCGGCACAGACGACAGCACTAGGGCGCTTTGTAGCCCCATCACGGGGTCGGATCCGGAAGACGACATCTTTTTTGTGCTTGCAGAAGCCCAGGATTGCAGACTTGAAGGGTCGGAGGTCGGGAAGCCGGTTTTTGGGGGTGTCGCATTTGGAGTCATAGTGGCGGCGGAAGCCCGGATTACAGGAGGGTGTGTCGCGCCAGCAGTGGAGTGAGAGTGTGAAGGGGAGGAGGATTAGGAAGAGGAGTAGAGAGGAATACCTCATTTTTGTTGTGTTGGTTCTTGGTGTTGTATGCTGGTTGTTGGTTGTTATTGTTGTTCTTGTTTGTGAAACAAGAGGGCACAGGTGGGTGTATGGGCGGAGGTGTATAGCGCAGAAAGAGAACATAAAGGAAAAAAACGAGTAGGAATGCTCGCCTTTATATTATTGCAGAGGATGGATACCACAAGTCACCACAGAGTTGCCACAGGTTACCGAGGATGTCTTTGTTCCCTGCCTTGTCTCTTGCCTTGAGAGCACAAAGGAGCTAGCCTGATGGGTATCGGGTCATTAGTCTTACTTTTTATGAAATTGGATTCAGTGCGAACTACCCTCATGTCTCGACAAGCAAAAGTTTGTTTTTTTATCATTCCAATCACACATACAAAAGATAGACAAAAGCAAAAGCAGGGTTGGAGGATGCTTTCAAATTATGAGCCCTCGTCACCCTGTTCCGTTTTGAAAGAATGATCCTCCCCATTAGGTTCCTCCACAAGTTTCCCCAAAAGGGAGGGTGATGGGGGGTACCAGTTGGGAAAGGAAAGGGCAAAAGCCAGCTTCTCTCTCCCCCTAGACTCGGTCTCAACGTAAGTTGAAAAAGGGAGTGAGTGCTCCAATAAAGTCCAAAGTTCCACACACGTTCAAAGGGTATTTATTAAGGGGTACACTCTTCTGAACCTGACAAGTGCGTGTTCAAGACACATGCCCTTTGCCACCACATCCCTCTCTGTCCTTTCATCTTTCATTACTTTCCGCATTTGCTCTCTTCTCTCTTTACTTTTTCATTGTTCACTCACTCTCTCTCCCCCCTTGCCCTTATTTTCATCACTCGCTGCTGCCACATCTCTTACGCACTTTCACCTGCGCGAATCATCAAAGGTACAGTGCAGTGTGCGGACATTTTGCCCAATATTTTCGCCTAGCAAGGGAATTCATGGCTGGGAACTCACCATTGCCGACAGTCTTCGGATTGTTCGCATGGATTAACGAGCTTATCTTTGTGGACTCAGACAAGAGGGGGTTCCATTCCTGTCTTGTCAGCCAGCGCAGGACCGTGATTGCTAGGATCTGCGCTGGTGACCCCACAATGACTGGACCACATGAGTCAATGCACTCCTTCAGCAAAGGACCAGCATCTGACATGCTTTGATGCATTTCTTGTTTGACCATGGCTGGGGACTCACCATTGCCGACGGTCTTCGGATTGTTCGCATGGATTAACGAGCTTATCTTTGTGGACTCAGACAAGAGGGGGTTCTCTCCCTGTCTCGTCAGCCAGCGCAGGACCGTGATTGCTAGGATCTGCGCTGGTGACCCCACAATGACTGGACCACATGAGTCAATGCACTCCTTCAGCAAAGGACCGGCATCTGACAGCGATTTATCTCTTGCTGTGAGTAGCTCACATAATTGCCTATTAGCAGTACTGACTCACTGTTCTACTCTTTGAGACTACTTACTAGATTGTCGTGAAGATGGAGATCAAGGACGCACTTAGCATTATTACAAAGGGGCTTTCGAATCCACAGTACTTTGAAGAAACGCGACCAACCCAATACGACATCACTGCATACTGTGTTTCCTGTGGAAAGGAGCGTCAGACAAAGAATTAGGGCGAGAGTAGATATCGGTTCTTGTGCCGCGGATGAAGGCAAATAATATCAAAATATTTCAGGAGACCGCTACAAGGTTGGAGAAGAGGGCTAGGAGCACTGAGCGGTCGGAGGAGTACGTGGACAACGAGATGCGCAAACTCTTGAGTAGATACAAGTTTGAGTATCGTGAGACCGCTTTGGATCACTCTAGCCGTACCATGGCGAGGGATTTTCAGGCTCTTGGTAGGGTATCCGTCTTTCCTTGTTCTCAGCGATGCTCATTTGCTAGCGTTTTAAATCCTAATGGAGTTTAGATCCAGATCCTTTGCCCATCGCCAAGCACACCACCTCGTCCATTGCCGACTCCACCATGTCTACCCCAAGCGTGACGTCATCCACTAGCGCCATTGCTTCCTCCACTGACGACCCCACCCTGTCTACTGATGGCCTGACGTCGTTCACTTCCAGCACCAATGCCACCCCTATCACTACCACAGAGGCTGGTGAGGGGCATCATGTGTTCTTTGACCCTAGCACTGCCGTGGCCATAATGCTAAAGATTGCCGGCGTGGATGTTGGTGCAGGCTTCAAAGAGTTCCAATGTGAAGCGGCCTCAATCGTCAATGACATGACCAAGAAGCTTACTCTTGAGCGGTTACCGATGTTCATGTAGGCTCAGTGAACACACCCATTTATGATACTGCGCACGACGTCTGTCTTGCTAATAGTTTTTTTCTGTTTAAATGAACTCAGGGCATGCAATTACATTTTGCATCTCGATTTGGATCTTCCGGGCGTCGACGAAGACGACATGGACAGGGTGCGGGAGTCTCTGCACGTGAGCTTCATGAGCGTGTCGAAAGAGACCGCGCTTCTTTGCATTGCCCTCGACCAAGAGTTGGCGAAATTCGGGAGGGCGTGATCGAAAGGGAGCGAATGCGAGGAAGAATATCTGCGCTCCCTCTATCAACAGCTGTAGGTGACTGAATATGCTACCTGCACATTAAAGCACGTTCAGTTGACCAGAGTATCCTTATGTAGGCCCTGATTTTGTAGGCTAACGCTCTACGATCTTTATTCTTTGAACAATAGGGGTTTCAAACCTTGACATTTGACGGCGTGTAACCAAATGCGCCGTCAAGGAAATCCGCCTTGGAAATACGTTTCCTCTATGGCTGATGTGTTTCGAAATACGCTTCGATTTGAATGTGGACATTTCAAGGTTTGAAACCCCCTAATAATGTAGCTCATGGAAGCTTCCTCGGTGGACATAGCGTTTCGGCTGCACAACGAGGACACGCAGGCACATGCATCGCTTGATGCCTTGATGTCCATGGTGTTCCCTGCGTCTCACCGCAATGTTGAGTTAAGTTGGGCAAACAGGGCGTCCATTGGCTCCAGGGACCGCCGAGGAGACTCCAACAAACCTGACGCCACCATTGTCAAGGATACGTCTGTTGTCGGATTTGTGGAGATCAAGCCGCCGGGAGAGGAGCGGCTTGAGAGGGTGTTCCTGGACGGCCAGTGGGCACTTGACACTTTTGCTAAGGACTCCATTGACTATCATATACGTCATGGCCGCGGCTTAAAGACCATTCCATGCCTCCAAGTCTTTGGTAAATGAGCAGCATTGACATTTGGGCTTGCCTACAGAATGCCTTGTAAGTTATCTTTGCGATGCTCTCTATTTGTTTATATTGTGTTGCGGCGTGTAATTTTCAATAGGATTTCAGCTGATCCTCTACAAGCTTGAGTTCACATCTGGCCTCTATGTCTGGCAACATGTGGGAGCCGCGTATCTTCCTCGTGATATGAATGACCACGGCACTATTGCAGGATCTATTGCTTTGTTGCACACTTTCATGGTAATTTGGATATGGACACTCGAACCTCGAGTGTAATGAGCGCTTTCCTATATTTGACTTTGTCATGTCTGGCCTCACAAACAATGCTATAGAGCGGAAAGAAGGACTTCAATGTCACCTCCCATAGTAATAGCAAATCCAGTATGTAGTGCTTATGGAGTAGAGAATTCGATAATAAAAAAAATGTGTGAAAGGAAAGTTGCTATTGTTCCCTATTCAAGCAGGCTAGAAGGGGTCAGTCATCCGGAAATCAATATGGCCATCAGAAACTCTAGGGCTTATATCTCAAGCGCCTGAAGGAAAAAAAGAAAAAGAGAGAAGAGATGTTCTTTCGACTTTCGAACAAATCTATAGAACAATGGGCTTGATCTCAGCAGATCATAGCAAACAAGGCTACTCTATGGCTTACAATACCCCGTTCAATTAAAGTCGTCTGCAATGGATTTATCTCGTATAATATTTGAAATTCACATTAGCAGGAACCTCACAAAGCCTTTCTGCTCTACAAGATAACCCCACCTAGTTTGATTCAGGATCCGAAGATCTATTCGTATTCAACTAAAAATCGCAAAGGTAATCGTCGCGTTCTAGCACGGGTTCTGACTTAGAGGCGTTCAGCCATAACCCAACGGATGATAGCTTCGGGCCATTGCCTGCTCAGGCAGGCCCAAATACCAATTATCCGAATGAACGGTTCCTCTCGTACTAAGTTCAATTAATATTGTAACAACATTTCATCAGTAGAGTAAAACTAACCTGTCTCATCACGGTCTAAACCCAGCTCACGTTCCCTATAGTGGGCGAACAATCCAACGCTTACTGGATCCTGCTTCAGTACGGAGGCCATCCACATCCCCTATATAGCTTAGCAATAACTACAATATAGATAGGTGCTATGACAAGTCCCAATAGCTCCTATCTACATTGTAGTTCTTGCTAAGCTATATAGGGATGTGGGTGGCCTCCTATGATAGGAGAGCCGACATCGGAGGATCAAAAAGCAACGTCGCTATGAACGCTTGGCTGCCACAAGCCAGTTGTCTCTAATCGCATGCGATTTTCTTATTCTTTTAAAGTGTAGAGACACTTTTTTTTTTCAAGGCAATACAGAGAACGGAGGCGTAGATACAAACGGGATGTAAAATTAAAGCGCCGCCGCGAGTAACAGAGATATGTCCCATAAGGTACCCATGTGTAACAGGATCATCGCCTGTCTCCTAGTCTCCTACCGTGCCTCCAATAATACGCCTCCATCTAAATACGCTCCGCCTCCCTTAAAGCCGCAGATATAGATACCTCTTCTTGTAAAATAATCAGTTTTGGTTTCTGCTTCCTTCTTTATCTGCCCTGCAATTTCTCAACTCTTCTCTTGTTTGCTCCATTGCTCTCGTTCTTTGGCTATTACAACCTGGTAGGTCATAAATATCCACCTTCTGTTTATCACTCCTGTAGACAGCAAGTAAACCCTAAAACAACCTACCTCTCCGCTAAAACCTCACTAAGAATATCCTCTATTGAGGTTAAGTGTTGGTCACAATTCTCAACGGGATATAAAGGCTCCCCAAGGCTCACGACGATAAAGATATCGTTCTTGTCACTCAACGGACCTCATCTTTTACACGCCCACTAATAACTACGTCCTCGTAATTTTGCTCCCTCCGTTATTTTCATATTCTACTCGCCATCTAGAAAGCCTTCGCCTCAGTATGGAGAAAGCGTTGGCGATTCCGGAAATCAGGAATTATATTGGCATCTTTCTTTCCAACAAGGAGTTCAAATCATGTAGCTTCGTTTCCAAGGCTTGGTTCGAATACTTTCTGCCATGGCTATGGCAGTCATTTACATTACGTCATGATACTTCAGGCCACATCCAGCAAGCTATGAACAAGTATGGTCTCCTCATTCGAAATCTTCGTCTTCAAGTCTATCGGAAAGTGCAGGACAAGGGCGTCTTTAGTAGCTGCACGCAAGTACAGTCCCTGCGAAGTCACTACGGTAGTTTTGACAACGCTCTTAGTGAGGAGTCACAGGCCTATCTCGGCGACCTCGTCCAGCTGAACCAATTGACACTCAAAACGCTTACCCACTACCAAGAAAGTTCTACGCCACTGCCCAAAGGGATCCTACTGTCTATTTTCTTTTGCCCCAACCTCGAGAGATTGGGACTCCATAACTTTAAATTGGACCAAGAGATGGCCGAGCACCTCATACGCCTCAGCCGACTGAAGAGACTCTCTCTTCATTGCTTTCCTTTTCTGGAGACAGTTCGGTGGAGCGATGGCATCAGCTTCCCGAGCATAGAGTTCCTCTCTATAGATTTTACGGGTGTCGATTGGGAGCTCGAATTGATTGCGCGGTGCCCAAACCTAACAACGCTTGTCCTCACCCCCGGCGATCGTAGAGTCTTACTGGAGCGTACCATTCCTGCCTGTCGAAGACTCTGCGTGCTGAAGGCGTCCTGTCACATGTCAGTGGAAGAGATGGCCAAATTAATTGGCGCCTTGCCGCCGATGAAATGTATTCAAGTCCAACATGAAGATATTCCCGACCAGCTCCAATACTTTTCTTCCCTGCAACGACATTACGCTACTCTCGAGCACGTCCATCTGGCAAGCATTGGGGCGCGTACGATCGAGAGTGCGCAATTCCTGACAATTCTGTGCTCATGCCCTAGCCTTCGCTCATTTGCGGCATATGAGATATCAGGATCGGATATTGCAGAGAGTCAGCCCTGGGTCTGTCTTGAACTGGAAATATTTCACGCGCCCATCAAGTTCGATTTCGGCCAGGGCGCCTTTATGGAGACTCAGCACGCTGTATACATGCAACTCTCTCGACTCTGCCGACTACGTGTGCTGAACCTTTGGCGCGGGAGTCCTCGGTTCTACGGGCCCCTACCTAGCCTGCGACTAGGCGAAGGGTTGACGATGTTGAGGTCGCTGAAGTTGTTGCAGCATTTAGCGGTACCTGGACATGTGGCAGCAGAGCTAAGAAAAAGAGACATCGAGTGGATGGTCAAAATGTGGCCAAACCTGCGCACGATGAACAGCTCTGAAGACAGAAGAACCTGGCGATTTTGGGAGCTTTGCAAGAAGTATGGCATTAGCAAGAAGCTCTTCTACGACTCAAGCTGCTCCTTCCTAGACGACTAAGCAGCCAGGTGTCTGATATTGCTTCCCCTTTGTATCTTTTGCTAAGACGAACAGGTGATAGAAAGCGTACACCTTAAATAAATTCTCATAATCGTACACGAGATCAAAGCATCAACGACGCGACCTTGGGTGATAATGAAGGAAGAGAAAAAGATCTGACATCGAACGATTAAAAAGCCACCAGCTGGATATCTCATTATTAAGAAAGTACAGAAACCCTTGAGTAATCCCAAACGAAAATGAACAATAGGACCCCCATAAGTAAAACAAAAAGATGGCAAGTGAACAAAGCATTGACAGTGCGACCTCAAATTCTAATGAAGCAAGGATTGAAAGAGCCGACATCGAAGGATAAAAAAACAACGTCGCTATGAACGCTTGGCTGCCGCAAGCCAGTTATCCCCATTCTACAACATTGAACGACGCTCAGTTCACTGTTTTTTTTACATCCTCGCTAGTTATTCAACCAGTTGGCTATTTATCGGTACAAATAACTTTTAATTCATTTTGTCAATATGTGGACTAAATTTTAATACCACCATCAAGCATGAAACGTACGAGTACCCAGCCAGACTGCCTCCAGTTTCTCGAGCGCTAAGAGATGTCTTGCAACGCGCGCCTCGATTGACGTATCCTTGGCCTCGTTCATATGAGATTCGATGAACGTAGTGTCCTCCTCGCCCTTCCTTTGTCTTCCTTCCTTCCATAACTTCAATGTCCTGTCAACCTTCTCTTTCGTGTTCAAGCCTCGAATGCGCACCCGAAGTTGTTGTAGACCTCTGCATGCCCATTCCTCCTCTTCCACAATGTCCATGTCCATCTCGTGACCCTCAAACTCGAGAAACTTGAGGTATGGGCAGCACCGCGGCAGCAATTGCACAGCTCGACCCGACTGTTGAAAGTGATCGCCCTCCAAAGGAAGCTCATCTCTCTCGGTATAAGAACACTGGCTGTCCAAGGAGGCGCACACCCGCAGCAATGTTTCCCTGTGAAATAACAGGGCTACAATGACGTCCATGGAGAGCTGAATGTACTCAAATGTGACGTTCTTCAAGCCGTAAAACGCGTTGGCCACCAAACTGTGTATAATATGCGGAGGCGATTTCCATGTGTCAATCATGGTCACTCGTGGACAGCACCTTGTCACCTCTGTCTTGATTCGCTCAACGGGAACGAACAAGGCTGCCGACAGGTTGTAGCAGTGCCATTCAATCAAGTTGGGGAAATGCACGAGCAGTGAAAAGCCAAGGGACGATAGGCCGGATTCGGGATCAGGTTGGAAAACTTGTTTGATTGGAGCCAGCAAGGTAACCACTCCCTTGTGTTTGAAGGCATCGATAGAGGGGCCTGAGAATAGAGCGACGTCCTGCTGCAAATCCAGGTATGTGAGTAGAGGACAATTTCTCAGTAAGGAGACAAACGAATCTCGGCTGAAACAAACACCATGGAGACTTATATTGGCGAGTCGAGAGTCAGGAGAGTAGGAGATGAACGCATTTACGGAGATCGTTCGAGAAGAAAAATCCCGCTGTTTTGCGTTCGTATCCATCTTCAGTGTCAACTTCTTGAGGCTTTTGTTATTATTGTAGATGAGATCCATGCATAAAGTGCGAAATCGGGCGCTTGTTGCACATGTTACTTCGAGAACACGTACATTCTTGATTGTTGAACGAAGAACAGCATTCAGTTCGGGCTGGGTCTTGATATTCTCGATAGTGCGGATGTGGCGTCCATGCTTGGTGATAATATTGCCGTCAAGGTCTTTGAAAGTGCGGTGAATATTAAAATCGACGGTATACCATATCGCCGAAGTGAAATCCTTGGACCAAGCCTTGGAAACGCGAACGCAGGAGATGGCATCCTCCAAGGAGACTAAGCGACTGACCCGGGCTCTGATCTCGGGGATTTGGAGTGGGTTCTTCTCGATTGAAGGGTTTATCATGATTGGGGTGTAAATAGGTGTGAGCGATATAATCAAAAGGACGCAGTGAGAGAAAGATGTGTATTTTATATGAAAGGGACGAAGATTTGTCTTCACATGGTTTGACAAGGTATGTGGTGATACAACAAACTCGAACACATCATTCTTCCGTCAGACAATAATCAAGGCAAGGAGCAAGATGTCGCCTTCTGCATTGCGCGTATGCGGTATATTCCAAAACAATTGGTGACATATGCTTGACACCATATTGTTATTGGCAGTAGTCGGAGCGTCTACATAACCTTTTTGTCATGGACTGAAAGAGTCAAGGCGGTAAGTTATTACGGGATTTAGCTAACGTCAGTATGACGAACGCATTAATGGAGGCCGTTTCACTCAGACTTACGTCTAAAGTTTCTTTACAACCTCCACGCTCCTACTCACCAGGGCTTCGCTTTACCCTAACGGCGAATTATGGGAATACGCTTGAGCCCATCCATTTTCAGGGTTAGTTAATTTGGCAGCGGATTCCTACTTCCATGGCCACCGTCCTGCTGTCTAGATGATCTGACACCTTTCGCGGTGTGTGATAAGCGTGTATTCCAGAGTCTTAAATCGCGTTTGGCTCATCCCACATCACCAGTTTCGCTTTTTAAAAATAGCTCACTAGAAACTCTCATTCAAATATCCAGGTGCAGCTAAAGAGCAAGAACTTCTTACATATTTAAGGCTGTTTCAGTCCCTAGGCCTCTAATCATTCCCTTTACCTCATAAAACTAAACGAGGTCCTGCTATCCTGAGGGAAACTTCAGCAGGAACTAGCTGCTAGATGGTTTCGATTAGTCTTTCGCTCCTATACCCAATTGACGGTCGATCTGCACGTCAGAATCGCTACGAGCTTCCACCAGAGTTTCCTCTGGTTTCACCCTATTCAGGCATAGTTCACCATCTTTTCGGGTCCCAGCATATATGCTCTGACTCAAATTTATCCAAAATGTCAAGATCGGTCGATGCTGCACCTTGCGGATCGCACTTACGTTCACTTTCATGACGCGCATGGGTTTGCCACCCAAACACTTGCATATATGTTAGACTCTTTGGTCCGTGTTTCAAGACGGGTCGTTTAAAAGCCATTAAGTCAACATCCTAAGTGTGGAAGAGCCGTGTTGAGCGTGTATGAAAAAGACACGACGCAAAATGCATACATTGTACGCCGAATGATCCCATAGCATGCTCCTGGCAAGTACACATACCATGCATCCCACCAATTCCAACACCAATGCCCAAAAAGTAGTGTCGTCTGTCGCAGTTCGAAAAAAAGTGTATTAGGAGGAGGGAGAGAGTACCCAACTCCTTAGAACGACTGTACTGTACAAGAAAACGCTGTTATTGCATTTTAGTGGTGGTGAGGGTGAACGTCTGATGGGGGGCGTGCTGGTCCTGTAGCGTGCACCTCGGGGACTGTAGCGTTATTGATCTTCAAGAAAGTGCCCCAAGCTACATGAAAAAAGAGTACCAAGAAAGCGTAGAACAATTTGGTAAATTCGTTAATGTCTTTCTTCGGGCTCGCAGGGCACATAAAAAGTAGAAAGTTAAAAAACATATGAAGGGTTGCTGGGTGTCAAACGGCTTACCATCCAACGTGGACTTGACAGATCCGCGCTCGATCCAGAACTAGTATCGATTGGGTTTGGTAGGAAGAATAAAAAACGTGTTAACATAAGACGAGGATAAGGACCATATTACGTCACGTTGAAGAGGCAACTCCAGGTGAGCATAGGCGACAGTTACCATCTTCATCTCGTCTGTGAAACCACGCCACTCGATCTTGGACTCGATAGCGATAACCCTCATCTGGTCCACGTCAGCCTCCTCGAGTTCTATTACCACGAAAATAAGAAAAAAAAAGGAAGGCCGTTAGCTTGGTTGCTTGGTGAACAAAATACTTCTCACGCCTCCAACGTCCCACCCCCTGAGCAACGAAAGCAAAACGAAGCGCCTGCTTCCAACAACAACAACAACAACAACAACAACAACAACAACAACAACAACAGCAACAGCAACAGAAACAACAGCCTTCCATAGTTATCAACGACTGTCTGTTTTGGCTCTGTCTGATTCCAACAACAGTGACAACCACAACAGTGTGTCATGTGTCGTCATGGCAATCAACGACATCCTGCTCTGCTTCTGTTTCTCGATTCCCGATTCGTGCCTTTTCGTCACAGCCATCGACTTGATCCCGAGCAAGTGCTTGTGTTGTAGATTACCATCGGTGCGCTCGGCGTCCATGCGCTCGCAGGTGCGCATCTTGCAGTACTCGACAAAGCCGTCGCGCTCCTCGGCGTCAGTGACCTGGAGCTTTGTCTGGGTAGGGGTGGGGTTGACTGCTGTGGTGGCCATTGTTTATATGCTTGTGTGTGTGTGTTGTAAAAGGCGCTTATCGCGGTTGGAGAAGAGGAAAAAGAGGGAATAGTGGTGGGGGAAGCAGAAGGAAGGGCTGGAAAGAAGTAAGAAGAAAGAGAGACGAACCTGGGTTCGGCTCTTCTTCTTTTGCACAGAAACGTACGTCTCTTTCTAATCTGCAAAAAAGCTGACTGCCTTTTACCATTTTTTGATCTTTCGTTATCTGCGGCCCATGCGAACAAGTGTTATCAAAAGAACGCTCTATCCACTTGTTTATTAATCGATACGGTGCGGTGTGGTGAGATAGGCAACATTAGCACAGGCATCCTCGGGCCGGTCCTTAAAGTGCACAAAGTGACCCTGCAAGGCTGCTGTGCTGACCTTGTGGCCCTCCAGCGATTTGACAAATTTCTCTGCCAACACATCCTCAAGCTCATAGAACCGCTTAAACATCTTGCGGATCTGTGCCGGGGTAGCATCACCAACATATTCTCGCAAGTCAACACGGCCAGGGCGGATCAATGCTGCGTCCAAAATCTCAATGTGGTTGGTCGTCATAAAGATGATCCTGCCTTCCGATGACGCCACGCCGTCTAGTGCATTAAGCAGCCCGCTGAACGTTACCATCGATTGGAATCTAATGGGTGAAGGAAACGAAAGGCACATACGTTAGCACAGTGAAATAAATGCTCATAACTATTCCTATATCGCTAGAGCATTAGTTCTGCGTACCCTTCTTGAGTCTTGTCGCGTTTGGCAAAGGCGGCGTCAATGTCTTCAAGCAACATGATACTCCGTTCGGGCAAATTGGTCAAGAGGTGGTTCAATCGGTCGTTGGTAAGTCCGCGCTCGCTCAAGTTCAGGATGCAAATGTTATACTCGAGCTCTCCTGCCAATGCCTGAATAAAACTCGTCTTTCCGCTTCCTGGAGGTCCATAAAGCAAGTATCCGCGACGATATGGGATACCTATCACAAATATTTAGAATTCAAATAAGGTCAGTATGAGATCGTCAAATGACAGAAAAGCAACAAACAGCACACGTTGTTCACACAAAGCAAGAGTGGGTCTTACCTCGGTCGGCGTACCACTTCTCGTTTTTCACAAACTCCTTGACGTCGCTCACGACTCTCTCGCCAACGCCCTCGTCTAAAATGACACTCTGCAGCACTCTCCTCTTGCGTGGCTGTCCAAAAGGTCTCCACTCTGGTCCCCAACTCGTGTAGATCACAGTCTTGCCCTCCTGGTTCAACAATGCCATCTTTTGTGCCTCCTGCAACAGAGCCGTAAACACCTGTCGATCCCGCGACAAGGTCGTCAAAGTCACAGTTTCCCAGGGTGCGCCCGTAGACAGATCCATCATCTTGGCATCACGAGTCCTCTCGACTTGGATCCATGAACCGTTGTATCGGATCAAATGCTTGCCGTTACCAGGGACCAAGTTGAACCGTGTCGTGACTGAGCCGTTGTCATGTTGTTTGAACTCTGTCTGAACCGCCAAGAACTGCGAGCGCTGGTTGACTTTGTTGGCGACGCGATCACTCAAACGCCCGAAAATTCCCTTCTTTCCTGCTGATGCTGCCTCTGCTCCTGAAGCGTGGGTCAGTGATGCGGCATTTCTTGACTGGGACGACATCCAGTGCAAGAACCACAGGTACGACTTGTCCTTGCTTGGGATCTCGAGTGTAACAAGGAGCTGTCGACGAAGTACACTCGCTCCCGAGACGGTTCCTTTGCGAAGAATGGTCAGTCCTGCGCCGATAGCCATAAGCCCGAAGCCAGCCGAGAAGTAAGGGTTCGAGTCGAGGACAGTCTGGACAAAGCCCTTTTCCTCCTTGGCTTCTGGCAGATTCGACGAGGTAAGGGTAGGTGATGTTTGCGACGATGAGGATGACGTGTTCTGTGTTGGGTATGAAGGTGATGATGGTGCTGTTGTTGCTGAGGAAGACGCTGGCGGCCGGGTATTGATAAAAATTATATGTGGCTGCGGGTGAGACGACGACGCGCCTTGGGTTGCCAGGGGAATAGAGACGGTCTGGTCAGTCTCCCCTGTTGGTGAATCGTTTAGAGAAAGTGTTGCCATGTCGTAAGTGTGCGTTGGTGATGACAGCCGAGTGCGTCTTGTTCGCGTGTTTTATCGATGAGTTGCCCTTCCTGATGTGTCCCGAGGAGAATGTTGGCTGCCTGCTTGAAATGGGTCGCCAGGGGATCAGTTTCCTTGTTCGCGTAGAAAAGTATAAAGGAAGAAAACGGCCGCCAACTCATAGCCTCAAATTGTTGTGCGATCGACTGTGGCTTAGTAGTGGACAATCATTCGTTCAGGAACCACCCTTTCATCAATATTCCATTTTCCTATCTCTGCAGTCGGGCTATTCACACCTTTGTGGCATTCTTCGTTCAAAGAACAGTTGAAGAAAGCGCCCGAGTGTCCAGACTTCGTCTAAGCAATATCAATGTCCTTGGCAAAGCACACATTGTAATAGGTTCTCCAAATAGTGTTGTCAAACTTAATCTTGCGTGAACTAAAGAGGCCCGTGGAGAGATATGCAGTCAGCAATGATCGACGAAAGAGTTAAATGAGTGCTATGGCTAGTATCTCTGTCTTGAGCACGCCCATAGTTGCCATACTCTTCCCCTCCCTTATCCCACCCTCCTCTCCTTTTGTTCCTCTTCCCCCACCACCTTCCCTTTTGCTACCCTCACCTTTCTCTTCCACCTCCAGCAACACACCTTGTCGGTCTCCGTTGCCCCGTAACCGAGTTCGTGTGGTTGAACCCTGGCAACCTTTTGCGCGATAATGATTCATATCGCTACCATAATTTGACGTTGCACTTAGAGCGCGTTTCAATCAGACACCTTCATTTATTTACAGATCAACCTCTGCTCTTTTTGAGCCATTTCTCTTTTAGTGTAGGAGGCGCGACATGGAACAGAGATCTTATTTCCTTCTCGGGTCGTTGTTCCAAATGATTACCACAGGCGACTTGCTTAAGTTCAGGAAGGCACACAGACTTGTCCGCGTCTATCTCTGCCATCGTGTCCTTCACGTCCTGGAGCAAACCAAGATTGCTCAGACTTGCCATTAGCGCCTCATCGTCGGCTCCCACTCCAATAATATCCATGGAGGCCCTCGCAATGTTCTCCAAACGAGCGGCTTCCATGACAGCTTCCTCCTCCAGTCTTGACGTCCACCCATCAACAATCTTTCGCCTCCTTGCTCGATGCTCCGCAGCATGACCAGACCGACACAACCAATTCAGCTCCGCAATCTCACACTCCACCTTCCTGTTCTCCACCCGAAGACGCTCCAGTCGCACGAGTCTCGACAACAAACAAAGACCTTCCTCCAGAAGAAAAGGTCTTTGCCAGCCGAACTCGCGTCCACCTCCAAAGTTGCAGTATTCAGGGAACGAGATCCGGAGGTCTTGTAGGTCCGGGTAGACTCTGGCAACATATCCGTAGGCGATACCCTTGCGGGTGTTGTCGTGGATGTGGAGGTCGAGGTAGAGTGTTTCCAAGCCGCGGCAGATCCAGATCCCGGGGACAGGTTGCACATGAGGTTGAGAATGGGGGTCTTCTATCGGTGGGAGCATGCTGTTGCGGCGATGAAGGTCCATATACTCGACCATGTAAGGCATCTTGAGCGTCTTGAGGTGGCGGAGGTTTGGGCATTCGCAGAGGAGCTGGTGCCAGATTATGGGTGTGTACCTGGTACTGAGGTAAATATCCGTCGCGGTAGCAGTGAACAAAACTGGGGAGGATAATGTTGAGGGTGGTCAAAGCTATTAGCTGATCCTTTAGACACTCTGCAATCCTTGGCGTCAAATGATGGGCAAGAAAGGTCCGTTCTTGCGCTTGGGGACAGGTTGCAAAGATCTCCTCCTCTTGTTTGTCGTTTGCCCAGACAGTCCACATCATCGAGTAATGGAACTGCTTGAGTGGGAGGGAGAGCGTCTGTAGGTGCCGAGAGAATCGAGGCCAGTCCCAAGGATGAGTGTGCGCATTCGAGATCATAATCAGTTGGAGATCCTCAAGGTCGGAGGTGGCCTTCAGCAAGTCCTCGACCCACTCCTGATAGATTTGTGATTGCTTCAGAACCAGGGAGCGCAGTGGCAGACGAGTAGGAAGGAGTTCATTTCTTAGACTCGTCCAAGTTCCGTAGAGATGACAGACCCAGTGGGAAAGTAGGTGCAAGGACTCCAGGAGCAGACACATGGCCAAGATCTTGCCGAGGTCAAAATATTTTCCAATTTCTCTTTCAATCGTCAGGCTTCGTAACGTCGATGGGTAAGGGAAGCAGTCGATCGGTGCGCTAAAATCGTCGGTCATCATCAAGACTATCTCTCGAAGGGGCCGATGCAACGTTTCCGCGATGTATGTCGCTTGCGTGTGTCGTCGGTGCCCAAGGTGAAGGAAGGATGGCTAAGTCAACCACAGAGGGTGTGGTGGTTTCTGGAGGGCCTTGACCGCACTATGGACATTGTGACCCTGCCACCTTTTTTCCCATTGGAGAGTGTGGATGGCGAGTCGCTCGGCACCGGGCAGTCGTTTTAGAGCCTTCTTGGGCTCAACAGGCTTCCAGGTCTCGTGACTATCTTTATTTTCTCGGCAAGTCCAAAGACAAAAGAAAAAAGTGCTAAACATAAGGCCTCACCATCCGTGTAAGTGCATCGCGAGGCAAAAACTACACTGGGGGATGGGAAAGGCGGGACATGAAGTGGGCTTCCCACCTCGTACCTCGTCCCATGTTTGTGAGCCGTTGGACAAGTCCTCGGTGAAAAGAGACAAAGGCGTTGTGAGAGCAAAGGCGCTATCTTTCTTTCCCTGGTAGTGTAACTTGATGCCAGTCGCAATTTGTCCACAGTGTTATCTTACACTTGAAGTTTTTCTTGTTTATCTCGAGCAAGCTCTATGCGAGTTAGGGAATACTAGAATAACCCGTCTGTTCTCCTGTTCTTGTTCCTCAGACTGCAACCGATCGTCTCATCCTCTGCTCCTTCCTGTTCTCTGCTTTCTAACTCACTCTGTTCTTTCTTCCTTCTATCTCTCCAATACAACAAACAAAAACAAACATACATCCCATTATCTCTGCTTGTTCATCGAGGTTAAAAAGAAATATATTTTTAAAGGTAAGGAGCGAAACAAAGACGGATATCCTTATTGCAAAAGAGTGTCATTTTAAAATGTCGGATATGATAGAAGTCCAAGAGTTATTGTTTATAGATAGGAGGTTGATTGTGGTGCGTCTTTATGTGGGTGACCCATGACCCAGTACGCACTCTGAAATGCGGGGTGATTTTGGGATGAACTCGCAGAAGCTGTCCTCCCAAGGTCCGTCTCTGAAAAAAATAATTAGAGGGCTGAGATCGTTTTCAGAAAACAGGTCGTCCAGCTCCCAACCACCATACGAGACGAGATCTTCCAGGCATTTACGATCGCCATTACAATCATCTTTTCCCGAATGATACCATTTCTCCCGTTTCTCCCGAGCCGTCACATCTGCTAAAGTACTAGCAACTAATAAGGCCAGTGACACCAAGACGATGATTCGCTTGTCCTGCATTGGTGAAGAATGAATGTTAGGAAGTGGAGGAGAGATGACGTTCTCACGCCTTGGCAATTATTGTAAGTTTTGTGGCTTAGCTTTCACTTTTGGCGCCTGCTCACCAACCACCTTTCTTTCCTTGTTCGAGCAGGTCTGGCCAGAGATGCCTTTGAAATGATGTAGGAAGCAGAATTGAAGTGAATTTTGTGGCTTAGCATTTTCACTTTGGTGCCTGCTCCAAGTCCCCTAGATAGAAGTTCGTCTAAAGCATCCTTGTTGACATATTTGTGTTAATTAATTTATTTTAATGATCGTGTTGACTTACTTTTTCTTATACTTTTAAACATCGAAATGGGCCACCCTCCCCCGGCTTACTTGGTGGCTCATAGTGGCTGCTTTTGGCATAACCTTAAGAGCTGAGCGCGATTTCGGTGGTTTGGCCGGTCTTGCATTTGTGAGAACTGGCCGTTTTTTTTGTCTTGCGTTTGTGAAAACTTGACCTCTCTGCATCCTCGCTGCTGCCACACTCTGTGAGAATTGGACCTCCCTTTTCGCTGTTCTGACGATTGGGGCACATGGACATAGTATCTTTGCTGACCGACACAAAGAATGCAATCAGCATCAGATTCCCTTATTATTAGTATAATTTTTCTGCCACCAACTTTGGGGGGAGGCAGCCTGTGGCGGTGGGGGGGGGGGGGGGGCAGCCTTTTGTCAGTGTAAAATTTCTTTTGTCTTAGACCGCCTGACTGAGCATGCACAACCCTAAGGCTGCCTCCTCGGCCTTGCGGCGGGGGCGGGTCTTGCGAGCCGAAAGACGTTTGCTCTTGCGAGTGCGCTCCTTGCGGTCCTTGTCGTCCTTGACGCGGCCGTCAGGTATCGAGTCCCATTTGCACTTGCGGGGGTGCGTCGTTGGCGACATGTTGTGAATGTTCTGAAGATGACGACGCAAGTTAGTGTTCTGGTTCTTACTTGGCTTAAAGGCTCGACTGCAGACAGGGCAGAGCAACAGCTGCATCGTTGTAGGAACTGGCTTCATCGATGCCGACACAACACGAGGCTGTTCTGTGGGGCCTGCGAGTGGGACATGTTTGGATGGGATGTTATGGAGGGTAGATGGAGTGAGAAAGAGTGATGGAGAGAGAGAGAGAGAGAGAGAGAGAGAGAGAGAGAGAGAGAGAAAGAGGGGAGAATTGGTGTCAACTTGATTAAATAAGAGGTTAATAAGAGTGTCATAAGAGTATGAGATTTGGCGTCAAATAGATTAAATAAGAGTGTAAGTCCCAGGCTACCTCTCGGTGCAGATGGTGTTGGTTGAGGAGGAACCATTGTCGACAAACGAGAACGACAGTCCTTGCGATGGTGTAGCGGTTGATATGCAAGAAGATTTCTCGAGCAGTTCCGGGATGTCCAGGGGGGAAAGTCGAGTCGTGGAGGAAGAGGGAATAAAGGTCCTGTTATTGGGCTGGTAGAGAACAAGGATGGCAGTCCTGAAAAGAAGAGCTGGCGAAAGACAAAAGTGGAAGAAGTAATGCGTGAGCAATGTAGTGGGTGAAGGTGAAGACGGGATTAGAGATGAGGGTGGGCTGTGAAGAGGAATGAACAATGACGTTGTGAAGGAGGAAGATTACAAAGTAAGGTGAATGAGTCAAGAGAAATCAGTTGAAGTTATGCACGAGTGGCGTCTGCTACGTCGCTAGTTACCACGGACTAATTGGTTCATGGTAGCTAAGCCCACGTTAGGGAGAAGAGCCTTTGTATCGTACTTTTCCTCGGCGGTGCGGTTTGTTGATTGCCTCGCTGCCTAACTTTTAGAGTTAGAAAGGCACACCAGTGAAGAATAATTGGTGGTACTCACAGCGACCCGATCGGGGTTGCAACGACTTCTGAGGCGATCGTCGTTTGATCACACCAAAGGTGCCTATCAGTCTCAAGCACTAATCATTCTGTAAGACCTCTTATTGGATATCCAGTACCTGGACACTCCCAGGGCGGATTGTTGCTGCTCACATGTGGACACCGCCGGGAGTAGAAGGAAGGATAAGAGGTACTAAGAGAAGCCAACATAACAAGACAACACAGCGAATCCGCTTATGTTCTCCTCTCCGAGCCCTGCAGGCCTTTTGCCACGTACCCACAAATCGTGCCATCGTGCCAGGCCAGACTAATCCAAGCCACTAGCGGAGACACACAACAATGTTCATGATCGCCTGCTGTTCAGTGCTTCTTGGTCGGGATTGATGACTGACGTGTTCAGAAGTCGAACATTTCCTGCCACAGCGACGTGAAAAAAATGTCATTGTAGCGATACACATTATGTTCAAACGCGAACACATTTTATTTTCTCTCACAGAACTCAATGCTTCCGCCACCTATCAAGTCTATTTAACGGAAACATACGCCGCAGCTCTTCCTCCGGTCGCAGCATGATCGGGTACTTGAACGACAGCCTTTCAAGGTTCGGCAGAAGTTGACACTCTTCGACATCCATCTCATTGATCATCTCTTCCACGTCCAGTAGTAGCCCTAGATTCCTGAGCCGATTCAATATGGCAGTGTCTGTGCTCCTGTTGTTGCTGTTGCTGGGTCCACTTCCCGTTGACAACTGTCGAACTTGTGCTCGCTCAGCCTCTACTCGATCCTCATTAAACCTCCAATTCCGCCACCCTTTAACTTCCTTCTGTCGACTCATCCTAGACAACACACTCTTCCTCCCAGAATCCAAGATCCAGTTCACATCCCACTCCTTACAACCCACAGTCACATCCATGGTGTTTGGTGTACCCTCAGTCTCTGCAGGTACGTCAACCGACCAAGCAGACAAAGCCCTGCCTTCAAGTCCAGACATCCCCCCGCATTAGGTTGATCATCATGCGGGAGACAGATTTCCAGATCCTTGAGAAGCGGGCACACTCGGGAGATGTAGCCGTAGACAATTCGATTTTGGACCGGGTGTTCGAATAGGTACTTTTTGGGACAAAGGACCTCGATGTGCAGGGTGTGGAGGCCACGGCAACGCCAAACCACAGGAAGAGAAGGAGGAGACGAGGGAGAGGCAAAGGCACGGGGAGCAGACGACAGGTGTTGAAATGTGGTCTCCTGCAAGGTCCTGTTGTCAAAGCCCTTGTCCAGATCAACATACGCTGCTCGACTAAAAAGATCCAAATCCTCGTGCTGTATCGCCGTCTTCAGAGTCGTAAGGTGCACAAGATAATCAGATTCACAGAGATATTGGTGAACGAGTCCCGAGGCATGGGCAAGTTCCTGTAGATTTGAGTATGCCAAGACCGACGAACGCATTATCGTTGTCGGCTTCCAGTATAGCTCCAGAGACGTAAGGTGGGTAGGCGGAAGGAAAAAGGTCTGCAGCAACTGAGGCGCCACATCCAGCGCCCAGAGTGTCAACTCCCTCGTCGACCGTGGATGCACCTCCGTCAAGAAATGCTCCCTCTCCTCCAGTGTCATATCGACTCCATGCATTGAAAAGTGTGAGCTGTCGAGGGTGATGTTGTTGGTGCGTACACATGCAGAGAGTCGCATCCAATCATATCTCCCGCTGTCCCACATCATGTTCTTTAATTTGAGCTCGAGGTGGGCTTGCGCGAGCGGGGTGTGGGAGAGAACCAAAGACCGGAGAGGCAGCGACTGTATTGCTGTGTTGTTGTTGTTGGTTCAAAAGGGGCTGACCAGGTCAACGTGACTCCAGGTGTCCCATGCGTATCCACAGACACACTCTCCAGCAAAGGACACCTCCTGAATATCCTGCTTAGGTCGAACTCGGAGAAAAACGCGGACCTGATGGCGATCGACAAGTTGGTGAGAGAAGGCGGGAAGGGAAAAGTGTTGAGCGAATTGCTGTTAATAAAGTGGATGAAGAGATTCAGCTCTCTAAGGGGCGTAAAGTCGTAAAGTGTCGCCATTCCCATTGCCATCGGCATCATGGTTGTCGTCCATGTCCAAAAGTCGACTGACGCCTACTGTTGTTGTTGTTGTTGTTGTTGTTGTTGTTGTTGTTGTTGATGTTGGTGCTGTTGAGTGCAGCGTCTCGTTTCCTTTGTGCCACTTGCTTCCCGTACTCAGCCTCAAGGCGCCCAAGGACCGCGCGGATAAAGTATTTGTCGATATCATTCTGCGCCTGTGTGCTATCAATGGGGAGGCAGCAATGGAGTCGTCCAGCACCAGGTAACCTGCGCACAGCGCGCTCCCTCCTGGAGGACTTCCAGTCCTCATGCCAATAGACCTCTCGAATGAGCCGGTTCTGGTTCAAGAGGCGCCACCGCCAGCAGACGAGGACGACAGAGACGGAGAGGGTGTGGTTGTCGAGGTACGAGAAGATGAGTTCGAGGATCTCGTTGATATCCAGAGGAGACTAAGGTATGAGTGTTGTTGTGGTGATTGCTGATGTGGTCGATGATTGTGTTGTTGCTATAGTTGTTTGTGTTCGTTGTTTGATGAAACGCATCATCATGAGAGAAGTAGCAGGGGGAGAAAAGCAAACAAGGTTCGCAAAGAGTGCAGATATCCCTCCTGAAATGTATTTTGGGGCGCACTGGGAGGATCCACCAGTGGGACACCAATGCCCTCTGGCGGCGCAAGTTGCTTCTGTAGTCGAAGCACCTGTTCATTTTCCTTCTTCTTTCGCACTTATCGCAGGGCCAACCAGAGTCCGAGCACTTTTTTGTGTTTGTTCGCAAATGCACCTTTCAAAAAAAAAATTAATACCCGTATATGTTGACTATGGGAGTAATAAAGTGCTTATTGTCATCATCAGGCCGGCCAAAGTATGGATTGCCGATCGAAGCCCCTCCTGACACGGCAACTACTCTCATCTGGCTGAAGTTATTTCTCTTTGCCGGTCTTGTTGATGTGAGACTATGGATAGCAACATACGGTAGCCTTAATATCTCAAAGTCTACCGAGTTCTGCGTTTACTCTAAAAGCTTGAGATCCTACATTGTTCCATTTATACGATGAGTTTACTGTCCCCTTAATGTTAATACTACTGCATAGGGCGCCGCTATTTTGCGTAAGATGATGGATCTCGGCCTGTTTTACCCTACTGGTCCGACTGATCTACTCGTGGCCGCCATCAGTCGATCTGCCACGACTCTCGAGACACTTGTACTCAACACAGAGGCTTCGAATCAGTCTCTAGACCTGAATAGGTCTATGGACACATTCCCATCTACCATTCCGCAGGTTGACGCACCTTGAACTCCTAGTCGATATGACCCCAGTTTCGCTTAACCTGATGGCCCGCCTACTACGAAGTCTTTCTCCGGTCCATCTTGGTGTCGATTCTTACACCTCCAGTCTCCTTTATAAATCAGGTTGGTATCCCTGCGATCTCTTCGTCTGTATAAAGTGGTTGACTCCTTTCTCAGGCGCATCTGTAAAAAGGACCTCTGATGCCGGCGCCTTGCCATATTTAGACATAAAGATTGCTCAAGTCACCATATCAGAACCATTGTCGGACGCTTTTAGCGCTGTACCACTGAGACGATGCTCCCTGAGCTGGTTCAATGGCGGCGTGATATACCGATTGAGACTCTGCGACAATTGAACGTCTCCCAGCTCCAGGTCCTTATCCCCGACTATGAAATTTTCAGCTCTGAAATGGATGCGGTTCTTGCAACAAGGAGTGCAGAGTTTACAGATGAGACGGGCTTGCGCTCCAACTTGAGCCCGAAAACGAGATGGAGGCAGGCGAGGCCCAGAAATTAAACCCGAGGGAGGTGCAAGGGTTGATGAAAAATCTGCCCCGTCATCGTGTTCATGTTGTTGACTCCTCCATTGAACAATCTCATGGCAATTTCTTTATCTTCCCCTAATCGCGATAATAAAAACGATATCAGTTTCCTTTGATACATGCAGTTTACTTTCTCGGCTGAGTCTACGACTTCTTTACACTGTCAAAGTGGTAAAAAAAAATAACGCGCAGTAAAGCATATAGCAAAGGACTAGCCAAGATACTTTTTCCGACGGAGATAGTGAGGTGAAATATTTTGATCATCCGCTCGTTCTTTATCATTCCGTCGCGACTTTTGCAGGCGCGACCAACAATTGATACATTGAGAGAGCGCTAGGCGCGTGTGTTTCAGGAGGTCACCTATTCCCTGGAGGCAGAGTAGCAACCTACGCAGTAAGGCATGGAAATTCTTGCGTGGACGGACAAAGGCTATTTGCCGGTTGGAGGCACAAGGAATGAGAACGCACAAGTTATCGCAAAGTATAATCACAAAGTAAACGAAAGGGCTCGCTGTAACTGCATTTTTCTTTACCCTCTTCATCCTGGCGCATAATTCCCTGGTACACTCATGCGCCACCCCTATGGACAAATCAAACTAGAGAGAAGAGACTCACTACCCCGAAAAAAGAGCAACATGCCTTGGCCCCATGGGGTAGCCCTTAACAGGGTACGGTCAGCCACCTAGCACTAGCGTCATCCAATTCGATGATGCCTTATGAATCATACTATCAAGCAGTACTGCTATCAAGTACACGAAACCATGTATCTCAAGCCTTTAAGCCACACACAAACTAATATATAAATGGCATTCTCTTCTCCCTTTTCACTTTCTCTCCTCCCTTTTCACTTTCTCTTCTCCCTTTTCACTTTCTCTTCTCCCTTTTCACTTTCTCTTCTCCCTTTTCACTTTCTCTCCTCCCTTTTCACTTTCTCTCCACAAAACAAAAAATGTCCCCTTCCAAGGTCACAGTCCGCTCGGCCACGCCTTCAGACGTTGGCTCGATCCTCTCTCTCATCCACGAGCTCGCCAAGTACGAACGGGAACCAGCATCAACCGTCGAAGCCACTGAGGACTCCTTACTCAACACCCTCCGCTTCACACCCCCCCACCCAACCTCCCAGAACCTCGCCTCCTGCCTATTGGCTTTTGTCCCCTCCTCCCCCGAACCAGTCGGTTTTGCCCTCTACTTCACCAACTACTCAACCTGGCGTGGTCGTGGAGGCATCTATCTCGAGGACCTCTTTGTCAAGGAGTCTGCACGAGGACAGCGGATCGGGAAGCGGCTCTTGGGCGAACTGGCAAGAGAGGTCGAATTGATGAATGGAGGGCGGTTGGAATGGTCAGTCTTGAAATGGAATGAGCCCAGCATTCAGTTCTACCAGTCCTTGGGTGCGGTCGTGATGGATGAATGGCATACTATGAGAGTCGATGGCAAGGCACTTACAGAGCTTTCGAAGGTTGGCGAGGGCATTGAAGGGAAGAGCACCACACTGTTGTAATGGGGCGAGAACTCTAAGGACGTCAATTGCTATTCAATTAGCATGGCAAGCAGGCAGGGTCTACGTGCTGCGCGGGAAGAGCAAAATTGCTCACAATAGAACCTCATGTTTCCTTCGGGGAAAATAAACCATAGCAATCCTTTACCCCCACATCATTAATTGTCACCTCATATTTTTTTCAGCAGAGACACCTACTTTTCGAATCTACTTGGAAACATACGCTGGTCCTCTTGGTGGACACGGATCTGGAGAACGTTGAAGACGGGGCGGGCTCAGAGGATGAATCCGAATACGAGGCAGCAGAAGGTGGTTGCGATCCTCTTGCTGCGGAGCTGAAAGAAGTAGGAGTCTTTTTTCATCACCCGCGCGTTCTTGGGACCTGAAATTGAACGTTCCTGGAACAACGAAGTGTGTTTGTTTCAGAAGGATGTCAATCAGTCTCTAATTACTGATTTGAGTGATTTCTAGATCTTCTTGCTAAGTGAGTGCGTTTGTTTCTTTGGCATTGAACAAACGGCGAGTGAATACAAAATGGAGCATACAGATAAACAATGTCCATATCTTGGTTTGCTGCAAGTGCACCTTTTTCTTCTTCCGGCCACAGAACTATCTTTGGCGCATGAGTCCAACCCATTGGACAACCTCGCTGTTGTTAACCCTTTTCTTCTTTCTTCGCCAACGCCCTCCTACGTTTCCATAACCGCCTCTCCTTCTCCCTCTCACACACAACTTTTCTGTCCATCCTTTTCATTCCTTCGACCAATTACATTTGATCACCATCATCGACACGCCAAAATCACATCACCCTCACTCACCACCGCCACTCGCTCCTTGTACTCTTGTCACCTATGACACCTCATCAACGCTTTCGACAGGGCAACACAGTCGTATCTATTGCCGTGCGCAAGGACAAGGCCTCTGGGGAAGCCTACAGCCGCATAACGGATACCCACAAATTCTTCCCTGGCGCCTCGCTGTTCAGCGTCAACGGTGTCTTTCTGAATTACCTCGAAGATGAGGAAGAGCAGGAGTAAGAATAACAAACTAGTCTTAACAACGCAAAAACGGAGAAATAGAGAAGCAGACAGAACTGCATTTTTATTTTATTTTTTCACGAGCTTCGTTTTTACTTACATTGTTTTACACTACTTTTGCCTACCATATGGTATAGGTATGAACCAAAGAGGATTGCCCACTATCCAGACCATGTCATCGACGTTGTTGTCCCCGGCTCTCTCAATGCTTCCACAGCTTCCTCTGTCAACCTCTCTGGAAGGACCATGGCGCAGACTGGAAGCAGAAATTCAAGCCACCCAACTCAATTGCTCACAAATGATGGCATGGAACTCTCTGTCTCTGTGTCGAATCTCTCTCTACGACCTTATTCCGTCCACACAAGCACCCTCGCTCGGCCCGCCACTTACTCCCTTGAGCGCTCTGCACCTTTATCGCTCTCAACTTCCACCGCCGTTGCACGCCAGACTATCTCCACTACTCGTTCCATGACAACACTCTCAGCAATCGCCTCAAACATTACTCACATCCAACAACAACTCACCCAGTCGACTGACCAACAATCAAACCATCACCAAACACTATTGCAACAGCTCTTTTACATGGTACAGCAGCAAAACGAAATGCTGAAGGAGCAAGCTGCATCAAAGGAGAGGGAGGAGCAGATGTTGAGGGAGCAGGCCGAGTCCAAACTAAGGGACGAGAAACTGTTGAGGATGCAGCAGGAGACGATTGACCGACTCATTGTGGCCCAGCAGAGGATCGAGGCTATCTTGGTCCAGAACTATGAACTCCACGAGTATCCGATCCCGAGACTGTTCGTCATTCTTCCAGACTCGTACGAGAAATGGGACCCTCGGAACATTATGGCAGAGAGATTTCGACTGTTCTTCTTGTGCGAGTGCGGCGACCATTGCAACCCAAGCGTCGGATCAACGACCTCATCTGGCCAACTCACCATCACCGCTACTGCCTCCTCCACACCCGTCCCTGTCAGAGGGAGTGTCCACTTGGCCAAGCATGAGGGGTATGAGCTTTCTCGTCCCAAGGAGTTCTTTGATCGCTATGGCCCCTACGTCCTTGGCATGCTCCGGATGCTCAAGCACTGTCTGGCTGTTGCAACGGTGGCGGCCCCTGCTATTGCGCTGGTGGAGAGTGGTGTCAAGGATGTCATGGACGGAGTCAAGTCGATCTCAGAGAGAACGATTATGGCGGTAGATATGTCGATCAACTTTCTGGAGCAGAAACTGGACGAGAACGTGACAGGCGATGGAATCTCCAAAACAATGGCAGCATCGCAGGAGGAGGAGGACATGTTCAGCGGTCTTACAGCACTGGAGGGTGCCGATCTGCGGCGACTGGACTCTTTCCTGAGGAAGAAGGATGCGGACAAAATCCTGGGCAATCTGTACAGGATCACCCTCGAGACAGGTCATGTCAAATGGGTGTGCCTTCACCATTACCGTCAAGTGTACCGCGAGACAGCGATGGCATCGTTCCTCCAGTGCGTCGAAACCAACGGTGGCACGTATGATCCCCAGTTTGGCAAGGTCACCATCACCCTCAAATCTAGCACCGCCACCAAAGATTTCTTCTCTCGACTCTCCACACAGGCACCGGCGGTCACTGGTCTCAGGGTCATGTTGGATTGGTCGTTTGGGTCGACGGATCTGGTTATGCTGGTGGACAAGATCGCTCAGTCAAATATTCAGGAATTGGAGCTGAACCTTATGGAATTGGATGATCCCTCTCTGTTGGGTTCCCTTTTTCGACCTGGGAAGGGAAGGTACCACTCGCTCCTTGGGCTCTTGTCCAATGACAGGATCAGGCGCCTGGCCTTTGTCGATGTAGATCTCATCGGACCGCGGACGTCGAGCTTGCCCAAGACCCACCGTCCCTCGCTCCTCCAAAGCTTCCACTACTCGGGATATGTCAGTAACTTTGACGACTCTCGCCTGGCTGAGATCATTTCTCTATGCCCCGGTCTTGCCGATGTAAGACTGGGAAGTGTCGTATACCATAGTAATGGCATTCCCAAAGTCGACCGAGCTCTGGGTTCGCTCTCCAAGATGAAGATCCTGCATCGATGTCGCCTATATGATGATTTCGAAGTAGAAATCAAGGATACCACAGCTCCGTATGGCGCAATTGCTTTGAGGGAGCTCACGGATATCGGCATGCCATACCCCACTGGCCCTGCTGGTCTACTTGAGGCCGCCATCCAGCGATCGGCCGCGACATTGGAGGTACTTATACTCTATTCCAAGTCCACTAGCCAAGTTGTGGACCTGGCTCAGATTTGCGACATATCCTCGTCCACAACACTCGTCAATGGTCTCCCATTCGTGAGACTGACGCACCTCGAACTCCTTGTCTACATGACAACTGATTCCCTCGACTTGATGGCCCACCTACTACCAAGTTTGTCTTTGGTCCACCTTGGTGTTAGTTGGTTCACCTGCAGTCTCCTCTCTGAAGTCAGCCTGGTCTCTTTGCGGTCCCTTCGTGCGCAATATGTTGAGAACTCCTTCCTCGACCCCTTTTACCACCGTGTCCTCTCGTCGTCCATGCCTTGCCAGATCCAAAACCTATGGTTCTATGGGATTGCGACATCACAAGGGCTGGCGAACATTCTTGCTGATCTGCCTTTGAGACGACTGCATCTTCAGGATCCAAAGGACGACAATATACTCGAGATGGTTCTGCCTCGCTTGGACCTCTCTCAACTCCAAGTTCTCATAATCGACTACCACAAGTTCGGTCCAGAAATGGAGGCGGTTCTTGCTGCAAGAAGTACAGAGTTCACAGATGGGTTTGTGCTTCAGCTGGATCATAAAGGCAAGATGGAGAAGAGCGAGGCTCAGAAATTGAACGCAAGGGAGTCGCAAGGGTCGATGACAAAGCTGCCCCGCCATCGTATTCGTGTGGTTGACAATTGCACCTGGTTACCTGAATATTTTTCATCTATACTTCCTTCCAATTCCCGATAATAAACCACATTTTTAGCTTATTTTATAATTGTTGTTGACACTTCTTATTCTATATCTCAGCAAGAAGAGACACTTCTCAGATCGACTTGCAACTCCTCCTTTGGTTCGCGCCATGATCGGGAAATTAAACGACAAATCTCACCAGAGCTGGCATAGGCTTGTGCTCCTCTACATCCTCCGTCTCATCCATTATCCCCTCCACATCCAGCAAACAGCCCAAGTTCTTCCAATCAATCCAACATCTCTACGTCTCCTTCCAATGGGTCTACTGCCGTTGTTGATGAAGTGCTGTTGTGGTTGATGAAGCTGCCCCATGTTGATGTTGTCGACGTCACTGCTACTACCGTCCATACTTTCCAATTACTGCTGTTTGTCAGGCCAGGAGCCGATACGGTCTCGACAAGATTCCTCATTACCGCGCCCACACCTCCCAACTATCAACCTCGTCCATCCTCAACCTCGTCGACTTCCGATCCCCCCTACCAGAATGAACCATACAGTTCAGATCCCATTCCTGGCACTATGATGCAACTTTCCCCGATCTCGAGTGGGACCTTCAAACTCCTCAGGTTCCTCAACCCCCCCCCCCATAAGGCAACAGCCCCGAATTGAGGTTGAGGCGCATGCCCATGAAATGAAACTCGAGGTTGACGTTCCGACTGGCTCGCTTGGAGGGATACAGATCTGGAGATTTTCGAGGACGGGGGCAGATACGGGGAGATGTAACCAAATACTAACGCGGGGAGGAGACGGAGTTTTTAGAATTGCAGTTGGCTGGATGCGTGGAGGTTGGTGTGTAAAGCGCAGAAGTTACAGCAGTACCCAGGTGACTATTGATGGGACGAGTGTTGGATCAGGCGTCATAGGTTATTTTCGGTCAAGGTTGTGTTGCTAGCGCGTGTCGAGGGTTGGCGTTATCCTGCTCGACAAAAAGAGATCAAACTCCTCCAGGCGCACCACAGTCCTCAAGGTCGCAAGATGAACCTGTTCGGGGGACGTAACACAGGACCTTAAAGATCCCCTGTGGCATATCTTCGACGCCGCGGTAGCATCTAGGCGCGGGCGAAGAATTCGACGGCTGCGTCCAGCACAACTCCAATGTCGTGATGAGTGTGTAGGCAGCAAGGGACAGATAGAAGATCATCTTGAGAACATTTGGTGCAGTGGTGTTTGCCCAGTGAATCCATTCAGAGGGGGAGTGGGGGGGGGGGGGGACGGCCTCGAGACCGCTGAAGAATCAAAGAATCAAAGAATCAAAGGCATGGCATGCAGGCGGGCATCATATCAACAAACAAACAAGGAATGAATCAACTGGCAAATGACTTTTATTCCCTTTTTTGGCGTAGTCCAGGAACAGAATGCCGAATGGGGAACATGTTACAAAAAAGAGCAGTTTGTACCAGGGTTCGAAAGGAAGTAGGGGGTCTTTCAACTCCAGAAGACCAAACACGACCGATATAAAAGATTGTGGAAGATGGGAAGAGGGAGGAAGGAGCACAGGAATAAGGAGGAACAATACAACTAGTAAGGATCACCCTCTTTTTTGAACTGTGAAGAAAAGGAAAGACGACAAATAAGAGGACCACCTATATGCGATCATTCATTTAATTACAACTGTATCGCTACCATAACCTCTCTCTCATTTCTTCCTATCCCGGAATACGTTTTTCAGCTCCACCTCCGGATGCTTCATTCCTAGCGTGTTCAAAGAGAAGGACAACTTCTCAAGACTCGGCAGAGGTTCAAAGCCTCCAGCGTCAATCTCCTTCACCACCTCCTCCACATCCAACAAAAGTCCAAGGTTACGCAGCTGTGACCAAATCTCGGCATCTGCCTCCTTTTCGAGCTTCGGTGGTTGTTGCTGTTGCAGTGAACGCATGGTCTCTCTTTGATCCTCCTCGTCCCTCCTCACCCGCCATGACTTCAGTTCATCCCGCCTTTGTCTCTTGAACTTGCCGTTGCGCCCAGAGGGGAGCATCCAATTGAGGGCCATCTTACTGCATCCGTCGGTCACTTTGAATTCGTGACTGGTTGATGCCACGCGGAGTCGACGCAGAAGCTTCAGTCGTGACAACAGGCAGAGTCCTCCTTGCAAGTTCACATGCATGACCGGGTAAATAAACGGGCTGTCCTCGTCGGGCTTGCACACTTCGGGTATACGGACAAAAAGCTCCTGAAGTTGCGGCAGCACGCGCGAGACATATCCAAACAAAATCCTGCTACAATGTCTGTCATGGAGTTCGACATGCAGCGTCTCTAGGCCTCGACACACCCATAGAGCTGGAGCAGGTGAGGTTGGTAGATCCAAAGGGTCGCCGTGAGGAACGCGTCTGTTGAACAGGTCCATGAACTCGGGTCGGATGACGGTCTTTAACGATTTGAGGTGAACAAGCTGGGACGAGGTGCAGAGGTATTTGTGGATGAGGCGAGGGGCGTGTTTGAGTTCATTGGAGCAACATAATGCTGCATAGTCATAGTCCATTGGCTCCCAGAACAGTTCCAAGGTCGTTACAAAGCTGGTCCTGAGGGTCAATTCCTGCAAGAAGGAAGGCGTCACGTCCGGAGCCCACAGTGTCCAATCCCAAATCGTGGGACAGATCTCGCCCAGTCGTGGCATGATGTCCAAGTGCGATTGCTGTCCATACTCAAAAAAGTAGACATCTTCAAGGGTGACGCGCAGCGCCTTGATGTGCTCCAGAAGCCTCGTCCAGTCATACTTCGGGCGGTGATGTGTATCCAACCCTATCAACTTGAGGGACTTGATCCGTGGGGTGAACAATAGCAGGCTCTCGAGGTCAGCCTGCGCAAAGTAGACATTCCTGAGTTTGAGGTGCTGGAGAGGGAGTGGTTTCGGGTGTAGTTCCTGATCCAGGGTAATCTGCGACATAGGCCGACTCGATCTCTCCTCCACTTCCAAAGACAGGATCTCCAGCAACGGGCACGTCCTCATAATCTTGCCAAAGCTCTCTCCGTTAGACAGACAGAACATAAACGTCAACTCGAGGCTGGTCAAGGATGGCGGAAATGGTATCGAGTCGATAGTCGTGCCATACTGAACCCCCACAGAAATACTGATAGCCCTGAGCGAGTCGAAACTGTACAGTGTCGGCTTGCGCTTGTTGATCGCAATTTGATTCCTCTTCTCTAATTGTCTCTGATAGTCCCCCTGGTACCGTTCAAGCAGTACTCTGATATTCTTAGTATCGATCCCTCGTAGCGAGTCGAAATGGAGCACACACTCCAGACGTCCAGCTCCTGGTAACTTTGTATAAAATAGTGCCACCTGCTTGTCGGTCCAAAAGTCACCAAAGGTAATCGTTCTGGAGAACTGGTTCTGTTGGCGGAGGAACCATTGTCGGCAGACGAGTGCGACCCTATAGCGGCAGGTGTGGTCGTCGAGGTACGAGAAGATGAGGTCAAGGATAAGAGGGATCTCCAGGGGTGATATTTTCGTTGGTGTTGTTGTGGTTGTGCATAGGGTGGTATTGGTGTCTCGCGAGAGTGATATATTCCGGAGCAATTGGTTGAAGAACCGTTTCATCCTGTAGGCTGTGGCGAGTGAGAAAGGTGGCAAAGTCGAAGGAAGAAAAGGAAAGGTGAGTAAAAAAAGCATTGAAGGGGATACAAGTATGACGAATGGGCCTCGATTGGGCGTTGCAATTCAGTTAAGGCTGCAATGTCACATCCACTTGCATCGTTCTAATTGCCTTTGTTGTTCTTATGTTGAGGTTGTTATTCTTATGTTGAGGTTGTTGTTGATGTGAGCAATGTAAAAAGAGGAATGAATTTGGCGAGTAAGCAAAGTGGGAGAAGGCAGAAAGGAGTGGTAGAAGGCAGGAAGGAATAATACTGTCCCTTGTCCATGGTGACTGTCTCCTTCCCGCAGCAGCCTAAATCACCACAAAGCACAATGCTATCAAAGAGTCTTTTTATTCCTTTCAACAACACTTTCCCTCAACCCACCGACGACACTCACCCCAACACACATACAGACACACAAACATGATGGCCTCAGACAACCCAGGAATACCAGAAACACTCGCCCTAAGACCCTCACCACTCAACATCCCAGAACTCCTCCACCAAATATTCTACTTTTTCGACGACTTCGAGCTCACCCGCCACGTTCTCCCCGTTTGTCGTCTCTGGTTCCTCCTCAACCAACACCTTATCGCCCGAGAAGCCCACTTTGACGAGACGCAACCCTCAGAGGAACTGGAACAGGTCATTTTGGGCCTACCATGGGCGACTCGACTGTGCTGGGGTGGAGGTGTGATTAGGAAGGCGACTCGTGTACAACAGCGACGATACCGGCGACAGGTGACTGCAGTTTTGAAGGACAAGCACGACGACTTTATGGATAAGCGCTTCTTGCGCTTTCGACCTGTTAAGGGGGACGGAATGGTTGTCGGCAACCATCATATTGGTGAAGGAGGGTTCTATAGATATGGGTCTGGGGGCTTGGACGGGTTGGTACAGGGATCGAAGGCTCCCCTGCGTGAGCTCCTGGTTTGTGGGAGTATCTCCTACTTGGCGCGCGTAGAGCCTCTCCTTCCGCTTCTTTCGACCCTGCGACGACTCGAACTGCGGTTTGCAAGCGGATATCTCGACTTGAATGTGCTGTTCAGAGGAGCACCGTCACTGGAGGCTCTCGACATCCGATGCCACGCCACCCTCATCGGAGATCTCTGGGGCAAACTCTTCAATCAATTCCGAGGAGAACAGCCCTTATTACTGCGTTCCATCATCTTTGGACATGTCCAATTCCCACAAGCAGGCGTCGAGGCCATGGTATCGATGTCACCTCAGCTGCGAGAGTTGGTGCTGTTTGATATCGCGATGACGAACTACTCGTGGACCGGTAAAAAGACTCGAAACTTTCCTTTGAAGTTGTTGGACCATATTCAATCGCTGTCCCTGCCGCTGGAAAGGCTTTACATTTCAGACCGGGAAGATCCCATGACGCCCGAGTTCTTGTCTCATCAGCTGAAGATTTGCCCACTCAAGGGCGAGTTCTTCACGTGGGACTTGACTCTCGACGTTATCCAGGTCATCCAGCAGATACCAAACATCATCACCACCCTCGAAATAGCAGCACCAGGACAATGCGGACTGGACAGCACCCTCCACAATTACCTTTGCTCCTCCCCACATCTCCTGCATCTCCGAGCTCCCAAGATCGAGTACCAAGTCAACCGCATGGATTTCCATCGCCGACTGTCAGATACCAACACAACAAGGTTCCACCGCTTCCCTGCCCTAGGTCAACCCCAGATCTGGGCCTGCTCCAACCTACAAACCCTCCACCTCGGGATCTACTCTTTTGGCGATTCACCACCCCTGGACCCAACCTTCAACGAACAAGGCCGAGTCCTATTTGGATATATCCCTAGGGTGACCCCTCGTCTGCAAGAGCTGTGTCTCAACTTATCACCACATCTATCGTCGAATGGCGCCTCGCCACGACTTTGCCTCGAGTCTGGGTTGTGTCTTTTGACAAAGCTGACGAGGTTGGTGAAGTTGCGTGTTGCTGGGGAGTTGACGCGGCAGGTGAACGTGCCGGAAGATATCGAGTGGATGTTGCAGAGTGGGCATAGTTTGGAGATGCGAGCGAGACGACGGACTATTGTTGCGGGCTGGGATGCGCAGATTGAGGAAGAGGCGAGAAAGCTGGATGTCCAACAACTGGAACTGCATCAGCAACAGGAAGATGTTCAGCAGCAGCAGGAGCAGAATGGCGACGGTCAACAGCAACAGCAGAACGGTCACCATCCACAGCAGCAACATATTGGTCCGCAACAACAACAGAATGGTCAGCACCAAGAGCAGAACGGTCAGCTTCAACAGCAACGTCAGAATGGCCAACAACAACAACGACAGCAGCAGCAGCAGCAGCAGCAGGAGGAGGCACCCGTTATTTCTAGCGAACTGGCAGAGCAATTACAAAACCTAGGCCGACTGAAGGATGTGATGATGATGATCGAGGAGATGGATTCCAAGGAAGGGTTCCCGTACTGGTCTGAACTGAGAAGAGTCTCCCTCTTTTCTGACAGCGAGTTTGGATTACCGGTCGAGCGCGAGTGTCAGATGGAGCTCGCTCGTCTGGCATAGCACGCACATAAACAAACCCGTAGCGTGGTGATTCTATAACTGACATCGCCGTCGTTATATTTTTTTTGGAATTGCGAGAGAAGAAAAGGATAACAATAATAAAACGTGTTTATGAAGTTAAAGGATGCAAGCGTGTTCTGTCTGCTTGTCCCTTTACCTTTTGACCTCATTGTGTATAGGATGCACACACACAAGCAAATATATCTTCATCGGGTCACTCCAAGAAAAACAAGCATTCGAAAAACAAGAACCGTAACAAGCTTCATAGGCAGACACGTCGCATTTTTCTTTGGTATTTCGTTGTTCTATTACTCCCTTCGTTTCCATTCCTTGCTTTTTCTTTCTACTTCTTTCTTTTCTTCTCCTTCTTCTTCTTTTCTCTTCCGTCCCCAACCCATACAACACAGGACCGCCATCCGCCTCGACCCTCCCTCCAACAAAAAGACGGACGTTCAGGATACAGCACCAACCACCAACCACCTTCAACCGTCCAAGAAGACCCTCACCCCTCAAGACCCTAAAGATCTTGGCCCAGATCCTCCCCCGCGTCGAAGAACACACCCTCCGTCGTCCAGTCCTCTTTGTCTGCTACCAATGGCTCATACTCAGCCGACACTACATCCTCCGAACCGTCAAGTGAGAATACCAGGACGTTTCTTCCTGGGGAAGTTAAATAATATAATAGGGCTATGCACTGTAGGGAAAATTGAAGGGGTAAATAACACAAGGTTGTGATTGTGTGCTATGTGAGGGAGAGGGCGGTGATTCGCTAAAACTTTATTTGGGATGTGCGTGTGTCTTGAGTGTATGGCAGCAAGCTCAACAATCGATCGAAGAGGGAGGGAAAAACGACTTGCCGTTGTGTGCGCCCTTTTTTGCAAGAAGGATATCCACGCGTGTTACTCTCTTCTTCAACATTCTTTGCTATTCCGAGAAGAATAAAGAAACTGAGAGAGAGAGGGAGAGACAGACGTCTTGGCTGATAACTGAGGGTGGTAGCGAGAAAATGGTGTTTATGGTGATGGAGAGAAGAGGGTTAAAGGGTTAAAGAAACAAGGTTAATCTTGTGCGGGTGATGGAAAACGACAAAAAGTGATCGGGGGGGAGGGCGGGAACAAACAAAAAAGGATATCCAAAAGGATCCAGCAAACATGACGTAGGCATGTCCACGGTGTTGGTGGATTGGTTGGTTAGAGAGTCAAAGAAGAAGAAGGAAGAAGGGTCAAGGGATGGAGACAGGGGGAAGGGAGAGAGAAGGGGGAAGGGAAGTGAGAAGGAGGAATGAGAGTGGACACAAGGGTGCAAACATGCAAACATGGGAAAAAAGAAGGGAGAAGAAGAACCACTCAAAAAGCCAAAAGAACGAGCCCTTGGGCAGAGAGAGGTATACGCACTTCCCTCTTTTCCCCTGCTCCCATTAACCGAGGGTGCCAATCTGGGGTCCACCTGCCCCTTCTTTCTTTTTTTCTCTCTTGGCGCATTCTTCTCTTTTTGTTCTTTCTTCTTTCTTCTTTTTCCTACCCTTCTTTACTTTCCGTCCACACTATTCTTCTCCCTACTCCGTCACCCCTTTCTTAATCCTTCCTTTTGTTTCGCCTGACGTGTACGTACCTTTTACTCGCTCCACTCTCTCCACTCGCCCTCTTTCGACTGTTACTTTCTTACTTCTTGCTTTCCTTCCTCTTTCCTTACACACACATACATCCTAATTCCACACATCAACACACACAACAACTCATCATGTCTGAAGTCACTGTCAACGTCAAGGCCTCCAACGACCAAAAGTATGTCATCACCCTCAAGACCACAGACACCGTCCTCGACTTCAAGAACAAGATCGCTGAAAACTGCGACACCCCCGCTGACAGAATGCGTCTGATCTACTCTGGTCGCGTCCTCAAGGACCAGGACTCCATCGAGTCCTACAAGATCGCAGAGGGGCACACCGTTCATATGGTCCGCAGTGCCGTTGCTGCTGCTGCTGGCTCTGCTGCACCTGCTGCTGCTGCTGCCACTACTACACCTGCTGCGCCTACTACACCTGCGGCTGCTACCACTATTACTCCCGCTGCTGCTACAGGTAAACAACCACCCTCTTCGCTCTCTGTTTTTCCTCCTTCTTCTATTACACTTTAGTCTGTGGACGACGCCATAGAGACAAGGGCGATGACACGGTCTATGACAAAGAGCGCGGCTAGTACAGGAAAGTGATAGTACAGGAAAATTGACGTATGTTGCCTCCACATTCACCTCTGAAATAGATCCCTTCGGAACTGGAGCCGGAGCATTGCCCAACCCTTGGGCAAACATGATGGGCGGCGGCATGGGAGGTATGGGCGCTATGGGCGGTATGGGCGGTATGGGAGGCATGGGCGGTATGGGAGGTATGGGCGGCGGCATGGACCCCAACATGATGAACCAAATGATGCAGGACCCCAACTTTGCCCAGTACATGTCCACTATGCTTCAGAACCCCCAGGTGCTCGAGTCGATGATTTCGATGAACCCTCAGTTGGCGGCCATGGGACCCGAGGTCCGTCAGATGCTCCAGTCGCCTCAGTTCCAGCAAATGATTTCCAACCCAGAGATGCTTCGTCAGGTCGCGCAGATGAGTCAACAGATGGGTGGTGGTATGGGCGGCATGGGTATGGGAGGGATGGGAGGTATGGGAGGTGGAAACATGTACAACCCCTGGGGAACGACCGCACCTGCTACTGCTACCACGCCTGCTTCAACGACAACACCCCCTACTTCTGAAGCTGCTGCAACACCCGTCACACCCGCATTCAACCCTTTCGCAGCCCTCGGGGGAGCAGGTGTTAATCCCGGAGCAGGAGGAGCCCCCAACCCTATGGCACAATACTGGGCACAGCAGATGGCAGCAATGGGCGCAGGAGCAGGCATTGGAGCAGCCGCCCCCGCTCAGCCTCAGGAGCCACCAGAGGTCCGTTTCCAGGTTCAGCTTCAGCAACTGAACGAGATGGGATTCTGGGATGCTGCCAAGAACATTCGCGCTCTTTTGGCCGCTGGAGGAAACGTTAATGCCGCCATTGAGATGCTTTTCTCTGGTAGCATTTAAATCAACAGGAGGATTGTAATCTCTCAGAGTGTAGTCAGGAGTCTTTCTTTTTTTGTTTTTTTTGGAAGGAATAGAGTGTACGATAACATTTTTTTGACCATTTTCTCTTTTCTTTTTTGCATTTTTGTCATGAACGTGGATCATGCATGTCGTTCTTATTGCATCATGGTAACATTCAACAACCAGTCATTGTCAGGAGCCCTTGTTTCTTTTCATTTGGGTTTGGGAAAGACGGTGCGATAAGGACGTCGCGATTATTGACATTTATCATTTGTGTTATGAATGTGGATCATGTATGGCGTAGGTATGCGTCAAGCTAGGCACGTATCAAACACATCAAACAAGGCTAGTTGATACCTTTTGTGCTGTACACAGTCTTACATGGTACAGATCCAGTTATACAGTGCCGTGGTCATTTTTCCATGATAATGGCACCAGTTGTATCATCCGCATACAGCACGGCCATGTTGCAGTGGATGATCAAAAGAAAAGTGTTGGGCAATGTCTCTATAGGAGGTGCGATAGATAGTGTTTGGTGCGACATTAGACAAGTAATTGAACCGCATGTCGCTTCTTTTTCGTCTGTATATTTTACTTTATTTGATCATGAGTGTGGATGGCATGGGTGGATCGATGGAGGGGGGAAGTATCATGGGATGCTGCATGGGTAATCATAATCGTGTATGTTTTCTTCCACAAAGTATCTTCTGCTGAGAAGAAACATATTTCGCTTCTTTCATGCTTGCTTAGGTGATCGGATGGGGACGAGGTGGGGTGTAAGGAAAGTTGCCATTGGTGTTGACAACAATAGTGTTTGCGTCGTTCCTGGAAGAAAGAGCATCTTTCGATTGATTGTTGTTTGTTCTTGTAACAAAGAGAAAGATGTCGAGAGGAGATTAAGAAAAAAAGAAGGTTTTCGACAGGAAGATATACAGATATAGCGCGCATTGCATTGGAAACGATGGGCGACGAAGGACGGAGTAATTTATCAAAGGTGCGGATAGCAACGACAACAAAGGAAGATGGTGAGGGGAAGAGGCAAAGGTTGATTGTTGCGGACCAACTTGCAAGAGAGAGAGAGAGAGAGACAGGCACCAGGTACCCAAGCAAACAGACAGACAGACAGACAGCAAGGTTTGGACGCGGAGATAAAAATGACCATTGCCTTGCAATTTTAATTTAATCCCATGGCTGTGGTTGGTTGGGTCGGAGGGATGGATGGCATCCCTGGGCATGAAGAAGGAGGGTGTCCAGCTCCTTCATTCAAACCACAGGGGAATCGCACACACACACACGCTGGACACACATACACCCCAAACTGATCTCCTCTTTCCCCCACCTCCTTCTCCCTTCCCTTCCCTTCCTCCTCCTCCTCATCCCCTGTCCTTTTTTCATCTTCTCCTTCTCTTCTCCTTCCTTATTTTTCTCTCCACTCCTCCACTCCTCCTCCTCATCCCTTCTCCTTCACTCCACTCCTCCCCCCGGGACCCTTCGTTGGCATCCTCCCTTCCTTTCCTTTCGCGACCCTCACTCACACTTATACATTCATTGCACTTACTTCCTTCACTCGTTCACTTCACGAAACCCTTTCTTGTCCAGGACGCTACCTCTCCATCCTTCCATTCCATTACCCCCCCTGTTTACCACCACCAGCATCACTTTATTCCACTCTAAAGGAAAAAAAATTGACCTCAAAAAAAGCACTCCCTACGCCCCTTCCCTTTCTCCCATCCTCCACTTTGCAATCATTTTCTATACGTCTTAGCTTACACATCTCTTCCTTTTCATTCGCATCTACCTACTCACACCTAATACTTCACCACCATGGCCGGCCTCTTCACAAAAAAGAAAAAGGAAGACCCCAACAATAATGCCAACAACGCCAATAACAACAACTCTACTGGCAAACAACGACCCGCCCCACCTCCCAATGGCCTCGGTCTTAACAACCCGCCGCCCTCCAACAACAACAACAACAACAATGCACAGCAGAATGGCGGAGGATACCCTAATAACAACGGCAGCAATAGCAACCTCGCTCAATATGGCTATAACGATAATCAAAACAGCAATGGTGGCCAGTCCCAGGGATACCAACAGCCTCCTCCTGCTCCACCTACTGGTCGTCCCATGAATGGCATGAACGGAGGAGGAGGACAGGGAGGACCTATGAGCCCGACGTATTCTCAGACCAGTGGCCACAGTATTCATCAGCAATTTCAACCACAGTCGCAACCATCACCGGTTATGTCGCACCAGCAGCCACCACCACAATCACCAGCAATGCAACAACAGCAGCAGCAGCAGCAGCAGCAGCAGCAACAACACCAACAGCAACAGCAACAACAGCAACAACAACAGCAAGGTCCTCCTCCTCCAGCACAGAGTGCACCTCTGACTGCAGGAGCAGCAGCTCCCCCGACTCCTCAACTGTTTTGGACGCAACGTCGCATCGCTGGGTCAAACCCCTTTCCTCGGTTTCAGCATACGAGTTCGAGTACACCCACAGGAACAGATATTTTTCTCTTTGGTGGTTGCCAATTGGGAGTGCCCAAGGCAGACCTCTATGTCATTGACTCTGGTAGGTGTCATGTCTCCCTCCTTTTGCATTGCATTATCATTGTCGTACAATTGTTTTGGCTTGTGCGATCGACCCAACAACAACACTCTCTGAGGCCTAAATCAGGAAAATGCAGATCAGGAACAGGAAACAGGTACAGAGAACAAGTACAAGGAACAGGTACAGGGAACAGGTACAGGGAAAAGGAACAAAGAGACCGACAGTCAGAGAGTGGAAGAGACACTCTGCTCTCGTTGTTAATGCCCTTTGAGTGGACTAGAGTTAATGGCTCACAGTTCATATAATGAACACAAAGGGCATTGCTCTCGTTGGATCTCCACTCTTCTCAACAACTCTTGCATTCTCCAGTCGAGGAAGAAAAAAAAGAACGAAAGGTTGCGATAGAGATCCCCTTAGACCCAATTACTGCCATACCACTAATCATCCAGTTGACCAACACTACAGAGTTCAATTGGAAGACAGGATGGGCTCATAATACAAACAACCATGCCTGGGTCCCTTTCTATCCCTGTCTCCCTCTCTTCCCCTGCCTGCCAACCATTCCACTACCCCTCCCCCCATTACCCATCGCTAATTATAACCTAACGGCCGACAGTCTAATGCTCTTTTTTTTTTCTTTTTTTTTCTGTTCTTTTCTGGTGCTTTTAGTGTCGCTGCAATGCCAGTTAATCAATCCCGCAGGAGCAGAACCCCCTATACCAAAGTGCGGCCATACCGCTGTCAACATTGGTCAATACATTATCTGTAAGTTTTCCCCTCCACCTCTAATGTGGTTAACCCCTCATTTCATTTCATTTCATGCCTAATATCCATCGCCATGTGTTCTTCATTAATAACGATGCGGTCCTCATTATTGATCATGTTACTATCCCTCACCTAGTTTTTGGCGGTTGGGACCCTACAACAGGACAATGCGACGACACCCTGCACGTATACCATACTATCAGGAAGGAGTGGAATCGACCACCCATTCAAGGACAGTTACCCACCCCTCGCCACTCTCATTCCGGATGCAACGTCGGATCAACAATGTACATTTTCGGAGGCCAGGTCGACAACTTTTATCTTGGGGACATTGTTGCAATGGATATGAAGACCAGTAAGTTTCCCCTCTCTTCCCATTACCCCTTTTTTACCTTCTTTTGCCGCCCAAAGTTGTTTCATTCTACAACCCTCGACCAGACGCAGGTCACTTCTGCGCTTCTGCCTCCCTTCGCCATGTGATGCGACGTGTCTGTCCGAAGCGCGACACTAACCTCCTTTATGTGCATTTTTTTTTCTTAGTTACCCAAAACCCGAGGTGGGAGGTCATTGAGGCGCAGACAGAATCCCCTCCAGCCCGCTCAGGCCACAGCGCAGCTGTTTATGATGGCAAGATTTACATCTTTGGAGGTGCGGACGCGGACTATTTCTACAACGACATCTGGTGCTTTGATACCCGCGCCCTGACCTGGACCCCTATCCCAGCATCCGGATACTTGCCAACAGGACGCCATGGTCATTCTTCCACAATTGTTGATGGCGTGCTCTACGTCTTTGGAGGAAGTAGCCCTGACGGATCAGACCTTAATGATGCATATGCGTTCAGGATACATGGTAAGTACGAAACATGGAGCAGAAGGGGCTTCTCTCTCTCCCATGTTATGTAGCTGGATTGGTCACCTTGTCTCTTGTTCTTATACCTTTTAACCCCTTGCTTCTCCTTGATTGTGTTTAGAACGCCGGTGGTACCTTTTCCAGAATGTTGGGGCTGCGCCCAGCCAAAGGAGTGGACACACCATGTGTACAGTCAAGGACAAGATCTATATCATTGGAGGCGAGTCTGAGCAGAGCAACATGGAAGATCCTGCCTACATCTACTACCTCGAGATTCGTAAGTTGCCATCCTATGGTCTCGCAATATTGCTGACATGTCGCACCAGCTTAAATATCTTGATAGATGCTAATACGAACTCTGTGTCTATTTTTTTGCGCCCTCATAGCCAACATTCAATTCTCTGACTCTCCAACGGCGGCAGCACCTCGCCAAGTTTCGTCTGCAAAACTTGTGCCTAACAGACCTAACGATAGCGCGGGTCAGCAACAACAACAGCAGATTCAAGGAGAGGGTGTCGTGCAATCGGAATTGGATCGCAATTCTGGACAGCCTCCTGCGCCTGGACGCCCCGAACGACCCGATAGACCTGCTCGGCCTGATCGCCCTTTAACTCAACGACCAGCGTCGCCCGCAACTTTTGGAAAGCCTTTTCCCAATAGCAACAACAACAGTAACCCGCCGGTCTCTCAGCAAACCGGCCAATTGATGAACCCACAACTTGGACAGCGCCCTCTGACCATGGGCACACCTGCAGCTCCTACTCGTGGGGCCAGTAGTGGATTTCAGAACAACCAGGACTACCAAGAGGAAGGCTTGTCGATTGCCACCCGTCGACAGACTCTCAAGGAGGACTTGGCTACAGGGTATGGTAGTGCAGTTGTTGGCATGGCAAGCCCCGTCAGCGCTCATAATGTGAACCGCAAGACATTTCAACAACAGATTCCCAACACCTCTCCTCATCCTCCTGCAGCTGCTGGATCTGCACCTAACTCTTCGCCCCTCCGTGTCTCGAATGGTTCCTCTGATAGCCCTATGAACGCTGGTAACGAGACTAGCCCTGCCATCTCGCGCCCAGATCGTCGGACTATGAACACTGTTGCACCTGCCCCGCCAGAAGGCCAGGACGATATGAGCCCTTATTCAATGGACGCCGTTGCATCAGCCCATGCTAGCAAATCGAACCAGCAAGGAGGAGGAGCGTCAGGACCTTACATCCCACCACCACCAGGAGGAGGAGCCAACAATGCACCTTCAGGACGAGCATCGCCGTTGCTCCCACCGCCTGGCATTCGTCAACTCCCACCTCCACCCAACACCCCTTCCCCACCAGTCTCGGCTCAGATCACTTTGCCACCAGGAGCAGAAAAGAAGACGGGTGTGATCCCCCCACCTCCACACCAGGCACTTCCTCCAGCTACATCTAACCGGTCTCCTTCACCTGCACCTGCGCGTGCCTATGCTCGGACAACACCCACCCCACCTCTAGCCACCGGATCGTCCTCTGACGCAGCCGGCGCCATGCCGCCTACGGACATTGCCCGTGTTAAGCAATTAGAGTCTCAGGCCGAGTCTGCGCGTGATGCCAATGAACGCTTGCTTCAACAGATGCGGGATCGGGACGATGAACTGGCAAGGATGAGAAGGCGCGAGAATTGGTTGGTTGCTGAGGTCATCCTAGCTCGTCAGAATGGCAGCAGCGCTGCAGGATGCAGTGATCAAGCAGTTCATATGAACAACAAGCGGTTGTCGATGGCGGATCTTGAGAAGGACCTGGAGAACCAGCAGCTGCAGGGGCATCAGCTCATGATCACTCGTGCATTGGTCAAGGTCAAAGAGGATCTCAGGAACGCCAAGGTAAAAGAACTTTGGTCTACGTGAGGGAATTCGTCTATGGATGTGTTTTGATTTTCGCATGGTAAATTAATGTTACGTGAGACTCATCTTTTTTTTTTTTTTTTTTTTTTGCAAATTTCATTATTTAGATGTCAATTGCTACACAGGCCCAGACTGCGTCGTTCAAGATCAAGGAGGCAGAGCGTGTCAGGACTGGAGCATTGCAGGAGGCTGCCTACTTGAAGGCCAAGCTGTCGTCACTGTCAAACGCTCATGAGGACCCCGGTACTTTGGCCAAGGTCGAAATGGAGCGTGCTGCAGATCTGGAAAAGCGTCTCACGCTTGCCCTTGCCGAGCTCGAGACAGTCGAGTCTCAATACGCCAAAACTCAGGAAAGCCTTCAGCAAGAAAGAATGACCCGCCATTCCGCTGAGGAACGCTCCAATGGATCCACCATCTTGGCGGAGCAGGCACAGGCAGCTCATACGCGTGCATTGGCCGAGTTGGCGTCGTTGCATGGTCGTGCTGCGGCGGCTGAAGCAGAGTCTCGGGAGTATGCTGCACAGCTTGCAGAGAGCCAGGCTGGATTCTCGGGTCACCAGTCGCAGTCTTCAGGGATGATGGAGAAGATTACGGATCTGAAGCAGCAGCTTGAGGAGCACCAAACGGCACTTCATCGCACACAGATGGCTTATGCGGCGGCGAACGAGAGGGCAGTTCGTGCTGAGACGATCTGCGATGATTCGTCAGAGAAGCTGGAGAGGCTTGAGAGTCTTCGGTCTGAGTTGGCGAGCGAATTGATGCGGTCCAAGAACGAGACGGAGCGTTTGCAGTCCAAGGTGGAGGAGCTTGAAGGAAGATGGCAGATTTCCAAGGATGAAGTGGTGACGCTTCGCAAGCTGGTCGAGGACGGCTTGGGCGCCTTCCATCCTCGCGGTCAGCCTCCACAGTCTCCTGAGCGGAAGCATGACAGCATTGCCATCCTGAGCACGGTCTCTAAGGTCTCTGAGCTGGAGCACGAGCTCAGCTCGTTGAAGTCGTTGCACAAGAACTCGCAGGCCGCGGCATCCAAGTCGGCGGCAGCTCTTGCGGAGGCTATGATCGAGTTGTCCCAACTCGAGCAGAGTTCTATGAAGGCCAGGGCTGAGAGTTTGGCGTTGCAAAAGATGCTAGCTAATGAGCGTGAGGGTAGTGCCTTGCTGAGGAACGAGCTGACCAAGGTTGAGCAGGAGCTGGAGACCGAGATGAAGGAGCTCGAGAACAATGAGGTCCAGCTGGGTCTATTGAAGGATGTGATGCGTGAGAAGGGTATCATGGCTGAGGATGTTATGCAACAGGCTGCAGCCCGTGGCTCGGGTGACTATGCGGCGACTATGGAGCGCAAGGTCCGCGAGTCGGAGGGACGTGTTCAAGCTCTGGAGAAGGAGTTGGAGGAGACTCAGGACCATTTCACTCAGCAGCTGGAGGCCTTTGAGGCTCAGCGTCAGGCGACTGTTCAGCACTCGGAGAAGACTGGAATTTTGCTCCGCAAGATGAAGAACGACCTTGCTGTGACTATGGCGGAGAAGGAGTCGGCCGAGTCGCAATTGCAGGCCCTCCAGGATACTCATGCCCGCTGCGGTGAGATGGCAACCACCAGGAACGGACATGCCACCGAGGAGAGCCGTAGGTTGGCTGGGCAGGTTGGCGAATTGCAGAACCGTTTGATGGAGTCCGAGATGCACTCGACTGAGCTCTCCCAGAAGGTTCTTACAATGTCCGAGAGGATGGAGGAACTCGAGACGTTGAACGAGGCCATTTCGGAGGAACTCGAATCGATGCAGTCACAGTCGGAAAAGTTCAAGATCCACGCCAACAAGCAGGAGATGTCGCTCAAGTCGGATATTGAGCGTCTTGTCGATGAAGTCCATCAGGCCCAGGCCGCCGCCGCCGCTGCCGCCTCTTCCAACAACCACTCGGCTGCGAACGCCGAACTTGTTGCCTCATTGGAACGCCAATGTCACGGTCTGGAGCAGCAGCTGAAGAAGGCTCAGGAGGCTATCCAGATCCTGGAGGGTGACAACTCGGTTCTGGAGGCTCGTCTTCAGGACTCGGAGAAGAAAGTCACGTTGCTGTTGGAGGATATGCAGAACCACTTGACGGACCCTTCCCAGCCCGCTTCGCCTGTTGGCTCGATCAACTATGCGAGCATCCAACAACAACTGAACCATCACCAATTCCCTGTGGCTTCGTCGTCGGCATCCCCCTCGGCGACACCGCTTCATGCTCAGCGTCTCAAGAACAACGGATCAGTTGCCTCGAACGGTCGTAACGGAAGCAGCGGTAGCCCTCATCACGGAAGTGGTAGCCCTCATCATGGAAGTGGTAGCCCTCATCACGGAAGTGGCAGTGGCAGCCCCCACCACGGTGGTCGCACCAGTGCCAATGGTCACTCGCCCTCTGGTCTTCAGATCAATAAGAACGGAGGCAGTCCCGCTGTTAGCCAGAGAGCCAGCCCCAGCCAGTTCAGCATCAACCCCCGCAGCAACTCGCGTCAGCAGACTCAGTCCCGTCAACAGCAATACCAGCAACAGCAACAGCAGCAGCAACAGGAGGACAACGATGATGTGTATGCCTACGGAGGTATCCAACAGCCTCAGCAGCAACAGTCCAACGGCGGGTACATGCAGGGCCACGGCGTCATCGAGCAGGAGGATATGAACTCGAGGTCCTACCGCGACTCTGTAGACTCGATTACGCGTGAGCTAGAGATGTTGAAGGTGCCTTGGAACAAGAACGCCTCTGGTGGAACGGGTCAGTCCGGTCCAGATGCTGCCAGGTCGTCGCCTCTTCGTCAGCAGCAGCAACAACAGCAACAACAGATGGAGCAGCAACAGCAGACGTATCAAGGCAACCATTATGGTAACGGCGGCATGAACGGACACAGTAACGGACATGTCAACGGCAACGGCAACGGCAATGGCAACGGCAATGGCAACGGCAATGGCAATGGTCACCTTCAACAGCAGTACATGTACAATAACGACGACGATAGCGAGGATGAGGACAATGGAATCAGCTACCTCGCCCACCTTCAACAACGCGCTCCTCCTACTAGTGCTAGCAATGGCGTTAGGGGAGTGCAGAAGGGAAACGGAGTTGCTGATACGCGTTCGGCGAATGATAGGACTCCCTCTCGGTTGAAGGAGTACGAGCAAATGATTGATGAGATTGAGAACTCTAGGAGACAGCATTAGATACCTTTTTTTATTTGCATTAGCATTACTTTAGACGTTTCTTCCTCTTTGGAATAACAGCATTGTACTATTATTTGACGTTTGCATTGGTTCGTATGTGGAGCGAGAAAATATTAATGTTGCTGTGTATATATATGGGTACGAGAGAGACTTGTTTTTGAAACTCAAAGAACGCGTTTATCGTCTGTGGAATATTGTCATTGAGCTAGAAAAAGGCGCGTCTATCAGATAAAGGGGGAAAGAGTGTAGTGCAAAAGCCCACTAATGTCTGCAAATTTCATATTCATTCATGCCGGTTCTACTTCTAGCTGATCGGAACAAGTAAAAAACGGCGGATGCCGACAACAAAGACTCATAACAACAGTAGCGGCATGTGTGGAGTGCAGACGTCTTCAATCCATTGCTAGCATGGTCAACTTGGTTACTCTTACCACCGCATCGTTTTTCTCTCCGTCCTTGCTCTTTGGTCCTTTTCTGTCCCCAACGCCAAATCTCAGGTTTACTTTGTGTATATCTTGATGACCACACCTATGTTCTTTTGACCGTTCACTATGTTCTTTTTCCCGTTTTTTTATAGTAATTTTCGACCAAGACCTTGGTGAAAACAGTATAACGACGTGAAGGGAACAGTAGCTGTCGATTGAGGTCGTAATTGACCGAGGTTTGTCGCTAGTTTTTAAATATGCCGTTGTACATGTTTCCACTGTGGAGATTTTTACACGTATTTACTGCGGAGATTTTTTCGTATATAATGGGCAGACCTCTCCTCTCATCCTTTTCCCTCTGGCCAAGTCCAAGACACTCAGGTACGCTAAGAACGCCACCAACTCTTCCCTTTCTTCCCCGTCACCAACCATGGCATGCACTCTCACAATCAAACATAGCTCACTGTCACATCAGCCTTCTCCTTCATAGCGCTCTTTACTCTCACCCCTCGCCGTCATGGATGCCAGGCTTGCCCCCTCTCCGACTCTAATTCACCCTGGAGGAAAGGAAAGGGGAAGAAGGGAGGAGTAAGGGAGGAGGAGGAAGGCATTGTCAGTGAGAATAGGTGGATGATCATAAGCCACTGATGTGATGTAATGAGTACTTATTGCGTCCACTTCTTCTATTTCCTTCTCCTCTCCTTCAACTCTTTTAGCTACGCGTTTCCCTGCCCGCCTGCCCACCTGCCCAACCATAATCAAGGAAACAAACAAGCATCGTCGACTTTTCTAGATCCTTCGGGTCGCTTCCTTCCTCTCCGTTGCCGGCCCAAACATCGACTTTTCCTTCTCGCCCCGTTGAAGGATCTGCATTTTTTCGTCATGCAAGATTTCCCACGCCAACAAAACTCATCCATCGCTCTCATCTCGCGCAGTCATCAGGAAGACACCTCCAGCTCGTTGGAAAAAAAAACAGAAAGGAAAGTTTATGACTACGATTGCTCACATTCCCTGCTTTTCCTTCTCTTTCTTACCTCGGCACCAGAGGATATAATATTCCGTGTAGTACGCTGGGCTGGCAATGTCACACGCGTACGAGTACCGTCGGGGTCACTTGCTAGAGCAACTCTCTTTCGAGAGTTTGATAGCTCACATTTTGAAATGCCGGCTCCGTCCATAGTGACTTCAGGGAGCCAAAGGCATCAGCCTACTGACTCCCGTCCTTGCACTCCAGAGAGCAGAAATTACCGCTTAATTCCTTGGGTAGCATCGCTACATTCAACCATTGGTCTGGTAGCTTGTAGGGGTTCTATTACCAAGGCAAGAGGGGCTCGTGGATGTCTTCCGGAAAGTCTCAGGACGGTTGGAGTATTGGCCTGACAGCTGCTGGCCCACCCTACACGAGGGCTGAGGGATAGAGACCAAGCTATCCCTGGTCCTGAAAAAAAATTGACTCATGGTCTTGGGCAAGAGAATGACTGGTGATAATGGGAATGCGAGTGATTGGGGGTGAACTCGGGAAATGGTTTTTGTAGACGGTGTAGTGTCTAACCCGATTTTTTTTTGTTTTGTTTTGTTTTGTTTTCTTTCCAATGTTATTTTGATAGAGAAAAAGGGCACACAGGATCGTACATCATTTATTCAGGATCACCAATTCATCGATACAACCAATCGTAGCTGCATATAGGAAAAATAAAGTCTTTTCAATTTTGCTCCGTATTGTTTTTTGAGATACAATAGGCTTGTGCCAGGAACTGCGGTTGTACAGGTCTGAGCGAGGGTCGTGAAGATGGCAAAGTGGTCGTATGTGAAGGCCAAACTGCAAAAGCATGCACTGTTTGGGCATCAGTGGGCATTGCACTACACTCTTCCCCCCCCCCCCCCCCCTTTATCTGATAGACGCGGCTTTTTCTAACTCAATGACAGCATCGTACAGATGATAGACGCGTTCTTTGAGCTTCAAAAAACAAGTATCTCTCGTACCCATATATATATACAGCTACATTAACATTTTCTCGCTCCACATACGAACCAATGCAAACGTCAAATAATAGTACAATGCTGTTATTCCAAAAAGGAAGAAACGTCTAAAGTAATGCTAATGCAAATAAAAAAAGGTATCTAATGCTGTCTCCTAGAGTTCTCAATCTCATCAATCATTTGCTCGTACTCCTTCAACCGAGAGGGAGTCCTATCATTCGCCGAACGCGTATCAGCAACTCCGTTTCCCTTCTGCACTCCCCTAACGCCATTGCTAGCACTAGTAGGAGGAGCGCGTTGTTGAAGGTGGGCGAGGTAGCTGATTCCATTGTCCTCATCCTCGCTATCATCGTCGTTATTGTACATGTACTGCTGTTGAAGGTGACCATTGCCTCGCCGTTGTCGTTGCCGTTGACATGTCCGTTACTGTGTCCGTTCATGCCGTCGTTGCCATAATGGTTGTCTTGGTACTCGTGGCTCCATGCTCACAGCTGGCTGGTGTACGACTCACAGCTCTCACATACGACCACTTTGCCATCTTCACGACTCTCGCTCGCTACTATACAACTGCAGTTCCTGACAAAAGCCCATCGCATCACAAAGAACAATGCGTAGCAAATAGAAACGTCTTTATTTTTCCTGCACGAGGCTATGATTATCATGTAGATGAATTGGCGATCCTGAACCCATGATCGATCCTGTATGCCCTTTTTCTCCTTCAAAATAACATTGGAATGAACACAAAAGAAAAGAAAGAAAAATCGGGTTAGAAACCACACCATGCCACAACAAGCAACAAAAAATCCTTGTCCCGAGTTCGCATTCTATCATTCGCATTATCGTTATCACCAGTCATTCTCCTGCCCACGGCCAATAGGCATGTTTTTCAGGGCCAGAGATAGCTTGGCCGCTATCCTTTTTCCCGTATGGTGTTAAGCCAGGTACCAGGCCAATACTCTAAACACCCCGTGACTTTCTAGAGCACACCCGCTGAGCACCTCTAGCTTTGGTGATCAAACCATTACATGCTGTCAGGACAATGGTTGGATGTAAAGATACCGCACCCTCCCCAAAGAAAATATGTTGTAATTGTTGCTCGCTGGAGTGCAAAGAGGAAAAGTAGAGGACTTCTGCCCCTGACCCCCATAAATCACTCTGAGGGTCGTCGGTCGCCGACATGTGAGCGCCCAAAAGAGAGGCACTCTCGCAAGTGACCCCGAAGGCACTCAGAAGCGTGTGATATTTGCTAGCCCAATGCACTAAACGGAAAAATGTATCCTCTCGCTGCTGGGACTAGAAAGAAAAAGAAAAGCAGGAAAATGTACCCTCCAGAAAACAAATACGCGTACTTGTTATTCCTGGAATGATCTATTCAAGATGTGTTCAAAATTATCGCGGCCTATCGTCAAAGAACGCGAGAGTGGCTACAAACCTCCTCCGCACTGTTACCGTTGGGAAATAAAGCTTGAGAGGTGGGTGTTTGCCCTGTGAAGTCAGGTCCAACGCATGATACCAAGTTCCATTTTGCGAATCCCAAAAGAGAAAGTAGATAGTCAACTCGTTGCGTCCGTAGAAGCGAACAAAATAACAGGGATGTTTCGCTATAGACGCTCAAGCGCTAGAACACATCCCAATTATGTGCTGCAGGATAATCGCTATGAGCTGCAGGAGAATCGGTACAGGCCTGTGTAAAAGTCTTTTCTCTCTCTTCTTTAGGTAATTGTCAATATAAACAAGTAAAGTCAATGACTTTTTATGATCACGAAGAGGTAACAGATCTATAGTACTCCGGGTCAGTGGTAAGAAAGTCAACAACACGAACACGGCGACGGGCAAGCTTCATCGGCGATCCTTGCACCTCTCTTGAGTTCAGCACCTGCGCCTCGTCCGCTTTCAGCGTCTTTTCATGTCCCAAGTGAAGTACAAACTCGTTCGTAAACTCTGTACTTCTTGCAGCAAGAACCGCCTCCATTTCTGGACCGAACTTGTGGTAGTCGATTATGAGAAGTTGGAGTTGAGAGAGGTTCAAGCTTGGCAGAACCATCTCGAGTATATTGTCGTTCTTTGGTTCATCGAGATGCAGTCGTCTCAAAGGAAGATCAGCAAGAATGTTCGCCAGCACTTGTGATTTCGCAATATTTCCGAACCGTATTTGTTGGATCTGACAAGGTGTGGACGACGAGAGGACACGGTGATAAAAGGGGTCGATGACGTAGTCCTCAACATTTTGCACACGTAGGGACCGCAAAGAGACCAGGCTGACTTCTGAGAGGAGAATGCAGGTGTCCTCATCGACACCAAGGTGGACCAGAGAAAGACTTGGTAGTAGGAGGGCCATCAGGTCGAGGGAATCAGCTGTCATGTAGACAAGGAGTTCGAGGTGCGTCAGTCTCAGGAATGGGAGACCACTGATGTGCGCTGCGGGCGAAAATATGTCGCAAATCTGAGCCAGGTCAATTCGGCTATAGGTGTGGGAAAGGAGTATGAGTACCTCCAATGTCGCGGCCGATCGCTGGATGGCGGCCTCAAGTAGACCAGCAGGGCCAGTGGGGTACGGCATGCCGATATCCGTGAGCTCCCTCAAAGCGACCGTGCCATATGGGGCTGTGGTATCCTTGATTTTTACTTTGGAATCAGCATATAGGCGACATCGATGCAGGATCTTCATCTTTGAGAGCGAACCCAGAGCTTGGTCGACTTTGGGAATGCCTTCACTGGAGTATACGACTCCTCCAAGTTTCACATCGACAAGACCGGGACATAGAGAGATGATCTCAGCCAGGCGAGAGTCGTCAAAGTCATCGACCCACCCCGAATAGTGGAAGCTTTGGAGGAGCGTGGGGTGGTGGGTCTTGGGCAAGCTCGATGTCCGCGGTCCGATGAGACTTATGTTGATAAAGGCCAGGCGCTTGATCCTGTCGTTGGACAATAGTCCAAGGAGAGAGTGGTACCTTCCCTTCCCTGGACGCATTAGGGACCCCAACGAACCAGGAGAAGCAAATTCCATAAAGTCCAGCTCCAATTCCTGAATATTCGACTGAGCAATCTTGTCCACCAGCATACCCAGATCCACCGACCCAAACGACCAATCAAGAGTCACCCTGAGACCAGTGACCGCCGGTGCCTGTGTGGAGAGTCGAGAGAAGAAATCCTTGGTGGCGATGCTGGATTTGAGGGTGATGGTGACTTTGCCAAACTGGGAATCGTACGTGCCACCGTTGGTTTCAACACACTGCAAGAACGATGCCATCGCTGTCTCGCGGTACACTTGACGGTAATGGTGAAGGCACACCCATTTGACATGACCTGTCTCGAGGGTGATCCTGTACAAATTTCCTAGGATTTTGTCCGCGTCCTTCTTCCTCAGGAAAGAGTCCAGTCGCCGCAGATCGGCACCCTCCAGTGCTGTAAGACCGCTGAACATGTCTTCCTCCTCCTCCTCCTGCGACCCAGCCATTGTTTTGGAGATTCCATCGCCTGTCGCGTTCTCATCCAGTTTCTGCTCCAGAAAGTCGATCGACATATCTACCGCCATAATCGTTGTCTCTGAGATCGACGTGACTCCGTCCATGACATCCTTGACACCACTCTCCACCAGCGCAATAGCAGGGGCCGCCACCTTTGCAACGGCCAGACAATGCTTGAGCATCCGGAGCATGCCAAGGACATAGGGACCATAGCGATCAAAGAACTCTTTGGAGCGAGAAATCTCATACCCCTCATGCTTGGCCAAGTGGACACTGCTCCTGACAGGGACGGGTGTGGAGGAGGCAGAAGCGGCGATGGTGAGTTGGCCAGATGAAGTCGTTGATCCCACGCTTGGGTTGCAATGGTCGCCACACTCGCACAAGAAGAACAGTCGAAATCTCTCTGCCATAATGTTCCGAGGGTCCCATTTCTCGTACGAGTCTGGAAGAATGACGAACAGCCTTGGGATCGGATACTCGTGGAGTTCATAGTTTTGGACCAAGATAGCCTCGATCTTCTGCTGGGCCACAGTGAGTCGGTCAATCGTCTCCTGCTGCATCCTCAACAGTTGCTCGTCCCTTACTTTGGACTCGGCCTGCTCCCTCAACATCTGCTCCTCCCTCTCCTTGGATGCAGCCTGCTCTTTAAGAAGCTGGATCAACTGCTCCAAAAGCTGTTGGTGGTGCGCTGACTGCTGGTCGGTCGAGTGGGTGAGTTGATGTTGGATAGTGGTGATGTCTGAAGCGATTGCTGAAAGTGCAGCCATAGGACGAGCGATGGGTGCAAATTGGTGAGCAATAGTATTGGGCGAGGAGAGGGAGGATTTTGAGGGGCGCTCGACGGAGTAAGTGGCGGACCGAACGAGGGTGCTTGTGTGGACGGAATAAGGTCGTAGAGAGAGATTCGACACAGAGAGTTCCATGCCATCGTTTGTGATCAATTGAGTTGGGTGGCTTGAATTTCTGCTTCCTGTCTGTGCCATGGTCCTTCCAGAGAGGTCGACTGAAGGAGTTGTATGGATGTGGGTCAAACCGGGGATGACCACCTCGACAACATCGTCTGGGTAGTATCCGATCCTCTTCGGCTCATACCTATACCACAAGAGAGCAAAGTTATAGGCCAAGAAGAAAAAGTGGAGAGTTAGTATCAAGAAATAAGAGGAAGGTTGCAAGGTGGATGCCTTTTTGTCGAGAGTTGCTCTCTTTGTAATATTCTCTGCTTACTCTTCTTCGTTCTCGTCCTCGAGGTAGTAAATAACAACGCCGTCGACCTTGAACAGAGTGGCGCCAGAGAAGACCCTCTGGACATCTTTTTCACGAATGTAGAGCACGCCTGTGGTCTTGTCCTTCCGCAGAGGGAGCTGTTCGACCCTCTCGCCGTGTTGAAAGCGTTGGTGAGGTATCATAGGCTGACAGGGCGAATGCTTTAATAGCAGGTGTTGAGGGTGAGGGTGAGTATGAGGGTGAAGGTGATTGCTGAGGGTGATGTGTTTTTGGTGTGCTGATGAATGAGTTGTGAAGAATAGTCAGAGGAGGAATGACCATGAGGGGAAGACAGGAAGGAAGATGAAGGACAAGGGTATGAGAGAGGCGCCATGTGTCAGAAATGAGAAAAGCAAGAAACGTGGGCCTCCTCTTTGTATGAAGGAAAATCATGCATGGTGTAATGGGTGGGCTCCCACGCCAAAAACAGTTCACTGTCCCAAATTGCTTTCCTCGCCTATTTGTGTTCAGAATCGTTTGTGTTCTTTATTCTCATGGCCGCGTTCCCCGTGTCAACATATACACCCTCATATTCCTTCGTGAGGGTGCCCAGTCTGGCAGCGAGCATAAGCACCTGTAGTCAAAGATTATTCAGGTACGATCAGTAACTGAGACAAGTTATGACTGAAAGTGATTGGCGCCGTCGAATAGTACATTCGACTGGTGGTGGTTCCTGAATTTTTTTGGAGTCGATTGGCCCAAAGCGAGAAACTAAAGTTATCATTCTTTCGGAGATAGATAGGGAGTTGGGCGACAAAGCCACCCCGCCCCGCTACCGGAAGTCTTTGTCAAGGTCCGCCAATGTCCAGTACCCAGCAAGAAAAGCGAAGTAAGCAACTAAAGGTCTTTACGGTGTCCCTATAGCAATCAGAGCCATGACATTCCCTTCTAGATTTTTTCCAAGGAGCTGGGAGTGTCTTCTTGGTGATACAGTCGAGTTCGTTAGTGGGTGCTGCCCCTGTTGCTGTTCCTGGGTTCAGGGTAGGTGAGGGAGAGAGGAGAGAAAAACATCTGCCTAGAGCTGTGGCTTAGAATCTCTTCTGCTCATGCTGCAGACACAACACAGACACTCACTCCTCGCTCCTTGCTTCTCTCCACTTTGGAATCGCATCCATCACCGGTGCACCTACATCAATTAGTGGCAACAAAAAGGACAGCCGTACTGCTCTTTGGCGCTATGCCTTACACTCTTTCAAGCGCAACCAGTTCGCCACACCCTTTGCCCCATCAGCAAATATTCCTGTGAACAGGTACAGTTGCTTGCCGAGTCAGCCTTGCGCGTTTGGGGCATGGGAGCCTTAAGCTGGGATCTCATCAAAGCATACCACCACCATTGTTGGCCCCACGATGACCAAGGAGGACAGGACTGACCGCAAAACTCGCATTGATGGTACGCCATCGGAACAGGGTTCATTGCGCAAAAGGTCCAGGCTGCATGATTGAGAAATGGTCATGGCAGATTAACGTAAGAAGAGGTACGCCTCCTAGGGTTGTGGAAAGAAGAAATTGTAGGGCACAATGGCAGGAATATCCAGGAAGAGTCAGGAGAAAATATCGTATAACAGGAGTTTGTTATCGACATCGATTGGCAGGCAGCGTCGCTAAACATCATTGGGGAATACACGCGTTTATCGCAAACAATAACCTCACTACAACATCATATCCGGAAAAGAGAAGACAGAAGCTAAAGATGCTCATGTCCACGCCTATTTCCATTTCCCCCGCCTGAACCATTATCACAAGTGTCGACTCTGGGATATCTTGTTTGCTCAAGGCTACATATTGCTGTGGTTTATTTTTCCATAGTAGTAGCACAGGCACAAATAATATATATGATCACCCATAACATTAGAAAGAGTGATTGAAAAAGGAGTTGATAAAAGGCAACCCAAAGAAAAAGTAATGGCGCAATTGCAATTATTTGCCGATAGAATGAGCCGGAAGAATGGCCTGGATGTATCGCTCGTGCTGGAGGAAGATCGACAGGATTTCGACACGTCCACGCGCAAGTTTCTTATTGGTGCCGACCAAGGGTCGGGCATTTTCGTCATAGATGTCGCTCTTGAAGTCGTGATGAGGTCGACACAATTCGACCTTCATGCGGTCGTTGAACTTTGCAGCTTGGGTGGCCAGGATCGCCTCGGTTGACCAATCGTATTCCGGGGTCAGGATCGATAGGACCTCGAGTTCAGAGAAATCGAGATGGGTGAGTATCCCCTTTAGGGACGCGATCGAGGGCTTGCTCAAAAAGATGCGCCGCATGGGGAGTGCTAGGAGGAACATGAGAGCCTCGATGTTGTCGATGTCGCGGAGGCGGATGGTCTTGATTTTCCAGGATCGAAAGTTCCTGAGTGACTCGCTTCTGATATGACTCAGGTCTGCCTCGCTCAAGTCTGTCAAGCTAATCGACGTGAGGGTTTCGAATTTGACATGCTTGAGGAGTTCCTTGGAGTGGCAGTTGACTCCCAGATGAGTGAGGTTGAGCTGTGGCATGGTCTCGCGTAATATGGCCAGAGAATTGGGCGATAGGACAACTTGGAGGTCGAGATGGGTCAACTTGACATAGGGTTGATCAATGGCGTCCGAAGCACGCAACTCGAGAGGACGGTTTGGGATCTTGGGGTACTGGAGCATCAGGACCTCGATGACGCCAGCTGACCGTCCGATGACAGCCTGAAGTCGCGCCTGGTTGACGCCATGACCGGTGCGGACAATATTCTTGATGGGCCTGTCGCTCTGCGGGATGGTCTTCCAGCGGTGGTTGGTCTTGTCTTCTTCAGGGATGTCAGGACTGTAGTTGGTGTTGTAGATGTGAAGGGTCTTGAGCTTCTTGAGGTTGCCAATGACAACCTCCATCTTGGGGTGTATCTGACCCTGGGTCTGGAAGTTACCCAGCCTCAGGTCATGAAGGTTAGGACAGGCAAGGAGCAGTGTACACAACTGGGACTCGCTCGACGACTCGATCTTGATCAGGAAATGGAGCAGACGCAGGCCAGAATAAAGCTTGTTTACAGGCGGGAGATTGGCCCGCAATCCGAAATGAGTTGCGTTCTCGAGGATGAGGCCCTTGAGGTTCTTGTCCCATAAGAGCGTATGGATCTTGTGGTACTTGAGGTTAAGGCTCTCTTTGATTTGTTCGGGTGTCTCGTCCCAGGTTCCTTTGAGGTCCAGGCGCAGGATGGCGATGTCGGTCCTGTAGATCTTGTTGACCATGTTCTCGCTGTCGCTTGCTCCAAAATCATAATCGAGTGTAACGTCGAGCTCCCTTGTCTTCTTGGCATCCTTGACCAGCTTATTGAAGAACTGCCTCAAGTCAACAGTCGAAGTGAGAGTCAGAGCAATCTTTCCAGCATCCTCGTCATATGTGCCATTATTCTTCGCGATCAGCTGGCGGAGTTCTTTGGAGATGGAGATCTTCTTGACAATGGGTTTGGCGGCAGCGATGTTCTCCTTGACAATGGAGTTAGTGACAGCAGTGACGTCCTCCATGGATTCAACATCCGACTCGGGTGAGGGAGACGAGGCAGGGGAATGATCCAGAGGTGGCGAAGGGGACGAAGTGGACGAGGCAGGAAAAAGGTGCGGAGGCGGCGAGGGGGACCTCTGAGTTGTACTTGTCTGTGCAAACAATGTTGTTAAGAGCTCGGGTAGAGATGAAGGTGGAGGAGGCGAGAAAACAGGCTGGTCTCCTTGCAGTGGTGGGGAGGTCAAAACCTGAACTTTGTTCATGAAAGGAACTGAGTTGAGTGGCGGAGGATGGACTATTCCAGGGTCTATAGCAGCGGCAGCAGTATTAGGCGAGGCCATTCCTTTTACGTGGAAGGTTGGAGGGGACAAAGGAGTATAGTCCGAACCGGCATCGGTGACCACCTCGATAATATCGCCCGGGTAGTGCCTGATTCGCCTCGGCTCAATACTATGTCAGTCAAGGGAAGGGTGTCATCTGTTGTTAGCTCATCGTTTTGTCCTCTTTATCCTTCGTGGCTCCATACATTCTTAACAGACGGAGCAGACATAAAAACAAAAGAACCAGGGAGTGTCTTGACTTACTATTCATCATTTTCGTCCTCCATGTATAAAATAATAATACCACGACGTTTAAAGCGGACAGCGTTGGGAAAGACTTCCTGGACATCCTTCAGTCGACTGTAATGGTATTGCCTGGTAGTGTCCCATCGAACGGCAAGGGACTGGATATTGCTACCACACTGAAAGTTTTGATATTCGTCCATGCTCGGGTGCTCGTCGTGCTGTCGCTGTGTCCTTGGGTACGTCGTGGTGTGTGATGGAGGGTGTCTGTTTTGTGAGTGAATGTGTGGTTTAAGTGTTTGAAAAAAAGGGGAAACAGCAGGTTTATATACTTCTGCGTTTATGCGTGAAAGTAGATGTGAGATTCAAGCGGGCTATGCACACTGGCAATATGTACCATTGCGAAACCCCTTTCATCTTCACCCTTGCTTGTTCCTTTCCTCGCACATCGGGTCGACTGAAGGGGAAATGATTTTCATGCAAACAGAAGGTGGAAGGTCATGCCTCATTTTTGTTTGTGTGACGTATAATAGAAAACCATACATGGCCTGAATCCTGCACTATTGCTATTTGCTTTTTTTTTTTTGGTTGCAGTGGCGAGGGGATACAGGGGGAAAGTATCTACAAGTATCCTGTCCAGGAACGCCATGTTTTATTTCGTGAGGAGAAGGATTGAAACGACCACATTGCTGTGTTTGCATAATCTCCAAGGCAGGCACAGCTCCATTTTTTTCCGATTCGCACTTCCAACACTCACACTACTTGATTTGAAAAGAGGCGATGGCTACCTTTGCCTGTGATTGTTATTTCGAGGCAGAGCATTCCGCAATCCGGTTCGGACCCACCATTCCATGGACCTACACTCCACTGAATCGCAAGTCAACAAGGTTCTCACAAGCATCGAGGACAGTGACCAGTTGGGGTTCGTTCTCGGCATCGATCTTGTCCAAAAAGTGTAATACGAGCGGGTGATCGGGACACTCAGAAAAATTGGAGCGAGGTCTGAAACGGGTCACGTTTACTGCACATCATGCTTACCGACCACACTGCCTTCATCTTGAAGCTGAACTGGATGGAGTGGTAGACTTGGACGGGATATCTATCTCGTTGTCACATATGTCTGTCCGAGTCTTTTCTTTGGAATTATCCACCCTGAATTCGCATTGTGCATTGTTGCTATATGTGGTCGTTGAAAAGGGTATGTGCATGCATGTGTTTTGGAAGGAAAGAGAAGGCGAGAGTAGTTTAGTTCCGACAAAGCGAGGTCAATGCTGTTTGTTGGGAGCAATCGTGACGAGGGGTTCGAATTCCCGCTGTTGTTTTGGGCCAGTGGTGTGCAATGGGCGGACTAGTAGTGGCATAGACAGTGCTAGCAACGATATCGATAATGCCGTTAGGATAGCAAGTGATCCTCTTCGGCTCATAGCTAATTGGCAGCCAAGAAAGAAGTGCAAGAGTAACAGGGGCGTAAGTCAGCATGAACATCACAGAACAAGGTGTAAAGAATATATTCATGCGTTTTGGCGCAAGAAAGCGATTCTTGTTTGTGCTCACCTACACTTGTTCATGTTGGTCCTCGAGGTAGTTCAAATGCACACCATTGATTTTGAACAACGAAGCACCCGAAAAGATCCTTTGGATATCCGACACGCGGTTGTAGGTTTCTCCAATGGTCTTATCCTTTCTAACTACAATAGAGTCAATAATCTCATCTTGTCGGAAGCGTTGGTGCGGCGTCGCGTCCATGGTGTTGGACGTGGAAGAAGGTGAGGGTGATTATTGTTTGGCGTTGTTGTTGTCATTGTTGTTGTTGTTGGTGGTGGTGGTGGTGGTGGTGGTGGTGGTGGTGAGGTGATGAACGCTGTGAATGCAAGGAGTGGGTGAGTGAATGAATGAAAGCGAGGAATGAGTTGGGTAGACAAAAGTGTGGGAAGAGAGTGCAAGGGTCCGGAAGAGGAAGGAAGTGCAGGGAGAAATGGAGAGGGAACAATAGGAAAACCAGCATCCTGCTCATTGTGCCTTGATCTGCATTTTGCTCTAAGATTTGCCACCAGCCACATCCTTCCAAATCTTGAGTAAAGTACCGCTATCTCGTCAGAAACCTGCTGTCATCTTCTGAGTGGGGCTTCCACTCTTCCCTTTTTATTCACTACGTCTGGCCTGGTTTGGCGATAATAAAAGGACCAGACCAAACAACCCATCGTCCCTCCCTCATTCACTCCGCTTGACTTCTCTCTCCTAAATCCTTCACTGTTACGCGCTGTTACAAAGAAAATAATGTTTGTATTTTTGTGGAAACTGTTTTTTACAACGTTGGTTTACAGGTTCTTGTTTAGAAAAGGGAGATGAGGAAGGTATTCATGCATGCAAGCCTCTGGACGCAAGAGGTCATGACCGTCTTCCACTTCCACTCAACCCCTCTCCTCGTATGTACACCCCTTTTTGTTCTTTTCCTTGTCACCATCACACTCGCTTCCTTCCTTGGACACCTACTTCACTCGGACACACACACACCTAACCATCATGATATCTCAGGTGCTACTTAGCACACCACATCTACTCGCCAGAACGTTTTTTTTTACCTTTCGACTTTCAATGCAGTACATTCCATGCATTATCAGCTGTCACCCATTCGTTCTCTTCTTCCTGGCAAGGTTCAATAGCGCCACATCTATAATAGGCCCTTTTCCCACGCTGGGAAATGGCATTTTATTCCTCGTACAATGGCTCCCATGACCTGTATCTATTGACCAACCCCTGACACTTCTTTGCGCCACAATGACACTCGAACGTCCACAATGGATCCCACTTGTCCTCAGCCGTACCATAGTTGTACATGAAAACAACATGCTCTCCAGCCTTAATCGGTCGGATGGTGACAATCTCCTGGTTTCCATTGACTGTCGAGTTGGGTCGACAGCTATGGTTGGCATAGATCGCGGGTGTCGGGGCTACCATCCACTTCCACTGGCCGTCCTGCTGAAAGTTGAGTGCGTAGATGATATCGTCCGATCCTAGCTCCGAGTACTCTACCACGGGTCCCTCGAACTTCTCCATCACCGTTCCCACAGGGCAGTCCTGGGTAGCGATGAGGCCCTTGCCGTAGGGGACATCGGTGGGAGAGCTTGGATAGGGGCGGCTATGACTGATAACGCCTTTGATGAGCGACTTGCATGGGAAGGTCCTTTTCTCTGCGGGTAACTCCATAGTTTCTTCAGAGTTTGGAATCTTGTCCGTCTGGGGGTAGTTCGTCAACATAGTGTCCCTTGCGTGTGAGTGTGTGTGTGTGCAATGCCCTTGCTTCCTGTATGCAGTAAGAGAGGTTGATCATTTTATTTGATAGTTAGTACTCTTGTCTCTTCGTTCCTCGTTCCTTAGTCTCCTACCATTACATCAATGGTCCATCTTTCCTCGCCTTGCCTTACTCTCTTGTCGCCTGTGTTTACGTTTATCGAGTTGCACTTACTGAGAGTCGCTCTTCTTGGCAGGGTAGAAGACAGAGAATCTTTTTTTCAAAGTGGGTAGTGTGTGTTGTGTGATCAAATGGGGGTTATTGCTTGTGTTGAGTTTTGAAGTTCTGCAAATGGAACGGTGCTATGCCTTTATACATTTTTTCATTTTTTTAGAGGCCCCAGACCGTATCTTCAGAAAGAGGCGAACGTCATCTCTTCCCCCTTCTCCTATGGTCGTTGGGTCTGTGTGGTTTTTTTTTCTGGAAATGCTGTATGCTTGACACCCTCCCCCCTATAACTCCGTCTTCCATTCTCACCCCTGGATTTTTTTGTTTGCATTATTCATGATTCCTTTGCATTGAGACACAACGAGATGCATTTGGTGCGTTCCTTAATAGAGAGTGCTGGTGTTGAAAATTTTGGGTTTTGCAGGAGCAGTTGCAGGAGCAGGTCCACATTGGATGATAGGGCAATCATATCCAACAGCATTTTTTGTGTCATGGAATATTTTCCTGCATTTCTATTGGTGGCACATTTCTGTCGCAAAAACAAAGTTCCTATTCATTTAGATGCCATCGACAACGTCAGCGTCCCACCGAGAAGCAGCGTCTCATTCAGAGATGTCTGCTGGAGGCATTCGACAAGGCCATTGATGAGCACCATCTTCTCCAGCAACTCATTGGTCCCACCCGCCACACCATCCCGCTCCTTTGGTATGAGTTTTTGATGCAACTCTACTCCGCTCGATATCTTTCAACCACGTCGCCGCTTGCCATTTTCTACGGTCTTGAGGGATCGTGTCTTAAGTTTGTATCCGAAAGACAAATTCAAGGCCCATTATTCGTGTCGAGCCTGCACGACTGAACAGATTGGCAAAGATTCTCTCAGGCAACAACGCTTTTCGACATAACAACCAAGAGCCGGTCTCTCGAACAAATTATCATCGAACTCAAAGTGACCCTTTTTCGACTAGGAGTAGAGGGAGTGCCTGTGTGGGAACACGTCGCTGTCATCTTCGGCGTCAGTGTTGGTTCCATCCAGAACTACACCTGGCGTTGTATCCATGCCTTGGAAGCCTTAGCCCCTCGATATGTGATTTGGCCCAACGAAACAACAGAAACTCGACATCAAGCGCCATTTTTTGTTTTTTTTGGAGGAGAAAGGGTTTCCGAACTGCATCGGTGCTCTGGATGGCGCTCCTTTCCCTTTTCTACCACTCCTTCGTGGGAAACCTCAAATTTGGAACGTCCGCAAGTGCAACTATACTATGGGTGGTACCGGCGTCTATGACCATGTCGGCCGCTTTACGTTCTTTTCCACCAGTTACTTTGGATCCTTTCAATGACTCGTACGCCTACAAACGAATACACCTCTACACATCATGTAGACCGGTTTTTTTCCAAGGTGAAGAGTACCTTCTGGCGGATGCAGCATACTCTCTTTCTTCGACGGTCATGCCTCGTTTCCGGAAAGCCCGCAAAGGCTCTGACAAGGCGAGATTCAACTCTTACCATGGTCAGGCCGCGAGTTAAAATCGAACACGCGTTTGGAATGTTTGAAACGCAAAGTTCCAGTCGCTGAAGAACATTCCTATCTTGATCAAAAGAAAGCGAGATTTCTACAAGGCCGCCAGTTGGATCAAGGCATGTGTGGTCCTTCACAATTTTATCAGAGAAGGACTAGAGGACGAGCTGGTGGATGATGATATCGACGACGATACAATCGGTGCTGTTCCTGACGATCTTCCTGAGGGCGGAGACCTCCAGAACCAGAACAACAACGCGGGAAGCAGACGAAAAAAGATGATATTGATGATATGGGTTCTGTACCGTCGTCGTCTCCTCAAGGCAAGAAGATAGATAGTAGATAAAGTTTATTAGGAATGTGCACTTGGACGAGATGGTGAGTTTTTAACTATATTCATGATGATCACGGAGGGTGATTGGCTGTGCGATTCCTGCCTGTCTAATGTTCCTTTCAGTCGATTGAGTTTGGCCATCTCTTCATTCTTAAAGAGCGTCCATTCGATCCTCTCCCTCTCGAATGCCGCTTTGGCCTGTTGAAGCTGCTGTTCATGTTCCTGTCTGCGTTCCTCCAGCTCCCTGTTGAGCTCCGCCATACGTTCCAAACCATGGTTGACCCAGTCCAATTCTCGTTTCAAACATTCTCTCTCCCTTTCTGCTACCTCCTTTCTCATGACCTGAACGTATGTCATTAATCCTCCTAATGGTGCTGCGTTCATGGATGACAGCTCAGCTAGCTTTAGAAACATAGCTTCATGCTGTGGGTAAGGTGTATCCTTCGATTTGCCTTTGCTTCCGCTTTTTTTGGAGTGTCGATTTTTCATCGACGAGGATATCGAAGGCTCAGTCCTGAGAACGGAGGAGGTTGAGTCCCTGGCATGCGTGTTGTTGATGGTCTCTGGAAAAAAAGAGTAGCAGAAAAGAAATGAATGATGTGATGAGGAGAGAGAAGAAAAATATAACGCAGTTCTGAAGTGGATGGAAAAGGAGAGGCATCATCAGAAGAAACAATGAACTTACCATCATCATCGCCTGCAAGCAATAGGCTCATATCAAACCCTTCAACTCGAAGATGGCGGTGGTCTTCGAGCCCCATCACATCCTCGCCACCCTCGTCGCTCTCATCTCCCTCTTCATCCTCATCACATTCGTTACCCTCGTCGCTCTCATCACTTTCACCCTCGCCGCTTTCATCACCCTCCTCGCTGTCGTCAAGCAGCTCCGTCGGTTCTCCTGAGATGGTGGTTGTTTGAACCATAGGAGGCGGGTTCACTCTGAAATTGGACGAATATACGCGGTCGAATTTATCAAACAGAGGACATATCTTGAGGACTCGCTTCCGAAGCACTGATTTGTCATCATCGCCTGCTCCTGTCTCGGTCCACATCTGCTTGGCCTTTCTATATTTCTGTTCGGAAGCTGCAATGTTGTACTTGACGTGACGCTCCACCCAGGGCTGCCACTCCTCGTGCGTTTGGTCGGTAGCTTCAGCGTTGACAAGATCGGCAATCTCCCCGTACAAATCCTTTTTCATAACCCCCGATGTTGTTCCAGCATTTTTGAGTCCTTGTTGATTGTTGGGGTTAAGTAGCCAAGACAAAAAAAAATTCATGCCAGGTTTTTTCCAAAATTTCGTGTCGTCTGCTGGTTGCTGTACTTTGTTGTTGACCGCCTTTCCCGCCGTAGCTACCGTGCGTCGCTTCTTGTTGACACTACCAGTCGTGCCGTTGGATGACTGTGAAGCCGGTGCGTCACGCTTGCGGCTCGCTGACCGAGTGGAGGAAGGCATAGCTGGAACAGGAAGAGGGGCAAGGGAAGGTGCAATTAAACGTTCCTGGTGATGGGCTTGTTGTCCACCCTTATCGAGTAGTTGCTGTCTAAGGAATTGCAAGTCCTTTGCTTGTTGTTGTTGGTGATATTGTTGATATTGTTGAGATTGCTGAGATTGTTGAGATTGTTGAGATTGTTGAGATTGTTGAGATTGTTGATATTGTTGATATTGTTGTCGATAATGATGAAGGAGTGGCAGTTGAGGCGATTGCTGCTGTTGTTGTGAAACGGAAGGACCTGGGGCCAGAGGCTGAGAGTATGAAAGGTTGGCGTTCTGCTGAAGTTGTTGAGATGAAGAATTGCTTGAAAGGGATGGCAGAGAGAGCGGATGTATGGGAAAGGAGTGGAGCGAGTACAGGAGATGAATGAGAGGGCGTGGGTGAGGCAAGGTAAAGGTTGCTGGAAGAGGAGCTGGGAGGAGCAGGCTGCTGCTGATTGGGATGAGAGGCAAAATTGTTGTCCATGGCGAGGTTGTTGGTGCTGGAATGGAAGGAGAAGTCATCATCGCTGGAGGTCGCGTCCTTGTTGACACCCCTTGGCGACCTTTTGAGACTGCTGCTGAGGGTGTTATCAAAAGAGAACGACTTAGAGAAGTTATGCAACAATAAAAGGTAGTATGTTTTTATTCTTGACAGGTGTGTTGATTCCTTGTTGGACTGAAACGCACGGTCGATCCCTTTCCCAACCTCACCTCGAGATCCATCCTGTAGATCTCAAGGTCCTTCTCCTTCTGCAGCTGCGCCATTTTTAGGATGTGTTCGTTGTTCATCCGTTGCGCTTCGATGTCTATCCGTCTCTCCTCCAGCGCCAAGCTGGCTCTACGCGCTTCGGCCTTTTCCTTCGCCTCACTCTCCTCCAGCGCTAACCTCTGCCTCATAATCAACAACTCCACGTCCTTGTTCTTCTTTTCACTTTCCAACATGGCGCGAACAGAATCAGCTAACGATTGCATCTTGTCGCTTCCGCCTCGACCGCCACCAGACTTGTGAGTGTAGTTGTCTTTAATCTGTGCTTTGGATGTCGACCCTTGTGCTCCGCCTGCCTTATTGGAGGCCTGAGGGGGCGAGTCGGCTGGTGCTGCCTTGGTGAAGAACTTCTTGGGGAGAGGTCGTTGTGATGGGCGTTGATAGATGGTCGTCGGGCTCTCCTCCTGCGCTCGCTTCTCCCTCACCGCCGTCTTTCCTTTCTGCACTATCTTCCCTTTCTGCACTCTAGCTCCACGCTGCTTCAGCTCTTGCATCGTCCGCGCCTCCAACACGTCCTCGTCCCTCTCCGAATAGTCACCAGCTATCCCTTCCCCCACCATCTGCTCTATCTCGCTGTCATTCGCCTTCGCCTTGCGCCTTCGAGCGGCCTTGACGGCGGCTCGAGTCGGACTGTCATCGATAACTTTGTCGTCGAGATTAGCAGTAGACTTGGACCTGATCCGACCATGCCACAGACCAGTTAGCCTCCAACTTGAAGTGGTGCGGGCTTGTCTTCAGGATCTGTTGCTTCCACGTCTTGCTAGGGTTGGTGGTGCCGAATCCAGACTTGTGGACAAGGTCCTGGCCTCGCTTGAAACTGGCCTTGATAGTCTCGACCTTGGTTTTGGCCTGCTTCACCGTATATTGCACTTGATTGGGTGAGGCATACCAGCTGTTGATACCATTTGCCAGTTGTTGAAAGATCCGCGATTTCGGAGTCGTGCGAGGTGTGCCCTGTTTAGGAGCCTGCAAAATCAAAAAAAACCTCGGATTTGTTGAGTTGCTTCACCATCCAATCTGTCCTCTTATCCTCTAAAGACTTGGGCTTTCCCAATGCAGATAACACCTCGACAGGCCCGTCATCATCGTCATCAAACATCCAAGGAGGCAAAAACTCGTTACCCTCCTCCTCCACCACCACCACTTCATCCTCACCCTCCTTCTCCTCCTCGTCGCCGTCCACCACATCTTGGGTCTCCTCCTCCTCCTCGTCGTCGAAAATCCTCTTTGCCTTCTTGCGTCGAGGAGGTTCAGCAGGTGCAGACGCTCCTCGCTTGGACGTAGTCGCCAAAAAAGGCGACGTAGAACCCTGGCTGGAGGACAACCCAAGCGACATGACATTTGTGATTGCTGTTGTTAATGATGCAGTGGTAGTGGACGTGCTCGATGAAGAGAGAAGAGGTGTAGAGGCGGGAGAGATCAAAGTAGAGTCGCTGTTGTGTTTGAGCTACAAGGAGACGGGCGTAAGTTGACTGGATGAAGAATTGGGAGACTGGGGGTAAGGCAGATGGTGCTTGGTATGCCCAAAGTCTTCAGGCCATTCCGAGTAGAGAAGAGCGGAGCTGCGGTGTTGGTGTTGACTGGAAAGGCCCTGTCGACGATCAGTGTAGATGTGCTGCTGTTGCTGCTGGCTTGGAGTAATGGCTTGGTCAAGTACCGTGGCAGGAGAAGGGAAGAGCTGAGTGTCGTTGTGCTGGAAGACATGGGTAAGAGAGCGACCATGCTGAACTCCTGCAAGAGAGGAATGGTTCTGATGGCACTTGGTGTTCCAAGTCATGTTAGGGATGAGGAAAAATAATAATTTGGGGTGTCAACTCCCCAATTCAGCAAGATGTGACGTTTTTCCTCCCCCTGCAACTGCTGGTTCGCGTTTTCAACCAATAGAAATCCACCGGTACCGTGCTCCTGCTTCTGCGGCTGTACTTTTTTACACAGGAGCGCGTAGTGATCATGTCTCAGTAACTGATCGTACCTGAATAATCTTTGACTACAACTGCATGTACTCGCTGCCGGGCTGGGCACCCTCGCGAAGGAATATGAGGGTATATCTGTTGACACGGGGAACATGGCCATAAGAATAAAGAACGCAAACGATTCTGAACACAAACGGGTGAAGAAAGCAATTTGGACAGTTAACTGCTTTTAGCACCATTGCACCAAAACAGCATGAACCGTGCATGATTTTCCTTCTTACAAAGAGGAGGCCCACGTTTCTTGCTTTTCTCTTTTCTGACACACGCCGTCTCTCTCATTCCCTTGTCCTTCATCTTCCTTCCTGTCTTCCCCTCATGGTCATTCCTCCTCCGACAACTCTTCACAACTCATTCATCAACACACTAAAAACACTTCACCCTCAGCAATCACCTTCACCCTCATACTCACCCTCACCCTCAACACCTGCTATTAAAGCATTCGCCCTGTCAGCCTATGATACCTCACCAACGCTTTCAACACGGCGAGAGGGTCGAACAGCTCCCTCTGCGGAAGGACAAGACCACAGGCGTGCTCTACATTCGTGAAAAAGATGTCCAGAGGGTCTTCTCTGGCGCCACTCTGTTCAAGGTCGACGGCATTGTTATTTACTACCTCGAGGACGAGAACGAAGAAGAGTAAGCAGAGAATATTACAAAGAGAGCAACTCTCGACAAAAAGGCATCCACCTTGCAACCTTCCTCTTATTTCTTGATACTAGCTCCCCACTTTTTGTTCTTGGCCTATAACTTTGCTCTCTTGTGGTATAGGTATGAGCCGAAGAGGATCGGATACTACCCAGACGATGTTGTCGAGGTGGTCATCCCCGGTTTGACCCACATCCATACAACTCCTTCAGTCGACCTCTCTGGAAGGACCATGGCACAGACAGGAAGCAGAAATTCAAGCCACCCAACTCAATTGATCACAAACGATGGCATGGAACTCTCTGTGTCGAATCTCTCTCTACGACCTTATTCCGTCCACACAAGCACCCTCGTTCGGTCCGCCACTTACTCCGTCGAGCGCCCCTCAAAATCCTCCCTCTCCTCGCCCAATACTATTGCTCACCAATTTGCACCCATCGCTCGTCCTATGGCTGCACTTTCAGCAATCGCTTCAGACATCACCACTATCCAACATCAACTCACCCACTCGACCGACCAGCAGTCAGCGCACCACCAACAGCTTTTGGAGCAGTTGATCCAGCTTCTTAAAGAGCAGGCTGCATCCAAGGAGAGGGAGGAGCAGATGTTGAGGGAGCAGGCCGAGTCCAAAGTAAGGGACGAGCAACTGTTGAGGATGCAGCAGGAGACGATTGACCGACTCACTGTGGCCCAGCAGAAGATCGAGGCTATCTTGGTCCAAAACTATGAACTCCACGAGTATCCGATCCCAAGGCTGTTCGTCATTCTTCCAGACTCGTACGAGAAATGGGACCCTCGGAACATTATGGCAGAGAGATTTCGACTGTTCTTCTTGTGCGAGTGTGGCGACCATTGCAACCCAAGCGTGGGATCAACGACTTCATCTGGCCAACTCACCATCGCCGCTTCTGCCTCCTCCACACCCGTCCCTGTCAGGAGCAGTGTCCACTTGGCCAAGCATGAGGGGTATGAGATTTCTCGCTCCAAAGAGTTCTTTGATCGCTATGGTCCCTATGTCCTTGGCATGCTCCGGATGCTCAAGCATTGTCTGGCCGTTGCAAAGGTGGCGGCCCCTGCTATTGCGCTGGTGGAGAGTGGTGTCAAGGATGTCATGGACGGAGTCACGTCGATCTCAGAGACAACGATTATGGCGGTAGATATGTCGATCGACTTTCTGGAGCAGAAACTGGATGAGAACGCGACAGGCGATGGAATCTCCAAAACAATGGCTGGGTCGCAGGAGGAGGAGGAGGAAGACATGTTCAGCGGTCTTACAGCACTGGAGGGTGCCGATCTGCGGCGACTGGACTCTTTCCTGAGGAAGAAGGACGCGGACAAAATCCTAGGAAATTTGTACAGGATCACCCTCGAGACAGGTCATGTCAAATGGGTGTGCCTTCACCATTACCGTCAAGTGTACCGCGAGACAGCGATGGCATCGTTCCTGCAGTGTGTCGAAACCAACGGTGGCACGTACGATCCCCAGTTTGGCAAAGTCACCATCACCCTCAAATCCAGCATCGCCACCAAGGATTTCTTCTCTCGACTCTCCACACAGGCACCGGCGGTCATTGGTCTCAGGGTCATGTTGGATTGGTCGTTTGGGTCGGTGGATCTGGGTATGCTGGTGGACAAGATTGCTCAGTCGAATATTCAGGAATTGGAGCTGGGCCTTATGGAAATGGATGATCCCTCTCTGTTGGGTTCCCTTTTTCGACCTGGGAAGGGAAGGTACCACTCGCTCCTTGGGCTCTTGTCCAATGACAGGATCAAGCGCCTGGCCTTTATCAACGTAGATCTCATCGGACCGCGGACATCGAGCTTGCCCAAGACCCACCGCCCCACGCTCCTCCAAAGCTTCCACTATTCGGGGTGGATCAATAGCTTTGACGACTCTCGCCTGGCTGAGATCATCTCTCTATGTCCCGGTCTTGTCGATGTGAAACTAGGAAAAGTCTCAGCCACAAGTCACGACATTTCCAAAGTCGACCAAGCGCTGGGTTCGCTCTCAAAGTTGAAGATCCTGAACCGTTACAACTTATATTTTGATAGCAATGTAGAAATCACGAATACCACAGCCCCATATGGCACGGTCGCTTTGAGGGAGCTCACGGATATCGGCATGCCGTACCCCACTGGCCCTGCTGGTCTACTTGAGGCCGCAATCCGGCGATCGGCCGCGACATTGGAGGTACTCATACTCCTATCCGGGACCAATAGCCGAATTATAGACCTGGCTCAACTTTCCGACATATCCTCGTCCACAACACACGTCAGTGGTCTCCCATTCGTGAGACTGACGCACCTCGAACTCATTGTCGACATGACAGCTGATTCACTCGACCTGATGGCCCATCTACTACCAAGTTTGTCTCTGGTCCACTTTGGTGTTGGTCGGTTCACCCACAGTCTCCTCTCTGCAGTCAGCCTGGTCTCTTTGCGGTCCCTACGTGTGCACAATGTTGAGAACTCCTCCCTCGACCCTTTTTATCATCGTATCCTCTCGTCGTCCACACCTTGTCAGATCCAACAAATACGGTTCGGAAGCATTGCGAAATCACAAGGACTAGCGAACATTCTTGCTGCTCTTCCTTTGAGACGACTGTATTTCGACGTACCAAAGGACGACAATATGCTCGAGATGGTTCTGCCAAGCTTGAACCTCTCTCAACTCCAACTTCTCATAATCGACTACCACAAGTTCGGTCCAGAAATGGAGGCGGTTCTTGCTGCAAGAAGTACAGAGTTTACCGACGAGTTTGTGCTTTACTTGGAACATGAAAAGAGGCTGAAAGCGGACGAGGCGCAGGTGCTGAACTCAAGAGAGGTGCAAGGATCGCCGATGAAGCTTGCCCGTCGCCGTGTTCGTGTTGTTGACTTTCTTACCACTGACCCGGAGTACTATAGATCTGTTACCTCTTCGTGATCATAAAAAGTCATTGACTTTACTTGTTTATATTGACAATTACCTAAGGAAGAGCGAGAAAAAACTTTTACACTGGCTTGTACCGATTCTCCTGCAGCACATAGCGATTCTCCTGCAGCGCATAATTGGGACACGTTCTAGCGCTTGAGCGTCTATAGCGAAACATCCCTGTTATTTTGTTCGCTTCTACGGATGCAACGAGTTGACTATCTACTTTCTCTTTTGGAATTCGCAAAATGGAACTTGGTATCATGCGTTGGACCTGACTTCACAGGGCAAACACCCACCTCTCAAGCTTTATTTCCCAGCGGTAACATGCGGAGGAGGTTTGTAGCCAGTCTCGCGTTATTTGACGATAGTCCGTGATGATTGTGAACGCATCTTGAATAGATCATTCCAGGAACAACAAGTACGCGTGTTTGTTTTCTGGAGGGTATATTCCCTGCTTTCCCTTTTCTTTCTAGCCCCAGCAACCAGAAGATACATTTTTCCGTTTAGTGCATTGGGCTAGCAAATATCACACGCTTCTGAGTGCCTTCGGGGTCACTTGCGAGAGTGCCTCTCTTTTGGGCGCTCACATGTCGGTGACCGACGACCCTCAGAGTGATTTATGGGGGTCAGGGGCAGAAGTCCTCTACTTTTCCTCTTTGCACTCCAGCGAGCAACAATTACAACATATTTTCTTTGGGGAGGGTGCGGTATCTTTACATTCAACTACTGACCTGACAGCATGTAAGGGTTTGATCACCAAAGCTAGAGGTGCTCAGCGGGTGTGTTCTAGAAAGTCACAGGATGTTTAGAGTATCGGCCTGGTACCTGGCTTAACAGCATACGAAGAACCAAGGATAGCGGCCAAGCTATCTCTGGCTCTGAAAAACATGCCTATTGGTCGTGAGCAAGAGAATGACTGATGGTAACGATAATGCGAATAATAGAGTGCGAACTCGGGACAAGGATTTTTTGTATTTGTTATGGCATGGTGTTGTTTCCAACCCGACTTTTGTTTTGTTTTGTTTTTTTTTCTTTTCTTTTCTTTAGTGTTCCTTCCAATTTTATTTCGATAGAGAAAAGGGTCATGTAGATTTCTTCAATCCATTGCTAGCATGGCTAACTTGGTTACTCTTACTACCGCGTCGTTTTTTTTTCTGTCCTTACTCTTTGGTCTCTTTCTTTCTTCAACGCCAAAGCTCAGGTTTACTTTGTGTATATCGTGATGGCCATACTTAAATTCTTTCGACCGTTCACTTATGTTCTTTTGACCGGTTTGTATCGTAATTTTCGACTAAAACCTTGGTGAAAACAGTGTAGCGACGTGGAGGGAACAGTAGCTGTTGATTGAGGCCGTGGTTGACCAAGATTGGTCGATAGTGTTTAAATGTGCCGTTGTACATGTTTCCACTGTGGAGATTTTTACACGTATCTACTGCGGAGATTTTTGGTATATAATGGGCAGACCTCTCCTTCTCTCTTTCCTCCCTTTCATCCTTTTCCCTCTGGCCAAGTCCAAGACACTCAGGTATGCTAAGAACGCCACCAACTCTTCCCCTTCTTCCCCGTCACCAACCATGGCATACACCCTCATAATCAAACATAACTCACTGTCACATCAGCCTCCTTCTTCATGACACTCTTTACTCTCACCCAGCTCCTTGGAAAAATCTGGAAGGAAAGGTCATGGCTCTGATTGCTATAGGGACACCGTAAAGACCGACCTTTAGTTTCTTACTTCGCTTTCCTTGGTGGGTATTGGACATTGGCGGACCTTGACAAAGACTTTCGGTAACGAGGCGGGGTGACGTTGTCGCCCAACTCCCTATCTATCTCCGAAAGAATGATAACTTTAGTTTCTCGCTTTGGGCCAATCGACGCCACCAAAAAAGAATCAGGAACCACCAGCCTTTTCCGCTGAGAGGAAAGAAAAAGCCATCATGCAGCCAGGTTCCGTTCAATTCCCTGATCAAGAAACATCGCCCTTCTGTGCTAACCCTACCTTTTTTGTTTTCACACTTGCTATCCTTGTTTTTTATCAATGGACTTCCTTGTAGGTCGTTTGTTACCAGAGTGTTGGCACCCATTACTCGCCCAGCCAGGCACGATCCAGGTACAATCAGCAACTGAGACAGGAATCACCCATCATGCTTGTACATATATTTCTTCCTATCCGACCTTTCTTTTCTCTTCCGTTTCTCCACTCCAATTTTGCATGTTAAGGAGGTGAGGCTGGCCGTTTTCTCTTTTACTTTTCCTCCGCCAATAATGGTATTTGAGGAATGCTACGCTAGTGATATTTTTTTTCTTACAACCATTTCTACTCTGTGGAGGATTCAGGCAACATAGCAACACACTCAGCGGAAGGTTAAATCAAAGTTAGGGCAGCATTCAGCCACTTGTTGAAACCATGGGTCAAGATTTTCAGTCCAACGGCTGAAAAAGTATCATTTTGACCTTGCAAATATGTACCAGGCACAAAAAAAAAAAGAATAGACAATTTTCCTTGACACACGAGCATGACTGTTTTGGATCCAGAAGCGGTGCCTATTGTAACCGGCCACAATGACATCGCAAGGAACATCTGTCGCAAAAAAAAACGAAGCGCCAAAAAAAAAACATGCTTTTAATGTGCTCAAAAGACAGTAGACAGAATAGAATGCCAATGTTGGTTATCCAACTCAGCCCGCTTGACGAACATAATATGTTGCGCTTTCAGTCGATGCTCACTTCCCTCTAATCTAGCACTCAAAGTGCTGGACGGGACCGGGATCAATTTCTCGCACTGCAGTAAAAAGTTGTCCCCCAACTGCTTCACCCGCGCCGCCAACGCAGACTCGATATCGTCGTAGTATTGATGTACAGGAAATCCGACTCCGCCACAGAGCTGAGTCGACAACACCTCAAGCCGGCTGAGGTTCAGGATGGGCATAATTTTGGCCATACCTTCACGAGGAATTTCAGCCAGCTCCAGTCGCCTCAGTGGGATCTTGTGGAGCAGATCCGGCACGATCCGAATCTGGCCAGTCATCTTGAGGTCCATCCGGTCGAGCTGGCAGGGGCGGTTCTCGTCCAGAAAGGCCTCAAAGAGGGGATGCATATCGTCCTCTGTGAGATCTGTCAGACTGAGCGACTTGAGAGATGCAAAGTTGACGTACTTGAGGAGTCGCTTGGAGTGCTCATCGGCGCCAAAGTGGACAAGGCTCAAGTTCCAGACAACCGATGCCAGTAAATCGATCGAAGCGTCCGTGATTCTTGTTCCCAGGTGGAGATGTGTCAAGTTGGAGAATGGGCGGGCAGCGTGGCTGAGTGCGGTGAACGATTGGCGCTGGGGCACGTTGGCAAATTCTCGGTAATGAGCTGGTGACAGTTCCACGACCTCCCGTCGCTTTTCCGTAAACTCTAAGACCAGCACCTCCATAATTCCCGACGACACCTGAATAAGGCCCTCGAGTTTGACGCGATCCATCACACATCCCGTTCTGACCAGACCCTTCAGAGCCTCAGTGGAGAGGGAGGCGTCTTCCAACTTTCTCGTGTCGCCTGAAACGTTGGCATCTGGCAATCCTGTATCCATGTTGTAGATGTGAGAGTTTTTCAGTCGCTTCAACGAGGCCATTGCGTGATACAGGGTTGGATGCATTGTCCTCTGGCTTGAGAACGATCCGAGTCTCAGGTCGACGAGGCAGGGGCAGCTGGTGAGGATGTTGGCCAACCGAACTTGATCCGCGGGCTCAATGACGTTCAAAAGGTGGAAGCGTTGCAGAGTGCTAGTGATGTGGTTCTGAGGTAGCCCGGACACTCGAGAACCGAGATGGTGAACATTGGAGAAGAACACGCCTCGAAGGTTCTTACTGGAGACCATCTGAACCAAGGGGTGGTATCGACCCTTGCCAAGCGACATACCCTCAAATGCCGACTTTTTGCCCTTGTCGTCTCTCATATCCAATCTCAAAACCCGCAAGTTGGATTGAGCGACCGCACTTGCAAGAGCGGCAAGGTCGGAAGATCCAAACTTCCAGTCGAGGGCAATATCGAGCTCGTCCAGTGCCAGTGCTTGCGAGGCCAGTTTCCCGAAAAAGTCCTTGGCGGCAGCGGTGGAGGTGAGGTTGATGACGGCCTTGCTGAGATAAGGGCTGTATGCACCGCCATTGGCCTCGACAGCCCCGATGAAGGAGTTCATACTGGAAACGGAGTAGAGCGTCCGGTAATGCTCAAAGCACACCCACTTGACACGGCCAGTCTCCATAGTGGTCCTGTACAAGTCGCCCAGGAACCCATCATGGTTGTGGCTGCGCAAGAACGTGTCCAACCGTCGATGTTCTGCTCCATCCAGTGTCCGAAGATTCTTGAAGGTCTCGCAGGCTCCAAAAGCATCGAGGTCGGTTTTGTCGGTTGTCGCATCGTGGTCGCTGTTAATGCCCAGGGTCTTTTCCAGAGAATCGATTGTTGTGTTGATAGCGGCTACTGTGTTCCTGACCATGTTCTCCGTCGTCTTGAAGGAAGGGTCGCCTCGCTCGTGAAATATGCTCAGTTCAGGACTCATCATTGCCGTGAACGCCATCGAGTGCTTGAGGACAGCGAGCATGCCGAGGACATAGGATCCGTACTTTTCGATAAATTCCGCCGTCCGCGAGACTTCATATCCGCCATGCTTGACTAAGTGCACCATCGTCCTTGGATTGGTTCCTGGTGGTTCCGTTGTGGGCTTGGTAGTTGGTTTGTTGGAGGGGCCACCGAATTCCGCTGTCGAACTATTGTTACTGCTGTTGCTGTTGTTGTGATTTTCACATTGGTCCCCACACTCGCACAGAAAATACAGTCGAAAATTCTGCAAAGGCTCTCCGCTTGGATTTTTGTTTGTGAAGGACGGTGGGAGGAGGACAAATAGCCTTGGGACCGGATACTCGTACAGTTCATCGTTCAGCAAGAAGGCGGCGTCGAGTTTCCTTTGTGCCATCACTAGCTCGACCATGGTCTGATATTGTTCCTGTGGGCGATCCTTCATGTGGTGTCCTTGTTGTTCATCGTCGTCAGCATCGTGAGAGTGCTCAGAAGAGGGCGACGATTGATTGTCCGCCAATTGCTGTTGGAGAACCTTGTCGTGGTTAGGCTCTTCTTTTGGGGCACTGCTGTCATGAACGAGTTTTGTCGTCTGGTATGGCTGTTGCTGTTGCAGTTGTTGTTGTTGTTCTTGTTCTTGGGGTTGGTTGTCCAGGAGGGCGTCCATGCTAATGGGTGAAGACTTGGTGATAAGGGAATCAGGCAACGGAACAGGTGGTGAAGATGCACCAAAAGTAGCGCGTCGGGGACGCGTGGTGACTGCAGTGTTGGGCTGGACAGAGAGTGTCGGTACGGACTGATCCACGTTATGTTGAGATGACGAGCCAATATCCTTTTGTTTGCTGTTGTCAAGGTCGGCTGTAAGTTGAAGGTCAGTCTCGTCGGAATGACTGGTTGGTGTTGACGATTGTTGCGGTTGTTCTTCCTGACTGTTGTTGGCTGTGACGATGTCGATGATGGCGTTGGGGTAGTGTGCGATCCGCTTGGGCTCAAAACTGAATGAATGGAATCAGTATTGTGGATCAAGAAAGGAGGAATGGAAAGTAGTGATTAGCAAACAAAGTATGCAGAAGGACGTTGTTGTTGTTGCTTTGACCATCACTCCAAGTGTGCTTTCCTAGAGTTGAATGAGACGAGGAAGATTACCATTGTTCGTGTTCGTCTTCGAGGAAGAGGATGTTGATGCTGTTGACTTTGAATCCCCAGGCTGTTGGGAAGTAGTGTTGGATGTCAGTGAGGCGGTTATAAAAGTAGTCGCGCTTGAGGTCTCGTCTGATAGCGAGCGCTTCGATCCTTGTCCCGAGGCGGAACTGTTGATATGGCTCCATCTTCTTGTAAGCTGTGGGGAGTTCAAGAGGAAGGTGGAAGAGTGTGGTGCGAAAAAGAATGAGAAGGAGGGCGGGGGGGTGGAGTGTGGAGTCGAAAGTAAAAAGGAGTAAAAGGATGGAGCGGAGATGGAAGACGGAGGAGGTGTGGAGGAAGAAGGAAGGAAGAGAAGAAAAGGTGTGATGGTAGGTAGTGTGTTTGTGTGAACGAAGGAGGGATAAAGGAAAAGGAGAGATGCTAATGCCAAGGGGTTGTTTGTAGTTGTGGGTGAGCGGATACGGATGTGGATGTGCATGGGAGGAGGTGGGTTGGATGACAAGCAAACAAAAAAAGCACAGACACAGACACAGACAGACACAGACAATGAACGATGGACGGGAAAGAGAGAGAGAGAGAGAGAGATGAGGGAGAGGGGAGTTCAAACCTTGTTCGGGCTGATGGATTCGATATGCGATCTGATCTCTTCTCTCTTCTCCCTTCCTCTCTCTTCTCCCCTTGGCCTTTGTACACTTCGAATGCCAGGTGTGTGTTTATTTTTGTTTTATTTTACTTGCACGTTTGTACCTTGGCTTGCATCCAGTACATACGAGGTCGCCCCTCAACTAGTAAACACATGTGCTCAGAAAACATCAATGAAAAAGAGAGCTCCTTTACTTTTCTAACCCTCAACACTTTGGTCTTTTCTTGGAATTGCATCCTCACTATGCCTTTGCTATGCCCCTCGCAACAACCAACTAACACCTCATTTTCTGTCTCTTCCTCTTCCTCTTCCTCGGAGAACCACCATTGCTCATGACTAATCCTCAATTTATTCCATTACACAAATTAATTTCTTGTGAACAATCAACAAAATCAAAACATGGCCTGAGGCAGACACAAAGTGCTCCTGGACCATGTAGTAAGAATTAACAGTGTGCATTTGCATGAGATCCAGCCTCTTCCATTCATCATCCTTCGTCTTTTTTTCTTCCCATTCTTCTCCTGTTGCAACACGCTTAAGTTGAACGACTACCGGAACATTTATATTCATCTACCAGATAGTATCCCTGTCTAAAACACCCTGCATGATCAAATTCCACCAGACACAGTCGCACCTGTGACAATGCTTGTAGGAGATCTGGAGCGTGTTGATGCCCTTGTGTTGAGGTCGAGTTTTGCATACGCTGCTTGGTTGCTGGTTTGTAGGTTTTGATGGTTATGGGTGACGAAACAGAAGGGCTAAGACCATTAATGAAGTGAAGTAAGGGTGAAACATCAGTTCGTCCTTACTTCGCCCTGGACTGTGAGGACTGCCATTTTTCTCTATCATCCCCTTTCTTCCTTCATAGTGTCGTTTAGTTCTCTTCCGTTTGCGCACAAGGGCGCAGGGGGACATCCAAGCAAGCGTTTGACAGAAAACTCGTTTATTTTTGTTTTCCTGAATTCGTGTCTTCTTCTCACTCCTTGTACTGTCTGTCCTCCTTTTCGATCGATTGCACGCATAGAAAATAGTACTTAGTACATGACCGCTTGCGGGCCCCGAGGCCTGGCAGACGATCCCTGTGGCGCTCCTGGTACAACGTCAATGATCCTGTTCGGGTAATGTCCAATGATCGGAGGAATGCATCTACAGAGACACGCACAAAATAGAGTGAAGAATGTGGAGGATATTTTTGGCCGTGAGTAAAAACGTCTCCTTCCCTCTTCTGCATCCGTGAACATACAGAAAAGCAACCACATATATCTCATTTCGCCGTGCATTCCTCCCCTCCTTCCATCCTAAGGCAACAACCTCAACACAGGATATCAACGACGAAAAGACGTACAGATCACCGTTATCCTTGGTCAAAAAGTCCAACGCGTCGCCATCAATCTCGAACCCAACTGCTGTTGGGAAGGCGTCCAGGATTTCGTTCATCCGATGGTAATGGATCTTTCCGTCCCATTGCGGTTCGATCTTGATTGTCTGTTCGCCCATCCTGAATTTCTGCTCCTGCTCTCCTTTTGGTCTGTTCATGGCTTGATGATATCGTTTTGGTTGATTAGTTGGGCGTGAGTGAAGAGTTGTTGGGGAAGGAAGTGGTGGCGGTGGTTGAGGAAGATGTGTGAAAAATGTTAAAGGAAGAATCGAAAAGGCGAAAGCAAAAGCAAAAGGAGGGTGGTAATCTTGGAAAAGGATGATGAGCAGGGGTCACGTTCGTATCTTTTATTAGCATAAGCAGAAAGCATGAAAACGATTCGATGAAGCAAATTGCTTCCCTCTCCCTCCCTTTTCCCGTGCATGAAACGTCATCTTCGCCTACTTTAGCACCCCTGAAAATACCTTGAACGAAATCCAAAAGATAAAAAAATGGCTCAGCCAGGTTATCAAGTCATTGGGCTTTGCTTGTCTTTTTAGCCGCTAACCCCACTCTCAGCGGGCAAATAGAGCCCATCCTCAACAGTAAGAGACAAAACTGGGTCCTCCAATTTCAACACCGCCATCCATTTCCATAAACGCACTCCTCACATCCACCAACGATCCCAGATGCTCCAACGCCTTCATCATCTCCAGATTCTCAATCTTACTCCCATCCAGCAATGACACATCCCCATGTTCCTTCTTGCCACCCTATCGAGGAGGGGTCGAACAGACTGGTCCATGTCAACCATCATACTCCACCGCGCCATGATCCTTTCTCTTTTCCTTAGTCTACCCAAACTCCATCCAATACACGCCCCGCGGGAGAAGGAAATGTCTAGTCCTCTCCCCCGCTCCTCCCCCGCCTCCGATCCGGAGTCGTTAGAGTCGTGACAGTTGGCCCAGTAGACAAAGTCCACCAACAAGCTACAGTTTCAGAAAACCACTATACTTGCCGCAACCACCGCTACCTGTGAATAGGGATCCTGGAAGTTGGGAAATGCTCTGGAGATACACCCATATGAACACTCTTCACAGGTAATTTGTGCTGCCCATCGGAGCCTGAATCCGGAAGTGAAGTGTCTGGAGGTTATGACAGGCCTAGATGCCAGGGGTGTATGCCGGATCAAGTGTTGCTGTTGTTTAGTTGTTAACGCTCTTAATGCCCAAGACTGTTAACTGGACAAGACGATTATAAAGATCCATATGTGCCTGCGAGTATTCCAAGAGTGGCGCCCTGAGGTGAAGGAGCTGTGGGGAAGCACAGAGGTAGGTCTGCAGCGTCTGAGTCAGTTGTGGCGAAATTTCCGGAGTCGTTAGTATATTGTTGAATGCTTTTCAGTATCTAGGAGGAGAACTCGTTCTTCCTTTTCAAAAGAAGCGTTTCTCGCTGTTGGTACAGACTTGAGTAATGACAGCAGCGGAGCTGTCGTCTCGCAAATGAAAGAACTCCAGCGAGAAGGAGAAGGACTGGATGCAGCAGACGAGTTGTGGAGTGTCGTGTCTGGTAACGGTGCCGTCAAAGTCAGAGAGGGCCAAGATCGGGTTGACGACCTTGAGCCGTATCAGTCGAAGGGCCATCGCTAGGAAGGACTCTAGATCCCCCACTGTCAAAATTGCGTGTTCGTCAAAGTAAACGACCGAAGAGGGAAGCCTGGGTGACGTGGAAGTTGATGCCGAGGTATCCATGGCTCAATGAGGAAAACCTTGTCCAACGACACAAGGAGACCCTGTAAACTGTCACAGGTCACTAAAACAGTCACCATCTGCAAGACAAGTGAATCCTCCGACCGAATAATCAGCCTCGTCAAGAACGCTAGACGTGTCAAGAGGGCAGAGACCATGTAGAGCCCAATAGACCTCAACAGCTCAATATCCTCCAGTCTCACAGGCGACCCCTCCTTCTGTGGTGGGAACAAAAGCGAATCTTCAGGCCCATTCCTTCTCACCACGTCCCTACCGCCGTTAGCTGGCAAATACTCAAAAAGACACTTGAACCTCTCTCTCAACCGCTTCTGACGATGTTCAAGTCCATCCAGCACAGGTGGCTCTAAAGCCCCTTGGTGCGGGGACTCTGGTGGAGGCGGTGGAGAATCAAAAGCCCGACAAAATGAAACAGGATGAATCAGATGCGAGAAATCAATGATAAGCTGCTTGGTCTTAGATCTCAGGACAGTTTCATATTAGTTCGATCAAATCGATCGACCTTATGGGCCGCTAAGAATGAAAGGTAGAAACGAAATTCGTTTTCCTTCGTCTAGCTGTAAGGCTGCTTTACGTAGCCGATCTAGGTTGAAGACATTGTTAGGTAGAGAGTTTGGCTGGGGTGGCACATCTGTTAAAAGATAACGAAAGTGTCCTAATAGGGACTCATCGATAACAGAAATCTCGAGTAGGACAAAAGGGTAAAGTCACCTTGAATTTGATTTCCAATGTGAACGAGAATAGTATTCGCGGCTTCATTCGCGGAGGTGCGAGGCAAGTGAAAGATACCGAAAAAGTGGAGACGAGAAAATGGAGACGAGAAAGAGAAGTGGTTTTATTCAATCTGGCGAAGACAGGATCCCTCAGTTCGTCAATTAAATGGGTCGCTGCTTAATTACAGTACCCAACCTCAGAAAATTGGTTTGATTTTGTTGCGTACTGTTTCGTCTCAGAAACAAATTAATGGTAGGAGCGACAACTGGCTTATGGCAGCCAAGCGTTCATAGAATAATTTCGGGGCGCGTGGCGTCGTCGATGCTTTGTTCCAGTGCTGTGGTGAACAAGCACTAGCCACCAATTATTTTTTTCCGTTTGCTCAGAGCCTCAGACTCATTTTTTTTTGCTCACAGCACTGCTTTTCGACGTATCACCATGGTCAGTGCATCAGTATTATTCACCGTTTAAGGGGTTCCCAAGTTTGTCTACTGCCTTCTCATGTTTTGAGGCCATTCCTCGCAAATAAACCACCTTCGATACACTCTCTGTTACTATTGCAGTTATAAAAAACGTAAGGTATAAATTTACTTGGAGGACTCCATAGTAGAAAAACTATCAGTCCACTAACTCTACGGCTTCCTTGCACGACCACCTAACGTACGAGCATCAAACGCGTTCTTTGTACCACATGATGGGCACAAGTAGACAACCTGTAGTCCAAAGGGCATTGTCGAGAAGCAATTACGACAAGCTCCCTTGTTGCACTTCCAACAGTATAATCCAGTCGGTGACGTGCAAACGCAGCAGACGTTTTCTGCAGGGGGGGCATTCACGATCCCTTTTACGAGAGTGATAATCATGTCGAGCTTGCACCATGTTGGGATAAAGTGGTAATTGTCGCGTTCCACAATGAGGCAGGTGTAGTCAGGAAAGCCAAGATTCTTTTGTACGTCTTTACCGTTCGCGATGGAGACCAGGGCCAGCTTGTCATCGAGCATACACAAGTCTACAGAGGCCATGAACTTGGCAAAATTGGTCATCTCTGTGACGCGTACACGATATCCCATTTTTATCAGTTCTGTTACAACCACAGCCTCCACCTGCTTTGCCAAGACGTCCATGATCGCCGAAGGCGGAAGGGCCGATTCTGGTTTGACCGTTTGTTGCGTTATATGGTAGCGTGAGGAAAAATAGCGAAGGGATCGGCGTAACGTCCTATATTTAATTTGCTATATATGTTAGACTTCACTGCCGCCAGACACCACACTTCTTCCCAAACTCACAGCTTGCATTCATACCAATAGCCGTTTAGTAGATAATTACCTTAAACAGCTGGGCCTTGAAATGAACTTTGGAGAGGGAAAGGGCACTGAGTGAAATACACGATGATGAGCGGGTTCGCTTCACGCTGGCAAGAATACTGACCAGTGGACGAGCGAAAGTGGAAGGGGAACTGCGACGAGTGGAGTGGAGTGAAATAAAAATGGCGGAAGAGACGTGGTATATAAAGAGAGAACTGAGGAGTGGAGAAAAGAAGACCCATGGTCCAAGTTTATCTGTCACATAAAATGGTCAGCGACTGCAGTTGCTTCCTCCTATTTCTCAGTGAGTCAAAAGGCGAAGTAAGTGGAATACATCCTCCATTTCAAATGCCCGTCGAGGGACCCGTGAAATTTTCTCTTCAATCGTTACAGATTACACAAGCCTAGATCAAAACATCCGATCGCTGTGCATGTCACTCCCCATCCAACGTCAACAACCTTTTGAAGTACAGTACCTTTCCGATATTTCTCAATCGCTGATACACAAAGAAGATTTCAAGGGAACTGAGAAGTTGTAAATTCCACGGAAGGGATAACTGGCTTGTGGCTCCAGTGGATGGCAAGGTGTCTCAATAAGTTCCATTCATGCAAAAGTAGGTGTAAGCTTTTGTCGCTCAAGTACTCAAATGTGCATTGTGCATGTTTGTCTTTTTCTCACAGGTCATGCTTGCATTCCTTTTTTTTTTATATCGCATCCTACTTCATAGGCCGAATGGTCTTATTATGAAGTCCAACTGACTTGTGACAGGCAAGCCCCTCATAGCGATGTTGCCTTTTGACCCTTCGATATCGGCTCTTCTTATCATACTGAAGCAGAATTCAGTAAGGATTGTTCACCCACTAATACGGAGCCCGCGCCAGAACGCGACTATCGCCGCCTTTTTAGTTGAATACGAATAGATTTTCGGATCCTGAATCGTACTACGTGGGGTTATCTTGTAGAGCGGAAAGGCTTTGTGAGGTTCCCTCCAATGTTAATTACAGATATTGGAAGAGATAAATCATTGCAGACGATTAATTGAATGAGGAGTATTGTAAGTAATAAATTTATGATGGAGAATAAGTGAATGAGGGTGGGAGTGAAGTTGGTCGAATGAAGGTAAATGAACTGATCGAGTGATAGTAATTGAGTGAGAGCGGATGAGGATGCAGAGAGGGAGCGATGAGATGAGATGAGATGAGATGAGAGATGGGAAAAATAAACGGTGAGTGGTGGTTGGGCGAAGGGGGAACAAAGAGGACGGAAGAAAGAAAAAGGAGAGAGAGTGTTCCTCTTTGTTGTTTCCAACTGGCCAATCGGCAGCAGGCGATTTTGCCACTCCTTTCCTCATTTTCCTTGGAAACAAGTGGAAGACGAGGTACAGGTGTGTTGTATCCGGGATGACGAGTTGCAGCAAAAGCAGCAAAGATACTGTGTGTGTGTTTTTGTTCGTGTGCGAATGTGCCAGTCTCGGAACTGATCGCTTCACATTTCTTTTCATGCAGTGAGCGAGTGTCCCCCTGAGCAAACTGAAAAACAGAGATAGAGATAGGGTCAGGCTTATCTAGTCCTCAAAATCCTTAAACCCCTCCACAAAACATTCGCCTCGTACTCTTACTCGATCAACTCCAGGACCCTCTTTCCACAACCCGGCAAAGAAGAAGACGATACATGGTCATGCACAAGTCTGAAAAACACTGGCCTTTCGACTATCATGGACCTTCCGAGGCGAGTGCGAGGAACTGATCCGGCAAGAAGTTTGGAGACTCATGTACCGCCAACTTGGAAAGATTAAGAGCCTAGCGTTGTTGACGATCTGGAGGAAGAACATCGAGAAGAGCTCGGAGGCTGGGATCTCACAACTAACAGAAAAAGTGGAGTTGGAGCGGTTGGCAGTCAAGGATGCTCATTCATAGGTAGCATACCGAGAGGGGATGATGAGTCTGGTTCGGGTGCTGGGACCAAAAGTGAATCTGTTGCATCTTACCCATGTTCGTGTTCGACCGGGCGATTTAGATTTGTTGAGTGAGTGCCTTCCCACCTGTCTGGCTTGTGTGCGTTCTTGCGAGCGTCCTTGCTCCACCACCCAATCGAAATCGACATAACCTGGAAGTGCAATACCATAGCCCGAATGCATGTCAAAGTTCTCCAGCTCACGTAGTTGAGACAATGAACAAAGTCCTGCATCCAGAGTCATGGGTGGTGGTGCTTCGGCAGGCGACAGTTCTCTGTCCAACTCAACGATCACATCTCGCAGTCAAGGAGTCACATCGGGGAGATATCCAAACAGAACTCGGCCTCGCTCTGCTAACATGTCGTGGTACTTCGTACTCTTGGAGTCGAATGCCAAAAAGGTCAAGTTGCAAGAAGTGAGGCGATTGGCAGAGGTACAGGTGAAGAGCATGTTCTTGTGGGTTCGATCTTTGCAGAGCGAGTTTCGTGTGACTCTGGGTCAGTCTCTTGAAGACCGAAGTGGTGAGTGCCACGCAAGCGACCGTGGTCGGAAATAGGCTGACTTGGATTACATCAGGAAGACGACTGTCGATTATGTCCTTATCTCCAGTCAACACAACAAAGACCTTCAGTTGGAGTGAAAATCCTTGTGGATGGTCGATGAATCGAGAATAGTCGTACTCTGGATTTCTTGGAAAGTGTCCCTTGTCCTCCTTGACGATGCTGAGCTCCTTGAGTTTTGGGATGAACAACAGCAGCATCTTCATGCCAGACTCCTTTTCAATCCTTACATTCCCGAGGTGGAGTTAACGGAGGGTAAGCGGTCGCGGAGTGGAGGTATTGGTGCCATTTCGCTGCTGCCAAGTGAACCACGGGCTGCCGAGTATACACCACTGCAGAAAGTCGAGGTGAAGCACTTCAAGGTGCTCGCATGCTCCGAAGATCTTGCCCAGATGGAGCTATTGTTTCTTGTCCTGGGGTTGTTCCTAATATTCTTGACTGTGGCGTGTCTATGTCGGTGGGTGTTGGTGAAGAATAGGGTGAGGTTGGGAGAGGGAAGCCAAGGTAAGAGGAAGGAAGGACGAAGAGGAAAATAAATGGAACACGCAGGAGGGCAAAAAAATAAAAATGAGAGAGGGCGCATGCAAGTATTCTTGGACGGGAAGGAGTGGCGTGGGAGCAAACACAAACAGACAATAAAAATTATGGCTTGGAGAGGACATGTCTCTGAAAGACAATCAATCGCTCACACACAGGACAAGAGAAATAACAGAGTGCTAAGGGCTTCCCTCCTGTTCATGCTCACGCAAAGGGACAACAAGATAAAGGAGCATCTCCGACGGAGGTCGTCGTTGCCTCGTAGCACACTCTGACCATGGAAAGAGATGCCTATTGTGTTTCCCTCTCTTCCAATGCCTAATCACATACTCTGGCATCGGTGCGACCAGCCTCCCATTCATTATCGCATGCAAATGGTATTCATAAACAAATGGACTGTGGCCCCACCACACACACCCTTGATTTTTTTTTTCTAGGCATATTTCTTGTAACACGGACCTACTGAGCCATTTCCACATCTGTGTGAAAATATCACTGACTGGACACTGATTCATCCCGTACCATTGATCGGTGTTCAGTGATCAAGTAAAAAAAAAGCCTTTGAGATGAACACGATCAGTCTCTTTCTTCGTCACAGAACTGAAAGGTATTTTACGGCTTCGTTTCTCTCTTCACTTTTCTTGCCTTTCTTTTTATTTTCTCTTTGATCTGTCGCTGACATCAAAAACACACCCAAACACCCACAACTCATCCAACATGGATCCAACTTCAGCCACCGACACTTCCATACCTCCTCTCTCACAGTCTCGCTCAGCATCACTCTCCCTTCCACCAACAAAAGTCCGACGCCGTCCTCGTCCTCATCCTGAGCAACACAGATGTCTGGAACTCCTCGAGATCCTCACCATGATCCTCCGCTTCCTCGATGAAGACGCCATCTGTCGTGTTACTCCTCTGGTCTCTCGTCTCTGGCTCCGTCTGAGCAGGAACATCAAACCTGTTTGCATCGTCGTCGTCTGGCACTCATCCTGGTCTTCCGACCTGCTGGATATGAAGTTGCTGTCCCTACAGGACAATGCTACGTACTTTCGCTGCTTTATCACAGAACGCTTTGTTGCGAGTCACTACAAGGGCAGGAGGCTTTACGAGGCTCTGGAATGCCTTCAAACCAGGATCAGGGAACAGGAGTTAGATACTTACTCGGACGACCAGAACCACAACACTCGTAACCACTTCAAGCCTGGACGGAGTGGGAAGCCTTTTGGCACTCTTCGCTCGCTGTATCTTCATTTCGGTCCGCAAGCCTTGGCAGCAGTCGACAGGTTTCCTTTCCCGAGCTCGCTCAACAAGCTCTCGATTATCGGTGTGCACTCGGACCAACCCCTCGATATGGGCTGGATATTTGACAGATGCCCCTTCTTGGAGGAACTCTGCATCGAGGGTTATGCTTCCAACTGGAGATCTATGCGTCTGTCATGGAACGAGCATAGCGAGCGTTGCCTCGGTCGACTCCGAGTTCTCACCCTGAAGAGCATCCACATTCTTCGCAGCGACCTCGGGTACCTCTGCTCTATCTCGCCAAAGCTCACAGATGTAAAGTTTGTCGGAGTCAGCACTGAGCCAGACCACGAGTCTCAGGAAGGGCTGTACAGGAATCTGCAGACACTGCAGATGGCGCCTCGATCGACCTCTCTGCTGCCGTTGTCAGGAGTCATGCCGCAGCGTCAACTCAAGCGGTGGCTGGCCCAGTCTTGGTATGCATGGCTGGACATCTCGCTATACGCTCCTTCAACAACACAGTCTCTTCTGCGAGAGGTAGTTCGCTGTCCGAGTCAACTCACATCACTGGAACTCGTTCCTCAGCCCAGGCTTGGCTTGCCGTCCCGCCGTCTGGGGACATTATCGGATCAGACTCTTGTCTACCGCCGGCTGCACACCCTTCTCTGCACACCATCCAGTCTTGTGCACCTTCAGAGCCTCAGAACTGTCATCCTTTTGGAAGACATTGATATCTTTGGTCGTAGAGGTTTCGTCGACGCGGATGTCGCTCTGGACAAGGCTACGTATCCAAAGCCCAACAACCCCACAACACATCCAGGAATTTGGCTCTGTCGACGTCTCAAGTCTCTTCGAGTCGAGGTTCAGAGAGAAAAGGAGAGCCTGGTCGCGTCCTCGGCGGTCCACTCCAGGATTGTATTTGGATACATCTCTAGGGTTTGTCCATACCTCGAGAGTCTTGAGATTGATGTCCCCTACGCCGACTCTACCGCTGATATGCTCGAGGAGTCCTTCTATTTGCAACTGAGCATGAAACTCCAAGGTGGACTGTGTCTGCTCGCCAAGCTGGATCATTTGAGGCGACTCAGGATTTCGTCTGAGTGCGGCCTGTGGACATTCGACTGTGAGGATTATGAGGTCAACTGGATCTCGTGCTCGCCCTACCATCGCATAAACCGCATGTTCAGACACTGGACCCTATCGCGTTGGAAAAAATTGAGGGAGCATGAAAAACAGCAAGAGCAGGCGCGGTTGGAAGCTGCCAAGGAGGAAATGGTGTCAGAGTCATTGGCGGAACCAAAGGCCGAAGTGGCACTAATGGCGAGGACTACCAGCACAGTTGTTGGTGCCCCAGAGACTAACCCAGCACAGCACGGTCACTTTGGTGATGTCGATGATTGGAATTCGGAGATGGACTTGGACGGTGACCAGGATGAGGCCCATAGCTGGCTCCATCACATCGGTCTTTGGGATAGTGCGATGACCACGGGGCCAGCGACAGTAGGCCAAGACGCGACGGATCAAAATGTCATTGATCACCCATCCGCCTCAGACCTGGAGTTTGTTGAAGCAGAGCCTGGAGAAGATATACCTGAGAGGGATAAACCCTTTGTCCCTGGACCCGTCCCTGTTGAATGTCTCCCAGGAATCCAGCAGGTCCTGGATGATCTCCAGAACCTAGGCTTGTTACGAGATGTCGAGGCCATGATCCGATGGATGCAGTCGGATAACTTCCACCCCCTGCCTGAGCTCAAGCGACTCTCTCTTGGATTCGAGATACTTCAACGACCCAAGGATGAGATGCGACGACTCTTTCCTTTGTCCATTGACCCTCATCCAGCCTACTGTTGAGAGGTGTTTTTTTAGCTTGAGACATTTTCATCATTAATGGGCCCCCTTTTTCTTGCAACACTCGCCCCATCTCCTATCACAACCAAAGGAAAAATAAAAGATGAAAGTATGAGGTAGAAAAAACATGTAGCAAATTGGGACAATCAATGTAGAAGTCGTTTATTGCTTGTCATGAAAAAACTTGGTGTTCTTGAGTACAAGCTCGACTCACAACAGAGCGACAATGTCTCCGGAAGACCACCACTACTTTTTCTCGGGACTCAGCACCTTATGTGGCCTTTCGGAATGGACACCGTCAGCGTCATGGATTTTGAAGGCGAAGCACCTCTTCAACAAACGAGCATGAACAATTAGACCCTTGAGGCCTCCCGGAGCCAGCAGTTCCCACATCATCAAATTCGATAGGGCTCCCATCTTCCCCTTCATCGAGAGGACCCGCGGGAGAAGGCGAAGGTGCTCCAAGTCTGGGCAGTGGCGGGCCAGCCGCGCGTCTTGAGGGCTGACGGTCAGTCTTTTCATTTTCCATTTTTCGGCCGCGTTCAGACCAAGGACTGGGATGTTTTCGCGCCGGTACCAGGATCCTTCGAGGCAGAGTTCGTCAAGGCGAGAAAAGAGTGGGAACATGCTCTCAATAGGGACCAGGTCCTCATCGCCTTCGTGGATGTTGACCTTAAGGACCCTGAGGTGCTGGAGACCGCGCATCGCCTCGAAAAGAGCAGAGTCGGCTCCCTGAGATTCAGCTCGGAGCAGTAAGATGTCAAGGTTTGACATCATGGAGATAAGGAGCCCTAGTCTGACGGTCGGGATTTGGTCTCGAGCTTGGCTCTCGGAGATTGCTCTTCTGGAAATCAAAGAGTGGTTGTTGTGCCATTCGAAGAGTTTGACGTGGTGGAGGTAGGGAGCCAAACTGGAATCGCTTCTGGCTGAGTAGAACTTGATAGCGAAGCGAGGGTGGTGCCATGCCTTCTTGAAAATGAAGGACCATAGGAAGGGTCCCAGTACTTGATGCCATTGATGGCACACCATTACTGAGTTAAGGATCGAGTGTCGGGTAAGGTACCGACCAATGGCGATTATGATTTCGTTGGGAAGTTGGACCATGGCGATGAAATCGGTTCTTGGTCGTCAGGTAGGTTCAAGTGGGAGGTGACGAATTGGTGCTTAGAGATGACAAACGAAAGAATGGAAGAGAGAAAGAAAGAAGGAAGAAAGTAAGAAAGAAGGAGGTGAAGGGGTAAAAAAGCATGAGATAAAAGAAAAATGCGCCTGAGAGGAGGCGAGAAAAAAGGCAATGCCGCCTACTGAACTGATGCGAAGAAAAAATTTCACAAAGGCCTTTGTGTGATGGCATCGACTGAAAGATATGTTGTTAGATCGATCAACAAGAAAACGAGCTTGTCCTTTGGCCATCAGGGGCGGCTTTTTTCCACACGTGAAAGGTAACAAAGTGTAACTGATTCAAGTTGATGTATGCATCTGCCCCCCACCTCATCCTTCACGCCTCCCATTTTTTGTGAAGCACCCGTGGCTCGTGACTGCCAACCTTGTTTTAGTGGCGTTCTTCAGTTTTCTCGCTAATCCTTGCACCATTTATGAGAGGAGATCACTATGTTCATTCCATCACAATCATGCATTCATTCGCCTCTCTCTGGCTTAATTCTATTCACGCATTCAAAAAAGTTAAGGACCTTTTTTCTTTTTTTTTTTCAACTGGACTCGAGCAATCACTAACAACCACTGACCCCTTTCGCTACAATGCCCATGTTCATCTACCCTAATCGTGGAAGGTCCTAGCGTCTTGTAACACCAGTCTATGGAGGAAAAAGGCAGTGCATCATTTGCTCCTTACAACAAATGCATCCCTGTATGTCACTTTGAGACAGAGAAAAAAAAACAGCCAGGGGAGTTGACTGTGGATGCCAAGCATATCATCTACGACCTAGGTTGGAATTTCACGCTAGGGTTTTTAAACATTTTGAAATATTGTCATTACTCAAGAATCACCAACGTCGGGGTCTGTTCTCCTTGCGCCACTTGATAGTCTCGGGGCTCTTTGAAGTGCATGAAACTATTAACCTAGATGATGGTGTAATCGCCACTGGCCCTTTTATTTGCGTATTATCTTTACGGAACAAAAACCAGGAAAAGTAATGAAAGTGCTCCTTCTCACCCTCGCATTAGAGGAATTCTCTCACCTGTTTTTACACTTCCCCGTTGCCTTCCTTCAAAACAAAGCACTGATATCCTGAGTAGACTACCACTTCTGGGACTCCCAACACAACAGCAAATGCGGTCTGAAGACATCCTCGCTACTCGCATCATGAATCTTGAAACTATAGGATGTCGCCCTATCTGCACAATAGATATCGAGAGTTTTAAGAGCTGAGGGCTTGCGGAGTTTCCAGGCGACCGTGTCGGACGCAGCATGCCTGAGCAATAGTTCGTTGTCTTGGGTTGAAGATCCGCAGCTCCTCAAGGGCAGAGCAGTGTTGGATCAAGGGGACGTTGATGGAGTCAATGGTCATCTACTTGATCTTCCATTGCTGCTTCTCGTTGGTATGAAACAGGGTGAATGCTGACTTGTCCTTCTCATAGATGTTCGAGTACCAGTATCTGTCGAGGATGGGTTCATCGAGACGTGCAAAGAGAGGGAACAAGGTTTGGAGAAGGGCTTGGGTGGGCTGAGCAGGGAGATCAATGTCGAGATTCTTGAGGTGCAGGAGATTGCGGATCGAATCAAATAGGGACGGGTCCGGGTGGTCTCCGACCATTCGCAACTAGAACCTCGTCAAGTTGGGAGTCATCGCGAGGATGTGAGCCAGCCTTGCGATCGGGATCTAGATCTGAGGGTTGGTGACGATGCCGGTAGGGAGTAAGGAGAGATTGTTGTACCATTCGAGGATTTGGACATACTGGAGGAATGGCGACAGAAGAGAGTCGTTTAAGGTGGAGATGTATTCGCTGTTCTGTTGTTGGATAGGGAAGTAAGGGAGGTGCCACTCGGTCTTAACAATGTGAGACCAGGAGAGATGGCCTAGGATCTCGGACCATCACCGACAGACGCGGAGTGCTTTGAAGAGGGTGGATCTGTCGAGGTAAGGAGCGAACTTGAGGATGACTTCAGTAGGGACATTGTCAACAATGTTGATGTCCTTGGTATGCATGATCTAGTCGAAAGTGTTGATTGAAATGTGAGTCAAAAAAATTGATCTGAATGAGGAAGAAAATCTGGAGACCACCAAGTCAAGGCGCTCTTTTTTGCTGTTCTTGTTTTACGAGGTTGGCATATGACCCTATCCAGCCAGGAGGAGACAACCAGCAAGTGAACGGGCATGTAGCTTCCAAAGATGGAAGACAAAGATAGAAACGCAGGTTCATCTTTGATGTGCAACAATGCACCGCTATTGGAACCACAAAAAAAAATGCAAGTACCAAAACATAGGCAGGTACACGATTTTACATGTCTTAGTCTTTTTTCTTGCAAGAGTAGTACGGAGTGGAGGCGAGGCTGAGCCGAAGGCCATTGACGTTGAGAGTTACGTTATAAGCTATGGTAACAAAATGGAAAACATAAACAAAAAAAATGGAACGTCATAGTGCGCACTTTTATTTGGGGGTGGCAAGTACATATGCCTGGATATCCTTTGTGCAACGTCTATTGGGCCCTATTCTGGAGGAGGATGCTCGGGTCATTTGAAGGTAGTAATGACTCCCGCCGGTCATCCTTCTTTGAGGCGAGATCTGGCCCATCTCCTAAACAGACAGCTCACGTTTGCTTTGCCTTGGTCGACCATCGATGGCAAAGTAATTTTAAAAAAAAAGATGCGTCGGCTCACATGACCGACGTGAGCAAATTAAAAAGGGGTCGCACAAAAAAAGACAAAGGTCCTTTTCTTTCTTCTTTCTCTTCTTTCCCTCCCACCCCATCTTCTCACTTTCCCTCCTTCATCCCCTTCATCCTCATCCCTTCTCCTTTTTCCCTTCTCTTACACCATCCAACACTCTCTTATATTCACAAAAAATACAGAGAGAAAATGCTACGCTCGCTATCAGTACGACTTGGCAGGAACCAACAACACCGTCGCTCGACCCTCACCCTCTCCCCCTTGTGTCTACCTGAGATCTTGATCATAATCTTCTCCTACCTCTCCGATGACACCCTCCGTCAGTCCGTCGCCCCCGTCAGTCGTCTCTGGCTCCACACCGTCCAGAATGTGATGGTCCGTGAGGTCGTTTGGTACTCGGAGTGGAGCCCTAACAGACTCAGTGTAGCCCTTGCCACCCTTCCCGGGGCAGGACGGTTCATCTGTCATAATCAGTTCACCAACCATCCTGCAGAGCTCTTGCTCCTGGATGCACTTCGACAACTTGAGGTCGATTATCAACAGCAACTGAACGGGTGCAACAACAACAATAACCAGGAGCAGGGACAGCAGGATGTTAGTCGGTCACCAGCAGGAGGAACGACGTGTCAGTTCTTCTTTCACAAGAGTGTCCCTCTGCAGCATCTGGATCTCGTCACGACAAAGCTCTCGGGCACCACCTTTGACCAATTTCCCTTCCCTACTTCGTTGACGACCATCAACTTGACTTTCTGCCGCGGGCATTGGTCTGCCTTCTCGCTGACAAGGATCTTGGCTCTCTGTCCACTTTTGGAATCTTTTCATGCCAAATGCCGGGCCAACATCCACCTCAAGATCACTCTGGAACCTCTTGAGCAACAACAGTCATCCAACACCACCACCTTTGGCCAGCACCAGCAGCAGCAGGAAGACAAACAGGAACTGGCTCTTAGGTCACTTATTCTTGAGGGTCTCGACCTCGACCTTGCCAAGCTCATGATCCTCCTGACAACGACCCCCCATCTCAAGGAGCTTAAACTGATCGATATGGAGCCAAGATGGCCCCGCATCTGGACCGACCTCCTGAACTACCTTCCAACCCTCCCCTACAGACTGGAATCGACTCACTTCTCCCACAAGAATAGATCCTTGAGCTCTAGCGAGATGGAAGCCATGCTAGCCGTGCAAGCCATCTCCTCGGAATGGTCTCTTTGGGGTCTCAATGTCCAACCGAGTTTACTCCAATCCTTGGAGTCCACTACGAATGTTGTCACAAAACTGGAGCTGCATTGCAGTCACCATGGCTCTCGTTGGCATCAACTGGAACTACAGTCTGTACCCACGCTCATCCACAAATACCTTTGCAACTCACCTCACCTCGTTCATCTTCGGGTCATCAGATCTGCATTCTTGATCAAGGACATGGACCTTTTTGGGCGACGTACCTTTGGCAGCCTCTGCTTTCACAGCAGTAATCCCTGTAACTCAAATATCGTCCCCGACCCAGCAGAATCGTCCAGAAAACTTGAGGTCTGGCAATGCAGGAACTTAAAGACCCTTCAGTTCGAGATCAATGCCCACCTAGACGTCATCCCCATGACAGACCCTGTCCAGAGCCGGATCATCTTTGGATACATCTCCAGGGTTTGCCCTAATCTCGAGGACCTTTTCATTACGTGCCCCTCGGTGTGTGTCGACGCTAGCCGCAGGTCCTACATTCCTAGCCTTTCTCTCAAACTCTACGGCGGGATCTGTCTACTGTCAAGACTCCGATCATTGAAACGACTCAGGATTGAGGATTACTACCTCTGTCAAGGCCCCAACTGCGAGGTCTACGAGATGAACTGGATAGTTCCCTCTGGTCGAGACTCTTGGTCACGCAAGAAGCGTCAGGAAGAGATGTCAGAGTGGAGCTCCAAGGAGACAGAAGAAACGCGACTAGAGACTGAACGAAAGGCGAAGGGGGGACTGAAAAAGTTGACACCTGCCTCCAAGGCCAAGGAGGATGTGAGACTCGCAAAGGAGCTGCAGAATCTGGGACTGATAGTGGATGTGAGGAACATGGTCAAGGAGATGGATGGCTATTTTAGTGTTGCGTGTTTTCCAGAGTTGGAGAGGTTGTCATTCGAGTACCCTATCGACCACCGCCCCCGGAATGAACTTCATCGTCTGTTTCCAAAGAACTCGCGCCTAGATGGCCCTTCAATAACCTGGTTTTAATAAACGGTATTGTTTTCACCAACTTATCCTTATGTCAGCAATCGCTAGTTTGGTTTTAGATACCAGGGCGATTATTCTCCTCGTATGCTCTCTCTCTACATCTTGGAACGATGATTGGGCCAGTGAACAAAGAGAAAATGACCATCCCACTTCCTTTTCCTTGATGTACTTCTATTACAATTTTTTTGGGACCGATTTTATTTCCGACGCGTCATTTTAACGCGTTCCGCATTTAAGTAGTGATCGTCAGTGGAATGTCATCGCTGATCATCACTGTTGATCAGTTCCCACAGAGACAAAAGTTCGATGACCGCACATTCGTCGTTTCCTCACGCAGCCGCAGAGTAAAAAAAAATCTTGTGCACACATTCTCTCTCATTCTTGCATGTCACTTGCGATTACTACTTTTTTTCATGACGAGTATATTATTTTGATAGACAAAGGTGAAGGTGAAAGTTAAGGAACGAAAAAAATTGTCTAACGACAACGAGCTCAAAAATACAAAGGAAAAGTGGAGGATGAGCATGTGGGTCCTTGAACAAAACAAAGGGAGACTGAGAATAAGCTGTGAGACCTCACCTCATATCATGTGGAGCAACTGGACCAGAGAGTAGGTTCTCACGACATCATCAGATGTCAACGCCCATCGATCCTCTCCAGTTCCTGTTTTCTCCTGCTGGATCTTGTACTCGTATTCGGGGTGGTGGTAGTTCTCCTCAAAGATAAAAGTCACTAACTTGATCAACTGTCGCAGCTGTTCCATAATCACTTCCCTGACTTCCAAGCTCTCGGGATCCCTGTAACCGTTGATGGAAGAACTGAATGTTAAACGCTCGAGGCTGGGGCAGAATCGGAAAAAGGACATGTCGAGACGGTCGATCGTCAGATGCTTCAACTTCCAGGGCGTGATATTGTCAGGCGTAAACCCAAGAGTTTTGACGCCTCGGTACCAGTCTCCCCCGATCTTGAGTTCCTTCAGCCTGGCGAACAACTGGAAGTGATGTTTAATTGGGACAAGTCGCGTCCGGTATGGCAGATCGATCTCGACAGCCTCCAGCATTGGCTTCTGGTGGAGCAACTCGAGCATCGTTGCCAGGTTAACATCGTCAGGGCCGTGGTACATCATGACCAGCGAGAACCGCACTAAGTTGAGTGTCCTCTGAACGACATGAACGAGCTGAATCATCAATATCTGACGAGGGAGCCGGCTACTCTTATACCAAGGTAGCTTCTTCGCGAGCGCATTATTGTTGTAAAAAGTGAGGTAGCGTGTCTGCTGAAGGCCCCAGTCAATCTTGGCTTTTCGTTGTTCTTGAGATGCGATGAGATGGCCATTGTCGTTGATGAGTGGTATCCAAGAGACGGGCGGGAAGGTGTAGTTGGTCCATTGCCGCTCCGAAATTGTTGTCCAGACGAAAGGGCACAGGGCGTCGTACCAGTCCCGGGCGACTTGAAGACAGGCGGCTAGGGATCGTCCGTCAAGGAGCTCACCGATGGTGAGCAAGACTTCAGTTGGAATATGAGGCATGTTGTTGTTGTTTTCGGATGAAGACAAGTGTGAAATGAGAAAAAGAAGACGAGAGAAAAGGAAAAGATGAGGAACAGTGAGGGGGATAGAGAAAAGGTCTTGGCACTGATGTGGAGATTTTTTTTTGCGCACAATCCGCGCACTGATCGCCTCAACTGTGATCAAGGCTTGGAACAAAGAACTGGACAAGACACAGACATTGAAGACAATTGACGCGTCTAGCTATTGTGTCCAAGCCTGGCTTTAAATTGTACCACACTTCTCCACACCTGGAAATCTCCAAGGTGTGCGTTTATTTTTATCTTTGTCCCTGAAGAAAGTAAAAGGAGATACGACCCGCGCTACGGTTGGGAGAAGACAAGCGCGTCCTGAAGAGTAAACACATCCTGATTCACAGTCTTTCCAGGAGAGATAGCAACGTGTGTCCACTGCGTGTCACTCCTTGCGACCTTGACGATAGTGCGCACATTTTCCTTCCAGCCAACGTCCAAATAGAAATCACGATGTTCAGTCTTGGCAAGCTTTGAATCTGCTCCACAATCACGTCCTTGATCGCCGAGCTCTCAGGACCCCTGCCGACGTTGATAAGTTAGTTGAATTTACTATGCTCGATGTTGAGCAGTATAGGAAAAATACTTGCTGATCCGATCCGATGTCCAGCCTCTATAGGTGGGAAGAGCAGTTGTAGATGAGGGAGTATTTATACCTCTCCCTCCTGGTGACCTGCTTCGTCGTCATATCGTTGATCGCTGATCCTCACAAAAACACGTCAGACTCGAATGTACATGTCAAAGGGAACAAAACCAGTCTCCTCTTGTCTCAAGAAAAACGTGTCCTCTATCAAAACGAGTCTTGTTTATCAGTCGCGTACAACCGCATCGACTTTCTTCTTTTATCCCTATTCCACGACACCATCCCCCCAGCTTCTTTTCACACCATCGCCTCTTCTTTTGTTATTCCTTCACTTTTGGATTGAAAGAGGTGGAAAGGGTGTAGGGGAAGGCGCGTGTAAGCCTAAAAAAATCAACGCATCCATGCCGCCATTCAGCGCTAATGCACGCTGTGTTTTGTTTTTCCTTCTCCAATCATTTATTTGATGTAAAGGACTCCTACCTACCATCCATCACCCTCTCCTCAATACATTTGTACTTGGGAGAGAGGGCCGTGAGGCCCACGAGACGGCTTGTATCCCAAAGAACGGAGTGCAGAAAAGGCATAATAATAGAGAAAAAAGAGAGGATTGGGCAAATACTAAGAATCGAAGCGCTGCGTACTAGTTTATTCCAGATGTAGACAGGGCACGAAAAAAAAAGAACAATTCGCAAGGCACAGATACAAGAGACAGTAGGCGCATGCACTCGCACATGTTAATGTGATACCAAAGCCTTGCTTTCAATTCTCATGGCACAGCTTACCACATGTTTAAGGCACTTTTATTTTATTCTTTTCCTTGGCAATGGGAAGTTTGATGGGCCACAATGCGAAAAAAATAAAAAAAAATGAATGGCGGTAATTGTTCACGATTGGGTCAAACCGAACACGTCTCGAAGAGTGTAGAAACGCTTGCTCACACCAGGACAAGTCCATTGGTCCTCGCTTCCCTTGACCTTCACGATCTTTCCCACATCCACATCCAAGCTATAGCGCACGTTGAGAACCACGGTGCTCAGTTTCGACAACCCTTGAAGCTGTTCCACAATCACTTCCTTGACTTCCAATGTCTCGGAATCCCTGTTGTTGTTGACTGATGGATTAATTGTCAAATGCTCGAGGTCGGGGCAGAATCGGAAAAAGGACATGTCGAGACGATAGATCGTCAGATACTTGAGGACCCAGGGAATAACAGTGGTAGGCGCAGGTCTCAGTGTCTCGAATCCTTCGTACCAATGTCCTGCAATCCTGAGCTCCTTCAGTTTGGCAAACACCGGAAAATACTGTTCATTACAGGTAACCTTCGAACCTTGGAGTGGCAGGTCGATCTCAAGGTTCGAAAGATACGGCAATTTGTGAAGCAATCGGAAGATAGACCGGATAGCAGGCTCTTCGATGCCATGAGTGTCCATCACTAATGAGAAGTGAGAGAGGTTGACTGTTCTCCGGAGGACATTTCTGAGCTGCACCAGGTGCATCTGTCGCGGGACATGGGAAAAGACCAAGTCTCTTAAGAGCGCATGGTTGTTGTGCCACGTCAAGGAGCGAACATGTTGGAGATAGCGATAGACTCTGGTCCTGTTCTCGGCTGGATCTGAGAACGTATTCTTGGACTTGAGAAAGAAGGCACAATGAATCCAGTCCTTCTTGCCAATTGTTCCCCAGACTAGAGGAACAAAAGCATTGTGCCAGTCCAACGATACTTGAAGGCAAGTGACAAGGGATCGTCTGTCCAGGCGTTCGCCGATGGCGAATAGTATTTCTGTGGGGATGTGACTCATGGGAGGGGCTTTTTTGATTGAGTGATGAGAAATGGGCGTTGAGGGGAAAAGAAGTGGTGACAGGGAGAAAGGAACGGAACGAAGAAAAGGGAAAAAGAAAAAATGCGTTTCTTCAATGCGAAATGTAATTTACACCATGTACACATGCATCCCATTGTTGCACGAACCTCTTTCCTCTTCTGCGTTTTAAACCCACTCACCGTAATTGAGTCCATGTAGATACTGCATGACCCAAGGTTGGTGAGTGGGGGGATTTTTTTCTCGTTCAACTTTACCCAAGGTAGATGGGCATTATTGCCAAAAAAAAAAAAAAAAAAAAAAAAAAAAAAAATATATATATATAAGACTGAGTGAAGGTACGAAATGTACCGAATGGTTACGCATAAAAAAGAGTGAGGATATAGCAGGCAAGATTTTGAGAAGTGCACTCGTTTGAACTCGGCACATCCACCACTGGGGGTCGAAGCATACACACCCATCACCATCAGGCCTCCTGCCAGTTCCCAAAACCTTATCACGATGGAAGTTTCAAGTTGCAACAGCCCCTGCAGTTACCTCACAACTTTCTCTTTGCATGAAGTAGCCAGGCCTCGTCCATGGCCCCCCTAGCTGCGTCCACATCAAGGATCCGTTTCTTGAGAACTGGGTAATAGAGGAAGATGGATATATCCAGGCGGTCAATCGTCAACTACTGTAGCTTCTTGGGCGTGATCTTGTCTGGCAATTGCCCAAGCGTCTCGACTCCTCCGTAACAGTCCCCCGCAATGCTGAGTTTTTTTTAGCTTTGAGAACAAGAAAAGTAATCCTGGATTGGCAACAGGCGCGCTTGTTTCGATAGATCGATCTCGACATCTTCCTTTGAGATCCTCGTGAGTAGGTAGAGAATAGAAGAAGGGCCGTGCTTGTCGGGGTCATCGTTCGCCCTGACCAAGAGAACCGAGCTAAGCTGAGTATCCTTTGGTGTAGAGTACGTAATTATACAAAACATGGTCGCAGATGTTATCATTATGATGATATATGATATTGATATATAGTAGTGTAATATTACTTTTGCTCGTTCTCGAAAAAGCGAGAGTGAAGCATGCTATCATTGTGCGATAATTACGAACTAAAATGCGATTCACATTTTGATCAAAAACAGTGCGAAGTTGATTGGTAATTGAGTAGCTACGATGACCTGCAACATGGAGGTCTGCCACGGGAGCTGGAGATACTTCATCTTGTTTGTAAAGGCGTTACTGTTGAAAAATATCAAATATTTGGACTCCAGATAGTCTTTGCATTCCGTTCTTTTTCTGCTGCTCAGTGTGGGGTCCAGCATGGTTCTCGGCTGGCCTCTAATTTCTGAGTGGAAATGAGGGTTAGATCCACCTCAATGATGGTACCCCAAGCAAGAGGAAGAAGAGCTCGGTGGCAGTCCTGAGATACCTGAAGACAGGCGACAAGCGACCGTCCATTGAGGTATTTTGCCGAACATAAGAAAGGGCTCTGACGGAAAGGTCTCCAGGACTCTTTGTTGAAAAGGGTACGAAGGGGGGAAATGATAGTACGATGACAAGTTAGAAGACAACCGGATTGATTCCACAATGAAGATGAATCATAAAGATATTTGTACAAATGCTTTGCGTCGTTTTCATCATCTGGAGCCAAGGATATTGCTAGAAGAGAGCAACGTTCACCTCTGCATTCACAGCACTCAAAGAAAAATATAGCCATGCCCCAGGGTTGCGCAAAAGCCATCTCAATTTTTTATTGTTTTGTATATGAGATAATGAGAGATGCTATGCGAAGCACACAAAAAAAAAAGAAGCGAATTCATCCTTCATACAACCCAAACACGTCTCGGAGACTGAAAACATCCTGCCCTACAGCACTATCCCCAGGAAAAAGAGCCTCATGAGTCCACATCATCTCATTCCCCTCAACCTTCATAATCTTGGGCATATGCTTCCTCCGCCCAAAGGACATATAAACAACCATGGATTTCAATCCCAAAAGCCTCTGAAGCTGCCCAACAATCACTTCCTTGACCGCCGAGTCCTCGAGTACCATGCACCTCCAAGTGGGGTTGCTAAGTGTCACATGCTCAAGCTGTGGGCACTGCCGAAAAAAAGAAATGTCGATTCTGTCGATCTCCAGTCTCCTCAGTTTCCAGAGTGTGGTGTTCTCAGTCGTGACAGCAGCAGCAGTTTCCAATGTCCTGATCGTTTCTCCACTGTACCAATCTCCTGGAATCTTGAGCTCCTCCAACTTGGCGAACAAAGGGAAATGTTGTTCAATGGGAGTCACTGAACCTTGACGTGGTATATCGACCTCAAGGGTTACAAGATGCTCCAACTGCTGAAGTAAATGGAGGATCGACGAAATAATATAGCCCTCGATTCCATGAGTTGCCATAGCCAAGGATAAGCTCGTCAGGTTGGGCGTCCGCTGGAGGACAATGCTGAGCTGCCTCAAGTGCATCTGTGACGGAGGGCAGGTAATGACCTTATCCCTCAAGAGCGCGTTGTTGTTGTGCCAAGTCAACGACTGCACATGTTGGAGGTAGCGATGGACTCTAGCTTGGGAGTGCGCCCTGGGGTGGGTGCGAGGCAGGTTGCTGGAGAGTGGGGTCCAAGTGGTGAGTGGAAATGAGTAGTGGGTCCAGCTTTTCTTGGAGATTGTACCCCAGACAAGTGGGAGGAAGGCGCAATGCCAGTCTTGAGAGACTCGAAGGCAGGCGACGAGGGATCGATTATCGAGGAGCGTGCCAATAGCAAGGACGAGTTCTGGTGGTAGCTCGAACATGGTGTTGTCGAAAGAGGTGAGGACGGAAAGGAGTGAAAAAGAGAAGAAAGGAAAAGAAAGAGAGAGAAGGGGAAGAAAAGAAAGTAAAACAAAAGAGCAGAAAAAAGTAAAAGCATCTGGCATATGAGTTGATGCCAAGGCGGAAGTGATCAAAAAAAGTTGCGTATTCACGCTGTGTAGTGATCCCATCAGCGGTCACGGAATACATCCGCTATCCACAAACAATCGAATGGTGCATCAAAGTCGCGCTCTTATTCCACGCGCCGCAACAATTCAGTACACTCAAGGGGATGGGCAGGGTCGACTTTAATTTTCACCTTTTCCTAAGCAATCAACATGGTCCATGAAACGGAAAAGAAGGCAATAGCCGAGCCAAACCATCAGCAACCTAAAACAAATGACCTTCATTTCGTATTGGTTGGTTGGTGTTGTGATGGTTCATGTGAAGGAAAATGCCTGTCGGTTGTTCAAATACACTCATGAAGGCTCTGCGTATGTTCTGACATGCGACAAAAATGCACGTGTAACATTTTCCAAAACACATGAAGCCAACGGTCACTTTCGCTGCGCAGAAAAAAAATAAAGCAAAGCTGCCTTCCCTGTCACTCCTGCCATGACGCTTGATACCAGACCCAGCTATGATATTGGAGAACCACGCTGCCAAAAAGTAATAGAACAAAAAAACAAAAAAAAAGGAGGGGACGGCTGTGGACTTACTTACTCACAACTATGACACCCTGAGGCATTGAAGTCCTCCGTGATCCTGGTTTGCCATTCCAATAAAAAATATGCCCACAGTTGTTCCACTTTGTCATAGTAACAAAAAAGTTAATCCCTGTTGCCTACAATGCCTCATAATGTGGTTTTGTGTTTCTCAACAATGTTTATTAAAAAAAAAAAAAAATCGAATATGTTATGAATATCTTTCTCGGTCAGTGACACTCTGTCTCCTTGGGGATTCTCGTTGACGATTACCACCGGCCCATAGACATTGCAAACATAGAGCTTGGTACATCTTTTGTTCAGCGCATCTGGAGGGGGCCCGGGCCCGAAGGTTCGAACGAATCCTGCCAGTAGGTAGCCTTGCTTGAGTACATGACTACTTGAGAAAAAAACACCTTCAGTGTTTTCACACTCCAAGATATCCTTAAAGGCTGAATACGATGTCCACGGGAGAATTTTGATGTCGCCTTCAACTGGAACATAAAGACAAGTATCCGTCGCGACTTCCGCTGCCGCTGCTTCTGGTGTTCCTGAAGAATTCTGTGAAGAAGGGCTCCCTGGCATAGTGAATATGGGGATGGGCCGCAATTCCTCTCGGTGTCGGGGTTTTATTGGATGGGTTTTTGGCAGAAAATCGGACGGCGAAGGTCGACAGGAAGGACTGAGCGAGATAAGAAAGAAATAAAGATGTTAAAGTACTGTACATTTTAGATTTGCCTCTGCCTTCTAACTTTGCCATTGAAATTCATGCGCATGAATGACACTAGGCTCATGTTTGTACCAAGACATTCAAGAGACTACACTCCTAAAAAACATGCAAACCACACCCTACACGCGGTCACTCAATAGAGAAGGAAGCTGGAGAGCGTGGGAAACGAGCGAGTATGAGAAAGAAGAGAAGAGTACACACCAACAAAGAAAACGACGAAGGAAGAAAAAAAATGCACGACCACGAACAATGCAAACGCAAACGCAAACGCGCACCCAACAAGTAAAACAAGGAAAGGAGAACACAACGGGAAGGAAAAGGATGAGAAAGGAGACACAACGAGAGACACACACACACCCTCGTTTTTTCTTCTATTTGATTGGAAAGAGTAGAGGGTAAGGGAAGGAAGGTGTTTAGCTTACCAGGTGTCGCTTATTCAGCTAGTGGGTGTCGAGGAGGAAGGCGGAAGTGGAGTCAAGAAGAAAGAAAGGAAACAAGAGACTAAAAAAACTTTGATAAGAGTAAGTAAGGCAGGATTTAACGCCACCTTTTCTATTTCATTTCCTTACTAAAGTAAAAATTCGTCCCCTGAACAATGCTGAGACTCAGAACCCTAACACAATTTTATTTTTATACCCCTGGCACCGGCGACCTCAGTTAGGGTTTTTTCTTCTTCGCCCTTACGCGTTTCATTCAACTAACAAACGCCACCCACACCGCGCGCGCTCTCTCTCTGCATTCAGCAAATCAGGACCGACTATCAAGGACGCGAACTCGTTAACAATAGCAAAGAGTCATCATTTTTTATTTACAAGTGTTCTCTTTCTCTCGCTCAACCCTTTCACTGTCGACTAATAATCCTCTGATATTCCCTCTCAACGGGAAGGTCAAATGGGTCTTCAGAAAAGATAGCCATCTTCCGGATTTCGGGCCAGCTAATAAACCCCTCTGCCGCATCCATCCCCTCAATCGCATTCTTTACATCCGTGAACTTGCCTAAATCTTTCAATGCCTCCTTCAGCTTTGTATCGGCCTCATCCTCGACTCTTGTTTCTGACCCTGGTTTCGCGCCCGTCGGTACATTCCTGTCGCTGTTATGGTTAGTACTGTTGTTATTGCTGTTGTTGTCCGACTGAAGTTGTTGATCTATAGATCGTTCATGCTGTATCACCCTCTCCCACCTCACTGCACCATTCCTCCTCGCCAACCTCGCCCTCTCCGTATACCCCGCAGGCACCATCCAATTAAACACCCCGCCTCCGTCCTCATCATCACCATCCTCTGGTATCTGACAAGCCTGCAGCCTACCACTATTATACCTCGACATCGGCGTCCACGCCTTCCCCACCTTCAACACTCTTAAAAACCTCAACCTTGTCAACAAGCACAGCCCCGGTTCTAGCTCCGCTCCAGGACGTCTCCAGCCCCTCAGTTCCATGGATAAATAGATCCTCGAGGTTGGGGCAGACAAAGGATATATAGCCAAAGAGGATTTGTGCGTGCTGAGGGGTCGAGAAGGCACTCGTGACTTGGTCGAGGGTGTGGAAGCCCATGTGGAAGATTGCAATTTGCGACATTGCCAGATCCCTGGTTGGCTTGCACTACTATTGCTGGTAGTGTTGGCAGAGAAGCTGGACCGGGAGCTCTCCAAACGCCGATGGAGATCGAGATGGTTGACCAAGTAGATAGTGTCGGGTGCCCTGAGGTGCTGAAGATGTGGGGATGAACACAGGTACTGGTGCAACACATCGTCCACTCCACACATCTTGGATCCAAAAAGGTTGAGCGTCGTGATCGTGTTCTGCAACTGGTCCATGGATCGAATCCTGGAGGGGAGGAGTTCCCGGACTGTCAAGTCCCTAGTCCAAGGCGCGACCAACTTGTCGAATTCCATTTGCACCTTCTCTGGGATCTCTATGTCGAATGTCGAGACATGCAAGGTATGTAGCGGTAGGTTGAGGTCTTGAAGGTGGCACAGCAGTCGCGGGGCATCATAGGGTGGAAGGTCTTGTGGCAGTAGATTGTACGCCACTCGGACAACAGTTTGATCAATTTCAGTTCCTGTAGTTGAGTTGTCCTTGCCAAAAAGCCTTCAGGTTCGAGTTGGTCAATGCGAGAGTGCTCAAAGATGAGGGACCGCAGACGAGACAGCTTTCGAGCCGAGGCTTGTCCCTGTCCTGCTGTTGTAGTAGTCGTTGCGGCTGAAACGGTGAGGGTCTCGATGTTTCTTAGATCAATTCTCTCAAGCAATGGCATGGCCTCAAGGAGACTATCCAACTGCACTCCAAACCAGTCCCTCAAATGAATCCTCAGGACAGTCAACGAAGACAAAAACGGTGACAGAGGAGCAATCCGCTTATTATAATCAATCTTTCCGCCAATCTCCAGTTCCCGCAACGGCAACTTGGCATGTTCCCGTAATCGGGTCAGGACTAGGATATCCTCCCGTGAGACTGGCTGACCGCCCTGTGAGTAGAGGGCACTATCATCAGTAGTCGCGGTCATAAGCTGCGCCTGGTCAGCGTTATCCTGATCCCGGGCCAGAAGACGTTGATACTGCTTAGACTTCTCCCTCAACATCCCACCCAACACCTTCCTCTGAATTCCTTGGTTATCAAGCAGTGACAACGAATGCCACCTCAACCACCTGGACCAAGGTAAGCCCAAGAGAGCCTTGTTCAACAGCAAGTTAGTCTCGTCTTCGTTGAAGTAGATTCCGCGGTTGTTGGTTACAGAGGAGTAGATCATCAGGAACCAGTGCCGACAGACGAGGACGGCGGTGTGGGAGAGGGTTCGGGAGTCAGTGAAAGAGGATATCTTGAACAACAGTTCTGGGATTTCCATGGGCGACATTCTTTTCTTTGCATGTCTGGCTGGATTGATGGTGGTGACGGTATCGATTTTGGCGGTAGCTGTTGTGTCTCCTAATATCGACGACATTGTGTTTTTGTGGGTGTTGGGAGTTTGAGAAAAGATATGTAAAGAAGAAAAGTCGAAAAGAGTAGCCCAAAAAAAAAAAAGTACTGCGCCATGAACTGGACAAAAAGTCATCCGCCTAGACTCCAGAAAGGCGCATGTGGCATGGACGAGCAAAAAAAATAGTTCGCAAGATGAACACGATCTATTGCGACTCTTGCATGGCTTTAAGGATCCTCGTGGACACATCGATAGCACTTGCAGGCATCCCCGCCAACCGCGCAACATGGATCCCATGCGACTGCCGACAGATACCAGGCACTACCCGATGGATATATGTCATCGCTCCATCGCCTTGTTCCTCCAGCGTCGTCTGGTAGCATCGCACCTTTTCCAACGGCTTTTGTCCACGCCACTCACGGACCTGAGAGACCTCCTTGAAGTTGCTTTTAGTCGTAAGCTGCTCACGGACTCCCAAAGATTTCTGACCATAGTTACCAGGCACAGCGCCGACCATATCCGCAAGCTCATGGTAGTGTGTCGCAAAGAGTGTCCTACACCTGTTGACATGGTAGAGGTGGTGCAGTGTTGCATAGGCAATCGCGCATCCGTCCAGGGTCGCTGTGCCTCGTCCAACTTCGTCCATAATAACAAGCGATCTTTCTGTTGCATGTTGAAGGATCGACGCTGTCTCTGCCATTTCCACCATAAACGTTGACTGCGAGTTCGCCAAGTTGTCCGATGCTCCTAACTATCAATTGAAGGCAGTCAAAGACTTGAATGTTGGAATGTAATGCGAAGCTGGAGCGACAATGTCGGATGTGTAATAAGAGAGTAAAAACTTACGCGACTGAAGACCTTGTCGACGATACCCAACTCTGCTCTGGCTGCAGGAACAAATGATCCCATCTGCGCCATGATGGTCAGTATAGCATTCTGTCTCAAGAAAGTGCTCTTCCCGCCCATGTTCGGCCTAATATGCAAGTAGAATCAACAAGATGGACCATATTAGTACGCCAATAGTGAGAAAACGTTGGCAGGTATTCGCTTTTCATACATTTGTCCAGCTTACCCTGTGAGTAGCCAAATCAGCTCATCATTACCGACTGAGCAATGGTTCTCCATGAACTGGCCACCCCTACTCTGCAACGACAGCTCAACGACTGGATGACGGCCCGCTACAACCACCGATTTACCACTAACGACAAGTCAAATACATAAAAGCTGAAATTAGCAACACCGTCGCATTTCATTCAATGGTGCACGAGAAGGTGGCAAACCGATCGTACAATAATCCTTACCTGTTGTTCAACACAGGTCGGGTATAGTGCCGTTCAACCATCATGCTTGCAAAGGCAAGAAGGACATCCAGTTGTGCAATGTATCGGCAGTTCTGTACAATAGCTGTACTCTCCTCCAAGATGTCTGCTCGTGTTGCGCTGAGGATACTCTTTTCCTGTTGGACAATTTGTGCCTCCAACCTCTCGATCGAGTCCATCAACTCTGATAGCACCTACCAAGTGAATGAATAAGAGCACGTTATTACAGTGAATGGATGCATTAGCTGATGCGCTAAAAGCAATCTATTGCATGACCAAGAAGCACCTACAGGAACTTGGTAGCGAACTTTGGCGCGGCGTTGGTCAGCATGCGAGACATCCATAACCTGACCATCCAGTAACTCTCGCAGTCTATCCGCGGTAAGCGTACTCCGCATCTCCACAACATGCCGGTACCCAAACGATGACTTGATCTCAAACGGCTTGATCCCCCCAAGATGATTTCTCCAGTGATCCAAAAGGTCCTTCTTGTGCTTCTTGAGTCCCCGGAGATTGTGATGCAGCTCGTTCAGAACTGGACTGACATCCTCATTAATGAACCCATACTCCTGCTCCCGGTCCATACTCTCGTCAACGACATTACGGATCAACTGGCAAATGCCTTCCAAATCCTGAATGTTGTCGACGGTCTCCTTGACCAGAGTGGGGATACCTGTGCTTGTGCCTTTCCTTCCGGCATCCCGAGACGAGCGTTCTATGGCCATTGTCAACTGGACCTTATCCGAGATGCGAGCCTTGATCTTTTGGAGGGCCTCTAGTGTGACCCGGATGGCGACCAAGTCCTGTGGGTCGATCTGGCCTAGAGACAGCTTTTGGATGGCTCGTTGGGCATCGCGACACTCGGCGAGGTAGATACCCACGTCATACATGAGATGGCTGTCATTGCCGAAAAACTCTACCATGTCCAGGCGTCCATTGATTTTGTCGATTCCAGTCAACGGTGAGGCTATGAAAGTGGAAAAGAACCAAAGTACTATGTTAGCTACTAATTCCTATAGTTAGATTAGAATCTTTTGACTACCTTGACCTTAAAATGACGACCGACATACTTAACCAGTCAGAGAGGAGTCGTGACCCTGCCTTGGTCTTTGTTTGGTCCAAATAATGGAGCAGACTCCCTATCCTCGACGGGTCCCTGAGTGTCCGCACGAGTTCCAGTGCCTCGATAGTATTCTTGTCCATCTTCATGATTGAGTCATCCTGCCACTGGATCGGTTGCTGCACCACAGGCTTCCTGCCCATCTGCGTATGATTGATGTATCGCAAGATAGCCAAGCAGGCCGACTGCTCTCGGTTGGAAAAGGGCTGGAGATGACGCGGATCAAATTCATACAGCTGAGCAGCCTCGCTCAAGATCTCGTTTTCTAACTTGACGGCAATCTGAGCCGCTGTCCGCATATCCTCGAACCCTACAACAAACGGTCCCATCTCCTTCATCGTCTGTAAAACAGGGTGATCGGGCTGCGTCCTGAGGTTCGAGTTGACGATCACCTCTCGGGGCCGGATCCTTGCCAGGTCATTGGGAAAACTGTCGTAAGTGGTCTCCTGTGTGAAAAAGTCGCCCGTTGAAAGATCTAGCCAGGAGAGCCCCAGAAAGTGACTCGTCTTGTCTGTCGACACCGCCAGTAGCCAATTGTTCTCGCCCTGGTCCAGAAACTGCTCATCGATCAAGGTGCCAGGGGTGATGATTCGGTGAATAGATCGACGGAAAGACCGGCTGCCTCCTTCGTCATCATTCTGGTACTGCTCACACAGGGCAACCTTGAGATGGTGTTTGGCGACCAGGGTCTCCAAGTGTCGATCCAGCTGCCTCATAGGAAATCCTGTAAACGCGATGGTCTTCCCGCCAAAAGTCTTGGATCCCATCTTGAGTCCTAAAAGTGGTCCATATTCAAGAGCGTTGTGATCGTACAACTTGAGTATCATGTCAGCATGGTCTTGGTAGAGATGGACGTAGTTGCAATCACTAACACATCATCACAATGCGGAAGTCCAAGAATACCTCGTAGAACTCTCCAACTCTGACAAGGAGAACGCAGTCTGGGTAGGTAGCCTCCAGCTCCATGATCTGGGCGCGTAACGGTGGCATTTTCCTGGGGGGCTCGACCTTGGTGGTGGGCCCGGTCTTCTGGGATAGTTCGATCTTCTTGGGCAATGTCGTGATGATCTCTGATTCCAGTGATGCACCGTCTTCCGTACTTTGGAGTTTTGGCATCCGTTTCCGCTCCGTCTTCGTGGCTGGCTCTTCTATAAATGTGACGATTGACGACGTGGGTGCCGCTGTCGAGAAGACTGTGGGGTTCGGGTTCACGCTCTGGAGGTCCTCCAAGGTGAGCATAGATATCTTGGGCGCCTTGGCTTTTGCGATACCCTCCTGGATGCGGGTTGTATCAGAGGTAGATTGTCGCAGTCTGGATGCTGAGGTATGGAGACGCGCTCTGTAGTCGTACTTTGGTCCTCCAGCATTGGTGGCAACTGGCGTCGAACAGGGGAACTTGAGGCATTGCGCGGCACGGTGCGCGTTTGTTGAACTAGTCCTGTAGGTTGCCTTGCCGAAGAAAGCTGACGATGAGTTCCAAGAGACGGTGGTGCATGATTTCACCGCGTGGAGACTTGTCCTGTGTCGACATGGTGAAAGCATGGTGTTTTGGGGTTCGGAAAGGTCAACAAAATAAAGTGCTATGTGCCAGAGCCCTGTTAAGGTCTTGAAAATTGTTGTGAGAAAATAACAGTCACATGCGCCCACCATCTTTTTGAGTGGAGCTTCCACAGACAGTGTTAAGGTCCTTCTTTCCATTCCACATCAAACACCTATTCACTCAGCCATGTCAGGTATGGCTACTTCCAGGACAGGAGACACTCAACGAGACAGGAGACGAATAGACGAATAGACGAAACGAACAAGGAACAAGATACCTTAGAAACAAAGTGAAGTCTCACAACTCACTTTTTGATCTCCCCCTTTAACCATGATGAACCCATCATCTTGCCTTCAACAATCAGCTCCCTCCAGACCCATCGTCATCTCTGGCCCCTCCGGCGCCGGCAAGTCGACCTTCCTGAAGCGCCTTTTTGCCGAGTACCCCGACAAGTTTGGGTTCAGTGTCTCCAACACCACCCGCAACCCCCGTGCTGGCGAGGTCGACGGTGTCGACTACAACTTCTTGACCCGCGAGGAGTTCTTGGCTGGTGTTGCTCGTGGCGATTTCATTGAGCACGCTGAGTTCTCCGGTAACATGTATGGAACTACCGTCCAGGGCGTCAAGTCTGTCGGTGACAAGGGCCGGATCTGCATCTTGGACATCGATATGCAGGTACTATATGTGCTTTCATTTAGCCCTGTGGATATATAATTTGCTTTTTTATTTTGCACCCAACGACGTGAGGGTAGCCACAGACCTAACAGCCAGCTGATGTGCTCTTTGTTCGCACTACTCTATTTATCTTCGATAATAGGGAGTCAAGTTGGTCAAGAAGACAGATTTGAACCCCTATTATCTCTCTGTCCAGCCCCCATCGATCGAGGAGCTCGAGAAGCGTCTCCGTGGACGTGGCACCGAGAAGGAGGCTGATATCCAGGGCCGTCTTTCCGCTGCCCAGGGCGAGCTCGACTATGCCAAGGAGGAGGGTGCCTACGACGAGATCATTGTCAACGACGACCTCGAGGCTGCCTATGCCAAGTTCAAGGCCTACATCAACAAAATCACCTCCGCCTAGATCTCCTCTTCTCATATTTTACCATTATTTAGAACATCAACAATACACTCATTCATTTTTTGAATCTTTCTTTTTTCCTTTGGCGTGTCGGATCTATAGGAAGAGAATTAATGGGAAGTCCAGGACGACGACACCAACATCGCTTTTTGCAGGGACAGAATAAGACTGGAAGAAAACAGGGGGAGACACATACGATTGGTTGCCCTGAACCTATGCAGGAACAGGACGTGAGCGATGAAACCGGAATGTGTGTGTGGTAGTGCGTTTCCAGACTGGCGGAGGGAAGACACCCTATTGTGTTTTCTGAACCACAACGGGGTGCCTTGGGGAAAAAAAGTATACTTGTGTATCAGACATATGATCTCCTTCAGCTTGGTGATGAAGTGACCTTGACAGGCTGAATCGCTTTTCTTGTCATAACTGGCGGCAGCATCTTACTGTTGGTGCCAATGCATTGGAGGGACGACATGCGGAACTCACAAAACATACCGGTAAGTAGAGAAAAAATCCCCCCGAAGAGAGGCAAAGAGGAGACGAGCTATTTGAATGAGGGCGAGGCGAAATGCGGATATCGACTTGGCGCTACTTGAAGTCAAGGCCGACCGGCACTTAGTCTTGGTAGGGAGGGAAGCAAGGATAAACGATCCGGCGCGCCTCCTCTCTCACTCCCTCTCCTTCTCTAGGAAAGGTACATTGGAGCAATGCGAGAACGATGCTGCGCCTCAGCCGTCGTCGCCTCCCTGAGATTCAAATCTGCAGGGGTCCGAATTCCTGCTGACATCTTGCAGGGGGTTTTTTTTGCCTTTGGTACCTACAACATGATAATGAGAACGCGACATGGGTTTATTTTCCAATAATCGCGTTCACCGGATTGTTTGCCGCTGTAGCTAACAGGAACGGTCGATCAATTGGACTCGGCTTTGCTCTCTCAGCCACTTCTATGTCACACAGTCGTCTAGAGAAGGGAGTGGGCGGAGAGGACGGGTAAATGTTCGAAGGCGTGCCATTTCCGCATACATTCGTGGTAATACAGAGTGCACCATGAACATTGGGCGGAAGCTATCACGTTGTCTGAGAGGTATAAAAGTGGCCTCGCTTCCCTATGTTTATTCTTCATTCTTCGATCACACACACACACACAAGGTAACGATCTAATCCCTTTCTCTCTTCAACACGAGCCAAACAAAGTCCATTGGGTCTCTAACCTCTCTACATCCTTCCTTTGCATTTTACCCAATGCCCACCCAATTCACACCGCACCAACCTATAGCCCATCAACCATGTCGCTCAAGCCCGCTTACATGATTCTCTTTGCCCTCGTGGTCCTCTTGGTCACGATGAGCAACCTCCAGTCCCAGGTCGAGGCCGGTACCTGGTGCTTCTGTAACGACTATGCTACCTCTTCGCAGATCTGTTCATCCTTGGCCGGCAAGTGGGACGGTGGCAGTTGCGGATTTGAACTGGACGCCAGCGCGAAGCTTTTCCGGGGTACTTGTGAGAACATCCGTGGCAAGGTCAACTGTTGGAACTAGTTGGAGGGTTCGTTTGAGTCTCCTCACCCCATACCTGCAATAAACCATCATAGCATGGATTAAAATTGGTGGCGTCAAGGTGAACAGGACATGCAACTCTCTCTCTCTCTGTCACTCCCTCCCATTCCCACTCTTTCTCTCTCCTACTCTTTCTCTCTCGCTCTTTCTCTTACTCCGTCTCCGTCCTCGCTCCACATTCCTCACAGAGTGCTCTTATTTACAATATCGCGCATTCTGCGGCATTCTTCACATCGAAGTCAACGGACAGCCTTCTCCTTCTTTCCACTTTCTCTCTCTCCTCTCTCTCTCTCTCTCTCTCTCCTCTTTATCTTTCCAGATCTCTCTTCTTTAAGAGATCCCTTATGCCATTTCATCTTCTTCCTTCCTTCCTTCCATTATCCACAAGGCCGAAAAAAATAAAAAAATAGGTTTTCTGCAGCTATCCATCTTGCTCAACAATGGTTGCACCATCTGTGGATATGAGATGGATTATGATGATTGCCGTACTCTTCCTCTTTTCTATGAGATTCTTGAGAGCAATGATGTCGCTGTCCTTGTTCTTTGTGTCTCGTTGTTGAGGGGAATGTAGTGTGGTGGCGCCCTCTTGATAGTCCTAATGTGCAAGAGTCGAAGATAAAGCAAGACGAACAAGACGAGGAAGAAAAAGAACAAAAAGAACGCCGTTGAGTGTGTCTTTATATCGTTTATCTATCGCACAACCACAACAAGGGGCTTTTGTCGGCTGGTCCCTGTGCTTGTTCCAATGCCTGCTCCAATGCCCTCAGTCTGGCACATCCTAGTTATCCAATCCCATTCATTAATCCTGTCGCTCCTTGAACCTTGCCTTCCTTTTGTTCGCTCTCTCGTTCACTCACTCTCACTTGTTTATTCCTCCGCACAGGCTCCTTTTCACCTTTTTCCCTTTTCTTTTTTTTCTTATTTCTCAATTGCACTTTTTTACCTACTCCCACTCTCTTAATCACTCTCTCACTCCTACGCCTTCATCCCTTCACTCACACTCACACCCACTTCTTTCCCTTTCTTGATCATCATCTATTTCTTTCGCCTTCCACTTTTCATCAAACTCCTCCTCGCTACCCCCTCAGTCAACCCTCCTCTTCTCACCTCCACAGAAGCGTCCGACTGAAGGCAAGTTAACCAGCTCAACAATGAACTCTCCCACATGTTCCCCACTTCAGCAACTTTCACTTCCACTTTCACTTCCACTTTCACTTCCACTTTCGTCCTGCCCCTGCTGCCCCACTTCATCCCATAGCCAACAAACACAACATCAACGAACTCTGTCAATCGAGCAAAACAATGCCGGCAAAAGAGATTAAGCACCAAAGTCCAGACGGATGTTTGTTTGGTTCGCTTTAGTTTTCTTTTCTTTCCGTCTTTTCACCACCCGCTGTTCAGGAACGACGAGGTTTCAGTCGCAATTTTACATGTCCATGGGAGGACAAAGGGAGGAGGTTCGGCTGAGACGAATGTCTTTCGATCGTTTTATGTTGCTGTTGCTCCGTTACCTTAGAAAAAGCAGAACAAAGAGAGCGAAGCACCACCCTTAGATATGTTATTAGTGTGTTCAATGGACAGAGTTTTATCGCCGACTCCCTTCTCTCTCCCCCTTGTTCCCCGAAGGACGAATCTGACTGGACGGGAACCTTTTGGGTTCGTGTAGTGTTTGGCTGGTCGGGTCGGGGAGTATTCTTGTGTGTATGTTGCACAGTTGCCAGAAACATACTAGCTCCCTTCTTGGGTTCTTGGGAGCCACAGCAAGGCAGGTGGAACATGTGTATGGATGGTCGCTGTACGAAGCTTTTTTCGTAGAGTACCTCACGACGAGAGAGGTACAAAGGTACAATGGAAGCAAGGACTGCTGCTTGTGGAGAAGTAGAAGAAGGAAGTGACCTGATGGCGGGCTAAAAGGTGGTCACTAGTTAGGTCCTCCAGCCTGGCAGCAGATCTCTTTTTCGGCGTTTGTTCAGTCTACATTTCCCATCCTCACTCCCCCATTGTATAGCCAGTCATCAACTCTTTCACACACACACACACACACACACCACCTCCCCACTGTCCCACCCGACGCTCATCAACCACCAGCCCTTTTTGCACTCTTCTCATCCCATGCAGTAAAAGTGCAGGCATCCTTTCCCCCCTCCCTTCCCTTGTTCCTCCCGTTTCTCCATTTCGTCCTTTGTATTCACGCCCCTTCTTCTCCTCCAGCACCACAACACTCTACTCTACTCTACACTACTCACATCCCTTCAAGCACAACCATCATACCATCCCCTTTGTGCCATCAGTTTCAATTGCAAGTGTTCATCCCAATTGAACCCCCACCCCCCCTTTCCGCGCTAACCAAACACTTGCGATAGCTGGTACTCCTGTTCCAACTACTCTTACTACTACCCTCCTTGTCTCCTCGCCCTTTTGTATTCTCTGTCGCTCCTCCTCTTCTATCCTCTACCCTCTCGCTCGCCTCTCTCTCTTTCTTTATCTCCTCGGCTGGCTCTCATCCTACCTCGAAAACGGTCAGACGCAACCCTTTTCTGTCACCCAACGGCTACACTTCCAAAGATATCTGAATAATCCAGATACAACGACTTCTCAACTCGTTCTCGATAGCACATATTCTGTCGGCAATGGCGCATTGTTTGTCAAAAGTAGAAGCAATTGCTCCTCAGAGAAGCATTGAGCTTTGTTCTCTTCTTCCCCTTCTTCCCTTATCACTCTCTCTCCTTCCTTCTGCTCAACACCCCTTGTTCGCTGCTTCGACTGTACTTCCTCCCCCTTTTTTATGGCAGTACGGGCACAAGAACAAATAATAAGGGCCAGATGTCAACCCTTCCCAACTCCTAAAAGATCAACCGTTGGGTCAGGCAGACATTACAAACAACGTTCTCTTTATTACCCATCCCCTTCTTTCTAATGATACCTCAAAGGATCGACCTGTTATCGTACTTCATTCGTTTGTTCTCTCCCGCATCCCACAGAATGAACGATGCGTGAAAGATTACACGCAATAGAAAAGAGAAACATATAAAAGGGACTGAAGAGGGGGAGTGGGGATACGTTTTAGCATTTTGTTCCTTCTTTTTTGCTCCCTTCTTTGTGCGACCATCTCAATGGAGAGAGTGAGAAAGTGTAAAGAACTTTGGCACCTTTTTTCTCCGTTTTCCTTCTGCAATTCACTATCATTACGTCTTTGGTGTCATTGGGCATCCTTAGTCTGTTGTCGTTGTTTAATTGCTTCTTCTTGCTGATGTTGTCCGTTCGCCAACACATGTTCACCATTAAACAAGCCATCAAAGCAACGGAGATTCTCCCTTCCTCTTCGTCTCCCCGCCTCTTTCCCTTTTTCACTTCATCTTTTCTAACCAACTTCCTCTTTTGCTCCTTCACTTCTTTAGTCTCCTTTGTATGATACCTCTCCTCTTACACGCCTAATTCATAAAGCCCATCGACGACCACCCTGCTCACCACCGGCTTCCTTCCTTCACACCTCCCATCCTCATTCCCCTTCTTAAGTCACTCAGTCAGCGCTTCTACCACCACAACTCTCACTCTGTGCTTGTCTCCTCCAACGCCACCAACACCGCTTCCACCCCGTCACACGCAACGCCATGGGTGCCGGATGTTGTAAAGAAGAAGCGATCGACTTCAATGGAGAGAGTAAGTGAACTCTCCAAAATGATAGCAAAAACAAGCAGCCAGACCTTCCCATATTACACCAGTCGACCCACTTTAACCTGCTCCTCTTCGTGCAACCCTTGTACTCCAAATATAATACGCCGATTGCTCACCACAACCCCATATGATTTTGTTTTCCCCTGATAGTCGAATTGTCCCATTTCCATTTGCTCCGCTCAGTCGGAAAAGGAGCCTTTGGAAAAGTACGAGTCGTCCAGCACAAGCGAACAAAGGAGATCTACGCCCTCAAATACATCAACAAAGCAAAATGTATCCGGATGCGAGCTGTCGAGAATATCATTCAGGAACGTCGGTTACTGGAAGAAGTCGAATTTTCGTTGATCTGCAATCTGCGGTACGCCTTCCAGGACGACGAAAATCTCTTCATGGTCTTGGATCTCATGCTCGGAGGCGATCTTCGCTTCCACTTGGAGCGTGCCGGACCTATGCGCGAGGATGTTGTCCGGTTCTATGTTGCAGAACTGGCCCTCGCTCTTGATGCACTTCATGCACGCCGTATCATTCACAGGCAAGTCCATATCGCAGTAATTGTTATGAGCAATTGCTAGGCGGCTGCATGCGATAAACACATGTCTAACGTCCATTCTCTTTTTTTACTGGGCTATTATAGAGATTTGAAGCCCGATAATGTGCTACTGGACGAGCATGGACATGCGCATCTGACAGACTTCAACATAGCTGTCTACTTCAACCCTACGAAGCCATTGATGTCTGTCGCAGGAAGCATGGCCTACATGGCGCCTGAGGTGCTACTCAGGAAAGGCTACTTTGAGTCGGTAGACTGGTGGAGTCTTGGCGTCGTCATGTTTGAGCTCCTCTTTAGCAAGGTAAGAGATGACTGGTCCCACTGTCAGCTACAGCACAACAAACGCCAGAACGTATTTTTTTTTTGCTGGATTCTAACGTATGACCTCACTTTTTTCTTTCACTGAAATAGCGTCCATTCCGAGGCAAGAGTAACGATCTGTTGACAAGTTCAATCTTGCGGGACCCCCTCCCATTCCCTGAAAACGTCCACGAGATAGTAAGCGCACCATGCATAGACGTTGTATCCAAGGTAAGATATTCGAGGCCCAAGTATCTAGGTGTTCCCAAAACGATAGACACAGAAATTGACGACTGGTGAACTATGTGTACTAATGATTCGTGAGAATTTGTTAGTTGTGCGAACGCGACATCAGCAAGCGCCTCGGTTGTACATCAGAAGGTTTGGATGCGTTCAAGAAGCACCCTTGGTTCGAAGGAATCGAGTGGGACAAACTTGCAACCAAGGAGGCAATACCTCCCTTCGAGCCCGACGTAAGTCTATTTTTCTCCTCTCTCTCCATTTATTCGACCTATCTCTCCGTTCAGAGGACACCTTCCTAACGTCGATTTTTCATCTCTGTTGAAACTTACCCATGCTAGTCGAAACGTGCCAACTTTGATGCCACGCATGAGCTAGAAGAGCTTTTGATGGAGGATAACCCACTGAAGGCCAAGAAGCGAGCTCAGACCACACCCGAGACAGAGTTGTCGACAGAGATGCAGATGATGGAGGACAAGTTCATTGTGTACGACTTTACCAAGGTCAAGCGGCCGCAATCTGTCAATCGAGGCCGTATCATTCGCCCCGCCACCAATGACTCTAGGATGAACAGCGGGACTTTGGATGGTGTCGTTACACGGACAGGCGGCAGTCGGTCAGACGATGTGCCCATGACGACCTCTGTCAGGACAAGCAGGCCCGACAGTCCTAGTGATCGTATCGGGCAGGGTCGCTTCAGCCCAGATGAGGACCAAACACCCCTCACAGAACAAACGTACCGGACATCACCGATGAACAGCCCTACATTGGAGAACAACTACCGTGCAAATGGGCAGAGCATGGTCCGTCAAAAGTCTGACTCTGAGAAGGCAGGATACTTTGAAACCCAACAGAAACAGCAACAGCATCCTCATCAGTCATCACCTTTTAATACCCAACGTCTGGAACTGCAGAGCGAGGCGATCATTCTGCCACCAACCTCACTCCCTCGCCCTCTTCAACCTCGCGACTATGCAACGGGTCTGAGGGTAGGATCCCCAAATTATTCACCATCATCATACCCTTCGTCGCCCACTAATTCCCTCGGCAACTCGACGGTTGCCACCGCCACACCCCTAACGGCCTACAGTTCGTCTCCTCCTCCTCCATCGACACCCCTTTCTGGTCAACACAACAAGCCAGGAACGGCTCTCTTTGCCACACCAGACTCTGGCGCTTCATTATCCTCCCTGGCCATGGATCCTAGCAACAACAACAATGGTTACCGCAGCCACAACAACATTAGCGTGCCATTGATGGAGTCTGCCAACATCCCTGTCCGAAGAGCAGTCCGTGGTCGGGAAGCGTCTGGCCAATCGATCAACTCGATGCCCGCCGCGATCTCGTCGATGTCGGCCTCACCCACCACAGCCAGCAATCCTAGGTTGTCTTCTCTTCACCCAGCGCCATCGTCTTCTTCCTCTAATCCTCGCCGACCCCTGGAGATGAGCCCCTCCAGCAGTCAGTACCCAGCACGACCCACAAGCGCCTACACCACTACCCCTGGCGACGAGCGGTTCATGTACCAGCAGCAACAGCAATACACTACGGGGTTGTCACCTAGGCCCCAGCAGCAGCAACCAAATCAACAACAGCTTTTGCAACAGCAACAACAGCATCATCAGCAGCAATTGTATCAATACGAGCAAGCCTTCAACTAATATCATCCTCCTCCCCCCCCCCCCCATTTTCTTTACCAATAAAACAACCCCCATCATTTTCATTTTCATACACCTTGCATGGTTATATGTTGATTTCTGTTGAACAATGCGAGGGGACAATTAGGCATTGGAATTATTGGGAGGAAAAAAAAAGGGAGGAAGGATTATCCGATGCAGACGGATACAAAATACCCACACTAACAAAAGAACAAAGCACAAAGGAGATAATGAACAAAGAGAAAAAAGAATGAATGAAAAAAAACAAAAGACATATGAGAGTTTTTTTTTTTTTTTTATATTTTTTATTTTGAACCATCAAATAAGCAGGCTTGTATGCTGAAGTAAATCAGCTCCCAACAGTAATTGAATTCATTCATGAGTTGATGATAGGTGAATAAGTACTTTGGTGTTGCCGTACCGCTTCCAGTTCCTTCAAAAAAGAAAAAACTAGAGAGGGAGAGTAGTAGTTTTAAGACCAAGCAAAAAAGAACACCATCCACCCGGGACTACCAAGAAATAACTTAGTAGAGACGGACGGGCTTGTTCATGGAGGACTTGATGAACAAGGTCTTGACGTTCTGCCAGTGCTTCTTGAGAAGGGAGACCAAGAAGTTGACGGACATCATGATGTTGGCGAGGAGCTCATCCTCGGACATACCGACGTGACCGACGGCGACACCCAAGCAGAGAACCTTCTTCAACTGGAACTTGATGGTGGCACGGATCTCATCAGCCTTATCACCGATGTTGTCGGCGTGGGTGACGGGGGTGGGGAACTTTCCGGCCTTGTGGAGACCGGGTCCGAGAAGACGGGGAATCTGCTTGATGAGGGCCTCGGAAGCGAGGAAGGCATCGTACTTCTTGGCGAGCTTCTTGATCTGCTTCTTGTTCTTGTTGAGCTTCTTCAAGTCATCAACGGACTGGTACTCCATGGAGATCTCCTTGGCCTGGTCGCAGTGAAGGGCATCACCGAGAATGCAGACGGACATCTTGGGGCGGGGGATGTTGGGGAGACGAACGGAACCAGAGAAACGCTTATCACGCTGGGGATCGTAGTTCTTGAGTCCAATTTGGAGCTCGACAGTCTCGACGAAGTTACGCTTCTTGTCCTCGGACTGCTGCTTGACCTGGCGAACGCTCTCGCGGACGGCCGAAACCTGAATCTTGCTGCTATTGACGTTTTGGGAACCGGTAGTGGCAGAGTAGAGTGCAAGATGAAGATAGGGTGGGATAGTTAGTGACACCGGTCTTCTGAATAGATGATTGTGGTATACTGGGAGTGGAAGTGGTTCCAACTCCGGGTGAAAGTAGATCCTGTCGAGTCCCGTTCTGTTGTGCTCTGTTGCGTTACTGCAGGCGCCCGCAGTAGTTGATTCCCACGAAGACAAAGTCCAGGGTCATGAAGGCCAGCAAATTGTTGTAGTTGAGATCGCTGCCAAAGGCCAAAAGTTGATGGCTGTTGAATCCGAAGCCGTTGATGAGTCCTATCGGGTGAAAGCTCACTGGGCTGTGAAGACAACAAGAAATGTTTTCTCTTTGTCTCGCTGGCCAAGTGCAACTTCATCCCGATGTCCAAGTCTGATCCCGTTCTTCAACCAAGTTCAAATTAAACATGAACAGTGCCAATAGCGATGAACGTGATGCGGCAAAGGGTGGATTGTCGAGTCGGCATAGATGATGGTGGTGCTGGATGAATCGATGGATGCTGCGATGATGCCGCCCTTGGTTCTTTCGATGATGGATGGATATCCTTGAAGTCCATGGAGTCGGATACAATTTGAGCGTGGATTTAGGGTGACATGCCTCATGTTGGTTAGATGGCTACTAAAAAAGGGAGGAGGAGCAAAATGACCAGGCCGCTTAATTTCAATTTATACTCCTGCCTGCTTCTGGAGAAAAAAAAAAAGATCAAATAGCTAAGCCGCAATTCCTCGCCTCAAACAAAAACGAGTTACCTCCTTTCTCAACGGACACAGAACGACTACCTTCTGTTGCTGCGTCAAAGTTCATCCCCTTCTTTCTTTTTCATTCATTCATTCCAACAACAACAAGACATGTACTTTTGCCCAGCCTGCTCAAACCTGCTGCTGGTCCAGTCCGACGGCACCCAGCGCCTCTACTGCCAGACCTGCCCCTATATCTACCCAATCGTCAAGACCGTACGTCCTTTCTAGCCTTGTTGCTTCAAAAAAAGCTGCGGGTCCGACTGCGCCCTATCTTGGAGTCTTTCGTCAATTTTGTTGAAGCAGTCTCTTCGCAACATGTCAATGTATCTAGTGGGCTTTACTCAAGTGAATTGGTTGATTAACGACGTTGTTCTTGACTTTTGTTCCACCATTATAGATCGTTCAAAGAAAGACATTGGACAGGAAGCAGGTCGACGATGTCCTTGGAGGAGACGAGGCCTGGGCGAACGTGGATCAGACCGAAGGTAAAAGACAGTTACCTACAAGCACAACAAGGACCCATTGCAGGACAACTCTCAGGATCTATCGCGAATGCCAAGAACTGGACTTTGCGTGGATCAAGCTTGGAGTAAAAAGGATGGACCTTTCAGGATATCATACCAAAGCTGCTTCGTGCGATCCGCATTATATGACATGGAAGCATGTCTCTGCAGGATCAATGATCCTTGTCGAACAATAGAGCAACTAATCAGGAAAGAACTTGTCAATACTTTAATGATTATTTAGCAACGTGCCCAAGATGTGAACACGACCGCGCATACTATATGCAGATCCAGACCCGCTCGGCCGATGAGCCTATGACGACGTTCTACAAGTGCACCGAGCTCAAGTGCGGTTGGCAGTGGAAGGAGTAAAATCACTAAGGAAGAGAGGATCGATACTCATGGATCGGGACCAGTTTTTTCGACTCGGGCGTGCCTCAGGGATCATTTTTCCCGTCCCAACTCCAATATGAACACGTATCAAAGAATCGACACAATAATTCAACGCTATAGGCGGCATCTCAGAGGAAAGTATTCACTCTGGCAACACTTGTACAATATCAAATAAAAAAGACCATTCAAAACAAGACGAGTTCTTGAATTGCCGTTCATTTGCCTTGCACGTCACGGGGATATCGTTGAATCGTGGCAGTCGCGCGGCTCAAAGCCAGCGAGGCGATTCAAACCAGCCCATACGAAACTCAAAGTTTCCCACATCATCTTTCTTTCCTTTCACACCCTTTTCTCCTCATCCGCCCCTTCCTTCTCCTTTCCCTCGAGACCACACACAACCTTCCTCTTCCACCACTCCTCCCTTTCTTTCTTCATCTCACAACAAAGACACATGGCTGACTTCCTCAGGCAAAACGCCGGTCGCTTCTTTGCCAACAACAAGAAGGGTCAGTCCCTATGCCAGGAACACAGACCAAAAGACGAACTAGCGTCAACTGCTTCCTGACACGCACAAAACTCGCTATCCCTCTTTTCGCTACCATCAACTACTCTATAGGCGAGAATGCCGAGCTGTTGGCGGACTTGAACAGCGAGTACCGAGACCGACGCAAGGATGCCGTCAAGCGCGTCATCGCCAACATGACTGTCGGCAAGGATGTCAGTTCACTCTTCCCCCAGGTCGTCAAGAACATGCAGACTGAGGACTTGGAGATGGTAATAACAGCGCATCTGGACCTTCGAAGGAGAAAAGGCGGACACGGATGGCGATGAAGAACAAGGCGGTTGGCTGGGAATGAGAAACGGACAAGGGGGGACGTTGGTGACTTGTGTTCTTACTGACTAACGTTTGTGTTTTCCTGTGCGATAGAAAAAACTGGTGTACTTGTACTTAATGAACTATGCAAAGTCGAACCCGGACTTGGTTATTCTCGCCGTCAACACCTTCGTCAAGGTACGTTTCAACATTCAGTCTCTTCGTCAGGAGCGATGGAACAAAGGCGTGCTATTGTATTCTGGAAGTGTCTATCTCAAAACTCACACCCGCCTTTTGTTGGCAACTATTTAGGATACGGACCACGTCAACCCTTTGATTCGCGCCTTGGCTATCCGCACCATGGGGTGCATTCGTGTGGACAAGATTCTGGATCACATCTGCGAACCTCTGAGAAAGTGCCTGCAGGACGACAACCCTTATGTTCGCAAGACCGCCGCCATTGGTGTTGCTAAGTTGTGGGACTTGGATCAGGAGAGAGCATTGGAGAACGGATTCGTCACCGTCCTTCAGGATCTTGTCTCGGACTCGAACCCCATGGTAATTGACGCAGGACCACCGTGTACTCTTGCTTCTTTCAATAAGGGAGTTTTCGGCTTGAGGAGTAATGATATTCGACACCTTACTCATCCGCTCGGTTCTATTGGACACTTCTACAATAGGTTGTCGCTAATGCTGTAACTGCACTGGCAGAGATGCAAGAGTCCTCGGTGTCAAAGGATGTCTTTGTGGTCAACGTGGCTATTATGAACAAGATGTTGGCTGCCCTCAATGAATGCACGGAATGGGGTCAGATTGCGATTTTGACCTCCCTGGCGGACTACAGACCCCTGGACTCCAAGGAGGCTGAGAATGTTTGCGAGCGTGTTATCCCCCGTCTTCAGCATGCCAATGGATCTGTGGTTCTCTCTGCTATCCGAGTCCTCATGATCTTTATGCGCTACATCAAGAGCGAGGACTTTATCAAGGGCATGATCAAGAAGATGTCACCTCCCCTCGGTATGTCATTGTGGAATTGTCTATATTATGGGCTATTTGGACAAGGAGAAATACTAACAGTGTTAACGTTTCTTTTTGATAAATTATAATAGTCTCCCTTCTTGCATCGGCACCCGAAGTTCAGTACGTGTCGCTCCGCAACATCAACCTGATCCTTCAGAAGCGCCCCGATATTCTTCAGAACGACGTCCGTGTGTTCTTCTGCAAATACAACGACCCACCATATGTCAAGCGTGAGAAGCTGGAGATTATAATCAAGCTGTGCAACGACAAGAACATCGAGCAGATCCTCTCAGAACTCAAAGAGTAAGGACCATTTACATTTTACACGATATCTGTCTTTCAGCGTCCCGCTGTAGAAACTACTCGAAGCTAACTTTGAATTGCTGTTAATATAGATACGCTTCGGAAGTCGATGTTGAATTCGTGCGTAAGGCTGTTCGTGCTATTGGACGATGTGCCATTATGATTGACGAAGCCTCGGAGAGGTGTGTCAATGTTCTCTTGGATCTCATCAACACCAAGGTGAACTATGTCGTTCAGGAAGCTATTATCGTCATCAAGGTAACATTCGTGGATGTTTTTGCACTCCTTCGATAGGCTACTTCATTGAACGACATGATCATGACGCTTACCGTCCACTGCTGTCAATTATCACCGTTAGGATATTTTCCGCAAGTACCCTAAGCGGTACGAGGCTATTATTCCTACTCTTTGTCAGAACTTGGATTCTCTGGACGAGCCAGAGGCAAAGGGCTCATTGATCTGGATTATTGGAGAGTACGCTGAGCGCATTGAGAACGCGGACGAGTTGATTGAGAACTTTTTGGAGACCTTCCTGGAAGAAAACTCTCAGGTTCAGCTGCAGCTTCTCACAGCAACTGTGAAGCTGTTCTTGAAGAAGCCCGCCCAGTCACAGGAAATTGTGCACCGTGTCTTGCAGACAGCCACCAACGAGATTGATAACCCCGATACCCGCGACCGCGCCTACGTCTACTGGCGTTTGCTGTCAACCGACCCTCAGGCTGCCAAGGCTGTGGTCCTTTCTGACAAGCCCCCAATCTCGGTGGAGACAAGGACAATCTCACCTGCACTTATGGACGAACTCATCAACAACATCTCGACCCTTGCGTCCGTTTACCACAAGCCTCCCAAGGCATTCATGGGCAACAGAGCCTTCAGCGCCGATGCTGTCAAGACGGCCGCCGCCGCCGAGTAAATTATATGACATGGTTTTGCACGCTATGCTTGCTCGTTATGAAAGAATGAGTACGGGACGACTAACCACGAATGAAATCTTTATTTGTATTGCTTCTAGTGCACGGGACGAGGAACAGATTATTGGAGACGCAGTGCTGGATGCTTCAGGAGCACCAGCTCCCAAGAACGTCATGACAGACTTGCTCGACTTGGACTTTGGATCATCAGAGCCAGCATACACCTCCCCACCCGTCTCTTCCAGCAAACCTGCCAGCAACAACGGACCTAATTATAGCGCAGACTTGTTTGACATGTCGTCAGATATGTCTGGGTCAAGCAGCAGTGTCTTTGGAGGCATGGGAGGTATGGGTGGCATGGGAGGCATGCAGCAGCAACAGACACAGCACCAACAACAGGCACCACCACCAGCAAGGAACGATCCCTTTGGAGATCTGGGGGGCTTGGGTGGGTTCGGCCAACCTCCACAGCAGCAGCAGCAACAGCCCACTAAGCCAACCCAGTCGTCTGCAGAGAATGACCTTTTGGGTCTCTTTTAGACAACTCGTCTTTTGAAGTCTCCTTTGGATCGCTGCCAAAAAGATGCACCCACCTCATTACCCGAAAAATAAACCGAGCAATCTTTTGAGAGATTTGTCCAGTTGAAAGCCACCCACCCTGTTCCATCCTTTTTTTTCTTTTGGTTCTCGTTTGACCTCTTTTGTGTTCTTTCCCTCTTTCGCTCCCACCATTTCCGTCCTCAACCTCGACACTGGACACAACAGGATGGCGGAACAGTCAACCACCCCAGACCAAGCACTTTGCTACAAAAACAACAACAATGACGACGCTTTACCCCAACGTCGCAACACTTCACCGCTGGAAATCCCGGAACTGCTGGACAGGATCTTTTCCTACGTGGACGAAGCCACGCTCGCACTCTCTGTAATCTCGGTCTGTCGACATTGGTTCCAAGTCGGTCGGGGCCGTGTTGTTCGGAAGGCTGTATATAACACCGACATGACGGACGAGGAGCTGGAGGTTGTTGTCATGAAACAATTGCCGGTGGCGAGACGGTTGTATTGGTTCACGCATCTCATGAGCGGGAAAGAGGCTACGAGGCGATTGCCGCAGAGGGCGAAGGTTGCTGAGGCATTGGAGGTTAAGCATCGATTGTGGGAGAAAGTTCTTGCGGGGAAGGAAGATGAGGTTGTCGATCATGACAAAAACTACACTGGCGATGACAACAGGAAACAGGAGCAAGAGCAAGAGCAGGAGGAAGTAAAAGGTGATAGATTGAGGTTGTTGTTTTTTCCTGCGACATCTTTACAGGAATTGATTTTGGCAGGGAAGTTCATGGGGTTCGACAGTCAGCTTGTACACCTCCTGCCGTTCCTGTCACACTTGACAGTGCTTCGGATGGAGACTGACCTCGATTGCGGGATCCGATTGAATACAGTCTTTCGAGCATGTCCGTACCTCCAAGAAGTCGCCCTCCGTCCTAAATCGTCCCTCTGGAACCCGGACCCCTTTTTGGAAAGTGACGATGATGTCGATCCGGAGGCTTGGAGTGAGTTCTCGGTTGTCAGGGACGGAGGAGGAAGTCCATTGGTTCACCTGCGGGTATTTGAGCTTGAATGCTATTATGTCCGACTGCGCACGCTATTGGATTTCTTGTCGGCGGCGCCACGGTTGGAGGATTTGCGGATCGTTCGATTGCGGGCGAGTGTTGCTGGAGATGAGGATTTGAATGATTTGGAGGTACATTACGTTACTGAAGAAGAGACGACTGAGGATCTGCTGGTGAAGGCTGCCGAGATACTCGAGACTTTGTGTCGGCATCTCGAGGGGACATACAACTCGGCATTACCCCAGCCGCAGTCGCTACCTCTACCACTCCTACTGCTTCTACCGGTGCTCAAGAACCTGCATCTCTCTGTCGAGACTCTAAATCTGGAGGTCACGAACCCACAACGGCTGTTCAGACTCTGTCCCGCCCTCCAGTCTAGTGTCTCGACCGACTGACCACCTTGGGCTCCCGGATAAGTTCTTCTAGAGCTTGCAGCAAACGTATACAAATCGCGCCAGGGTCCCCATAATGTGATTACAATGTTGAATATGCGTGCGATCTCGGGGAGGGCGGCCGTCTCTGTTTCTGGAACTGGTGGAATTTTTTTTCCTTTTTCTTGCAGGGCGGGGAGACACCCTTTTTTGCTGGAATTTTTCTTCCGGACTTGACACACACACCTTTTTCTTGCAGGGCGAGAGACACCCTTTTCTGCTGGAATTTTTTTTTTCCTGACTAGTCAAACGTACCTTTTTCTTGCACGGTGGGGGACACCCTTTTCTGCAGGAATTTTTTTTTTTCCTGACTAGTCAAACACACCTTTCTTGCAGTGTAGGGGAGAACCTCTTGCGTTGAATTTTTTTTTGTCAAGCCGCATTTTTCACACAGCGCAAAGAACATCCAAAAACGGTGATAGATTTTGCTTTATTTAAAAAGAATGGACTTAAAAAAAAAATCCTCGGCATCAGACTCTAACACAAGAGCTGGGGCATCTCCTTTATCAGCTGTGGGACCACCACTTTTTCATTACAGCGGTACACAGCGGCTGAGACGCAACCCGCTAGCTCACCCATCAACTCTTCCAGGCCAGAAGGTCTGTCCTCACGAAGAATGCTGATCTCGAGTTTGGGAGGATGAGTTACATAATTATTTGTGTGAGTCCCCGCATTTGTTGCATTTTGTTGGCGCCTTGGGTGCAGATGCGGGTGAACCAGACGGATGTTTGGAGGAGGTTGGGGAGGGGGGGAGGGGGGTGAGGGTGTGTGAGGCTTTGACGTTCAAGGGAATTGTTAAACCTCGGCCTGGGATCTGGGCCTGTAGCAAGGTAAAAAAAAATTGGCGGGGTTATTTCGCGACGTTTTTTTTTTTACGTGGGTTTGCTTTTTTTTTGTCAAATGTCTATTCTTTTTCTTTTCTCCATGTTGTAGTTACAGACGTTACATATGTCATTCTCACTCTTTTTGCCAGTAAACTCATGGGCTACAGTAATCAAGCGAGAAACGGAAGAGGGACGGTGACGATGACGATGATCGAACATTTCGGATCCTCTATAGATACCTCTCCATCGTCTGCCCAGCCCTGGTCGACCTCTACCTCAACCTCGGAGCCCCTACAAACCCACAGCAGCTTCTTTCAGGCGTCAAGGCATCTAGCACTCAGGAAGGAGGGGGTTTAACTTGTTGATACGGTTGAAGGGGGGTTGGAGAGGTTAGTGTTTCACGGTCCACCAAAATGTTTCAGTGACGAAACAAAGGACAGCTTTGATTGGATGGCTGCCGGGGTCACGCAGAAGAGACGGAGGAGGTTAATTCGGCGGGAAAGAATAAGGCGTGGAGAGAATTTTATGATTCGCAGATGTGGAAGCGGTTATTGTAGAGGGAGCGGGAGACTAGGACCAGCAATGGGAGACGAAGAAGGAAGCGGTGGATATCAGGTACCGGGAGCCCCAAAAAAAAAAAAAAAAAAAAAAAAAAAAAAAAAAGTGTGCAAACTATGAGGAGATGATGGCTAAGCTCGAGAATCTGGGGTTGATGTTGGATGTCAAGTTGATATTGGATCAGGTTTTGAGAAAGCGAAGTGAGGGGATGTTTTGGCCGTGGCCGAGGATGCGGCATGCTTTAGTTTTCAGGAATAGGGCGTGTCCTTTTTGGTAGAACGATTGCGCAGGAGTTTCGGACGCGGCATTGACCGTCCCCGATCTTTGGAGGAGTAGCCTGAAAGAGTTTGTTATTTATTACGAATAGCATAAAAAAGGGGTATGGTGTGTTGTTGTAAGAGTATATTTTTCATCTACATGGGGATTTTGGCGTAATTTCGGCGATGTTGTGAGAGCTTCTGGTGGGAGGAGAGTCGATGCTGGTGTGATGAGCACCTTTCTCAAACGCGCTTACTCGTCGTCCGACGTCAGGGATCCCGGCAGTAGACTGATGGTATTGGTGTTGGGAAGGACTCATCGACCAAGGAGACGAATGCCTTCTCAGACCCCTGGTGGCCGGAGGAAGAGGTCGTTGAGGATAAGGGTATGCCGGGTAGGATGACTGCGCAGTGATCTGGGTCATGGCAGGAGTTAATGAGCCATCATAAGAACGGCGAGCCGCTGAAGTTGCAGGGGTGAATTGCTGGCTATGGCGGTATTGGTTTGATTGAGCCTCTGGAAAATACCCCTGAGTCTGTCTCTGTTGCAGTTGCAGTTGCAGAGCAGCATAATACTCCCGAGCGGCCTGCATTTGGAGTCGCTGTTGTCGTTGACGGTGGGCAATATAGGGGTCGTACTCCTGCTCGTCTTGATCGTCTGACTCCTGCTGATTTTGTTGCTGGTGTTGTTGATGTGCGGAGTAAGAGAATTCTTTATGGGGCGCTTGCCGGTGTCCTGCACCTACAACTGCACTGCCACTACCATAACCACCGCCAGCAGCAACAGCAGCAGTGCCATCACTATTCACACCAACACTGCCAGTAGTAAAAAGTCCAGCAGGATGACGACCCTCTAAAAAATCAAGCCGTCTCTTGCGAGCCTCCTTCCTCTTCTTCCTCTTCTTCCTCTTCTTCATCACAAGCAAGGTCACTAGGATGATAATAACAAGCCCTACAACAGAACCGCCAACAACTGGTCCAACAATCGATTTCGATCCATCGCTCTCCGTGGACGAGCTGAGGGGTAGGGTCGATGTGGCAGGAGGAAGGTAATAGGAGGTCCATGAGCCTTGGGGGGACTGGATAGGGACGGCGGTAAGGGTTGGGCTGGGGATTGGGTTATCGGGAGGGAGACGGGGATGGGGATGGGCGAGGTATGAGATGGGTAGTTCTGTTGGGGTGACTATGCGGGCGGCAGCGTGGGCAGGTGAGTGAGAGGCTGTGTCAGGAGTTGTACTGTCGATGGGTTGGGCCATGCTGGTACTTGATGTCTTGAAGAAGTTAGGTTGCACAGGGATAGGATATGAGTATTATGAGGGAAAGCGTGTAGGTAAACAAGAAACGGGAGGATGAAGAAGAAGAATAAGAAAAAAGATAGTGAGATGATGATAAGTGAAAAGAAAAAAAACTAAAAGAAACTAAAGGTCGACACACTCAAAGGACAAAGGTAGATGATAGGATAACAAAGAGACAAGACGCGAGAACTGAAACAGTCTGGCGACTATTTTTAGCGATCGCCACCAATCATTTCCACTGCCTTGGGTAGAGGAGATGCGTTCAACGAGCTGGTTGTCCATGTAAAGAAGAATGTCATGTTCTCGGCCCTTTTTCTCCATTTTCTTGTAAAGAACGCACCTACCAAACCATGATGCAAGACCTCCCTTTAATGTGTTCAATACAATCTAAGATGACAAAAGGCGATGAACGAAACAGAAAGAATGAGGATTAACTGTTAGGAATAAAAAGGCTATGGGTAACAAGGTGGTAAGGATGGTTCAAGAAGCTCTGCTTTTTTATTTACACGTGCATAGGGATTGTGAAAGGATCATCAGTAAGGGCTTGAGGGTTTTTGGTGATGGGAAGCTTGGTGGTGCTAGGGTCGTCAATGGTGGTATGAGGAGCACCGGGGGGACGCCTCTCAAATAATCCTGGTCCAGGCACGAATGGAGGGGGGCAGTATGCCAGGTTGGATCCTGCCGTAGTGATCTGAGTCATGGCAGGAGAAGTTGATTCGGTAATAGATTCGTGAACGGGGATGGACTGGGGGCTCTGGTGGTATGGTTGGTCCTCTGCATAATAGTCCTGCGGGTGCCGCTGGTGCTGAGCATAATAGGGGTCGTGCTCTTGATCGTATTGGTTGCCTGACAGCTGCTGCAGTTGCTGATATTCTCGTTCGGGGTAAACGTATGGCTCTTTCTGGGATCCTACAATTCCTTCGCCATCACTGCCATTACCGCCACTACCGACACCAGTAGTGGTAGCAAGGGGTTCAGTGCTATTGCGACCCTCCAAAGTGTCAGAATCTCTTTTGTTGGCCTCATTGCGCCTATTCCTCCGACGCATTACAAAGAAGCCCACCAACAACGCGATGAGAACAAGCCCGGCGACAACACCTCCGACGACTGCTCCAACGATCGACGTGGATTCATCATCACTACCGTCGGACGAACCAGGGGACGATGTATATGTTGTGCCAGGAGGGTGAGTCCTTGTTGAGGTCCAAGTAGGGTAGCTGCTGGAGTAGCTGCTGGAGTAACTGCTAGAGTAGCTGGTAGACCTGCTAGAATAGCTAGTAGACCTGCTAGAATAGCTAGTAGACCTGCTAGAATAGCTAGTAGAGCTGCTGGTAGCGGTGGGGTAGCCGGGGTTGCTGGTTGGGTAGCCGGGGTTGCTGGTGGGGTAGCCAGGGTTGCTGGTGGGGTAGCCGGGGTTGCCGGTAGGGTGACTGGTAGAGTAGTAGTTGGTACTGGTGATTGGAACGGGGGGTTGTGCCATGATGACCGACTGTTGCTATTGCAAGTAGCTAAGGTGATAAAATGAAAGCAGTGGTGTAGTGTAATATGTGAGAAGAGTGGGAGAGAAGAATGAGGAGGGAAGAACGAAAAAGGTAGAAGACGTTAAAAGAGAGAGGAAGGACTAAGAATGATAGGACATAAGAAAACGAACATGAAAAGTGAAACCGCGGTTGCATTTTATAGTTGCCACCAATCAACTGCTGTAAAAGGTGTCAGAGACGCGTTCAAGCTGATGGACTACTCGGTGAATTGTTCTGTTCTTAATCTTCGTTTTCATGAAGAAAACCCATGCAAGGAAGTGATAACGATAAAAGTGGCAGAACCCTCCACCCAAAAAGTTGAACGCATCCTTCACAGGGTTTTTACTTTTTCCCTTGTCTTTACATTAATATGTCACGTGTAGTCCGCTCTCTTTTTCTCCTCTCTCTTCCAACATTTCCTGTCCCATCATTCTACAAACTTTTATCAACCTCGCAGAAAGCCTACAGCCTAGTTCCGCATACCTGACACAACCAAAATGACTCGACAAGGCATCAATTCGCCCTTTCATACTCATGGAAACACTCTTGACGGCCAACAGCAGGTCAACGCACATGGGCCCAAAACTGCTGCTGCTCCCAATGCTGCTACCACTACCAATCTTGACTCGCAAGAATTGATGGAAACCACCACCGCCTCATTGGATGCACTCGTAAGTATAATAGGGCACAAAGCCATCAAATTGACAGCAAAAGACAAGCCTTTTTTGTTTCCACACTTGGCCTTTTCTTTCTCTATGTGTTCATAGCGCGCTTTTTTTTTGCTGCATGAAAACAAAGTCTACCACATAGCCATATCTATTGGTTGTGAAAGCTCGATTATTTCTTTTCACCATTAGGCAATCGGCTCGAATTCGCCCACTAGCCCAGCCAACCAACCTTCCAACAGGCCCCATCGAGGCATTCCCTCTGAAATCGTCATTGCATTCGATGAGCTCCTCGACGGATCCAGCCTCTTCAGATGTCTTCAAGTCTGTCGCCAATGGTTCGATGCTCTACAGCCACTCGCCTGGGTCACGATCACGTGGAGACAATGGTACCTCGATTCTTTCCCACCTAACGCATGAACAAAACTTGCTCTCCCTTCTACATGGACGAGGAAGCAAAGGCGAATCGGATATTCACGAATTTTTGTTACACTCGGTCGGTCGAGTGGTACGATGTCTCAGCAGTCCGGCATAGTGGGTGGAGGGGTCCAGGATATGCCCCATCGTTTCGGTCCGAGATTAATATGAAAAGCTGTCGCGTATCCTCCGATCAATGGCCCATCTGAATCGACTCACCCTATGCATCACATCCAACATACTATACCACAGGGATGTCTTGGACATCCTTAAGGTGTCAGACCTGCCGCATCTTCGATATCTTCGATTGTTCCTGTCCTTCAACGTCTCACCCTCAGCTATCGAGGAGCTGTTTCCTCTGCTCTCAAGACTTGACGAATTTAGCATTCGTAGCAATTGGTATCGCGAACTCGACTCACAAGGACAGCATTTCCTTACCTACACATCCTGGAAACTCAAGAGACTCGCCATCGACCACGCCCAGATCCAGTACTTTCTGAAGCATTTCCCGTCTCTGGAGGAGTTGACCTTCAAGCGCCTAATGGTCAAGTGGATTTGTCTTGGGGAGAGTTTCGGAGAAGGGATGCTGTTGCAGCTCTTGGACATGCCCAGACTCAAGACTATTACTGTGAGCGGAATCAGGGGCACGGATGCGGTTGAGTACAGGACTGAGGACGCTATGGGGTTGGAAGCTCTTTGGAGGAAGGCGATCGTGGCGAAAATAGAGGATGAGAGAGGATTGAGATGATGGGTGATCAGGAGGTTACCATTCAAGATATTGTGGCCTACGCCGTGTCCAACGCTTGAGTGTGTTTGAGTTCGAGTCTAGGGCTTTCGCGTTAGCATCATTTTATCTTTTGTATCTGTCCATGATCTGCCCCTCCTCGTTCCCTCTACGAGCTTGCTCATTTGTTAGCGCTCTCCTTCCTTGTTTTCCACCTATTCTGTTGCCCCTTTCAAGATTTCGTTTTATCTTGACTGTAACAGAGAGAGAGGGATGAATAATGCGGGCAATGGGAGAGGATGATTCAACGAGCGGTAGTTTAAAAAGTGGGTAAACGAGAAAAGAGAGAGTATGTGTGTGTGCTCAGCGACATTCTCGTTCTATGACGAAAAAAAAATCAAACTAACAAAAAAATGTACAACGAGCGAAATCACGGGCGGCAAGTACGCGACTGAGCCTTCTGCCACGAGGCACAGCGGGAGTATACTCACATTTTTCTCCCCACCATTTCCACCGCCTTTTCATCTGTGGAAAGTAAGATCCGATCCACAGTTACATTTGTCTTTTCATCAGGGCCAATGCACCATCGTTATTCATCTTATCTCTATTGCATTTTGAACCTTGCTGTTGGTTGTTTGCGTTGAAGGGCGCAGGGGGTTGCCACAACATCATATCAAATAAAGCTCCTGTTCATCATCTGCCTTTCTTCTTTCTGGTATCACCTTTTTTTTTACTTCCTCATTTCCCTTGAACAATTCCACTTTCCCCCTCACTCTTACTTTCTTTCGATTCAATGACGCCCAACGAAAAAACATCCAGTATTTTCGAACTAACAACACTCATCGCAGATGGACTCACAAAACACGACCTGGCCTTCTGCTGCCTCGTCAACATGTCCTGGTTCGACACTTTCACCCCTCACCTCTGGCACTCGTTCACTATCCAGTACTACGACCAAGTACTCAAGTTCCAAACCCCCCAGGCATGTGCCGGTCTCCTCCGCAGCGGCTATCACGTTCGTGTCCTACGGTTGTTATATATCGTACGCCTCGAGCCCTTTGTGCAGCACGGTAACACCTGCACCAACCTCGGCTCGCTCGACGCTCAGAAAAAGTTTCGTGCCTCACATCTCTCCAGGGCACCGGAACCCCGATCGTTTGTTATAATGTCGAAGGGGCGGGGAGGATCTTTTGGAGCTGAACAGAAACAAATTGACCTTTGTTGAAGAGACAACGAGGTATAGTCTGGGTATCAACCAATCCCGGTTCAAACTTCATTCTTGTTGGAAGCTGTAAACGCACGTATGACACCGGTGACCACGGAGAAATATTACGACGACCTTGACGAGAACTTGATGTCTATTCCCAGACGAAATCCGCTATCGAAGTTCATGGTCGTACCCTCGCACTGCATGGAGAATGAAGCCATGGTAAAGTTTGTTGGAGAGTCGCTTCCGTTATTGAAGAAGTTCTATTCACCATCGTATCTGTGGAATCGCGCATTCCCCGCCTATTTTGTGCTGTATAAGGAACTGTTAGTTACTCAAGCCGATGGTATGCCCGTCGCTCCAAACGTGATAGGTTGTACTCCCATTGGAAGAACTTATACTTCGTCACTCTTGAAGAACTATCCGAGACTGTGGGACATTCATCTGAGTCTTGCCACGAGGTTCGATCATGAGGCACTTGGGGATGTCAAGGATGCCGATGAGGGTCTGGCATACTTGGAGATTGAGACCGGTGGAGCGGCTGTTGTTACACAAATCCTCATGGTCGCACCTACCCCGAAATCCATCAACTGATCATTAGCAAATACTGTGGCGGCCCTGTCGACATCATTGTCAAACTGGCCTTCCTCAAGCATGCATCGACACTGAGGCACCTCGACGTCGGCGGCTATCAATTTGATTCGGAGACGCTTTTTAGCCTACTCTGTTCCTGCCCATCCCTCAAGACGCTCAAGACCATGGTCATGGAAACGCTCATCAGTGACAATACCATCTCCCAGGCGTGCTTTCCAGCCTCTGGAGTGATCGAGTCTCTCTGGGTCTGCGACGAGCTCGAGGTCTTTGTGCAGGATTACCGACATACCGCGACATTGCTCAAAACGTACATTGGGGGACTGGCGCAGAGCAGAGTACTGGGATCTCGCTCCGCTTTCTCAAGAACCCTCACCACCAATAGCCGTGCAGGCGAGCCATGCTGTTCAGCGCGAGGTCTTCAAGGAACTAGGTCGATTTAACCACCTCCGTTCCAAAGCCCGGACAAACACAAACGAAATCAAACAGTGGTCAAAAAATCAGAGCACAGGGCATCGCAGAATTTCTTGTCCTCTCTTCTATCGCCACTCCCTCTCGCCTTCACTTTCTTTTTCTCATCCACCATCATCCTGTTCAGCATCGCTACCTAAAGTAGAGGAACACCGTCGTTAGCGGGTAATTGATCCTGGCAAGCATTCCACATGTAAGATACATTCGGATGTTGGATGCAAGATTAGGCACAAGCAACGGGTGGAGCATCGGTTGCATGATGTCTTTACTCGCTCACACGCTCTCACAGAGAACACTTCCCGCACACCTGTCCACCGCATGGACCCTTTCGTTGCCATGCCCCATCCATCTCCTCTGTCGCGCCATTTTTCTTTTGCCCTCGCTTCCTATTCTTCCTTTGCTTTCTTTCTCTCTTTATTTCTTCACACTTCCTCCCCCTCCCCTTTGTCCTCATAGCTTTACCTTTACCCTCACATTCATCCCCTCTCCGCCACCCTGACTCACCTTATTTCCACTCTTCCTCCTTACCTTCAAAGAACAACCCCCCACCACCCCACTTTTTCGCTGTCGCGAACAGATTCCAATCCCCCACCCTCCCATGACCACACCCCACCAACGATTCCGCCATGCAGACATCATCGAATCACTTGCCGTGAGAAAAGACAAGATCACGGGAGAGTATTACAGTCGTGTCATCGACATCCAGGAGACATTCCCTGGTGCCGTCCGGTTCAAAGTCAACGGCGTTGTCCTCAACTTTCTCGAAGACGAGAATGAGCTGCGGTAAGAAAAAGAAAGCAAAAAACCAGGCGACGCATGGGAATGGAAAATTGAACGGCAAAGAACATAACGTTGTCACTTCAAGTGCTTTTTTTTGTAGACTATTCTGACCCTTGCTCTTCGCTTATGAACTAACTAGGTATGAACCAAGGAGGATCGCGCACCACCCCAACGATGTTATCGACATCGTCATTGCCATCGCGACGCGCATGCCCTTGAGCTCTCCTATCAGTTCTTCCAAGAAGACTGAGCGCACTCACAGGCAAACGCCACAGTCGCCTCCCAACGGCAACATTGACTATGCAGTCTCATTTCTGTCGCTCCAATCTACTCCCACCTCCTTCTCCAGCGATCTTGTTCGCTTGCCTGGCTCTGCCAACACTATGACAGCATCCAAACCTCTCCTCGCTGGCCTTGCCGCAACTCTTGCATTAAATACTTCAGGGATCTTGGACCTCCAGCAACAATTCGCACAGTTGGATAACACTGGCTCTGTTCAGCACCAACAACTCCTCACACAAATTACCCAGATGATGCATTACCAGAATGAGCTCCTCGAGAAACAAAACGAGATGCTCCAGGAGCAGGCCGACGCCAAGGCAAGGGATGAGAAGGTGTTGGCGGAATTTGAGGCGGCCAAGGAGCGGGATCTGGAGACGCATAGACTGCAAAAACAGACTATTGACCGACTCATTGTCGCACAACAGAGAGTTGATGCCATCCTCGTCCAAAACTATGAGCTGCATGAATACCCGATCCCGCGGCTGTTTGTCATCTTGCCGGATTCGTACGAGAGTTGGGATCCGCGCAACTTCCTGAAGGAAAGGTTTCGGCTGTTCTTCCTCTGTGAGTGCGGTGAGGATTGTGGATCGGAGACGAGCCATGGCACTACCTCAAGTCAGCTCGCGATCACCGCCCCCGATACCCCAGTTTCTCCCATCCGCGTAAGGAACCGCATCCATTTAGCCAAGCATGAAGGATATGAACTCTCACGTCCCACCGAATTCTTTGACCGCTACGGCTCGTACGTGCTTGGGATGCTCAAGATCCTGAAACATTGCCTCGCAGTGGCGACCGTGGTGGCTCCAGTAGTGGCCCTGGTGGACGGTGGCGTGAAGGATGTCATGGATGGGGTCAAGTCGATCTCGGAGAGTACAATGGAGGCGGTGGATATATCGATCAACTTTTTAGAGCAGGAGCTGGATGATGGTGGTGTCTCGGACGCCTTCGCAGAAACAGGATCTGATGGACAGGATGCCGACAATATGTTCGAGAACCTTGCCGCACTCGAGGGAGCAGATCTCAGGAGACTAGACACCTTCTTGCAGAACAATGACCAAGACAAGATTCTGGGAAACCTCTATCGGACTACCACCGAGGAAGGACACGTCAAATGGGTCTGCTTTGAGCACTATCAAGAAAAGTACCAAGCCACTGCCCTGGCGTCGTTTGTCCAGTCTGTTGAAGCCGCCAATGGAACTTATGACCCCCATTTCCGCAGGGTCACCATCAGCCTGACTTCCAGTACCGTCGCTAAGGACTTTTTCATGCGACTCGCCAGACAGGCTCCTGTAGTCGACAACTTGGATGTAACCCTCGCATGGGACTTTGGCTCTGCAGACCTGGTTAATCTTGTCAACATGGTGGCCAAGTCGAACGTCAGGTCCATCACACTCGATCTTCAGGACGACCCAACCTCAAAGTCGGCTCTTGCCTCATTCCGACCTGGCAAGGGGCGATACCATTCACTTCTCAGCCTCTTCTCCAATAAGAACATTCGCCGACTGCAGCTGTCCAACCTTCACCAGCTCGGAACCCGGACCTCGAACCTTCCTTCCAGCGTCGTCGCCCCATGGATGCAGAGCTTCCACTTTCACGGACAAGTCAATGACGAGGGTAGGGATCGCCTGACGAACATCTTGTCGCGCTGTCCCAGCCTTGTCGATCTCCGTCTCACTGGATCTCTATCCGAAGGGAATATAATGGACCCGAGTTTGCATCTACAGATCTTTGGTTTGAAGAAGCTGCAACGACTGCATGTCACGGGCTGGTATCAATACTGGCCAGAGACACCTGGGGGATACATCTGGAAGGACGGGATGTCGTTGCAGGAGCTAGTCTGTACCACAGGAACTCTAGAGCGCAACTTTGTGGGAGGATCCATCCAGCGGTCAGGCAAAATCCTGGAGGTACTTGTACTTGTCGACCGTTATGCAGACAATACTCCGATTATTTTGACCCCGAAGATCATCGGTGAATTTTTTGACGGGTCCTACTTTTCGAGACTGACCCATCTGGAACTTCAGGCTCAATTGGCGAACGGCTCACTGGAGTTCCTATCATCAACCTTGCCTCGACTGAATCTCGTTCACTTTGGGTGCGATTGGAGGACCGATTCGCTTCTCCGTCACATCAATCTTGCATCGTTGAAGTCATTGGCTGTTGGTAATATTTCTAACAACTTCTGGCTACTCAGGGGAGCAATACAGGGACTTGGAGGGGAGTGCCAGATCGAGTCCTTGAATGTCGACGGCTTCGACTACTTTTACGATGACCTCGCCAAGATCCTCGATATTCTCCGACTGAAGCGGCTCTTCCTGAGCAGAGCATCCGCGAGCGCCATGGTCTACTTATTTCGGCATGCGAACCTATCCAGCCTGCAGATAATATCTCTCTATGGGTCAGAGTACTTGCCAGAGGTGGAAAACGTCCTTGCTCAAAGGAGAAAGGACGAGTTTGCCGAATCCTTCGTGGTCCAGCTTGACGTCTATTCTTGGAATAGCTACGCTAATGCCAGCGTTGGGGGTGCCACCAGGGCTCAGACACAGAGGGCATCGCCTTCCCTTCCACTTGGCCATTGCGTGAAGGACTTGCGATCCTTGAGCGATCATTCTTTACAGTTCTTGCAGCCCATCCTTCCACGATACTCATATTGATCATTTTTTTCTGTACGTAATTACACAATGCTATTACAATGTTTCCTTATTCTTTTTGCTCTGTCTGTGTGTGTGTGTGTGTGTGTGTGTGTGTGGAGATGTTGTGGTGTTTGTTTACAGGAATCAACCTATACTGCAAGTTTAAGCCAAGCACTCAATTCAGATGCTAGCCTGAGAAAGAACAACTCTTTCTCGGGCCGCAGCTCCAGATGACGACCACACGCTAACAACTACAATCCCAGACAGACCAATAAATTAGCCCGTGTCGATCTCTACCGCCATGGCTCTCGTAATCTGAAGCAACCCCAGGTTCTTTAGCGAGCCCATTATTTCGGCACTGACGGCCCTTGCTGCTCAAGAAATTGACTGGGCTGAGGGAGATGCAGGAGTTGACGGTATATCAGATGGCGCGCCGGATGCGGAATTGAGGAGGTGAAGCGGATGCTCGATCTCTGGCTCAAGCTGAAGAAGATCCATGGTCTGTGGTATGATAACTATGACGGTGCGACTGGGAAGGTTGTAAAAAAAGTGGATCGCTTCGAGAGTACAAAGATCACAAGACTATCAAGTGGTGCAAGTAGAACGCACCCGGCATTGGGTGTTTACAGGGTAGCGACAATATTTCGGAATTTATAGAAACTCTAGCGTGAAATTCTAACCTAGGTCGTCAACGAAACGCTTTCATTCATGCATGACCAACTCACCCGGCCGTTTTTCTTTTTTCTCCCTCCCAAAAAGACCCATATAAGGACGCATTTTGTTGTGCGGAGCAAATGATACACCTCCATTGTCTTCACTGACTTGAGGTTTTGAGACAAGTGGCGCCTGCATCGATCAGGGTAGCTGAATATAGAGGATGTTTGCTGCGGGATCTCATTGTAGCGAAAGGAGCTAGTGGAGTGTGTCTGATTACTCGAGTTCAGTGATCAAAAAATGAAGCCCAACTTGTTCGAATGCGTGAGTAGAGTTGAGCTAGAGAAAGAGGCATAATCTTACTTGTAATGCATCTCATGTGCTTTTTTGTTGCCCTTGGTGCTCAATGAGGCGAATGAATGCATGTCTGTGGTGGAATGAACCTGATCTCCTCTCACATGTGGTGGCAAGAATTAGCCCAAACCACTGAAGAACGCCACCAAAGGAGTTGGCAGTCACGGGCCAGTGCATGATTCCACTGTCAAGAAACAACTGGCACCACTTGCACTTTCTCATCAATGAATACTTTCCCCGGCCTGGATCCAACCTTCAGCTTATGCTTTCAACAACTCAATCCTTGGGATGGCATAACAACACCTCCTGTCCGGTCAATGCCACTCCGTACTTCAACCTACAGATCCTTCCCTTGAGACTCGTGTAATTTTTATCCATGACTGTCAAGCTGGCTTCGCTCACGCTTCGGATGGAGGTTCAAGGACCAGACAGTGACGTGATTCGTGGACTACCAAGCCTTAAGACTCTCGACATCTACCTGCCGCCGACCTTTGATATGCTTCCTACCCCCATCGAGAGTTTCTTCCCCTGTTAAATTGACTCGAGGAGTTAGGTCTCTGTGGGCCTTTTGTTAGCTGCAAGAAGGGCAGTCTTGACCCTTTACCGGATGGAACATCATGGGCGACCAAACGGCTGACAATCGACCCGATCGACATCTCCCTTGCTCACTACTGCTCACAGCTGACTCATCTGAAGCTTCCTCAGCCAATGTTTTCACGAAAGAAGGGGTAACGGAGATGGTATATTGTCTTTTCTACAACATGATTGACACACCAAGCTGCTCATGGTTTTGCGACTCTACTCCTCGACGAGAAAGGAGATATTCATGTTCAGAATCCATCATCCCCGCGGCGGCGATGAAAGGCCTCATTCCTTGGTGGGGGTCCGTCTTTATCGCTCGTTATTGTCGACTCAGGAAGTTTTTTGCATTGTTGTGGTTCAAGCCTAGATTGAGGCCTAGACACGGTTATGTGTATCACCTAGATGTGACCATGGAATAAAATATAAATCCTTTTGTTGAAACATCCATCAAGATGCATATAATTTTTTTTCGCGCAACCTTTCACGTTTTAATTTTGGGGACATTGTCTACCGTCCACCGCTCCTCGTTGATCTCTCTAACAAAAATATAAAAGAGTATTAAAGCGATGAGGTGAACTACACACAGCACAATGCATTAACCACGCGTGGATTTCTTTTTTCATTTTCAATTGTGGAAATGAGTTTTTGCATATGTTGAAGGAAGAAAAAGATCAAACAAAAAAGAAAATCATGAGCCGATTGCATCAATGCAAAGCTTTGTGCAAGTCTTTTCAGGCCGTATATGTATTCTCTTCACTCGCTCAACACGTACATTTTTTCTTTCTTTTTCTCTTCTTTCTTTCTTCCTACTCCACTTCTGTCACAACTACCGCCCACCTACCCAACACTGAAAGGATTCGACAGTCATGTCTCTGCCTACCTTCCCCACGGAGATTATACTCGCCATCGCCCGACACCTCGACAGGCCAACCACCCTTGCTGCTCTCCGCGTCTGTCGCGAATGGTCCATCGTTCTCGCGCCCTTTGTTTGGACCACTATCACGAAAAACGACTGGCACTACATCAACTTCCCCATTGAACGATCCACCACCAATCATGAGGACCAAGCTCTTCATTCATGCTTCCAACACCTCCAATCCTTCGAGTGGCATAGCAACACGTACTTTGTCAGACCAAATGGGTCAACCAACCTCCGTCCTCAGATCCTCCCCTCCCAAATCATATCCTTCCTCGCGATGGCTCCAAACTTAACCTCACTTACCCTCTGTACCGACTTGTCTGGCTTCCCCCCCAGTCTGATAAGCGCCATGCTTTCCCTCAAAAAACTTACCCGACTCGACCTCAGCTTGTACAGCGGCTACAAATGGATCGATATCGAGACAATCTTCCCACTGTTGGCCCGCCAAGAGGAGCTCTGTCTGAGAGGAAATTTCTACTACCACGAGAAGAATACCCGCGACTCTTTGCCTGGTGGAGCGTCCTGGAAGCTCAAGAGCTTGACAGTCGATCCAATTGACATTCATCTTGCCCGCCACTGCCCAGAGCTAACCCATTTGAATATCTTGCCGCCGACCTTCTCGATGAAGGGAAAGAAGGGTGCCCTTTGGCGTCGAGTCTCTAATATGCTTCAGGCGCCGAACAGCCTTGTGTGTCTGAAACTGCACTCGGCCTCGCGAGGGATTAGATATGAATTCCTTGTTCGCCATAACGACGGCACGCCTCTCCAGCCTCACCTCTTGCAAGGGGGGACGGGATCTAGTTGCAGGTGGTCGACTTGGGCAATCATCGATCTTTTGTGATCCAAGCCTACCTCGAGGGACATGAGTACAGGATCAACATTCATTTTTACCTAGTTTTTACCACAGAAGACGAAAAAATAAATCCACACCTTGACATTTCGAATCTAACAGACCAACACGTTCCTTTCACAAGCTTGCATGTTTTTTTTTTCCGGTTGCGACAGTAGGGGGTTGTGCTCGAATGCTGCGAGGAAAAAAGAAAAAGACGTGAATGATGAAAAGGTTTCCAGCCAAGGGGATCTCAACAAAGAAAGAAAACTAATAGTAGGCTGCATGTGGGTCGATAGGCAAAGGAAAATAAAATAATCGTCGAATCTCTTCTTTGGGTCGCTGAAGGGGATTTCGAATCCAGGGGAAAGTCGCTTGAGCCCAGGCAAGATGTGGAATTTATTCCACTGCATCCATCAGATGATGACCTCAGTATCTCGTATCAAGCCCAGGTTCTCAAGATCGTCCAAAACTTGCTCGACTCCCGAGAGATATGCTGTAGGGTCGGGTTCAGGGATAAAGGGCTCCTCGTCTTCAGGCCTTTCTTGCTCTTCAAGCCTTTTTTTCAACAGCCTGAGTGACCGAGAGCGGCTGGGTGATCAATGGCATCTTGATCCGTCGCGTCTTGAGAGTCTGTACTCCGGTGCCCTGTATAGCCTCTTGCCCTCGTAGTGGCTCTCAAAAAAGCATTATGTGATAAGGTACGTAGCGTTGTCCTTCAAGGCCAGCAACTTCATGTCCAAGAGGTCTGATGACGAAGATGCAAACATGATGAGGATCTCGGGGAGTTCCAGACATATATGTTGCTCAGGATGAGGACGAAGACGGCGTTGGACTCTTGTTGGTGGAAGGGAGAGTGATGCTGAGCGAGACTGCGAGAGAGGTGGTATGAACGTGTCAGTGATTGAGGTTATTGGTGGTGGATCCATGTTGGATGAGTTGTGCGTGTTTGAGTGTGTGTTCTATGTAAGCGACAGATCAAAGAGACTGATCGTGTTCATCTCAAAGGGTATTTTTACTTGATCGCTGAACACTGATCAATGGCAGGGGGATGTATCAGTGTCCATTCAATGGCGTTTTCACACAGATGTGGAAATAGGTCAGTAGGTAAGCGATATCCACATCAGTTTGTTTGCATTGTTACTCCTTTTTCGATTGTTTTTTATCCTTGTTTTTTTTCATATTTATCTTTTTCTGTAGGTTTCTTAACAAGAACTGGAGAAAGGGCACCAGCTACTGTACATGGCTTCTCATGGGTCTGATTCCGTTGACATGATGAAAGAACTATACACATTTATGTATTCATTTAGGTCATATTTTCTCGGAGTACGATATCTGACCGCCCAGCGTCCTGAAGACACTCCCTCAACAACTCTAAATCACCCGGTCGAAAACGGGTAAGATGCAACAGATTCATTTTTGGTCCCAGCACCCGAACCAGACTCATCATCCCCTCGCGGTCTGTTACCCATGAATGAGCGTCCTTGATTGCCAACCGCTCCAACTCCACTGCTCCTGCCAGTTGTGAGATCCCAGCCTCCGGGCTCATGTCGATGAGCTTCCCCCAGATCGTCAACGACGTTAAGCTTTTCATCTTTCCAAGTTGGCGGTACATGGGTCTCCAAACTTCCTGCCGGATCTGCTCCTTGCTCTCGCCTTGGATCGTCCATGGTAGTCGAAAGGCCAGTTTTTCCAGTCCTGTGCATGCCCATTTGTCGTCTGTTTCTTTGCCGGGTTGCGGGAAGAAAGTCCTGGGGTTGATTGAGCAAGAAGGCAGGGTGAATGTTTTGAGGAGGGGTCGGGTTTTAAGAATTTCCGGGACCAGGCGTTCAAATTCTTCTTCTTCTTGGCTGTTGTCGACATGGGCGTTCTTGATGGTAATGTGTTCTAGTGTAGGCACCGCCAACGGTAGGCGCCGATACTCCTCGTCCTCGCCATGCATCTGACAAAGAACTGGCGGCGGTAGTCGCTGGTGAGGGAGTAGGGGTACCAAGAACTGCAAATGCTCCAGGTGGGATACACAATACTCCAGTGTCCGAAGATGCGTCAGTGACAACAAAGTCTCGACCAGATCTTTAACCTCATCACACCCAGTCCACCACGTGATACTGAGCTCCTGGATGTTGGGGCACATCAAGATGTGGCGTAGCGAGTAGGGACGGTTGGCAATGGATCCGGCAAAGAGTGGGACGTGTTCCAATGCGAGAGAGACCAGGTGGGGGCATTTGTGTAGCATGCTCAGCGTCTCGACCGAGGTTCTCAGTTTCCTCACCCTCCAGGGTTGATCCAGTCCTGGTGCTGTGGACGTTGTTGTCGAGCCAGGTACAGTAGTAGTCGAAGAGGGAGTCGAAGATACCTGAGATGCCGTATAGTGATACCAATTCCCGGCGATAGACAATTCCTCCAGTTGGGAGAAGATCGGGTAAAAATTGTCCAGTAACAGGGGTCCTGTACTTGGCATAGCGATATCCATCGACAGACACCTCAAGTTCCTCAATTGTCGAATGGCATCAAAGAGCTTGACATGCGGTCCAGTGTGCTTAAAAGTCAGCGATAGTGTCGTCAAGTTGGGTGTAGCCTCAAGAATCCGTGTGAGGACTTGTCCCGATAGCTGTAACCTTGTCGAAATAAAAGGCCAAGGGGTCTCGTCAACCGTGGAAGTACCATAAGAGAATAAGGGTTCCTTGAGAGCGAGGTTGCAAAGCCATTCCAGTTCCCGGACAAGACTGAGCGAAGCAGGGAGGTCATCGCCCTTGAAGCTCTTGGAGAGCTGTTGGATGGGGAAGGCGGGGTGATGCCATTGGGACTTGGAGATGGAAGCCCAGAGAATGGGTAGGAGGGAGCGGTGCCAGTGTTTGTTGAGTTGGAGGGATGCGAGGAGGGAGGGTCCGGTGAGGAACTGGCCGAGAATGTAGATGAGTTCTGGAGGGAGACACATTGCGATGTCAACATGTGGTGGTGCTCGAGGTGATGCTTGGGGGCCTTGTTGAGAAGTCATCATTCTTGAGGCGAGGGTGGGCGAAAAGAGAAATTAAGACAGAAGGCCACACACAACAGAACACCATTTTCAGATGGATCACAATGCGCAAATAAAACAAAACGGTCAATATGAATATTTCGGAAGAATGGGCTGCAAGAACTGAAAATGATGTTTCCATTCGCCCCCAACGTTCTGGACCCGACAATCAAGTAGAGGTGGGGACAATGCTCTATCCGCAACGGCACCCCTGCCACCTCCAGGCACGTACCCCCTCCAAGCCCAGGCGTCAACAGACTCTTCCTTTCTCCTTTGAGCAAGGGCGTATTCCGCCTCTGGCAAGTACTCTGACCCATAGAGAGATATTGTCTGCAGGCTGGGCAGGTTGATACGCCGGAATAAGTAGACCATGGCGCTCGCGGATGCTCTGCTCAGGAAGAGCCGCTTCAGCCGGAGCATCTTGAGGATATCGGAGAGGTCTTCGTAAAAGTAGTCGATGCCGTCGACATTCAGGGATTCGATCTGACACTCCCCTCCCAGTCCCCGTATCGCTTCCTTAAGTAGCCTGAAATTATTAGAAAGCATTTCATCGACAGAGAGTGATTTCAACGATGCAAGATTGATGTGACGGAGAAGCGATCCCGCATCGGCTCTGCATCCAAAGTAAACGAGGTTCAGTCGGGGCAAGGCTGTCAACAAGAACTCCCGTGAGCCGCACGTCAAACCAGCTTGAAGATCCAGATGGGTCAGTCTTGGAAAATAGCACCTGTCAGAAGATTTACCATTCGTCTTTGGTGTCAAATCGATCGGAGTGTAGTCGAAATAAAAGTCAAAAAGAACAAGGACTTCCAGGATCTCGTGCGACCGCCGGATGGACTCCTCCACAAAGCTATGATCCAGAGCTCCCATGGTACAGACAAGTTCCTGAAATGACATCCCGTCCTTCCAGATATTTGCCTCAGGTGTCTCTGGCCAGTTTCGATACCAGCCCGTGACATGCAGTCGTTGCAGCTTCTTCAAACCAAAGATCTGAAGATGCAAACTCGGGTCCATTATATTCCCTTCGGATAGAGATCCAGTGAGACGGAGATCGACAAGACTGGGACAGCGCGACAAGATGTTCGTCAAGCGATCCCTACCCTCGTCATTGACTTGTCCGTGAAAGTGGAAGCTCTGCATCCATGGGGCGACGAGGCTGGAGGGAAGGTTCGAGGTCCGGGTTCCGAGCTGGTGAAGGTTGGACAGCTGCAGTCGGCGAATGTTCTTATTGGAGAAGAGGCTGAGAAGTGAATGGTATCGCCCCTTGCCAGGTCGGAATGAGGCAAGAGCCGACTTTGAGGTTGGGTCGTCCTGAAGATCGAGTGTGATGGACCTGACGTTCGACTTGGCCACCATGTTGACAAGATTGACCAAGTCTGCAGAGCCAAAGTCCCATGCGAGGGTTACGTCCAAGTTGTCGACTTCGGGAGCCTGTCTGGCGAGTCGCTTGAAAAAGTCCTTAGCGACGGTACTGGAGGTCAGGCTGATGGTGACCCTGCTGAAATGGGGGTCATAAGTTCCGCCAGCGACTTCGACAGACTGGGCGAACGACGCCAGGGCAGTGTCGCGGTAGGTCTCCTTATAATGGTGGAAGCAGACCCACTTGACATGTCCCTGGTCAGTCGTGATCCTGTACAGGTTGCCGAGAATCTTGTCTTGGTCGTTGTTCCGCAATAACGTGTCCAGGCGTCGAAGATCTGCTCCCTCAAGTGCAGCAAGGCTCTCAAACATGTCGTCGGTATTCTGTCTATCAGATCCTGTTCCCGAGAAACCATCTGATGCACCACCATCATCCAGCTGCTTCTCCAGAAAGTTGATCGACATGTCTACCGCCTTCATTGTGTTCACGGAGATCGACTTGATCCCACCCATGACATCCTTCACGCCACCGTCCACCAGGGTCACTACTGGAGCCACCACGGTCGCCACCGCGAGGCAATGTTTCAGGATCTTGAGCGTCCCAAGCACGTACGGGCCGTAGCGGTCAAAGAACTCGGTAGGCCGCGAGAGTTCATATCCCTCGTGCCTGGCCAGATGGATGCGGTTCCTGACGCGGATGGGAGAAACTGGGGTATCGGGGGCGATGATGGCGAGCTGACTTGAGGTGACCCCATGGCTTATCTCCGATCCACAATCCTCGCCGCATTCACAAAGGAAGAACAGCCGAAACCTCTCATTCAAGAAGTTGCGCGGATCCCAATTCTCGTACGAGTCCGGCAAGATGACAAACAGCCGCGGGATCGGGTATTCATGCAGCTCATAATTCTGGACCAGGATAGCATCAACACGTTGCTGGGCGATAACGAGCCGGTCGATGGTTTGTTGTTGCATCCTGTGTAGTTCCTGGTCCCGCTCCTTGGCCGCCTCGAGATCCGCCAACATCTTCTCCTCTCTCTCTTTTGACGCTGCCTGTTCTCGAAGCATTTCGTTCTGCTGAGCGACCAACTTATTCTGGTGTGCAACCATTTGGATGAGTTGCTCCAGGAGCTGTCGATGATGGATTGACTGCCGGTTGGTTGATCGTTCGAGCTGGAGCTGGAGGTTGGCGATACTTGAATCGATGGATGAAAGTGCGGCTATAGGGCGGGCCAAGGATACATTGTGCCGTGGAAGATATCCGGACGAAGGAAGGTGGATGGAGGCGTTTTGGCGGGCGGGTGTGAGAGGGCGTAACGAAAGATTCGACACTGTGTGGTCGGTTGAGAGCAATTGACCCTTCGAGGAGGAACATTCGAAAAGGTTGCCCCTGGGCGATGCCACGGGTGTGGGGCAAGTGTGAGGCGTAGTGGTGTGCATGGTTTCATGCCGTTTGTTGTACACGACCCCTGCAGAGGAACCAACAACAGTGCTGAGGGAGGCATCGACAGAGTGAGCAGAGTCAGCAGACACAGGAGCAGCGCAGACGACGTCTATTATGAGGCCCGGTTGGTAGGCAATCCTTTTGGGTTCGTACCTATACAACGCACAAGATGAATTGTTAGTTCTTTTGCCATCAACATCGTTCCTTCTATGCAAAGCGTTGGTCGGTCTGCTCTTTTCGTTTGTCACGTACTTGTCGCAATTGTCGTCGGTGAGAAAGTTGATGGTGACTGTGCCTAACTTAAATCGGATAGCTCCGGGGAAAGTCTCTTGGACATCATCGAGTCGACTGTAGAGCAGACCGCCCTTGTCCTGACAGACAGCGAGGCATTCGACAATGTCGCCGAGACGGAATCGTTGGTGGAGTGTCATCCTGTAACTGATTCAGAGGCAGCGAGTGGGCAATGATGTGTTTTGTCGGTGAGTGGTGATGAAATCGGCTAATGTCCAAAAAAAAGTGTTGTTGGTGATGTCGCGAATTCGGTTTTTGAAAAGAAGAGGTTGAAGAATGAGAAAAGTGAATGGAGGAAAAGAGAGAAGGATGTAGCTAGAGGATATGGGAGAGGGCGAGGGACAGGTGTGAAAGGGGTAAAGAATAAAGAAAAGTAGGCGAGTGCAGTGCAAGGAGTGTGAAGGGAAGGAGAGAAAAAACGAAAGGCCATGCTATGTTACCGGACAGACACAATAGCACCCCTCCCTGACACCTTCGCCATGACCATGTGCCATTTGCCAATTTCCTAGTTTGTTTGCTTGTTTTGTGTGTGAGCAGCACCACCACAATATCGCGCCATGGCTGTTGCTCGTTTGAACAGAAGACGGTCAGATAAAGTGATAGGGTAAAAGAGGAAGATCATGGTCACTGTCTGCGACGAGCAAGCCAAGTAACGGATCCTCGGTTGATCTTCTTGCTTATACTCTACCCTGGCACCTCGAACACTCCATATAACCTGACTTTATGCGCCGAGCTTCGTCCCGAGGGGCTCTCAATTTTTATTCTTGCCTAAGAATTAGCAAGACTAAGAATTAGCAGGACTAATAATTAGGTTTGTCAAAAAGGAACTACATAGTTTTTTCGACTTTGAGCTATCACTGATGATCCTTCTTTCTCATTTAGTCCCTCTCTTTCTACTCTCTTCCTTTCATTTCTCTTTTTTCCCTTCGCTTTATCCCTTCAACCCTTACTTCACCTCAACATCATGAAATCACTCAGAAAACTATTCTCAAGAACAACACACCAGCCCCTCAATCAACCGGTTAGGACAAAACCATCACCAATCGACATTCCCGAGATCCTTGAGCGCATATTCTTCTTCACGGACGACTTTACTCTCCGCACGACTGCTGTCCTTGTATGTCGTCAATGGTGCTACATAAACGTGAATCGGTTCCCACGCACCGTCTACTACAGCTACAGAATGGGACAGGAAAAACCGGAGCTCGCGGTCCTTCGACTGACAGGGGCTAGCCGGCTCTACTGTTATTTGACTGGAAATGATGTGGTCCGAGGTGAGAAATGTGTGTCGATGTTGTCTGCGATACCAAATGATGGAGATCCTGCACATGATATTTTTTGCTGTGTCTTTTATGAGTGCGTGGAGAATACGTTCTTCAATTGACATGCTCCTTTTACTTTCCTTTACTTTAGATCGGTATGACCCATCAAGGCCAAACTTCGGGGATATCGTTAACAGCAGCCAGGACGAATTTCAGAAGCAATCAAAGAAACGGAGCCGGACCCCAGCGCACAAACTCAAACCAACCATCTATACCTTTTCACCCCTCAGAGAAATGGTCATCGACATTCGTTCTTACCCCAGCGGCCCCTTTAACGCATTCCCTTATCCACAAACCCTGACAAATATCGCCCTTCATATCCGATCATCTGGGAGCCAGCACCTCAACCTTAGCAGGATTCTGTCCCAGTGTTCGTTACTGGAAGTCCTTATTGTCGAGGCACAGCACACCGACAGACTTTATCTGTTGTGGGATGAACCGACGGTGCCGCAGGGGAGTTTGGCTCTTCGATCTCTTACCCTGAACCACGCCACCATAGACCATGACAGACTTGAATACCTCCTGACTTCATCACCGCATTTGAAAGCGCTCAAGCTGATTTCTATGGCCAGCTCGAGACTCCACCTGCCAACACTGTTCCACCGCATCAAAACCCTTCCCATTGACCTCGAAACCTTTCATATCTCCATCCATGAGCTACCCTGGCCGCGGGGTGTTCAGCAACAAGTGTTTGAGTTATATCCAGTCACATCAGAGTGGAACTTGTGGGCGGCTCACATGTCACCCTCGCTATTGAAGGAACTGGAAGTACATACCCCTTCGCTGACGACACTGGAGCTTTATTGGCGGCGGAAGGGTGGCCGTGTTAATGACGAAAAGAGCCCAGACGAGATTATCATGGCCTCAAGACTACTGTTCAAGTTCCTATGCGAATCTTCCCATGCGGTGCACCTGATGACTTTGAAGGCAGGAATTTTTCATCAGGACATGGATCTCTACCGCCGAGGACGATACTCCAACCGAAACAAACAAGCCGTGGACGTACTCCCGCCGGCACTCCAGGGATCTCCAACTTGCTCTGGGATATGGCGTTGCCGCGATCTTCGCGTCCTACACATCAACCTCCGAGACCCAATAGCCTCGCTAAAGAGGCGGCAACAGAGTCGCATCGTGTACGGATACATTTCCAAGGTCGTCCCACATTTGGAAGAGCTCGAGATATTTTACCCTTATTACAACACCCCTGAAGGATCCTTCGTCTCCGGATCTCAAAACAATTACAGGATACCGATGGTTCTGGAGGGCGGGTTCTGCTTGCTGGGTCGACTGAGGCATTTGCGGAGACTGAGCGTGATTTCTGCTGAAGGGAAGACTACGGCATCTTGTAAGAAAGTGGATCTGAACTGGATGGTGCCGGAAGGACGTGGTGACGATTTCAAGGAGAAAAAACAACTGGAGGTTGAGTCTTGGCAACAACAACAGCTCGTGGAGGAGGAGGAAAGGTTTCGGGCGCAGGATCAGGAGCAGAAGGATGATGCCCATGTTACTGGAGACAACGGCGATCCATTGGATAACGAGCTGCGGGACCAGTTTCGAAGCCTGGGGCTGCTACGCGAGGTTGCGGAGATGATCACAAAAATCGACGCAGGATCTTTGGTTCCATTCCCGTCTCTGACAGGATTGTCCTTTGAACATCCCATGTTACAAGCGCCCGAGAAGGTGCTGAAGGAAATATTCTCCTCCCTCACTTAAACTTCGTATCTCCCATTTGCAGCAATAAAGAACAAATGTATCGCACAAGAGATTTTTGTCGGGAACTCTGACTTCTTTGATTACTACAGTCTCACTCACCATATTAGGACACGCTGGCCATTGACCGGCATTAAAGACACCGTGGCTCTTGCGACCTATCTCTGTGCAGGGTGGAAGAACTATTCCCTTTTTGAGACCATGGCTTTGCAGGAAGTGGTTCAGGGTCAACTGGGCGATCGCGTAGGACCATACTCGAGTGACAGGTTGTGGCGATGTTGGCGGATGATAAAGGGCAGAGTGGAGCATATGAGCCGGATTCATCTGCTAATGAGTCCAAAGAAGAAACCCTGGACCTTGTGCAGCTACTCGAGCCGCTCAAGAGGAACTCGGTCAATATAACGAGTACTCTGTTGCCCTTCCGGATCGACTGGAAAAATACCGTCAAAATCCGCTCAGCTGGTAGGCTAAGCATTCTAAAAAATACAAGGTTCTGTCGATTCTAGCCCAGCAGTTCCTTTCGATGCAAGTTCCTCGGTTGAGGCGGAAAGGTTTTTCTTAGATGCGGGGAATGTAGTGACCAAGAAAAGGACGTCATTGCATCCCGTTACCATTGAGAAACATATTGTTCCTTCGTCGTTATGTGCCTGTGGATCCAGAAGTCGAGGAACGTATGTGAGATCTTTTTGTACCCTTGCCTTTCTCTTTTTCATACTTCATACTCTTTCCCACACTCTCTTTCCCATATTATACCCTTTTCCGTACATTTTTTCTTACTCTTTTCTCCATACATATCATACCCATAGCATATCTATATGTTTTCCAACTCTCCCTTTGCGGCGAATCTCAGGAGCCTGAAGACAGGCGTTTTATACCAGGACATGGATGTCTTTGGACGAGGACAACCATTCGACACAAGTTTCTCGCCCGCTCCCCAGGAACCTTCGACCTCTCCTGGGATATGGCGGTGTCGCAATCTTCGGGTATTGCACATTAACCTCCAGGATCTTATGTCATCGATGAAGAGGCGGGTACAGAGTCGCATTGTGTTTGGATATATCACCAGGGTGGCTCCATATCTGAAGGATCTGGAGATTTACTTCCTTACTTCATTGTCAACAGGGCACCCGAACATATCTACGCCGCCAAACTTTGCATGCAGCTGGAGGGTGGATTCTGTTTACTTGGCCGACTGAGATACTTGCAGAGACTGAGGGTGTATGCGGCGGGAGGAGGGATTACAGGATTATGTCAGGAAATGGATCTGAACTGGATTGTACCATCTGGACGGAGCGACAAGTTCAAGGAATTACGACAGCAGGAGATTGCGTCTTGGCAGAGTCTACGACTTGTAGAGGATCAGTGTGATCAGGCGCAGCAGCAGCAGGATGATGGTGATGGTTCTGGAGACAAAGACGGTTCATTGGATGCCGAGGTGCGGGATCAGTTTCGGAACCTGGGACTGTTGATGGATGTCGAGGAGGCGATCAACGAGATCGACGGCGGTTCGTTGGTCCCGTTCCCGTCACTGACAGGGTTGTCTTTCGTATACCCCATTTTACAGAGGCCCGAAAAGGCGCTCAACCAGTTGTTCCCAAAGCCCAAGCTTGGGTTCGGCCTTTGGTAACTTTTCGAATAAAAATATCATTTGTTGTCCTATGTTTCGCCTTCTTTTATTTCAACGCCAGTTCTTTTTTGTTCCTTCTTTCTGGCTTCTTTTGTTTTTCTCTTTATTCCCTGGACTGGGGCAAAAACAAAAGGAGGCGGTGCTAATATCTGATATTTGTCGACTCAAATTTTAAATATTACAATTTTGTTGTTGGTCGCCATCTCTAGTTCTTCTTTTCACTTTTCACTTTTCTCCTCTTTTACTTTTCTCTTTCTTCTTTTTACTTCTTTTTACTTCTTCTCCCTTTCTTCTTTCACTTTTCTCATCCCTGTCACCGCATTCTCAACCTTCCCTTTCTTCAGGAAATAAAAATACCAAAAGTAACGACATGAGCTTTTTCACAGGGGCGTTTTCGAGAAAACCGAAAGCAAGAACAACAACAACGGAACCATCAAGAACGACAACAACGGAGCTATCACCAAGAACGATAACAAAGAAACCATCGCCGCTCTCACCATCATCGTCTTCACCATTACTAATACCCTCACTACCAACACAACCACTCTTACAGCCGACACCACAACCATCACTTACTCGGCGCTCCAGCAGGTCAACACTGGAAACCCTTCACCCACCGCCAACAGAACCATCGTCGCCTACTCACACCCAACGACCCAGCCGATCAACAGTCCAAGCCCTAAAGCTCCCCGAACTCCTCTCCCAGATATTCTTCTACCTCGATGACCAGACCCTTATCCAGAATGTGACTCTCGTCTGCCGACAATGGTACTATGTCCTTCAAGGCACTATTCCTCGCAGTGTCGTCTGGGATAGCTGCTCTCGGAGTCAGGCAAGGTTGGACACTGTCCCTTTGCGGCTGGTTGGGGCTGCTCGATTCTTTTGTTACCTTGAGAAGGAGTCAGACCCGAACATTCATGACGCTGTGGCAAAGATCTTTGCGCACTCACAGGAACAGTACCGGAAACAGGCGGAAATGAAGGAGACTAGACGAGCGGTGGGTAGTGCAGCTGCGGACAGGAAAAGGGGGACACCAAAACTTACAACAAAGTCGACTACAGCAACAACTCTGCGCAGATTCAGTCCCCTTCAGGAACTATACTTCACAATCGACAACATTTCCGAACAAGCCATCTACAATACCTTTCCTTACCCCAGCACGTTGACCAAGTTTGTTCTCAAGGTTGATTACTGGAAGTTCAATCTTGTCATTCCTTTCGCCGACATTTTGCGGAGCTGTCCTCATCTGGGACACTTTGAGGCGCATGACACCCCGGACCTGAGTCTTTTGTGGACGCCTGAAGTTGCGGACTATCACCAGCACCAGTATCCTCTTGCACTTCGGACTTTTATCCTCTACAACACCAAGATCCCACAGGCGAGCTTGGAGACACTATTAGCTGCTACACCCAAGCTGAAGGTTTTGAAGGTGATTGGCATGTCTTGGTACAACACGCCCTATGACTGGACTCGACTCCTCGACCACCTTCTGTCGCTTCCGATATCCCTCGACGCCATCCACCTCTCGTCTCTCACAGAACCCATGTCAGATGATATTTCTCACAGGATCCTGGATGCCTGCACCTCGGCTCTGTCGGAATGGAATCTCTTGGCGCACGACATTTCAACACAGCTGCTGAAGGACCTGGAAATATACACTGACCGGTTGACGACCCTGGAGGTATATTCTCAACCTCCTTCATGCCGACGTTCAGTCAGAGATCACTGTTGCCAGTATGACCTCAAGAATGCCCCCGAAGTCCTCCACGTCTTCTTGACCTCGCCCGACAACGAGAACACACTGCTGCACCTCAAGACACTAAAGACTATTGCCCGGCTGGAAGATTTCGATATCCACCATCGAGAAGGATATATCCTGCCGGAGAATCCGCACCGCGGGATCCGTCCCCCGGAAATATGTGCACCCACAGGACCTCCGAAGGTATGGAGATGTCAAGGCCTTCGAACCCTTCATGTCGAGATTCATGCACTTGGAGACTATCATCTGAATAATCCTGCCCATAGCCGTATCATCTTTGGATACATCTCGCGTGTGTTCCCTCTACTGGAGGAACTCCAGGTCCAGATACCTAGAGAATGTATCATGCAGAGGGAGAGTAGGAGCTACTCGCCTAAGCTGTGCTTGCAGCTCGAAGGTGGGCTGTGTTTGCTTAGCCGGTTGAAGTATTTGGAGAGACTGAGGCTGGTTTGGAACAGGACGTCGTCGTCGGGCATCAATTTTGAGGAGAGCGATATGAACTGGATGGTGCCCTCGGGTCGCAAGAGAAAATGTACGGAGAAGCGGAGGGAGAAAGTTAAGGCGTGGCCGTGGCAGTGGCAGCGGATTCAGGAGGACGTATCGGAGACACGTCGGTTACGGAGGGAACAGGGTCAGAGGAAGGGAGAAGAAGAGAGAGCAATTTCTTCAGGCGGTAATGGTGCTGCTGTCTCGCCGAATACCGACGTGTTGCGTCAGCTCAGGGACCTAGGGCTCTTGAGTGATGTCGAGGAGATGATCAAGGAGATTGACGAGTCGAAATCGTTCATCCCTCTACCATCTCTAGAGGGACTTTCTCTTGGCCACCATCACTTTGCGCAGCCCGAGAGTGAGATCAAGCGCTGCTGTCATCTGCACACTAGCGCCGGTGCATGGAAGCAGCTCCTGGGCTTCAATGAACGCATTAAGGATAGTCTGAAAACATGAATAAATATGCATTGCACTGGAGTGTTGATGGCATAGGGTAAATGGACAAAAGACAGAGATCTCAAGGAGGGCTACGGCTATTGCGCAGAATATACGAAGGACAAACAGTGAAAGAAGAAAGGAGAAAGGGGTCAATGGTTTGTGAAAAAGAGTAACGAACACGAGGTCTTCACCGCACTACACACTGGACCCGACATTCTTGCTTCTATCTCCAAGAAGCGCCCATATCGAATTGACTTGATTCCATTCCTTACATTGCGCTCATCTGTAATCATTCGTTCGTCTTCCTTGAAGGGCTCTCTGTCTTCCTCTTCCCTGACTGTTAATAGCCGGGTAAAGTAATGATATGATCTTTTTTACTTGTCGGTGAGCTCAAACCTATTGCCTTCTTTCCCGCGTAGTTTTTTTTTTCTTTTTCCCAGGTTATCTGAACTCTAAATGAATGCACGCCAGGTTCCTTTCGTGCTTCGAGAGGATTTCGGACTAGACGCCACAAAGTCACACGCACACTCGTCATCGATCGACTTTCCTTTCTCCTTTTTCCTTTCCTTTCTTTCCACAACCCTTGCGCCTCCCTTCCTTCTCTACTTTCACTCCCATTTTTCTCCAGCAACAAGCAGTATGAAATTCTTCAGGAACTCATTCACCAAAAAACAACCTATCACTACCAGCAGCGCAAACACCACAACCAGCATTCGTCGCACACCATTCCCCCTCGACATCCCAGAAATCCTCGAACACATATTCTCCTTTCTCAACGAATACACCCTCCGTCACTCCGTCGTCTATGTCTGTCGCCAATGGCACCTTCTAAATCAAGCCCGATTCCTCCGCAGCGTTGTTTGGGACACTTCCTGGAGCAAGGAGAGAATGCACACCTTGTCTGCGAAGCTGGTTGGCGCTGCCCGGTTCTCGTATTGCTTCTTGGCTAAGCCGGCGGAGGGGATTATGGGTCATGAGATGAATGACGCGATTGAGCGTTCGCAGGAGGAGTACCGGCGGTTGGATGCGCAGAGGCGTACCATGCGCGGAAGTGGGAGTATGGTCACAAATGGCCTGGGGCAGACAACAACAATAGCAACAGCACCTTCAGCAACGGCGACAACAGCAACACTGTCATCATCGCCGACGACGACAGCAGTAACAGCAACAACATCAGTACTATACAATTTCGGCCCGCTCAAAGAAGTTAACATCATCCTCGACATGTCCTATTCGCAATACGCAGCTCAAGGGTTCCCGTACCCCAACACGCTGACAAAGATTGTGATGACCATTTTGGTGCCAGATCAAGGATATATCATAGCTGGTCTGGGTGGTCTTTTGTTGAGCAAGTGCCCTTTATTGGAGGTCTATGAGATCCATGGAACGCCGGAGGTGGAGTTGACCTGGACACCGCCCACCACTACTACCATCGATCAAGAACAGGAGCAACAGCAACAGCCTCTTGCGCTTCGGTCACTCGTTTTGGACAACGTCAGGTTCGACCAAGGCAGTCTCGAGAACCTGCTGACGTTCACGCCCAAGCTGAAGTTGCTCAAACTGATCGCCATGCCCTCGGGGGACGATGTCCACGGATATGACTGGCTCCGATTTCTTCGCCACCTCCAGTCCCTTCCAATATCTCTGGATACCATCCATATTTCAACCCACAACCAACGGACACCCCCCGAGGTCCTCCAATCACTGTCAGAGATTTACACTTCGCCCTCATCCTTTTCGGAATGGAATCTCTGGGCACTCGACACTTCACCATCACTACTGAAAGATCTGGAACTACGCACTAGCAACAACAGTCTGACAACCCTGGAACTTTTGTCCAAAGCACAGCGTTCAGGAACATCTTGCCTTTTGTCAGAACTTAAGGGTGCACCATTGTTCCTGCATCAGATCCTCACTACATCCGACAAACTAATGCATCTCAGGACGCTCAAGACGATTGTTCGACTGGAAGATTGGGACATTCATCGCCGAGGAGGGTATTTCCTACTGGATGACCCGAGCATCACCCTGAACAACATCAACAACAAGAGCGGTAATAGCACCAGGATCTATGGAAACGACAACATCGACATGTACGCCGCCACCGCTGCCGCTACTCTGTACACATCTGAACCCACAAGACCAAAGCCAATCGTTTGGCGCTGCCGAGGACTCCAGACCCTGCATGTCGAAGTCCACGCACCAAACAAGTTCATGTCAACAGTGCCAGTCCAGAGCCGGATTATCTTTGGATATATATCTCGCGTGTTTCCTATGCTAGAAGAGCTCAGGGTTCGCACTCCACATTTCTGCCAGAGCACGAAAATAACCCACGACCTCGACTGTCCCAAGATCCGACTGGAACTGGAAGGCGGGTTGTGTTTGCTAGGTCGACTGAAGCACCTTCAGAGACTAGATGTGAGGCCAGGGAATAATGCGTCATGGGTCCTCGACAATGTTAGGGAGGTGGACTTGGACTGGATGATACCATCAGGGCACACTTTCAGGTCGAGGTGGGCAAGACAAAAGGAGGTCAAGCAGTGGCAGCAACGACGTGATGAGGAAAAGAAAATTGAGGTGGCGCAAGTGCCTCAGAAGAAAGCAATTGGAGATGTTTCAGCAGTAACCGAGGTGCTGGGTCAGCTCCGGAATTTAGGGCTATTGAAGGATGTGAAGGAGATGGTCAAGGAGATGGAGTCCATGTCTGTACCACCATTACAGTCGTTGGAGGGACTTTCTCTGAGGCACTCGTACTTTGTGTGGCCTGAGAATGAAATCAAGTATGTTTTGTCCTCTTAGTCCAACAAAATAAATAACTGGAAGGAGCTTTATTATTTGTGCCTTTACTGTTTTGTTCTCTTTTGTTAGTCGCCAGCTTTCTTGCTCGTAAAAGTACTTTTTTATTTCCAACTGCCTGCTCTTTGCACGAACAAATCTCCTTGACCGTTGAGGAACGTTACAGCAGTAGTCGACATTCCCTCCTCTTTCCCCTTGACAATCGATCATCTTTCATCTTCTTTACTGCTCAACAACAAAAAGGAAGGATTTTTCTGCACGATCCACACCCAATGAAAATGTGTCGTCGCCCATTTATCTTCGAAGAAGTCCTTCTCTATTTTCCCATACACACACACACACATCATACACACACATGCAGGTGTCACTCCATCCCCCTTCGTTATACCAGAGATTCCTGAACACATTTCCTCATACCTCTCCGATCCAATTATTTGCCACTCCGTCAGCCTTATCTTCCAGCGATGGTTCCACCTCATCCATGGTCGCTTTCCTCATACTGCCATTGTCGCGAATTTGGAACGGGGCAGGCAGGCAGATGGGGCTTGACCTTTCGGTTACTACAAGGCGAACACAAAGGCAAAGACAGGACAAAGGCAGGACAAAGGGCAAGACAAGGGCAAAACGAGGTGTTTAGGGGTGTGTATTCGAGGCCCCTTTTTCCTCAACATCAGCAAAAAAAAAATTGCTCAGAGCCCACGCCCCTCGCCGGAAAAGCAGATTTCGACTATCTATTCTCATCTTCGAGTTCACAAGCCGTTCTCTTGGCATTAAAGCGCTGGATTAGGTACACAACTTAACCTTGATAAACTCAGTTATGTTATAAAAATGCAGAGCAGAACCAACTTCTTTTTTATATATATGTAATCGAACTCTTAAAATCTACGACTCGGCTTCTCTTTTACTCATCGGTTCAAGCTGTTGATGATAACCTTTTCCCTGCTCACAATTCGGGTATAGAGAGAATTGTGTGGGGTTATTCCGTGTTGACAATTGAGACGGCGCAACTTAGTGATTGAGCAAAATGTCCCGTTGATGGACGATGAGTGAAAGAGGAAGGGGTGTTGAGAGGATAGGATGAAAAAGAGAACATTCTGAAAAAGATGTAAAATATTAAAATATGGTGGGTAATGGCAAAGCAAAGTGATGGCGAAGCAAAGTGATGGCAAAGCAAATCAATGTTTCTGCCTCGCCATTTCTCATCTTGTTGGCGTTGTATGCTGTGCTTGATGTTGATCGGTCAATAAAATCGATCATGGTTGCACAAAGAAAATTTCGATGGGCTGAGGTACGGTGAGACAACACATCAATGATGGTTTTTTTCATTCGATGGTGCTTCTTACTTTTGCGTAAATGAAGAGCCCGTACAGATTTTTCAATCAACTATCCACAGCTATGTCGGCTCTCTCCCTGTTAAGGAAGTTGACTTGGACTGGGTGAAGCCGTCAGGGCAAACCTTCGAGTCGAGATGGTTGAGATGGAAGGAAGTCAAGAAGTGACAGCAAAACGGGTCAGAGAGAGAAAAATAGTAGCGGACAGAATACGATGTGAGGGGTTTGCCACTGCGAGGACTGTCGTCGGTTCGGGGGATGCCAAGGTCTGGAGACAGTCTCAAAACCTGGGAATCATTAAGGATGTGAATGAGATTGTCAAGGAGGTTGGACCTGGATCATGGCAGCTGTTACCATCGCTGGAGGGACTCTCTCTTAGACACCCATACTTTGCGCGACCTGCGAAGGGAGTTGGCGGGTGGAGGACAATGTTGGTCCCCACGTTAGCCATACACTTTTTTTTTCACTTGTCTACTCCTTCGCTAAATAGCTTTGTCTCCCTTGATGTCGCACTTACTGCAAGAGCAAGCGGCCTTGACCCCGGAAACCGACTGGTGGGTAAGACAGAGTGCGTTCAATTGAGACAAGGTGAACGGCGTTTGATCCCTTTGGTCGTGAACTTCCAAGATAATCGCGCATACATCACTTACCTTTATGATGGCTCCGTGCTGTCACCCATAAAGACAGACAGGTATAAGTACCCCCTCTCTTCTTTTTGCTATCTTTCTTTCTTGCTTTCGCATTTTCATTCTTCTGTCCTTCCTTTTCCTTCTTTATTTCCTTCCTCTTTTACTGCTCTCTTTCCTCCTTCCTTTTTTTCTTTATTTTTCCTCCTTATTTATTCAAGTCTTCGCTCAACGAACGAACCAACGATTCCTTGGAAATAAGCGTTTGATTTCGTCCGCAGGCCGCTGAGGGAGCACACCGTCAAACGAAAACCCCTCCAACGTAGGGAGGGACCGGAACCCAGGATCCTCCATCGACTCGATCACTTTCTTGACCTTAGATAACAAGCCCAAGATCTGCAACGACTCTTTCAGTTCTTCGTACTGATTGCCTTTCTGCATCTACTGCCCTGGCGCCAGCTCTGACAGCGAAACTTGGTACTTCTCCTCTAGCCGTCACTACGAAAGGCGGGGGTTTTGAAGTTCAGATGCTCGAGTCTAAGGTAAACGGTCGAGATGTACCCAAAAAGAATCCTGCTCTGAACTGCGGGGAGCACCAACATATTCCCATTGTCGCCCTGTCTGTGAGAATCAAATGTGGGTATGGGTGTGGAGTCGATCTCCAGTGTACGCAAGTTCCTTCACGTCCCAGAACTTCTTTTTCTTCAGCGATCCACCAATGGCAGCACTGCCAAGTGTACAAGTCGTCAACGTGTTGTTGGTCTCACTGCCCCCTGGACAACCCCCCCCCCCTCAGGACTGTAATGGTGTTGTTGAGAGGCATCGTTGTCCGTGGCGCTGTTTTGTCGTTGATTAGTCCCTGGTCGGTGTTGGTTGATGAGAGGTCGATGATGGTAGTTTAGTGAGAAGGAGATCAAAAGAAAAAAAGAAAGGAAAAAGAGTGAGAAGTGTCAAAGACGAAAAACGGACACCTACTTTTCCATACTTCATGCTGCTAATTGATACGGTGCTTGCTCCCTTTTTTACCTTTTCCAATTCATTCCAAAAAAGTACAAAGCAACAGACATAAAAAAAGGGGAATCTTTAATTAACGCACAAGGCGAACATCAGGGCGACTATTGTCAACGAGCCAAGTAGCCACAGACAAAAAGTCTGCATCCTGCAACGGACCCATACTAAAAGTCTTGAGTTTAGGCACCAATGGCAACAACAACTCCACCTCTTCCTCCGTCCACTTCAAGAACCGGACATCAATCATAGTCAACTCCTGCAGACAAGTCACCCCAGCCAGCTGTTTGAATCCTGCTTCAACATTCCTCTGCAGCCCCACACACCGAAGCGAAAGCGACTTCAGCTTGGTCAGCTTGCCAATCTGCCCATAGATCGACTGCCAGGTGTAGTTCCGCCCATCCGCGGTTTTGGAATAAATGCCCTTGGGAAAACTGAGGCTCAGGGTTTCAAGGTCCCTGCAAACCCATCCATCCCTCTCGGCCCTGACCCTCGACTGCTCGAACAGAATATCGGGATCGACATCGTAGTTGGTCACCACAAAGGTCCTCAACCTTGGACGGGTCATCATAAGTCGCCGGAAGGTAGTCAGGCGGGTGTGCACAACCAAAGGGCGAATAAAGTTAATCGTCAAGTGCTCCAGACGTGGTAGAACCATCAGCCCATCGTCACCAACTTCACCACCATCCGCAGTGTCCCCTTGACCGATGACTTGTTGTTGCTGTCGTTGTATCCACTGCTCAGGAATTAGGGGCTGTTGACGTGCTGATGCGAATATGGTGGGTGGCGAGTTCAAAAAATCGAGATCGCTAAAAGCAGAAACGTCCAAAACCAATTCGCGCGCCTGCCTCAGTGACGAGAGGACCAAGACAACGTCCTCCTGCTGACCTGGCGACGATTCAATCGGGAGACGTATAGAGTCGAGATGCGAGAACCGTAGGATGGGGAGGAACGAGTCTGATGCGTCGATATGGTTGCTGATCATGTGCTCTCGTCGGATAACAAGATCTCGTAACGTCTTGTCAGAGCAATGTCGAAGTACCGGCAAGTTCCCACGAGCAATACCCAGTTTCTTGAGCTTCCACAGGTCTTGAGCGGCAGTGGTGGGTGATAAAGATGCCCCGGTATCGTTCAATTCCTCTGGCCGCGTCTTTTCCCACGCCCTCGAAGAAACTACTAGCTCGTCCAGTCGAGAAAAGAGGAGGAAGAGCTCTTCGATCGGAAAAGTGGAAAAAGTACGCACGTCGTACGAAAGTCGTCTCAATCGCTTCAATTTCTGGAGGGCGTAGCCGAAAGCAAGGTCTGGCGTTAAAACCCAGACCTGGAGCGAGAGCGTGGCCAAGTTCGGCATCGCATCAAGTATCCGGGCCAGGGTAGCGGTGGTCAATGGGTTGGGGCGATTTCCCGAAGAGGAGAAACGATCGCCGCTTTCACTGGCGTTGCAGACCCACTCCAGCTGTCGGACTTGGAAAAGTGTCGGAGGGAGTTGTCCGGTAAAAGGGTCTTGCTCTGACTGCGGTTGTCGTTGACCGCGGGGTTGTTGGATGGGGAAGGCAGGGTGCTGCCATTGGGTCTGGGTGATGGAATGCCAGACGACAGGAATGAGGGCATTGTGCCAGTGATGACAGACGCGTAGAGAGGTGACGAGCGAGTGTCCGTCGAGGAGGTGTCCAATGGCGACTATGAGTTCTGTTGGGAGTTGTCCTGCCGATGCTGCTGACCCTCGCTGTTGTGGGGTGTCCATGTCCTTGTCCTTAATGGTAACAACGAAGAGTAATGTGTGAAAGAAATGAAGAAAAGAGAAGAAAAGGAAGAAAGAAAAAAATAAAGGCAAGCGAGAACAACCAAGGAGTTAAAAAGATAATTATTTTGATGTCGCTTTTGTGCAACTGTGTCGGTTTGGGTGCATGGGTTAGCATTGGACTGGCCTCGGTAAAGATTTTTAAAAAAATTGGACGAAAACAGAGAAAGGGATAACCTGATGAGGGGTTCTCTTTTCAGGGGATTGCTATCGCCTTTTGCTGTATACTGGTGGGGGGTTGGGGGGCATCCGAAGAATGAAGAATGTCAGGTATTGAAGAAAGTTTGCCTCAGTGAGAACCAATCGTCAGTAATGATCACTGGTGGTATTCAACAGACGGTCACTACTAAATGCAAACGCGCTAGAAAAGACGCGTCGAAATAATTGAGATGTGTTTTTCGCGTAACGTAATAATTATCTACCAATCATTCCCCCTCTTCTCCTCACATCAAACGCTGGCGAAACGCAGAACATAGACAAAGAGAAAATGTGAGCCAAAGGGAAAAGAAAAAGGAGGGGGTAATTCCTTTGCTTTTATTTGCAAATGATAATAAAAAGGCCTCTTCGTCCAATCCTTCACGTTGTGAACATAGGTAAAGTCAGCAAACAAGCTGTCATGAACAACATCCAGACGCAACTGCCTAAAGTACTTTCTCAATGCTGTCTTCTCCGCCTTCTGATGCTCAATCTTGAATTAGCCGAGCCCTGTCAAGACCATACATCAACTTTAGCTTGGGCCAACTCTTGGCCATCCATTCCAGCCTTGCCGACTCGATGATTGATGCACTCGAACCCAAACATCTCAAGATCCTTCAACGCAGCTGAACGACCCAGCCCAGATTCCAGTGTCAACTCCAAAGTGTCGAACATGGGTTGGTCGATATATTTCAGGTACAAGTTGTCGTCTTCTCCTCTGTACCTTTTCCCTATGTCGGCCCACGGCGGATACCGGTTCTCGTATCCCAGATCCAGGTGCTTGAGACGCTTCAGACTGGCCAGTCGATCGTACATTCCATGATGTTGTGCCCGACACCGGTAGAACTTTTCGACCGCCCTCGTCTCGTCCTCTGTCAACTCAGTTGAGTATCCTGGCACTCTGAGCCCAGCTACCACAACCTCCTCCTCCTCCTCCGTCAATCGATCGACACCGACAATACTGCATACCAACCACTCCAGCCCCATACAAGCCCATGGCTGTCGCAACATCTGATCGATTTTCACAAAGTTCATGACACTGTCGAATTCCTTGAGGTGGCGATTGGCGACCAATAATTGATGGGTGTGGTCGAAATTTTCTCGTGGGTGCCACATCTCGTCAATGAACTCTGGATTCAGGATTGTCCTGAATGACTCTAGGTTTGGGTAGTGTTGCCCAAAGTTTCCCTGCATCCAGTTCTCCAGTATATCGCCACTCTCAAATTCAACCATGGCCGGGATGTGCTCCAGTAGTTCGTCCCAATTCAGATTACGATCACAGTCAAGCCTCCTGAGAGACAGCTCTCCTAGCGGACCTGGTAGGAGAAGGCAGTACCGAGAGTCGGATGGGTTTATGGGTTCGTGTGGACCTCATCCACAGCTAATCGCGCCAGGTTTGGGAACACGCCAAACATCGTGAGCAGTCCGTTGACCGTCGTCTTCCCTTTGGCTTCCAGGACTCGTATATTCTTTCTAGGCTCCGGAAGCGGGGTCGGTAGAGGGAAGAGCCGAGAATCGATCGATAGAGATTCAATTCCTGACGGAAGAAGGTCTAGAAGCGTCCAGAACTCCACGTTGTCGAAAACATTGCGCTTTCCCTTGAACTCCTTGAGGTTCTTGAACAGTCGAGCTGTTGCATAACAAAAGTCGGCCGAAACGCCCAAGAAATTTTCGGATGGCATGGATGAGTCGATTCGAAATCCGAATGAGTCCTGGGTTGGTCCGGAAGAGATGCCACAAGTGCTGCGTGTTGACCCATTCGGTTTCCTCGACGGCCTTCTTGGACTTGGTGGTATCCGTTGTTGGTGGCTCCTGTAGAAGGTCCAACTCAGTCAGATGATCCAGAAACAGGGGTTCCGATAATCGTGTGTCCAGCACAGATCGACTCTCTGCAAGCACCTTCAACTCGACAACCAAGGATTCTAATCCAGTACATGTGTCTCCCTCGACTAGCAGCCTCGAGGACCAAGACTCAATGAATCTTGAGTTCGAGGATGTGGTGTCCATACTTTGCAAACGCTGCAAAAAGCGAGTCGCCGCTCTCGTCTTTGTCCTTGTCCTTGTCTTGGGGTGACAATGTTCTGTGTGTTGCTTCCCACGGAGGTTTCGATTTGGGCGGGATATATTTCTTGAGATCGACCCAGCAGTGCGTAGAGTCGTCAATCGACCGCCAGAGGACCGGGATGAAGACTTGATGCCAGGTGCGATTGACTTGGACACATGAGAGCAAGTCAGGCGGGTAGAGGTAGGTCACCAAGTGAATGAGTAACTCGCTAAAGTCGACAAAGCGTGCCTGCATGGACGATGACCGACCGGATGTGCAATGGAAGGGATGGAAGAGTGGTGAAGGATTGTGAATGCGGGTTGGTTGGAGCGGCGTTATGAAGTGGACAGCGAAGAAAGAGGGAAGGAGGGGAAGAAGGGAGGAACGAAGCGAAGCAATGAAAGAGAGGGAAGTGAAAATAACAAGCGAAGACTGGTCTTCTGTTCAAACCAAGTTATTTCTTGCTTCTCCGCATCAATGCTCGTCTTCAAGGTTTGTGCAAGAGTAAACGTGATCCATCACCCTCCAATTTTATCACTCTTTCCACCTTCCTCCGAAAAAAAGACATGACGGTGGTTGGGGACCATAGCACGTTTTGGTGTAACAACTTGGGAGGGTGGTAAAAATATGAGAGCGATGGAAGGAGGATGACATATTGACATATATCCATGCCCTTGACATTTGCTGGCTGACAAACGGACATGCCAGATCAACTTCAATCGCAAAGAATAATGAGAGCGGTCTTTTTTTTTATTCGCATCAGCGATCGAAACGGAGGCATATAGACATTGATATGTACAAGGATTACTACGTTTCCTTCAGGAGAGAAGAAGCACAGCAACTTTACTTCTTGGCAGCCTTGAGGCCCTCCTCGACACGACGACCCCACTCGGGATCAGCCTTGGTGAAGTGCCCAATCTGGCGCTTGACAATTTCCGGGTTCTTGACCTTGATCATATGGCCCACAAGGTTGGAAACAAGATCGTCTTGCTCCTTGCCCTTCAACAGACGGTACAGATCACCAGGCTGCTTGTAGTCATCATCCGACTTGCGGTGGGGGTACCGACCCGTTTGTCCGTTCAACGTCACAGACGAGTACTTGGCACGGACGTCGTGCAATTGCTGAGCGGGGCCCTTGGGGTCCTTAGACTGGGGCTCATAGTTGGGGTAGTTGTTGAAATTCTGGGAGTAGGTCGCGGGGCCATCACGCTGGTGGTGGTTGACATTGGTACGGTAGGGTTGGTTGATGGGCAACTGGAGGTAATTGGCCCCAAGGCGGTGGCGGTGGGTGTCGGGGTAGGAGAAGAGACGACCCTGGAGCATCTTGTCGTTCGTAACATCGATTCCGGGGACCATGTGCGAGGGCGAGAAGGCGACCTGCTCGACTTCGGCAAAGTAGTTCTGGGGGTTGCGGTCCAGTGTCAACTTGCCGATCTTTTGCAGAGGGTAGTCTGAATGTGGCCAAACTTTCGTGACATCTATTTGGAGGGAAAAAAGGGGTGTGAAGTAATAGGAATTGAAGGAAGCAAATTAACATTAAGCATTCAGCTTTCAAACTCAGAAAATGACAGGATAGTGAACATAGACGTCGTAACACAGACAATGGTAATGATGATGATAGAAAAGATGATGATAAAAAGAGAACAGAAAAGAGCAGCGATAGAGCAGAGAAAATAACGATGAAAAGAAGAACAGGTAAAGAGACACATACCGAAGACGTTCCACTTGTAGTTAGCGGCATCGGCCTCCTTCATGACCTGGAGGTGAACAGTCCACGAAGGGAAATCTCCCTTATCGATCGCATTGAACAGATCCTCAGTCGAGCTATCGGGGTTGGTCTTGTCCAACTCGGCAGCCTCCTCCGCGCTCCAGTTCTTGATCCCTTGGTCGGTCTTGAAGTGCCACTTGACCAGGTGGGCCTCGCCTTGAGCATTGACCAGCTTCAAGGTGTGGGACGAGAATCCGTCCATGTGGCGGTAACCTGCAGGGGTACCACGGTTGGAGAACAAGATCGTGACCTGGTGGAGGGACTCGTGGGAGAGCGAGAGGAAATCCCAGTAAGCGTCGGGGTCCTTCAGGTTCGTCTGGGGGTTGCGCTTCTGGGTGTGGATAAAGTCGGGGAATTTGAGCGGGTCACGACTGATTCGAATAGTTGGAAGTGTTGGAAGAATAGTCAAGAAAGGGGAAGACGACGTTAGTTGTTGTCTGGGTGAGGACGCTTAGTAGTGCTAGCAACCTTCCCCCATGGCATCATCTTATATTTCCCCATCCTTCCCTCAATGGCACCTTAATGGGCAAATAACGAAGACAATGGAGAAGAGAACTTACATGAAGAAGACAGGGGTGTTGTTGCCGACCATGTCCCAGTTACCCTCCTCGGTGTAGAACTTGAGGGCGAATCCACGGGGGTCACGGAAAGAGTCGCTAGTACCCCTCTCGCCTCCGACGGTCGAGAAGCGAGCAAAGACGGGGGTCTTGATGCCAGGCTTGGCCAGAAATTTGGCCGAAGTCAACTTTGACAAATCCGCCGTGACCTCTGCGCACGGCGAAGAAATGGTGGAGAAAAACGTTTTGCGAATGAGGAAAGAGAAAGAGCAAAAGGCGAACGCGCGTAATAGATATGATAGGGGGGATGACGCCGGAAACTCCCACGGTGAACAAATATGTCCCTTAACAACAATGAAAGCATTATGCCAGCAAACATCCTCTCCCTCTTTGACACCGAATGTATAAGGACAACTTACCAAAATGCCCATGGGCTCCAGCTCCCTTGGCGTGGACGACACGCTCGGGAATGCGCTCACGGTCAAAATGGGACAGCTTATCGATGAGGTGGAAGTCCTGGAGCAGAATAGGACCAAACTCGCCGGCGGTCAAGGAGTTCTGGTTATCATCCACAGGGTTACCTTTGATATGAAGGAGTGAACGTGTATGTGTGGGAAAGTAAGCGAGTGTTCATATGGTTTAATGGGCTGCGCAGACATGGCTGGAGACCACAGCTTCGGAAATAAATTTCCGAATTCGTTTGTCGCTCACTCTCCACAATAGCGCGGATGCATGGATCCGAATGAGCTTACCGTTGGCGGTGGTGAGGATGTTGTGGTTGGGGGTGGCCAGGATGGTGGGAGCTTGTGTGTGGTGAACCATGTTGTTCAAGATGAGTATGTGTTTTGGATAGGGAAGTGCGCGTGTGTTATGGATAAAGAAAGAAAGAGAAAAAAAATCCGAACTCTCCCCATCGATTTATATCCCTTACATCGTTACCAGTCACGAAAACTGAAGATACCTTACCTTTGTGTTGTATCTATTCTGTTCTTAGACACTCATGAAAAATGTACATGTACAGTAAGTACAGCAAAGAATTGGTCGAGAGATAATGCACAGTAGATTGAAGACGGTTATGTATATCCCGACAACGCGGCGAGCTTCACGAACAGAAGAAGAGATTTCCTTCCAGAAGACCTCGTTGGAGACAGCGACAGCAAATGACGGAACTGTTGCGTTCTGAGGCGCAACCAGCAAGGATTCCACGAGTTGTCTCCCCATCGATTTATATAGGGACACGGACCCCCTCTGTCCGGGATTGGTGTCTTTTGTCCGAACAAAATGCTCTATTGTGCATCTATTCACACAATGCAAAACGGCTGGGTCCTCTGTCAGCCTTGTCTGTCTTTCCCCACACCATTGGGCAGGGCAGGGCGCGCGCTCGCACCCCATCTTTCCTTGCATCATTCATACCATGTCGTAACCTCAGCGTCTTTCTTACCTGCTTCCTTATCTTCTTACTGTCTCCTTCTTTATTTCCCTTCTTGTTCTGCTTTCGTGTGAACACCAGACCCATTCATGCTTGATTATTCTTGCGAGAACGTAATCGTGGGAGTTCCTTTCCACGATTTCATTAGAAGTAAGGGGGCAAAAATGATATGTGAGAAAGAGAGAAGTGGCCAGGGAGTAGAAAATGACACCATTCTCCCTCAATCCATGCGTGTGTTCTCGGAGGAGCGTCTTTGGTGTTGGAGTGGTGAAGGATACTTCGGACATGTTCTGTTTTTCTGCTCTTCAGGACTTGGAAGAGAACGACCTCAATTCCCGTCTCCCTATTGGCGCAGAGTAGAGAAACTTAGCCCATCCACCTCATCCAAGTCATCGGCGCCATTCTGATACTCTTCTTCCCTTCTCTCTTTCTTCGTCGTCCTTCAAGTAGCGAGTGGGTGGGAAAAAAAATGGGCAAAGAGAAAGGGCAGTGGAATGACCGGTGATACTTGTTTGTGTGTGGTCATGCCTCTCGTCCTCCTCTCGTCATATCTTGTGTTTTTGTTTACGACGACGCGAACCAAGCGTACACAAAAATATTGGACGCATCAAAGGACAACAAGTCTACCCCATCACCACCTCAGGTCAACCGAGGGAATATCGTTCACGCAACATGTACAATCGGCTTTTGTTTACATCCAACAAAAAAAATCGACGCCATCCTCCTTCAGAATGATTATCTACTTTATCCCTCCAGACATACACGCAGACAGACTGACAGGAGGGGCGCACAAGTACCCTCAAAGTTCAGGCTCAAACACATATCAAAACGGCACTCCCCCCCCCGAGTCCAAATTCATTTGACACACTTCCTCCTCGCTGCGCGTTCAAGAGACATTCTCGTGCACAGGATTGGTGGCGGATAAGTAAAAAAAAAAAAAAGAGAGTCATAGAACAACGCATCACGGACGCCCATGTGGATATAAATGCGATATCGCGCCTTTGAGCCGATTCGCCCTCACGCAATTTTTTCTTGAATCTTATCTTCCTCCCTTTTCCCAGAAAGAACGCACGCAAGTCTCAGACTACTCTGATGTCAACAACAAATGCAGGTGCCTCTTCAATTGTCACACCCCACAGCCAACAATAACCCATCATGTCCAATATATCCAAGCATCCTTCTTCGAAAACAAGAGCTTCAAAATAACTCGTCCTGGCAGTCGCCCAGCGTCATTACTATTCACCATCCACCATCCATCACCACCTGGTAGCTCTTTCGCGTCCCTATTTGACACATTCAGAAAACAATAAAACAATAGAAAGAAAAGAAATAAGGGAGGGGTTATAACTGCCTGCTACTACGTTCCACAAGGCGGAGTCGGTGGACTCATAGCTCATATTTTTATCTTTAGGCAGCTGCAGACTGCAAAGCAGATCCACACAGCTCCTCAAAAGAAACCTCTGCAACTTTGGGTGATTTGGTCACACTTGTTAGCAACAGCTTGCATTTCAATACCCAAAATCTCCATATTGGTCTGGAATTAACGCATTAGCACTTTCCGCCGCAAGCCAGGTGTCGTGGACATCTGCTTCCATGTGAATAACGTTGTCGCTGTCGTTGTTGGAGAGCCAACACTTTGAATATATCACGTACATGTACCCTTTGACCTGTCCATGCTGGCAACTGGAGATATTCCAGTCGTGCCTCGTTCTATTTTTCATGATCCACTCAACTCAACTACACTCAGGTCATGCACAGCGCAGCAGTCGTGACAGTTTGTCAAATGCGAAAATGCAGAATGCAAATTTATTTCCTTGATAGTGACAATGGCATTATGGTAAATGGTAAATGGTAAATGGTAAATATGAATATGCATTAGATAAGAATGAAAATAAAGAAAGAAGTCCAGCAACCCAGATGAAGCAGAGCAAGAGAAACTGTGTGCTTAGAGCAGCTCGCGATCGAGGACCATGCTGCTTCGTCGTCGAGCAATCTTGCCACTACGGATCACAAACTCCGACTCGCGCGTGAAATCATTGTCCGCTCCAGTCGCAAACGCACCACTACCACGCAGACTGCTGTTGCTGCTGCCACTCCTACTGAATCCTCCTCCTTCAACCCCTTCGGATTTCTTCTGCTGCTGGGCACGAAGGGCTTCCTCCTCTTCCTCCTCAGAGTCCTCGTCCGACGATTGAAGGATATGGTTATCCTCGTCCGAATCAATCAATGAGCCATGCGTCGACAACTATTTCGGTAGAGGAGAAAAAATAAGTGTTAGTAAAGAGGTATGGCAATCAAAACGACACCAATGACATGCCCAAAGGTACCAAAAAATAGAAAACTTACGGCGTTGTAGGGGTCATAGTACTCTTCACCCGCTTCGGCGCTCCAGTGACGAGGCTTCTTACCCAACAGTTCCTTCCAGTTCCACTCGATCCTGTAATTGGAAAAGTCGCCCATGCCGCTCTGCTGCTGCTCCGACTGCGACTGTGGCTGCTGCAGGCCCTTGATTGTTCCTTGCTTCAGATCAAGCGCCCGCTTGGATGACAACTTGGGAGTGCCAGGTCCAAAGCGCGATGGCGTCGATGGTCCAGGAGTGGTTGGGCGACTGCCTGCTCTGCTCGAGAAACCAGATGCTGATGCAGAGTACGCAGAGTACCGCTGAGATGAACCCGCCAAAGGGGTCGACGGCATGTACGGTGATCCCAAAGGAAGCGTACCTCGCGTATGCCTCATTCCAAAGTACTCGAGCTCATCCAGATCCTCTTGGTACACATTGTCGTCCTCGTTACCTGAAGCGTCCGATCGAGCCGTGGAGGTCTTGATACTCTTCTCCCTGGCAGCACTGCGGAATGCCGAGCTAAACGCGTGAGGGTCGTTGGCATACAAGGCACCACCACCGCCAATGCTCTTGGCACTCGAGGTGCTGTCGGCTCTCCGTCTGTTGGCATATCGGTCCGTGGCCTGAGGGTATCTGTCCAGAACCTGCATCGCCTCAGCTGCAGCCGCAGCGGACGCATTTTTCTCTCGCAAATCGTTGATCCTCTGTCGCTCGTCGTATTCCAACGCCCATTCTTCCTCAGCTCGACGTTCCTTGGTCGGGCTACCCGTGTCGATTTGAAGCGCCAGGCTGGCCAACCTCCTCGGCTCCTCAACAACCTCCGTCCTGATTGTCGATCCCGATGATCCCGAATGCGAAGAAGATAATGCCAAGCCAGACACCACCGAATGGCTGGAGCCTTCAACAGCAGATCTGGTCGACGTAGTGGTTGCAGTCGTCCTGGTCGAATCGCTGGTCGTAGCAGCCGCTGTGGTGACTTGCTGACCAGCCTGGTACACAGTGACAGGAGCAAAGATATTGCTGACAACGTGAGTGACTTGGGTCGACTTTTCTCCCTCGTCATGAATCGACTTGCGTCCCTCGGCAAGCGTCTTGGTCTCACTTGTGAGGCCCGAAGTGATACCCCGCTGGGTACTGGCCTTGTTGGCCGTAGCAGTAGTAGCAGTAGTGGTGCGGGCGGTAGTAGTGCCAGCCAAACGACTTGCCCCTTGAGAGTGGCTAACAGACTCGGTACGACGTCCTTGGCCAACAAAGTAACTACCAGAGCGAGGACCTGCAGGAATCTCAAACATCCTTTCTCCTCCGGTCGTATTACTCGTGGTTGTCGAGCTGACCTCCGCCCTATTAACAAACTTCCTACGCGTGATGGTCGTGTTGACGGTGGTCCTGACGAACCGGTGGGTGCCAGGCGCGGTGATCTTGGTTGCGGTCGAAGAGATGACACCTTGTAAGGCTGTGGTTTTCTTGGTTGACGAGGCGCCTTCTGTGGTCGTCGATGTCGAGGAGGTAGTCGTCTTTGTGCCATTAGATGCACTGGTGTCCGTGTCAGTGGACGAGGTGGTTACCTCCATCTTGGTGATAGCAGCACCAGAGCCAGCACTGTGAGCAGCACGACCAGAGACCTCGGTCACCTTGTCAGACTCCTCACTGCCCTGAAAGGCTCCGGATCGAGCAGCCAAGGCGATACCAGCGGCTGCGGCACCTCCTGCAGCAACAGTAACACGGCCTGCTCTGGCCACGGTCTCCTCACGGGTAGGAGCACTGGTTGACGATCCCCATCCTAAAGTCATCGAGCTACCAGATTTGCGGTCCTGCCGGAGGGGAAGAGCAAACTCGATATCCTCATCCTCAATACGCAGCTTCTTCCTGGTAACTCCAATGTTGGGCGGATCCCAGGCGTTCCTAAAGACATAGGTCGAGCTCTCTTCCTGCTTCCTCAGACGCTCTTGGTCTTGTATCCTGGCAATCTTGGCAAGCCGCAAATTTTCGAGACGAAGCTCCTCTTCTATGGTTCTGGCCTCCTCTTGCTCCTTCTGCCAACGCTCCTCCTCATCAAGTCGCTGCTGGATCAGCTCGGCCTCAAACTGTTCTTGACGCTGCCTTGTCTCGTATGCCAGCATATCCTCGAGGCCGTACCCCTTACGGAATCCACCGGCACTGGTCTTGCGACTCCTAGGCCGCCTCTTCTCCGTCTTCTGCAAGATCGACATTTGGACTCCGACATCAACGTCCCAGGCATTGACTAGCCTAAAGCTCTCGAACGCCTGACTTCCTGTCACCTTCTCTTGGGCCTCCTCCTTGAGACGCTCGCGCTCGTACCGGGCATGCTCCTGCAGACGAATCTGCCTCAACGCCTCCTCCTCGATCTCCAAGCGCCTCGTCACCTCCAGATCATGTTCGCGCTTCCGCTCCTCGGCACTGGCGGCATAGTTGTAGTACTTCCTAGTGGGCGTACGAGGAGTTGCGGCGACAGATCCACTGGCCTCCCATGGAAAGATGGGTCGACCCTTACCAGAAGGGACCGACGTGTTGTTGTCGTTCGTGGTGTTCTCGATCGGAAGGGGCGTGTGCTCAAGAGCGGGGTGTGCCTTTCTAGGATCCTCAGGTAAATCCCAGGCGTTGGGGTAGTACATGTCGGGGAGACCGACAGGTTCGGGTATAATGTCACTAAACTTGGCCGCACCGTTGGCCACATCAGGGGAGTCAACGGCGGGAGGCAGCCTATACCGATAGTCCGTCAAATGGTGAGGATTGACCTCCCGGTCGACGCTGGTGGTACCCTTGTGGTGGGTTTGTCGCTCATCTACGCCAGAGGCCATGTCATTTGGTCGCCAGCTGTGCGACTCGGGCTCGGGAAGCGAAGGTATCACTGGGGGCAGAGGAGGCGGTTGGTAGTGATAGTCGGTTAAATGATGAGGGTTGTAAGCATAGTGGGTTTCATGATGTGTCGGAGGCTGAGGAACTGCGGGCTCCTGGTGATGGTGTAGCTCGTGATGTTCATGATGTTCGTGGTGCCCATTCTGCTCATGGTGATGATGATGGTGCTGGTGGTGATCGTGGTGTTCGTGGTGCTGGCGGTGTTCATGTTTATGCTCATTTTCTTCGTGGTGGTGCTGCTCCTGGTGCTCATGGTGGCCATTTTGATGGTGCTCGTGGTGGCCATTTTGGTGGTGATCATGGTACCCATGATGTTCATGATGGTGGTGGTGGTGGTGCTCCTGTTGGTGATGATGATGCTCATGATTTTGGTGGTGTTCATGGTGCTGGTGATGCTGCTCGTGGAACCTATCGTTCAGATAAGGTGGGATTGGGGGTTGCCACTGATCGGAATGTCCTTCCTGTGGGGGTTGTTGGGCCTGGTTCTGGTGTTCATATGCCTGGAACCACCCATCGTAATGAGGCCCCTTCCCAGAGTCCGGTTCGTGGGGCTGGCCGTCAAGACCGACATGGTCCCATTGGCTGATGGGTGGCAGGTCGTAGCCATGTACCACATCATGGATATCCGAGGGCTAAAACCACGTTTGAGGTAAACATCACAAAAAAAATGTACAATGGTCAGTCTCACTATTCCTTTGCCTTGCTTGTCTCGTTTGCTGACGTTGGGATCTTTGTCCTGATTCCCCCGAAAGACAAAGAGGTTTCACTTCTTACACCCTCTCCGTCCACAACCAAGCCCAGACGCTCTCTCTTTGTCCATGAGGAATGTTTAAGTGCCTCTCGTGTTGCCAGATACGGCCCTCCCCTCCCTTTTTGTTCTCCTACGACAACCCTAACCTTCCTGGTGTAACTAATCTTGATAGCGGTCTATCGACTCGACTATCTTTCATCCCATTCACACGCCCTCCAGCAGCAATTTTTGTTGTCTCATTATTCCCTCCAAAAGATAAAGGAAATTTAAGAGAGCTCAGGGCGAGCTCAGGCCATCCTAAGCCAATGCCCAGACATGCCTCCAGAGTGAGCCCAAACACAAAGAGTCGGGATTATCGTCACTAATAGAAAGCAAAGGCTCTCATAGATAAAGAATGTCCTCCTCCCAGGTGGGTATGGTGTCATGCCCGCCCTTGGTACACAATCATCCGCTTCTCTTCCCTCTCCATCCTCTTCCTTTCTCACCTCCCCATCATCGCTTGCATATTTTTGTGTGAGAAGTAAAGAAAAGTAAACATACCTTGCCGCCGACAAAGTTGTCAAAGACATTCCACCATTGCTGGACCAAATCGACAGAGTCCTTGGAGGAGGTGTTGCGAGGGAATACCGCTCCGTCTGCGAAACGGAGCCATTGCCAGGGCTTGAAGTTGCCGATAAAATGGACGACCGCTAGCCTGTCCCTGTACTGTTGGTATGCAGGAGCATAACTATCGTTGCGAGGAAAGAGGGAGACAGATAGTGAGTTTATTTTGTTCCTGCGTAAGAACAGACAAGGCTGGGTCGGAAGTGAAAATGAAGAAGGGGATCATGACAGCACAAAATGAAGGGGTTGACATCGGATACGGCGGCAAAGGTGATTTTGTAACTGGGACAAGAAGAGAGAGGGGAGCACACAAACACATTCGTTTCGTTGATAGGTTGTGTTCACTGTTGACCTTTAAAAAACAAGAAAGAAAAGGCCCAACAAAATAATAAATCGATCTTCAGTAGAGAGCAGCAACCAAAAATGTAAAAGATAATACAAGACGTGCAGACACAAGGCAAGGCAAGGCAAGGCAAGGCAAGGCAAGGCAAGGCAAGGCAAGGCAAGGCAGGGGAGGACGAAGAGATAAAGAAAAGCGATGCGGTTTGACCACAATGAGCGGCAAAACGTGAATGTAAAAGTAACCACACATATACACAAACAAAAAATGTCCCCACGCTCCTCCTCCACCACGACGATAGTTGAATCGATAACCTCCTTCTCTGTCCCCTGCCCCTTTGTCGCCCGAATGGGTCCATCCGTTCATACCCCTCCTCTCCTCTCCCTTTTCCCCACCACCCTTGCTCCCGACTGTCATTTCTCATGTCGTTAAGCGACTGTCGCGTTCCCACACAAGACAAGCAACTATAAAATAAGAACAATAGCAACACTCTGCCCATTCATGTGCCAAAAGGAAAATCAGGAGGGAGGGAGGATGAAGTAACCAAATAAAAAAGAGGGAAAAAAGTAAAAAAGTAAAAAAGAACGCGCAACCATGGTGTCATCGTTCCCGCCTTTCCCTTTCCCTTTCCGCAAGTGTGGCCCTGTCATATTCTTTTGCATATGTTTCTGGTTCATTGGGGATAAAGTTTCTCATACCTGTAGGAGGCTGTCGGTGTTGTATTGTAGGTGAAGGGCAATCGGTTGCTGGCTTCACCCCTGGACCATCCGCTGAAGTAACTGTTTAGCAACCCTTGGTCGCCACCTATCAAACGTATCCAGCATCAGGGAGGAATAGAAAAGAATACAAGGACATACAAGAAAAAGGGTGCGGGGAGGACAAGAAGAACACGGTTGTCGTTAACATCGATTGTCGTCTATGTACTTTTTGTCGCGAGCAAGCAATGGTCCGAAACACAAAAAATAATAGGTAAAATAAAAGGGGAAGAGGGAAAGTCAGGCACGACAGCGAAGGGGGAAAAAAGACCTCTTTACCATCGAAGGTGCCTTCTTGGCTAGCCATCTGGATCAAGCCTGTGTAATCCTTGAACGAGGGTTTGCAGACAAAGACTCCAGAGTTGAAACAGTCGGGCCAGCCTGCGTCGGGAGAGGCAGCAAACCTCTTGTTCCGATCCTCGTCAAGCGACCCGTTGGCGGCGGTATCAAACAGATCATCGATATTCCTGAGGACAAGTGTGTCGGCATCGAGAAAGACGACCTTGGAGTACTGTGTCTGGTTGAAGACATGGATCTTTGTCAGCGTAATACCAAGTTCAGGTCGACCGAGGAGGGCTAGGTTCTTTGTTGAATTGGAATCGATCTCTCCAATTTCGATGACCGAGTCAAAGACTGTTGCGAGTCTGTCACGAATGGGCCGTGAGACAGCAGCAGTGATGAGGACGGCGAGTTGTTTTGTTGTTTGTGATCTCCTGAGGGAGTGAGCGAGGACCAATGCGCCACTGGCATAGTTGTTGTTTGTGAGGAGGGTGATGTATGCCTCCATGTGGTAAGACTTGACTCTCCTGGGTGGGTGAATGTGTTGTTGGTGCTGTTGGTTGATGGAAGGACTCTCGTTGTTGTGAGGAATGAGTTTGTGCTGTGGGAATCGACTCCCGCTGTTGTTTGGTGAGCGAGTGGGGAGAGTAGTGAGTGAAGGAAGCAAGTAGGAAAGGGAAAAGAGAAAAGAAAAGAAAAAGTGGTGGCGCGCAAGTAGAGGAAAAGTACAAAGAAAAGTAAAAAAAGTAAGGGACAGAGTGAGACACAAAACGAACAAAGGGACACGAATGTCAAATCGGGATTTGGTTGGGTTGGGGCAGACAGAGAGGCACAAATGGTGAATGAAAAAAAAGGCAACAACAAAAAATGTCAAAGCGGGGATCGTTTCTTCCTTCCCTTCCGAGTTTGGGTTGGGGAGGGTTTTTTAGAGAGAAAGTAGGGATAGAAGGAAGGATGGAGACGGCGGAGGGGATAAAGAAAGATAAAGGTAGATTGCTCGGTTGGGGATGTAGACAAGGCACCTATTAAACGAGAGTCAGCATTTAACTACATGACCTTTAAAAAGCCATGAATGGATGTGACCATCCCGCATGGCCGCTTCATACCCAGTCTGGAGTCATTCCTATATCCCTCGTTCATAGTCTCAATCCAACAGATGAGGCATCCTCTCTCAGCCCGCTCCCTCCTTTCTCACTTCGGTACTCTTTCAACATCTTCCAAGCTCCAAGCCTTGTCTTTTTCTCTCTCCTGTCATTTCTTCCCAGCACTATATAGTCATGGCGTGCGTGCATAACAACGCATTGTCAGCGGCCAATTTACTGTTTTGTCGACTTGCTGTCTGACTATCACTCCCCCTTTTTGCCTCTGTACTCTGTAGACCTTCACAAGCCCTTCTTACAAAGCAAACATGCACATGCACACAGACACACAGACATACAGACAAGCATATCATACAAGGAGAGGAATGAAACTCTATCTATCTATCTGTCGTCTTTCTCCCTCTCCTTTTTCCCTCACTCAAATCGCCAGGCACACAATCAATAACGCATGCCGACGACCATCAGTTGAGGCGCATAGACATTGCCGCCGTCTGCCTCATGTAGAATGAACATGGGTGATTACGGGAAACACACAGTTTCTTTTCCTTGTGTCAGCGGCATTTGCTTATCTCGAATGGACCATGCATCTGTTGGTCCGTGAGACACCTGAAAACGCTCATTGGCTATCGCCTTGCAATCTTGAAAAAAAGAGCGTGCAAATTGTGTGCGTGGATTTTTTATATGGGGTTGTTTGCAATCTTCTAATAGAGCCAAAGGACAATAGGGCTGCAGGTGACAAAACGTCCACAAGGACTCGACACTCATCGTACTTGGACGACCTCGTCTTCTTTTAGTCACTATCCGTGTCAGGCTGATTGAGCACGAGTAAACATAGACAAAGTAAGACGTGGATCAGTATCATAAACAAAATACCGATGACATATAGCACACTTGGGCCTAAACACAACACAGCAAAGAACACAACATAAACAAAGAGACTGTAGGAAAGAGACGTACGGGTTTGGGGGTGCCTTTGTCGGAGGCGAGCCATTCGAGATGACGGAGACGACGACGGATCTCCTGGGCCTTGATATCATTCCGGCTCTTCTTCTTCTTCTTGTTCACAACAACAATCGGTTTCTCTGCCTCCTCAAAGTTGCCATCCTCAACAGCAGCTTTGCCCTTGATCGTGATTTTTCCTGCACTGACCGACCATGTCTCTGGACACAACGCGTTCAAAAACTCCTTGTTGTGAGAAATCATAATTACAGCTCCTCCCCAGTGTCGGATTGCGACCGCCAGTCCTCCAAGAGCCTCACGATCCAAGTAGTTGGTAGGCTCGTCCAGGACCAGCATGTGAGGGTTGTTCCACATAGCGGCGGCAATGACCACCTTGACCTTTTGTCCACCTGACAGTCCGCTGATCACGTTGTGGTCTGCAATGTCGCCATCCAGTCCAACATCCTCCAAGTGCCGACGGATACTTGATGGTGTCAACTCACGGTAGCCCAGTCCCTCCCTCGAAGCCTCACGATCATCGAACTGTCGTACCAGCTTCTCGTATCCGAGCTCAAGCAATCGGTCCCGAGGCATCCAGGTGTTGAACTTGTGCACGTGGTTCTTCCACTTGATCTCGTACTGGTACGACTTTTTCAGCTTCTGTCGTCCCATGATCGCCTCGACTTGACGCTTGCTTCCATCTCCTCCGATCACCCAAGTCTCCATCTGCTTCTCCTCCTCCTCTGACATCGCGACAGTAGGCTTCTCAAGGACTTCTCGGTCTGCTCCTCCCTGGTATCGCCACTGGATGTATGCGTTTGGTGTCTTTTCCAAATGTTGCTCGAGATGGTGGAATGCGTGCTGGGCCACGTAACCGATACGAAGGTTGGGATGTCTCCACGCAGTGCCCTCCTGAGGAGATGCCTCTCCAGTCAACAGCTTGATCATCGTCGACTTGCCTGCTCCGTTGGGACCAATGACTCCAACACGTGACGAGAGCGACAGCTGGACCGAAACGTCAAAGAGCGACGGTTTGGTGCTGCCTGGATAGGTGTAGGTGCAGTGGGCCAGCTTCATAATCGCCCTGGTGTTGGACTTGACACCGACCAGGAAACTGGGCTTGGGAAACTCAAACTTGACCGATGTCGCTGCCAGAGTGTAGTACGACTTTGCCTCGGGCTTTAGCTTGACAAACTCGGACAGGTTGCCCTTGTACATCTTTAGCTTCTTGCGCTCGTAGTGAAGAATGTTGGTGCACACATTGTCGAGGAAACTAGAGTCGTGAGAGACTATAATGGAGGTGACGTTGGTCTGGCTGATAAGGTAGTCCTCCAGCCACTTGATGTTGGTGACATCCATGTGATTGGTGGGTTCGTCCAGCAGCAGAATATCGGCGTTCATCAACATCGCGCGAGCTAGCTCCAACTTCATCTTCCAACCTCCTGACAAGGACGCAACCTTGTTCTTCCGCATCTCATCCGAGAACCCGACAGACGCCAATGCCTTGGAGATCTCCTCCTGAGAAGTACTGGCCAGCTTGGCATCCGATGCAACAAACTCAGCAACGCTCATCTCCCCCTGCTCTCCCTGCAAAGCATGCTCGACAAAGACCGTGCGGAGGACATCTGACGATGGGAACCCGTCCAGCTTGCCCAAGGAGATGGCTCGCATCAATGTCGACTTTCCAGCGCCGTTGGGACCACAGAGACCATAGCGATGTCCACGGTGTAACCTGAGCTTTGTGTGGTTGAGAAGCATCATGCCACCGTAGGCGAGAGAAAAGTCAATGTTGCACAGCTCCTCGCCGTCCTCGTTGTCTTCGACTGATCCTTCTCCGTTCAGCTTGCGATCCAAATCGACGTAATGGTCCAGAACGACCTTAACTGCCGCAGACGCATCCGATGGAGGGAGGAATGCTGTGAAGTAGGGTGACAAGATTTGATTCCACTCGCGAGACGACAGGTTCTCCTCCTTGATCAAAACAATCGACAAATTGGCGACGTGAACCTTGACGGCGTCAAAGAACGAGGGAAAGAAACCAAACTTGCCCACAGATCGATTGACCAAATTGCGGGCCTCTGTCTCCGTGGGCACGATCGAGCTGTCCTGCGCAGAAGGATCGAGTTTGGTGGCGCCTCCCGCCTTGATAAGAGTGTTGCGGGCAGCGGTTGCCAAGGCTCGAATCTCGGGTGCAGCAGCAACGTCGATGATGCGGTCCAGTCCTGGCAGCAGATCCGGCAAGAACTGACCTGCCTCAGCGGGATCCTTGACCAGCTTGCAGAGGTTGTCGACAATGATGGTGGTCTGACGTTGGACATGGGAGGAGCGTTCGTTCAGGGCGCGGACTAGGAGAGGGACCATGATGGCCAAGGCAGGACCGTACATGTCGGCGACGAAGGTGGTGGCGGAGAGCTTCTCCATGACAGCGGGTACCTTTTCCGGGTGGGCCATGCAGTCGCAGAGGTCTTTGAGATGTCGCGTGATGTCGGGGTTTCCTCCCACGTTACAGATGCGCAGCATAGTCTTGCTGGCCTGTTCTGCGACCTATAAATTGCATACACGAATATAAAGTAAGTGTGTTAGTAACGATGACGATGGTGAATAAAATGCGCGTATAGGGGGCAAACATCAACAGGGATACACAAAATCATAAAAAATTGCTCACAGGGGAAGCAGGGGACAACATGGAAAGGGCAGTGAATGGAAGTAGCTGTGGTCCAGAGGAGCAAAGGACATAAGAAAGGAGGTTGAGAGGAAGGGAAAGGAAGGGGGGTAAACAGAAACAACTGGCTTTACCTCTTTCTTGGTGTCTGACAAGCAATCCTTGACGATGGGGATAATCTCGGGCAGGGCAATACCGACTTGGATAGGGGACGCATTCGAGAGATCCGCCAACAGCTGAAGAGCGCCGACCTTGGTCTGCCACTTCTTGCCCATGCCCGTGATGTTCTGAATGAGGATCGGTAAGATAATAGGCGCTGCCTGGGAAGGCATAAGGGCCATAATGGCCTCAGCAGCACGCGCAGCAGCATCCTGAACAACAGGTCCCTTGTCCGCATAGAGATCCAGAATAGTTGGCAGCATGGGCAGCAAGAAGGGCACAGAGGGCTCCTTGATCTCTTCGGCCAAAGCACAGATACCAATCAAGGCACCTTCGCGAGCGAGACCTGACTTTTTGTTGGTCGACTCTGTCTGGAGGTTGGTGAGGATGTTGTAGGTCTTAAGGCTGATGAGTCCATCCTTGAGGATCTTGTTGGCCATGTCCCGGGCAATTGTGTCGCATTCCTCGCTAGTAGGGGCGGTGTAGAGTTGACTGAGCATCTCTGTCAGCTCGTTGACATCAGGAGTTGCGCCAGCAGGAGGCGCCTCTGATGAGATCATCTTAACAAGGAAATGATCTCTCTTTTGTTGATGTAGATGTTGTGTTCTTGTTCGACGAGGAGGACGGCGCAATGAGTCCAAGGGGTGAGGAGTCGTCGAGTGCAGCGGGCGTAGTGATGACGGGACGAGGAGAAGTGTGTGTATGGTATAAGAGACAAAAAAGGCAATGGAAGGACAAAGCAAACGATATCGATGGTTTCTGCAGCCTAAGCCTCCCCTGCAACACCCATGGCCACACCAACTATTGAGGTCAACTAGCCCTGCGTCCAGTGACGCCGTCTCCCTTCCTTCTGCTTGCGACCTTTTTGCCCAAGTGACACCGCGCTTGGACCCCTTCTCCCAGCGGAGCCTCAATCAACCTTTTCTCAGGAGCTGTATAACAGGGATAACAGAGAGACACAGACAGAACTTTTTTTTTTCTAGAGGCCTGACCCGGGACCAACCATGTCTCTCAAAGGGTTTAAGGTCAACCGACCAGATGTAGTTCATGTTGTACAGCGTCCTGGTTTTGCACTTTCCTAGAAACAGGGCATTCAGCAAGGAAGAGCGCCCAGGCTTGTTGACAATGGCTGTTAATCAAATACATGTGCGCCACCAAAATTCGCCTCTTTCAATTGCGCTCTTTGTTCCATGCTCTTGTTTTCCTTCTAATGAACATCGGCTCCCTGTACGTGCTTTTCGTTCCTTTTTCCTACATACCCTACTTATCTAGTCTATGTTTCTGACGAGCTCAAGAAAACAAAGATGACCCACTCGTTCAAATACAGCCACGCGTCGGCCATACCAAGCGATGCTCAATTTGTCTACCTCGTTTTTAAATGGTACATACCCAGCAAAGGTCTACAAAGGTGTCCTGATAATTTAGTCCGCGATTGCACACCCGCTCGAGCGATATCTTTTCAATCGTTGGCAGGAGTTAAGTTTGGTGTGAATGAGAAACGTCTTTTAGCTATCACTCCGTTCTCACACATAAATACTGCTCGCATTGACAAACTAGCGATGGCTTGACGGTTTATTCAGTTCCATTAACCAGATCTTTGCATCTATTTCAATACTGGCTCAAGTCAAAAAAAAGTTTTCGGTACTTCAGTCTGACTGTACCTCCTACTCATAGCATCCATGCACGACTCATGGAGAACGGCGCTCCCTGAATGTTAGACATCTTTATTTACTTTCATATTTTTTTCGCTGCCTGGATGGAGCAACAGGCAGCTGGATGTGAAGTGGCGGTAGTCTGATCTCCTTGGCGGTTACGTCTTAGAATTCCAATGTTTATTTCTGCAGAAGAGGAACCGATCTCTATGGAGGCAGGGCGATGCCTATTCATTTTTGGACAAAGTGCAAAGCTGGCGATTCTTGACTTTCTTCGCCTTAAAGTACTTGCCGCTTTGCTGACAGAGTGACTACGCCCACGATCGAAAGTTTGTCGACCAAGGAGTTGAACGATTTATTTGAGTGCTTTTGGTAAAGGTACTGCATCCCTTCCGTGGAGGACTTTTGTTTTGTACATTTCTTACAATCACATCCTGGATTTGACTTGCCTGCCAGTTCGCTATTGAACCAGAAAGGCCACCAGATCTCCGGTTGGAAGTCCCAATCTAGACTCTCTTTTTTTTTTTCTTTTGCTACTCTCGTCGATACAATGAGGATTTATTTGCTTCTCATCCCACTCACATTGACATGCTGACGATTGGCTTGGTGCTCGTTGCTGGAACTGACAATACCACAACACAACAGATAGGAGATCCCAAAAGCTGTCCTCCTCTTTTACTTTACGTTTTCTCCTATTCCTCTCTTTTTATTTCCCTTCGCTACCTGTCGCTGCGTTGACAAGGCCGCGACACGGCAATTAAAATGTGGCGACAAAGTCTCTCACTCTCTTTTTTACTGCCGCAATGCATTGTTTCTACCTCCTCACTGATTGGTTGTAGTCGTTATGACTCATCGCTGCCTTCATGCCAGCGATTTAAGGTGCCAATTGCTGGCTCTGTTTTGTTCTTTGCGTGAGCGGCGACGGTGGTTGTACAGAATCAACCAGACCACCTTGTCGACAATAAGACAATAAGGGGATTATTGATTCGTTGTCGCTTCTTTATTTGCATCTTTTTTTTCGAGGATAGACCTTACGTGTGTTTTTTTTCTCTATTTTCAATAGCTGGTAGGACATGCTGTGATCCCCAGGCACTTTTGTAAAGCTTCATTTGTTCGAACAATCCCAATATATAAAAAAACCCCTCGATTCTCAGTTATATGCCAAGGTTCTCCTCTAAGCTTGCAATTCCATCAGGTCGCCAATCAACGTTGATTTTCATTTCTATCGTTTCTTTTCATTGTCTGATGAATTTGTACGATAGCTGTCAATCGACTGTAGCGATCTTTTAAGTTGGAATCCGATTGCCAACATATCTCTTACGCCAGCATCTCCTTTGAAATATTCTGAAGAACTGAGCAAAGAATGCAGAGACAATTCTAGGAGTGCGTTTAGTTTATAAATAATATGAATATGTAGGATTCGTTTCTTTCTTCCGGCAGCTTGTCACCATTTCAAGACATATTCCGCGACGCTGGGCCATGTGGAGCTCGTCCGCTTTCTTTCTGGTGTCATTAGTATATATGTTTTGGACACTCTTGGTCTTTCGTGCAAGGTAGCCAAAGAGTTGCCAATCTGCCAAGACATGTGTTACTCTTTTCTGAGCACTTTTTGTATACACTCAGCTGAATTTTTGATGGTCATTTGTCAGATTTGGATTGCTGGTTGGTCTTTTCAATAACAGCGTCGAAGGATTGAGTAGCCTGATGAGAGAGTTTGACGACTCGACGTGAACAAATAGTTGGCTCTTGGATAAGTACCGATGCAAGTGTGGCATTTATTTTCTCCGTCCTGGCTTGTGTCTACATGGCTATTGCAATTGAGCAAGCTCTTCCTTCTTTTGTGTTGTTCAAGAGATGTATCAACAAGACATCGTGTATCCAAGCAAATCATGTTGTTCCCCACATAAAAATTTTGGTGGCGTCTACTTTTCTCTTTCAATTCACAGGTGCATGCAGGAGTGCCTGTTGTCAGTCGGCGAATGCATACCATGTCATGTACATGCATACACTGCCAGTGGTCTTTTGAACGGTTGTTCGTCTGTTCTGCTTTATTTTTGTTCGTATCCCCTTTTTTATCCCAATGGCCCTTCATGAGACCATTAACATTCATACATCACGCATCACGCGTGTGTGTCCTCCAACTATTTTTTCTTTTTTCTGTCGATTGGAAAACTTGTGATGCAGAGAGAGGGAGATAATGACGAGAAGAGAAATGGCAGTGGAAGCAGTAGGAGTGAGTGAAGGAGGAAAGCGAGTGCCAGGTCAACGATCCAAGTTGGATAGCTCTGAGTGAGTCGGAGTTGATGATCAATTAGAGAGAGGATCAAGACTGATTGAGTTCCAATTGACCGAGCTGATATGAATGAAGTACCCTGATTGTCCCAATGCGTGAAATGAGAAACCTACTCTTTTCATTTTTCTGTTTCACACAAAGTGAAAGAGAGAGAGCGATACTTCTAAACTGCCTTTCCCCTCCCTTTCCTCCTTCCTTCCTTCCCTTCTTCACACCTCACCCTCACTCGCATACACTTTGCTCATTCATCCCCTCCTCCCTCCTCCCTCCTCCACTTCTCCTTCTCTCCTCTTCTTTAATCCGATCCCTTCATTTTTCGTCCTCCATCCCTTTCTCCACAACCATTGCATACAACACCCTCACTCCTTTCCTTCAACTACGCATCTACTTCAGCCTTCTTTCCATTTGTTAGTTGGATGCTGTCTCAACATCCTTCCTCCTTCTCCTCTCCCTCCCGTTAATGAACACAACCGCCTCTGATCCCAACAGTGACCCACTCCCTTCACCTTCACCAATGCAAGTCCTCACAGCCACCGGTAAAACACAACTACACCAATTCTCTCTTTCCTTCCCTCCTTCTGCATTGACCTCACTCGTTGCTGATTCAACAACCTAACCTCACATGCCCTTTCTTCATTCTGTTCACCGTGTGCAATCTATGTAGCCAATGGAGCAACGACAGTCTCTGCCCCTCTCGACACTCCGCAGGCAACGAGTGTACAGGGTATCGCCCAAGGGATCGCCCACCTTAACGTGTCGGCCGAGAACGAGCAGGATTTGATGTTCATGGCAGGTTCGTAGAATGTCATCTTGACCTTCACTTGTTCGTGGCTATTTTAATTGCTTGTGGACCTTTTAATTGCCCGTGGACACTTCAGACGCCTTTTTTTTGTTTGCTCCACCTCAAATGACTAGAAAAACCACATTGACTGACTCTCTCCATCTCTTTATTTTTCTGGTATATGTCTATCTCTATGTCTATGTCTATGTTTACGATTGATGCTCACAGGAGAGCGAGTGGTCCTTCTGGAGAGACTCGGAGGCGGGGTTTGCATGGTATGGATTCATTGTAATAGAATAGGGCATTGCCAGTATCATGGGGTTCTAAGATATATCTCAGCCCTCTTTCTTTTTTCATTTGTCGGATATGAAGTATTTTAATACTTTTTTTTTGTCTCTGTGGGGCTGGTTGGGCTGGTCTGATCTGGGCTTGAAGAGAGACTAGATAGCTATGCTCTCTCTCTATGCCTCTTTCCTTTCTGTGGATATGAATTGCGATCCACAAAGAGAAAGAAAGAGAAAAAAGAGAGACAGGGCTCTTGGGCATGCTCAGATCTGACTTGAATTTTTGTTTTTTTCCTGCGCTCTGTAATGCAAGCGTAAGAATAGGATCGGGTCAACATATGCATTTTGTCGCTCAAGTTTTATCAATTAACCATGGTCTCTCTCCTCCCAATGCTCAACGTATCCATTCTCTTGCAGGGGTTCTGCGAGGGCGTTGTCGGCCGCTTTCAGGAATCCGACGTTGACTTTTCAGGATCAACAGCACCATCGACGTCAACAACAGATGGATCCATGACTTGTACACCTGTGCCGCCCCTGCCACCCAAAAACAGATCCAGGGCCGGCTCCACTACCTCAATCTCGTCCGACCGTCACACACACGACATTCAATTGCCCCCCAAAATCCTCAAAACGAACGCTGGACTCGAGGACGCCTCGCCTGCGCTGTCGATGCTTGCCAGGCACACCCTCATGGCAGCAATTGCGGCGGATCCTCATGCAACGGAGCGGTCAGGACCCAGGAAACTCATGAGCGAGGAAAACCTAAAGGTCACGCCCGCACATGGCGCTACTGGACGTAGGCAGGTGCTATCATCCCCGCCTGCACCACACAACGAACACATTACAGCACCCTTAATTCCGCCCCGGTCGTCCTCTCGACAGTCAAAGGCTCGAAAGAAGGCATCAGGATTGATCTCTTTGGGCTCAAAGTCGTCGACCTCATCCATGAACTCGATGGTCGACCCTAACGGATCTTCGGCGACTTTAACGACAGCATCCCTCGAGATCCGATCCGCCGAGCGTAGTCCTGACCAGCAGCGCCTCTCACCAATGTCACAGCAACATCGGTCAGCAGCTTCATCATCCAACAACTCTGTCTCGTCTCAACCCAACTCGCCCATCCGACCTACATTCATGTCCAATGGCGCTTCTACGACCCAAGAAACGCGAACAAGTCGCCCTTCCACCCCCAATGCAACCGATCCAAGCCCTATCCAACCGCCGACAAAGTCCAAAGCAAGATACAGCCGGCGTTCATCACTCGCGGATCCAGAGTCGCAACGTGAACAGGAACTGGAGCAGGAACAAGGTCTCCCGGAACAAGACCAGTACCTCACTTCTGTCCTGGACGACATCCGCTCGAAAGCCCACCACGTATTGCAGAAGGCAGGATTCTCAATGGCACCTACAGCTGGGTTGTATGCGGATCATGGGTCTAAAATGGTTGACTTGACCGTTCACCCATCGTCAACCACAGCAGCAGCTGCAGCTGCAGCACAAGATCAAGGGGTTGACCACCCACCAACCACACAGTCGTCAAATTCAGGAGTCAGCTTTGCAGTCGACCCAATTTCCTCCAACAACCCACCCTCCGGCAGACGACCTTCCAAAGCCGAAAGCAGCCACGCAGATTCAACCTTACTCTCGGACGCCTCTGTCTCCAACACACCAGAACCTGTCGAGTCATCATCCCGGTTCGATCGATTGCGGCCTTGGGCAAAGTCGGAAAAAAGGCAGCGATCGAATTCTGGACCTGCCCAGCACCCAGACACAAGAAGCCGACCCAGCCTGGAAGACACTAACGACAGCACCCCGGCCTACTTGCGAGCAGTACCAAAACCAAACCGCCAGCGGAGGACAAGCGAGGCAACGGCGATCACGGCGAGCAGCTTTGGTACAACATATTCCTGCCCACCCCAGTCATCTAGCTCTGCCGACACAAAGTCGACTGCCTCGTCAACAAAGCTTCGATCCAAGCACTGGTTCGGGCTCCCAAGGCGGAGTTCGGCACCGTCGGTGGAGGACACAAGGAAGCCGCATTCGTTGGGTGAAGGTATAGAGGGTGGTATCACGAACCGGTACATGCCTTCTTTGATGGACGATGACGAAGACGAAGATACGGATGCCCAGGATGACGATGAGGACCATGAGGAGGAGAGCAACAAGTCTGGGGAGAACTCTCGTCTCTTTATCAACGACTATGGATTTATCTACGATCTGGACGATGAGATGAACCAGGGACAGGATCTGACTGGAACAGGATCCAACATTGGTCTCGATGGCGCACTTGGATCTAACGCCTCTGTCGTGTCGGACATGGACCGGAAGAGGGCCATCAAGAATCAAAAGTACAACCGGGAGAACGAGATCAAGTGGATCCATGCCGTCACCAAGCTGCAGGCCGACAGCGTCAAGAAGTCCTCCAAGGTACGCATGCTTTTTATGTGGGCCTTGTCCTACTCTGCCAGGTGTTGATATGAAACTAACCCTGAACATTTCAATAGTACAAGAAATTGGTCAGGAGAGGCATACCGACGTCCGTGCGTGGAAGGGCCTGGCTGTTCCTTGCCAAGGCTGATGTGTACCGACGACCAGGACTGTTTGAGAAGCTTTTGAAACGGGGCCCTTTGCCGATTCACGAGGTCATTGAACGGGACATTCACCGCTGCTATCCCGACCACGTTCACTTCAGGGATGGCATGGGCGGTACGGGACAGCATGACTTGCATTCGATCCTCAAGGCTTATGCTCACTACAACCCGAGCGTCGGATACTGTCAAGGAATGGGGCGACTGGTTGGGATGATGTTGATGCAGATGCCGGTCGAGGATGCGTTCTGGCTGCTGGTGGCGACTATCGAGGGGTACATGCAGGACTATTACACACCCACCCTTCGACAACTACGGATCGATGCGCAAGTGTTTGAGCGACTTCTCAGGGATCAGGACCCAGCATTGGCGGAACATTTGGAGAGGAACGACGTGATCCCGCTGATGTACATGACCCAGTGGTTCATGACGCTGTTCACGATGAGTCTTCCGTGGGCGTCAGTTCTCCGAGTGTGGGATGTCTTTTATTATGACGGCGTCAAGGCGCTCTTCCGTGTTGGACTTGCGATCTTGCAACTCTGCCGCGACCACCTTCTGAACAAGTGCCCCACATCATCCGAGTTGTTGGGCTTTATCTTGCATATTCCACTGGAGAACTTGGCACCCAAGGCACTGCTGGAAACGGCGCTCCAGATTAAGCTGACGAAGCACTCTGTGCAAAAGCTTATTGCTGTCACTGCCGAATCAATGGATGCAGCAGCGTCCGCCAAGGCCAAGGGATCGCCTCCAGGAGATGCTTTCAAGAACACGCAGAACCCACGGAAAGCAGGAAATACAGCGACGGCAAGCAACACCAGTACCCATTCCGCTAAAAACGATACCCAGGAAAATACTACTATCACTATTACTACAAGCACGCAGTCGCAGTCGCAACCAACGTCTCCTCGATCAGCAGCTGCTGAGCTCTCACCTAATTCTTCTCCGTCAGTTCCATCTCCTCCTCCGCCCAGTTCGAGCAGCTCCTTCTCGCCCCTGGGAGTGTTTAAGACGCGAAAACGTGCTGGCACGCTCCATAAATAGTTCGTCAGCCTATCCAATACAAACCCCCTTTTCTTCCTTTCTTTCCTTTCTTTTCTTTCCGTTCTTTCTTTTCTTTCTCTTTAACCCATTTATCCATCCCTCCCTGCATCGAACTCCAAACCCCCAAAATTACATTTTTTTTCACTGTCACTTGATTGAGCATTGGACCAATCATGTGGAACAATGCCCTGCAATTGCTCTCTTCACTCCACCACTGTCATCATTTCCATTTTTCCGACACCGAAAACCACAGCAACTCACCATGGTGCAACCACAACAACAGCACGAACAGCTACAAAAAAAGTTCCAAAACAACAGTGTTCGACATCCCCGAGATCCTGACCGAGATATTCTCGTACCTCGACGAACCAGCCTTGCGTCGATCGACGGTCCTTGTCTGTCGAGAATGGTACTTGACAAGTTTGCCACGTCTCTCAGTCCGGGAAGTCGTTTGGGATAATACTCGGGCTAGCAGCAACAACAACAACAACAACAACAACAAGGAGGTTGATAGAGTCTTGGCGAGACTGTCTGGTGCGTTTGGGCTTTATTGGTACTCGAGGCCGGATCAGAAGGGTGGTATCGAGTCGAGAGAATCCTGGGAGAGACTTGTTGGTACGGTTCGGAAAGACTATGAGCAAAGGCGTCTGGGGCAGGAACGGGATCGGCATCGCCACAGGGAGGGTCTCGGACGAAAAGGAGAGGGAGGATTGGTGTTTCAGAATCTTCAAAGGTTGGAACTGGGTGGATCGATTGATTTGGGGCTGGCGACCAGGACTCTACTACCGCTGCTACCCTCATTGACTATTCTGGAGTTGCACACACACAATCGGTGCTCGGTCTCGATGGGTGCTGTCCTTTTGGCTTGCCCCCTCCTTGAGCAGGTTCATGTCTCGTCGCTTTCTGTTGGTGCAGTGGAAGTGAGCTGCTCATGGATTCCGTTCAGTCGTGTCGACAGCAACAACAACAAGGACAAGAACAGGAGCTACAGCAGCAAGGATAGGGGCAAGCATGACGAACCATCGCAGCAACGTCATCCGCCGTCGCTACCATTGCGATCGGTCATATTGGAAAACACTAGCGTCGAACTCCCTGGTCTCAAATCCTTGCTCTCATTAACACCAGACCTCCAAGAACTCAAATTGATTCAACTCTCTGCCCCACGAACCAACCAACAACCGTCTAGGGAAGGTTCTCCTTCCTTGGTCACCAATATCGCCACGTTCTTCCCTCAACTCAAGGAAACGCTCCAACGCCACGGGATTACCCTCAATTCCTTCCACTACTCCCTCGACAACGAACCCCTCCTCCCAACCCCCGCTGCCGCTGCAAGGCTGGACCAGATCCGAAAAGAGATATGTCACCCGCGAGCCAACAAATGGAGTTTCTGGACTTCGGCTGACCTGCCGCCTTTTGTATACCAGACCCTAGTCCATATCCCTAACGTTGTGACGACACTAGAGTTACATAGTAGCAAGATTGGGCGGTGTCCGAAGACAGGATGCAAGCTGCACCAGTACTTGTGCGATTCCCCACATCTGTTGCACCTCAAGGCTCCTCGGACTGCGTTCTTGGTCGATCATTTCGATATTCATGGACTTGTCGATGCTACAATTGCTGCGTACGAGGCTGGAACTGAGATTGGTACTGGAACAGGAGCAGGACATGGGATCAATGTCGTTACTACTGTCCTTCCATCTGCCACTACGCCCTTGTCAGTGCCAACAACAACCTCAACAACAAGCACACCCTTACCTCCGATCTGGAAATGCAGGAACCTCCGCACCCTCCACATGGCCTTCCGCTGCAACAGTCAAACCCAAAGCACGTACTACCCACCCACCCTCAAACTCCTCCACGTCCGAACCCGGATCCTCTTCGGCTACATATCCCACGTCTTACCCGACCTGCGCGACCTCCGGATGGATACCAGTTTTCTGGATAGCGCACAGTTTAATGTCCACGAGGCCAAAATGTATCTGGCGTTCGAGGGTGGGTTCTGTCTGTTGAGCAAGTTGCATTTTTTGGAGAGGCTGAGTGTGGATGCGGTGGGGAAGAGGGTCGGGTATGAGTCTTGGGAGTTGGGATGGATGTTGGGGGGTGAGAAGGGGAATGTGGATGGTGGGTGGAGGGAGAGGAGGAGGGTGGTTCAGGAGTTGGAGGAGAAGGAGACTAGGTCGATGGTGGAGAGGAGTCACTCTAGCTCTTTGGATGCGGTGAGAGAGCATCCGAGATATTTGTCGTGTATTGCTTGTGGAGCCAAAACCGGACGCCTCCAACCCATCACCAACCCCGACAGCGGCGAAGTCGACTATGACGATGAGCAGGATGTGAGGATGGCTTTGGCGAACCTAGGGTGTGTACAGGATATTGTCGATGTTATGGATGAGCTGGATGAACTAGCAGGAGAAGAAGGAGAAAGAGAAGGAGGGGTGGCCAGGTGCTGGCCGCATCTTCAAAAGATTGCGCTCTATCGTCCAAACCGATATGGACTCACTCGGCGTGAGGAAGCGATTCAGCAGTTGGTGCCTGATACCTTTTTTCAGACGCTTGTTCGTAGGACATTTTATTGAGCTGTTTTTGCTGAAATACGAGCAAATTGTGCTGTACAAATAAAGTAAGCAAAGAGTCCTCAAGTAAAAGGATAGTGCATTCAGCATGTCGGATCTGAATATGAACAAAGAGATACAATCGGCATAGGTGGGTACGATCGACCTTTGCTTTCACTAGAAAAAAATGAATGGCCTCAAATGGTACATAGTTGTACGGCTCTGGTTGAACAATCCAAATTCGCTCAGGCCGAGCTCGTGGACACACTAGGTTCTTGCGCTTCATCCACTCAACACTATAATCGCGAGGCCAGGAATTGGTTCGGCGTGACCATGAGCTCAAAGTAGGTCATCATCACGTTTGGTTGCTTGTTGATGAGGTTGAGCGGGAAGGATGGGGGTGGTACCACTGTTTCTTGGGAATGGTGCGCCAGGCCAAGGAACTAAGCGCTTCATACCACTCCTGGCAGACCTGCAGTGAGGCGACAAGGAATGGGTCCATCGAGGTACGGGGTTAATTGCACAGATCAGTCCAGATGGAATTTGGGCTTGAATCCTGGGGAGGGATAGAGGAGGCATGGGTGGCGTATTTGACACTTGAAGGAGATAAATTGGCTATGGTATGGCTGATGGTGTAGGGCAAGGGCTTTTAGTTAGAGAATGCTAACAAAAAGAATAATGAAGGATGGAAAAAAGTGTCTCAACCTCACCTTTATTTTTCGCGTTTGTACTCGTTCTCTTTTTTATGCTGAATTTCCCGATCGAAGGCGTCAATGAAAAAACAACGGCCGTTAGTCTTCACAAGGTCCAATATAGCTTGTGGTTGTACGCATACGTACTTTTCTACCGAAACATATCAACGATCTCACATGGCTGGCTTGACTTTGAGGGGCTAAAAGAACAAACGAACTTGGCCCAAAAATGTGACTTACGTGATCCTACGCGATTCGCAGGCAAGACAGAACGCGTTTGATTTACACTTCTTGCTTATCTGGATTTTAAAGGACGGTTAATTTTGTATTTTCTACCACGGCACCTGCGTACGGGTAACGACTAAACGCTTGTACTCTCGCTCGGGTGGCAACTCTAGTCTACTGGGAGAACAAATAGTGGCATATCGAAGTGCTGAGAAGAAAGGGACCTGTGGAGGGCCTCTCTGGTCCACTTCGTCAAAAATGACCTTGATCTCGTGCGCCAGTCCCAAATACTTCAGATCCTCCTTCAGTCCTGGATCTACATCCGTCCAGTCAAAGTGCATCTTGCGCTGGACAGGGTCCTCGTTCTCTCCACCACCGCCTTCGACTTCTGCAGCCTCTGCTGCTGGCGTTGCCGGGTTTGCTGGTGTTGTTGGGTCTGCTGGTGCCGCTGGTTCTGCTAGTGCTGTTAATTTTGTCGCATCTGCTTTTGTTTTTGCTTTTGCTTTTGCAATTCGATGGGGTGCCAAGTCACCGTCCGTATCCAAAAACCGCCGCCAACCCTCCTTCGACGCAGCCTGCCTCTCTGCCTTCAATGCTTCCGTCCTTCCTGCCGCAATGAACCATTCAAAATTCCTGGTTGTCAGGTTATCTAGCCGTCTCCACTCCCCGATTTTGAGCTTCTCCAGATGTTTAAGTCGACCCAAAAGACAGAACCCACCCTGAAGTCGCATGTCTAGTGTTGGGTACTCTGGCGATAGTTCGTCAAGCAGCATGAGATCCCGAAGTTGTGGGCAAACTCGAGATATGTATCCGAAGGCAATCCGTGAGAACTCTGGGCACGGTCCCGAACGCTTCCTTCGCGAACTTGTGTCAGGAGTGATGATACTGACGTGCAATGTCCTCAGGTTCCTGCACTTCCAGATCCCAGGAGGTGGTGTTGGAGGAGATACTCCGGCCTTGGTTGGCGGTCTATTTCTTCCTGGATATGGCGCATTAAGCAGTCGTCCGTGAAGATCCATATGCTCGACAGAGTAAAGTGTCATGGGGGCCTTGAGGTGGATCAGATGATGCGAATTGCACAAAAAGTCGTGTAGCGTAGACGAGCAGTTGCCATTGTGCAAGAGCTCCAGACTCGTCAGAGTGTTGGGTTGCTGGCGAAGCGTCCGTAGAAGGGGTGCCGTGAAATCACTTGCCACAAAAGATCTTTCCTGAGAGTTGGGGCAGAACCTTGTCGGAAGGTCGTTGTAGGAGTACTTCTTGGTAGAAATATGGAGGACGCTGAGGCACAGAGGGAGGTTGTTCAAGACTTGAGAGAATCGGGCAGTGTTGAGAGGGATGCGCAAGAACTGGGGTGGTGGTCCGAGTAGATTTGCCTTGATGACCTTGAGGGTCTTGAGGTGCGGGGTGAAGGCCAAAAAGTCTTCGAGATCGTGTTGGTAAAACATGGCGTTGTTGAGCACCAGGGACTTCAAAGGCAAGGTTACAATTGGAGGGTGAGGGGGAGTAGAGGAGGCAGGGCTGGTGTCGGTTGTCGCAAAATTCCACGGTCCCGGCAATTGCTCGCCGTCTGGTTCCGTCGAAGAGATGTAAAGGTACTCGAGGAGTGGGCAGTGTTGCATAATAAGTCCCATCTGCAGATCCGTTTGATGTCTAGTACCATCTCCTCCAACATTAACAAACCGTAACTTGGTTACTGTCGAGAGTAACGGCAAGATCAACCTGAACTTGGGCACATCCGTATGACCTTTCAATTCGAATTCCTGAAGATTCACCCTCGGCCCTCTCGTCAACGGGTTCGCCTGGTACGTCGAAAAGTCGATCGCCTCGTCCTCCCACCATCTCTGATACCGATACATCCAAGACTCGTCCGCTTGATCATAGGCCGTCTCTCGCTCCACTTGCCCGTATCCGAGATGCTCGAGCGCCGCCAGGAGCCAGAACCATTGGTCAGCCTGAACAGAGTCGTCAAAGGTGTCCATCCGGGGCGCTGCATGCCACTGTAGTCGACTTATCCAGGGCAGCCTGTACATTGCGCGCACGAGGTCAGTGTAGTCCTTCCGCCGGGCGTCCGACCAAGCGTACTCAAAGACGTTGTATTGTCGTCCTAGCTGGAGCCACTGCCTCTCGACGAGGAAGGCGCTATGGAGGGTCCGCTTGTCGACGAATGAGAGGATCCTGTCGAGGATCTCGGGGATGTCGAAGGGTGTTGGTAGTCTGAATACCGGATGTCGATGTGCGGTGAGCGAGTTCATTGTGTGCCTGTGGTGGTGAACAAGAAAGATGGAAGAAAGGCGGATTAAAGGAGAATACGAAACAAACACTGCCTGTGGGAGAACGGGAAAACAGGTGCCTCTCAACGTTGGAAGGAGCAAGATGAAAACATTGTTAAGGGTGGCCCACCTTGCGCCCTTAATTTCAACTCGACTTTCAATATTTTTTTTCTTTTGGGCTTTTGGCCATGGTTCAATGGTGTCAGTTAGGTAGCCTGTGCCAGCGATGAATAAAGGGGAGAGAGGGTGTAGAGAACACGCTGATATGATCAACGACCATTACTGGCGAACAGTGCGTTTTGATCTTAATCCTTGGGTCAGAAAGTGAAACTGATAACCTATATATTCGTTTTTGATACTTTTCGGGTCAGAGAACCAAGGGTCATGTTTCGTGCTTCTTGACTATGGCCATCAATTTTCCATGATAATAAGAAACAGTGTTGCCAATTCTATGTAAAAAGGAGAGGATATCCCAGTAACTTTATCTGAAGGTATTGATTGATCTATGTCTAATGAAAAAACGAAAAAGGTATTTACAGCTTGAACTCGCCATGCTTCTTCAACAGAGGGCGGATGTACTCCTCATAGCCATCACAGACCTCGCGTCTGTTCAGGGGCTCAGACTGGGCTTTATCCCACAGTCTCTTGTACGCATCACCATCGGTAGCACCCAAAGCACTGTTGAGCAAAAAATCGGGGTGATCGAATGCGTCAACCAGTCCAACAGCCTCATCCGCCAACGAGGCAACAATGTTCTTGACCTGTGCACGGAGGGACTGGCACTGTGCGGGGGAGAAGTATCCATCCTCAACAAAGTCGACAAGGTTAGTCTGGATGGTGTGAAGGGCGTGTAGGTTCGAGAGACGCTCAAGGACCTTGATCGATGCTGGCTCGGCACGGCGCTCAACGTCGGTCTCGGGGTTAGAGGCATCACGGACAGCCTGGATGAACCAAAGTACCATGACGTACTGGGCATGGGCATGCGAGATACGGTAGCACTCGATATTGTGGTCTGACCATGTCTTGGGGTTGGCAGTATCAAGTCCTCCTTGCTCGACAGCATCGCTCAACTCATAAGCGAGACGAGCACAGCGGTGCTCAAATGCAGCCAGCTGGACAGCTGGACTGAGCCAGTCCTCGGGTAGGGCAACCGAGCAGGTCGACCGGGCAAAGGCAGACTTGTTCAAGCCCAAAAGTAAGTACTTGGAGTAAGGAGTGACCTGGTCAGGGTTGGTGCGAGCAGTCTTGACCTCCTTGAGGAGATAACGAGCCATCTGCTGGGTGAGGACATAGTTGTCCCCCTCATAGGTGTTGGAGGGAACAGTCGAGGCAAACAAGTGGGCGATTCCAGTAAAGTAAGAGAATCCATGCCCTCCCATCAACTTTCTGCTCTCTTCAACACCAGCAACAGCGAACGTGGTGCAGTAAGACTTCAAGGCTGAGGACATGGCGTGGACCTCGGCCAAGGCGCCAATGTTCCCAGAGGAGAGGCCAGTCATGAGTCCGATATACATATCCATCATAACGGCTCCAGCAGCAAAGAGGGCGTAGGACTGGGCAATCATTGGAAAGAGACGGTTCTGGACCATAGGGTAGTTGATGACCTGGGTCTCCAAGCCGGGGTTGAGGTCGCTGTCGTTGCGGGAGGTAGGGTTATTGAACTGGCGACGGACAGTCAAGTAGCGAGTCGAGACGGTGACAGCCCTGGAGAGGTAGAGAGCCATCTGCTTGATCAGCACCGAGCGCAACAACACCATCGATCCGTACGCAAGCTATAAGGAAAGAAAGGGAAGAGGAATAACATGTTAGTATCTCGATAGCGAATAACAACAGGGGCAAAGTTACAAAGGACTATGGAGAGGTTGTTACCTTGGCGTGGGGAGGTTTGGTGTAGACACCCTCTTTGGAGACCTTGGAGAAGCGCATCAACATATTCTCGCGAGGGATGCGGTACTTGTTAAAGCGAGCAACTATTAGTATTATTCATTGCAAATGGATGTTGTTAGCCAATGGATGGGGAAAAAAAGAGCGAAGAAAGACGCGAATCAAATATATGAAAAGGTAGATGATACTTACAGCCGTTATCCATCTTGTTGAAGCCGTTGTAGGCCTTGGGTCCGATATCTCCAATCTCAATACCAGGGAAGGGTTTATGGTCATCAAGCGAGCGAAGAGGAACCACAAAGACGTGGGCGCCATAATCTTTACCCTCAATAAAGATCCTAGCCTGTACGACGGCATGGGTGCAAAGAGCGCCCAGACCTCCGATCCACCACTTGGCAGCCGTGAACGATGTGCTGTTGATCTCCCACTCGTCAGTCTCCTTGACTAAGGTGGCAGTGGTCTCGAGCTGGGACAGGTTGGATCCGTGGCCCAACTCTGTCTGGGCGTAGCATCCGATTATCTGGTACTTTTCTGCGGGAGGGATCCACTTTTCAATCTGCTCCTCGGTTCCTTGCGATGTGATGACAGGGATGAAGGCGCCGTTGTGCAACACGATCTATTATGTACATGGAGACGTATGGGATTAGGACTCTGTGTTGTTTTTGATACACGCACTAACGGTAGAGAGAAGAGAGACGTACGGGGAGCGTGTCATCGATAGCCTCCATCATGGTGGCAAAATCGAGGTCGTTGAGGTCGTGCTCCATCTTGATCTCGGCAAGACGAGTCGACATGGCAATACCACGCTTGACAGCATCGGTATGGTTCAACCAGCCCCTACACAACAAGACAAAGAGATCAGATCGGTTAGGGACGACAGAGAAATGGAAAGGGGCCGTGCTTTGGATTGGTTGTTACAGTTGGGCAAAGTAAAATGAAGACAACATACCAGTCATCTTTGTTGAAGACGGGGTCTTTGGCGATGAGGTCGATGATGTAGCGACGCTGCTCGACGTTTGCCTCGCCGCCGTGGAGGAAGTTGGTCATGTCCTTGACGTCAAAGTTGATCTTTGTTCTTGCATAGGCCAGATCTCTCTTGTTCTGTGACTCGGCCATCGTTGTATATGCTTGGGTGAAGAGTCGATGAGGTAGGCGGGTATTGGAAGTGAATGAGAAAAAGAGGGGGGAAAAAAAGGTCGAGAGGAATGAATGAGGGTTGCGGTGAAGACGAAGAGAAAACTGATCACTAAAAGGAAAAGGAAAAGAAGAAGCGTTAATGGGTTCTTGTACTCTCTCACTCTCGCTCTTCATTGTCTTCTTCGACTTCGCGGTTGTTGTTTCCCTCGTGTTAGTGAATCGATGAAGGACAACAGCACGATCTCTCGCCCGCGCTACAAAGTGACATCTTTTCTCTCTCTATGTGTCTGTCCGTGGTCTCCACACAGAGGCACTAACCTTATTGTCGACATTCAAGGCGAACCCAACTCTCTCACACTTCAGTCTCTCGGCTGCCAGCCGTAGGCGATGTTCACTCGCTTTGCAGCACTTATTCCCCCAAAAATGTCACCACCACTACATTCTCCTGTGCTGTCAAGTGTAACTACCAAATGCCCCGTTTTTTCTATGCAGGAAACAAGCACGCGTGGCATTCTTACTAACAGCATGACACTTCGCCTACCATCCAACAATCACACCAACCCAAAGCGACACTTTTCTCTTTTGTCTAGAGACATATTCTCATACTCTTGTCCCTCACTTCTCCTCAAGCCCAACCGATCTGGCAAGTGAACACTCCACACTCAAGAAAGCAAACAATCTACTCTCACCGTCGCTTCCAACCCTTCCTCCTTCTTCGCCCTTCGTTGTTCTCTATCGCTATCGTCACTCAGTCGCCGAATTGATCGTTGATTCGATGGATTCGTCTCTGAAGTAAGCCGTTCACTTCTCGACCAACAAAAAAAATCAGAAATATCCAACCATGAGCCAACAACAACATAAAAGATATCAATGGCCCCTCCATTGCACCCAACCCTCTCTTCCCTCTTCACTCCTGTCAAGACGCAAAAAAAAAAAAAAAGTGTCTTTTTCAGATGTGTCGACTATGGGATTCGAACCCATGCACCAATCAAGGTAAAGGGCCTAAACCTTACGGAATAACCACTATCCGAAGTCGACCAGACACATAACGTAACAACGAAATTTCGCTCTTGAGTTCTTATACCAACAGTCTCCTGAAAATACGTAGAAACGAGGCGATATGGTTAAAAACTGGCATTTTTGGCCCTTTTATCGATGAGAAGGAGGGCCCGACCACACAGACTACTTGCGGATCAGGCGGCGAAGGTGGCAGCACAGAGTGGTTCAGTGCCCTGGATGGTGGATCTCACTCAACAGACGGATATCACGACCTTTGCACATTGTTACGGCGGGATTGTTGAAATCGATCTACGTCAGCTCCTCAAACAACAATCGACAATCCGTCACCATCAGGCCTGGACGTCACAGAGGCGGGTCAAGAGGGCGATCCCTGACATCGATGACGTGGAATGGAACTCGACCTTGGCTTATGTCCATGACAGGCACGCAGTCTTCACCTTTTACAGCAACAGCAAGGACTCTCACCAACGCACACATCATATCAAAAAGCTGCATGGAATGCTGCCCACTCTGAACTCCATGCAGGCTCGCAAGCCCAACCTGTACCCAACATGCGTGTGCCGACGATGCGAGCTCGAGAAGGAGGATAACGATCACGTCTGGAAATGCCCTTCGGCAGCTGAGACCACCACTGAGATCTGGAAGGAGGCCATGGGCAAGATTAACGAGTGGGGTGTGCAGGCGACAAACAGCTACAACGCAGCCAGGAAGCGAGAATACAAACGCGCGGTGGACAGAGGTCGTCAGGTACCGAGGCCAGTACCCATACACTGGTGGCCCCCTTCGGATGCGGATCATGTGCGAGGATTTTCCTCCATCGGTGGAGCTCGAGCCGTGCACAGCGGTAGTCCAGCTCTCGATCGAGACGAGAAACCGATGTGGAATGTGTCGGATCTCCTCCGCGGCATCACCCCCTTGAGCATGTTGACTGAATGGTCCGCGGTCTTCCGGACCCCAATGTCCATCGCCAAGACAGTCCTTCACAAGTTTGTTGGCTACCTGGAGGCGCAGGCCTCGGAGCTGATCTGGAAACCTCGGTGCTCCGCGACAATCGCATGGGAACAAAGCCAGGGCATCTCTGCCAAGGATAAGACATCCAAATATACAGGCCCCCGAGGTGATTGGAGTCAAGGATACGGTTACATCACGCACGATGGTTTCTGTCCGTGTGGCGCTTCGCTAGCCACACATTGTGAAGGAAGGTGCCCTGGGGCGACCAAGGACCCACGCGCTGCTGACGAGCGGTTGTCGGAGAGTTTGTTAGGAAGGAGGAGGTTGTCAATGATGGAGAGGATGGGAAGAATCCCCTTCATTCGTATCTAGTTTTATTTTCTTCCGTTTAAGCTGTGAAGAGCAGCGACAATTGTTGCGCAGAGCCAGGTTCTGGACCGGACTGCGACTGGCGGATGGTGCACTGAAGAGTTTGGTCTGTAGTTCCCTTTTACTTCCAAATAACTTCTCTATGCTGTTTGTTAGAGAAATAAAATTGTGTACGAAAAAAAAAAAAAAAAAAAAGGAGGGCGTGAAAGTGAAAGTGAAGTAAGAAATTGAGGAATATGGGTTGTCAAAGAAGGGGTAGCGCAATTACTGAAGAAAAGAGTGTGCAAAAAGACGAAGATTTGGAGGACGGGTGAAGAAGGAAGGATGAGAAAGGTAGATACAGTGAATGAATTCATGGGAGTCGTGAAGTGGACAAGGGAGAGGAGCGTGATAAAGAGTTGACAAGAAAGGACACGAAAGAGGGAGGCTGTATAGCAAGAGGAAACTAGAGGACCTCTGTTGGCAAAATAATGAACACGGTTACTTTTTCTTGTTGCGAGTTGAATGGGACACTCATAACAACAAAAGAAAGGAAAGAAAAAGTCGAGGACAGGACATGGTGTGGTTGCAAGAGTGGACTACTTAAAGAGTAAAAAGAAAGTAAGACGATTCTCTCGATTGTATTAGTCGACAAGTAGAAGGAAATGCGAGTGACGATCAAACGAAGCGACCCCTCCATGTGCAGAGGATATAAAAAAGCATATAAAAAATATCCAAAGCCCAAGGAACGGAGTGTTGACTTCCACAGCTGACATATCTCTTCATAGTGGGGAACAGAACACAGAATTAAAATGTAATCTCTCCCCTGTATTTCGCCCAAAGATACAGTTGAGAGTACAAGTGCTTTAGATGATCACATACAAGAACTACTCTGCTGAATCTTGCAATGAGGGGTACAGTTTAATAGTAGATGGAGACATTCAAGAGATTGGTGTGCATAAAATAAGAAGACTTTGTTGTTTGAAGAATATCATGGTGTTTAGTAGGATAGTTAAACAAAAAATGTTACAATGGTTGTCTTACATGCTTGGTATCATATATACATTCTCATCTCATAGTCGCTATGGATATCGTCGAGATCTACAGAGATGTAACAAACACCATATGATAATTTGGACGTGAAAGGCCTCCAAAGGAAAGAGAAACAAGGAACAACCACCAGCTCGTAAAGAACGCGATCAAATTCAGGAACAGACCCTTTCACTTTATGTTCGCGTTTGATCACTGCTGAAAAGCAGAGCGAAAGCCAGCCCTGACGACAAATACGATGATTATTTCGATCGCGGCGCGCTATGTCAACACCAGACAACTCGCGGCTTTATTGGTCGCCAAAGATAATATCCGACCGACCAGCCTCACACAACCACGACTTGATCTGCGGGAAAAAACCCTTCTCGAGAGGCTTGAGTTGCAGATTCTCAAGCTTGGGCAAAGCACGCACCAGATCCTGAATCTCCTCACGCGTCCATTTTGTCGCCTCACAACCACGGAGAACCAACCGTTTCAGACTTGTCGCCCCCATTAGTTGCTGGATCCCGCTGTCCTTGCCTTTTTCGATAGTGAAGTAGATGATCGTCAGTGACTGTAGCTTGGGTAGCTGACCGATCTGATGGTAGATTGGATTCCAGACCAACGTTTGTTCCTCCTTTGTCTTGACGTACATGGATCCAGGAAGAGAGAAAAACAAGGACTCGAGATCCCTACAACCCCAACTATCATGGGCTTCTTGGCCTGGTTGCGCAAAGAGATGGGTGGGATGAATAGGTTCCCCACTTGTTCGGAAAGTCTTGAGGTGGGTGCGGGTCTTGAGGATGTTGCGGAGCATTCGGAAAGAGTCCTCTCGCCCCACCTCTGCAGAGATTTGACCAATGTGCAGGTGTTCTAACGAAGGCACCGACAGCGGATCTTGATTCAACACAAAGGTCGAAGAAGGAGGAGATGAACTACAGGTCTCAGTCGCTTGTTGCAACCTGTCGGAGTGAGCATCAGGCGCACACAGGAACTCGAGCTCCTCTCTCAAGTGAACGTTGAAGAACAACGACCGCAGAGCCTTCAAGGATCGAAAGGTCTCGACCAAATCAACAAAGTCGTTTCGACAGGTACAGGTGGGCAGCTTGACAATTTCGAGTTTGGGGCACTCCAGGAGGAATAGAAGAGAAACAGGAGGAATGCCGACTCTGTGTTCATACGAGTGCATCTCGAAGAAGGTCAGGTCGGGACAGTATCGAGTGAGCGCCAGATCCAGTCGGGTACACTTGAGCGATCTGAGTCTCCACGGGGTCGTTGCCTTCTCACTTGGCAGCAATGGCTCGGTCGATTTCTTTTGTGTGTACCAGGATCCACCAAGATGCAATTCGTCAATCGCAAGAATAATGAAAACATGTCCACAATCGGGATCTGAGTCTTGCGGACGAAGACGTGCATGTGGAGTCGCCTCAAGTTGGGCAGATCAGCCAGGGCTCGATATAAGACGGGAGCGAACCCATCACTGCATCGTCTGAGCGAGAGAATAGCCAGGTTAGGTGTCCTCTGCAACAACCAAGCAAGTCTTGCGGCCGAGAACTGACGACCAACAACAAACTTGGAGCCATTCTTCTTGGTGGTGATGATTTTGTTTTCAGCCCAGGATATTTGTCGTATAAGAGGGAGGCGGGGTAAGAGAGCTATGTCCCTGGAGGGGTTGACGTTGGGCTGGATAGGGAAGGATTTGGAGTGCCATTGGTATTCGGATATGGTGGACCACACGAGGGGTTGGAGGGTGTGGTGCCACTGGCGGCAAACTTGGAGGCAGTCGATGAGGGAGGGTCCGTCTAGGAACTGACCGAGAGCGAGGAGTAGTTCTGTGGGGATGCGGTCGACAATTGATTGAGAGTGCTGTCCTGATGTCATCGTGATGGGAGTTGACAAAGCAGAGGTTCTTTGATGATTGATGTTTGATGGAAATGAGGAGTGGGAGGGTAGAAGACAAGGGTAACGAAATAAGAGAGTCAAGAGTGCAAGAACAAAAGGACCCTGCCACACTCTCCTTCTCACTCAGCCTCAGATGCCGCTTGCTCGTGCCTGCGCCTCGTCTCACCAAGCGATCCTGGCAGGAACTTTGGTCTTCCAGGCCATTGATGTCTTTGTTGCTTATTACTGTCCTTCGTGCTTGACACTCCACTTGCATGTTGATTAAAATACAAAAGAAGAATGCGATGACAATGGTGGCGGCTTTGCTGTTGTATGACAAAACAAAAATGGCGACTAGGTTGGAGAGGAGCCAACGGCTGGCTGCAGCACTTATTTTTCTTTTCTCTTTTCCTCTACAACAAACAGTTTCGTCGACCAACCCACCACTCAACAAACGACAACAACCACCACTCAACTCAGGAAACAACACACATCACGCACAAGCATGGACTCGATGCCAGCAGAGCTGATCGAGGCCTTTGGCCAATACCTCGACGGCCCATCCCTCTACTCATCCCTCCGCGTCTCTCGCTTCTGGTTCAACGCCCTCTCCTCCCTCATCTGGAGCCACATCTCAAAAACTCAATGGCATCGCACCGGTTTCCCCATCCGCCAAGTCTTTGACGCCTACGACGACAGCCCCCTCCGACCCAAACTACTCCAGGTGCGACATCTCGAATGGGCTGCCAATTCGGATCTCAAGGACGTCAGTGCGATCACCATCAGGAAAGAGATTGCTCGTTCGAGACTGGTCCAACTCTTGCGTATGGCCGCCAACGTCCGGTCGCTCGAGCTGCAGCTGTCTATTACTGCAGACGAATTGGGCTTGCTCCAGTCGATTGCTGGATTGCGACACCTGAGGCGGTTACGGATCGAGGCGACGGGGCTGGATATGTTTGCGATCCGGCTGCAGGACATGAACGACACGTTTGCGAACCTCGAGAGTCTGGAATCGGCGGGTCATTGGCTCCAGATCAACCTCAGCAGTTGGGAACGGCCGGAGGATGCTCAGCAATGGCGGATGGAACGATTATCAGTCGGGTACTATGCACTGCCTATCCTCTGGCACTGCGAGAACCTCCGGGAGTTGGAAATTCGGATCTTTGAGGGCTTTGGATTCCAACGGTCAGAGAAGCGATCGTTGCGGCCTTTGCAGATGTGTCGGAACCTGCAAGTTCTCAAGATCCATCGGTACAGTCGTCAGGATACGTTGCTCGATCTCGTGGAAACAATCGGCAGCCTGCGACAACTCCGCTCCTTATCATTCAGCATCCTGGACTTTTCCTTTTTTGATCTCCTCTGTCGACCCGAGTCAATTGTGCCAACAGAGGGCGATCATCGTCTACAAGGGATTAAACCGGAGCAGCAGGATGAGACTGGACACAGCAGCGCAAGGCCACCCGACAACGACGACAACGACGATCTCCCTCTACCACTCTTGGAGGATCTCACTATCATCTCTGTCGATGTTGGCGACAACACCTTTTCGGCCATTGATCGACTATCGGCCCAGTTTTTCAACATTCTCAGGACACGACCATTGCTGAAAGGATTCCAGATTCAAGGATTCAGTTTTTATCCATGGGACATTTTTGCGCAACCAGAACGGGAACTCGATCATGGTTGGGCATGTGTTGGACTGGAGACACTCAAGTTGCAATTCAGGAGTCTGGATCCTCGGAAAATGAATAGCAAAGAGAAGCGGTATCGGATATGGCGGCCCATCTATCGACAACTCGGCCAATTGACACGACTCAAGTCGCTTATGATCCAGTGCTGGAGTCTGGAAAAGGGTACGGATGTCGGTATTCTGGAACTGGCCCTGCCTCTTTCTTCTGGTACCGGAACAGTGTCTCGACAAAAGCAGGGAAGGTCAAAATCTGTATTGAACGGACCTGCTGCTGTTACAGCTACGGATGACGCGTTGCCATCAAAGTTGAAGGCAAGGCTGACAGAGCTGAGCAACTTGTACCTATCAGACTCGAAGGGCATGACGTGGTCAAGGACGGAACTAGAGATTCTGCTTGCACTGTTTCCGAAGCTCAAGGATCTCAATCTACGACCGCTGAACCCTGGCAATGGCAAGGATATCCAAAAGTGGCTGAAAGAGTGGAAGCGAACCGATCTCAAGTTTGTCTATTAGTTTTTGATTCTGACCTAACCTCCCAACAAGTACAAGGTCGTTTCTTTAGTGGGCTGAAAAGAAATAAAAACAAATAGTAATAACGTAAGCTGGGGTTGATTGATGAATGACGGTTGGTCAATTGCGAAACGACGCGTTTATTCTCCCTTGTGAAAGTGGTAATGGCTATCAGGGTTAATGACAAGGCAAGGAAGGAAAGGCGGGTGTGAATTTAAGTGCGCATGTGCCATCAATATGCGGGAAGCCTTTTCTTAAATAATTCGAACCGCATTCCAGAGGCATGATGGTCATTAGTCGGTCATCACCATAAACGGGACGAATTGTGTATAACCTTGACATTCCCGATATTGCACACATGCAATCCAAATTTATTCCAGGGCATGTGGTTCTTTTTCCTTGTACCCACACCAGTTCTGACGGGAAAACCATTAGGGATACACAAAGCGCGCCCAGACCGCTTTTCATTTTTGTTGTTTACCGTATTGAGGATGAGTTCTGAAACGAAGAATGTCATTTCTCTGAAGCAAAGGGGTAAATGAGAAATGAGAAACGGGAAACGGAAACGGGATGCTGTTGTTGCAACGCTATGTTGATGATGGTCATGACGATGTTTCCTTGTTTTTGTGCTCTCATCGTATCATGTAAGGACACAGTCGTTTCGCCTTTTTTTTTGAGTGAGCTGTTTATTGTTCTGCTGCATCATGCGGAGTCGGGAAAGGAGGAATGGAAACCACAAAGGCAAGAAAAAGAAGAAAGAAAGTATGTTGTAATAAAGGGAGGAATAGAACTTTGTTACAAGAGTAGGAGGACTCCGTGATGACTGAGAGTCTTCCTTTGCTTTCAAAGCAGAGACATCCACAAACAGTTACAAAACTCATCTGTAACGGATGCCTGGCCACTGTTTGGAGTTGTTCTACCTATTCTTGGTGTGTTTGGTCGAATATTTTCCCTCCATTTTTTTGTAACCCCCTTTCTAACCCTGTCAGTCCCCCCCAAGAGCAGTAATAGAGGATGGTTCATCGTCCTCGGGCTTGTGGAACAACAGGGATGTGTTGTGTCAATATGTAAGGGAAGAGGAGCGCATGGGGGTATGTGAATGTGTCACAGAATCCCAAACGTGTTGAGCATTGGCACTTCTTGTGTCCCCCCCCCCCCCCTCTTTCTGTCTGTGTCTACCTTCTACCAATGATGTCTTTTTTTGCATTTCTTTGTTTTGGCGCGAAAAAGAAAAAGACCGAGGAAAAAAAACGGGAGAAGGGGGAGAGCGAGAACATGCCTTTGGAGTGCATGGTGACAAGTGTATGCACCTGATCAGTCCTTACCTCCGTCTTTCTTCCCGTCCACAAAAGAGAGAGAGGACGGAGAGTGGAGGGGAGGGTTGCTCAATTGCTCAGAAGAGTCGCAATTGGTACATTTTTTGTGTTGCCTGTTGAGTTCTCGGCGCAGTGCAGAAGGAAAGTACCCTATTTCGTAACCATGCTGTTGTGGTTGTTGTGACAGCAGAAAAAAAAGAAAATAGGAAAAAGCGATCCGCTCCATGGCAAAAACAGTTGTCCACCTCAGATGGACGAGAAAGTAGCCAAGAAAAATATGAAAGACGGCAAACGATTAGAAGTACATACACGAATGAACGTATTGAACTTGAGCACCCCCATTCTCACTCCTTGCCGGGTGAATTGGTGAGAGAGACAGAGGGAGAGAGAGAGTCCAAGGTCATTTGCTCTGGCATTTTCTTAATATTAGCATTGAGTTGTGCTCCTCTCAAGTATTCATGGAAGAAGCTGGACTCTCCCTGGTGGATGACAAAGTGCATTTAGCAGCAGAGGCAACAGAAAAAAAAGTGCAGGCGGACAGGGATTTCTGTATTCCTTTTCCCCTCTCTCCTCTCTCCATCGGAATAACGACAAAAGGGGGGATATTAACAATTCATCCATCGATCCATGCCATGGACCTGCCAACGGGTGCAGACCAAAGGAAAAAAATAGGGTTGCTGAGTAGGATTTTCAGATGTTCATTTTACTGCTTTTGCGGGAAGGAAAAATAAAAAGAGGGCGACATGATCGAACGAGAGAGTGGGGGGTGGGAGAGGGTTCGATTGGCATGTTCTGTTGAAACAAAGACGGGTGGACAGATGTCAACGGGCATGCGTGCATGTCTCTTTGTCTCTGTCTCTCTGTCTCTCGTTCGGTGTCTGCAATGGTGCATCTGTCATTGTTCCTTATGCCCCTTTTTTTTGTTGACACTGAGAAAGAAGCGAGAGAGATGGTGACCAATGGATCGATGGCAAGTCAGTCAGCGCGGAACAACCCCTTTTCCTTCTTTCTTGCAAAAAGAAGAGGCACAAATAAAGGAGAACAACCTGTGATGAAGATGTAGAAGGAGGGGATGGTAGGGCGCATAGCAATAATGTAATTGCAGACTATGCTCGATAGTTTTCTATGCTATTGCATTAGAGGCAAACGCCGAACTTCTTCCCGCGATGCGGTCCCCCCCCCCCTTGGAGCCCCTTGTAAGGTAAGAAAAAATAAAGGCAATCAAAGAAAAAGAAGGAAAGATGGTGCATGGTGTTTATGTTTGCATATCATGAATTTTTTTCCTTGCGTTTGGTTTGTCACACCTTGGCCAGCTTTAATTACCAGAGTGCAATGAAAAAGAAAAAAAAAATGAATGAATGAAAAAGACATGGTGAGCCCTCCTTGCTGAGAATAATAATAGTAGTGTATGGTCCATTCAGGAACAAGAAACAAAGCGAAGAAGGCTAAGACAATGATTACTTCTCTTATTTCATTTTTGATCAAACATCAAGAACATCAAAAATGAGAAACAAAGAAGGACCAAAGGGATCAAAGGGGACAGGGGGAAGAAGGGGCAATGCCATGACCATGGGGCCATACAAGAATACAATGCCATGTAACAATGTAACATGCTCCCTCATGGTTGTTTTGTTTGCGAGTATGAATAACTTTTTCAATTGAAACATGTCCTATTTAGTCTTGGTGCAAATGCTCTCTTTCTTTTTTTTTTTCTTCTTCTTCATGAACCCCCTCCTTCCCCTTCTTCCTCTTCTTCCTCTTCTTCCTCTTTTTTTTTTTTTCCTTTTCACTCATAAAACCTTCGTTCATTCTCACCTTCATTCACAACTCACCAATTCTCTCAATCTCACTTTGTTATATACTCGGCATCCCTTCAGTCCACCTTCCTTACTTCAAACTACTGAGTTGCACTCTCATTCCCTATCTTCAACTCTAACACCCTGTCTTATCCTTCACTCGTGCCCTTCACTCACCAGATCTCATCTTTTTTACAAGTTCAACCTTTCTTGTAAGTCCATCGTTAACACACAAACAGCAACAGCCCACCCAAAAAAGCACTCGATTCCCCTACCTTCAACTGGTCTGCCCTGACCTGCACGATGGACACAGAACAGAAAAATATAATAAAAATGGCGTCCAAAGGAGAGACTGGCCTGCAGAAACGCACAAACAAGATCGTTGCTGTTCTCATCCTGCAGCAAACAAAAAAACAACAACAAGCAAACCAGCATGGTGGGGTCATTCAAATCTCACACTGACCCATTGGTTTTTTTTCCCTTCTGCATGGACGTAGACGAGATCACGACGACGGCGATCACAAGACCAAGAGCCACCCACCCACCCACTCATCGCAAGCACGAACAAAAAAAAAGAGCTCCCTATTTTATTTTTGAGCGACCCTTCTCCCTTACATGCGGCCAGACTCCTACCAAGAAACGCCACACTACATATACCCCTCGGGCGGATCAGTGTCCTCGGTCGACTACAATACTCGCCACGGCAGCTCTGTCTCTTCAATGGAGAACCACACCACCCTCAACAGCATTTCCAACGGCACAGGACCCAAAAAACAGCCCTCCTTTGAATATTCACATCTCTCGCACCAACAACAACGACTTCCACAACAACAACAATCACAATCACAATCTCAGTCGCATACAACCCTCGGCCTGTCGACATTATCCACCCCGCAGAGTTCACCACAATCGACCCGCGTGGATTATCAACACGGACGTGGACACAGCTCGTACCAGTATAGTAGTGGGAGCGAGGATGAGCATGACTCCTTCTCGTCCTCCCAAGAGCCTGAATTGCTCGGAGACCTCTCTCGATCCTCCTCGGCCTACCGTGCGAGGCGCGATTCAGGCCTCCCTCCGATCAAGATGAATGCAGCCAAGAGGCTGCCGCACTTCAACACAAGTCTAACGTCCATGGCTACCGACTCTGTCGTGGAGGAAGAGGAGGAAGAGGAGGACGAGGAGGACGAGACTAGACATCCAATGAGCAGGCGCTTGCATCATGAGGTTGACGAAAGCAGCATACCGGAAGAGGAGGAGGACGAGGACGATCAGGAGGACGAAGTGGTTCAGGCACTCGATCGGGATATGGCAGCAAGGCAGACGAACAATCTATTCAGGAAAGGCGATAACAGCGGATCCAAACAGAGGTAGGGCGACCGCACCACACCTCCACTCTCGACATGTTGATTGGAACGCATTTACAGCTTGGATTGCTATCCTCCCTGCCGTCCCACTGGTGCACATTCCCGACTGAAGTCCACATGATCTTGAGCCTGACCAGTTTGTTACTGGGCGGGTATTTTTTTTTGGTTTTCTTTGTTGTAATTTACCATGGCCATTTACTCATAAGAAGGGACGTTTTCCGTCCATTGGGCGTGCCCTATGTCTGTACCTGATTCTGATCCATTTATTTACAGGGGAGAAAAAAGGAGGTTGTCTAGGGAGTGAGTGAATGAGGGAGTGACATGACTGTGCGCGGGGGAGGGAAGAGAGGATTGAGTAGAGTCCTTATTTTTTTTCCCGTCGATCCCTAATTTTATACCGCCCTCCACACAGACGCCCACACTTCACAATTGTCCCGCTCCTGTGCGAAGTTCATGTAAACTAACATGCCTTTATTTGCACACGTTCAATTCCACCCCTTTTTCGTAGTGGCGGACCAGGACCAAGGATGTTTTCGAACCAATCCCCCTTTCACCCTTTCCCTTCACCTCCCTTAAGAACAACACCTGCAGCTTCAGCCGCAACCACACAAGTTTCAACTTCCTTCCCTTCACCTACATCCTCCTCAACCTCCATCCCTGCGCACGGAAACGGATCTCAGTACAGCGGGAGCAATTCATCCCTCCCCCGACCGGTGGAACCAGACCGAGGCCCTGCGGACCTGAGCAATCCCAGCGCCGCCCTCGCAGAAGCCCTCAGCGCCGCCAGAGCCACAGCGGAAGCACGAGCCAAGACACAACAACAGGCCCAACAACAGGCCGCCCTGGATGCTCTGCTCGTTGGCCACAACAGGGTTCACAGCCAAAGCGCGGATGCAGAATACCAAAAGGATACGTCAAAGCGGAACTCGGCAACATCAGCGGACTCAAACGGCAACCCATCTCAGGTCAAGATCCCAGTACCGGATCTTTCGCCTACCATGCTGGGATACACAGGACATCTGGGAATCCGTCAAGACTCTGGTCGCAACACCGATAGCCATCATTACCCACGTCCAACCGCCTTCACGCTCTCACCGACATCGTCCAATCCCGAGCTCACAGGATCACAATCGGACAGCCATTCAGGTTCCTATGGCACCCAACACCCTTCCACCCACACCCACAACAACACCAATAACAATAACAGTCGTTCCGTCCAGCCTTCCACATCGAAATACGGCCATCCCAGCGTTTCGTCCAACATGTCCAGATACACTGACGATTACAATGAGCAGCCGCAATATGCGCGTCATCAGGAACCCAGCCTCCTTGGAACGTCGTATGACTCTTCTCAATCGGTTCAACACCACGGACGTGAGGGGACCTACTCCAGGTTCGCATTCGCATCGAAGGATATGGATCGCGGATCTCTTCACAGCCAAGACTACATGGACGACTATAACCCTTCCGCAGTATACCCGCAGGGCCTATCTAGAGAGTCACTGGGCTTTCAACAAGATTATACCAACCAGCGCCACGTCGATTTCCCCGACGAATCCGACTCCCTTGCCACAAACGACAACCACGGAAGGGACGCGAACACTTCGTTTCACAAGCAGCACCACAACAACCACGGAGTAAGTGCCCAGTCTGGTCATTCCGCATCAGCAGCCTCTGTATCGCTATACCCCCAAACAGCTTCGTCGCATTCGCTTGCGCTGTCGGAGGATCTCAAGGATCAGATTTCAACGGAGGCAGAGTACATCATGAACAGGAACACGGAACTGCTCCGCATCCTCAGCATCCGAGACGACGAGGTCCAGACGTTGCAGCAGGAACTCGATCATACCCTCAAGGTCATGCACGAGTACGAGGACGACCTGATGGCGATGCACACTGCAGCCGCCAAGCCCTACGAGACATACCGCCAGACGCTGGATGAGATTGGTCATGGGATGACTCAGCAGGATGCTCTTCTTGAAGGATACCAGCAGGAGAACGAGAAACTGACCAGTCAACTCAAGTCATCTGTCGAGATTCGTCGGGAGGCAGAGAAACGTCATTTGCAGAGTGTCGATCGTTTGAAGAGCGAAGTGGAGAGTCTTCGTTCGGAACTCGATAGCTCGGACCATGAAAAGTATGGTACCACCGACTTGAGGTTCGTTCTGAAACAGTCGCAGGAGAGCCATGAGCGGGCACAGGCGAGCTTTCAGGACAAGGAGGAAGAGTACCAGACCGAGATCAGCGAGTTGAAGGAGCGTCTAAGGGTCACAGAGCAGGTCCTGGAAGAGGAGCGGAAGAGTAAGGTCGAGGGGATGCAGAAGCTGGAGCGAGACCTTCAGGATTTCCGGACAGGGTACGACGGTATGTTGGCCCAGCTGCAGGCAGTTGATTCCGGTGACCTTCGGCCTCACCCCAAACGAGCATCCTCATCATCCTCTGCTGATGAAGGTCAGGCTGACACAACTGTTGACGACGAGCTCGAGCGGGACATTGGTCTAATCAAAGCATCGCTGCTGAAGGGCCCGACCAAGTTTATGACAAGCGCCAAGTCTCTCTCGCCTTCGCACACACACAACATGGACAAGCTGCAGCAGTTCAAGGATCCCAAGCCAAAGGCCCTGGACCGGAAGTTGACCTCGACCGAGACGTTGACCAGTGGCAACATGCCTGCACACGCAGACGGCGAAAAGTTGGACCTTGAGCAGCGTCTTAGCAGATTCGAGGCCGATGTCCGCCAGAGTCTCCTCAGGAGTTCGTCTATGGATAGCTTCAGCAGTGTCCGATCCTCAGGAGGCACCACCATTCCTATGGCGACCCAGATCAAGCCTCTTCAGCATCTCCATCATCAACACCATTCCAACTCTCGGGATGATCTTCGGCTTTCGGCGATGAGCGAAGAACACCGATTGGCGAACAAGTTGCGTGACCGGATTAACAGCCTCAACATTGAGAACAAGCGACTTCATCAGGAGCTAACATCGCTCGCGCAGGTTTTGCGTGTTCAGCAAGCGGAACGACAGCGCAAGGTCGCCCACCTGGAGGAATTGCTGGATATGCATGAGACCCAGGCGGGCCAAAGATTGGATGATGTCAACACAGAGGAGGGGCAAGCCAGGGTCCGCAAGGTCATTCAGGGTCTGTTGGTCAGGATTCGAACAAAAGAGGCCGAATCTGAGTTCTACCACAATGCGTATCTGGACAAGGTGATGGAATTGGATCAGATGGCGCTCACCAATGGCAAGAGTCTCCTTGCGGAAAGTCCCGTGGAGATGGGCCAGTCTCAGGACGCACTCGGCGTGGCCTCTTCGTCGACACCATCCCCTACTGCTTCAGTGATCGAGGTGCTGGAGACTCGCATTCGGGAACTGGAGCGACTGAACATGGAAGCATCGTTCCATTTGGCCGCAGAGCAGCGACGTGTCCAAGCGACTGAGACCGAGAATGGAAACCTGATCCGCGAGAAGCTGACGTTGGCGCGCATGCTGGAGGACCAAGTTGACCAATTGCAGTCAAAGCTGAGTCTGGCGGAGATTGCGAGGGCTCGCCTGCAGGACGAGAACAACGACCTGAGACAGCAGCAGCAACAGCAGAAGCAGCAGCAAAGCCTTAAGGATGCGCGTGGAGCCTCGGTGACCCCAAGTGGTGACCGCTTGGGCAACAACTCCTTTGGCCAGCAGCAGGAAAATACGAACGAGACCATGGCGGCCATGCGGACAAGGATGTTGTCTCTGACGCGTCAACGTGACCAGTTGAAAGAGCAACTTCAGGAGGCCTTTGACATCCAGCTGACGCTGCAGGAGAGATCAGGACCCAACAGTGGCGGGGGAGGATCTACAGAGTGGTCAATGGAGGAGTTCAAGAGATTGGAGCGCTCGTTGGAGGAAAAGTCGATGGAGCTCAACGTTTGGAAGGAGCGTGCTGTGGCGCTGGAGAAGGTGGTGGAGAGGATCCGAATGATCAAGGACCGACCAGAGCCCACTGGCCTTTCGCTGGATCGTTCCTTGACGATGGACAGCGAGTCGATGAGCACGTCGTCTGTTGGCGGTAGTCACGACGGCGTTCATCACCTTGCAGGACGTCGTGCGTCGCATCACACGCTGGAGGAGCTGGATCAGGTAGTGCTGAGACTGGAGCAGCGTCTTGAGCGTCGAGACCAGGAGCTGCAGGAGGTTGTTCAAGAGGCCAGGAGACAGACGGATCGGCGACTCGAGGCATGGAAGGCCAAGTGGGTCCAGGTTGTACAGCGCAAGAATGCAGAGATCCATCGATTCCAGGTGGAGCTCGAGTCGTTGATGGCGGCCGTCGACCGAGACCGTTCACGGATGGCCACCGCGACCAAGAAGTAATTGGACATACGGGGGCACGGAGTAGTAGCAGGAGGAGCGGCAAGGAGAACGAGTTGTTTTGTCTAAGCAGAACGAGCTGCAGTCAATAGTGGCAGCCATTGTCGTACATACCCAACAACACACAAACACAAATGTATTTTATCTATCTTTTTTATCCATCTCTATCAAACGTGCACTGTCTACTTTACCTCTTCTCTTTTCATTTCGCCTCTTCCCATAACCCATTTGCCCTTTTTCATTCATTTCCTCTTTCTTCTCTTCCATCATTTCACATACACAACACAGGAGAGACAAGGATGAATACACCGCTGGAAGAGCTCATTCCATTTCTCGGGGCATGGGGACTCTACGGACTCATTGGCGCCGTAAGTCGACATCAACCATGCCACTCTGCTACACAAAGGCTCTTTTTTCTTTGTTGTCTCTTGCACTTCGTACAGCACAAAGCGCAGGAACGCGTTCGGCATCAATTACTCCTTGGCGCGTGTGTTTTAGCGTTGGTTTTTTAAACCAGGGACAACTCAGGAACCAGGGACGATCATCGACAATCAGTTGGCGAGACATCATTGCTCCTTACCTCTCCCACACAGCAAGGACAAGGAGCCCTAGTGTGCATTGTACAAAGGTAATTGACACCCTTCCTCTCCTTTTTTCAATACATGACTGTAGGGACTACTTGGGTTCTCGATATTCTTCACGGTGTACTACTCCGACAGACAGGACCGAGAGCCATTTGCGATGCTGGTGACGGTTCTGTCGTTGACACTTTGCCTGACGACGGTGGCATTATTCCCGGTCGACATCTTTATGGTCTCGAGGATCATGGACCCGACGACAGGATTGAGACACGAGTGGGCAACGGATGCTGCTATCGCCGAGATGCAGCTGTCTGTCCAGATGATCTATGCTGGTATGTGTGCCTTTTTGTCTGGCCCCTCTTCCATATCCATTTTTCTGTCATTTTTACTGTGGATCTTGGCTATCATCATTCAAATCAGCTGGTACAGATCATAGGATATTCCGCTCACCCCTTTTCCATCTTGTCTCCTTTTTTCCACCCGGATTGCAATTTGCACACACATGGATAGTCGCTTACGGCCTGATTGCAATGTTTTGCTTCTTTTGGATCCCCCTGGCTTACTTTTACTTTGAGGAGCTTGCGGATGAGGGCCAGACGACTATTCAACGCCTATGGTCGTCCTTCAAGTACACCCTCTTTTTCATCCTCATCGCCGCCATCCTGTTGCTGACCGGTCTCTTGATGAAGCCAAACGGCAAGGATGGCGATGATAAGGGTGAAGAGGGTGGTGCGCTCAGTCCAGAGTCAGACTGGTTGGAGGACCTGCTGGGAAAAATTGGTAAGTGGATGGCTCTTGGGATTTTTGTATGGATGTGTGGCATGGTTGTTGCCGTGTTTGTTTTTGCTTTTTCCTCCAAATTGGTATGGTTTTGCTGAACTTTGTATGTTTTCTTTCTCTTTTTCTTTTGGACACTTACGTAGGCGGTATGGAGCCATTAGCATTCGTGGCGGGAGTCTTGGCCCTTGCGGGGATGACCGTCCTGGTCTTTTACACGGTTTGTTCTTGTGGACATTGTTTCTTTTGATCGGCCAATTCGACCTCAGGAAGCGTTGTTATGTTTGTTTGTCAAACCCTTTGTACTCACAAACAAAATGTGTGCTCGCCGTTATTTGTTCAACAATGTATCCTAGGCACCTGGACTTTCCCTCTTGCCATTCCACCTCCTGGCAGGGGCCAAGTCTCTGCCAGCAGGAGTAGAAGAACTAGAGGCACAGCTAGATTTTAATCGGGCGAGACAAAGCACTATTCTGAACCGATATCAAATGACACCAGGTGGAGGAGGTCAGCGCCAGCAGCTGTCGGACAGGAACCGCCATCTTATTAGTGAATTGGCACAGGAAGAGCTGCTGTTGGAGAACCGACTGAGGTTGGTGTTGAAGGTTCGGAATAGCTGTTGGCACCAGTGCCTGTGTATTATTCGCCCCTTTCAGGTAAGGAGACGTTGGTTGATGTGATTGTGATAGTGCTGCCTCTTTTTCCCTTTCTTGGTTGTGGAGTGTGTGCATGTGTGCACGATGGCATGATGACTGTTACCCACGTTTGTGTGAAAAAAAATGTTGGATTGCTGACCATGTCTCTTTCTTTTTGTCCCCCTTTTTCCCGTTTGCGCTCTGTATCGACTTTTTGGTTGTTCCCAATGATCTATCTCTTTCTGACTGCATGCGTGTGGGCTTTGCGTGATTTACCGCTGGAAAACCAGATCTTACTGGGACTCGCGGGATCAATTTTGACAGTACTTCTCGTTGGGTCCATTACCGTTACAAGGTAAACACACGCCATTCTTCGCTCTTTTGATCCAACGGCTCTTTCCTGCTGAATGTACGAGTGTACATAGGGCTCGGATATGATGCACGATGATGACCATTGCAGATTCTAATCGTGGGCATTTTTTTGGATTGTCTTGTTTATTGTTAGTGTCGGACAGTTGGATGGGGACCTTTGTGGTGCGCCATGTGGGTTCATCTTTGGGCGGGATCTGCCCAACCCGCTCAACATGGTCCTCGTTCGGCTTTCTCCCGTAAGTTGCGTTTTCTTTCTTTCTTTCTTGTTGATACTCTCATTGCCTTGCAACATATGAGCCCTCCTTTCTCTTGGAAAGTATTGTTATTACGGCGCGACCAAAATTACTAACCCACATTTTTTCTTTTACTAATCAGTTCTTCCCGGCGGACTATGCGGTGATAGTCATGATCATCCTCTACATGTTCTGGGCGACGACCAAGGGGATCATCTCGCTCGGGATCCGGTTCTTATGGGTCCATCTGTACAAGTTCAGAAGGGCTGCTACTCAACCACAGGGGCTGTTGGCGGCGACCATGCTCTGGATGCTCAGCCTTGCCGCCCTGAGCTATACGCTGACCATGGCCGTTGCCCCTGAGTACTCTATGTTTGGCGGTCAGAAATATGTATGTTGTGCTTTCCTTTTCTTGTTATTTTGCGATTGCTTGTGTTTCCCTCTTTCTTTCTACTTTTTGGTTCAATGGGAACTCATACATGCCTCTTGGCTCACCCTTTTATTACTTTATAGTGCAATAACACGATCCCCATCGGAGGAAGCCTAGACTGCTCAACCACACCAACACTCATCATCCGCTGCCATGTCGGCGCACCCGCAGACCTCTGCACACCCACCGTAACCTCCAAGACCGTCCTCCAAGTCCTCTCGGCATCACCCATCCTCGGCGTCGCATTCTATTCTGCTCAATGGGCCTTTCTTGCATTCTTCTTCCTCGCATTCTTGTTCAACTTTGTCCATGGATGCTGGTATGGGTTTGGAGAAGACCCGTCGGGTGCTGGGGATGATGACGATGACGAGATGGATCTGGAGGATAATGAGGCGAGAGGGTTGTTGAATGGGGGTTTGGATTCTGAGGATGCGAGAAGGAGATTTAGGCGGAGGGGGTTGATGATTCCGAGGGCGGGGGGTGGGGAGCATGTTGGTGGCAGTAGTGAGCAGGGAAGTTTGCCGGGTTATGGGCATGGACATGGATCACCGCAAGGTGGCGGGAAGGGACGAGTGTGGGGTAAAGGGCCTCCTCCTTCTTATGGCGCTGCGATCAGGAATACTGGTGGGGTTCATACTGGGTAGTCTTTTCTTTCGCGTTTGTTGTGTAGTGAAGACGAGGGTGAATTAAGGGAGAGATGTAGGCGACTAGGCGACATCAAACAAAACAAAAAATAAAAATACTCATCGATCAAGGAAAATTTCGTTGTCAGAAAAATAGGAGAGATTACAGCTCCCAAAGACGCCCTCTTCGCACGTTCAGGAACAGCCAATTGTGAATGGATACTTGTATGTGTGCATGCATACGTGCACAACTAACAATAAGAATACGCCATGGTTACCGGGAAATAAAAAAGATCGATCGCCAACGATCTCAATTAAGTCATGCGGAATATTCAGGAACAACAGAGAACAAAAAAACCGAGGCTGAGGTTGGTGATCGAAGACAAGTACGACGCACTTTAATTTTTTTTGAGTGTCCCCTCTGTCATCCTATTGGTCGATCGAAAGAAAACGCACGAAGCACATACTGCCCACCTTATCCACACTCCATCACTCGCAGCCATGTCTTCCTTTTTAGGACCACTTGCCTGTTGACTGACACGCCGGATCGAATCCCTATCGACCTTTGACCCTTTGGACACAGCCGGATCGAGAGTATGCTTTGACAGGATGGCTTGGGATCAAGGATCGAATAAGTAACGAACAAAGCCAAGGAGAATGTTCTCATTCTTGAAGTACACTGCGGATACGGACAGGTTGCGTATTTGTCTCATACGATTGCAAAGAACGATTCTTCATCATCATGGCGGCGATCGGTCGTGAGTGAAAAAAACAAATATAGTAATCCTCACGATCACCTCCTTTTTCTGTATAAAAGGGTCCCTCGTCAACACTTATTCGTTCATCATCAACAGCTCAACACAGCAACAAGCAAGCAACAAAAGCAACCAATCAAAAAACCCCAACACAAACAACAAATAATTCCCACCATGACCGCCTCCAACAACCAGTTCTCCAACACTCGCGTCCTTGTCGCCCAGATCCCCGAGGGTGTTGCTCCCAACAAGAGCCACTTCCGCACCGTCACTGTCACCGAAGACAAGCCCGAGCTCGAAGACGGAGCCATCTTTGTCAAGAACTCTGTCTTGTCCCTTGATCCTTGTACGATCATCAATGTTGTTTTTCTGATTCCATTCACTTTATAGGTGATACAAGCATCATGAACTAACATCTACACTTTTTTGAACATATGCACCATAGACATCAAGTACGACTTCTCGAGCGGAAACGAAGAGTCACCCGTTGCAGGATTCGGCCTCGGCAAGATTGTCGACTCCAAGAACCCAGCCTTCCCAGTCGGCTCCACCTTCTTTGGACCTGTCCGCTGGGAGTCGTACAGTCACCTCACTAAGGAGCAGGGACTCGGCGAGTCAATCAACCTGGACGCTGGACTTGACAAGGATCTGCCTCTTTCGGTCTACAATGGCGTCCTTGGTCTCTCTGGCTTTACCGTTTGGGACTCATTGAAGCGCCTCGGAAACTTGAAGAAGGGTGAGACCATCTACATCTCCAGTGCTGCTGGGTAAGTCATCCTCCTCATGCAGTTTACTTTCGGCTATCAACGCGTGCGGATCAATGTAACACATATTCTAATATCTCCTTCGTCTACGTTAATTCCCGAATAGTACTTTGGGCCTGCTGGCTGGACAGTTGGCCAAGCGCCAGGGTCTTCGCGTCATCGGATCCGCAGGCTCAGACGAAAAGGTCGCCTACCTCACGAGCGAGCTCGGATTCGATGCCGCCTTCAACTACAAAACCCAAGACCGCCGCTCCGCATTGACCGAGGCCGCACCTCAGGGTCTCGACATCTACTACGACCTGGTCTTTGACGACACCGTCGATATCGCCCTCGACCTCCTCAACCCCCACGGCCGCATCATCTCTGTCGGCACCCTAGCCTTGCACCAGGGTCAGGAGCCTGCCGCGCCCAAGAACCTGATCAACGTCCTGATGAAGCAGTTGCGTTATGAGGGGTACATGGTCTATGAGTACTTTGACCAGTGGGAGTCGTTCTGGAAGGAGGTCACTCCCTTGGTCAAGAGCGGTGAGATCAAGTTTGCAGAGACGGTTATTGAAGGCGAGCTGGATATTGTTGCTGAGACTTATGGTCGTTTCTTGCAGGGCGGATATAAGGGCAAGGTCAGCGTCAAGATCGCCGATCTCTGAGCAGTGGACAGCAACAAAACATACTGAATCATGTTCACAAATAAATACCGCTTACCTCCTCGACGCGTTTCCATTTTATTATTTTCCCCTTGGTTCTAATTGACAGCCTGCACATCATATGCCGACGTGGTCTCCTGATCGTTGTGCACGTTTTTTTTTTGAATAGAAAATCGTCGTTCTTGCTGACGACGTTTTGGCGAATTTGGCGATTCTCCTAGATTGGACCTCCTTCCTCTTCAGCAGGCTTCCTTCGCGCTGATTGATTAAATCCGATGGGCTTCCTCGATCGGGAGTCCCTGCGGGTTCGCTGAAGGAGAGAATGTGAGGCCGTGCTAATCGTTTGTCCGATATCCACCGCCCTAGAGCATGCATTATTAAAGAACGAGTCTTTGGGAGGTACAAAGACGAAGTCGTAGAGCGATCCTGTATAAGACGGGGTTCCTCGATAGAGCTGAATAATCTCCATTTGGGATTTCTCTCGATTTTGCAGAACTTTTTCGTTCATCGTTCAAGGAACCATTTTTGCATTTGTTGTTGTTGTTGTTGTTGCCAGCGTTTTGCTCTTTTTGACCACTTTTGTGGACAACTGCTGAACTGTGAGCGAGTTTGATATTTTTATTTCGGGGGAGGGGGGAGGGGGGAGTGAAGGAAGTGAATGTAACAAGTGGCGACAAACTTAGAAAGGTCCATTTCTCTTCCCAATGATTATGCCGCCTCATAACGTGTTTGCTAGCTAGCGATCACCATGTCCCCGCATCCCAAACACCCCCATTCTTTTTCTTTGATATATACGTCAATGATGATCCCGAGAGACACTTGTAACCATCGATATCCGTTTGACGAATGATCATCGTCTGCCACGGTTGTCAATCCTTGCACATGTAGCTATATGTGTAGTAGTCGCGACGAAAAACCAATCCAGCTCCATTTTTTCGTCAGCCATATGCACGAGCGCCTTTGTTGAGTTATATCATGAAAGTATGGGACTAAAAGGAATGGGTCTGTGAAAAAGAGAAAAAGCGAAGTAAGCTGGAGTTGACAAGGACGTGGGTAAAAAAAAAAAAAAGAATATGATGTGCTGAATTTTTTTTGGGGAGGGAGAACGTGGAAGAGATTGGACCTACTCCATGGGGAAATACATTAGTGGTCCTTCAGAGCCAGGCAAATGATGCTCGGTGCCTTTGAATCCATCCGTCAGTCTTGTCTCGCTAGATCACGACAGTAACAATGAATTAAAAACTAGGCCAAGAACCATCAGGTGGAAGAGCGTTCTTTGATTGATCAATACAGCACGGAAGAACGTCGTCCACCCGCTCTGACCACAGGGGCCGTCCTTTGCCTAAATGGTAGTTTTTTTTGTTTTGTTTATTGAGCTACTGCATAGGTTTGTGTTTTGGTGGCGTGAAGAACCAAGGGTGAAATAAAGTTGTCGATCGCGAATGACGCGTTTGGAAACAGGCTCCAAAAAAAGAAGGAAAATAAAATGTCGATCGAGAAAGCCCTCACTTTTGCTCTCCTTAGAAGAAGAATCTGACAAATCGAATCCACAGCCCCCTTTCTCCTCCACTACCGAAAAAACCCCTTTACCTCTCCCAACGTACGAAGCACATCATTCGTTTTCTCAATTCATACTTCATCACCGCCTCGATCGTCGGTATCTATCTCTACCTTATTTAGTGTTCATCCACTTTTTATCTCTTCCGCGATCTTGCCTTTGATTATGCCTGGCCTTCTGGTCCCTTCATTCGATCCTTACCCAATTACGCCACCAATGCACTCTACCCTATTCTCGATCAGATCGAAGATCGAGGAAGAAAGGGCAAAGAGTCTTTCTGCGGTTATACAAGTAGAGGGTTACGCGTGCTGTCGCGTTCCTTCTGGGGTCGTAAGGTACGTATGGGTGGAGTTGGGGACACCGCGGCAATGATCGTGAAATCGAGTCCCTTCTCTTGCGTTCGCCTCGTTGCCATTGAGAAGTGTCACGGAAGCTCGCTTCTTCACTCTGACGATCGAGGGGAAGAAGGAGTTATCAAGGGAGTATAAAAATGCCTGCCTTTCACCCTCTTTTCACTCATCAACAAACAACCAAAAGCACAGCTCCCACAACGAATCCAACCCCCTCCACAAAAAAAAATGACCACCTCCACCGCCTCCACCACCGAGTACACAAACACCCGCGTCCTGATCTCCAAGATCCCCGAAGGCGTCTCACCCCACAAGGACCATTTCAAGACCATTACCGTCACGGAGACCAAGCCCGTTCTTGAAGAAGGATCCGTCTTTGTCAAGAACATCATCTTCTCACTCGATCCCTGTAAGGTTTTTTTTTTTTTTTAATTTTCTCTCGTATGATTTACCGTTTTGTTACACAAGAAGAACATCTAGGTCGAGCAGAACCAACATACTAAGATCCCCCCCCCCCCCCCCCACCCATCTCCCCTATTCACATTCACCACAAACAAAAAAAGACATCCGCCACGACTTTCCCCCCGGGACCACCCAAACCCCCGTCATCGGCTTTGGAATCGCCAAAGTCCTCCTATCCTCCAACGCCTCCTTCCCTGTAGGAACAACATTCTTTGGGAACCTCCCCTGGGAGACCTACACAACCCTCCCCGCCGCCGCCCTGGCGCTCGTCGTCCCCCTCCAACTCGACCCCGAACTCCCTCTGTCCGTCTATAATGGTGTCCTGGGCACTAGCGGGTTCACGGTTTGGGATTCGTTGAGAAGGGTAGCCGATTTGAAGGCTGGCGAAACCATTTACATCTCTAGTGCAGCTGGGTAAGGAAGATTATTTAGACAGGGGTCATCGTATGCATGTCAAGCAACATCAAGCAAGGTGGCTCAAAGCAAAGTAAACTAACACCATTGTTCTTTAATCCCCCTCTCTTTCTTTTTTTTTTACAAATGTCCAACATCATAGAACGTTGGGACAAGTAGCAGGCCAACTAGCAAAGCGCAAAGGCCTCCGTGTCATCGGCTCCGCCGGATCTGACGAAAAAGTCGCCTTCCTCACCTCGACCCTCGGCTTTGACGCAGCCTTCAACTACAAGACCCAAGACCCGCGCTCGGCCTTGACCTCCGCCGTCGGTCCCGCAGGCCTCGACATCTACTACGACCTAGTCTTTGACTCGACCCTCGAAACCGTCCTCGACCTCCTCAACCCCCACGGCCGAATCATCTCTGTCGGCATCGTCGCCGCCCACCAAGGCCAGCCAATCGCCGCGCCCAAGAACTTGATCAACATCTTGATGAAACAGTTGCGCTTTGAGGGATATACCGTTTATGAGAACTTTGATCACTGGGGCTTGTTTTGTGAGGAGATGACGCCGTTGGTCAAGAGTGGAGAGATCAAGTATGCAGAGACCGTGGTTGAAGGCGGGGTCGACGTTGTTGTCGAGACTTATTTGAATGTGATGAAGGGCGTTTATAAGGGAAAAGTTAGCGTCCTCACCGGCGCTGCCGATCTTTAATCTCCCACCCCTTTACTTACAATCGCCCCCCCTCTCCCCATGGCTACAGCCATTCTCTCAATAAATAAACACTTCCTCTGCAGAAGATTGAAAAAAATGATAGTCGTGTAATCGTGCGTATGAGTTTATTTTTGTTGGTGGTCATGTCGTAGCAAGAGTATATATATAAGAAATAAATAAAAAAAGCGGTGGATGCGTAGTGGGCGTAACAAAAAAATAATATGCTGGCGGAGGTGGTGTTTGGCCCTGGTCACTTGCAACACCAGCAGCAACAAGAGCTGCAGGAGCAGAGGAGTATGGTAGATTTCGGCACTCAGTGGCGAGGGCGAAGGAGGCTGGTGTTGACTATTAAGGGACGGAACCCAAGCGTCTCTGCTGCTGCTAGCCTCGAGGAGTTTTATGCGATTCATTGACTTCCTGCAGCAGCGGCTGCTGCAGCTCCGGCGGCTATGGCTTCCTCGGTCGTCACAACCCTTGGAGGTACACCATGACGCGCGACCGCTGCCTGTTGGAGAGACGCCACCGACGATGATCCTGAAGTCTCAGAGGGGAGAGATGGCGAGGGTATTGGGGGTAGTGCCGCGGGTTTGTCCTTCAGAGAGTTCAGATCAACGTTGTTGTAGTTGTAGGACGACTTGCGGCGACTGTGCTGGAACGAAGGGTCATTTGGCAGAGGGAGGCGATCGGTGCTACCATTGGCGGCTGCCTCAGCAGCAAGTCGATCCTGCTGGTGCTGCTGTGCCATCAAAAGCTGTTGTTGGATCTGCAGCGGTGTCTGAGTAGGGACTGATGGGGGCTGAGTAGGTTGCCGAGTCGCATCCTGGGAATGGTCGTCGACATTGATCTGGATCATGGTCAAGTCATATGGCTGATCTTGGTTCGCTCCAGAACGAGCGTTCTTGCCGGGTTGGTTGGTATTAGGGTGGTGGTCGTTATTGTTATCGTAAAAGTTGGGGTCCTTGCCGTTCTTCTTGGCTAACTTGGCAGCTTCCTTCTCTTGGTTGATGCAATCCTGCTTCTTCAAAAGTGCCTTCTCCTGATCAGTCTGTTCGGCAGGTGTCAAGCCATCGGGCGCCAATCCGGACCAGGCGACTTTCAGGGCCTTGGCGTTCCACTTCTCACTGAGCATGATCCCGCGGACCACATGGACGTCATCGGGCAACCACCAGAAGCTCACAAAGAGGATAGTGAATCTTGCCAAGAGCGCAGCGACAACCGACAGGATCAACATGAACCAGAAGGGACCGTAGGTGAACAGGTGAATGGCGACGTGGTAGATGGGCGACGATTGAACAAAGCCATAGAGGACAACCAAGAGGGCCAGGAACGTGATCGAGCCCCAGACTGCAAAGTGGGTCAGCCAGGTCCAGTGGTAAGAGTGCAGTCCAACGTAGAGCGACGCGATCACAACGTTCGTGATCGCAACTGAAGTCGAGAACTCCAGAAGCGAGTTGTCGAAGCCCCTGGTGCCCAAAACGTTGAGTCCAAAGACACCGCGCCAGAACCAGAACACGACAAGAGACTGCCAGACACCATCGAGCATGTAGAAGACAAATCGTGTCTGGTTATAGCGCTTTTGCTGGATACCAAGTTTATAAACACCGGGGTAACGCAGAACATAAGGCGCCGTCAGATCCTGATCCGTTGCACCAAGAACGAGCACTGGCACTGCAGTCAGCATCAAGTTGTACAACGACACAAACGTGTAGTCATAAAACAACATCGCCGAGAATCTATATCATCACAACAAATTAATATGAGTTAGATCATGTCGCATGATTACAAAACACAAGGCTGCTCATAACCAACAAAATAAAAAAGAACGTACCCGCAGTAGATCTGGAACCAGAGGACGGCGGCAACCCAGAGGACGTTCTTGAAGAAAAAGTTGAGGATCATCTCGGCGATGCGCATGTAGCCCCAGTGACCGTGGACGAGAACCAGCTTGCGGACGAAGCGGAACTGGGTAATCGAGTAATCCGAAGCCATGGCAGCCTGCATACCCTCCTGACCGGAGATACCAACACCAATGTTGGCGGCCTGGATCATGGAGACGTCGTTGGCTCCGTCTCCAATAGCGAGACAGACAGTCTTCTTGCCTCGGCGGATCAACTCGACAACCAAGGCCTTCTGAAGGGGCGAAGCACGGCAGCAGATAACAGAGAAGCATATATCCGACAGCTTGATCAAATCCTGGCGTGCCTCTGGGTCATCCAGCAAAATCTTGAGCGCAGATCCATCAACGATCAACGCGTGCTCTCCCTGACCCGAAGTCTCCTGCTGCGTCTGCTCATGATCAACAAGCGATGTTCCAGCTGGTGTGGGAGGAAGGTGCTTCTCATTCCAAGTGTTTCCAGCACCCTCGGTGGTATAGGGCTGAGGTGGCGTTTGTTGCGGCTCCTGATACTCTGCCTTCTCGTTCAAGGGCGCCTCCGATTCGCTTCTCTTCTCGCCGATTGATGGAGCGCCATCGTGGCAACTGCCCTTGCCGCTCAAAACGCCGTTAACCAAATCCTTGAAACGTGCGAGCACCCGAGTTGGATCCTCGTTGCGTCCCATCTTCATGATTTCCAACTTCATATCCTTCTCGAGCAGTCGGGAGGCGAATCCAATGTTGATGGCTGTCTCCAGCTTGTCTCCAGTCAGGACCCAGACCTTGATACCGGCCTCGCGCAACGCAGCAATACTTTCGGGGACTCCTTCCTGCAACTTGTCCTCGATAGCGGTGGCGCCCAAGAGAGTCAAGTCCCGCTCAATCTCCTCGGCAACCTGGTCCATCTTCTTGGCACGGTCATCCAGCGCCTTTCCAGCCTCGGCATACTTGGTAGCCCATTGGTTGTAAGTTTCCTGGTCAAGGACGCGCTGTGCCAAGGTCAAAGTACGGAGACCCATGTTACTGAACGTCTCAATGTCACTCTCGGTCTGGTCGCGGAGGGTCTCGTCGTCAGTTTGAGAAAGGCGCTCAAAAATGACATTGTCGGCTCCCTTGGTCAACAGCAAAATCTTTCCGCCGAGTTCCTGGGGCTCCCTGACAATGACAGTCATACGCTTGCGAGTCGAGTTGAACTTGATGACATCCAGCTGCTCATAGGTAAGATCCTGACCAAGAACATTCAAGTTGACGTTCTGGCGAGAGTTGCCCTTGGCTGCCTTCGGGTCACCTCCATCTGTGCTAGGGGCGGCACCGCGAGAAACAAACGCGAATCCGACATTCTTGGCAGCGGACACCAATGCAGCCTCGTCGGGCGACTCTGCACGGTACTTGATGGTTGGCTGGGGCCTTTCTTCCTGTCCAGGAACAAGGGAAGCGGAGACAGATGGAGCATTTGAGTTCTTGCGAGTCCTGGTTCCTGGTTTGGTCTCTGCTCCAGGCACGAAAAGCCCACGGCCCTCAGCCTTTTGCCTCAACTTTTCGCGAATGCCCAAACCCTTGTGCTGCTCTTGTTGGGGATCCACGACCTGGTCATTCTCATCGACACCATTGTTGGTAGGAGGTGAACCATTGTCGGCGAAGAGACCAAACTCATCATCCTCGTCATCTTGGAGCACCTCCTCAGGCTGCTCAACGACTACAGTGTGACAAAGAGCCAGCAGGGTGAAAAAGTCGTGAATGTTGCTGGAGGGAGAGCCATCATGCTGAGGTACGCTCGATCCTGATCCAGCTTGCTGGGCATAGGTCGAGCTACCCTCACCGTTGTTGCTGGCAGCAGCTGTGGTACTTCTGTCCTCGCTTCCATGTCCGGTGAGGTCGCGGATGATGTCTGGATCGGCAAAGGTGAGGATCTCGAGGGGGTCCATATAGGCGGGCTCAAAGATTTTTTTGACTTCTTGGTCGTACTCCTTCAGCACAGCCTGCTTGTCGCCCTTGTTTCCAGAACCCTGCTGCTGTTGCTGGCCACCAGTCTCCCCGCCACGTTCCTGGCTAGGGTCCTGACCGCCCATCAATGCTAGACCCATTTCGGCATCTGTCTGACCGGCGACAGCGTTGTTTCCGTAGATTTTGCCGTTGATGGAGCACTTTTTGAACTCCATGATGTTCCTGGTCAGGGTTCCCGTCTTGTCCGAAAAGACGTATTCAATCTGGCCCAAGTCGTCCGTTAAATTCCACTAGATTGGCCAGTTCAAAAATAACAACAAAAAATTAGTTCATTGCTCTCATTTGGCGCAGATTTAATTTTTTCTTTTTTCACATTACGACACTGCGCATCCACTCTTTTAGTGCCAAGAAATGTACAAGAGCAAACTTCAAGAAACAAACCACAAATGAAAGGGTGCAGGGTCACTTACAGTCTTGGGGGTGCAGAATTGGTCCAGCTCGATGTCGTACATGTCGCTGTCCTGCCAGATAAAGTACGCCTGAAAGGTCTTGACGAACTCGATGGAGATGTACAGGGAGATGGGGATAATGTTTTGGAAAATAATCAAACTCGTGCTGTAGTAGACGTATAAAATAAATATAAAGTTAGATATAAGCCTTGCCAGTATATATATGGTCGCGAAGAATAATATTCTCCGTTTCATGTTTTAACGGTAAGAGACTTACAAGAATGTAATAACACCTTCGGTAGTCACTCCACGAACCGATTGATCCCATAACTGTTCAGCCCCTGTGCCTCGCCACTTGCGGTCATAGATAGTCGATCCCACTGCACAGACAACGCAAAGCAAAAGCAGGATGCCAAAATTGATAGCAACCTAAGGAAAGGGGCGGTAGTGGTAATGTAATAAATTGTTACAGGTTGTCCTTGTTGCAATTGTTGTGGGCGAATGTTGACAAAAACAAAAACAAAACAGAGGAAAATGACTTGCCTGAACGTTCATGGTCTTCTCGATACGACTGCGCTTGCTTGGGGTTTCGCCAGAGTTCAACATGATCTTGGTCTCGGTACCGGTCGCAACAATGACGGCAATGACCCAATGAGTGTTACGGATGACATGTCCACGCAGCAGCATGTTGTTAATGTCGACAGGGATGGTGGTCTCCTTGTAGGGGGAGCTGTTCTTGGAAGCATCGAAATCGCGGGGACTGTCAACCGCGCCACTGCCGGTTGCAGAGGATTCTTGTCTACGGGGTGAGGCCACATCCTGCTGTTGCTGCTGCTGAAACTGCTGCTCGTAATTGGACCTGAGAACACTCTTAGCCATAGCACTGGCCCCTGCCATGCTGATGGCGGTGGGAGTCCTGTGGAGACTGTGGCGCTTGGACATAGTAGGATGGAGGGATGATTCTGCTCCAGGATGTTGGTCGTCCTGGTCAATCTCGGATGGCTCCTCGTACTCCTGCTTGTCTCCTGAGGAATAAATATCCCCAGTTTGCGTTGTGGGCGAGTTGGATGAGGCAGGATCGCCATGAGAATGCGAATGAGAGCCAGAGAGGCGGGATCGTCTCTTCTGCGAAGGCGACTTGTGGAGACGCGCATAGTCGGAGGCACTGGTTCCACTCTGAGCAGGCCCGGGCGAGCCGTCGGCAGACGAGGAGTTTCCATATCCCTGCTCAAACGATTCCCTGTAGGCGTCGTTTTCATCCATGGATCCACGAACACTGGACATCATACTGGAGGTGATCGAGGGCGCATAGTGACTGAGGCGCCTGTTTCCTGAGGGTCCAGCAGAGTGTCCTGGTGGCTGGTTGGCTGGGCGACGCTTCTTGGCCAGCATGGTGAGGGAGCCGTTGAAGGTGAACAGATTGGCGTTGATGGGCTCCATGTCGACGTAGAACTTGAGTCGGCTGCAGCGGCGGGCGGTGTTGTACTTTGAGGTCTCATGGATCGACATGCGTGTCTTGAGATTGGTCTCGCCGTCCAGATCCTTTGTCTCAATGAAGCACGAGCCCTCAGCCTCGGAGGTGGAGAGGATAATGGCGTCGGCGGGGACAGCCTCGTTGTTCTTGAGCATGATAAAGTCTCCGACGCGCAGATTGTGCCATTGCTCCTTGACAAACTCGGGTTGTGGTTCTGTCGAGCTGTTGTTAGCGGTATCATTCCGTGGCTGTTGTTGCAGGTCGGTGTCGGCGGCATTGAGCTGGTTCAGATCCAGCTGAGGAAAATTGTCTTGGAGTGGCGATTTTTTGGACAGTTTCAGAGCTCTCAGAGTTGACATGGTAGTATTGCTGATGCCATGGACGAGACCGGCCCATGCTCTCGCTGGGAGGCTCTTGTTCTTCTGTGCGGCCATGTAGTCAGCGGTCGGGTAATTGTAGTTGACGACGTTTTTGAGCTGCTGGCAGAGGCGCTGGTTGAAGTTGCGGTCCTCGACGTGGCGCTTGTAGTCCTCGAAGCCGTCCTTGATGGCGGTGACGCCGACGACGAAGCAGAGGGGGAAGACGGTGAGGAAGGGCGAGCCGACGGTGAAAGTCGGGGTGAGCTGGATGATGGCCATAAACAGGAAAAACATATTGGCGACTCTGCGGAACTGCTCAAACAGGTTCTTTGGCAAAAAAGAGAGGGCGGTGTATTTGGCGGTGTTGATACGATTGGAGCCAAAGGAGAGCTTTGGAAGACCGTTTTTGTCGAGGTACTGGGCTGGAAGGGGCATGTTGACAAACACTCGACGAGAGTCCTTTTTGGACTTGCGGAGCGAGATCTTCGTATCTGCCCGCGTCAATACCCGGCGCACTGGCTCGCTGCTAGGCGTGCCATTAGTGTTATTGTTGTTATTATTATTGCCGCTGTTGTTGCTGTTAGGAGGGAGTGCTATAGAGACTTGGCGGTGGAGTGGTTGTGTAGCGGGGCTCAAGCTCTGCTGTTGCTGTTGGTCTTGTTCTTGTTGTTGATGGTGTTGACCTTGTTGTTGATCGTCGTCTTCGTAAATGGTAGACTGTTGGAGTGGGGTTGCAATGTAGTTCGGGTCAGAGAGGGGTTGACTGAGTCGTCTTTGCTGCCATGGGGTCTTGTTGTAGACCTTTCGGAGGGGATTCACCATGGCTCCGTGGCTATGGCGGTGGTGTTATTATAATAAGGGAAGGAGAGTGAGAGTGAGCAGGGCAGACGGGAATGGGGCCAATCTGTTTGTCTGTTGTAAGAGGAAAGGAGGAGGTGATTATGAGAGGAGGGTGTCCATGGGGGAGGTAGGAGTAGAGTGAAAGAATATGAAATGTAAAATGAAATTGGAGTGAGTGGGAGAGAGCAGGAGGAGAGGATTGTCTAGTGGAGGAGGAGGAGAGGTAGAGATTAAGAAGGGAAGGGAGGGAGGGATGACAAGGTGCAGATGGAGGGAAGGACGGAAGGAGGAGGAGGCAGAGGAAAGAACAAAGAAGGGAAAAGAAGTGAAGACGGCTGCCAGAAATAAAACGAAAAAGACGGAGTGAGTGCTGTTGCCATTCTTCTGAGCAGGGTCCTCTTCTTTCGTTTCCTTTCTCTTTTCTCTTTTCTCTTTTCTCTTTTCTCTTTCTTATTTCTTGGTCAATGTTATTCCTGACCCCCACCATCCACCATCGATCGTTATATCATTCACTCTTTGCCGTGAGGTGTGCGTGAATGTCACTCACTCACATACTCACGCGCTGTCTGTTTGTCTGGCTGTCTGTCTGAATGTCTGCTGTTCAAAACAAGGACATGGTCAGCCATATAATTTCTATGAATACCTTCTCAGTCTGCGCTCACTTTTCTCTCCTACACTCTCAGCCCGCATACACATACACATTCACATACACTGCATGGGAGGCAATCGTTTTGCCGCGCTTCATCATTTCCGGGAGGACACTTGTTCCGATTCGACAGACAGCTACAAACAAGAAATAGAAAATTTCTTTTCGCTGGGCCTTGCTCTATTGCTGGCGCTGACCCAAAAGCCCAAATCATGCCTTCTAGCTGTCGACTTTTATTGACCTGTTCTCACCGACCGTTCCAGGGTGTCACAAAAAGGGGTACGTACTTGTAGAGGGACAAAAAAGATATGTGAACGGTATGGGATCAAAAAGGGCGTTGAGAATTGAGCATGCAACCAAGCAACATTGCAAATAAGAAACCACCTTTTTCCAATCGATTGATTGATGAGAGAGAGACAGCCTGTAACAGGTATGAAGAGCGCCTAAAGGAAATATCGCCTAGTGAACGTTTGGCTTGGACAACGGTATACATCCCGATCCTTTGGGAGAGAGGAGATCGTCAGGATAGACGCGTCCATTCTTCGTGTTTTTTTTCTTTTTTTTCTTTCGTGAAAAGGTCAAGATTTCAGACAGACAAACAACCCGATTGATTCCTTTTCATTTCTCCTTCTCCACTCCCCAATTACACGTGCTGAGAAAGGAGAAAGAGCATACCATCTCCAAAACCTCGCTTCAGCCTGGCTCTGCGAAAGCAAGGTGCATGCGCTCACATTATTTTTGCCTTCTCTAAACCCCCCTCCGCTTATCATGTTTTCCGCCTGACAAAGCACTTATTGCATTCTCTATGTGTCAACAGCAATATTGAACGCTCACCTGTCGTTTATTGACTTGTTTATATATCCGTGAATGAAATCAATGAAAATAGCCGCTAATTTTGCTTTGTGTCCTCTTTGTGTTTATCGGCGTTCGAGAAATGAGGGGAAAGGGCGAGGTTTCTGGAGATTCCATGGAAGAAAATACATACAGCCTCCTTTTTTTTCCGCCTCCCTTATCATACGCCAATATCCATCCATCAGCCATGGCATGACACCACCACCACAACCAAGGTGAGGACAACAAACGACTGCAGTACATGCGCTCACACCATCCAATTCATGACATCAACTACTCCTCCTTTTCTTCTTCTCTCCTGGTGGTATGTGTGGCCTGCTGCATGTTGCTGTCCCTTTGCCCCTTGTCCCTTGTCCCTTTACCATTTGGCAGTACACATTCTGCGACTGGAAGTGGGTTGGTTACCGTGATCAATTGGTTGCTTGGTTAGGCATCCAGCTCACTCTGGCATAGGTTCTGTTCTCTTTTTCCTCCCTTGCCTCACTCCTCAACTCCTCGCTTACCCCCCTCTTTCAGGTCTACCATGCCATTGTCGGTAAACATCCAAAACAGCAACAATGCGCGCCATAGGAGTAAAGAAAAGGGGTGCAGTGGGGAGAAGGAGGAAAAGGGGAGGGGCGACTGGGAGGAGGACAATGGACTGTAGAAGGAGAGAAAACAACAGCAAGAGAAGGGGCGGTCCAAAGGGAGCTGAAAGGCGAATGGGAGGGGTAGGTTGATCGAGAGGCGAGGATATCCCCAATCTCTCGTTTTCCTAGGATCATTTCCTTCTTACCCACCTACCCACCAACAACGCGGGTTTGCAAACTCGGTCTCATGTTTCAATTGTCCTTCGCCATGTCCCGATCGTGTCCCATAACAAACGCGTTTCGTCTTTATGAACCTTGCAAAGATTGGATTCATTTCTTTTTGAACATCAAACCCACAATGTCTCCAGCAAAGAATAAAAATATGGTGATGAATGCGAGACAACCGCTAGCTCGTCTATTTTTAGTGACAAGGAAGGCGTTCTACATTCTAGTGTCCAATGATTTCACAGTCCCACAATGCATTTTTTGCTTACGAGAAAACATGGAGGCGCAAGAACCAGGGCATAGAATTTTTTTTTTTCTTTTTTTTTTTTTTTTGCATTGACCTTTTTTGAAGGGTTTTTGGCTCGTCATATTTATTTTTTTACGTTACTTTCGACAGACAGGACACAGGACAATAATGATGAGCAGAGAGACGGACAATTGGTTCTGCCGCCGATCCCTCTCTCATCTTTATTATCCAGTCATTTTCACACGCCCTATCCGCACTCTTCAATCAAGCATTAGCACATACTCATAACAAAAAATATTAAAACCCCCCCATCTCAAAACAAAACGTGGCATGGATATTCACAGCAAGACTCTTTCCAAGGCAATATTCTTTTTAGTAAGATGATTCTACAACAAGAAAACAAAAAAAAAAAAAAAAAAAAAGGCAGGAAAATAGGTACCCCATTCTTCTAATTATCAAAAAAAGGCTAGACCATGAAGCCAACTTTGCTCCGCGGGTTAGGTCCATCGCCAACAACCTCAGGATCCAAAAGTCCCTTCCCAAATCGTCGCGACATCCGCCTTCCAACCTTGGTACTCGCCAAAATACTACTCGCAGGGTTGACCTTGGCCGCATTCTTGGCAGAGTTGTACATCCACAGCCCCCAGAACGTCATACAGACTCCTGTCCACTGCGTCGTTCCCAACGTTTGGTGGAAATAGATAATGCTCGCCACAATCACCACAATCCGCTTGATCAACGACGCAATCGAGTAAGTGACCGGAGACGTCAAAGCCAACACCGAGAAGGCTAAAAAGTTTTGGAAAAAGTGCGACACGCCGTTGAGGAAGAGCAACCAGCTGATCCCGGTCCAAGTACCCGTCGATCCTGACTCATGACCCAACGGATCCTCCGAGAACATCAGGTGCCAGCCCTCGGTGTAGAGCCACATCGGGATCATACAGAAAGCCGCCATGGTTGCTGAGTAAAACAATATGTTGATCTTGTCCAGCTTTTGGCTCGAGCCATGATGTCCTCCCAACGCTGCGTCGATAGGGTCCGATCCAGGGGTTGAGATCGATTCCTTGTTGCCCAATCCTCCCATTCCATGCTCCTCAGACTGCGCCTGTTTGCCCTTGTTGCCCGAGAGAATCTTTTTCGTAAACACATTCTGCATCACAAAGACCAACGTCGACAGAAGGGCTGAGGTCAATCCGACCAGGTTATTGAACTCGAGAGACATGCGGCAGGCCAACATCACTCCCGCTGTCAGGGGCACAAGCGATAGGTAGGTTGCCTTGCTGTAGGTCGTCCCGAGGACAACTCGGTAGAACAGAACAGTAAACAGTGGGGTCAATGCCTAGCGAGAGAGAGATATGCATGGGGTATAAATAGATGTTAGCATTATGTTCTCTCGCTTCCTTCCATCCATGCGTGCTTGTCAGAAAGACAGGAAAAGAAGCACACACGTTATGCCATTCCACTCGTTACGCTCCATCTGACCGCGTGCAGTCTAAAAAAGGGAATCCAAGGGTAAACACATTCACACACAAACAATAGGAACACCAAAGCAAACAAAGCAAGGAATTCTCCCCTTTCCTCTCCTTGATGTATTTGATGCAGGAGAGCATAGAATTGGCTACTCCAGGCCGTTCCTCTCTGCCCATCGATAATAAGCCAGCGTGCTTTCTACTCAATGATCCAATCCAGACAACAATTCCCCCTCGGACGTATGATATGAAAACAAGATGGCCCGATGGTGTCCAATGGATTCTCCCGCGCTCAGATTCCCAGACTTGTGAGCCAGAGAGAGAGAGCCTCGTCTTCACCACCACCCTTTTTCTTCATTCCTTGGCCTGGCCCTCAAAGTAGAATAACCAAGGATCATCCCCCATCCAATCGCTTACTTTTTCTACTTCTCGAACCCCCAAAAAATATTCATGCATCGTCGATCTAGAACCAGTTGATCTGCACCAAAACGGATAAGGGAGCATTCACAAAGTCAAAACAGTTGCGTACCTTGACAGTGTGGACGACACTCAGGGGAACGCGACTGATGGCGACACTGGAAAAGACATGTCCAACAACCTGAAATCCAACAAGGGGGGCCGTCATCTCAATAATGCCTCTCGTAGGGGCTCGAAGCCTTGTCATACCGAATCCAGCGGCAGCGATGTAACAAAAGATCGAGACGAACCAGAACTGGACAAATGTCAGGGTGACGGGGTAGCGGAACTGGTTCATGATCTGCTTGCCAATGTTGTTGGTCACTGCTGAAGACATGTACCAGGAGAGGCAGATCAAAGGCAACTTGAGGACCAGCATCAACGAGCCCGGGCTGAGTCGCTGTCTCAACGAGGTTGCGGTCGACCGCGGGGCATAGGCACTGCTGACAGGCACTCCACCTCCACCCATGCCCATGTTCATTCCACCCAGACTGCCCATGCCTACGCCCATGTCCGAGAACCCCGACGAGGACGACGTGCCAGCATGACGCCCAAAGGGAAGCGAGGTTTTGCTGTGGGGAGATGAGGGCGAGACTGCGTCCTTGGCCGATTGAACGACCTTGGTCAGGGACTGGTTGAGAGCAGGGGGTAAAAAGACAGAGACACTCTGGATCGCAGATCGAGCATTCTTCTTTTGCTGTTCCCTATCGTGCTCAATTTGGTCCTGTTGATGTTGCTGTAGCTGTTGGGATTCAAACTCGTGTTGGTGGAAACTCTGAAACACAGCACGACCACCCAGAGTGTTGTTCGAAGGAGGGGTCGCGGTGGAGATGGATGACACCCCGCCGACACCGGGTCCTCCTGCTATTATCCCTCCCGCTCCCGTCCCTCCCACATTAAACAGACCGGACCCGACCGTTGCGGATGACATGCCCACTTGAAGAGCCGAATTTGTTGACAAGAGCGAAGCAGGGGTTGTGTCTAGCCTTGAGCCAGGGACGGGAGAGGGCGAACGCATAGTGACCAGAGGCGCCCGAGTATGGGGCAAGCCGTTGCCGTTGATGTTGTGGTGATTATGTTCGTCGTCGCCGTGTTGGTGGGCAGAAGGTGTAGAAGCAAGAGTGCTTTGATGTTCAGAGTTGGAAGGGGTGTGAAAGGACGAAGACGATTGGAATTGAGAACTACTTTGGTGATGGGTGTGGGTAGGTGTTTGTAGCAGAGTGTGGGACGACTGGGATTGGGACTGGGAATGCGAGTGAGAGTGCGAGTTAGGCGAGAGCCCTTCTGGAGGAGAGTTGGCGCCTGACGATATGGAGGTTCTTGGAGTGGGGAGTTGCTTTAAGTGGAGAGACAAGGGCGTATCGTCCGCGGGACTTTGCTGGTCGTGGGACGCGAGGGTGTCAAAGAACGCGTCTGCAGAGGCAGGAACAGAGATACCATTAGTTGCCGTAGATGTATTAGGATGGACTGTTGCAACAGCCCCTAGAGTGGATGCGGCACCAGGAGATGAAGAAGCAACTGCACCAGCAATATGGGCAGCGCCAACGACGGATACCCTAACCGATTGCCGAGAGCCTTTTGTTGACTGAACGTGTTGTTGTTGTTGCTGTTGTTGCTGCTGTTGTTGGCCCAGCGGGAAGGCTGTCACTGTGGCAGCCATAGGCAAGGAGGACAGTGTCGAGTCTCGCTGTGGAGGAGAAAGCTGCTAGGTTGGGTTCCGTTGAAGGGGAAGGAGACAGCTGGCGAATACTGGCGTTATGGTGGAAGTGTATGTGAGTGAATGTACTGCAATTGAATGAGTAACTCTAAAAGAGAGAGAGTGTGTGAGCGATGGGCGTAGGTCTCAATGGGAAGAAGAGTAGAGAGGAGGAGTGGAGAGTAGAAGGGGAATAGGGGATGAGAGAAGTAAAGGAGGAAGGGGAAATAAAGAAGGGAAGGGGGATGATGGTTGGATAGAACCAGCAGACAAGAGAGAGAAGAAAGGAAGAAAGGAAGAAAGGAAGGAAGGAGAGGACAAAGGGTACGGAAAGGAAAGGAGGATAGCAGTGGGGTGGGACGACAGGAGGAATATCGAACAAAGTCCATCCATGGGTCACACACTCTCTTCACAGGCTATTAATACACGATCGAGAGACACACAGACACTCCTCCACTCTGTGTAATAATGTAATAGATACACAATGTTCCACTGCTGCTGCTTACAGTGCAACGATATGGCACCGAACACTCGTCCCTCTTCTACTTCTTCGTCTTCCTCTTTCATCGCCTTTGCTCGTGCTCCTACTCTGCCTGCACGTTTTCTTTGCGTTCCCGCCAACTTAAGAAGGATTGAAGAAAAGGATTCACATAACATGAACAACAAGAACAAAGAATAAGGCGTGTCGGTGCAGTTCAGAATGAACACACAAAAGAAAAGAAATATGACCGAGATTCCTAGCTGACCTGAACACGACGCTAGGATACAACAAATGAACAACAAAGCAATTGGCACCCTCTTCTTCTTTTCTTTTCTATTCGTCCTCGGTTCTACCTGCAGCGTCAGCAACGTTGAATTCATCCTCAACGCGTCCTTCCTGGCAGACAGAGCCGCAACCGTTTTTTTTTCTTCTTTGCGCCGGGTACTTTGCAAAAAAAAAGTGATAGTGTGACTGCTTCGCCCTCGAATTGGTGGCCAATTTTCACTGACGCCAAAAAAGGGTCCACCCAACAATGCACCTCCTTTCAATCATCAACACACATCAGGTCCATCGCCAAAACTCACAGGCTCAGCAATGACACACAGAAAAGTCGGGAACAATAGAGTCCTCCGCAAGGACGAATCAGGAACCTACTACAAGGACATTGTCTTTGTCCCCAGCGGGTCACTCTCCATGAACAATAACCCTACTGCTTCAACTTCAAGTACTCGCAGCAGGGAGGAGGACATCAACGAAATCCGAGAGGTACGGACCTTCAGTCAGTTTTGACCTGGATACATGCCTTACCGAAGGATGAAACACCCTTTACAAGTGCGCGACCTTTTGGACACACATACTAACCTTACGTGGTTCTCCCGCTTGTAATTGATTCACACCTGGTAGTTCTACAAGTCTGTTCTGTCCATGCCAAAGACCGAAGCACCGCCTGTGCGGCGGAGGAAACCCAACGTCCTCAAACAAGTATCAGGAACAACAAAGCCATCATCGCCATCAAGAACAGTGGCATCCACTCCAACGGTACATTCTAGATCAACAAGCAACTTGTCAATACCAGGATCCAATATCACATCATCTGCAGCGCCTTCGTCAACATCGAGTGTGCCCTTACCGCAGCCAACCACACCATCAAGCACTACTTCACACCTGCCAGGATCAAGCATAACCTCAAGCACATCGGCAAAACCAACACCACAGAGCACACAAGTAACGTCGGACGAAATTGTGCGGAGGAACTGGAGCCACGCCATCCCATCAGGATCAACTACCACCGATGCAACATCACCGCCTAAGAGGGCTGTCGCCGAGGGATATGTTCTTTGTGAGCCCTGTCAAATGGAAGTACGGAAAGATGATCTGGATAGGCATCGACGCGGGACCGCTCACCTCATGTCACAGGAATTGCCTGTCAAGCCCATCGACACATTGACCCTGGGGCGTGTAAGTATTTAAAACTTGCTTTTTCGCTTTATACTTACAGTATCAATATATCGCATGTTTTCGAGTAACAGCTAACATATCTTTTCAACTTTTATGAACCATATATCAGGAAAACAAAGGATTCAGGATGCTGTTGAACAGTGGATGGGAGTACGAAAAAGGATTGGGCGCAGAAGGGCAGGGTGCTCGACATCCAGTCGCGACACGTCTCAAACACGATCGTCTCGCACTCGGTGCTGCTGGAACCAGCAAGAAACTTGTTACACACACCTTCGAGGAGATTGAAAAGAGTCGCGCTAAACCCATTGCCAAGGTATGTATGTTCAACGGAATTTATCCTGTGGATTTGCGATACGAGACCTTGTTGCCAATCTAACTAGCTCGCACCTTTCTTTCTTATGTCTATTCATATCAACCAATAGTCAGATCGAAGGGTCCCTCTCAACGCCGACGACTACAGGAAAAAGGCGGAAAAGGAGCGCATGGATCGGGTTCGCATGATGATTTACATGAAGAAATAAACCCCTCCTTCACCTTCTCGTCACCCTCATATCTCCTCAACCGCGCGCAACCATGGAAAAAATATACATCGTTTTATTAGGGCGGAAATCCACCGCACTATTTCCGATCGGGGATCGCCATATCCCGCAAGTCCGATCCGCTACCGTATCTTTAAGTCGATAAAACGCCTTGTGTTTATTAGGTCCCCTGATATTCACCCTCAAGAAATACATTCCGAGCTGTTGTAGTTTTTCCGTTGTCTACTTACGACATTTCAGACCATACTCTGTTCAGTTTTCCTTCTTTCACTTCTCGCATGTTATTGTTCGTGATAAAGAGGGGCTATCTAAATGCAATAAACTACAAAGAACTGAGGCGTCCAAGAGAGGAAGGAGATGAAAAGAAAAAAAAAAAAAAAGGCAAAAAAAAAGAAAAAAGGAACTGAAAAAGGATGCGCGCGGAAAAAAAAATAAAATACATAAAGAAGGTCTAATCTATTTTACAATGTTGCAAATGCAACGGCTCTAGTAGGAGTCGACGAAGGTGCCGATGATGATGGTGGTGGTGATGATGATGATGATGATGATGGCGATGATGCTGCTGATGGCGATGATGATGCTGATGATGTGTTGTTGTTTTTGAGTGCAGCTATGGTGCGTTTCCGTGAGATACTGATCTGATGACGAGTCCACTCCTTGGCTAGGTTAGGTCCGCCCTTCTCGAAGGCCAGGTTGATCGACTTGATACCTCCCAGCACGCCCTGGTATTCCTTCAGAATCTCGACGGTAGCGATGTCGGGCTTGAGTGGCGCCAGAATGGACACTTTAGACTTGGAGCCACCCTTGGAGTGAGGCTTGGCGAAAAAGGCATCCAATGTCCTTCGAGCAGCCTTGAAATCCTGGTAAGAAATGAGGCCTGCCAGGTACGCATTAAAGCCCTCAATGCCGATCGGGATAGAATGTTTCCGGACCCATTGGAAGCTGTCTTTCAACTGCTCAAGACGGCTCTCCACGGGCAAACTAGGGTGTGATGACAGGGTCTTGAGAGGCTCTTCCGGCAGAGTCACATTCATATCACGACGCTCCAGCAGCGGGTCCAGGAACTCCTGGTGTCGCAGGAGTTGCTGGATCATCTTCCTTTGTCTGCCCTTGAACTCCAGGTGCTTGGTGTGTGCGTCGGTGCTGCTTCCTCCATGACGGTCCAGTTGTCCCGGCGACGACATATCAGAGCCGTGAATACCACTCTGACCAAGTCTCAAGCCCAGACCAAGGCCTCCCATGCCCGGCTTATGTCTCACAGGAGTGAAATCCCAATCGTTGCCTGCAAGCCGCGACGCAGTCCTCTCGGCTTCTTGCTGAATTTGCTTGACTTCACGAGATGACTGCGGAACTTGACGAGCAGCCTTGGCGACTTGCTCGAATGCTAGGGCGAGAACCGATCTCTCCCCCGGATCGATGGTAATCCCAAAACGCTCTCCAACAGGGGTGTCACGCGCCGACCCATCCTCGTCCAGATACCGCACCATCGAGGTCCAAGCCTTCCAGACGTCGTCTCGAACAAGTCGGTCCTTGGAGTTTGCCTTGGCTCGCATGACTCCGACGTTTGCCAGGACAATAGGACCATCCTCTATAATCCTGTTCTTCCGGACGCCGGCGATATCCCGTTCGATCCGGTCTCCCGACTGAGCGTAGAGCAGCTCGTAGACACGCTCAGCAGCCTCGGGCAGTCGGTCCAGCTTCCAGATCAAGTCAACGACGTCTTTCTCCTTCGGCCGAGCGTCCTTGTGTCGGTCCATCATCTCGTACAAACTCCGTTCGGCCATCGAAAGCTTGCTCTTGCTCAGGTAGTGCTGAAACAGTTGGCGATAGAGTGATGTCGGTACAGTGATCCCTAGAGGAACATCGCCTGATTTCAGCCCTGCGCCTGACCGCCACATCTCGTTAAGAGTCTTCAAGGCCAAGAGGGGTTCGTCCTGCCGCAAATGGTACTCGAAGAGACTGATCCACGTCCTTGGGTTGGGGGTATAAATATAAGGACTGCTCCGCATCAGATTCAACACCCGACGAGCCTCGGTACTGTTATCCTGTGCCAAGAATCCGTCAATGAGCAGCTCGAAGGTTCTTGCTGTTGGAGACAGTTCCTGACGCGTCATGAACTGGATAATGTTCATGGCCTTGAACATCCACTCCCTCGAGACAGAAGCATTGTCTACACCGTAGGATCCAAGCTTTTTGGGCGCAAAGGTAGAGACTTGACGGACGCACGTGCTCATAAAGGGCTCCATCATCCGCGGGAAGACCTCGAACCCCTGACGTGCGTACTCTCCCAGCCAGAAATGAGCCCTGTCAACATCCAAGTCGCGGAGGGAGGTGTTGATGAGGATACGGTACGTCTGCTGATCCGGTGTGGTTCCTGCCTTGACCATCTGTGCCATGAACTCCTCGGCCTGGTTCTGTCCTTTGTGAAGCCCGATCGCCTTCAAAAGAGTGTTGTACTGGGTCACTGTAGGACGAGGTCCGGCGGTCTCGAGGTAGCGTAGGGTCGACTCCATCCGAACGAATTGCTTCATGGACCCAAGCTCGCCCAAGTAGGACGTATAGACGTCCAAAGGGATCGGATGAGGGTAGTGCTTGTGCAAGGTCGAGAAGAGTACGACTGCTCTGTCTGATCGGTACGCCCTGACAAACATCTTGGCGAGGAGGTGGATCGTCCTTACATTGGGCGCGCCAAAGTCGGGAACACCAAAGTCAAACCCAGGCGATCGATAACGCGTCAGTAGGGCTTGGCCGATGTTGAATCCAGTCCTCCAATCCTTGAGCTCCTCGCACCGTGTCAATATGACATTGTAGTCTTGGGTGGTGAAATGCCTTGGTTGTACTGGCTCCGGTGCTCCTGCGGGTAAACTTGAAATGGTAGGCGTCGTATCAGCAGCTCGCAACTGGAAATAATGAGTCTGGTCCAGCTTGACGACCTTGTAGAGCTGGTTTCCGGCCGGCAGCTTCGCACCTCCTTTCTTCCCTCTGATCAAGAGTATGGCGTCGATGATCGCGAGCCTCGCGGGTCCCTCCTCCAGCACCTGGTTCATGTGCGCCACGCGTTGTTGCTGCTCCAGGATGTACGGCCGGCGAATCGACATAAAGTCGTTCCGCTTCTTGATACTCCGTTTCAGCCTAAGGTTGGCCATCCTTCTCGCCGATGCAACCCGCCCGGGTGAAGACTTTGCCCGCGAGAACCTCAGAAAATCCGTGATTCCCAAGAATCGGACATGACGTGGGTGTTCCTTGGTAGGGAAGTAGTGAATGTGATGATACTGGGCCGGTAGAGCGTCTCTCTGGGCTTTCTTCACGCCAATCCTCCGTCTGTTCTTCCGCTTCGTCATCCCGAAGCGACCCTGATTCGTGAATCCTGATGGTAGCCCGTTAATTCCCAGGAGCTGCGAAGAGTGCTGAGGTTGTGATCGTTGCATGAGCTTCAGCTGCCGTTTGAGCCTCGTACCATGCATTCCTGCAATATGCCGCCGTTTCCGACCTAAACGAGCCACCAGAGTAGGATCGTTGTACTTGGCGACTTGAGCAAGAGTTGATGTGACGAGGCTGTTGGGTGGTAATGAGGACAACGTTGAAGTGGGTAATGTGTTTGGTTCTGATGTGGTGGAGCGTGGTATTGAAGAGGTTGAAGAGGGCGTTCGTGTGGGTGATCCTGCGATTGAAAACAATTTGTAGGCCCTGGAACTAGTCCCGAAACAGCGCTTCGCTATTGTTGTTGGTTTGAGCGATCCCGAGGCGAATAAGGTTCCTGAACCGAGTCGGCAACCACAGGTTCTCCGGAGCTGCGACGATACTGGCGGCGACGTCTGTTCTCCCACGCGAAGAGTAGTCCGGTATGGTGAAGAAAAACAAGAAGCTGTATGCGTGGCTTGGTGGTGTATAGAGTGAACGCGGTTGTGGTGGGGCTGGGACCGGTAGTGTGAACAGAGGTGGATCTGGATGCGATTCGCGTGGCCCTGCTTGGATCGCGCTCCTATCGTTGCCAGAGTAGGATGTCCGAGCAAGGGTCGAGCCAGTGGACACGTTGCCTTCAGTAGCCTCCTGATGTCCATGGTTCGTTATAGAAGAGTGTTTCCAGCGTTTGTTCCGAGAAGAATGTCGCGCCCTTTCTTTGACCAAAGTTCCGAAGAGAGAGTAACAGGTTCGGTCCTTTTTTTTGTGCACCGCGTTTAACGAGAGCAGAGAAAGAAAGGTTTGTTAGATCAGTTGTTGCCAACATCAGTCATGGCAGCAATGGTATAAGAAGGAAAAGGGATGTACCTTGGTGATGAAAGCACAAGGATTGGGGCAACCAGGACGTGAGGGTTGTCGACAAGAGAGTGGTGTGGGAAGGAGGGGTTGGGTTCGGAAGAATGTGTCGGTGGGAATGGGGTGTGCTCAAAAAGAAAGCAGATCCCGAAGCACCTTTGACTGGCCTCTGGCAAACACAAGCCACCAGAAAATTGCACCTTTGCCAGTGTCCGCAAATGGAAATTATTTGCACGACCTTTTTTTCTTTCTTCAGGCACAAGGCACAGGCAACACCTTCCCGACCTTCACCATTCCCCCGACTTCACCCTCGCGCCATGCATACGACCAATTGAGAAAAGAATGTGTGAAAGACAAAATGGTTTTATTATTTTCTAATGCCAAAAGATGATAAAAAAAAAGAAACAAGCAAAATAACAACCTCACTCCGGGGCAACTCTAATTGTTTAGTGCAACTTGGCTGTTGGGCTAATGATGCACATGGCACGCGCGCGACGGACAGCTTTGGTGACCCGGCGCTGGTTCTTGGCCGAAAGTCCAGTCTGCTCCCTTGACATGAGGCGTCCCAAGGGTGTGATGTAGTGTGAGAGGAGGGTGGCATTCTATCAGAAACATAATGTTACACGGAGTTAGAAATGGTCATTTCTTCTGGATGTCACAACCATTATATCGAATATCGAATATCGAATGAATAAAAAAAAAAAAAAAAGGTAGGTAAGTACCTTATACTCGACGACTGGGTTCAGCTTCAGGATCTTGAGCTGATCGACGGGCTTGGGAGGAGAAGCGTATGTGGTGGGCTTGGAGTCGTTCAGGTCTGATGGTTTGTAAATCTAAGTTCCGGCATAAAAATAGGCCTTGTCAGTCCTCTATTGTTCTTGTGCAATAAATATCCATGACGCCGTTCATCCTGGCTCCTGGTGCATCATCCTTACATCTCCTCTGTGAAAGTTTCCGCGAGCCATTCTGAACTGCTCGTTTGCAACCGATCCTGACGTTTCTATTGGATTCAATTGAAAAAGGAGGCAAGGTGAGATCGTGGTCCGATACGCCCATACTATAACTTGTGAGCACTGCAACAAAATATCGATTTGCCCCTTCTTGGACGAACAACGTACGTGAGTTGATGGAGTTGGCGATAATGTTCAACAAGGAGTCGGCATCTATCGCGGTTCAAAGAAAAGAGGAGAAAGTTGTGAGTTCCTGTTAAATCTCTGTGAAGGCGTTGGTGAATGACTTTCTCCGAGGCTGTGTGAAATCGCGTCCTGTTTGACAAGGTGTAGTTCTGGCGGACTGCGACATCCTCTTTTTTCTCGTTCCAAAACAAGTGTCCATGCACAGTGTCGTTGGTTTCCTTTACCCCGAGGGGTGAAAAGAGAGTCACTGAGTGTTGTTCTTACGATGGCGAGACCCCTCCTGTTCACCGGCATCGTCGGATTTGAAGCGGCGGGCGACAAGGTTGTGGGAGGAGACGGCGGAGGTGCCTCCGACCTTTGGCACGAGGGATTTGAGCGACTTGGCTGCTGTGTTTCTGGAGACGGATGCGAGCATGGTTGGTCGGGTGAAGTGGTCGGAGTGGGAGAGAAAGAAGGGAGGGTGTCGAGTGTGAGTGTAGTGAGGGACGGACGAAACTGACGCTGAAGGAGAGGGGGAATGCAGAGGGGGATCAACTGGCACTCGGGGAGCATTGTCTCAGTGGCTTGTGCAAATCCAAACAGGTTCATTCCCGACAGTCACACTTTTAGCATGATTAACAAACCTTCGCCCAATGTCCAGCTCGCCCCATTCGCTTCGCTATCAGCTTTCGACACTTTCCACCTTTCAGGACAAGCCAATGATGGCTTGTCTACATCAGAACCACCTGACGCTACCATGCACGCTGCTTACTATCTCTTTCGCATAAATTCCTTTTCTTTTTTTAGCTCGGCATCATAAACTCACACACCCTTCTCTCTTCTGCCCTCTCTTCCCTTCGCCACCCACAACCAACAACATCACTCCCAGCACAAAACAAACATCCACAACACAAAAGTACCCACAATCCCTCACACACAACAATAACCATCCACAATGTACTTTAACCCAATCGCAACCGGAGTAGCCGTCGTCGCTGGAGCCGTCGCACTTCCCGTGGCTATCCCCCTGGCAGTAGGGGCAGCTGGCTTTGGCGCAGGAGGGATCGTTGCTGGAACTTGGGGCGCTTCCTTGATGGCGACTTATGGAGGAGCCGTCAGCGTAGGCTCTGCCTGTGCTGCACTCCAGTCCATTGGAGTGGTCGGTCTTGGAGCCTCTGGGACTGCGTTTGCCAGCTTTGTTGGAGCAGCGACTACGGGAGCGGTGGTCGCTGGCGTGAATAGAATCAAGGGTGAACAGGCCGCTGATGCATCTTGCGCACCTTGCAAAAAGACGACTTAGAGATACGAAGGAGAGAGCGCTAGTTGAAGAGTCGGTGATGATGAAGGAGGTGATGTTGATAATAGAACAATAGAGATAGGGTGAAAACGATGACGAAGATACCATTGATGCGAGAAAGATCCGAAAAATAATGGACGACACCCATCCCAAGGAGATCTTTGCTGTTGTTCCTGCGGCCGCGGAGTGAAGTGGAGAGGCGGTGAGGGTCTTGCCTGCTTTTTTTTTTGTTCTAGAAGCGAGTGCAGTGAGATCCCCATTTTAGTACGCCAATATGTTGTGCGACAAATAAAAATGCCTTGTCAGTCGAGCAATTTCTCGAACCTTTCCTTCTCTCTTTGCCATTGTTTTCCTTCTTTTCTCTTATTGCCGAACAAACCACAATGGCATCATGGCATGGACAGCCAGAGCGATGTAACACTCCATAATTGTCTCCGCTTTTCCTTTTTTTCACTCACTCTTTCTTTGCGTAGGAAGGTAGAGAGAGAATCACTCCTGGTAGACGAACAGTCGGTGAAGGCATCGTCCCTGTTTTTTATGCAATTCCCGCGGACAACAGCATAGCAGTTCATGCAAGGTGCTCATTTCCCACTCGCAAATATTTTTTTTCGACTCCCGTCGGACTCAAAACGCAAGAGCATAGAAGTACATCCAAGGCGCTCATTTCGCTCGCATAATTTTTTTTTGCACCTTTCTTCCTTCCCTCCCGTCTTCCCTCACCTCACTCAAAACAACACCATCCTCAGCACACTGCAACACAAAAAGTAACCGCAACATCCTCACACCCCTCGCTACAAACAACAGTAACACTCCACAATAATGTCCTGGAGTCCCTTCGCAAAAGGAGCAGCCGTCATCGCCGGAGTCGTCGCTTTACCCCTGGCTATTCCTGTAGTAGTAGGGGCAGCTGGTTTTGGCGCAGGAGGAATCGTCGCTGGATCTTGGGCCGCCTCATTTATGGCGTCTTATGGAGGAGCCGTTACCGCAGGTTCTGCTTGTGCTGTACTCCAGTCCGTCGGAGCAGCCGGTCTGGGTGTCGCCGGAACTACGCTTGCCGGTGTCGTTGGAGGAGCGGCTGCAGGAGCGGCGGTGGCGGCTGGGAGCGCAGGAAAGGGCGATGGGGACGATAAAAAAGGCGATGGAGACGATGAAAAGAGCGATGGAGACGATGAAAGCGAAGACGGCACCTATATTGGAGATGATGAAGACGATGGTGATAATAGTGGTGGCGGAAGCAACGGAGTTGCATTAAGAAACAACAGCAAGGTCGATGATGACACCAAGATGATCCGAGATATGATGGACGACACTCACGCCAAAGAGATCCATGCATTTTACCAGCATACGTCGACTGATGTCAAGAAGTGGTAGAGACCTTCGCCAAATGCTTTCAGCAGGAGATAAATCGCCCTCCTTGCAGCCCGCTGCCCTCATTCTCTTTTTTTTTTTTTTTTTTGTGCGACAAATAAAAAAAGCCTTTTTCAATCGAACCATTTCTCAGGCCATTTTTCATTTGTTGCTCATGGCCACATGTTTTCCCTCTTCGCCATCGTTACCCCTCATCCTCCTCTCGTCAACGCCTGCACATCCAAAGTGATGCAAACCACAATTCGCCTTTCGTTTTCCCTATTTCAACTTGCTTGTCACCAGGAGGTGCTGAAGGGTCAGCAAAGACAAAAAATATTCTGATAGCATCGCCTTTTCTCTGCCCTCAAACCTTTTGTCATGTTCCTTGATGCTCAGTACTTAAACGTACTCTTTCCTCACTTGGCATGATCTGGCAAACAAAGGCTATCTACTCGCCCCAAGACTTTTTATCCACAACCACCAACGCGTACGTGCTTCTATCCTTGATTTTTCAATCTCATTCCTCTTTCGCTGCCTTCAACACATACCACACCATTTCACTCACCTCGCACAGAACAAAACCAAACCTTCGCAATACAACCACTACCCACACACTACCAAACAACAAGCACCTCAGCGAAGCCCAACTCGTTCTAAATAAGGGACGATGCCCTGGAACACCCCCAAAACCAGAGCAGCCATCATCGTCGGCGCCGTCGTGACCGCTCCACTTGTGTATACCACATTCGGATTCATTGCAGCAAAACTTGTCGTCGCGATCTCATGCGATTTGATCCGCTACACCTACAAACAGACGGATGCTTGAGTCGCTGATCTGTCGGCTACTGAACTGCGCTTACCAATGTCACCGGAGGAGGAGCGAAAAAATCGCCTACAGGAGTGAGTACCAAGATGGCAGGCGCAAGTGAAGATAAGCAGACTTCTATTCTGACCCTCCGAAAGCCGAAGATTGGATCGACCAAGAACACCTCATTTGTTCAGAGTAACTTTTTTTCTGTCGAACAGACAAGGCGTATCTTCCATCCCCATCGCAAAATAAAGGATCGCGTTTTACACTTTCGTACACCAATGCACGCCTTTTTTTCTTGCAATCAACCATTTTTGAGGGACACAACTAAAAACCAAAATCTGTTGACTTGTTAAGAAAAAGCTTTTCCCATCAGTACACTTTAAATTCATTTGGACCTGACTCGCACTCTTTTTTCTTTCTTCATTCACTTATCACCCCACTCTCCTGTCACCCTACTACTCCACCATCCACCTCTGCGCTAAAACAGCCACATCAGTCTGACTCACTTCATCACTCCAGCACAAAAAAAAAAGCAGAACCTACCACCCTCCGTTCCCCATTCCGAACACATGCCCTTGAGTCCCTATGTAGCAGCAGCGGCCATCGCCGCTGGAACCATGGCTTTACCCTTCGTCGTTACGTTGGGGGCCACCGGACTTGGGCTCAGTTCCGGTGCTGTTCTCGCGAGCACTGTGACCACCAGGGTTATGTTAGTTTGTGGAGGAGTCGTCGCCAAAGCGGGAACTGCCGCGGCTGTCAAGTCCATCGCTGGTGCCGGGCTTGCTAAAAAAGGGTTTGTCCTTTCCGTGGTCGTAGGCGTGGCGATAATTGTTGGGGGGGGGGGATTGCCCAGACCGCCAACGAAGATAAAGGTGAATTGCTATTGATGGTGAGCCCTCCGGAACCTCCTGCTGACGACTGACAGCAATCAGCATATCTAACACACCATTCTCACGCCTCAACCTCCGTGCTATTCGCCCAAGCCGACTCGCCTTTCCTACTCATACAACACTAGAGCCGTCAGGGTATCAACACCAACAACACCCACAAGCAAAACCACCACCATACTCACTTTGAGAGGCGCCAGTTCAACTTCCTTACAATCCACCTTTTCAATTCATCAAGGCAGGACAAATAAAACACCTCTCTTTACCTACAACGACCTTTCATCATGCTAATGATGCTTTGCATCAATACAGGAAAGTATGTCCTCCACCATATCAAACCGTACTCTCCAGCTTTCTCACAGCAAAGCCAGCCTTTTTATCACTGTCAGAAATCATAAAGCGGTTCTGATCACCATCATACAGATGCATCGCTTTCACGGCTGATGTAACACTCCGCGAGCTTCCTCATTGGTAGACGAAAGTAAGTAAGTCCCCGTCCCTGGTTCTTGTGCAAATCCCGGACAGGACCATTTCCAACAATCACCCACTTCGTTCCTTCCATTAATATGTCTGTGCCTTTTCAGGATCGGCCAACCATGAAAAATCAATACCATGTGCACAGTGCACGCGATTCTTTTCTTTTTGGTTCACCCAACAGAGTATAGCAGTTTATGCAAGGTGCTCATTTCCGCTCACATATTATTTTTTTGGCACATAAACACACCTTTCTTCTTCCCTCTTCTATCTTCCTTCCATCTTCCCTCTCCCGTCTTCCATCGCCTCATTCAAAACATCAGGAGCATAGTAGTTCATGCATTGCCACTCACTTTTTTTTTCGCACACAAACACACCTTTCTTATCCTTCCTCCCTCTCCCGTCCTCCCTCGCCTCACTCAAAAGAACACCATCCTCAGCACACTACAACACAAAAAGTAACCGCAACAACCTCACATCCTTCGCCACAAAAAAAACCACTCGACGACAATGCCCTGGATCTCTCTCTCAACTGGAGCAGTCGTTATCATTGGAGCCGTCGCCTTACCCGTGACGATCCCCTTTACAGTCGCAGCACTCGGGTTCAGTTCTACCGGTGTCGTCGTAGGTTCGGCGGCTATCAAGACTATCGCAGTATATGGAGGGATCGAATCTGTAGGATCTATCTGTGCAACTCTCCAGTTGATCAGTGGTCTTGGGGTTGCCGAAAACGTGATTGCCGCAGCCGTAGGAGGAGTGACTGTAGGAGTGATATCCAAGATTGCCGACTGTTTACAACCTGCCAGGAATGATGGTGGTCGACCGCTCGCGGCTAGGGATGTGGCACTTGACGAAACGACTGGTGGAGACGATGAGGATGCAGAAGGAACCAATGCCGAGGACTCTGAAGGTATCAGAAACACGAAGGGTGGCGCCCATTTTGTTGTAAAAGGCGTTTATTCCGCGACTGCGACCGAAGATGAGGGTGAGCAGCCCGCTAACGCGACAACTACCGAGACGACAATCGGTGGCGGCGGTGAGGATGGAAATGTCAACGGCACCGTCATGGTCGACGACAATGCCAGTGTATTCTCACTTATCTACTAGTGAGTAGACGTGTTGAGAGAAATATGTGATGGAGTTGTTCTCACCACATAACTCTTTTGAACAGATCGACTCAACGCGCAACAACACTCTCTCACTCTTCAAAAAATGGCGTAAACATCTAACCATCCACCCTCAAATAAAAAAATTGCGACATTCTGTTTATGTGTTCTACGTTTGCTTCGCCATGGTCACCTTTCCTTTCTCCCTCGAAAAAAAGCCCATGATGGGTCAGTCATGTACATTCAAATACCCTCTTTTTCTAGTTCTCTATCGCTCCTTCCTCCTCGACATGGACACGGAATATCTCGATCATCTATTCAACCTCCCAAAACCAAGGCTGGAAAAGATTCACTCCTGCGTGTGATTCGCAGCATCCTGAACTGGAACCCGAATGCAATCCCGGATGTGAGGCGGAGGGTCGTGAGATAAGGCAGGCCAAAGTCCCACGACCAGCGTGGTCGAATGATCCTGCGTACTTCCTGGGATATAATATTATCCGGGATGCCGTCATTCTGTTGTTCGCCGTAGAATCCTCGATCGGCGGGATCTAATACACCGTTCACGTTCGCCCTAATTGCCATCAAGAGCTCTATCTTCATCAGCTTGGGTGTTGACAGAAGCGTGTCGGAGTGAAAGGACAGCGCATGCCATCCAGCCAAATACAACATCGTCTGGTCGGGCAGTCGGAGCAGTTGGTAGGGGGCGATGTCACAGCACCGGTATTCGTAGGCAACACTGTTGAGCCTGAGAGCCACTGACTTGAGACAGAGATCGAGTAATGATGTGTCGATCTCAAGTTTGCCATCGCTGATGTTCAACTCGAGGTGGGTCACTGGCCTTGCATGTAGCGCCTCATTTCTTCTTTGTTGAGGGCACGAGCGTCAAGGCTCGTTTGTAATCAGATGGGAGACAATGGAGGGAGGGAGGGAACAACAAGACAAGGGAAGTGGCGCAGCAAGAGGATGGGATCTAGGAATTTTCTTGTCCAGACAATGGTCCAAGAGTAGAATAAGCATTAATGGGGGGTCAAGAGGAGAAGGACAGAACATAGATTCTACTTCACTCTTACGCCTGGCGTACTCAGTGACTTTGCCTCTCTTCTCTTTTTATATCGCACTGCCCCTTGCGTTCGTTCGTGGATATCGCTACTAGTTTTCCGAACGTCTTTTATGCATGTTGTCTTCGTCGTCGGTAGATCCTCCTCTCCTTCAACTCTTTCAGCTGCGCGTCTCCCTGCCCGCCTGCCCACGTGCCCAATCATATTCAAGGAAACAAGAAAGCATCGTCGACTTGACTGGATCACCAAGAAGACACCCCCCAGCTCCTTGGAAAAATCTGGAAGGAAAGGTCATGGCTCTGATTGCTATAGGGACACGGTAAAGGCCTTTAGTTTCTAACTTCACTTTTATTGGTGGGTACTAGACATTGGCGGACCTTGACAAAGTCTACCGGTAACGGGACGGGGTGCGTTTGTCGCCCAACTCCCCCTCAATCTCCGAAAGAAAGATAACTTTAGTTTCACGTTTTGGGCCAATCGACGCCACCAATATTTTTTTGGAACCATCAGTTGAATGTGCTATTCGACGGCGCCAATCACTCTCAGTCATAACTTGTCTCAGTTACTGATCGTGCCTGAATAATCTCTGATTGCAGGTGCATATACTCGCTGGCGCGCTGGGCAGCCTCGCGAAGGAATATGAGGGTATATATGTTGACACGGAACATGGCCATAAGAATAAAGAGCACAAACGATTCTAAACACAAATGGGTGAACTGCTTTTGGCATGGGAGCCCACCCATTTCATGATTTTTCCTTCTCACAAAGGGACGCCACGTTTCTTGCTTTTCTCTTTTCTGACACACGCAATCTCTTTCATTCCCTTGTCCTTCATCTTCCTTCCTGTCTTCCCCTCATGATCATTCCTCCTCTGACAACTCTTCATAACTCATTCATCAGCACACCAAAAACACATCACCCTCAACAATCACCCTCAGTAATCACCTTCACCCTCACCCTCAACTCTTGCTATTTGCCCTTAACACTTGCTATTAACACTTGCTATTAACGCCTGCGCCCTGCCAACCAATGACACCTCACCAACGTTTTCAACATGGCGAGAGGGTCGAACTATTCCCTCCGCGGAAAGATAAGACTACAGGCATACTGTACGTTCGGGAAAAAGATGTCCAAAGAGCCTTCCCTGGTTCCACTCTGTACAAGGTCAACGGTGTTGTTCTTTACTTCCTCGAGGACGAGAACGAGGAGGAGTAAGTAGAACACAAAAATAAGAACATAGTGAACTGCAACGTTATATTGATACTAACCCGCTGCTTTTCATTTTGGCCCTATAACTTTGCTCTCTTGTGGTATAGGTATGAGCCGAAAAGGATCGGCTACTCCCCAGACGATGTTATCGAGGTGGTCATCCCCGTTTTGGCGCACACCCTTACAACCCCTACAACCCCTTCAGTTGACTTCTCTGGATTTATTTTTTATGTATTTATTTTTTATTTTTTTTTTATTTGAATGGAAAGAAAGGATTTACTATGGCTTAAACAGCCTTGATTGAATTATTTTGTGCTAAGGTTTTGGTGATTTCGCGAAGTATGGTTTGGATGATATCGCTACTAGATTGAGTGTGTTGATGAAGAAAAAGAACGGTGTTGGCTGTGGAAATACCAATGAGGCAACAAGCCAACAATTGTGGGATAGTGATGTTGAATTGAGGTTTGATATCAAAAGTTGGAGGATGGAAAGACAAGACCTTATCAAGGTCATCATCAGACCAAAGTGGTTTGTAAGTGTGTTGCTTAAGGATTGTTTGCCAAGCGATGTATTTAGGAGCGCACTGAAAGATGTGATGCGCCTTGTTCTCACGTCGCTCACGACATCCAGCCATGTTGCAATGAGGATCCTGCTTCCAGATCTTATGGCGTAGAGTCCCGCAAGGGAGCCAATCCCTTTTAAACCTCCACCACATGGTCCTGGCCCGGTGTGGTATCTTTGCACTCCAGAATTGGCGCCACTGTTTCGAGGTTCCCGTCTCTGGTTGGGTTGATGAGTTTGAGTCTGGTGGTGGTGTGTCCTGCCTCAAAAAGGCTCGAAGATGTTTGTTCGTGGCCGTTTCCAGAGTAATGGGATTACTGTCGTTTGGGATCAAGACGGATGAGAGGATACGTTGTGCCAATGTATCGTTCTGTGTGATCTTGGGTGGGTTCGAGAGCGCTTGTTGCATACTGTGACGCATTCGGCGACGTTCTTGGTAGGCTTGGATCCCTAGTTCCACTTGAGCGAGGCGGAGCTTGGGGGAAAGGTGTGTTTTTCTGACCAGTTGGAGGAGCCCATTGTTGTCTGGAGAAAACTGAAAGAGCTCTTCCACTCAGAGTCTGAGGGCCTTGATAGTGGTGTCTGTCGTTTCAAACCACCATTCGATTGGTGAGGAGGCAAGTGTTACGGAGTCAGGCAAGGAGTCAGCAAGGGCCAGTGCTTTGAAGGAAGGAAGGAAGGGCGCCGCGGATACCAATCGTTACAGGCCGGGGAAACCTTCCAATAAGGATCTGTACTGTCTATCCAGGGGTGCTAGGAGTAAGGCAAGGCGGTGAGACGTTTTGGTTCTCCATCGGATGATATCCAGGATGATGTCCTTACCCCAAGAGACGTTAGTGGAGAGAGCATTGCGGATATGCTTGAGTTGGAAAACATGGCATTGAGTCACTGGGTCAACGACACCTAGGCCACCCTTGTCCCTTGGAGTAGTGATCACCTCCCATGATGGCCTTGGTTTAAAGGAGCATACGAATTTGGTGACGGCAGCCTTCACCTTTCGCACAAAGTCGAGCGGGGGTAAAAACTATGGTTCCATGGGATTGCGATATCACAAGGGCTGGCGAACACTCTTGTTGATCTGCCATTAAGTCGAGTTCATCGTAGCTATCCAAAGGACGACAATATGCTCGAGGTGGTTCTGCCTCGCTTGAACCTTGCTCAGCCCCAAGTTCTCATTATCGACTACCATAACTTCAGTCCAGAAATGGAGGCGGTTTTTGCTGCAAGAAGTACAGCGTTTACGGACGAGTTTGTGCTTTACTTGGAACATGAAAGGATACTGAAAGCGGACGAGGAGCAGGTGCTGAACCCAAGGGAGGTGCAAGGATCGTCGATGAAACTTGCCCGTCACCGTGTTCGAGTTTGTTACTTTTTTTTACCACATTACCGGAGTACTATAGATCTATTACCTCTTCGCGGCCATAAAAAGCCATTGACTCTACTTGTTTATGTTGACACTTGCTACTGCTTGTTTCGTCAACTATTATCGCCACTTTTCACAACTACCTAAGGAAGGGCGAGAAGAGACTTGTACACACAGCCTTGGAGCGATTTTCCTGCAGCATATATTTGGGACATGTTCTAGTACTTGCATCGATCGCGAGACATCCCTGTTATTGTGTTCGCTTCTAATGGATGCAACAAGTTGACTTTCTACCTACTATTTGGAATAGGAAAAACGGAACTTGATATCATCTGTTGGACCTGACTTCACAAAGAAAACACCCACCTCACAGGTTTTATTCCCAGCGGCGACAGTGCGGAGGAGGTTTGTAGTCACCCTCGCGTTTTTTGACGTTAGGCCGCGATGGTTGTTGACGCATCTTGAATAGATCACTCCATGAACAACAAGGACGCGTGGTTGTTCCTGGATTGTGTCTATCAGAATCACTTGCCAGTCGTACCTGGCTGATTTGAGAGCCCTTTTTAAATATGATAATATCATTGGCTGAAATGCCTTCGGTGTGTGGGCTGAACAGTGGCTGCCACTGCTTGGGTGATCCTTGCCACAAAACAATCACCTTCTTTTATTCCACATTCTACCATGAAAAAACGTCCAGCTATCACCAGCGATACTGACTTACCCCCAACTCGTTTAATCCAATACCATGCCCTTGAATCCCTTTGTAACCATAAGAGCAGTCATCGCAGGAGTCATCACTACCCCTCTGATAGTCACTGGGGTCGCCGGAGCACCGGAATTAGGCGTAGCAAGACTAGCCGCTGGTAGCTCGCTCCTCGTCGCCACAAAAACAAGAGCAGGAGTCATCGCATCACTTCAAGCCATCGGAGCAACCGGTCTATCAGTTATTGGAACCGTGATCGCCGGCACCACAGGAAGACTGACTGCAGGGGTGATCAATACCATCGCGACGAAGAAAGGTAGCGATGAACAACGGCAACCGGCCATCGCGAATCCTACCGATGTGAACGGTGATGATGATCTCACCTATTAGTCGTAGGCGAGTGGGTGTTCAACGAGTGTGGTAGAGGTCCTCGTTCTTTTTTTTTGATTCCAGAACTGTCATTTGTCCTCGCCAACAAAAGGCATTGTTGGAAAATAATAAACTGCGAATAGAGGGCAAAGCAACCTTTGCATGACAATGATGGATGTGAACAGACCCCTTTTTTTTTCTATCACTTGTTCTTCACCATATGTCAACCCTATTCCTGTATGTCCATCGCTCTCCTTTAATTCCTTTCAAAAAATCAACACCCCGTATTTTTGTTCTCGAACAATGCAAATTTTTAAGGCTATGCAAAATCAAGTGCTTCTTCCCCCCCATCATTCCAACCATGCACCCTTGTGTGATTGGCCATCACACTTTCTTAGACATCGTCATGCTGCTGCAAGTTCTTGGTGTCACAGGAATGTGCAGCAAAAGATGTGAAAATTGTGAAGGACATGGTCTCGGCAGCAATTTTGTAACGTCACCGACGGAATCGTAGATGTTGTAGAAGGGAAATCTAGATTCTGGGCGAGGTGTGCAAGTGAAAAGCTCGAGTCTAGATAGTAAAGGACGTGGAACTCGAATGTGGAATTGACTTAGGTGGCGAGGATATAGTACATGCTCTTGATCAAGTCGGTCGTAACGACACTCTTGTTGGAGGACTCGGTGTGGGAGGCGGCGAACTTTACGCCAGAGAGGAGGCAGTGGATGGCGAGGCCATCGACACGGTGGAATTTGGTGCCCCTAAAGAATTGACAAGAGAGTGCAGTAAATTTTCAAATTCACACTGTCAGTCGTGCTTCGCTCATAGATCATTTGAGACATACATAGGCCTTTCCACACTTGGGGGCGAAGCAATCGCTACTCCCTCGCGCGCCTCGTGGTAAAAAAACACTGGTGGGGGGGTCTATGCGACGTGATACTCTTTTCCCCTCCCATAGAAATGCCGGATACTCTATGCTTGCCTTGCTATATGGCAGATTTTCCACACCCACTCCATCCAAACAAGCGTGCTTTTCGTATCCAGCTTCTAGGCACGCCTTGTTCATTATCGAACAGTTGTGGTTTTTGAACACGTTTTCCAGCAAAATGGCGTGCATCTTGATACAACTAGGCACCGTGTACTTTTCCATACCGCCAAACAAAAGGCTGTTATTCATCACAACCAGGAAAAGCGGTTTGTATCACACACACAAACTCTCTCTCTCTCGGTTCAGTATCTAAATCTAAATTCACATTATCCTCCTTCCTTCCATCCACTCGCCCTCCACTCTACGCTCCACATATCATCACCTTGACATAAACAAGAATCCATAACACAACTAACCTAGCACACAAACATACCCACACAGGGGCCACCCACTAATCTCAACATGATCCCCATCGTCGTAGAACTCACCGCAAGACTTATCGGAGTCGCCGCTGCACCCTTGGTCGTCACTGAAGTCAATGGGGCACTCGGATTTGGCGCAACGGGCATCACTACCGGAACTGCAGCTGAAGGAGTCATGGACTCTTATGGCGGAGTCGTCACTATCGGATTTGCTTGCGCGATCTTCCAGTCTGTTGAAGCCGCTGGCCTTGGAGCTTCTGGTGCTGCACTTGTTGTTGTCGTGGGTGGAGCGACTGCAGGTGCCGCTGCCGTAGGCGTGGTCGGTAAATGTCGCGGCTATACTTCCTAGACAAAAGGGTGGCGAGGGGAATGGAAGATTGTGGAAAAGGAGGCAGCCATTTTGCCACAATATCTACTCCTCCTCCTCCTCCTCCTCCTCCTTTCCCCTCATGAGTTATGACGACAATGGGCAAGATCATCTGAGAGCAATAATGGTGTTGTTTTTAGACTTGATCTCTCACCCGTGGCTCACATATGATCCTGCCAAGAAATAAAATCGAAAAAATCCCTTGTGTGACAAAAAAAAAAGAACTGCCTCCAGGCACTCATTGTGCCTGTTTGTCCCTTAATGCAATTGAGTTTATTTTTGTCATGGTAACGTTCCAGGGCCGTTCTTCACTCCTCCTATCTCTTGCCAACTACAGTCAGCTTGTATGTGTGTCATGCACAGGAAAGCTCATGCTGAAAAAAGTTAATTGCCCTTCCTCTTGTCGACCCCTCGCCTCTATCCAAGGAGTCCAGACAAGTAAACAACGCCTCCTGGCAAAAAATCACACCTCCTAAAGATTGGCCATTGACTTTTGTATTCCTTCCTTCATATTCCAATCGCCTACCACAACAAGTTCAATATTATGTACATCAAGCGTGTCCATGCTTCTGTAACTGAACAAGCGACTCCGCCCCCTCAATAGCCTGCAAGTCCGCCTCCACCTCGCCTTGTCTGCCATCATCATCATCAAGTCCATCTATCGCTGACACACTGCCGCTTCTGTGCCTTCCAGCCATGACGTCGTTAAGGTTGGTGGTGTCCAACGGTACAGTGTTCCTTTGCTGGGGCACCCCCTGTCCTCCTGATTCCAGACCATACTGCGGCTCACCTTTGTGCAGCGCTGCGTCGTGTCCTCCTGGCATGTACTGGTCCCCAAGGCAAACCCCTTCCATGTCAATGACTTCCTCGCCCCCTTGTCCTTGGCCATGTTGTACTCGTCCAGCAGCACGTTCTTCATCACCATCACCATTGCTTTCTCCTTGTCCATCAGCACTGCCCTCCTCGCCCCCAGTTTCTCGTAGTTTCTGTTCATGCCTACGCTTTGCTCGCTGGCTCTTCCTCTCCTGTTTCTCTCCAACTCGCCTCTCCTTCTCAAGTTCTCGTTTTTTGATTCGATGGGCTAACTATATAGTACACGTACAAAAAATTAAAAAAAAATGAATGTTAGCAGCTGCAGTATGATGCAAGAATATGCATGTCGTCAGAACTCATGGGAAAAAGTGAGACAAAAAAACCCCCCCATCGGTAGCTAAATGAAGGATTCTTACGAGAAATTCTTCAGGGTACTCGTTCTCGTTGAGAGTGAGTCCTCCCGATCCTGCGTATTCGAACCGTAAGAGACGATGCCGGTAGTAGTCTCGGACCATATCCTCCACCTGAGGTCCTATGCTGGAAGTTGTCGATTGCAGCATGGACATTGGGAATGCTGACGGCAGGGTAGATTGTGGCACCGGGTTTCCACCTCTTCCATGTCGAACATAGCTAACCACAGGCGCATTCGATGATCCTGCCATGGTCGATGCCCTATTTGTTCCTACCGTTGACCCTTGCACCAAGGTCGCGGAGGTGGTTGCTGATGAGGGTTGGTCATATGACTGAGGAGCTGCAGGCCTCACTGAAGGCACAGTCGATCCAGTTCGTATCTCCATATCAGTGTCTGAGTTGTCGTCTGACAACAATGTCCGCCTTGCGTTTGACGATGCTGTCATTGCTGTTGCTGCGGTTGTAGACGATGGTCCAGTAGATTGTTGAGCTGCGCCAAAAGTCGATTGTCCTGTCAAAAACTGTGGCAACGGCTTTGCCTCCTTGAGGTTCATGTTTGTTGGCTTTGCACGTAGGAGTTGTTGCATCACGAGTTCGCTGGAACGTCTCGCCAAGGCTAACGACACCAGACCGATTTTCGCTTTCCGGTACTGCCCAGCCAACGACGACAAATCACTGAGCAAGGGCTCAATAGGCACCTATGGAAGTGCACAGCCAATGTTGACAAGGAAGTATACAGTCAGCAAGCGCAGTTGAATAATTAGCAAACAAATTAATTATCAGGTGAAATTGCAGGTATATAGATAGATGGTTGCAGATAGGAGTCATTACTGGGCAATGGTGCATGTAATAGAATAGAATAGAATAGAATAGAAATAAAACATATGATAGCCTGATATTCTTACCAGTACCGCATCATGCATTGCGCGTTCTGTTTGGATCAGCTTCTTTTCCACTTCAGTCGTTATAAACTCGTTGTTGCCCATGACTGGTTTGCTGGCCGGTGTTTCCTGCGCCACGTATACGAAGGCGTTGCTGTCCCGCAGTTTCCGTATGACGTATATTAGGTCGGTTGCCTTGTGTACGAATGCTTGCTTGTAGATTGATTCGAGCAAATGCCAAGCATGGATCGTGAGGCGGATCGGCACCTTTGGGAAGCTTGTCGGTTGAGTGAAATATAAAAGGTAAAGTGCATACACTGCACCTGCATGGGCCATCATCGTCTCCATCGGCGACAAATAATGCCCTATAGGTGTGAGTGAAAAAGGGAATAACGAAGGTTAGCGGAAGGAAGGAAATGGAACAAATTAATTTCCAAGAAAATTTTTGCCCCGGACGGTGAACCAACACAGCGATCACAGCCATGCATAGCAAAGTTGCTTTTGCCGTTCCGCGGAGGGAATCGAGAAACTTTGCGCTTCATTACACAAACTGACGTAAAGGCAATCAGCCCAATCGCCAAGCCCCAACTCGAATCCCTGTCTCGCGGTCTAGGGTAAGCAATCGGCGTGTGAACGCTTCTCCCGGGGAAAGGCTGGGTGCTGTAATTCATACGACACACGACGCGTCCAATGAAGAGGCTGAGCTAAAACCGATCCTGTGCATCATCCTGTAATTTTCTGTCTATCGCTTTGGCACTTTTCGACCTTTGACGTCCTGACGTGTATTGTTGATGAAGGATCGAATAGGTACACATTCCAGAGAGGGGATGCTTACGGAAGAGAACTTCGGTCAGCCCACCAATGAATATATCTCGACTATGGGTGTCGTTGCAAGCAAAGTGAATAAGAGAGAACCGTTGACTCTTCCAGAGGATGGCAAAGGGTGAGTACTCATACGAGTTTTTCTACGAGGGGTAAAATGGAAAGGTGGCAGATGAGTTTAATACTAAGTGTGTTTGCCAAGACAGCCCTGAAACCTTTTTATGTTTTTCTCCTTCACCCCGCTATAAATATCTGCTCTTTCTCTCTCTTTAATATCGATAGTCGACAGGTACCTCCTTGTATGCTTGCATTAATCCATGTATGTCCTTTGTAATTGCGGTTGTGAGGAGGATCGATTTGCTAAATGTGAGGCAGTCGATGTTCTCTGGGATGCTCTGTCCGGCGGGACCTGGATGCGATGACGATGACGATGACACTGGAGGTGAAGAAGTCATGGAGTGAGTGTTGGTGTTGGTGTTGGTAGGGAGGTAGTTAGTGTGAGCTGTCTGTGGGAGCTATTGGAATTGTGCTCCATGGGGTTTGAGGAGTGGGAAACAGGGGTTGTCAGTACATTTATTCCCGAATCCAAAAGACCAGGAGCCGGCACTATTTTTAGCCACAGATTGAAAATTTCTGTTCGAGCTTGTGCGGCTGTGCTATCTCCCAGTCAAACGGCAGAAGGCCAAAAGACGAAGAGCACACTTATCTCCCACCATGCGAACTCTGATGTTTGCATGGAATAACACACACTTTTGTCGATCGCTCGTCGGGAAGAGAATCATGATACAAAATCTGGAAGACAGAGCAACCAATAGAGTAACTGTGTCAAGCTCCAAACCACCATAAACGCATAAAATGGTCCGCGGGAAGGAATCTTTTTTACCATTTGGCCGTTCAGTGATGTGCCCTTCTTTTGTTCTTTGGAGCAAGCTTCCTTCTTCATCCGCACCATCCGGTGTTTCGGTAAGCGGACCCTGCACCGACTTCACAGCAGTCTGTTCGTTGCTCTTGTCTCCCTCGTTCTGGTCGATAAGTGAAGGCTTTTTTTATTATTCACTGGCTAGGTATGCCGAGCAAGAGCAAGGAAGTTTTTTTTTTTTTTTTTTTTTTTTTTTTGGCCACGGACGACAATGGAACAAAAGGTATAAATGATACCGGCAATGTTGCGCAGAGAACTTTTCTTTTTGCATAAAAAGGAAGGAAGGAAGGGGCGAGGGAGCGAGGGCAAAAAAGAAAAAGAAAAAGAAAAAGAAGAATATGAGAGAATTGTGGAATCGGTGCCGCTTCGCCTTTTACCTTTCACGTTGAGCATAAATAACGTCGCCTTTCGCTCATTTCCCACTTTTCCTTCTTTCTTTCTTCTTCTCCACCCATTTGATTTCTCGCAACCAGTCACAACCAACTTGATCCCTCCTCCTTTCTAATTATTCGTCCTTCTCACTCACCCACCCACATACACTCTTACACAAACACTCACTTTCCTCCGCAATAACGACCATGCTTTTCACCAACCGACCACGCCGAGTAATCCATTATTACGATCATAACCTCACCACCTCCGTCCTCTCCCTCTCCGAGGACGGGCACGACATGCTCTCCAACATTCCTACCATCGAAATCCCATTGTCTCTCTCCAACAAACTCTCACCAGAATTCCCTCCTCCCTTCCTCTCAACCATCTTTTACGATATCACCTCTCTTGCCAACACCATCCTAAAAACTGGAGGACTCTTCAAAACAAAGATCCAGACCTCTCAAAACACCCACCAACTCACCGTCCTCTTCGTCACCATCAACAACCCCGTCTTACCTCAAGTCGACATTCAACTCTACTTCAACAACTACTTCCACCTGCAGCGCCGTCAAATAAACACCCAGCTCAATCGAGTCCTCCGCTCTTGCGTCTACGAACACCAGCACATCAAACGACCCATCCACCCCTTTGCCCTCTTCCTCAACGGCCACCAACGCCACCATTCTTTCCGCCGACAATGTCGCCTGCAGCAGCGACGCCATCGACGCATCGCCTCCAACAAACACTCGCGTACCCACTCGCCACGGAGATCTATTTTCATAATTCCCCCAGAAATCTTATCTCTCATTCCTCAGCACATCACCAATCCTAAAGCCCTCCTCAGTCTTTCGCAAACTTGCAAAGCCTTTCAACAACTTTGTTCCGATGACAAGCTTTGGTACAATATGCATGTCAGTCGAGTCTCCCACTGGTCAGGAGATACAGAGCCGGATCACATCGGACAGGGATCCAACATTCCTCAGAGGCAGCTTTGGCGACAGGTTGTTCTTGACGACTATTTCCGCCATCCCGACCCTGAGGACTCCAGCCCACTCACCGTCGCCAAGGCAAACGGACTATCGCCTGCCTCCGCCCAATGTGACTGGAGGATCGAGCTCAGTCACTCTCGGGAGATTCGACCCGCCCATCTTGGACCTGCTTCCATCAACGCCATTGTTGCGCCTTCTCACTCCAGCCCCAAGCTCCTGACCGAAGCACAGGCAGGTGCGCAGACTACAATGGGTAAGCCCATGTGGCGCAATACCGGACCTCCCGTGTCGTACACCGATCCCAGCACGCACTTTACCATCACAGCATACCTCCAGGCCCGGTCGATCATCGCCTCTACCAATGAAGAGGACCAAACAGTATACCAGGTCGTCCTCTACAACCTCCACGACAACGACACTCCTCTTGCCATCATTCCTGGCACTCTTTGGTCGGACAAAAACCGCACCAACCTCCAGAGACCTACCAACAGCCGTCCTATGATCGGACAGTTGATGGATATCAGGAGGTATTCTCATCAGAAAGACATTCTTGGTCGGACTCGAGTCCTGTTTGTGATGGCCTTTGGTGAGCGGGTGCCAGCGAATGTGACGCTGCCCGAGAGAGCTCCAGGCGATATCGAAATGGAGCTGCTGGATGTGTGGACGCAGGGCAAGATCATTGAAGTATACATATACGACTCTCCCCTGCTTGCAGTGCCTGCGGGCGCTTCTCCTGAGCAGCGACCAGCAGCACCCTATTGGGGAAGAGTGCAGCACATCGATCCTAGCCCACAGCATCCTACGTTGATACGAGGACGGGCCATCAAACTGTACTCGATCCGTGAAAGTGAAGGTGGTCCTGAACAGGATCGGGTCGCTCTCTTTGGCATCCACCACGACGGTCGCTCCAACATTGTCATGCTCACGGGTCCAGTCTTCCCGGCGTCGGCACCTTCATCTTCGCCATATACGAACTCTGCGGGACGTCCTTCAAGTGCTTCTCCTTCGGATGCAGTTGTTCCCATGACCATTCGCTATGTCACCGGGAATTTGCATACAGCCTGGTCGCCTTGCTTCTTTGGATCCCAGGATGTCTCCGAGACTACGTCGATGACACTGTTTCCAACTCATAGCGACTTTGAGCACCTGCTTGTAATAGTTGATCGTCGTGGGCATGGTGAGATCTGGGACTGGGTCAACAACAAAAGAGTCGTATCTTTGACCGTCGCCCAGGATTCGAGGATGACGAGCAATCCTGATCTCCGTCGCAACCTTTATTTCTGGGGTGTGCAGGTCAACTGGACAGTCGAGGAGCCTACCAGAACCATGTCGAGTAAGCCGCTGGGAAAGATAATGCACGAGAATGTTGCTGTTGACGGTCGATCCCTCTTCAGGGCGCGCGGTGATTTTAGGATCGTCGCCTTGGCGGATGGTCAAGATAGTGAGTGGGAGACCATTCGTTGGGACATCAAAGAGGCTGATCTCCGCGAGCAACAAGCCGTAGCCCGCAGCATCAAAGAGGCCGGTCTCCGCGAGCAACAAGCCGTAGCCCGCAGCATCAAAGAGGCCGGTCTCCGCGAGCAACCAACCAGAGTTAGCAACACCAACTACGACAATGACGGTTGTTTGAAGGTCGAGTCGAGGAGCCGCCACTACGAGGCCTGCACCATGGGCCGGACCTATGTTTCCCCCACCGCCACCACCACCATCATCACCAACAACAACAACAAATCGGTCGCAGATACCGATAGTACTCCCGTACAGCAGTCAGAAGCCCATCCTCTGTTGTTCATAGCATTCCTTATTTGGGACCATTACCGGATCGCCTTAACCTCCCAGTTTGGCCTGTGTCTCTTCGATATGAACAAGGAGATGCCAGAAGACATTCTTTCGACGGATCCCGGTTTTCATTCTCGACTCCCTCACTGGGTTACCGATCTAGATAACGCTTCCCAGAACCCCCTCTTAGACATAGCCACTTCTGGCGATTATTTGATCCTTACGAGAAGGTATAGCCACGTTCTTTGGCCTTTCAGAAAAGCCCTTTCGGTTTGACTTCATGAACAAACAATAAAATTTGATTACCGCTCTATTCTTTTTTTTAGTTTTGACGATTCCATGGCGACAGGTTGTCGACAATGAGCGAGTTGGCGAAGTTGTAAAATCTGGTGGCAGTGTATATCCCTTTTCTTCCCCTCTCTTTTGTTTTTATTCCTTCATCATGACTAACTTCTTAGCAGTAATTCTTCACAAGATAGTTCACAGCGGCGAACAAAAAGGAAAACACTTCGCCCTAGTTTTCCTTTGCCATATGTCATTTTTCTCTTGCGTTCTTTCCTTTTTTTTTTTTTTTTTTTTTTTTTTGTTTACACTTCCTTGCATGGAGGAGAGGCTAAGTAACACAGGAGTAAAAGAAGGTTTGAGCAACCTTTCCCACCACACGATCATACGATCTTTTATTGTTTGAGTTCATGCGACAATTTGGTCCAAAAGTAGCCCCTCCACTCTTTCCATTTTCTCAACGTTCCTTTTTCAAAGGCTGGCAAAGTAAAGACATGCCAGGATCATGCAGCATGCTATCACAAACAAGGACAAAATAGTAAAATGATCAAGGGTGCCGCATGAAAGGATGAGAGCGCTCTAGACTAGAGACGGGTCTAGAATTCGCACCATCCGTCTTCGCCAGCATGTTCTCATTCGTCCATTTGCAAATAAAAACAAAAACGACAAGCCTTATTGTTGGTTCGTCGACCTAGCATGATTGTTGCCAAAAAAAAAGGGGGGGGGGGGGGGGAAGTGTTTTCATACTTGCTTACACACAGCTATCCCGCGCATGCATGTAAATCATCTTAGTTACTGTTTTGTGAGCGAAAAAAAGGAGAAGGGTTTTACGTGTGTGTCTTTGAAACTGATGATTTTTGGTCAACCTCCGCAGTCGCATTGCTCAGATGCACGGTTAGACACTTAGGCGAAGAGCATGCAATAAACAAATAAGTAAACAACTAGTGCATGCATGTGCATTTGTTTAATCTGTGATCTTGTAAATTTATCGACTTTTGGGATGGGTTTCTAGCAGAGATTGATCGAGCACTTTTTTTGAATCCCCTCCGCAACCAAAATTGACTTTCTGATGGCAAAGCTCCACGGGAAAACGGCAGGACTTTCCCAGGTGACGTGAGGAGGGGGGTGCCCACAGCCTTTCAGTCATGTCCCGTTTTCTGCGCCTCTAGGAAACCTTTCCGTCCTTTTTCCTGTAACCAAAGTACTCGCCACTGGCAAATAAAGTCGTAGACGACTTTGTACGTCCTAGTTGAAACACGTATGTATGTTTTTTTTTGTTCTCGAGACTACGACTACATCTATCTGGTTTCTACCGGTTTTCGAGTCCATGGTCAATGATGAATAGAGTCGTCCACAATTGGCGATGTCAGAGTGGAAAAGAGAACTATGGTTGGTACACCAGTGGCAAAATAAACTGATCCCGTCACCTCCTTTTGCGCTCACTACCTCCACTCAACAATCTTTCAACTTCTCCATTCGCCCTGTACTTTTTTCCCTTCCATGACCCTCTCCATCAAGCTCCAAGTCAGGATCGTTGACATGCACAACATGTACAGCGGCGGCAGCACACCATCCCATATCGTCCAGTTCCTTAGGTCTGAACCGCCGGACGACAGTCAGCAATGTCATCCGTCGTATCCTCGAACGAGGAGACATTGTTCTGAAAAAAAAAAGTACAGGTCGTCCCCGAAAGCTGAACGTAAGAGCTGCCCCGTTGAGTCGTTTCCACGGCCCCCGAAGGAGGCAATAACAACAACGCCATTCTTCTTTATCTTTCAGTGACCTCATCACCATCCGGAGAACACTTATTGCAGAAGATGATCATTCGCCAAAGACCGGACGTTCCTATCCATATCGCATATCGCAAGCCTCAAGAGTCAAGGGTGCTGTACAATAGAGGCGCCCCACTTTTCAGTTTTGATTGGTGCCCTTAAGAAATAGTCTTAGGATCTGAAAGCAAGTTAGAGAGTAAAAGTAGCAAGGTAGTTCGGGCTGAGACAGACATTGATGTTGATTGGCGCCCTTGGTCGGAGGTGTAAGGTTGGTGGCAAACAGGCGAGCAGTGGTGAACAGAGTGTTGTTGAAGGGAGAAAGGTGAATCGTAGAATCGGGGGGCGTCTCTGTGTAGGTGAGTGAGGTGAAAAGGGGGGAACTGGTTGGACCTGGGAGAAAACTGTGATAGTTGAGGTGAGGGATTGGGTTACACTTTTCTACGTTTCTGATGTCCATTGTTTGAATCAGTCCGTCTTGTCAGAATGACCTTGAATCGGAATGCGTTGTGATCCTGACTTTGGGATTGACCGACATGAGGTCACGAGGATGAAGAGTGATGTCGATTCAGGAGGCGGTCAAAAAAAAATGTGTGAACGAAGACAGGAAGAGAGTCCTTTCGTCCTTTCAGCAAGAAGAACAGGTGAATGAAAATCGTGCGGAGAGAAGGAAACACATGCACAGGGGTGTGGCATGATTTTTTATTTCAACAAAACAAACGAGACAAGGGATAAACACCCTTCTACTACCCGTGACCATCGCCCTATGATCCTATGCCCTATGATACACTTGCCCTCTTCTCCTTTATTACATCAAGTCATTATGTTAACCTAAACCACCGAGATCTCCTTGCTATACAATCATCACCCGCGTTTGTTGTCTATCCCAGCATCACCAGTAATGAGGCGTGGTTGTTGCTACTGGGACACTTTTACTGTTAGTATCCACGGACGTGAGTCTTCCTTGAGTTGCACAACAACTGCTTCCAGACTGTGAAGTGTACTTACGTAGTGTCCTTGATCGCCACTTGCCTAAAAAAGAAACCCTCCTGTTTCTCGACTCACAACAACCGCCGGGTCACCCTCCATGTTCTGTCTGGACGAGGTAGGTTGCAGAATGAGTCGTGTCCTTTGCCCTTGATGTCCTTGCTTGGTGTCCATAGTGATCTTGCTTTGGTTGATAATGATGTTAAAAGAGGGTGTGAAAAAGGAAAGGGACGGGAAGATGGAGAAAGAGAATAAAAAAAAGCGAGTGAGAGCTAGCGTGCGGGTTTTGTTCTTTCTGGGTGTGACTTGATTTCATTTTCTTCTTCCTCTGTGAACGGAACTGAAATGATCGCTCTCTTTATTTCAATTGCACAATGCTTTCTTGTTCTACGGCTTGACCCCTGGTCGACGCGTCTTGTTGACCGTCATACGCTTGATCTCCCGCTCTGGCGACAACGCAATTTCCTCCAGGAAAACAAAAAGAAACCTCCTTACAGTCGAAGACCAAGTGGGAAATACGCTTGTATTGATTAGCAACCCCAACCGAAATCATTTCCCAAAGCAAGATCGGGAAGCTCAGGGCAGGCCGGGCAATATAGGCGACAGGGGCAATTACTTTATTTTATTCAGAAATGAAACTGAAAGAGAAAAGGCACAAAGGAACCCAGGCGCTTAGAAGTCGCCGAGTTTGACGCTGACCTTGCCCTGGTATCCTCCCTCCAAGAAACGGAAGTAGATGTCAGCAATATCCCCAGCACCTCCATCCACAACCGCCTCGGTATACTTAAACTCGCCGCTCTTGACCAAGGGAGTCACTTCCTTCCAAAAGTTCTCAAACTGATCAAAGTGCTCAAAGACTACGTAACCCTCCCAGCGGATCTGCTTCGCCAACACGAGAGCAATGTTCTTGGGATGGGCAAGTTCTTGGCCATTGTGATCCGCCAGCCGTCCGACTGTGACAATACGACCATGGGAATTGAACAGGTCCAAGGCAATCTCGACGGTGTTGTCAAGGACCAAGTCGTAGTAGACATCAAGACCCTGAGGTCCCACTGCAGCGGTCAATGCCTCGCGCTTGTTTTGGGTTTTATAATTGAAGGCGGCATCGAAGCCGAGCTGGTTCTTGAGATAGGTGACCTTCTCGTCAGTGCCGGCGGATCCAATGACGCGGAGACCCTTGCGCTTGGCAATTTGTCCAACCAATTGACCCAAGGTTCTATCAATCATATCATATCAATCATTGTGGACAGTGTTAGCGTCTTTCTTCATCGCATCGGAGTTCACAAGGAAGCAGAGTAAGAGGCTTCACGTACCCAGCAGCGCTAGAAACGTAAATTGTCTCGCCCTTCTTCAAGTCGGCAACACGGTTCAAAGAATCCCAGGCTGTAAGACCAGAGGTACCGAGGACACCGCTGTAGGCAGAAAGGGGAATATCCTTGTCAATGCTATCAATGCTGAAGTTCAAGAAAAGCTCCTGAGGTCCTAGAACGCTGTAAGACGACCAGGGAAGAGTGCCAAAGTAGTAGCTGGAGCCGACGTGGAAGTTGGGGTTCTTAGACTCAAGGACCTTGGAGAAGCCAAAGCCAATGACCTCAGTCTCCTTTGCACCCTCAGCGAAATTGTGGCGGATGTCTGTGTAGTTGATTTGAGAAAGAGGGATCGCAATTGTAAGTATCCATTCATTTTCTTACCCAGTGCTTTTTTTTCCTCATCGACAGCATATCATTATCGTCTTACAAGGATCCAAGGAAAAGAGGATGTTCTTGACAAAGACGGAGCCCTCCTCGAGTTCAGGCTTGTCCTCGGTGGTGGTGACGGTGCGGAAATGACTCTTGTTGGGAGCAACGCCAACGGGGACCTTGGCTATGTAGACGCGGCTGTTGGTGATCTGGGTCATTTTGAGTGTTTGTGTGAGGTGGTTTTGTTGTGGTGCGAGTGGAAGTGTGGTGCGTTTGAGTTGCTTTTGTTATCTGTTGAGATGTAGTGTTTTGATGAGGAGAAAAGAGAGGAAATCGTTATTTCTTTTATACAACGTTTCTGTCCGACCTATGGTACTATTCTTGAAAAAAGACGAAGGCGAATATTATTCATCATTTGCAAGAGCTCCACCAACTCCACGGACAACTCGTTGGTTTTCGTTGTTGTTTCCGTTGGAGGACGCCCAGAACGTGAGACTTAATGGTGCCATAGACCCACGATATGGCTCGTTTCTCGGGCTACCTATCTGTGGAATTACAAAGCGCTTTTTTATATTTGTTTGCATAGCACCACAAGCACCCAATCTGATAAAGGGAAAGAGTGCCTACGAACCTGTTTACATGGAGCCTGTTTATATAGCACCTCAAGCGCCCAGTCTGATAGAAAGATACGCAATGATTCGAACCTTACAGAGAATTGTTGCATCAAGTCTAAAATGACACAAACAAGCAAGGACAATACTTTAAAAAGTCTATCTCCCTGAAGACGGTAGCAACTGCAATATTCAGAATCGACCCTTGGCTGTCCTAACATCCTTTTGTTTTTGCAAGTTACAATAACCTTCGTAGAAGTCGTAAACGAAATAGAGGTGAACTAGCATCTTCAGTCGTCCCTGGCATGATGGGATCTTGAAGGGGTCGATCGGGTTGTATTACAGTGCTTTGTATGAGATCACTTTGGTTGGGTGGACCCTTGCGTGGCAGCACTCTTGGCATGCCTCCTTGACTTGACAAAACCACAAGTACATCTTTACCACAGATCGATCACGAACCCGCGAGAGCGGACTAAGACGCGTCCTTGAGTAGGCTTGCGAGACTTGGTCAATCCGTTGTCGGTCGATGGAGGAAGCGTAGCCGATTAATAATCTGGAAGGTTGGGAAGCTCTGAACTCAGCCACCTCGTCTGCAATTTTTGTGGCTGGGTTCAAAGCTTCGTAAGATTGGAAGGGAAAAAAATGGCGTTTACATGGTTGTATCGACCTGTCTGACAAATCGGACAAAAACAAGAAGCACGTAGCACTCCCTCACCCTCACACATACCTTATCCTTAACGCACTATACCAACAACCAACACACTCTTGTCCACCTTACTAGTTGCCATGCCTGTCAACCAACACGGTGGATCTCATCCTTTATCGGCACCTTGCGCAGGTAAGTGACATCTAAACAGTGCCTTTCAAGAACGGTTTGACGTTCTTTGTTGATGAAGTTGTAGATCGACCGTGAAGTACAACAGTCGTGATAAAATGGAGAAAAGAAGGGTCTATCCTTTCTCGACTATTTGTAAGCCGATCTGTCGTTAGATCACCATTACTTGGAGAACGAGCTCGGATTCGACGCCGCCTTCAACTACGAGACCCAGGACAGACGCCCAGGGATTGAAAGAATTGGTGCCCCAAGGACTTGACATCTACTACGATCTAGTCTTTGACGACACTGTCGAGGTCGCCTTGGACTTGCTCAACACCCATGACCGGATCATCTCCGTTGGCGCCTTGGCGATGCATCAAGGCCAAGAATTAGTTGATCCCAAGAATCTGATCCATATCCTGATGGAGCAGCTGCGATACATGGTCTATGAATACTATGACCAATGGGAGTCGTTCTGAAAGGAAGTAAGCCCCCCCCCCCCCCCCCCCCCCCCCCCCCGGTCAAGAGTGGTGAGATCAAGTTTGCAGAGAAGGTGGGCTATATGTTATTGCGAGGACGTATGATCGGCTTTTGCAGGGAGGATACAACGCGTCAAGATCGCCGATCTGTGAGCTCGCTCAAGCTCGTATCAGTAGCCATGATTCAGGTCTCACGCCACAAAAGATAAAAAGGGAAATCCCTAATGTCCCGACCAGATCTTTGCACACAACGCGATTCTTTAGGGGTTTTCTTAAGGGTTTTTGGTATAAAGAAAAAAAAACTGGCTTCCACGGATGTAGGAGCCCCACTCTTTCTCTTTTTCCACCTCTGCCCCTTCCCTCTTCATTCATCTTTCAACGTCAGCGTCAACTAAGGCTGGATCAGTATGAACATCAAGGACAAAGGACAATATTCATTCTGCAACACACCACCTCCAGACAGAGGGGGAACCTGACGCCTGATGCCAACAAGGAACAACAGCAACACTGGGGGAAATGTAATCAGGCCCAACTCATTCGCACATCTGAACAACCCTTTTTAGTGGGAAAGGATATCTCATCACTGGTCCAGGTTGTGGGTGAACGAGGGCTTGCAGGCGACAAAGGCACCAAGATACAATTGAGTAGAGGGTCGACTGAGAGAAGGAAACAAAAGGAGGGGACGCCGTGGTTGTTGGTCTCTTGCCATGCAAGTGGCGATCCGGGGCACTACATGACACTTGAGGCGGCAGTAGTTGAGGGTCGAAGAGCAACAAGAGGGTTTCCCTGTAGGCAATTGATCCAGGACACTATAGGGCACTTCACTGGCAGGATGTAGTTGTTGCACAAACTCGAGGAAGACCCGCGTCCAAGGATGTCAACAGCAAAAATGGTTCAGTAGCAACGACCAACCTCACGACTAATAACAGTTGGATCGACAACGAAGGCAGGCGATAATCTGACGGCAACGGGATATCGGTAGTTGTGTTTTGTGTCTAGATCATCAATGACTCGAATTAAGGGATAATAGGGTGTTGGATCTTTGGTAAGCGAGTCCTAGGCATAGGGTTAGGTGGACCATGAGAGTCCAAGAGACAATGGCAGTAGAAAGGTCACTCCCCTGTCTGGCCTCCTCATCAAAATAAAATAATAAAAAAAGTCTCCTGCACCCATCAAACGTTGTTGTAGCATAATATGGTTAAGCAAAATGGTCAATGACCCTTCGCGGGTCTTGACAAGGTGCAACTTTGAAGGGAGCAAAACCAGGCGGATGAAAGAACCAAAGGAGAAGATATGGAAATCGATGAAGATCGCTTTGAAGTATCTCGGGATCACGGACGACTACAGTGTTACTCTTGGTGAGATAGCCAGGGACAAGGACTGGATTCCTTTTGACTGGACCTGGAGTCGACCCGGCTTGCGAGAGGAACCGCAGAATCGTCGATGGGCGGTGGATGTGAAGAAGTTCTTTGATGTGCTGTATGCACCGGTGTCTGACGAGGATGATGGGAGGTGGAGTTTCGGTGCTTCCTTCTCTAAGGTATTTGTCGATTAGTTACAAAAAGACGGCTTCGAGAAGCGGTCTTTTTGATTTTGGACCGCTTTCCTGCCATCCCGTGGTATCTTTTTGACCCTTTGATACTGGCATGCAAATAATCATGTGTGGATGGTAAGTGGCCAAAAGTGGCACTCACTTCTCGCTCTCTCTCCTGTCCTTTTTTTCTTTTCTTTTTTCTCTCAACTCTCGACTCTCTCTTTCTTTTCACTCATCACCCGCTCTACATTCAAGCACAGCATGCCGGCCAGCACAAAGGTGTTCGACATCCTCGAACTGGTAGCACACATCGCCGACCATCTCAATCAACACGACCTCGCAACTTGCTGTCTCGTCTCCCATTCCTTCTTCGACACCTTTACCCCTCACCTCTGGCACTCAATCACCTTCCAACGATTCGACTCCGTCCCCAAATTCCAGTCCCCCGAGGGGCAAGCAGGACTTCTCCGCAACGGACGCCATATCCGAGTCATCAGAGCACACAGCCTCGATGTTCTGGAACCGTTCCTGGGCTATGGCAAGACATGCACCAACCTTATCTGTCTGGACTCTGAGCAAGGAGTTGTGTTGTCAGGTTGGCGAGAGTCACTTAGAGCTGGACAGAAGCAGGTCAAGGGCAATCGTTTCCTGCATCCTTTCAAGGAAAGGCCCTCCATTGGTGTCAGACATGCCAATAATATCAAGGTGCTGCTGTCGATCATTCGTCGCAATCCGGGCTTGCAGTCTTTGATTCTCCCGGTGTTTTGTTTCGAGAGCGAGGAACTCGTCAAGGCCATATCGCAAACGCTCCTAGAGCTGAGGGAACTGTATTTGCACTCGCAGACTTGGCGATGGGGTGTCTACAAGGAGTACACTCTGAGGTCATCACATCCCGGGGTACACATCGAGATTTAACACCAATACGACGGCATCGACGACTGGAGCCCTTCAGTTGTCGGAACTCAAAGATGTCACAGGTTCGATTCTCTCGACGATGATGTTCCGTTCGACGCCACTCCTCCAAAAGTACCCCAGACTGGCGGAGCTTGAGCGCGACAAGTTCTCGGGAATCAACCAGGAAGCAATCCAGGATATCAGGACAACAAGCGAGCGTCTGCCGTACATTCAGATCCGCAGTGGCGACTCGTATGGGATCAACCTTATGTTGAATGCGGCATCGGGGTTGAAGGGAATCCATCTTCTTTTGGGCGACGAGGAGGAAGGCAATTACGACATTGGTGATATCAACCAGGAGGCGTTTCTGAAGCATGCGCCGACGTTGGAGTGTTTGGATGTTCTTGGATACGACTTCGATGCGCAGATCTTGAACGCCATCCTGCGCTCCAGTCCGAATCTGGAGATTGTCAGGGCCATTGGGGAAAACTATGAAGGCTACAATTCACCCACGGCAGAGGTGAAACTCGACGCATCCAAGGACTTTTTCTCCCTTGGGCTAGCAGTTCGCTGGAGGTATTTGAATGCTCGATTGGTGGCGTTCCTCGGCCGGATGTTAGCCTTGCTGATTATCGACGACACTGACGACGGCATTCGCAATAGGGACATCTTTGCCGTTCAGGATACCGACCAAGACCCACCACCGGCGGTATCAGTACAGGAGCTATCGCCAGCCCAGTTAGAGAGTTATGCAGTCCAGAGGCAAGTCCTGGCGCAACTAGGCAGATTAACCTACCTGCGCGAGTTGCGCTTTGGTGCTCCCAATGTGTATGACCCCGAATGTTTGCTGTTGAGGATGAGGGGGATGCAGATGATGGTGATTGACGAGTGTATGCAGACGGGATGCTTAGTGTTTTCACTTGATAGTGGACTTGAGGAGTCGGCCGGGTTCAAGGAGTTGGAGGTGTTCGATGTGAATCCTTTGGCGCATCGGATTGGCGTACCTGAGGTGCAGTGGATGGTTGCCCATTGGCCCAAGCTGAAGGCGATTCGTGGTCCAAAGTACATAGAATATATTCATGAGTTCGGAGGAAGGATTCCAGGTATTGGAGTTATGAAGAGTGAGATGGATGCGAGAACATAGGCCAGATATCATCGTCACTTAATTCTTCCTCTTGGCTGTTTAATATTGCAATGCTGAATGAACATACAATTCGGCATTCACTGGCGAAGGACGCATGTACTGTGTTGGTGTTGTTGTTGTTGTTTGTTGTGTTCGTTGTGTTTTCTATTTGCGATGTGTCCTTTTCGTTCTCTTGCCATCACCCACTATGCTATGCATTGGCTTCCCCGAAATAGGGTGGAGAAGGACGCCGTTTGCCCATCTTCTCGTCTCACACCTTCTCACTTTCAATTCCAAACTATCCAACACAAAACGTCATTCCTCCCTCTCTCCCTCACACACCCTCATCTTTTACTTCGTCTACCGCCAGCTCAAAGGCACCACCTCGTCAACAACACAGTCAAAAGATGGTATCTGAAGCGAGGTGCAAGAGAAGGGAAGACGGGATGAATTAAAGTTTGGGCTTTACTCGAAGGAACTGGTGGCAACGAGGCACACAGCACACACTCGATTGACTTTCTGGTTTCACATTCTTTCTATTTGCCTTTTCTATTTAAACCCTTCTCCTTCTTCGTCTTCTTTTTCTTATTCGTCTCATTCCCTACCTCATACACTTTCCCATTCCAAACAAAACCACACATCATATCTCTCTTCTATCATTCATCCTCTATTTTTACATCCCAATGACCACCGCCAGCCCAAAGGCGTTCGGCATCCCCGAACTAACACACCTCATCGCAAACTCCTTAACCCAACACGACCTCGCAACCTGCTGCCTCGTCTCCCAATCCTTCTTCACAACATTCACCCCACACCTTTGGCACACCATCACCATCCAACGCCACGACCCCATCCCAAAGTTTCAATCCCCCGAAGGGCAAAGAGGTCTCTCACGGAATGGTCATCTTATCCGGGTCCTGCGAACTTTCAGTCTTCATACCCTTGCGCCTTTTGTGGAACACGGTGTGAGTTGTACAAATCTGGTGGCGTTGGACGCGGAGTATGATCCGGTAGTTCCTACGGCTTATATGCAGATGAATAAGGATAGGACTCTGGCCATGCGGACGAGGTGTGGCTGGAGCAGGTTCGGTGGTGGTGCGGGGCAGAGACAGGTCCAGAGACCGAAGGAGACTTTTGAAGAAAGGAATAGAAGTGAGTATCCTGTTGAGGCAAGGGATCTGGAACTGGCCACGGCGGAACTAGGATATCAAGAGATTTCCCTACCAGCTGAGAGGGATAGATTTCGAGATGGGATGATTCTTCAACGCGCTCATGAGATTGCTCGGGTTCGGAGGGAAATGGAGGGTATAGATATTTTGAGGACGATACTTGAACGCAATCTACGGGTCGAGTTTGTTATTGTTCCGGATCATTGTTTGAAGAGTGAGGCGGTGGTGAGGGTTGCGGCAGAGATGTTGTTGGAGCTGAGGGAGATTTATTCGGCGACTGCGTTTTCTAGGTGGGGGAATCCAGCGAAATTTACTTTGAGTGCTGAACGGCAGAAGCCGAAGTGTAGCATCAACGTTCCTTCCCTCGAGTCGTCACATCGACAACAACAGCAGCAGTATCAGCGGCAGGATCGTGCAGAGAGAGAGCAGGTGTTGAAGGTTGAGGGGTCTCTTTGTTCCACAAGGGATGTTGCGCCACGGCCGCTGATGAAGGATTACCCGAGGTTGAAGGATCTTGAGCTGGAGATGATCAAGTCCATGAACCAACGGCAAATGGAGCGGATCCGGATTTCCACCAGCAACAGCGGTAACAACAGCAACACTAGCGCTGGCGGTGACCTCCTGCCTTGCATCGAGATCTCTGATGGTCAACTTGCGGAGATCGTACAGATCCTACTTGAGATTCCGGCAGGCCTGTTAACCTCCATCACCATATCACGGTTCTCCGTCCCGTTCTCTTTTACCAGGACCAACACACCCATTGACATGATTGGCCCCTCGTCGGCTCTCCCCAAACACGCGTCGACTCTGGAACATTTCTTTGCGAGGGCCTGTGGGATCGAAAGCAAGGCCATTCAAGAACTCCTTTGCGCCAGTCCTCGACTCCGGAGTCTTGAGGCGGTTGAGGAGTGTCTGGGGATGTACGTTGAAGTCGAGCCTGAACTTGATGCGGCGGATGCTGTGAGGTCTCCCTGGGCCTGTGAGAAATTGGAAGTGTTCGAGTGCAGGATCTCCAATGTTCCTCGCCCAGACGTGACTAGGACGTACTTCTACCATAGTCGATCGCATGATCTTCGCCCCACAATCCCACATCACCCACAAGGCCCCGCAATAGTCCCCGGATCACCACAAGAGATCATCCAACGCGAGAGTCACACCCTCCAACGCCGGGTCCTGAACCAGCTGGGCCGACTCACTCACCTCCGTGTGCTCACTTTAGGAACCGAGCGCCCTGACTACGATTCCCACGATTCATACCAACTAGTCGTCCACGGGATCAAGACCCTCATCGTCAGCGCCTTAGCCCAACACAGCTGCCTGGAACTAACCCTCGAGAGCGGACTTGACGAACTGGCGGGGTTGAAAGAGTTGGAAGAATTGAATGTAGGCCAAATGGGCCATCGGATTGGATTGGCAGAAGTTCAGTGGATGGTTGCGCAATGGCCGAAACTGAAGAGTATTGTTGGGCTGACTTGTTTTAACGTCAACGATTGGTTTTATCGTGAGGGTGAGGTCGAGATTGATGATTATGGGTGGCCCCTGGTGGGAATACGAGAGCGGGTCCCAGACCCGGAGCCGGAGCATGTGGTGTGGATTCGGAAACACCGACCTGACATCCACTGCCCCAATCCACAAAAATAGCTGTAAACTTGTTGTTCTCCTTATTGTTTGTGAACATGTTGTTGATGTATTTGATTTGTTGCTTCCTTTTACCCACTGTTACATTTTTTACGCCATCAAAGTCCAGCCATGCACTTGCGGTGATCCTCGATTTGATCATCTTTCGGTGGATGGTTGTTGCTGCTTGCGTTTCGATATTGCCGCTGTCGTCGCCCCGCTCCATGCCCTGCAGCTTTTGCCGCTTCCTCACCATGAACAACTCCCAAAAATCCTATTCCTCACGCACAACAAGGTATTACTCATCCAACTCTGTCCAGTCGTTTACCTCTGCTGCTGCCTTCATTTTCCATCTGGCGATGCTGTTGCTGTTACTGTAATAAAAAGAGCTGCTTGCTTGTATTGTTGGTAAGTAAACTCCCGGCACGCTTGTACTTGTGCTTGGACGTTACTTGAAGGGTACTGGATTCCAGGAGAGGTCTTGAAGTAGTTTGCTCGACCTGACCAGCACACATACACACACTAACTCTCTCTTTTTCTCTCTTTCTCTCTCTTTCTCTCTCTTTCTCTCTCTCTCTCTCTCTCTCTCTCTCTCTGTCACTCTGTCTGCTCATCCACTTAGTAGGCCTCCAAGGGTGACTCTTCTTCTGCAACTCCACGTTTCGTCTCTCCATAGCAGCAGCAGTACGATGGATGCAAGAGACAAAGAAAGAAAAGGAGGAAAGATGGTAGGAACGGGGGGAGAGAGAGAGAGAGAAGGAAAGAAGAACAAAAAAAAAGTGGAGGGTACTCATTGATGTCCGTCTTTGGGCGAGTAACGATGATTCGCCGCCACCATTTGCTCATTAATCATAAAAACGCGTTTGTCTTGGATGTTCGCGTCTAAAAGGGAAATTGATCAAAAACGCATCCTGTCTATCCGTCGCATAAATCGTATCGGCGGTAGACCTACCTTCTCCTTCTTCATCTCGACACCCCCTCCCCATGATTTAGTGAAGAGAAAAGTTCCCTTGACCATTGTGCAATGCACAGTTGCTGTGCTCTCTCCATTATAAACAAGACCACATGAAAGGCCCCTCCATTGTCGTTATTTATCTTTCTATCCTCTTTTCGGCTGAAGGGGACGGTGAGGTAAATGGGGACACGCAAAGTGGGCGCTGGATGGATGCATTGTTTTCAAGTGTCGTCAAGACACCATGGACATGAAAGAAGAGAAAAGAAAAGAAAAGAAAAAAAAGCGACCGTATCACTCACCTCCGCGTCCTCACTTTAGGACCCGAACGGCCCAACTACGAATCCCACGACTCCTACCAGCCAGCTAGTGATCCACCCGAAAATGATTATACAAACTTCTTGTTCCCTATTTTTTTTTTTTTTTTTTTTTGTGCGTGTGGTAGCCGAACTGGCGTTCATTTCGTTGCTGAGTAAAAGTCATACCAGTTTTCAAGGTCCACCGACGAAAAAAATAAATAAAAATGTGTGAAACCCAACTCGTATCCAAGAGAAAGATGGCGGTAATCGATTTGCTATCAAACGACATTGAATCTTGTATGTTTCGCATTTTTGTTTGCTACAAATGCTCAGGGGTGGCGGGGACGACGCTAAAGTTTTCCATCTGCTCAAACACTTCCTCATGCTCCCCACCTTCATCTTCACCATCATCAAACTCCAACCGGTCCTCTTCATCATCGTAGTAACTACTCTCTTCATCATCCGACTGCCGGAACACACTCTCCTCCTCCCCCTCATCATCATCATCCTCATCAGAATCGATCTGAACAACCTCCCGAAGTTGATATCCACGAGGTAAAGCCTCAAACGTCGAATCGCTCAATTGGACAGTCGTCAATGGCCGGAACCGACTCTGATCTCGCTCAAGGCCCTGAATGTTTTCGATACTTCCCATCGGCACCGAGCGCATCCCTACTCGTGGCAGTCGGAAATCCTTTGGGTCATCATCGCGTCTGGAAACAAGGTTGGGCACATGGACATTAGGTGGCGAAGGGCTGACCGACGACGCTGAAGAGGACCCATATGGCAAAGAGCTACTGCTGGTCGATCCTAATGAGGATGAAAGTGGCAATACTCCTCTCGTCCTTACAAATTCAAAATGCTCCGTGCTCCCGATCAACCGTTTCCTGGTAAAGGGCCGAGAGTGTCTCAGGATCGCAACCATTCCATCCGCGCATCCAAACAACATGGCCTCGATGGGGACCTCGTGTGGGCAATTGGGCGACTGGAACCAGAACCGCATATGCGTCATCACCGTCGACGACTTTGCAATGTCCGCCTGCTGAACAAACGCCGCCAGATCGTCGGCTCGAATAAACAACAAGAAGGGCTTACCGACAATCTCCTCGGGGTCAACCTGCAAGATGAACTCGCACGACGGGGACGCATACATCACACCAAGATCCCGAGAGAATCGATTGAGGATCATGCAGGCTCGCGCCTCTGGTGCCAATTCACCAGTGTTCCATACGTTCCAGGCGTCAGATGGAAATGAAAATGCCTCGTGGTGCCGACGGATTCGTTCGAATTCCTGAGACACTCATAAAAAAAGTGGGCGGGTGCCAAAATGGATAGCGAATTGTAGGTAGAAGGCGCATGATGGACAAGTGGCAAGGCAAAAAGGGTGACCATTGGTTAGCTATCCAGATATATCAAATTGATGTCAAAGTCTGATCCACATGGGTGAAGGGCGGTGTTAGTGGTTGTTGGGTGATACGCGATCAAGACACAAACAAGTAATGCCGGTATAACGCATTTTGTGAAAGTAAGGAGGCAGATCATTATGAAAAAAGAATGAGACCTGCTGTGGAGGTTCTCAGGAGCGAAGGCTCCTTCCTTCAATACTTGTCGTTACATAGCAAACTGGGAAAAGAAATAGAAACCATAACCAACAAGAGGCAGAGGGAGAAATGAGATGGAAAAACAAGAGCAACAATTTACCGCTTTTCTGGAGCCAGCCAGGCGAGTCATTGCGGCGGAGTGAAGCTTGATGCCTAGAACTGTATACCGACGGAAGAATAGAAAAAAGACAGGTTCGAGTTAGGTTGGAAGAGCATATTTGATCCTTTTTTTCTTCTACTTCTTCTGTGGCTCATTGTGCAAGTGAGTGTACTGTGTATTTGTGCCACAAAGCATTCTGTAGTGTGAAGCTTGCTGAGCATTCTGTATATTTCCATAGTGTGTTCTCACACAGTTTTGAGTTGCATGTCCATAAGTACAATGGACTCCTCCCGTTGTTTTTCACAATGCAAGAAAGGCAAAAGGTATGGACGGGTAAATGGGACAATCAGTTGTGCCTTGGAGGTGATCAAGGGGAAGGAAGAGGGCAGTTTTCCGTTATCTGATCGTCTGCACATATGGTTCATATCACCAATGCATTGAAGTGCTGGGGTGTGTAGTGCAGTGCGTGTCGATGGATGTGTAGGAGAAGGAGTAGTAGAACAATAATAAAAAAGGTTGGGTTGAGAAGCCGGCTATAAGCACAAACCCGCTCTGTTTTAGCTTTTGTTCTGAGAGAACCAATGAATAAGAACGAAGGAAGGTGTGTGAACGCGTTAGACCAAAAAAGGGTGTTGGTGGAAGTGATAGATAAGTGTTATGAGACTAAGGGACCTATACAAATGTTTTTGTGGGGATTGATTGGCAGCGTGAGGGTAGTGGGTATCCGAGTGGTCGGGCGAGAGCGTTATTCCTGGTTGGTGTGTGTGGAGGTAAGAAGGACAGAAAAGGAAGAATGGTTGGAGTGAACCTAAAGTGGAAAAAGAACAAGAGATACTTACACCTGGCAGCTGGATCGACGACGGTGGTGCAGTTGATGATAAAGTCATAGCAGAGGGAGAAGAAGGACGTGGTGGCAACATAGGACCCGTCCTTGGCCTTGAATCTCAAAACGATCTGCGTGGCGATCATGTCGTTGAGGACGTGTTCGCGGTGGGTGACGGAAGCGGGCTCATGATCGTCGGGGTGGAGAATCCCGTAGGTGGTGACTTGCAGGAACTCCTCAGGGGTGTAGCCGAGACAGTCGGTGACGGAGGACGAGACCCAGAGGGTGCGCCCTTCAGGGGTGAGGTCATGGATGGAGATGAAGTTGTTCGCCTTGAATGTGCTCCTGCTGCTTTCCGAGGTTGCCATGGGTGGGTGTGAGCTTGTGATGGAATGAGAGGTGCAGGGCGACAATGGAGGGAGTTGAATGAGGGAGGGTAAGGAGGAATGAGAGGGGCAAGACGAGTGTGAAGAGGAAAGGAGGAGAGGGTGAATGAAGAGTGGAAGTAGGAAGAACGCTTACAAGCTTCAAGCTTTAAAGGAAAAAGGAAAAGAAAAGGAGGAAAGGAGGAAAGGGATGGCAGAAGCAATGGAAAGGACAGGGACGAAAGAGAGAAACGACGAAGGAGAACGAACGGGGAGAAGAAGGGAGAACGAGCGATCCAATTCGTTCGCTCACGTTCATGCACATCTGTCTGTGTGCCTCTCTCACCCTCTCCTCGCTCGCTCTCTCTTTCTCTTCCCTCGCTCCTCAACCCCTTCCCCCAAAAGACCATGGAAAGTGGTACATGAAAACAATGCACACGCTCCCTTTTTCTATCTGTCTGTTCCATTCGAGACCTCAAGCCTAGGACTTGGATTTGATCCCGAGTCAACGTGGGAGGGAGGGCAAGAATGATCGCTTCAGTGCATGCATTTGGGACTTGGCACTATGCTTGAAAGTAAGAAAGTAAAAAAAGAAAGGAGGGTATGAAGAAAAGAAGGCGATCCATTGGTTCGGACCAGAACAAAAAAGGACGCTAAAAAAGGACAATGTAAATCGTGAAAATCAACCAAATAGGCATAATAACGAGAGTGTTTGTGTACTGAGTGGCATGGTAGTCAATTTGGAGAGGGCAGTTCATGAAAATAACACCACGGTGGCGATAATGCCCAGCCTGAAGTGATGATGATAACAAAGAAACAATAGCCCCGCGTGCACCGATGGTTTACAACGACAACGAGGCTGCCAGTGAGAAAAAAACAGGCATTGAACCAATGGTGGGCAAAGTGTCACGTGTATATATTGCACAGTCACGCATTGTTGTTCGTTGTCTTTTTTTTTTTTTTTTTTGAAGCTTCGCTGTTATTGTCGCTGTTCATTGTGCTCCTTCTCCAGCCAGGCTGCAAACCCCCACTCTCATCCTTCCACCCTCTTACCTCCTTCCTCCTTCATTCCTCAACCGCCTCAACTGCAACCAACAAGAACTGAAGTCATCCTCATTCAACAATGTCGCTGCAGGTTCAGAACGCCAACAATGTCAAGATTTACACCGTCTCGGGCTCAAAGGGCTCGCGCTCCATACCCGACTGGCTCGCCAGGCGCAACAAGAAAGCCCTGAAGAACGACCTCGGTACTACCTCCTGCAGGATCACTCTTTCGGGAAACACATGTTGAAGGAGTATTCGTGAAAGCGAGACTAACATACGGATACTCTTATCTAAATACCTTCCTTGAGGATAGAGTGGAGACATCGTATTGAGCTGATCCAGGACTTTGAGTTCCCAGAAGCATCCCTCAAGATCAGAACAACTCGCGATGGAAAATATGTCATGGCAACCGGTAAGAACACAATGGTGCCTCTTTTCCTAGTGCCAGTCGTCGTGTCTCAACGTACTTTTCTTCAGCTCCTGAGCAACAATACTAAATCATCAACAAATAGGTGTGTACAAGCCTCAGATGAGGGTGTACGAGTACTCGGAAATGTCGATGAAGTTTGACCGCCACACAGACGCAGAGAACGTGGACTTTCAGATCCTCTCGGACGACTGGACAAAGACAGTGCATTTGCAATCGGACCGCAGCATCGAGTTCCAGGCACAGGGCGGCATGCACTTCAAAACCAGGATCCCAAAATTCGGCCGCTCGCTCACCTACCACTACCCCTCGTGCGATCTCCTCGTCACAGGATCCTCTAACGAGATTTACAGAATCAACCTGGAGCAAGGACGGTTCTTGAACTCGCTCGTCACAGATGTCGACCCTACTGGAGGCAACGGAGTCAACTGCGGAGAGATCAATCCAGCTCATCTTCTCTATGGATGCGGAACAGATGCAGGAACAGTTGAGTTTTGGGATCTGCGTGTCCGCGGCAGGGTTGGTATCTTGGCACCTTCTTTGCCCGAGTCGGTCCTTTCCAACTCGTTGAGCATTTCGGCACTGAAGTTCAGGGAGGATGGTTTGAGCATGGCTGTCGGAACCTCGACCGGACATGTTCTCATGTACGATCTCCGAAGCAACGTCCCCATCTATGTCAAGGATCACCAGTATGGATTCCCTATCAAGAGCTTGACCTTCCACGAGGGTACCCAGGGCGAGGATGGACGTAGCAAGGTTGTCTCAGCAGATTGCAAGATTATCAAGATCTGGGATCGGGAGAACGGCAAGAACTTTACCTCGATCGAGCCTACTAACGATATTAACGATGTCTGTGTGGTCGACAACTCGGGACTCATGTTTGTCGCCAACGAGGGTATCCAGATGCAGAGTTACTATATCCCTTCCTTGGGACCAGCCCCCAAGTGGTCTTCGTTCCTCGACAACCTTACCGAGGAGCTGGAGGAGAACCCTGTCCAGAACATTTACGACGACTACAAGTTTGTCACCCGCAAGGAGCTTTCCTCGTACGTACTCTGCCATATGGCTTCTGAACTTTATCAATACTGTACTTTGAGCTTAGGTCCTACGTACTGACAACCATACATTTCCCATTGTGACAAATAGGCTGGCGTTGGATCATTTGGTTGGAAGCGCTGTTCTCAAGCCATACATGCACGGATTCTTCATTGACTTGCGTCTGTACGAAAAGGCCAAGGCGATTGCCAACCCCTTTGCCTACACCGACTACCGCGAGCGGGAGGCGAAGGAGAAACTGGCCAAGGAGTCTGGCTCTCGTATTCGTGCGACTATGAAGTTGCCCAAGGTCAACAAGCTGCTGGCGACAAAGATGATGTTGGACGAGGCAAAGGCCCGTCGCAAGGCAGGAGGATCGGATGCACCCGTTCCCGAGGGTGGAGCACTCAAGGACAACCGTTTCGCAGATCTGTTCACCAACCCCGACTTCCAGGTCGACGAGGGCACGAACGAGTTCAAGTTGCTCAACCCAGTGCAGTCGACCAAGAAGCCCAGCTACCGTATTGTGGGCGACGACGAGATCGAGGAGGCCAGCGAGGCGAGCAACAGCGATGGAAGCGATGTCGATTCGGACGAGGATCTTATCCGTGTCAGCACCTACAAGTCTGGAAGCAACAACAAAAAGTCGGACCAGATCACATCTATTCGTTCTGGTATCAAGGATCGCAAGCGTATTCCCAAGATGGAAGCCCTCAAGGTACTTTTTCTTGTGCTTGCTACGCGTGGAGGTCATTGACTGGTGATTTCTTGGGTGTAATCAGATAATTTGGCGCGTTGTTTATTAACAATCCTTCCTCTATCCTGGAATTTTTACGATTAGCAACAACAAAGCAACAGCTCAGCCCCAGTACTCAAGTCACAGGCTCAAAGATCTTTTGCAGACCGTGTGTCCAAGGACCGGAACTCTGCCAACACTATTTCGCGCTCGTCTTCGGGAGGCATGGAGATGACGTTCAATGTCGGTGGTGGCGGACGTGGAGGCCGTGGAGGCCGTGGTGGTGCTCGTGGTGGTTCTCGTGGTGGTTCTCGTGGTGGCTCTCGTGGTGGTTCATCATCATCATCAAGGACTGGTGGCAGTGGCAGTGGTGGACCAGAACGGAGAGAGAGACGTTCTGCTGGACGCAACACCATCCGCAACCTTTAATTCTGCATACCATTTCTTTTTCAATCTTGTTGCTAGCTGCCACCATTTTTTTCCTTCATAGCATCCTTTCATTTTTTCATTCTCGCATTGTCACTATTAGAAACCCCCTTTCCTACGTTCATTATTTCAATTCAATCTATTTTTGTTTGATACATACATTTTTGTTTATTGCTTTTTGTGAGTGAGGGTAGAAAGGGAGTTATTGCTTGTTATTGGAGGTGTCTTCCGCCGCATGGACGTAAGGAATCCATGTTACATTCAGTTGACGCGGTTGGGGATGTACATGCCATGGAAGTTATGAGGCGCAACCTTTCCCTCAGGCATATCAGCCCTCGCAATCTCGGTCAACGTCTTTGCATCCAACACCAACAAGAACCCGGTCCTCCTCCGCCCGTCCAAAACAATCGACAACAACACTCCATCATCCTCATCCGTCCCATTCGGAGTTGGCACAAACACGGGCTCCGAAGGAGTACACTGATCCTGCACCCAGAACGTCGCACTACCCGCCATATCCCCCTCTTTGACCTTCGTCAGATCTACCTTGATAATTCTGTCGTAAATCAAGGTCTTGTTGAGTCCCGAGCGGTTGACACCAAAGGCGTAGCGGTAAGGTTGGAGGTAGCGGGAGGGGTTGATGGAAGGCAGTTCAAAGTTGATGGATTCGTCGAGTTGGAAGTCGATTGTTGCGGGTACGGGGGTGGGAGGTTGTTTGCGGTTGAGGTTGGAAATGGAGGCTTGTTTGGTGATGGCGGAGAGGCGGTAGCGTCGAAGGACTGCCTGTTGAGGGGGGATACCTGAGGTTTCGTTGCGGAGGTTGTCAATGTAGTAGTCGCCAATCACCGTGTGGTCCTGTTTTTTGATTGTTGTGTATGTGGGATTAGGTTATGGTGTTGTGGGAGAGAGAGGATTACATAAGGGAAGGAAGTGAGCATTAGGTTAGTGATAGTTCACGCTCGCCAATCCTCAAATCTTTTGCAATGGGCGTGGAAAAATGTGAGTTCGGACATATTTTCTGCAAAGAGAAAGAAGGTTTACCTTGTAGGAAGCAAGGTCGAGGACGATATCATCGCCCTCGTCCCAAGCATTAACAGAATGGAAGGCATAATAAGGGTCACACTCGAACGTCGCAACATGTCGTCCATGGTAACGGTCAACAACATAGAACTGCGACTTGACAGTCGGGTCATGCTTCTTGAACGACTCCCAAGCATTACCGGTCCACAACACACTGACTCCCCAGGCAGCGAAATCGCATTGCCAATGATTGACGACCACATATCGCTTGGTCAGACAGAAACTGTGCATGTAGGTGGGGCGAGGGGATTGGATCTCGGCCAGGACATCCAGGTCGGGTTCGCGGGCGGGTCCCTTGACCGATTCACGGATGCGGACGACCTTGTAGACTGCGGTGGGGCCAAAGGTAAGGAGGACTGTGAAATAGTCGCCGGTCTCGGGGTCGACACAAGGGTGGGCGGGGGCCAGGTTACTGGCCAACAGTGAGTCATCGATTGCGCCATACGAGAACAATCCTTTGGGTTCCAAAGTAACGGGGTCCAATTCTTGGATCGCATTACCGTCCGTCGTCATGATCAAGTTACGAATGTTGGTTTTGCCCGACTTCTTGGACCCATCCTTCTTGTCCATCAGACCAGGGAAGTTGGGTGTAGGGATGACTGCGACGTTGGTGTTGGTTCCTCCCAGGACGTGTCCTCCTCCGAGGGCAGCGGTCTTGAAGGTAGTGAAGAACTTGTTGAAGATGGTCTTGCAAGGGTCGCGTTGGCAGAAGGTGACGCCTGTTACTTTCTCTTCCTTGATGTATTCTGCGCGGAGGTCGTTCGAGGTGTTGCGGGATCTGTAGGAGACTTGGCCGCCCTTTTGGATCTCATATCTGTGTACTATTGAAGGTTTTGTTTTTTGTTATAGTCCGAGGTAAGACAGAGTAGGGGGTTACTAATCTGTGAAGTAAATAAAATAGCAGAGCAGACCAAAGCAGCGTGAGATATCTTACCCTGGGCGAGTCCGTCGAACCAATGCTGGATATGCACATCCTTTCCAGATTCCGTCTTCAAATCATACGTGCTGTTATTTCGTGTTGTTGTTGTTGTTACGAAAGAAGAGTAAAATGCCATGAGTGAGTAAAAAGACAAAAAAATCCGGACTCTTACATCAATGCTACAAAGCCAGACATAGGGAAACGAAAAAAAAAAAAAAAAATACCCAGGTCCAGAGCGGTAGAGGGCACCTTCGAGCCATGGGGGGATGGTACCCTTGACGGAAAGGGAGATTGGGTCGAGGACCTCGGGGCAGTTGTCGTAACCGGCGGCGTAGGGCCATGGGCCATTGTTCACTGGTGCGTCTGTTGTCTTTGTCATTTCTGTCTTGGGGTGTTGCTGTTGGTTGATGGGTGTGTGAGAAGAAAAGAAGTAGAAAAAAGAGGAGGAGTGAAATAAGAAAGAGAAAAGGAAAATAAGTGAGTGGGAAGGAAGGGAGGATGAATGAGAGTGCTCGTGTGTAATGAGATGATAATTGGGCAGACAAGAAGAAAGGCGAAGAAAATATCAACTAAAGAAGGAGGAAAGAAGTAAAGTAAAAAGAAATCGTCTGTGAAGTGCATGGAACGACCCATGGGTATAAGGAAGGAAATTCATTCAGTAAAGGATTAGCATTGAATTGAAATGAACTAGCTCTATTCACTTTCTAACCGTTTCTTTATTTTCTTCTTTCGCTTTTCTTTCTTCTTCTTGCACAACAAAGGGGTAAAAAAAGGGGGAGATGGAGACCACTTTCCATTGTTTTTCTTTTTCTTCTTCGTATTCAATCGTTTCTGTGCTCGTCTGCCCTTTCTAATCGCACCACATCCCCACAGAGAGAAGGGAGGCACCTCGGAGATTCATGCATGCAAAAATATTCGGACATTCGCAAGGAGTGTGGAAAACAGATACTACTGTACTCGGAATAATCTAATACACACACCATTTCCACCACTCTCGGCTTTTCTTTCCTAAGCAATAGGGTCGTCAAGGGTCAAGAAAGGCTGAAAAGATAAGGGTAAAGGAAAGAGGAGTAGCGTCGACATGTGTGGGCTCCAATTCTACAAGCTCATACTCATGGTGATGTCGCGACTTTTAGTCAGCTCGACAACACTTTTCTCCATCTTCTCTTAACCATATCATCCACGATCCTCGCTTATCCTTCTCTGTCCCAATAACGACAAGGAGTCGCCTTTGTTATTTTGCTATCGGTGCGCGCTCAATACAAGGCGGACACACGAGGAATCTCAAGCGATAATTGCCTCTGCTCCTCCTCTCTCATAAGGAACGGCAGGGAGGGAAGGGAGAATGGAGGTACGATTATGTTTGCTTTGTTTTCGCAGAGGTCCGTAGTCCCTTCACCCCTCGCTGACTTTCTTCGCAGATGGTCTTTTCGCCTTACTCTTCGGTATTTTTGAAAAATGAGTATGTTATGGATTTTTCTAATCCCCGACATGCAACACTCCTCACCCGCGAACTGCTCTTATGGCCGTGCTGCACTTTCGCTTTTTTGTTTGTATTTTCCCTCCCATTTTATGCATGTGCACAAGCTGTCATTCTGATCCCGCTGTTGCTTTGTTATTTTTGTGTTGTGGCATGTTGAATGCGACAAGGAAAGTTTACTTCTCGATCATGGTCCCAATTGAACCCAGCAACCACATCAAACACCTAAAGACAACGTATTCCTGCGCTAAGAGGCCCCGCTTACGGTAACCCACTGTCGATGAGAGCATGAGCAACAAGACGAGCCCAGACCAATAAGCGGAAAAATACGTACGGATGTCTGCGGTCTGCGATACTTTTCCCCGCATCTAACTCTTACCTTTTCTCACAAAGCGCGACTGGCTCCCCCCCCCCCCCCTTTGAACATTTAAGCAAACCGTCCTTATTCCTAATTGGATCACTCTTTCTAGAGGTTGCGGGTCCCAAGACTTTTTTAGCGCCTACGTACCACCTCCTATTCTGCAGACTTTTTCCCCCGAGCTTACTGGCTTACTGGCTGGACGTTCAAGAGAAATGAAACCAAGGCGCGTACTTTCTCAGCATATTGCCCGTTGGTGTAGTAAGAGCACGGTTACCTCTTTTTTCTTTCTATGATTGACCCATGCGAGGAAAAAAGGGAAAACAAGGGCCAGCATCACTACCTCGTTAATACTACTCCCCTCCCTCATCCATACCACATCCATCCCATTAGATGACATTACCCTGACGTTCTCGACAGCATTAAGAAGACGGAAAGATAGAAAAGCATTAAATCAAGCTCTTTCGTCTCAACGTTTTCCTTCAACCCTGTTATGGATCCATCCATCTGTTCTTGGTTGTTCGCAAAAGACCCTTGATTCCACCGCTTATTGACGTACCCGTATTCCCTTTCAACTCCCAAGAAAGTAGGACATGATCCTCACTCGCAAGTTCTTTTTAACATTGTGGACCAAGAAAAGAGAATTCGGCATGTCGAACCGTGTTCGTTAACAATGCGATCTCCAGACAACCTCAAGCCATTTCCTCATTTGTTTCCTAATGATAGTCCTCAAGTAAGTAGCCACTGTGTTTACCGGCCTCTAATCCTCATTCTTTTGCGTTCAAATACTAGCCACACTATCGATCCATCTAGCGTCTCTCTTCGTATGAATGCAACAATCTTTCTATTTTGTTGCAGTAGGGAAAACATTCATCCTTGGCTCTATTGTAGATGCTGTGCTTGAGAGTATGCAAGGAAGCAATATGATGATCCAAGGAGGCTGCATGAAGTTATGATACCCTTTAGAAGAAGTGGGGACGAAAACGATAAGGGGTCAAAAAAGATACTGTCAACAGAAGAGTAAGGGAAGAAAAGGACTTCATGGCGCATAAGTGAAAAGTAGTATGGGTAGGGAAGCTTTGTAAACAAAAAAATGCAGTAGATGGGATGAAAACATCACTTCCCTTCCAGTTCTACTTCCTTGGACAAGACGCGAGTACGCGTATCTTATTATTGCTGTTGTATAGATAAAAAGAAAAGAGTGAGGGGGGTGTATCTTGAGTGGTTAATTGGACTCCAGATATGCATACAAATTGAACCCTTTGACATTCTTACTAACATCATCCACCAATGCCCTTTCTACTGTACTTCCTAACGTTTTTCCTTTTCCGCTTCTACTGGCAAATGGCCTTGCAATCTGGAATAGCCCTCTTGACTGGCCCCTTTTTCATATTCATGCTCCCTATCTCTTCACAACACCCTTCCCTTTTTGTTGCAGTTAAAAAGGTCTCTCCTCATTTTTTACATTTTTTTCTTTCCTCCAAACATTGCAACACTCCACCTCCGTCCTATATCCAACTATCCAACCCTCCAACATGAACACGAATAGAACGTTGATACCGACAGACCCTCTGCCTCACTACAAGCATGTCAACTGGGAACAACCCGACGTGAACTTCCGGATGTACATCGGATACATCTCCCTCTTCTTTGACGTTGGTGTCCTTGCCTACCACTTTTCTACACCCTTCCATCCCAAGGTATGCAGTGATTGCTTGTTTTAATTTTAGTGCACAGCAGGAAGAATGTTCTGTGTCAATGAGGCTAATCAACACAACAACATTGTTTGTCTCTGATAAATCGATCAATTGATCAACAACGCTAATAGTTCTATGTCAAGACCGCTCGTCGGAGAGCCCTTCGGCTTCACATCTTGAGTGGCTGTCTCGAGAGTATGGACCCATTCGCACCGTACTGAATCAACGAGGAGAGCGCTTGTTTTTGTTTCTTGCTTTGTGTTGACCCTCTCCCATTTGTTCATGTCTCGCAATAGTCATTGCCTGTGTGTGCGCATATTATGCAAACGATCCTACAAATTACGCCTACGCGGCTGCAGCATTCGGAGCCATCGCTCACGTCCCCACAACTTTCTACCAGATCCCCACTGTCCTCGGCATCAAAGCCTTCCTGGTCCCCTCCCTCAGTCTGGTCACAGCCCTGCACGGATATTTCGCCATCAACCTGGTTTTCAACCCCACTTCCTTCTACTACCTCCTCTCGACCTATCTCACCGTTCACATCTACGCCTGGTCCCGTGTCTTCTTTGCGCTCTATTACCGGTTCAAGTTGTTTGAAAGTCATCGCTTTTCGGCAGCCATGTTGACAAGCGGCACACTCTTGGTTCCCTCAGTCCTCGGTCTTCAGGGCAACATCATCCTGGTGGTATTTGTGCTGACATGCGACGGTCTCATCCGATCCTACACGACCCCAGAATTCTGGACTGCCTGGACAACTGAAAACCCTCGAGAACTGGCTACCGACCCCGAGAAGAAGGTCGTCCTTGAGGCCCTTATCACTGCTGCCGAGATTTCCAACACTGTCGAGTCCCTCTCTGCTCAGGACCCCAAGGACCACTACTCTCGTATCTGTGCTACCGTCATTACCGCCAACGCCCGCAACACCACCCCGCGCGAGAAGGCCCACGCCGTCTTCCGAGCCATTGACGTCGACAGGGATAACGAACTCAGTGTTACAGAGTTTAAGGATTTCCTGATCGCCTGCGGGATCTCGCCTAATGATGGTGAGGGCCAGGTATTGTTGGACGGTCTGTTCCAGGGTGGGAAGATCACGACGGCTGATGAATTCTGCGCGTGGTTTACAAAGAGTTGGATTCATTCGTCGTCGCTTACTGTGCCAAAGTTGCCGAGTACCCCCAGAGGGCAGGCGAAACTGGTGTTTGATGCGTTGGATGCTGATGGATCTGGAAAGTTGGATCTGGCAGAATTGGAGACTTTGTTGTATTCTTGGGGATTGCCTCGCAATGAGGCTGTTGGATACTTGAAGGTATGAAAAACATTGATTATTGTAAGGAGAGGCAGGAGACAATGTTATGGACGCGTGGATAAAAAAAATTGTGTGCTGACGATCTTTTTTTTTCCCTCTCCAACGACAATAGTCGCACGATAAGGATCAATCAGGCGCGATCGATTTCCAAGAGTTCCACAAGTCAATGGACACAGTATGGAAGTTTGCGATTCAATCCTTCATCGATGAGGGTAAGATCCGCATCGATGCGTAGTAGACGGTGAATCGATAGCCGAGCTGACTGAGCTCATCATCACTCTTCCTCGTTCTTCATTACATACTCTCATTCCAGGCGTTCATACGCGATCGTTTTTCCGTACTCCTCCTCCTCCTCCTCCTCCTCCTCCTCCTCCCAACTCACGCGAATAGAAAATGTAGAAACACATGCAAATAAAGCAACAACCATTGTACATACTCAAAATCCATCGCGTAAGCGTATCTGCTCAAATCGGGCGCATGTGTGCATAGTAAAGCATACTTTTGGTGACAAAGGCAGAGGAACGTGTTAGACACAGCATTGAACCTGTCTTGCCAAACACATAAGCAATGCACAAGCTCTTGCTCGTCCCTCTCTCCTTCCTCTACTCGCATACACCCTTTCTTGCATACACGAGGGTAACAAAATGCTAAACCCACTTGTGTGTGTCTCTCTCTCTCTCTCTCTCTCTCTCACACACAGAGTTATCGACATGTGGTTTATTGTCCAGCTTTCGTTTTTTTGCGATTGGTGCTATGACATCTTTTTCTTCCGTTTGTTTTTGCGCGGGCGCGCTTCAATAGTTCCTATTTCTTGTGTGTTGTGGTATTCTCGAGTCAAAAAAAGGGTGGAGAGTAGCTAAAAAGAGAAATGGAGAGAGAAGGAGGGTTCAATTGCTTAGGCTAAGATCATCTATTGTTTTTTTTTCCGCCATGGTCCCTTCCTTCCCAAACAAACAAAGACAAGGTGGGTGACAAACAAAGTTTGGATCTAAGAAGGAGGTGCATGTCCTCCCTCCTTCCCTCGCAAGAATTCCTCCCGCTCACTCACTTTGTGAATCGCAACTTGTTTTTTTTAGGCTATCGCCGTTAGTTGATTTTACTGACTGTTGTGCTGCGTTGCAAGGAGGGCAGTAGTGTTTTTGGATTATTAGCTTGACACGATTATGATGCATTTTTTTACCCTCCGACAACCAACCCATCTTCATTCCTCTACTAAGCAAAGAGGAGGGCATGGGACCCTCATACAGGTTTTCCTTTTGGCTCGCAGGGCCGTGCTCTCCTGTTTTGCGTTTGTGTTTTGTATTTTGCTTTTTTTGCGATACTACAGTTCGGTATTTTCGTCCGTCCCTGTCTGCAAGCATTTTCTTACATTGACTCAGCAAACTATAAAAAAAAATGGGAAAAGGGTTCGGTGGTATTCGATTGAGAAGCGCCGCGTTTATTCAATCTTTCCGTCTACAGTACTGTACTGAATGTAAGCAGACTCCACCTCCTCTGCCCTGTTTACGATTCCTTTGGTATTGTTCCTCTTTCCCTTTCCTCTTCTTGTTGTCTTGTGTGTATTGTATGTAGTAAAGCATCAAAGAAAAAAAAAGCGTGAGAGTAAAAGAGTGGCAAGGGTCCAGACCACTGCCGATCTTTTGTTGCCTTCCCTTCATTTTCTCTTCGTCAGAATCGCGACCACACTTGTGGCAAGGACGAAGGGCTCGTGAGAAAACAATAAAATGACCACCCATCCACTCACTTTACTCCTTCCTTCTTATCATCTCCCCCTTTTCCATGTATCATTGGAGGGATGGATGTCGGTCGACAACTGTGCCATGTTTATTCCCTCAATTGATTTCTTTACGACTTTTGACTCAAGGGTTGGCCCAATGGTCAGCGAACAGAAAATACATTATCCTTCACTGTTTTTTTCTTTCTGTTCGTACACGTACAGCCAATCAAGAAGAGAAAATAAGCCCTAACAAATTAGAAATAAACACCCGAGGAGTAAGTAAGAAGAAGCATGGCAATTTTGAGGGATAGCAAACCACATTTCAGGACATCAACACCAACTAACAAAATAATACCCGGAGTGTTCAATTGATATGATACGAGGATGGTGAACACATTACTGCACCACGACAATAAAGCGAGCTAGCCGAACTGGAGAAGCAGGGGACGCGAAAGTCAGATGGACAGCGCTTTCTCGCATTGAAGTAAAAGAAAAAAATATGCAAGATGGGTTTGTGGGATAAAATGTACTTTTGTGAGTTAATGCTACGGGACACATAAGTACCATTCCTCCTCTTCTCCCACTTCCTTTCTCCATCAAAGAGTCCGACGGGCACACGGCATTGGGCAAGCAAAGGAGAGAAAAGGAGCACAGAAACGAATAGGGAGTTGAAAATAAACAACGAGTAGGGGGATTAGCATATCGTCTTGCTCACTTTGGCATTTTGCATGGGTGAGGGAATCAATGGAAGGAGGCAATGGTATTCATTCGGCAATTGAACTTTCTGATATGCATGCAGGGCAGAGAACAGACACATAAAGCATCGAGCACCATCTCTTGTTTCGGGCAGTGAGATGAAGAAAGTGGACATGCGAACATGACAGAAAGAAAAAAGAAGTAAAAGTATCTTCCACATCAACCACCTTGTGTAGCTCCTTTCAAAGTACAGTACATTCTTTACATGACTCGGAGTTTTTTTTTATTTTATTTCTTTATTCTTTATTCTTTATTCTTTATTCTTTTTTGCTATCGTCCATTGCTGGAGAAGGCATCATGGACTCTGCTTGCGCTCAAATCACACCCTCCGAACCATCGCCTTCCCGTCATTCGCTGTTTTACTTTACCCCTTTTCTTTTTTCCTTCTTTCACCCTTTTAACTTTTGTTCCTCTTAAAAAGACACCGCATTGTCCTCCCTGTTCCTTCTTTTACTTTCTCTCCTCTCCTTCCTTTTGACTCCTCCCAAGCCACTCTCATTCCTTCCCTGCCCCCTCCCTTTCTTACCCTTCCGCTAACTTTACAAAAAACAAGCAGAAATGGCGACGAATTCGACGGCGACGTTCGATCTCCTCCCTCACAGCAAACATGTCAACTGGGAATCGTCTGAGACAACCTTCCGGATGTATGTTGGGTATGTCTCCCTCCTCTTTGACATCGGTGTCCTGACATATCACTTCACCACCCCCTTCCACCCCAAGGTACGCAAAAAAAATATAACTACAAAACCTTCTTATTTGGAAGAATAGAAAAAAATGGAGCGATGATACTAATCCGGTCATGGATTACATTTGCGATATGCCATTTTAGTTCTATGTCAAGACGGCAAGGAGACGAGTTCTCCAACTTCATATTCTCTCTGGATGCCTTGAGAGTAAGTAACAAATCTGGCAGTCAGGGAAATAAGGACTCAGGTTGTCAGGGCACAAGCAGGAGACCACTTTTCGTTTTTTTTTCTTTCGTTACATTTTGCGCACAAACACAACATTTATGCAAGAAAAGGTTGACAAACCTTGCATAGACAAGAACAAGAACAACAAAACAAGCAATAGGTGGGAGACCCAGTCACACTGCTAACTAACATCATCTTCCTTCTCCCCACCCCCTCTATGCCAACAGTTATCTCGTGTATATGTGCATTCTACGCAGAAGACCCAACAAAGTACGCCTACGCGGCCGCAGCATTCGGAGCCATCGCTCACGTCCCCACAACTTTCTACCAGATCCCCACTGTCCTCGGCATCAAAGCCTTCCTCGTTCCCTCCCTCAGTCTTGTCACCGCTCTCCACGGATACTTTGCCATCAACCTCGTCCTCAACCCCACTTCCTTCTACTACCTCCTCTCGACCTATCTCACCGTTCACATCTACGCCTGGTCCCGTGTCTTTTTCGCTCTGTACTACCGGTTTAAGTTGTTTGAGGGACATCGCTTCTCGGCTGCCATGTTGACCAGTGGTACTTTGCTCATTCCTTCAGTCCTTGGTCTTCGTGGAAACATTGGCTTGATCGCGTTTGTCATCACTTCCGACATTATCCTCCGCTCGATGACCTCAGTTGAGTTCTGGAAGTCCTGGACGACTGAGCACCCCCGAGAGCTGGCCTCCAACCCCGGGAAGAAGGTCGTCCTTGAGGCCCTTATCACTGCTGCCGAGATTTCCAACACCGTCGACTCCCTCTCTGCTCAAGACCCTAAGGATCGCTACTCCCGTATCTGTGCTACTGTTATGACCGCCAACGCCCGCAACACCTCCCCGCGCGAGAAGGCTTTTGCTGTCTTCCGAGCCATTGACGTCAACAGAGACAACGAGCTGTCAGTAGGCGAGTTCAAGGATTTCCTGATTGCTTGTGGAATTACGACATTCGAGATGGAGGACAAGTTGATGTTGGAGGGTTTGTTCGAAAACAGAAAAGTGGTCACCGCGGATGATTTCTGTGCATGGTTCACAAAGAACTGGATCCACACGTCTTCGATCTCAGTCCCCAGGATCCCAAGCACCCCCCGTGGACAGGCCAAGTTGGTGTTTGATACCTTGGATGCTGATGGTTCTGGAGCCTTGGATTTGGTCGAGTTGGAGACTTTGTTGACCTCTTGGGGTCTCCCTCATAACGAGGCGGTCGGATATTTGAAGGTACATTCGCCTTTATATTTGTTTCTACACTCTGCATGTTATTTACTTCTATGCATGATCAAACATGTGAGAAGGACCATGTCACCCATGGGCTGTGGTCTCTCTTGCAAAAAACAAAAATTTGCTAACCTTGGCAACATAATTCTCCCCTCTTTCCTTTCATAATAGGGCCACGACAAGGACCAGTCGGGCACGATCGAGTTCCCTGAGTTCTACGAGACCATGGGCACCGTCTGGAAATTTGCCATCCAGTCCTTCATTGACGAGGGCAAGATCCGCATCGAGGAGTAAAACAAAACACTCCATACACCTCGCCTACTTTTTTTTTTTCCTTTACTGCTCTCCTTTACAGTTACAACACATCCCATTATCACCGCCGCACATAGCCATCACCAAAAAAAAACAGTACATATCTTGTCAAATAAACATGTTTTTATTAGTATCCCTGGAGGAATCTGAAAGGGTTCAAGCAACACATAACAGAAAACCAACTCTCCCCCCCCCCCCCGAAGATTCTCCTCGTCAAATGGTAAGGTGACATATCAACGCAGCTTTTTTGGTGGCGTAAATGAATGAAACCTCTATTTTTCGAACTTTGATCCTTTGTAGCCGCCCTACAGACATTTTTTTTTCTCATCCACCATGATCTCCAATGCATCAATATGCCATAGGTAAAAAAAAAACGCTTACATTCTGACTACCTTCATTTATCATTGCTAAAAAAAAAAAAAAAAAGGACCCAAAATTCCCTAATGCCTTCGTTCGAGGCCGCACTCAGTTCCCAATGTCCCGTTTGTCATAGTCATAGTCAAAAAAAAATGAAAGCCTACAGCTCCTCAATGCCTGGGTCTGCAATGAAAAACAAGGAAAGTCCATAGTTGGAACGCAGTTCTTCAGAACATGTTTTTATCGTTGGCAAAAGTAAGCTCGCGACCTAGTCGGGTCAGTAGCTATAGTTAAAAGTAGGGCCGACATAATGGCATAATTAAAGAAAGGCCGATAGTATGCCAGTGTTACAAGCCCACAGATGCGGTGGTAAAGATCCCACGGTATTCCATACGTGCCCCTTCATTTTGAGTGGGCACGCAGGCCGCATTCCCATACGAGCCCTCGATCCCTTAATTACATTTCACCCCTCGATCCCATTTGAGCCCGCGAACCCTACTTTCTCTTGAGGACCAGGGATATCAAGAGACCAAGAGCTAAAAATAGTATGTGAGAGAGTAAAAGAGGTTAAAGGATGAGAACGTCTCTTATATTAAAACACACACACACACGCTTCCACCAGCATATGCCAGTGCTTGGGAGGTCGGGTGCCCTCTAGAGTCACCGCCATGCCGGCTCGCCCTAAATCGAGAGGACGGGCGGTGCACGATCGGTATGAGAGGAGAGGGGGGGGGGGGGGGGGGCTAGGGACACCTCTTGCCCTTCTCCCTGCACCCTCTTGTAACTGAAGTGATATGATGAAGAATAATTTGTCATATTAGCAAGATGTTTGCGTGTGAAATGATGCAATCAAGGAAAGGGAGAGGTGTCTCTTAACGGTAGAGGCGGGTGCAGAAGAAATGGGAAAAAAGAAAACAGAAAAATTTGACATGAGGATTTCTTTTTATATCGCTCTCCAAGTAACTTACAGACGAGGAAAAGATATCTCGCCTTTCATTTGCCATCGCGTGCTTTCCTTCAACTCACAAACGCCATCGTCACTCCCAGCATGCAGCGAGCAGGACCAGCAATCAAGGACAAATGGGAGAACATGTTCAGGAAGACACAGCAAAGAGAACACGAAACTTTCGACGTTATTTATATTGAAGGGCAGGATGAAATGGTACACATATGTGCGCAAGCCCTTAGATTTCTGGTACATTGGATAGGTAAAACTAGGGAAGAAGAAAGTAAAGGGAAAGAAACATGAAGAGGAAGAAAAGGGCAATGAAACTTTGTACTATACAAAAGTGGAGGGGAATTTTTCTTGTGATCTCCAAAGCTGCTCTCTAATCCATCGGACATGTTCAGGAACGCTCTCTACCACCCCAGGATGGCTCTCGCCAACATTGCCACCTTGGAGTGCAGCCTCGCGACTGTGATCCGTGTACTCCAGACCAGGAATGGACTTCAGCTTTGGCCAGTTCTCAACCATCCACTGGACTTCAGCCATCCCGATCCGATGCGCCAGCTGGGTAACATCCAACGTTTCCAGATCCTTCAGTCCTGCCAACTCATCCAGCCCGCTCGCAAGAGACAGCTCCAAGCACGTTGTCTGAACATATTCATCGACCACCATCGTGGTTCGAGTACCCTCCATCTCTATCTCCAACCTCATGTGATGAGGATTGTCCCAGTCGCGACCAGAACTGCCCAGGCGAAGAATGCGAAGATGGGTCAGTTGACCCAGTTGTCTCAGGATTCGGCGCTGGAGTGAACGACTCTCTTGTTGAGCAATCGAGTCGTGGTCGAATGTTGCAAGCTGAGGAGGAGCCTGGGCACCAGGATGCAGAGGGGCAAGGGTTGCGGGGTGGAACATGGGTTGGATGATAAGGTCCGGGCGGGAGATCTTGACGATCTTGCACTCAAAGACCTCGAGCTGGTTGCTGATCCAAGGGGTCTTGAATACCGTCAGTGCGTCGAGCTCAATCTCGTCAACGAATGGCCGGTGTCTCCTATAGTCCGACATAGTCTTGAGCGTCTTCAACTCCGAACACGAGCATAGAATGGATCGGATTATCTCACCCTCGCCGCCACAGCTGAAGAAGCACAGACGCTCCAGCGTTGGTGCGTGCTTGAGGAAGGCCGGAATGGTTGTGCGATCGACAAAGCCAGTGCGCCCATATCCAGAAATGATGATCGATTTTAGAGTAGGAATCTCCATCATGATCTGAGCGACCTCAGGCGACCTGCCGGTTATATTCAAGCCGTTGAGGTCTCTTTCCGCAAATCTGAGCTTCTCCTGTGCTTCCCGGCATAGGCTTGATTCCGCCCCTTGCAGCAATTCCTTCAGCCTCGGGTAGGCTTCTGAGAGATGGTCTGGCATTGCACTGGCCGACTGGATATGTCCCTTGATCTCTGGTATCCCCCCTCTCCCCTGCTCCCACCCAGAGCCATCTTTGTAGAGTGAATACGAAGTGCCGTGCTTTAGTGAGACTCCGAAAATGACTGGTGAATAGAACTCCTTGAGGTCGAGAAGATCTTCTGCAATGACCTTGACCACGGCCTCGTTTTCCAACCAGTCAGGATGAATAACCAGAAATTCGAGTCGCGGGTTGCGCTTGAGGATAGTTACTAAAATCGTCTCAGCTTCCTCGTACAGTAATGTTGGGGTATTGACGTCGACGGTGGTGTTAGGTGGTGATCTTTTGAACAGTACTGCTGTAGATGGCGACGTTACAGGTGAAGGTGGTGCGGGGTGAAAGTCGTAAGGAACTTGCACCTGTCCAGTTCCAACAGACCCTCTCCGCCCAGTCGCAATCAAAGCCGCTGACCTGATTCCAATCGATGTGGCTCTGGACGAGTCTGTGTCGAGACAGACGAGGTTGGTGCAGGTGAAACCGTACTTGACGAAGGGGTCAAGGATTTCGAGGCCGCAGGAGGTGCGGAGGACTCGGATGTGATGTCCATTTCGAACAAGTCCTGCACGGCCAGAGGGAGATAGGAACTTGGCAGGATCGTGACTCTGGACGGTAATGGAGTGCCAGAGGTGCGGAGTGAAGGTGTTGTGCCAGTGAAAGTTGACGAGACAACAGAGGGCTAGGTCGTGTTGGGTGAGTTCGTCGGCGATGAGTGTTGCTAGTTCGAGGGTATCGAACACCTTGTCCCGGACGGTCATCAGGGAGGATGGGTGGAATGAAGCAAGCGAGATTAATGAGTGGAATTTGGATGGGAGGTGATCAAAAGAGAGAATAAAAATGGTAAGAGTGAGTTTACCAAGGGAGAGGGAGGTGTGGCCAGCTGACCCTTGTTGTTTTTGTGTCTGGCTGTTGATCCAATCGTTCGTGAACCATTTTGCCACCACCGTTTATTACATGAAGAGTACAAGACGGGGAAAAGATGAGGGAAAAAATCAAGAAAGAGAGAAAGACAGACATAAAGACGCAACCATGCGCTTGCTTTATTCTTCATCCATCCTTGATATCATTCATGGCACCAACAAAAACGAACAACACCACCACTACCCTCTTCCCACCTCCACCGGATGTGGAAATCAGCAACTCTATTACCCGCCGCGGTTGAAGAATCCTTCTGGCCCTTTGACGGGCGTCAACTCTCTCACACACACACACACTCTCTCTCTCTCTCTCTCTCTCAAAATCCCCCGTTGTCCCCCGCTCTCGCCACCCATACTCCGAGCGCCAAGAACACCTTCCTCCTTGCCACTATTAATTATGGAATTATTTTTTCTAGGCCGTTAATGTCCTTGCCTTTCATTACGACCGTTGAGCATTATCATCATTATCAATACCGTTGAAAAGCAAGGTATGGATCACAAAAAAGTATTTATTTTGGTGGCAAATTTGTCCTACACACAGACCGCCACCTGATGAGAAAAAAAAAGAAAGAAAAAGAAACGTGTGATTCCATATGAAGAGCGATGTACGCGACAGGCTGACGACCCTGGTCCTAGTCTTCAAACTCGTCCTTGGTACGACCCTCCCCTTCAAAGACATCGGCGTAGCGTCTCAATTCATCCTCCAGCAAGCAAATGTAATCGACAGCTAATAGTAAAAACATGTAGAAGGCGAAAGGTTAGCATCAACAGTCAAAGAGGCAACGACAGCATGACAAATTGAATAACAAAGTGAAGAATGAGGGACATACCTTTGCGGAGGATACTGGCCTTGGAGTCGGTGTTCTCCGCACACTCAGGGATGACGCTCTTGAGCTCGTCAAAGCCACCATTGATCTTTTCGCGACGCTTCTGCTCAGAGAGGATGTGAGCCATACGACGGGTAGGGGTAGTCACCTCCTTGATCTCGTTCACAATCGGGACTTTGCGTGCCTGACGGCCTAAGTACTTGCGAGGGGCAGAAGTCTGAGGAGGGCGGGGAGGCATCGCTCGTCGGGGTGGAGGGACAAGCGTGACACTCTTGCTCCTCGAACGACGACCATCTTCCTGGGAAGAGTCATCCTCCGTTTGCTGCTGAGGCTGTTCCTTTGGCTGCTCCTGCTGCTTCTGGGCGGACTGGGCCATCTGCTGGTAGTAAGGCTGGAAGCTGGAGGGAGCTGGAAGCGAGGCTGACAAGGCAGGAGTAGTAGTGGGGAAAGCATGGTACTGGTTCTGCTGCTGCTGGTCTTGGAACATCTGCTGGCGCTGGAGCTGCTGGCCCAGCGCAGAGGTGAGTCCGCTGATGCTGTTGGCTCCAGTGTTGTTGTTACCATTAAAGTTGAAGTGGTCGTTGGAACCTCGGGAGGACGCAAAAGAGTTGAAGGTCGCCTGGTTCTGGTAAATGACTGGCAATCCCTGCTGGAAAGGAAACGGGGACGAGTTCGATCCAGTGTTGGCGGAGGATCTTTTGCCAAGTCCAGGCATCGATGACATGACAGAGAGATCAGCCAGCGAGGCCAAAGACGACTCGACTCCACCTGCGCCCATGCTGCTGTTTCTGCTCAATGAATTACCCTGGAAGCCGGATCCACCATCAAATTGGAGTCCACCGCTGTGGTTGCTCTGTGTCATCATCTCGGGAGAGACCATCGCGGCCGAGAAACCGTTACCCTCGGATGTGTAGGATCCTGTGGGTGGCGACGGTGGGGAATGCGATGCCTCGGTAGTGATGGGAGTGAATCCATGGAGGGCGGTGTTGAATCCACGTGAGAAATCCGGATGAGACATGCTTCGATGGTGCTGGAAGGCTGCGCCAGAGGATGCCATCTTCATCTTGATATCCATGCCTCCTCTGTTGCCCATGCTGCTGTTGCTGTTAGCATCGTCATTCTCGGCGCCGCTCATACTGCTGTCATCGTTGTCGTTTAGGTCCTCATCATCATCATCCTCGTCAGTGTTACGGATATTGATGTGCTGAACGTGTCCGTTACTGCCGAACTGGAGCGAGTGTCGGTAGTGTGGGTTGTTGCTGTTGTTCCTAGCAGCAGCGAGCGCACGATCACCCGAACCGAAGTCTTGGCCTTGTGTGGTGGTGCCGTTGTTGCCAAACATTTCGGTTGAATCGATCGATGGGTTTGTAGGGGACGCGGCGGTAAGTGTAGTGGGGGATACGGATGCACCAGCTCGGTACTGGCTCTTTGAGTTGGAGTTGTTGGTGCTGCTGTTACTTGATCCTGAGCGGGTGCGGCGAATCTTGATGGGCGCCTGGGAGGATCTTTGGAGCTGGCGGTGGTGCTGGATCTGCTGTTGCAATCTCTGGATCTGTTGTGACTGCGGTAAATGATTCACCGGGTTGGAGAGTCCAAGGGCGCTGGCGGGCTTTGACCAGCTCGTAGGCGGGTTCAGATCCAGCTCGGGAACAAGTGTCGAATGGGAGGAGTACATTGAGCCTTATCGTTCGTTGTACACAAGGGATAAGAGACGGGAATTGAATAAACTATTTCGCTTTGCTGGGCGGCGTCTATGTTGTAGATACATGATGACAAACAGAAAAAAAGAGATGGCCGGAGAAATATCTTAGTTTGGATCCGAGGGACATAAAACGAGGGAGGGACAGACAGGCACATGCATTTTAGTATTTTAAGGTATTTTTGGTCAATCGAGGGGGGCCGGATGTGGTGTGGCCTAGATGCATTTTGCTCTGGTTTTTTTTTGTTATCCTCGGTCTACTACTTACACGAAGTAAACCACAGGATGGGGCTTCTTGCGTTAAGCAAAGAATAAGGAGCCTGAACAATAGTTCAAAATGAGAGGGGACGCGTTGTGTAGGTGTGGTTGGAGCGACAACAAACAGCAATTGCAGAATGAAAAGAAAGGACAAGAAAAACAATAGATTTTGAAACAGGCACGCGAACAGAAAAAAAAGAGAGATAGCGAAAATTAGAAGTTGAGTTTGAAAGATAAGCCAAGGAGGGAGAGTCAAAAAAAAATGGGGAAAGAAAAGGGGTTGAAAGAGAGAGAGAGAATGGTATTGAGAAAAGGGTAAAAAAACGAGGAGGAGAGAAGGTAGGAAGGAAGGAGGAGAGGGAAGGGAGGGAGGGTTAACGGGACGTGGGAAAGAAGGGAAAAAGGAAAGGGGGAAAGGTGAACTGGGTTATGGTTAAAGAACCAAGGTAGAGAGCAACGACTCTAGTCAAGTGGGGGGGAGGAAAGAAGGAAGGTGGGGGGGAAGGGCGAAAAGAAGTAGTAGGGAAAGGATAGGGTAAAAGAGGGCGAGGAAGAAAGGAAGTACAAAGGGAAGGCGTTAATGTGGAGAAGGAAGAAGGGAGAAGGTGGGAAAAGGATGTGGGAGTGAGGAGAGAAGGATAGGGATTAGAAGGGAAGAAGTGTCCTTATTGTCAAGGCGTGTTTGCAACAGGGACAGACAGTGCAAAGTGTAAGAGAAAAAAAGAGGTGGAGGGAGAGATGAATCTGTGAATCCTTGTTGTGTAGCAGTGAGCTACAGGCGAGGAGTCGTCGTGGGATGGACAGACATGTGGTGAGTGGGTCAAGAAGAAGACGAAAAAAGGTGTCTCGGTATACAAGAAGAAAGGGAGAGAAAAAAGAATATAAAATATTAAAAAAAAAAGGTGCAAAGGTGTACGATGTTGCCGCTCAAGGGGATAGTCAAATGAGAAGGGACGATATGTGGATGGTGGAAAGGGTGAAGAAGAAAGAAAAGAGGAAGAGAAGAGAAGGAAGAAGGAAGGAAGGAAGAAGAAAGGAAAGAAAGAAAGAGATCAGCCCTCCTTTTTTATAGCCATATCAAACGTTCCCTTTTCCGTATTATTTCTTTTATGAAAATTGATGGAACTCCAAACCGAATCCAGCCCAGGCTCGATCAGTGACTTTTTTTTTTGCCTTGGTTCCTGACAAAGGAGTCATTCCTTCTATCTTGGTGATTATTGAACAGACGTGGTAACGTACAGAACCATGGGTCACCTCTTCTATTACCATCATTGCCATTGTCACTGACAATGCCACTCACCACTTCTCACTCCTCTCGTCTTTTTTTTGTTATTGTTGTCGGCCATCTTTTATCGTGTGCGTTGTTTTTTTTGTTATTTTGTATCCCGGATGACTATTCCCGACCAATCATCGCCCTTCCCTTCCTTCTCCTTTAATCCTTTCCCCCTGTCAGTAATAAAGCCCGCTCCGGGCACTGCTTCTTCTATCATCATCACTCATTCCTTATTTGACCATGTATGTGTCACCTTATCGAGATTTGTTATTTTCGTCACTCTCTCTCTCTTTTTTTTTTTTCTAGCCAGGGATTCCTCCTGCGCATAGGGTTCTTGTTTTTCGCTGCTCCCTTGTTCTCATTATGCACTGTCAAAGAACATAAAAGGGCGAAGGGAAAGGTGGGGTACGGAGAATCGAAGCGCAAGGGGTGATGAGGGGGGCACCACTCAAACTGGAACATTTGGCTTTCTTGATTGTCATATGTTAATGCAAACAAAGAAAAAAAAATCTTCTCCGCCACCGTGCCACAACCAATATTCGGACATGCAGGCAACAACCAGCCATCGACGAAAGAAATGAGATAAACGAAAAGCCCCTTCTTGATTGTTTACTTTTGTTGTTGTTTAGCGATGAATGTTGTTTGTCAAAAGAGGCAAACTGTGGGGTCAAGGTTGCCACTTCTACTTTTCTTTTCTTTCTTCGTTTTTCTGCTCATTCTCTTTCCTTCCTTACTCGCTTGGGGCTTGTTCCTTGTGCCTCGCCCTCGGTGTCTGTGTATGGTTTCGTTGTCTTTTTCGGTTGTGGATTGATTAAAAAGTGACCCTCACAGGTCCCTCACCGGTTCTTCTCATCCTAACCAATCGCGCGCGTTCTCGGTGGACCGAGTTCGATCGCCTGTTCACAACCTTCTTTCGACTCACCAAAAAAAAAAGGTTTGGCAACAAAGAAAATCGAGAACAAAAGGTGTAGACGGATGCGTTCCTCCACTCCTTCCAACCCTATCCTTTTTTACTCCTCCTTTTTTATTTCTTGCGCTTAGTCTCTTCTCATTTGCACGCGCCTTTCTTTCGTCCTGAAGGAATGGCAAGCTTCGGATCTACCGAGGCAAAAAAAAAAGAGATATATATGCTTACGATTCGTTTCGTTTTTTCAATATTTAATGCAAGGATTATGTTTTTTGTTGTGGGGTCTAAGGGGTGACTTGGAGGAGCTCGAGTCCGGCGCGGATCTTGGCAGGGATCGGGATAGGGCGACGACTGACCTTGTCCACAAAGACATGACAGAAATGTCCCGTCGCCGCCACATCGCCCAACAATTGACTCGCGGGGAACTCCTTCCTTACCTCCTCAGCCGTTGTCAGTACAGGACCTGAAACCGCTGTTGCAGCCCTGGAAAAGACTCCGACCGCAGAGGGGGTTGTCGTTGACCGCCTCGTCCTTGCACTAGCCGCGCTAGTAACAACATCTTCGGCATCGGTTGAAGAAGGGGCTAGCTTCTTGAAGATCCCGACTTGGTAGACAACACTGGTCTTCCCCAGTTTAATAACCGCAAGTCGAGCCTCAATCATGTCCGGGAAGGAGACTGAGTTGAAGTATTTGCAACCAGACTCGGCAACGACCCCAATGGCGTTCCCTTGATTCTGGTCGTGCGGGTCGAGGCCGGTCTCTTGGATGAGAAAGGTGTTGATGACGGTGTCGAAGAGGGCGTAGTAGTGGGCGTTGTTCATGTGGCCGTATTGGTCGTTATCGGCCCAGCGCGATTGGATATCGATTGAGTAGGGGTAGAAGGCCCTGTCCCTATTGGTGACAATAGCAGTTTTCTCGAGAAGTGGGGAAGGGGCAGAGGTAGCCGAGGTTAGGTTGCGGGCGAGAAGGGCGGTGGTGGGTGCTGCTGTTGCATTGGTGGCTGTAGTGGTGGTGAGAAGTGAGAGACTGGCGGCGGGCGCTCTGAGGGCATGAGTCAGTTGAGCGAGTCTGTGGATGGGTGCCATTGCTGCAAAGAGTGTTGGTCAGTCGGTTGGGTGAATGAATGAAAAGTGGAGTGGACAACGTTGAAATAAAATGGTAGCGGAAAACCGCGTCACAGTTGGGCTTCTGGGCAAACATGAAAAGAGATCGCACGCTTCTTTTTTCAGCAACCATCCACACACCAAACTCGAGTCGCCACCAACAAGGATCAGCAAACCTCACCCACTCTCGCGCCATCGTCAGGAAGAAAAATAGAAGCAAAAAAAACGATGCATCGCGTTGCTAACTACACCGGTGAGGACATAAGGCCAAACAACAACAAGCACTCTGCACAGCGTATTCAAAAAGCACACAAGATCAACAACGTTAGGTCACTGACCACGCATTGCTACAACTGTTGTCTGGAATCCATCGTCTAGAATCTCTGAGGGTACCGCCAAAGGGTCATGTCACCATCGGAGAATCCAACTCTTCCTTAGGTAAAAAACGCATTGTTTATGAACAACGACCTTCACGCCTCTGCAACTGGTTGTGAGACATGCACAAGTCAACAACAAACCTAACTCTTTTGGCGCTCTTTACTACAATAGTACACGTCTGTGGACCCGAGGACCCAAAGCTGAAGCAGTTCATCAAGAAACATGTATGCAACTCTTGGACTTTCGTATGGATTATTAGAAACGTGAATTCAGGAGACCTTCACAAAAGAAAATAAGCAACTAACACCTTTTTTATTGCTTCTTCAAACTGATAGGGAGAACTGAGGGCGGCGTTGGCAATGCCATCAAGGAACGCACATATTCCTCACCATAGCAAAGCCAGCGAGTCGCTGGAGGATTTCTTTGAAGATACTATGGCGTCGGCTTCGGGAATCATCCCTCAGCCCATTCTGGATAAAATCGAAGAGCTCAGCAAGCAGTGGTATGGAAACCCCAACACCATTTTAAATCTGGATAGTTGACTTGCACAATTGCTACTATTTTCCATTCGTGACTTTTGTTTGCTGACATTGACTGTACTTTGCTATCGCTTTCACAATAGGGACATCGATGAGATCACTAACGCGGCAGGAACAGTGTTGAAAAAAGCGTGGGATGTCTACAACGTAAGGATATGCCAATCAAGCAGGAGATCAGACACGCGTCGTTGTTTTTGTGAACAAGCCAACGTCAATACCACAACGAGCTAACGACATTCGTCACGATCCTTCATACTGAATGGATTTAGGCACTGGCAGGAACATATAACACAATTGTGCGGCACGACAAACTCGCCAAACTTCTGATCCGCAAGGTCGCCTGGCACCCTCAACAACCTCTGCTCGCGATTGCTCTCTGGAACGACTCTGTCTGGGTCTATGATCTGTCGGTCGAATCGTGGTACTCTTGTGGACTATCACACCCGGCACAGTCGAAAATCTCAAGTCTGGAGTGGAAGCCTATGTCTGGTGTTGTATTGGCGATCGGGTGTCGGGACGGTGTGGCGCTTTGGAACGTCTACCGGGATCACTCTCGTGCAGAAACCGGCTCTGGACGGACGGAATTTAATCCTGCCAAGGATCGACCCTCTGAGTTGTTAAGCCAGACGTTCAATTCCAAAACGGCTGCGGATAACCATGGCAGAGATACCGCCTGGGTCGGGATTAACCGCTTTAAGGAGCTGCGGGGTGTCGATCAAATGGCTTGGGACCCCCGAGGAGAACTGTTGGCGATTGGATCTGCACACTCGTCAACTGTCTACATCCGTGAGACCGCCACGAAGAGGGTCACAGAGTTGAGGTTGAACTTGCGGTTTACCCCACCAAAGTTTATCCGGAGTGTGGAATCGTTCATGGAGACCATGTCGAACATCAAGGACGCGCTCCAGTCAGTGACCTCGCCCAATCTGAACAAGGTTCCAAAGCCAATACACGAGGAGGGCCATTTCGGACCAACCGTTTGTTGCATGAGTTGGTCCCCCAGCGGTGAATACTTGCTCGTAGCACATCAGTCGGAGGTTGTACGGATCTACACCGTGGCGACGTGGAACTATATCCAGATCAAGGATTTGAAGGGCGCGATCCAGTCTGCCTGCTGGACACCCGACAGCCACAACGTCTTGTTTGCCCTGCAGGGTGACGATCTCATTCGGGCAATCCATTTGGAAAAGCGTGGTGGCGAGTTGAACTGGATCCCTCTCAATCACGCCAGGTTGTCGTTGGAGTACACCGATGTCTCGCCCAAGCAGGACAAGGAAAGCACACTTTTGGGCCGGTTTGGTGGACGGTCGTTGTCCGAGATGTCTGAATTTGGTCCTATTGAGGAGCTGGCGCTGGATCCTAATGGCGAGCGATTGATTGTTCGGTTCAGGGATACAGACTTGTTGGGCGTGGTACTGGTTCGGCCTACGGGAGCTATGTTGACGGACTTGGATATCTTCCTGTTGACAGGATTTATTCAAGGACCTGGCTGGAACGATGATGGAGACGACGAAGATGAAGGCTCGCGCGGTCGCGAGCCCAAGGCCAGCGCCATGTCGTTTGCAAACAACTACCGCGGAGGATCTCTTCTCACCGTCGTACGTTTCCATTTCATTTACGCGCCTTCCTTTTTCTGTTGCTATCGGATCATGTTCTTGTTTGTTGGGCATTTACTAACTTTTGTCGCGGTTACGTCGTCATCTTTTTTATAGGCATGGGAATCAGGACGCGTAAACTTCATTCCGTTTTACTATCTGTCCCAGAAGGAAGTTGACGCATTTTAGACGCTGCAGCAATTAGTCTCATATCCACAAGAAACACAAAACAAAATACCAACAAAAACAAAGAATAATGCTTCATGAAGTGGTTTTTGTTTGTTTTTTTATTATGAGGTAACTGCGACCATTTGGTCAAGAGGGCGCCGAGCTGGATATCGTCGGGTAATTGGACCCGCTGTCCGTGGACAAGAACCGCCGCCGGGCACTTTGGCTGACTGCAGGGCTCATAGATGCTGCGCCATTGACTAACCCCGCCGCCGCACCGCCCATAGCACTCCCGACACGCTTGAGAACAGACATGTCAGGCCATCCACGTCCTGACAGCAGACTCGATCCTCGATTGACTGAACTGGGCACCCGGAAGATATCAACATCCAGAAACGTCCAGTTCTCGGGCTCCCCTTGTTCACCACTTCCATTGGCGCCACCATTGCTGACGCTGCTGTTGCTGCTGCTTCCTGCTCCACCGCTCCCGCTTATCGGGTAATCTCCATGTTCGGATTTCTGAGAATAGGCGCGATTCCGGTCTCGTGAAGGGTGCGGTGATCGCCGCTGGTATCGAGAAGACTCTGGCAAGAACATGGCCTCGGAAGTAGACGTGCGGGGCACAATCGGCGCGCCACTGTTGACACTGTTCGCAGTACTGGTTTCGGGGCTGTAGTTCGATCCTTCATGTGCTCTGTTCAGATTGCCGCCGCCGCCAACATTGTCGGTAAAGGTGTACATGCCATCTTCTTCCTCCTGATCGTCATGCATAATGATCTCGTCAATGTACTCTGGTGGGGGTCTGAGATGACTGGCAACGTTGGTCTGGATATGCACTCCACCAAAAGCTACCGATTCCTCGTCCTGCCGTCCTTGCATAATCGCCACCAGCTCCTCAACTTTCAGATCAAACTGATCGGGTCCGGGCGATGATGACACCTGCTGTTGCTCGACTTGACTCGAACGACGCCTGGATCTTGACTTGTAACCCAGATGTATGTTGTCATAATCGCTTTCGTCGCTGGAGGGTGACACAGGAGAGGTCACCTCGTCCGCGGTGGATCCTGGTTCTGACATCCCATCCCGTCGTCGGGTCATCATAGTCGCATAGTTGGTGTACCGGCCTAAGTTAGGCGAGTTACAGCACGCGAGTAGGTTCTCCAGAGTATTGGGCGCCTTGGCGAGAGTGATATGAACGCCCTGTGAATGACATAGATAGGCGATGTTGTAGTTGAGATGCGCCAAGCCGACGGTGAACGGCATCAGGTTGCCCTCGGTGAGGTAGAGAGGTGCTCTTTTTGCTCCTACAGTCATCGCGGCGTGGATGTAGTACTGTGACTTTTTGAGGAACGTTTCAAAAGGGAGCTTGACTCCGAGGTAACACGCCACTAGTCTGGTCATATGGATGACATTCTCAATTGTTGTGTTGATCTCGTCCCTGTCGTAGTCTATGAAGAGAAGTAAATGAGACGGCGCCATTGAAACAGGGTGGGATAAATAAATAGGTGAGCATCTCGGTTATGGTGCAGACAAGATTTGATGTGCGACAAACAAACACAATATTCCTGCTCGACAGGGTCCCAATCGATGTGAGGCTCATTCCTTACTTTCAAAATACCCTGTGGGCAGCGGCCGTCCAACAATCAAAAACTCGTTCCAAGAGTCCTCCTCAAGATAATCCCGTACCCGCAGCTTTGTAGACTTCTTGGTACTATGTCGTATTGAGGTAAAGGTGGTTCCTCCTACCAAGGAGGTGGTATTGGAAAGAATGCTCTGGTTCAGATCTGAGGTTCCCCCTGTTGACGTCGTAGGTGTTGGTATGGACGCTGCTGTCGCCCGCCTCCGCTCGGGTACATTCTTGAGATCGAACAGAGTAACAACCTCCGCCACAAGGACACGGCGTGAATGGCCCAATTTTTGGTGAACAGACGCCCAGTGCTCCGTTATGCGGTTGACAGAATTGGTGATTGCTGGTGGCCCGTTCATCTTGGCGACCTGGAAACGAGCCATTGACAGTTTCAGTGTCTCCTTCCGCTGGTTCAAACTACTTCTTAGCCGCATGAGTTTTTGGCGATCTAAATTCAAGCCGTTTTTGCAAGGGTAAGGAAGATATGAGTATTTCTTGATAATGAGCATTGACATACGGATCTGAAAAGAATAATAAAGCGAATTGCCAGCCCTTGACAAATCTCCGATCCACTGTCCGTTACCTTGCTCCAACTCGGTTAATAGTGTCTTCCGCTCCTCTGCAATTGTAGATGCGTGTTCAGCAGCCATTGCCCGTTCAGCGAGACACATCTGGTGTTGCTTGATCTTGGGATTGAGGACTTGGTTGACGTGTGCTGCCAGTTGGTCGCGCTCCTCTGTGCTTGTCCGCATTTCTTCCCAGTGCTGGATAAGCCTAAATATTCAAAAATAGTAAAGGTTGTATATGAACGTTGAGTTTAATTGCGAAGGCAGAGAGACAAAACAAAAAGGCGAAGAAAGTAGGAAGACAATGGAGACGCCTTGCGCCATGTCGGAGGTAAAAGTAGAGAGCGATGAGAGACGTACGCTGAATGCACGCAGTTGACACAGGTGTAGGAGCGTGAGCCTTGCAGATGGCAGATGCCGCATTCCACTACGCCAGAAGGTTTCCGGCGTTCGTCCATGGTGTGTGTGTTCAAAAGGCGAAGGCGAAGGTTTGTTGGCTGTTCTCTGAGGGTACGAGTGTGGGTATGTTGTGAATGAGGGTGCCGTGGAAGAGAGAGAGTGAGCCAATGGGTATAAAGGAGGAAGAAGCAAGAGTAATGAATTGAGTGGAAGTTGAAACAAAGTGTGTGTGTGTGTGTGTGTGTGGAGAGAGAGAGAGGGGAGTGAGGTAAGGAGTGAAAAGAAGGGAGCAGAAGCAAAGTCAAGAACAAATATGCGAATCGAGAGGCACTTCACGCACGTTGCCCTTGGGTCTCGTGATTTTTATGGCGAGTCAGCGCAAACGTGTCCGCTGCCAAGCACACACAAAACAGTTCTCCTTCAACGGCTGATTGCAGCACCGCAGCTGACCATTTGCCCATACCAACGACCATCCAGGCGCATCATCGCAACGCACTCTTGTCTCCTTCGCCTCCTTCCTCCACAAATTCTGTATCAACCGTACTCTTTCATACAACTAGCCCAAAAAGCAAACAGTCACTCTTCCGCGCCACCAATGTGACGAATAACACGAACGTTTTTCATTCTTTCACTCAACCCACTGACCCACGCTCCTCGACAACGCCAGCGCCAACGCCAACATCAGCGCCATGCATACCGTCCCAGGACCGTTGCCGACCTACAACCAGGTCACAAAACATAACCTGGCGCAGATGCAACCCATGATCGTCCACTTACTCAAGGAAGCCGCATTCATCGCTCTTGATGCCGAATTCACAGGACTGGGCTCATCCTCGCAGATCACTCGAGCAAAGGATATCCAAGAGCGGTATCAGCACCTTTGTGCGCTCGCCAAAGGTCATGCCCTCGTGGCCTTTGGTCTTTCCTTGTTCATCAAGACCGAGTCTTCGTCAAAGACTGGTCAAGACAAGGGTGGTTATAATGTGGATATGGATGATGCTGGACAACAACAGAGCAAAGGCAAGAAGAGGCGAAGCAATGAGTTCGAGCGGGCCTACAGGGTCCACAACTTTAACTTTTCTATGCTCGTCGAAGTAAGCATGGGACGCTTTGTTTGTTTTCGTGTTCGCCCCGGTCATCTCCTGAATAACCCCTAACCCTTGACTTTTTTCATACAATACTCTTATAGAGAGATTACATGGTCAGCCCAAACAGCATGCTCTTTCTCGCCGAAAATGGACTGGACCTGAACCAATGGATCATGGAAGGCATTCCTTATACTGGAGGCGACCGTTTGGTATGCGGACAAAAATATATTGTTGTTCATTCGCTGCGATCGTTTGGCGTTCTTGCTCGAGTACTAACACCACTTTATCTGCACCCTGTGCTGACACATAGACAAATGAAGGAGGCAGAGGCAACCCTAATGGCATTATGCGATCGATCTTCAAACGAATCATGACAAAGCAAGTCCCCGTCGTGGTTCACAATGGCTTCTTGGACCTCATCTTTCTCTACCACAGGTAACATATTCTTGATCGCCATGTGCTTATGTACTGAAGAGTACCTTGAGTGTTCGCATCAACTAAAGATCCATTTGTTTGCAACTTGTATAGTTTTTACGCGGATCTGCCACCCAAGTTGTCGACCTTTCTTGCCGACTTGTCAGACATGTTCCCAGGAGGGCTTTTCGACACGAAATACATCTCAGATTACATGACGAGGGAGCGGTCAAGTTTTCTGGCGTACCTGTTCCGAAAGTACGATAGAGAAGATACACGGATGCGGGATGAGGATATACCTACACGGCTCTATTCGACCTTTGACATTCAGCCCAGACTCCCCTTGCCACCATTGCCAGATACCACTGCGCCGGAACCTGTCAAGTCTGGATCACAAGTGCCATACTGCGAAGATTATGCCGTAAGTGCCTTAAACTCTTTTGACAGATCGGAGCTTCCTCTTTTGACAAGTATGTCAAGGATGGTCAGAAATTGGCGCGACAGCTAACCAAATGTCGTTTTCATGACTGCGTGTGTATAGTTCCATGGGGTGTGCAAGAAAAAGATGCGGTGCGGGAAATCACACGATCTGGACTTGATTCTGGATGCAGAGGAAAAGGAGCGGGATTCCAAAAAGAGACGGAAACATAAGCATGAGCCATCGACTGTTGAAGCGCAGACCCCATCGCAGCCAGAAACAGAAGGAACCCCGGGAACGACCGTGGAATCCTCGGAGGGCGCAGGGTTGTTGTCGTTGGCAGAGGCAACCGTTGCTATTGAGACTGACCAACTAGCCAACAACACTACAAGCTCTACAACTCCAACTGCGGCTTTTGTCACCCCGGCAGTAACAGAAGCCACCGCTAGCCCAACACAACCACAGAAAACAGCAGTAACATCAGCGAGCTCCCCTGTTACTAAGGAGACCGAGAATGTGGTTCAGCCAGGCGAAAAGTTCCACTCGGCCTACTACGACGCCTTCATGACGGGAACTATCTTTCTGCACCAATTGCACCACCACGAGATTGAAACTGTCGAGTCCCAGGCCAAAAATAAGATCTACCTCATCGGAAAGTCCTTCCCCCTCAACGTTGAGAAGAGCACTTTCACTAAGTATAGCCCTTCACACGAAAGACAACGGGCGCAATAACGAAGGGTCGATTTTTTTTTTCCTTGGTTCAGGAGCAGAGCAGTCACTGTAGGTTAGCTTGAATCCCGACGCCCCGACCAAATAAAAAATGAACGGGTGGAGCTGATCGCTGCTGCATCTTTTTCACAACTTTTTTTTTTATTCACCCCCTCTCTCATTCACAGAAACACACATTCAACAAACATGTCGACAAAGGCGAAAATGACCCTGGGCATCACCTCCTTCATTACCATCGCCACCGTCTACGGAGTCCACTACCAGCAAATGTCCGAGAAGGAGGTGCGTCCCATTTCAACCTTACAAAAACAGCTCCCCTCTGGCTTTCTCACTTTCCTTCCCTCCTCAAACGTATCCCATTGAACTTTGTTTCCCTCGTCATGAGTTCTTATGTTAACACCTAATTCACCACTCTTCGGCATAATAGACGATGCGTTTGGGAATCGCAAAGGACGAGGAACGTGTGGCAAAGAAGAAGAGACAGGACGATAATGTGCTCGAGCTCGCCGTCCAGCAGGAGTTGCAGCGCAAGTTGTTGGAGGAACAGACCGTGCGGAAAGAAGATTAAGTCGCTCCATTTCCTATTTCTAACAAACATAAACGATACACAGTGTGAACAACATTCTGAAATGGGATCAAGGGGGAACGTGCTTGAGTATTGTTGGTTATTACAGGCGTGTTTTTATATATTGTGCATGCTGCGCGTTAAGCATTTGGGATCAGCGGCGTAAGAAGGGGTCCGGTGTGGATCGTCCTGTATGCGCTCGCCCGCTTCAAAAGTTGTTTTTCCGCTGCTCCATCTTTGCCTACAAATGACATTCAAAGAAAATGAAAAGAACTGTCAGTACCACCCCAGTGACACGACAACACGACAACTACCGATCTCCAAAAGAAACAGGCTCACTTACTGCAAAGAAGGCATGAATGTCGCTCTCGGTAACGACCTTACCCTGCTGGGAGTATGGCTCAAGGAAAGCTCGGACCTCGTCCCGCATCCGGTTGTAGGCCATCATTCCGTCCATCATTTGGACGCGATCCATCTCTCCCAGCTTCTTCATACCACTCTCGAGCGTTGACGACTCGGCTTCGTCATCGTCCTCAGCCTCATAGACAGCCTCCTCTCCCAAAATAAACGACGCGACGCCCTCCTTTGTGTACATAGTCATGCAAGAAGTGCATTGGCAGAGTAGGTCGCGCCAGCCCTCGGTCGCAAAGAGGTTTACTTCCTGATCCGGGTAGGGGTCTGTGGGTTGTTGGTCCAGCTTGCAAATGGTACTGTCAGAGTTAGCCTCGACATCTAGTTTGATCCGCTTGTTCAAGTCCTTTGTTTCGTCGCTGTTGCTGATTGCGGTTGACTCAAGCGAGCGCTTCCCCTTGACAACCTTCTCTTCCTGACTCTCAACAACTGAATCCGTAGTTGCAACAACCGTCGTAGTGCTGCTCTCTGCGATCATAGTAGAAGTGGTGACAGATGTGGATGTGGTCGTGGTGCTCGTCGTAACGGTTGTCTTGTCCTCCTCTGTCGAAACAATATCCACCAATGAATCAGACAATGCAGTCTTGACATCTTCCTTGATCATGGCATCCTTGGTATTGCCAGGTGCCTTGGAGCTGTCTACCATGACGACTGATTTTGGTCCGCCACCTTTCTCGGAGAGACCAATCATAAACGAGGGGTGGTGTAAATATCTTTTGAGGAAGGGGTGGTCCTTTGTACACGTCCTGCAAATGAAGTCATCAAAGTCGTCTCCATGTGGGGTCTAGTTGCTCGACAAAAAAAAGGTCAAAGTCGTTGTCAGCACGAATTTCACTCTCTGCCCTTTGCTTTGATATCCCCCTAACGGCATAAGCCTTCCTGTGTACACTTACAATGCCGATGCAGCTGTCATGGAACCAGTCCTCGCAAATGACGCACTGCAGCATTGTGCTCTCTTCCTTGTGTGGGTCGTACTGGACATCGCACCTATACAATCATAAAGGCAAAAGGCATCAGTTAACGAACTGCCCAGACATGTACTCAGTATCTCCCATCTGGCTCTCGTAAGCAAAACCTCCGAGTTATATAACGAAATCACGACAAACAAAAAACAAAACAAAAAAAGTCCTGTGCGCTTACCAACAAAAACGTCCAAGGAAGTTGTGGTTGTACTGATTCAACTCGTTGACAGCTCCAGTGGGCTTGGCGTCGAGTGTACACTTGACGTCCTTGAACTTTTCTGTGCCGCAGTCACATCGAAACGCCCGCTTGGTGAAGAGCTCGACAAGGTTGTGGTCGCCGTGGCAGGAGATACTACAAGAGTAACAGAACCCTGATTCTTCAGATGGGTTGGGGTTGCAGGTCAGACAAGAGTAGACGGTCTGTCTCACGTATCCCGCACTGTTTGAGCACTATGCAAAAAATAACGACGTTGTGAATGAAAAAAGAGACGAATGAGTCAGAACAAAGGGTGTTGATTCTGGTCCTGCATGCCAGAAGACGAACGTTGAGGAGTAATGTCTGAAAATAGATGTCTTGATTGGTTCAAGTTGGGTTGGCCTACTTTACCATGTCAAACTTCTTGGGAAACAGTTCGCGCGCCTCCTAAAGACAGAGTTCGCCAAATATTAGCATGCGTGTGAGTGATTGTAAAAGGAAAAGACAGCAAGTGCAGAAGGAATTCAAAGACCCGAATGAGTGATCAGGTAGGTGTACCTGCTCGAGACGCTCCTGCTCGGCGATGTACTCTGAGACGGTGATGGTGTCCTGCTCGGCCATGGTTGAATTCGAATGTGAGAAGTGATAAGGGAGAGGGAGAGGGAAAAGGAGAAGCGTCAACCTCGACTGACAAACGCGTTTTGTGTTTGCCGCCAAAAAGTGGTGATGTGACTGGCACCCAACGGACTTGAGTCTTCTCACTTCGCCGAAAATCAGACATCTTCTTCACTCGGACAACTCAACCTGCCTGTCCCCAAGACAATCTTCAAGGTAGCCATCGGTTCCCAGAATATACAGCTAAAGGAACCTCAAGGGGCGCTCAGAGACTACTGGGGTCTCTCTCTCTGACGATCTAGGTAAAGTATAGTAGATGTTCAAAATAATTACATTCGCGTTCCTTGCCGTCAATTTCCCATACTGTAACAACCAAACCCAGATTCCATGCAAGAGCTGTGTAATGTTATCAACCTCTATCACCTCAAAATAAAAAAGGAGAATAGGAAGCTTGAAGTATCTAGTTTGCGTCTGTTTTGGATTTTCTGTTTTCTCCTTCTGTTCATGTCTGCGCCATTCTGTTGGAAGTGCGAGTGAGTAAAAGGAAAACATAATAGAACCATAGCCCGCCCGAAATCTACCTGGCGATTGACGCGATTCATTAGTCTTTTTTTCTCATTGTTTAAAAGTCAAGGACTTACTATTCGTCTGCCACAAAGCATACACGGACCCTAGTGGGTCTTCCGACAACTCCGAGATCTGGAGAGTTACGCTGTTCGACTACTCAACTCTATAACATGCCCTATCTGAGACTGACCAACAACGGCGACTCCGCGTACGAACCTTTCGGCACTGTGTTTTTTGGTCCTGGCAGTTATTGGAGTAATGGAACTCATCACAGGAAGAGTGGATTCGTGTGGAAAGCTGAGAGTCCTGTGAGATCTCCACGTTTCACTCTCCAACCTTCTTTGTGGTCCTTTGATCCTCTCTGCTTCATCTCTGCCATAGCTCTCATTTCTTCCTTCTATCCCTTGCTGGGCGTGCGCCACCAATTCTTTTATTGCTCTCCTTTTGCTTCTGCTTTTCTCCACCGTAGCGCACTATTTCAGTCCTTTTTTTCTCTCGCACATACATACATCCATCGTACCTTCAAAGTCATATAAGTAATGTTGTTCAGAAAAAGACCTTTTTCCAACCAAAAGATAGACGTGTGATGGCTTTTATAGCAACAGAGACAGATATATTAAGTACATGAACGTGCATGTAACACTTGTAAGCCTTTATTGAGAGTGCTGCTGATCGAAGCGCAGCTGAGGGCAGGAACTACATCAGTGATCACGATAAACGATTCATGAACAAGGGTGTGTATTCGTTCACCAGAGTGTCTGTATGACTCGTCACTAACCGCCCTTCTTTTTTGTATCCCCTACTGCTTCTTACTTGTTAGACCTGTCTTCATTGTGCACATGCTCATTCTCAGTCTTATTACTACTCGAATTGACGCGTCTCTCTTCCAGCAAAACAGACATATCCATCACCCACTCTCACGCGCTCTCTGTCTTTTTCACAATTTGATCGCACTTGTTCGCCTTGGTATTCAATTGTCTCCCTTGAACACGTTGGTATCAGCGAATAAAAAACATAAGCTAAGGTCCACACCCGCACACACACACCTTCTACTTATTCTCCATATCGCTCCCTTTCATCGCTATATCTGACACACACACTCTCTTTCTCTCGACCTTGGCGATGCAATAGAGGATAAAAAAAAAATCAAAATCGAAGAACACAGCCACATGTTCCATATCGGGTCCCATTTTTTTAAACCTCTTCACTCACACTCACAGCAACATCATACCATCACACCTTCCCTCACCATCCTCGCCCCTCTTGTTCTCTTTCATCCTTCTCTCTTTAACCAAAATTTTCTTTCGGTTTCTGTAGCACATTTTGGGAGAGGGAGACATGTATGCGTTCATGGACGATGTAGGCACTTGTGAGTCCTCTTTGACGCGTCAATGAAGGAAACGAAAAGGATTGAATTTAGGCACCAGCACTTCACCATCAACTCCTTACCTCCTTTCTTTTTCTTGCTCACTCTTTCTCACTTCCTTTCTTTACCTTCTACCCCCTTCCTTGCTCTAATTCTACCAGCGCCATTCGTTACAGTTCATGAATACATCGAGACAAGTGAACAACACACACATAAGTGCCTGTCGCTCTTTTTCACACTTTCTTCCCGCACCATTTTGGTGGCGCACCACGTGACTAGGCGGATGTGTCGCATATCCAAACTCAGTCAATGAGTTCATAGGTCAGCATTTGGAAAACAGTTCATCAAAACAGTTGGCTTAATGGTCTAGTCGTATGATTCTCGCTTTGGGTGCGAGAGGTCCCGGGTTCAATTCCCGGTTGAGCCCAACTTCTTTTTGCTTTTGCCAACAATCTTCCTCAGATGGCTGTGAACGATTTAGGCCCCTTTTTTTGTTTTTTAAAAGTCAGATATGCGGTCAAGGAGTCCAGGAGGGGTGTTAGTGGTATTACGCCGCTAGAGCCTAGACGGTGGTATGTGGTCAATTGTGGGCCTAGGAGTGAGGGTGCATGGATTTTTCTTTTGCTTTGGCAACTGAAGGGATAAACTTGATCACAGAGGGGCAGAGAAAAAGGGGGGTCTAAGAGATAGGAGAGTGCCGACGACTGCCGAGGGGATATGGAGTGAGAATTCTGGTGTGTTGGCAGCATCTCGTCTTTATTTCTATTCTTTTTCACAGAGCAATTGGGGATGATGGTCTCGAAGCAATTGAGCGACCATTGGCAGTGTTCAATGTATTAAAGAGAGGATGGACAGCAATTGGCTTTGATCGTTTCATAGCAATTGATCAACGGTTGCCTTCCAGGAAGTGAGTCAAACAGATAAATGTTGATCAGTTCTTATCAACTGATCAATGGTTGAGTTCATGAAGAACCCAAGTGGATTCGTGCGAAACGAGGTGAGAGGTAGAGTGAGACAGCAGAGGTATGGGTTATACGGAGAGGTTAGGGATGGAGGTTGAGGTTAGCAAGGGAAGCGGACAAAGCCAGGGAAGAGGGAGGGAGGAAGCAAGGGTAGTGCGTCGTTTCGGTGGTGATTGTTAGATGTGGTTGAAACAATCCGCTGATGGATCGGCTGGTGAGGCGCTATGAAGATATGAGGCTGCGATTGGTAGAACTGTAAAGGGAGGGTCAGTGAGAGGAGGGTGAGTAATGGCACCGGGTGAGAGTTGATGTGAGAAGAGGGAGGTGGGGGGCAGAGCAAAGGAAAGGTTGGGGATCGTCTGTGGGGTGAGTGTTGAGAGTGAAAGAGAAAGGGGACAGAAAGAGGGTTGGGAAGAAGCGTTGGTATGTGTGCGTTTGTGAAGTGTTGTCCACAGAACTGCGGCTTTGTTTCGAGAGGACACGCTCTGTCAGTTTGTGAATACTTATCAGTTAAGAACAAAAGAAAACGAAAGTACAAGGTTGTCACCCTGGTTGTTTGGGCATGGGTTGCGGCGAAAGGCTGAGAGGCTGTGAAGAGAACGAGAGGGATCGTGAAGAAGGAGAGGGATTGAGAAGGAGAGGGATTAAAAAGAAAGGGAGTTACAAAAGAAAGGAGGAAGGCCGCCTAGTCAGCAGACAATAATCATTTTCAAGAATGACAGTTCCCACTTTGCACATGCACCAGTGACAGGATAAGGCGTGAAGAGGCGACACGAAAACTGGGTGTCATGTCATGGTTTACCTTAAATTTCGTTTCTTACTCTTATTCACTTCAACAGCAAATCGCGTCTCAAGAGTAATGCAACGCGGATTGAGGAAGAAGGCAAAGAAAAGGGGTGAAAGAAAATAAAAGGGTGTTATATCAATCAGTCAAAGACACATCGAGTATCGAGACGCGTAGCACAAAAGCAATGGACATCATTGACCTGGGTGTGTCGATCCCGCAGTAAGATAAACCTTTCGCCCGGGGCCGGATCGTCATCTGACACGCTCTCCTTCCCTGGTACTTTATTTCGCTTCCTCTCCTAGGCACAAGTCGATATTACTCCATAGTTTTCCACTTGAACGCAGATCGAAACGACAACATACAATAATAATAGGCCTTGATATGGAATTTTTTTAAAACGAACACCTTCCAAGAATGTCAAGTACACAGCAGAACGAACACTTAACACTTTCTATAGTAGGCTATTTTGGGCGAAAACGAACGAACACTTTCAGCCCTGAGATGGTTGCCAGTTGCTCAGCCTACAGACAAGCGAGCGTGATGAGAATAGTTGCACTGGATAGATACTCGTGAGGGCTTTCTTCTGGTACCAGCTTGAGTGTGCCAGATCCTATACTTCTACTCGGCAACCAGAAAACATGATCATCGATACTGACATATAAATTGGAGGCATTACAATAAAACAAAAGGATAGCTAGTATGGACGCATCGATGACTCCTCTACCCGTATTTCTTCTCAAGCTGGTGCTAGAAGGGATCACTTTTGAGCATCTATCCAGTGCAACTATTCACATCACGCTTACTTGTCTGTAGGCTGAGCAACTGGCAATCATCTCAGGTCTGAAAGTGTTCGTTCGTTTTCGCCCAAAATAGCCTACTATAGAAAGTGTTCGTTCTGCTGTGTATTTGACATTTTTGGAAGGTGTTCGTTTTGGCACATATATTGTTATACATTTCAGGAAGGTGTTCGTTTTAAAAAAATTCCATGTCAAGGCTATGTCAAATGGACAACGAACAAGGCATTTTTTTTAGTAGGTTCGATTAGAATAAAATAATACAACCATATACACAGAAGAACGTTAGCATTGTCTATGTTTTTATTTAAAGTACCGAGACTTTAGAGGGTACGCTTGACACGCTCGTTGTTGTCAGAGATGACCTTGACTATACGTGCATGCGTCTCCGAGTACTCAAGCTGTGCCCGTTTGGCCACCGCAATTCGTTTCTTCAGGTCCTCAAACGCCCCACTCAGCACCTTGACATCGCTCTCGCTCGTTAGATCGCGGCTGCGAGTCAGTCGCTTTTCCAAACGATCCCTATCCTCCTTCAATCGTGCGATATCATGTGACAGCAATTCAACATGCATCAAAATCTCGTCCTGACCAAGCGGCCAAATACATAGAGTCCGATTGTACTGCTGCTCGCCAGTGTTGGCGATAGAGGCGTCCACATCCATCATCTCTGCCGACTGGTATCCTCCTTCTCCGGAAGTGGGTGACGGCAAGAGGGACAGGGGCGATGCAGGTGAAAAGATCCTCTCGATGCTGCAGAGTCCTTTTGGAGTGAAAATGTCGTTTCCGTCGCAGGTCAAAACACGCAGGTTAGAGTTTGATCGAAGGGCCTGGCAAAATTCTGATAGACCTTCCTCGCCAAATCGGTTGTGATCAAGTGTAAGGATACGGAGGGTCGGGTTTCGACCTAGGCCAGGGAACGCCAGCGAGATATGACGACCAAATCCTCCCATCGACCGACCGACTCCCTCAGAGACTGTTGTTGTTCCTGAAATGTCGAGCATCACCAGTATCGAGTTGGATTCCAGGATCTTGCCCAAGGCACGACAGCTTTCGGGTGATGCGGCAACTGGAACAGTCTGAAGGCGCATCTCGTCATAGGAGGAAGTAGGGGATCGGGAGTCCTGCTTGACATATAGTCCCTTAAAGTTGAGTTCGTTGAAACAGGTCGCGGCAGCAAGAGGTCCCAGGATCTGCTGAAGAGTACAATCGGCCACCACCAACTCGTCCATCTGGATTCCAAACGGTACACTGACTTTTGCCCCTTCCACCGACTCGATCCAAGCTCTGACGGATTCCTCCTTGTCAAAGAGCGGGTTGCGACCAACGTTCAGTGTAAACTTCGTCGACGTGTTGATGTCGCAAATCGTCCTGAACAGCCCGGCCAGACTCGAGCACCAGTCCAGTTGACAGTGCGACAGCGTCAGCGTCTTGAGGTGGTGAGAAGCATCGACCTGGAGGTACCTGGTTAGAGTGTTGAGAGTGCCGGCGGTGATCAACGAGTCTGTAAGGTCAAGCTCGACGAGTTGGTCTAGCGACTGCAGTCTCTCTAGACTCAAAAGACTCGCGCTTGGGTTGTCAACCTTGATGGACGCTCCAATGTGGCAAGACTGGAGCTTGGGGTTGCGCTGGAGTAGAGTATCTGTCCATGTCCACCAGCGTTGGTCACATCTGTTACCTCCGACCCTCAGGTTAACTAGGCCCTTGATGTGATGGACGAGATTGTCCATGCCGACCAGGCCAATGTCACAGCCAGTAACGTCCAACGTCTCGAGCCCCACCATCCGACTGATACACTCGACCAAGGCGTGTCCAGCAGAGTCGTCGCCATTCAGATGGTTCTCGGCAAGAATGATTTGGGCGCAACGTGTCAGAGTCTCCTCCATAGTGGCTTTAGTCGAGTTGAATCCCTTGACGAATCCATGTATTGTTGACGGCGTCCATCCACAACGACTAAAATTCCAGCCAACGACAACATCCTTCTTGGTCCGGACGGTCCGCTCCAGCTGTCGAATCAACTCTGGCTTGTTCCATCCGTCATCCTCGGCCTTGACTCCAGAGAAATCAATGCTCTGGCAGTTGTTCAAAGAGCAAGTCGAGGCAAGGACGGCACCAATCATCTGCACGCTGTGACCGCCCCTCCTGTCTTCCCCGGTCGGCTTCATCGTCAAGACACCGTCCTCAAAATCCAAATGGTCCGTCAGAACAGCATCAAACTCTCGCGCCTCGACCCCAAAGAGTGTACTCCAGAGCTTCAGCTGCGATTCGGCCCAACAATGCCGTGTCGCCACCCGTTGGTGCCGATCCAGGCGCGTCTGAGCCTCCGAGATGGCCTTGACAATATCGCTGGCAGCTGTCGATTTGATCTCGATGCGCTCACCCAACAGGTTGCGACCTCCTCGAGGAACAAGACCACACATGTCGACACGGATCGTCATCTCTTCCAAATCCTCCTCCAAGAATTTGATCTGCTCAATCTCCACCAGACTCCAGTTCTCCATACTCTTGTTGACATGGTCCTGACTAACAGAGTCCTCCTTGAAGAGATGCAATCCCGTTGTCGACAGAGCTAAGACGGCCAGAGAAGAGTCCTTGGAGACTTTTGCGGAAGGATATGTACCAGAGGTAAGATCGAATGAGGTCAAAGTCACAGAATCGCATGCCCAGATCTGGAGTCCTGCTGGCTGGCCAAACGAGACCAAGTCTCCAAAGAGTTGCGCGCCTCTCGAACTCTCCCAGAGCTGACATCCGTTCTTGATAAACGACATTCGACCGGAATCCACAACAGACAAGACATCCTGAGCTGACAGGGGAGGGGATGCCTCGATGTTGAGCTTTTTGGCCAGAGTCCAATCGATCGGTATATCAATCTGAGATTTCCGCTTGCGTCCTTGCTCATCAGTCGAGAGGTCCCTCTCAGGTGAACCCTCGCCCAGAGAGCTGAGAAAAGGCGACGACTGAGCATCCTCCGCCTCTTCATCCATAGACTCTTTGCCCAATGCTTGATCTTTGAGTTCCATGATACGGAGAGATCGGTCCCGAAGACTCATCAGCTCCTTGTGCTTGCGCTCTTGTTCTTGCTGTAGGACATTGATCAGTGTCGCCTCGTGTTTCTGGATCAGCGACGCCACCATTTCCTTCATGCTCGGGCGAGTCGTCGCTGGGGCGAAAAGTGGTGGCACTTTTGGTCGTGGTGGGACCTTGGCGCTCGACAGCACCTGAATCATCTCCGTACTCGACAGCATCTCTGCAAAAACCAACGCTAAGTATTACAAGCATCGACAGTATTACTGTTAGTTAGCTCTCAGCAGCAATGGATAATAAGTAGACTCTGGACATAATATGACAACGGTTTACTTACCAGGCATTTGGTTCCTGTCAACGGCAGTGTGGTCGATGCCCATTGCCACCAGCTCCTTTGCCAGACGAACCATGTTGTATTGAACAGCAATATGCAGCAAACTATGCCCCGTCTCCGTCTATTACATGTGGAGCGCAAACAAGATTCAAAAAAGATTAGTTAGATCAAAGCAATTTGACTGCACACGGACGTGAAAAAGAGTCGAAAGGGAGATGAAGGTTACCGTGAAGGCAGGCAAGGTACGTCCTGGTGCCAGAACTTGAATGACTCGCAAGAAATCTAGCACCAAATCTTCCTTGGCCGTCCAAGAAATCCCGAGATCCAGACTGCTCCCTGTCGACCCAGTCCATTGGTCAACGCCCCACCCTTGAAGCGGATCTAATCCTGCTCCTGACCGATGTGCTCTCAGAATAAACGCCAGCTATTTTATGTTAAGATGTAAAATAGGTGAGTTATCAAGGAAAATGACAACGCACGGAGATACGGACGAAATAAAGTGGAACTTACACTGTCGTCGAGGGGATACTCGTTTGCCATGGCATAGGAGAGTGACGTTGCGGCCAAGTTGTAGAGGTCATAGTCTGGTGGAACAGTGTACATAAACTCGACACTGTCTGCATCAGGGCTCAGTAGCTCTGCCTCCGAGACAATCTGGACATTGACGATACCTGGCTTGAGACCTTCAGCCGGGGGAGTGGTACATTCCATCACGTCGTGGTGCGACACAATGACCAGCTCGGCCCGAGCTTTTCCGAAGTACACGACTGGGTTCCGCAAAATGTCAAAGTTGGCTCCGTGGATAGTGACACGAGTGCCACCAAGGCATGACCCCTCGCTCGGTGTCAGGGGGTAGATCTTGCGAAAGACTGGTGGCTTTGTAGCCAGCGTCGATGAAACAGACGCTGAAGAGGTGGGTCCGCCGTTCCGTACACTCAAGTTTGATTCGACTGCCAGAGAGTTGATGATTCGATCGTCCACCGATCGAGGCGATGCCACAGAACTAGAGTTGACTGACCGCTGACGAACTCGGACCTTTGGACCGGGGCTCTCGCTTCCATAGCTCAAGGAGGGACTTTGGGCGGGACGTTCCTGTCCTGATGGCGATCGCGACCCGAGAGAGGCAGGTGCATCGATATCGGTCAGACCATCCTCCTCCTCGACTTCAACCTCCGTGGTCCCAGCCTTCGATCGAGCTTCACAGCAGATGCGGAGTTTGACGGAGCTGCCAATATCCACAATCGACGACAACGTCTGCATCCTGACAACAAAGCCCTCCTGCTCGTTGTGGTGATCGCTGTAGCAGTTGAGCTTTATGCAGACGATAGCATGGCCCTTCCGAATGTCGATTACTGGCTCTCCCGTGTGCGTCACCTTGAAGTTCTTGGCAAGCACTTGCATAATCTATCAAGTAAAAGTTAAAAGACATGACAGTTATTAATGGTTTGTTGTATTCGGATCATATCATCCTTGCCGTCACCAAGAAGGAGAAGCATCCATACCTTGCGCTCTCCATCCTATATAACCAGAAGGAAAAGGAAAAGTCAATGATAAACTGCAATGTTAGTCTACAAAAAAAATATCCCCGAGTCAACGGCGCATTTTAACACCACGTACCATTCGCATGACGCAGGCGGGGCAAGATTCCTCGATGAGTCTGTTCTTGTTGTTCGGTGAGATCAAAGAAATGTCAACGTCCAATATCCGTGCAGACCTCATTTCTATGCCACGCGGAAAAGTCATAAAAAGGTCAGTCATCCATTTTGTTTGGTCCACCTTAAGATTCTCATTCCTAACACCTGCAGTTGGATTGTACCTTCGGCGGTCAGCTTTTTTTTGGGAAGGGCATTGTCGCGGAAGCGATGAGGTGAGAAGCGAAGATAGTCCCAGTTCCTGACCACGTCTTGTTGATGGTCGAGAATGCTAGTCTTGAGGTAAATGATGGGCTCGATACGAAGGGCATTTCCTTGCTTGACGGCGACATAGTGGCGGGACTTTTTGCGGAACGTATACGCCTTAACATCAAAGGCAGGCAGCTTAAAATCGCCGCCCACAGACCCTGCCGTGGCTAAGCCTAGAAGAGGAGTGGGGCTGGGGGGGGGGGAGGAGACAATTGTAAAAAGAAAAGAAGAGGCGGGGTGGCGCAATACAATGTGTGAGCGCGTGTGAACGTATGACCATTTTTAGCTTGAAATACAACAAAAAAATAAAGGTAGTGAATGGAATAGTACTATTGGCAGGCGAGACGTAGAAAGACAGTTCAGGACTTTACCTTAGTGCTGGGGACGACCCATAGTTAAATTGCGAGCCATCCGAGAAAGGAATCCCCATCTGATAAAGCGGGGTGTGTTGAGTGCGACTGTAAAAGTTGGCAGCTGAAGCCAAGCCTGAGTGGTCCGTGTTGGTAGTTACGCCTTGGCTCATCAGGCTAGAACCATGGGAGTACTGTTGTTGCTGTTGTTGTTGCTAACAGTAAAGGTAGACACAAATAGTGTAAGTCAGGATGAGTAATTGGGTTTATGTGGTGGACCGTGAGTAGTAACATAGAGTAGTAAAGGTATCCTTGTACTGTTGCTCTCTGAGAGGTACGAATTGAGATGCTTGGATAATCAAAGGGACGCTTTGTTTAGTACACCGTTTTCTTATTTTGCTCTCTCACTGGTCGCATAAAATTAGGGACAAAGGGGAGGGTATCAGGTACAATCCAGGAGACCAAAACTCCAAAACTCCATAGAATTGCTCGTCCAATCGTAAGCGAGGTTTGCAATCCACTAAAAAAAACGAATTCTTGTCTGGTACACCTCCCAAGGAAGTGGTTGCGAATACAAAAGGGAGAAGGGCAAGAAGGAAAGGGGGGGAAAGAGAAAGAAGGGAGGATGAGGAGGATCGTCCGTAGGGGGCTCGCATAGGTCCACCAGGCGCCAATCGGCACTATCCTGCAACTCAGCATTGGGTGTTTGTTTGGCCAAGAAGGCAATTGGAACAAGGAGTGCGAAAAAAAACCAGCAGCATCGTTCAGGCTGGGTATTATTTTTACCTCGTAGCTTTGAACGTAGCCTGGTATATGAGAAGGCGGCCATGATGGAACCACGAGAGAGTTTGAGCGGGGAGGCAGCGATGCTTGCTGGATCGGCATCGATCTCGAAGTGCCATCCATCGATATGCCACTTGACCCTGACATAGGGTGCAGGTCAGAGTCCATGCTCAAGTTTGAAGAGAAGAGCTGGTTGGGACCCATTCCGGGTGAACTTGATTGCGCTGAAGAGACATAGTTTGATGTTTGGACTCCTGTAGGGGACTGTCCGAGCTGGATATTGGGAAGCGTAGGGATGTGTGAATGCGCAATGGAGGACACAGAGCTGGAAGCCGTTGCCAGGGGATTGTAGCGGGCTCCGTAATGGGACGCAGGTTTCTGCTTGGGCGCTGCTGCTCGCTGCACGCGTTGTTGACTGGCATGATATTGTGGTAGACGGGCTTGAAGACCAATAGGGGGGTTAATTAACGTTTGTGATGTATTGTACTGTTGTTGTTCATGTTGCAATTGTTGGAGCGGTAGTTGTTGGTGTTGCTGCTGCTCTGGACGCTGTTGTGGGGTATGGGTAGGGATCAGAGGCAAATGAGAACCTAATGAGGAGAGCTCGGAAGGATGTTGGTAGGGATGCTGGGACTGAGGAATGGTGTCGGCTGAAGTGACCGCATGGAATGGGTGATGTTGCTGCTGGGGCATGATGCAAAAAAGCGAAGGTAGTAGTATGATTTGGAATGAATGACAAAAGGGAATGAGTGGAAGATGAGAACAAGAAAAAAATGAAAATAAAAAAAGGAGTGAAATATGAAGGAGGAAGATATGCAAAAGTGCGAACAAAGAGAGAGCGAATGAGAGAGAGTGGGAAAGAGAGGGAGAGAGGGAGAGAGAACGAAAAGAAGAAAGAGAGAAAGGGAGAGAGATTGAGGAGGAAGGTTTGCGAGTGTGTGCTAGCAAGTCGCGAATCTGAACTGAAGTATAGTTCCGTATTCTTTCCGCGGTTGTTCTCAGTCCTTCGATCAGTCGCTGAATGCCCTTCAGGAACAAGAGACACCGATTGTTTCTCAATTGATCGCGCACAAAAAAACTAAAACTGTGATCCAGTCCCATAGGAATAACAACTAGATCATTCCTGTAGCCTAGAGCTGTCGATTCGCGTGGCAGTGCAACAGAGTTTAGGAACCAACGGCTTCTTCATAAGAACATGGGCCTGGTATCAAAAGCATCGTTTTGTTGCCTCGTCTCTTTTAAGGAATTCTTTTACTGTCTTTGATTCGCACGGGCTGCTTTGAGAACAACAAGATAATAAGTCTTGGGTCGTTGGCCGACTGGGTCCTTGCCAATGGATGTTACATTCGTTTAAGGCTAGATCGATCCGAGTCTGCGTCAGGGACACGATAGCACAATACCAGAGATTCAAGAATTCCCATTCTCGGGGCAACGTTCCTTGTTGTGCGCTCTTTTGTTGAATTACAATGCCCTCAAGGCCCCACAGCTCCAAGGCTCCAGAAAGCGGGTTGGAATACCCCCGAGACCATCCCGAAAAGTCCAAGATACAAGGACTGGATCAGATGTGGTTGCATCAGAACCATAAATCGCGTATTGGGGTCATGGGTCGAACCCTACTTTGATCTTCCGGCGAGGACCATGGCAGGACAAATCATTGGAGATAAAAAACGCCACCAAAATGCTATATCTAAAGGCCCTTAATAAATTCTGCACCAAGAACCAGCAGTCCCAACTCGCCCGCAATTGAGATCAAGAGTTGAACAGAAAAAGGACGAAACAAAGGAAAGGACGAAACATGGGAAAGGAAGGTTCACCCAACAACTGAACAATATGTGACCAACGAAACTGATTCTTCTTTCGTCTTCTCCTCACACTCCTCGCCAGGAATCCTTTCAGGAGCAACTCGTGTCTGTCGTTCTCGCCATCGGCACTTCAACAGTACTTTTACAGACTCGGGATCCGTCAACACGCTCTCTCTGGCCATGATCAACGCTGCCATTGCCCGCCACACCCTCTGGCCATGCCGCCAACTCCGTCCAGTACAACTCCAGGGGCACTCACGACCAATAGAACGCTCAGTATGGTCATTGCTACAAAGACCTGCTGCTTCATCACCCCGTCGAGCTTTCGGAACATCAAGACCAACAGCTCACACCAATACCAACATCACATCAGAAACAGCCAGCGTTAAGGCAACTGGGGCAGCCTGCCCCACTACAATTGCTCGTCCCCGACTCTCGCCGCTGCCCTTCATCTATCTCCGGAATCTTCCATATGAGCGTTCTTCTGCGCTTCAACAGCTCCTGGTTGATCGACAACTTCGCCTTCGAAAGGAGCGGGAAGACCTCAGAGCGCAGGCAGCGGCAGCAGTAACGACTGGAGAGGTTGTTGATGGACCAAGTCCAGGTTTAGCAGGAGACCTTACCGATTTGCCCAAGGAGGATGGGAGCGAGGATCTTGTTCTTTTAGTCGAGCACACGCCGACATACACCAACGGACGCCGAAACAGAGGTGCACAAGGAATCAGCGATCAAGAGGCTGCACGGTTACAAGGCCTGGGTGCTGTCTATGTAGAGTCACTTCGCGGAGGCGAGATCACCTTTCACGGACCTGGGCAATTGGTGGCGTATCCTATCTTGGATCTCAAACCCATCAAGGTAAATAATATCTCAAATAATTGTTGGCACTTTCCTTCATTCTGGACAGACCTTGCAAAAAAAACTCATACAGACACCATCTTTTTCATTCGTACACGCTAGTTGAGTGTTCGGTGCTATGTATCGTACCTGGAAAAGTCCATCATTGCGACTTGCGCTGAGTTTGGCGTGAAAGCGATGACGACGGAAAATACTGGAGTTTGGATCAACGACCAGAAAAAGATTGCCGCTATCGGTAAGGAGACCCTTGGCTTTTACTCCATGCTAAAGCTCAGTGCATTCGCCAGTCTGAGACGCACTCCCGTCCTTTTCGCCATGCAAACGTACTCACCTTTTGACCAATTCTTTCTTGCTTGGCTCGTTCCAAAAACTGCTATAGGCGTCCATGTGCAACGATACATCACATCACATGGGCTTGCACTCAACTGCAACACGGATCTGGAATTCTTCAATCAGATTGTCGCTTGTGGATTGACAGGCAAGGAGACGACCTCGTTGTCCAAGGAACTTGGCGACCTCTCTGTCGATGTTCAGGCTGTTATCCCCAAATTTCTGAAAGGATTCGGAGCGACCTTTAATCGCGACCTTGTTGCACTTTCAGAAACACGACCTGAACTGGAGAAGGCTATCCAGGACTACATTCAAACGGGCAATACCGAAAGACTGAGGTAGTTATTATTAGACTCTTAATAGAACCTGAAAACCAAACATACACACATGCAGCGAGCCAGGAAAAGAACATTTTGCTCGAGACTATGCTTCAGCCCGCACTTGACTACGTGAAATTATATGCTAGTTGTTTATTAGGTCCACAGATCGTAAGTAATGATGTGTCGTCCGCGGAATGCAAAGAGAGTATCAATTTAGGAGCTAAATGTTGCGGTGTTCTTGTCACATCGTGCTGTTTTTCCGAGCCTTGTTGAGCTTCTTTTCGTCCTTACGAGCCGGGATCTTGATGCTGTTCCTGTTGAGATGAATCGCAATGTCGTTGTTGTCTGTTGTGAGCGAGCAGCGACACGATTCGATGGAGAAAGTAAGCGTGGAAGAAAAGGTGTGAGTATGATTCCAGTTTGAGAGACGCGAGTTCGGGTGATATAAGGAGCGGTACTCGCAGAAGACAGTAAGTTGGCCATACCACAAGTGCCCTCGAACCTCTTGGGTGTTTGGACGTGGATTGTATTCGAGAACACCTCGCAAATCGTCGTCGACTTTCCTCCTCTATTCGCAATCGTGCATCAAAAAAAAGGGGTGTTCAGACACGGTGTAGCAGTAAAAGAATAATAATCAGGTAAACATGTTTTCAAGGATGGGGAGAATACTACTTACTCGGGAATCCTCTGGAGATCCGAAAGACAAAAGCGAATCTTGAAAAACCCCTCGGTGCGGATAGAGAGTATGCTGAAGGCAAACCAGATATGGGTCGTGTCCTCGTTTAGTCCTAGCGCAATTTGACCACAGACAGCAATCTGTCCTACCAGGTTACGAGTCGACAGCTCCGTCCTTCCTGTCTCGCATGCCTTCCGCTCCAACTCCTTCAACTCGTGGAGATCGTTGTCGACGTATCTGGCGTCGTCACTGTGATAGGCTGCTGCATCATCATCCAAATCGATATCTTCGTTTCGCTCGTCCTCATCGATGTCAGCGTCCTTCTCATCGTAGTGAGAAGGCTCCATTCCTTTGTCGTCCTCCATTTGATGAGCATAAGGCTTGTTGCCTCTAGTACGTGACACTTTGGAGGGCGTCCTGATCGCTCGGGGTAAGGATTTTGACGATGGAGTGGATGATGTTGAAGAGACTGATGTCGGAGTGGAAGGGTCACTACTTTCGACGACGTTGTTGGGTTCTCGTTGAGTTGCTTCGTTAAGTTTGGTGATCGACACCGGTGCGGATGTGGTTGTTGGTGTTGTTGCGAGTCCTGCTGCTCCCGGTCCTGCCCCGTCTCCTCCTTCCTTTGCTCCTGCTGCGCGTGCAATTGATTGTTGCTGTATGTCCAGATGATCTATAACTGGCAGGAAAAAGAATAAGCCGTCTGATTTCACTATTGGACATGCAAACAAGGCGACAAGCAGGCGCAAGGCGTGAAAGATGAATGGATGTGGTTTATGCATAAGGTGCGTGGTTGGTAGGCCCATACCTTGTTGTGACTCCTGTGATTGGGCCGCATGTTGCTGCTGCGTGTACGCTGCTGTCCTTGAGGAAGGTATGGACGAGACAAGCACAAGGTTTCGGTCTGTCACTTCATCTTCCAGCCAAAGGTCCGCCGTCACCACGAACGACTGCTTGCCTAAATGACTAGAGGGCGCCAAGGCACAAAAAAAACCATCCAAAAGAAAGGGACAATACGTGTAAGGGTGAGTAAACAAACAAAAAAAAGAGGAGTACACTTGCTGTGAGCTAGTTTGTTGGTTGAGGACGTCCTTATCGTGTTTGTTCCTCCCCTTCCCTTTCCTTCCTTCTCCTCTCTCTGTCTCCCCTTCCTTTTCAATGCGGCTGCCCGTAGTAGATCTGCACTTGATCCTTGGCGAATCTCGTTTCGTCGTTCCCTTTTTCTGCGATTACGCGCATCCAAGTGCAAGGGGCTCTGACAACCATGGCGCAATGTAAAATGGATAATAGGATGATAGTACTTCGCCGCTGATAATCTCGCGACAGAAACAAACGACACGAAATAAAGTGGGCAACTGGTCCAATGGCCAAAAAAGAAGTGCTGAGTGGAACACAACAAATCCTTCCACTCTGTTTTGCACTGAACTCAAAAAAAAGAAGAGAATGAAATGACATAAGCCGTGAGACCGCGCCGGATAACCTTTTACACGATTCACGTCCAATGAGGATGGCGTCTTTCAGGACTCAGGCCTGACCTGCATTGAAGAGAGGTCTCTGACCAAGTGAACTCCAGCGTTCAGATGGTTTGAGACCACACAGACAATCGTCCCAAATGAAGCAAGTGGTGAAAATCCAGGAGACAAAACCATGTCAACCCCAAAATCTGCAATGGTGCCGCATCTTTTCCCTCCCTCAATGTGGAACAACAGCCGATGAAGGAATGCTCGGCGAAAAGCGAAAAAAAGGACATGCATCTTGTAGCCGGTCGCCCAGTCAATGGTGAATTGTGAGTTCGCGCACACCCCGCCTATCTCCTTGCACTCCCTTCTTCACCCGCCCTCTGCTACTCTCGCTTCGCAAGATATGACCACATTTTCATCATTGCAGATCCCTTGCATATACCCACTTCACATATCAACAAACATATCTTGCTAATTTTTTTCCTTTTGAAGATATTGGCATACCTTGCTGGAACAATCCGTCCGTCTGGCAGTCTGGCAATCAATTTCAAGACTGGTGCTGGTGTGATGTTCCGACGATCCTAACATGATGAACAAAACAAGAGAAAAGATGAAAACGAGTGAGTGGTGGTTGGTTGTACACGCCATGTGTTGCATGTGTCCTTTGTGTATGCAGCGCTGACGAGTACTTTTCTGTCTCAAATGAAGCCAATGAATAGCATGAGGTAGTTTTCTTACCTTATTTCCGAAACCGCACATTCTAGCGCGCAATGGTTGCTGGACAATCTCAAGCGAGTAGAGCCTAGAGGAAAGGAGAAATAAAAATAAAGGAAGACCAAGGACAATCAACAAAGGCGATTAACTTCTAGGTTGACCCAAAGAACAAGAACTGGGCAAAAGAGTCTAAAAAGAGGGGCGGGCGAAAAGAAAATAAGGGCAATAACAGGGATTGCATACCCGTTGGTGGAACAAAAACTGGTTTTGCCATCCCACTTCTTCCACCGGTCGCTTATATTAAAGAAAAGAAAAATGCACCTACAGTTCATCGGGTTCAATATCGAGATCGTCGTCGTCGCGCAAGGTCGGGTGTTGAGGAAACATTGGCTCAGATTCCCCCATATCAAAGAACTATAGAGCTGTCCGGTAAGCTTCCTAGCAAAGGGCAGTGTTTACAGACAACGACGACGAGATCGCTACACAAGGCGTTGCTGGTAGGTATGACAAGGTAGGCGAAAGGGACGTGTCAATCTCTGAATGCTATAGATCCGAAGTGCTGGAATCACAGGCGTTTGTCCAGTTAGCCTCAATGATATATGGGTGTGTCTTCGTGTGTGTGTATGTCTGGGTGCCGCAGGGAAGTGAAAGGAATATATTTATGTCTGCGGGAGGTGGGTAAACGGGTTGCAGTTGTCGTGGCGTCGAGTCGGCGGGGTGTAGGCGAGGGCACAATAGGATATGTAATTGATAATTAGTGGAATGGAAAAAAGAGACGCAGGAACAAAAAAAAAAAGCAATGCAGAAAGTGATGCACAAATGAATCACTGTAGTAAAAAAAAAGTGGAATGGGTGAATGAGGGAATGAAGGAATGAGGAAAAAAGTCGAAGAAGAGAATGAGGATTTGGAGTGGGAGAGGACGGGAGCTTTTATAGAGAAGGAAAGGATGGATGAAAAAGAGTTGAGCCAGTGGGAGTGAGGGTGGAGGGGAGGACACTGTTTCGATTCTGGCTAAGAAGGAAAGGAAAGCAAAGAAAAAAAAATAAGGTATGTCTAGTGTGGTGGGAGGATGGGTACGAGGATGGGTCAAGGCTGTTAAAGTGTGTGTTCTGTTTTTGTTTCTTGTGCAGGAAAAAAAAAGAGAACGAGGAACAATTTGAGCGAATGAAAGGAGCAAGGGCGTGTTTAAAAAAATGATAAAAAAAAGTACCATTAGGATTAGGCGGTGTTGATCAAGAGAGACGAGATGAGGCAGAAAGGGGTGGGAGGTGGGAGGTGGGAGAACAGACGACAGACGACAGGCACCTAGACAGTGTGTGCTCATCCAACATAATCATACACTCGGTTTATAGAGACTAATTGAGGAGACACAGCGATAGAGTGAATAAATATAGTGACAGATTGAATAAATATAGTGACAGAGTGAACAAGAAGTCAATGGGGGCCATGGCATGGCATGGTGGCGGTGAAAGAGAGAGAGAGAACAAGGAATACAAAAAAATAAGAATAGAAAGAAAAATAATAAAAGGTTGTTGCTGCTGTCATGCTTGGACCAGTAACTCGGAGTCGCATGTTCAGTTTCGATTAAAAAAAACACACGGTGGGAGACACAGTGGTCAAAATGTGGTCAATTTGATGTGGGTTTAGCTGGTGCATGAAAAGGGGTCATCGGCCATTGGTAAACGACAGAGGAGGGAGAGGAGAGGATACACAAAGAGTGTCATATCTCTGAGAGAGGGAGTGTGTGTGTGTGTGTGTGGTATGCGAGTAGTGAAAAAAGGAGAACGAGAGAGGTGCTCAAATTCCTACTCAATTCCTGGGTGTGAAGTCCATCACGACTCACAAAAAGCAAAAAGCAGCTCATTGGCATGGTCGTGGGGTTTCCCCACCTTTCTATCGGATTTTTTTAACTTGGATTCTGACCAATGGGAACCGATACAACCTCTTAAGGGCAGTTTCGTCAGCATCGTGCAACACAAAAAAAATGAGATCAAGACCTGCTTTTCTTTTTCTTTTCACCCCCACCCTGTAAGGACATGACCATGGCCACCTTGGAGACAACGGATGGAAACCGGATGATCCACCGTATCCTTGGCTCAATGGATAATTAGACCATATTGGAACACCATGCCCAAGGCTGCAGATGCAAACACGTCTCGCTGCTTTGAGCCCGGCAACTTCATTGATATCCTCGTAGTTATCGTGATGCACACAGCGCAGGTCTGCATTGGAGTAGATGCATCCAAGGGTTCACGGCTATATCCTCTCGACCACCATCTTTTTACTGACGACTTGGATTGGACAACACCAAATGCGCCCATCCTCAAAGTCTAGTCCTCAAACGCCTCCACCCCTTTATTTTCGCAATAGAAGGTGTCCTCTTGATCCCAAGCTGTATACATATGCAAACTGATCCTTGCTTAACAAATCAAAGTGGTTTGATATCAATTGGAAGGTCATCTATACTAGACGCCCGCTGACACACGTTGAGACAGCTGAGGGGAAAAGGTGACAGGCGTCATTTTGCTATGGCGATTGTTTATTAAAGCTACGCGATACATCTTCTTTGTAAAGAAGGACAATTGACAATACATCATGAAGGCGTTTGGTTTACTGTTTGAATGCATGAGAATTAGACTATCAAAGCGTCGTCTGATTAGTGCGAAAGATAAAGTAAAAAGTCGATATTCCCGAAAAGATTACTGCGTTTAAGAGCACACCAGACTTGCGTTTGCGGAGGAAAATGACTAGTATCTGCGTGTAGGAGTCATCAAAACTAAGTATTGAAGTGATACTAGAAACTTTACCAATAGAACCCGGACATTTCCAACGATGTGGAAGATGACAAGTGACACTGGATCCTCAACTAACGCGTCTGCATCAACAAGTAGCTGTATCATTTGTCTTTAGCTGCTCTGTAGTATTGTTGGTAAAGTCTGCTTCAGGATTCAATGAACTGGAACTGACATGTTGTATTTCATTTCGGACCTCGCTGAACTGTGTTTCTTCTGCTGTGTGGAGTTGTTAGGGAGTGCTATTGTGAACAGCGTCTGCAAACGTTGTTTTAGGAGCGCTTCGCCCAGGTCGTTGAGCTTGGCACAATGCCATTAAGGGGTGTTGTCCCGCTAAGTCCACGTGACTCAACGGCCGCTCGTTTCTTCGGATCAGTCCAGTTTGTTGGGTTGTGATCATCCTCTGACTACTACAACTTCGGCAACATTCATTCACATGGCATCGATTCTTACGACCCGCTTCGGAACAGCTCTCAGGCAGAAGACGATTTTCTATGGAGCAAAGCAGACAGGATCAATGACAAGGTTCGCTCGAACTCCAGCCAGCAGTAGCAGCAACAGCAACCTGATCAGTTCCGCAGTCCGCACAAACTGGGCTGCAGCTAGCTTTTCAACAGCCTCAGGTACACAGTTAGTTTGGCATCGAATTGTACCTCAAATTCAAGAAGGGAGATGCGCTGGATGAGAGAACAAGTATACGCAACTGCGACAGCAATCACAGCAACCACAACACAGAGACTAGCTTTGAACGATACGAGGCATCGTTTTTACTTTGGAACAAATCTAAGAAAACACACAATCAGGAACGGGATCGTCTTTTTTCACACGTAGAATCATTATACACTTCCTTCTTTGCTTCTGTCCTTTGGAAGCTCGTTCTTTTGTACCTTCAGAGCGTATAGTTGATCTGGCGAAACAAATTACTCACGTCTTAGGTCTCTGGAACGGGCAACTCTCATCGGACTCGGGAACCTCGGAGTAGATCGATAATCTACTTTCAGACTTTTTTAGTTTTACAAGCTTCTGACGAACTCGGACTCGTGCAGTAAACACCACAGGGCAGTATTTAACACCTGCTCTCGCTCTTTCTCTCTGAATGCTTGATATGCATTTATATAGGTGTTCAATTTGCTAAGCGTGGACGTCCAGGACCAGGCGAAGGATTCGCCGTCAACTTTATTATGCAGGATGGCGAGGAGATTTCGGTACAGGCACATGAAGGGGAGAGTCTGTTGGATGTTGCTTGGGCGAACGACATTGACATTGAAGGTAGAACAGATCATTTAGCTGCCTTCTCGGCACTTTCGACATTTTCTTTTTGGTATCTGCGCAGCGGAATGTTCATCTAACTTTCCTTTCGTCTTCCGGCTCTCATCTTGTAATACTGCATTAGGTGCATGCGAGGCTTCACTAGCATGCTCGACCTGTCACTTGATCCTGGACCCAGACTCATATTCTAAGCTGGAAGAGCCCACAGATGAAGAAAACGACATGCTGGATCTTGCCTTTGGCTTGACTGACACGTAAGGCTACCGCTATCTTCAATGGCCTAGCGGAGTAAACTATTCATCTTAGCGCAATCTAAACCAACTCGTTTGTGAAACCATGTTAGATCCCGCCTCGGTTGTCAAGTGCTGATGAACAAGGAGATGGATGGAATCGTCGCCAAGCTCCCCACGATGACTAGGAACGCGTAAGTTCAGTATATTTGTCTCGTTGCCCCCACTTTTGCAGATAAGCTATATGAATGAGGAACTGACTGGATTTTTCTTTTGGGGCGGTTTTTTTTTTTTTGCAGATCCGCTTGATCTCACATTGCAAATACACCAACATAGATACACAATAATGAATACAATTGAAAATAGAAGCCAACTTTCTTACTTTAATCGACTACCGATCGCTAACAGCATACTCGATGGCCCCCATTGCACCTCCCAAAATAATGGCGACTGGAGCCGGGAATCTCAGGAACCCTGCCGTGACAAAGGCGACACCAGCAATGACGACATGATACCCGTCACTGCCACCCAACGGAACCACCTGCTCAAACAACATCCACACTGCCGAATATATCAATCCCAGTGCACAGGCGTTGACACCTCGAAACACTCTCTTAACCGCCGGGCGCTCTCGCAACAGCTGCCAGAATGGAATGATGACGCTCTTGAGGACCAGGCCTGGACAAAAGATGGCAATGTAGCTCACAATTGCGCCAGCAAGACCATTCTTGCCAATGTTGATCATGGCGACTGCCCCGAGATAGCATGCAAAATTGAAGTTGGGACCGGGAAGAGACTGGACAAGGGAGAGGCCGATGAGGAACTGTTGGCTAGTCATCCAGCCGGAATCGACGACATAGGTCTTGAGGAGTGGGATGATAACAGGTCCTCCGCCAAAGATGATGGAGCCTACAAAGTAAAAGGTGGAGGCGAGGTCTCCATAGCCAGGCGCGCCATGGGAGGTGACTCGAGCTCGGACAAGGATGGATGCAACCAAAAAACCGATAAAGAAGACCAGCAGTACTAGGCCCAGCTTTCTGGAGTATGAAAATGGCTTGCGCGACGTGTCTCCCTATGTAGAGTAGTGGCGGTAACACCAAAGTGTTAGAAAAAGGCGACAAACAATGCACATCAACAACAGTGGCAATGTAACGTAAAATACTTCTCACTTACATGTTCATCGTACTCGCCAACAATCACGGCTGGAATCTCTTCCTTGTCACTTTGCACATGCATCGAAGAAAGGGGCCCGGCGCTGTCGTCATTTTTACCATGGTTTTCCTTGTCGTCGCCCAATTCGGCCTCCTGAGCAGCGGCATGCCCCTTCTCCAGATCATCCTTCAATGAGGCTGCCTCGGTCTCTCTTTGTCGCAGTCGCTTCTTTTCATCTCTTTGGTTCAGGAGCGGCGACAAAAGAGTGTCAAAGACAAAACTGGTCAAGCCTCCGGATATCATCACCACTGGCAATACCCAAGCCGAAGTGTACAAGATCGAGACACTAGCAGCACACATGGCTAAAACCCTTGTCAAATTGTCGGTGGCGAGGTTCCGTGACATCTTGTGTGCTGCCAGGGCCACTAGGCCGATTGCTGCCGCTGCCAGACCTTGCTCCAAACGAATCGCCCAGATCGGCTGGTCGCCCTTGATATCGCCAATGAGCAGCCCTGCCACAGTGCACACCACCGCCCCCGGAAAACTAGAAATTCAAAGTTCAATCGATCGAGTCGCGTTAACACACGAAGGAAATCGACAAAACGAACAAAAAAAAAATATATACACCTCCAACATACCTCCAGAGGATAAATCCGAGGACGGCACAAAGGAACCCGGAGCGGAGAAGGGTGAGACTGTAGGCTAACAGTGCCGCAGCGGGACCCGGTAACGACTGAGAGATGGCAAAGAGCTCTGCAAACTGCTCCTGTGAGGCCCATCCACGTTTGATGACGATTTCGTCGTTAAGCATGTTGGTGTGGACCATGGGACCTCCAAAGCTGGTGTATCCGAATTTAAAAAATGTAGAGATTGTCTCCCGGATCCTGTCTTTGAGTGGTGGGAGGTTGTATGGGTTGTTCCTCTGATTTGGGCGGCTCATTGTGGATACAAAAGAGCGTGAAAGGGGCGTAAATGCTGCTATTGGGTATATGTTGTACGGTGTGATAAAACTACCTTGGCTGAGTGTAGAGGGAGAAGTAAAACTGACAGAACACAAAACACAAAACAGAAGACAGGAAGAGTTCACGGCTTTTATACGTCTTTGTCCGGAACACCGATACCAGGGAATGGTCGCATGTCCTTTGTTCGTACTTGGTTAGATGGTTAATAACGCCATCGAGCTCCCACATCTGTTGTTTTGCACTCATTTTAGCTGGACTCGGAGCCTTAGTTATGGTTCTTTCTTCCATCAACCTTGCAAGTCCAATACCAACAAATGCACACAAGCGAAATGCAGCAGCATACGAAGTGCTCATCTTTTTCGTCTCTTCTTCCCTCGCAAGTGAGACCCTTTTTATGCCACGTAGGAAATTCCGAAAATAAGACCGGCCTCGCCTCTTTCCTGGTTTCTTTCTTTCCGTTCTCGATGATCGATCTGCATTGATTCGACGACGAGCGATTCGGTAAAGCACGCCATTCAAACAAAAGGAAACGACAAAATTCCCAACCCCTCTTTTTTCCTCCGTTGGCCAAACAAACAAACGTTTATGATAAACATTCGTGCCACATGCATGTGGATAAGGGCAGCAATGGCGGTGAATAAATTCAGTGCCAACTTTAATTGGCTATTACATGAGGCGGCGAGAGGGAGAGGGATGTGGTGGAAGAGCAAGAGCTGTTACCAATTGTTAAAGATTAATCGTGGCAACCAGGGAGCCAGTGAAGAGAGGTGAAAGGGACGAGGAAGAGGAATGCATAAAGGCAAGTTGCACACGCCAAAAAAACGAGACAATGTGTTTCGTATAAGACAATCAACGCAGGTTGGGTTGGTGCAACCATGGGCGCCTCCTGAGCTTTATCAGCGATGCGACCAGTTCATTTTACTGCGGGATCGATACACCCAGGTTGACGGTATCTATTGCTTTTGTGCCACGGGTCTCGGTATTCGACGCGTCTTTGTCTGACTATACCCTCGAGACGCGAGGTGAACAGTAAGAAGCGAAATTTAAGAAGGTGAACGTGAACAATGACATGACACTGGCCAGTTTTCGTGTCGCCTCTTCACACCTTATCCTGTCACTGGTGCATGTGCATAGTGGGAACTGTCATTCTTGAAAATGATTATTGTCTGCTGACTAGGCGGCCTTCCTCCTTTCTTTTATAATCCCTTTCTTTTTAATCCCTCTCCTTCTTCTCAATCCCTCTCCTTCTTTACGATCCCTCTCGTTCTCTTCACAGCCTCTCAGCCTTTCGCCGCAACCCATGCCCAAACAACCAGGGTGACAACCTTGTACTTTCGTTTTCTTTTGTTCTTAACTGATAAATATTCACAAACTGACAGAGCGTGTCCTCTCGAAACAAAGCCGCAGTTCTGTGGACAACACTTCACAAACGCACACATACCAACGCTTCTTCCCAACCCTCTTTCTGTCCCCTTTCTCTTTCACTCTCAACACTCACCCCACAGACGATCCCCAACCTTTCCTTTGCTCTTCCCCCCACCTCCCTCTTCTCACATCAACTCTCACCCGGTGCCATTACTCACCCTCCTCTCACTGACCCTCCCTTTACAGTTCTACCAATCACAGCCTCATATCTTCATAGCGCCTCACCAGCCGATCCATCAGCGGATTGTTTCAACCACATCTAACAATCACCACCGAAACGACGCACTACCCTTGCTTCCTCCCTCCCTCTTCCCTGGCTTTGTCCGCTTCCCTTGCTAACCTCAACCTCCATCCCTAACCTCTCCGTATAACCCATACCTCTGCTGTCTCACTCTACCTCTCACCTCGTTTCGCACGAATCCACTTGGGTTCTTCATGAACTCAACCATTGATCAGTTGATAAGAACTGATCAACATTTATCTGTTTGACTCACTTCCTGGAAGGCAACCGTTGATCAATTGCTATGAAACGATCAAAGCCAATTGCTGTCCATCCTCTCTTTAATACATTGAACACTGCCAATGGTCGCTCAATTGCTTCGAGACCATCATCCCCAATTGCTCTGTGAAAAAGAATAGAAATAAAGACGAGATGCTGCCAACACACCAGAATTCTCACTCCATATCCCCTCGGCAGTCGTCGGCACTCTCCTATCTCTTAGACCCCCCTTTTTCTCTGCCCCTCTGTGATCAAGTTTATCCCTTCAGTTGCCAAAGCAAAAGAAAAATCCATGCACCCTCACTCCTAGGCCCACAATTGACCACATACCACCGTCTAGGCTCTAGCGGCGTAATACCACTAACACCCCTCCTGGACTCCTTGACCGCATATCTGACTTTTAAAAAACAAAAAAAGGGGCCTAAATCGTTCACAGCCATCTGAGGAAGATTGTTGGCAAAAGCAAAAAGAAGTTGGGCTCAACCGGGAATTGAACCCGGGACCTCTCGCACCCAAAGCGAGAATCATACGACTAGACCATTAAGCCAACTGTTTTGATGAACTGTTTTCCAAATGCTGACCTATGAACTCATTGACTGAGTTTGGATATGCGACACATCCGCCTAGTCACGTGGTGCGCCACCAAAATGGTGCGGGAAGAAAGTGTGAAAAAGAGCGACAGGCACTTATGTGTGTGTTGTTCACTTGTCTCGATGTATTCATGAACTGTAACGAATGGCGCTGGTAGAATTAGAGCAAGGAAGGGGGTAGAAGGTAAAGAAAGGAAGTGAGAAAGAGTGAGCAAGAAAAAGAAAGGAGGTAAGGAGTTGATGGTGAAGTGCTGGTGCCTAAATTCAATCCTTTTCGTTTCCTTCATTGACGCGTCAAAGAGGACTCACAAGTGCCTACATCGTCCATGAACGCATACATGTCTCCCTCTCCCAAAATGTGCTACAGAAACCGAAAGAAAATTTTGGTTAAAGAGAGAAGGATGAAAGAGAACAAGAGGGGCGAGGATGGTGAGGGAAGGTGTGATGGTATGATGTTGCTGTGAGTGTGAGTGAAGAGGTTTAAAAAAATGGGACCCGATATGGAACATGTGGCTGTGTTCTTCGATTTTGATTTTTTTTTTATCCTCTATTGCATCGCCAAGGTCGAGAGAAAGAGAGTGTGTGTGTCAGATATAGCGATGAAAGGGAGCGATATGGAGAATAAGTAGAAGGTGTGTGTGTGCGGGTGTGGACCTTAGCTTATGTTTTTTATTCGCTGATACCAACGTGTTCAAGGGAGACAATTGAATACCAAGGCGAACAAGTGCGATCAAATTGTGAAAAAGACAGAGAGCGCGTGAGAGTGGGTGATGGATATGTCTGTTTTGCTGGAAGAGAGACGCGTCAATTCGAGTAGTAATAAGACTGAGAATGAGCATGTGCACAATGAAGACAGGTCTAACAAGTAAGAAGCAGTAGGGGATACAAAAAAGAAGGGCGGTTAGTGACGAGTCATACAGACACTCTGGTGAACGAATACACACCCTTGTTCATGAATCGTTTATCGTGATCACTGATGTAGTTCCTGCCCTCAGCTGCGCTTCGATCAGCAGCACTCTCAATAAAGGCTTACAAGTGTTACATGCATGTTCATGTACTTATGTATATATCTGAAAGTTATGCAGCCATTGTCTCTGTTGCTATAAAAGTCATCACACGTCTATCTTTTGGTTGGAAAAAGGTCTTTCTCTGAACAGCATTACTTATTTGACTTTGAAGATAAGATGGATGTATGTGCGAGAGAAAAAAAAGGGCGGAAGGTACGCTACGGTGGAGAAAAGTAAAAGTATAAGGAAAGCAAAAGAAACGAAAGAGAAGAAGGAAGTGACGATAGATAATAGGCGGCCAAGATAAGCCTGTCGTTATGCGGGCTCTTGAGAGGAGAAAATAAAAAATCTGCAACATCAAAAGAACATCAATCATTAAAGCCGGGGACGCTTGATCACTTCGATCCCTTCTTGCAGTCTTGTAGTGGGCATTAGGCAAGGAGGAAACAATGCCCTTTCTCCATTTCCAACTGAAAGGTGCTGACATGAGAAGATGAGGGTGAGTAGAGTGCAGTAACACAAATGAGAGCGCCTCTCATCCTCTTTGGCGGCGTTTCTTTTCCTCCACACTCTTAACTCGCGCTTGTTCTCGCGTTGCACAGACATAAAAAAGCGAGACAATGGTTAGAAAGATTATTTTATTGCTTTCAATCGCAGAGAGAAGCAAAAGGCAACGCAAAAAAAAGAGGACGAAGAAAGAGAAGACAAAGACGACAAAGGAGAAAAGGCAAAGATGACGTAAAAAAGAACAAGTGCAATCCTCCATCCCCTTCTCCTCCAAGCGATGGGAATCCGCCTTCTCACTCGCATGTTCTGCAGAAGCAGCTCCGTGGTCACTTCCGAATATTCCCCTTGGCGAGAGGTTACAATCCACGTGTCCTGCTCACCGCCATCACCGCCGCCATTACCACCGCCGCCGGCACTCCGCATCATCTCATTCCCAGTTGGGCCGATTTCCCCTCCGATGCCAGTTGTCGATTATGATAACCTCGATGCTCGACATCTTTAGGAGTTTCTTAACAACAAATCTACCTTTGAAAAACATGTCGTCCTACAGTTGGAAGGTCGCCTCGGACGGTACCTCAATGTACAGCCTCCTGATATCGCGGTAGTAAGAGAACCGGAAGACGTCGTATTTGTTGATGGTGAGATTATCCAGCGTCTAAGCACTGTTAGGTCTCGGGACAGCCATGGTCAAAAAATTACCCCTGCCCCACCAGTTTCCTGCAATATGTAGTTCACCAACCTAGACACCAGCGAGGAGAGTGAATGCAGTGGCACCTGATAGTCGTAGTCCAAATTAGTCTCAACCTCTGGACTCTCAATTGCGGTATGTTGCGATTCAGGAGTTCAAGAATGGACTCGAAGGTATCAGGATCGAAGCATTGGAACAGGCTCAATATCGAGAACTGCAAAACGTTGCAGGCGCCTGACAGAAGAGCAGCAAGTTCAAAGATGAAATCCTCAAACGATTTTATGGTGGTCTCACCTAGTTCCTTGAAAGCTGCATCGTTGTGCCACACCAAGTAGGGGGTGCTCCAGACAAGAGCGGACCTTTGTATCGCGTGCTTCCCAAGACTTGGTGTAGTGGCGAGTGTCAAAGGTATTCAGTTGATTAGGGGGAACTTGGGGGTATCCCACTGCCGTGCAGTTATTCCTCATACGAGGGGGAGGAGAGCTTGGAGCCCGTCCCGGCGTACTTGAAGGTAGGCGATAAGGGATGGGCGGTCGAGGAACCTGCCCAGGAACAGGAGGCAAGGTAATCATGGCTGTCTGTTTGCTGCATTGTTTGCTGGTTTGTTTGATGGTTTGTTTTTTGTTTGTGTACGTGTATGGTTGTGTCTGTGGGAATGAGAGAGGTTGATAGGGGTAAGGGAGAAAGAAGGGAAAAAGACACCAAGCGATAATAGAAAGAAGAAACTATGCTAACGTACTCAGTGATGCATATTGATGGCAAAAAAAAACATATCACACCCACATTCACACACTTCAAACGCGACGTGAAATAGAGAAACGCCTTTTTATTCAATTGACAATCGCGAATCTTCTTTTCTAGTTTTCGTACGAGAATGAATGAGAGACCAGCGCATTCGTTTTGTTTTTATTCTGGATAACTCTTTAAGCAATTCAAACATGGGGGAGTAGATACGCGGGTAGCGAAGCACGCTAGCAAGAAAGGGGGGCAGAGGTGAGTTGGTGGCATGAACGCGGACAAAAAAAAGAGAAGACGAGCTTCGACGAGCATTATCTCTTTTTGATGGCGTCTTTTTTTTTTTTTTTTTTTTTTTTTTTTGGGTTTTGGGTTTTGGGTTTTTACCTCGCACATCCCTTTCAAACAAAGTGAGCGAGCAAATGCACACACAAGGAAAAATGAACAACAGGATTCTTCTTTTTATTTTTTTATTTCATCGTAACAAAAAATTACAAGAAAAGTAGGACATCAGCGGCACCTTAACGACTTATATCCAGTACTAGGATCTCAGCACAGGTTCGACATCCCACGATTCGAACTAACTAACTAATCACCAACTGGTGAAGACCATTTTCGACGACCTCACGCAAGACGATAGGCGAAGACCGAAGGGTGCGGGGCGGAGCGATATAGCGACTGTTTTTCAGATTAAGGAAGAGGAGGGGATAAACAAAACCCTGGTGACAGCATGACGTGCGTGCTTGCGGGCGGCGACATGTTTAGATGCATTCAACAAGGAACAAAGACAAAGGCGGGGGGGGAGATGGTCCATAGCCAGGTTGCCAATTATTATTTGATAGAAGGGTGTGGTGGCAAAGCAAACGGTCGGATTTGTCGAAAAGAAGTTGACGTGGGATCAATTGAGACAACGCAAAAAAAGAACCGAATCAGCGGGTCGGGACGGCCATGACAAAAGAAAAAAGGGCTGAGCACCCTGACTGTTGGAGGGGTTGGTGTGAAGAGGGAGGGAGATAAGGAGAGGAAAGAGACTCAATAGCAATGGGATTGTGCTCATTCGGACACGCATACGTGTGCCACCCTGTTGTATATCTGGTGAACAACAACATGTCCTGATCTTTGGAGGTGAAGTTGGCGAAATATCACGGTGCAGTAGATCCGTTCCTGATATTAGTTTGAGACTTTGTAACCTCAATATTTTTAAGCCTGTGGAAAAAGACAGGAACAAAAGGAACAACAGACCTCCGCTGCATCTTTCACTTTTTCCCTTTTGACAGACGCGACTGATACCACAAGGACACCACTCTTTGAACAATGAGAAACTTACTATCAATACAGTCAAGCACAAAATAAATATTTATTGTTTTGAGTGGCGTGTTTTTGTATGGTACAGATGGTGTCCCTCGACTTCCCACAAGTAGCTTATTAGGTGTCTTGATGAGGAAAGGTACAAAAGAAGAGATATTGTTGTTGATATAGTCATTATCATAAGTTGGAAAAGAGAGCGTTAACGGTATTGATGTAACAAAGTTCAACAAAATGAAAGGTATGAGTGAGTGTGTGTGGGTGCGGTTGAGTGAGGGTGTGTGAAAGAGAATACATAGTACATGCGGAGATAAATAATAATATGACACGAAAAATAAAAAAGAAAAGTAACAAAGTACAAAAGAAATCGCGTTTCTCTTTTGGAGAGGAGCGAACTCTTCGAAATATCTCCAATGGACGCAGATTTAAAGTAAGCGGCGGCGGTTGTTTGGTGGCAGGGGGTCATAGAGTTGAGGATTCACTGGCAAAAAAAAAAAAAAAAAAGACGATTAGAAAAGGGAAAGATAGCATCAGTAACACCAATAAAAACAAAAATATCCAAGAGACTTACTCTGGAGGTAGTACATGGCATGTTCGTGGATGTCAACGTCATTCCGCTCTGAGGGCACGTAGACGGGCTCGGGCTCAGGCTCATGGATCTGCTGCTCAACTCCCAGCGTGTTGATAAGAGCGCCCATTCCGTAGAGGGTCGACTGGGGCTGAAGCGTCTTGAGAGCTCGGCCGGCACCGTTGACAGGTCCGTTCGCGCCGGGTGCAGCTCCTGAAGGCGTGTAAGGTGGTGGCGGTGGGGGAGCAGCGCCATGGCCGTTTCCACCAGTACGGGCTCCAGCATTGCCTGCATTGACTGGAGTAGAAGATGGCTTGCCGCCATAGTAGAGGTCCTTGCCAGAGTTGGCAGGAATCAGGGGCACCAGTGGCGTCACAGCGGGGGCAAGAGGGCGAGGTGCAATCCAACGTGGGGTTGGGGTTGCGGCTGGGGCCGCGGCATCTGTCAGACGGGTTGGCTTCTTGGGAACTGGAGGTTTGAGGCTCTGGCTGATGGCCGAGGAGCTCGAGCTGCCTGTCGACTGAGGAAGAATACGCTTAGGAGGCTTGGGTGGTGGCACGACCGACCTTTTCTTGTTGTCTACTCCCTGAATGATCAAGGGAATAGGCATCGACGAACCCTGGCCCTGATTGCCCGAATTGGAACCAAAGACGCGGTTGTCCATACTTCCCATACCCAACAGATCTCCGACGGGGGCCAAGACTGGCTGCACAAATGAGGACTGGCTGTTGTAGAGTCCGCCCTGGTGGTTGGCGTCAAACATGTTCATCGAGTTGGATTCGGTCGCCGAGCTGTAAAAGGGCAAGCCGTTGGTGTCGTAGAGGCCTCCGCTAGATGTCGAAGGACCTTGGGTCGCAGTGGCAGACGAGATACTGGGTAGATCAAAGCCAATTGAAAAGCTGTTCGGGTCTGTGGCAGAGCTGCCCATAAAGTGCGTGGTATTGGCAGCAGTGGCAGCGGCAGCAGCAGTGGTTGCTGTGGCTACAGTCGAGGCGCCTTGGGGCTGACGGAAGACGCGGCTGGCCGACTCGAAAGGTGGGTAGGCATGGGCCTGGAGAGGCGAAAACATGTCCGCATCCTCAGTGCCTTGCTGGTGGTTCGAGTAGTAGCCACCGTGGTTATTGCTGTGCTGCATGGGCATCCTCTGGACAGACTCTGCGGGAGACGAGGGTGACATGACACTGGCATAGCTATAGTCCGAGGCTGGGGTCGCGACAAACTGTTGTTGCTGGTTTTGGTGCTGTTGCTGCGAGAAGCTCGAGGATCCGACAGTACCAGTAGAGGACATGTTATTTTGCTGGTTCAACGAACCCTGTGGCGTCAGGAGGAAGTTGCTCACAGTCTCCTCCATAGCCATGACATCCTTTTCCAGTTCAGGCAGTTTGGCCAGGCTGACATAGCCCTTGATGAGATCCATTGTGCGGTAGTACAGGCTCTGAGAATCGACCAGGGACTGAGTGATCATCTGGAATACATGGATCTCGGCCGCCTGGAGCATATGGTAGGCAAAGAGACCACAGCCAGGCCAGGGCCAGCTGTAGTTCTGGAAAATGATCTCGCCGATCTGGGTCAACATCAATGCTGCCTGGGAACACTTGGCCATGGGGGAGTTGCTATCCTTGAGGTCGCCACGGTGAGACTTGTTCGAGATCAGAGGGCGGTAGAGGAGGAGGCGGTGACTGTAAAAGAACCGGTGGAGGTAGAGGGTATAGTACGAAGGCAGAGCTCCGCCGGTACTTTGGCTGTCGGTGTAGACCAAGTGAGCAGGCAGGTTCAGCAACCAACCGTCAATCGATGACTGGATGGTCAGCATCTCGGCACCCTTGATAGCCTTGGCCAGGGCTTGCTCGTTGGCGATGGTTCTGTAAAAGCTGCAGATCCGACGGTAAATCTGCACCAGCTCGAGGTGGTGAAGCCAAAAGATTAGAGTAGCGCCTTGGACGGTGTCAGGCATCTGGCCGGCTTCTTGGATAAGTTTGGGAATGTTAAGTGAGGGATTCGACACACAGTAGTCCTGACCCATCAGACTGCTTGTCAGGCCGTCGAGGAAAAAACAGCCGAGCCACGCGAGTCGGTTCTCCTGGTTGAGGACGACGCGCTTCTCTTGCGAGAGGCGCTTTTGGGATTGATCGCGAGATCCGAAATCCGAGTTATTGGCGTTTGCGCGCGTATCGTAAAAGGAAGGGGCGTGAGAGAATGCTGGCCGGCCTGGTGGACTTCCAGTGCTAGCCAGACTGTCGCCTGTGTTGGACGACTCGAGCTCAAGAACGCTCTTGCGAAGGGCCTTGTTGAGTCCCATATCGAGAGCCATCCTTGTTGCCAGGTTGACATACATGCGGATGCGGAAAAAGTGGCCCGACCGCTTCTCCTTGGTCTGGTAGTAGGCCAGTAGCAAAAGACCCTGGACAGTGCTGAGCCTTGGCACATCCATATAGGTGTCCAGCAGGGCTCGTGCATGGTCATAGAGAGCGTGATGACCCTTGAGGTTGGCGAGATCGGGGATATCTTGCAGCTCAAAGTCAGTGGCATGGCGGGCGGCAACCGCGCAGATGGCCATCAGCAGAAAAGGAGGGACACGGAACTCTCCTTCTTGACAGAGCGTAAGAAAGCTGGTCTTGTGGATGACTGGCAGGAAGGTGTGGACGCTGTTGAAGTAAATGTCCAGGAGAGCGCTGATGGCCTTGGTTGTGAGGAGTGTGTTAGGAAGGGTATATGGAAGGGGGAGATCGGTTGTCTGCCAGTCGAGGGTGCTGAAATCGGGGAGGTGACTCAATGGGGATGCGTTGTAAGTCCTGGCATCGTTGTATGAGCGCTCTTTTTGGCCGAGGACCTTGGGGATATATTGAGCGGCGCCATCGCGGTCGACCTTTAATGAACCCATCAAGAGGCCAAGAACATCCATAGAGTCGTCTGTCGTGAAGGTGGCGTCCTCGGTATCTGAATCAGGGCCAGTGAGGTTTGGCGTGCTGATGGATGCGCCGGAGAATTGCCGGATGAGGGGGATGCTGTAGGAGTGTTGTCGAGAGTGTGAGGAACCGTGGCCGTGATCATGTGGTGGTTTGGAGGGAGGGGTGGCGGGGACAGAGGCTGGGGTATAAGGCGCGTTGTGGTGGTGGTGATCCATGTCGTCCGAGGAAGGGTCGGCAGCCAGGTCGTTCAGACCCTTGCCGATGCCGCGGGAGAGGAGGCCTTGGAGATGGGACTCGACGCTCTTCAGCCGGTTCTCGAGGGTCTCGACATATTCTTGGTTGGCGGGTTTGTTGACGGCGGGGTAGACACATTCTGTCCTGAACTTTTCGCAGTGGGAGCAGGGGACTTGGCCGTCGCATTTGATCTTTTTCTGTCGGCAATTAATGCAGGCTGTGGAGATGCGGATGCGTTTGCTGGGCTTTTTGGGAGGGAGCTTGTTGTTTGTTTCGGGCGATGATAATGATGTAGCAGGGGCCCCTTGTGCAAGGTTAGACCTATTATTTTAGGTGTATTGAAAGAAGGAGGGATTGTCGCACACGTGTGTGGGATGAAGGATGCGGGGGAATTGAAGGGCAAGAAAGGTGAAGGAAGGTGCAGTGCAGAAAAGGAAAGAATAATAGAGTGGGATTAGTGGATATGGAAGCCAAAAAAAAAAAGAAGCTGCGGGGTTATTTTCAGATCCCGGTGGCGGATGTTGTTTGAGTTGAGTTGGATGAGAAGTGAGAAAGTGGGATTGAAGATGTGTGTTTGTGGGTACAATTGGGTAGTGGGTGGTGGTGGGCAAAGAGTTGTGTAATGGATAAATTGTGTCGGAGTGGGGTCATCGAGGCGGGATATGAGAGCCAGTTCAGCTCAAAGAAGGATTCTGACTGAACGTAGAAAGGGAACGCATGTATGGGGATAGAAAGGAAAGGATAGGTCGTCTGAGGGAGGCCAATTGAGATGTATCCGATGGATAGTTGCAAGTGTGAGACATGCACTCAGAGGTGAAGGATGTGTATCAATGTGTATCAATTTGCGTATGTGATCCAGTGATGGGTATGTAAAAGCAGAGGGCACGGGTGAATCACTCACTCACTGACGCTAACTAACAATGTGTTTGCCAGGAAGAGAGAAAGGGTTTGTAATGGCGTGTGTGGCATGGGCGTAAAGCAAAAAAAATGATAATAATAATCACAAACCAAAAGAGATAAAAAAATGTGTGGTCGGCTGAGCTGGAGGGGGGTAGAGGGAGGGCAAGAGAGGATGAAAGGAGGGATAGAAGGTGGAATATGACAGGGCCAGGGGGGAAGGGGGGGGGCAGGTACCAAATAAATATCCGAGTGAGTGGAGGAGGAAGTATGGTGTAGTATTAAAGAAGCAAAAATGCTTACCAGAAGGCCTTCACCTGGAAGTGGCTGTGGTTGGTGTTCTCATGCATGACCGCCTGCTGGAGAGGCTGGAGAATGGGTTGCAGTCGTTTTCGAAAGGGGAAGGACGAGTATTCGGTGGTGGAGTGTTCGGTGGTGGCGTTGGCAAATATAAAAAAAAGGATATGGGCAAGGGAGAGAGAGAGAGTAGGGTGGGAAGAGAGAGTCGATGCTGTTGGGTGCAAGAATTAAATAAAAATAGGGCGTGGACTAGTTCTGCAGAGTACGAGAGGAGAGAGAGGGATGGATGTAGGGGCGAGAGGAGTGTGGGAAGGGAGGGAGGGTCGAGAGTGGTCGGGCTAGTAGATGGGTATGTCGAACGACGGGTTTAACGGCTGTGTCCGAGGGAAAAAAAGTGTCGAGGAAATAATAAGAAAGGGGTTGGTAGGATCGAAATAAACAGGTGGATAGGGATGATTGATCCAGATGGGTCGAGATAAATAAAGGGGAAAAATGGATAGTGTATGTCTGCGGAGTGGAGGGAGGGTTGTTTGTTTATTGTTGTTGCTGTTGGCCGAGGGAGTGAGTGTCGAGCGCAAGACAAAGGGAGAGTCTGTGTGTGTCTGTGAGAGAGAGAGGTTGCCAATAACAGGAAAATGATATAGTCGATTGGCGACAGTGACGAATGGGCAAGTTTAAGAGTGAGGGTGAAAGTGATGGAGAAGATTGAATGAGGGTGTTGGAGAGAAAGAGTGAGAGACAAGGTCGTGAGAGTGGGTTAATGAAAACAAAAAAAGGTATGAGGAGAGAGTTTGAAATGACAAGAGAGGGTGATGGGGTAACGAAGAAAATAAAGAAAGGAATGAAAGAGAGAAGATCGATGGACAGTAAATGGACAAAGAGGATAGAAAAAATGCAGAAGAGAAGGGGTTGAGTGGAAGGAAGGAAAAGAGGGTTCGACTACAAAAGAAGAAAGGAAAAGAGAAAATGAATATTGAAGGGACAAAGGGAAGAGAAGAGAGGAAGGAGCGGAGTGCCGACATCAACGAACAATCCACTTTGAAGGGCACATTCAATAATCACTGCCTGTTCTCTCTCTCTGTCTTTTCAACTGTGCATCATCATTGTCACCGCTATCCTCTCTTCTCTGCTCTACTTGCTTCCTTCCTAACATGCTCGCTTGCCTGTATGATGTTTGCTCACCGTCTTTCACCACTGAACACAACAGCAACTCCATTTCTCTCTCTTTCTTTCTTGTTTGTGAGGTCAGTTCAACAACGGCTGCTACTTTTTATTGGATTGATTTTCCTTTGTCTCTACACGGTCCTACAAACCACTGCGACCTCGCACTCTCCCCTTCTTCCAAGAAGTGTGTAAGAACAGCATCAAAGGGCTTCTTCAAACAGGAACAAGGACTCATCTCTAACCCCGGAGCAAGCTACATACAAGGAACACTGTTCCTTCCTCATTTTATTATATTTTATTTTTGCTCAGAGATGGAACGGATAGGCAGCTAGGCAGGGGTCGAGACAGGAAGGAAAAAAGAGTGTGAGCACCTTGTATTCAATAGCCCATGGACCCTCAACAACAATACAACACAACAGAGCAGACAGGAAGAAATCGAGGCAAGGTAAGGAAAATAAAACGAACAGAGAAAGGGTGAACCGCAACACACACAAACAATAACCTTATTCACCTTTCTATTTTTCCACCTTCCTCGTTCATCTCTCCGTCTTCTCTGTCTGTTTGTCCAGGCAAGTGGGGAGGGAAAAGACAAGCCCTGCTGAACCTTCTGGCTCTTCTTCCTAATAAACATTTGCGAAGAAAGGAAGGTGGGAATGAATTGGATGGCCACTGAAAAGAGAACAACAGTACGAGGGTGTGGTACCCTACGAGTGTTCCTTCTCATAGATGTTTGTTGATGTTGCTGTTGTTGTTGGTTTTTTTTGCTCAAAGCCATACTAGGGCTCAATTGGTTACAAACAGTCGACTGACGAGAGAGGACGAGGGGATGAGCGAGAACCACAGAGGTGAGAGAAAAAACAAACTGCAGTACTGTACTGTACCATAAAACAGAATGAAAAGCTGAAAAAAAGATGAGTCGCGTTGACCACCGGGAGCAGGACTATTTCCTCTGCTCGCTCCGACGGGAGAGGAGCCCATCAGGGCACCGCCCCTTGTCCAACCGACCCCCTCAAAACTATCGATTCCGGTTTTTCATTTTGTTCGGTACCAGGTTCTTTAACTTTTCTCCTTTTCTACCTTTCTATGGTTCTATCGCTTTACAAGTGTGCTTGGTGATGGAGTGTGCTTGTCCATAGTGTAAACTCGCAGCCTGCCCTCGTTTTTTTTTGAGCAACTGTTATTGAGTCTAACAAGCGCGATTGAAAAGAAACAACAATAATGTGCGATAATGATGGATGATGATGCATGGGAAGTTTTGTACCCAACAACTCCACTGTGGTTTTATTTTTGTTTATATTTTTCACACACTTGACACTCAAGATGGCATTTTTATTCTTCATTCATGAAGTAGTGCTCAATTAGCTCCTTCTTTTCCCCATCTTTCATTGTAATGAACCAAAGAGAATGGAAAGGAACACACCTACTTTCTGCTTTGCATTTTTCTTTATACCCATTGTGTAATGAACGAAAAAGAAAAGATACCCGTTCAAAAGTACGCTGGTGCAGCAACAACCTGTCTGACTGCATATCAGATGCGCACATAATCGATGAGAAGATAGAAAAAAACGAAGCCTAGTCTTCACTCTATTATACCCTACCAAGCTGCCGATGACGATAATGAGACTGGAAAAAGGAAAGGCGCACGGCACGGCAGTCAGAAAGAAAAAGGACAACGAGATTGACTATTCTGACAAAACCATGTCATCCTCGGCTCTCTCTCCTTCTCTCCTCTCGGTTATTTCCTATGTCTCCCCCCTATTGATAATCGAATCCATCCGATCGAATTAAAATTTCCTGAACAGAAAAAAAAAAGAGTGTGAGCATCAGGACCATGCCAACTGGTCTTGCTCATCTCCGTCCTGTCTTCTTCGCTCACTGATACCTGTTACTTGTCGCATGGGTTAGCAATTATTTTAAAGCTCGTCCTTAATGGACACATGTTTAGCTGTCTAGCTGTCTCCCCTGTCTTGTAATCAGAATTGCCATTTGGGAACAAGTGGGTTAATCTTTTCGTATGTAATGAGAGCTCTCTCCTCTCTCCCTTCTCAGACTCTTGCTACAAAAAACGCGATCTGTGTGTCAGCGTCAGGTTCAGGTCAACAGATGACCATAAAACAACAACAACAAAAAAAGCGGTCGGCCTGGCCTTTTTTGTATTGCCATTTGTTTTCGCTCGGGGCATCTGTCTACTCTTACTCTCGTGTGAGTACTATTTACCACAATCACAATAGGGATTGACAAGTGGTCGATCGAAGGTTGGTAGGTTTTGAATGTAATGAAATGGTTCGTAAATAGCAATTGGACCGGGCGTATGCTTGTCTCTTTCTTCTTTCTCGTCATTAGAAAGAAGAAAGGGAAGGGGAGGAAAAGGCGCTAGTGTTCCTTGGATATGTATCTGCGATCATGATGTTTGTGTGTATGTGTCTAGGCGCAAAAAGCAACATTCAGAGTGTGGTATCATCTGTTTCCATTGTTTTGTTGACTGTTGCGATGGCGAGATGGATTAAAAGGAGAGAGAGTATGTGAGAAGAAGGAGAGATAGGAAGGAGCATGGAAGAAAAAATGGACAGCAACGCGCCTGAGAACAAAAAAACACAAGAGAGAGACTCGAGACAAGACTAGCAACAAAAAAATAAGATGGAGCAAAGGCTGCGGTGAAAATGGAGGTAGAGGACAAGGGATGTGAACAGCAAACAAACAACAACGATAAAACAGCAAGTGAAAAAAAAAGAGTCGCATGCGGCGATGATCGATCTCACCTCACAGGCCGCCTTCCATCCATTTGCCTCCATGGCGTCGTTATTACCCGTCCATGTATTTATCTCTTTTCGTTCTTCTTTTGTAGCCATGGACGAACAGGCTGAGAGGCGAAAATGCAAGGCAAGGCAGGGGCGTCATGGGGTGCGTGAGTGTGCTGTTTGCAGTTTTCAACTGCTGCCGCAAGCAAGCGACGGAGAGAGGTAGGGAGAGCACAAACACAAACAAATAAACGGATGAAGCTTCCGTTTTTAGTGCAACTGGCACGCCTTTGAGAAAAAAATAAGGTATTCCCTCCTTACGCTCCTGTCTTTTAGGCGTGTGGCAAAGGCACGCAAGGGGAGGGTAATGCATGAAGAAAAAACCTCCTCTCTGGCGCGCCAGCCTGCTTCAAGGAGAAAAGTTGACACGAGCTTCCATTGGAGTTATCGACACACCAAAAGGTCAACTGAACAAACTCAACGAAGAAAGACATAATAAACAAGGAGCGAACTTATCATTCCGCTTGTACCTCAGCACAGGACAAACTCAACTGGCATCCCCCTTTTTTTTTCTATGAAATCATCGTAGCAAAGGTCACACCAGTGACAACCGTCAACGGCCAACCCAACTGTCACAAGCGCACGCAGATCCCCATGGCTATTGCACCCTTTTTCTCTTGATCAGTTGCCTGAAGACGACGTCCATACCTATTTTTGCTGCGATACATGTGTGGTTCTGTCAATAGACTGCATTTCGAGTCGGGTAAAGAGCTCACACCAACTGCGCTGACATGGCATACAGTAAACGATAAAAGGAAGAGAGAGCGAGAACGACGCCTCGACCCAAAGTACCTTTCGACAGCAATGGCTAAATCGCTGCAATGCAAACAACAACCGCAACAAACAAAAAAAATAATATCTAATAAATAAATAACGCACACCTACCTGTGACCATGATTACCTATCTTCGTTGGCATGTCCTATTTTTCACATAATAAACAAACAAACGGCAACAAGGGGGCACCAAATAACAAAAAAGAGTCGAGTGGTTGATATATTGCGGAGGATGTGCCTAGAACGCTTCATCTCTAAAACAACAAACAAAAAATGGCATGCAGTGAGGCAGCAATGGGCGGTGAGCGTTAGGTTGTTTATGAGGACTCATTGGATTATGTTGAATGCTTATATCTATTGTCTAGTATAACAGTGCGCAAAAAAAAGTGAAATGAAAACTATGTAGCAGAGGGTGTGGAAGAAGAGCCAGAGGAAGAGCCAGAGGAAGAGCCAGAGGAAGGCCAGCTAAAAGTCAAGCTCTCCCATCGTGACTTTTTTGGTGGCTCGTGGTGGGGCACGGACGTGTCGGTGGTCTGGTCAATAAGAACAAAGTCCTCCTGTTGCTGTGGGTGGCCTAACTGATGGTGCTCGTGATGGAAATCATAAGAGGACTGCAGCGGTGTCGAGACAGTCGAGGAAGAAGTATTGTTGACGACTGGCGAAGATGGAGGCGATGGTGGTGGTGGCACAGGGTCTGCAGGGAACGATCGAATCATAGGCTCGTCCGCGATCTGCAGTACAAATCCTCCTGCGGCATTGCCGATTCCGATCTCCTGTCCGCTGTAAGGGGTATGACTCCGAAGACGCAGACTGACATCCAAAATCTCGTTCAGTGTCCGTTTTAGCACGACGTTCTCGTTCTGCAGGTCCTGAATCTTTTTGTCCGAGGTCACCTCCAACTCTTTCAGTTCTTCCCGCAGTTCGGATGTCATCAACAGGAGGTTGTCGAGTGTGTCGTCGACGTGGTTCTTGCGGTCTCTCGCGTTCATTCGCGTCCTATTGATTCACATTGTCAATTTTAGGTTTCATGAAATTCTAAGTCCACTTGGGGATATTGAACAGTTTTTCGTGTTCCCGATACTGCTATCATACGATTCCTGTTGTTACCTGGCATTCTCTAGGATGATAAGCGATCCAGCCACTCCAAAGATAATAGCCTCGCCCAAAAAGTTGGCTCCCATCTCAACAGCTCTATGTAGAGTGAAACATATACCCGGTCAGTGGTTGCAACGCGACCTCAATTCCCAGAAAGCTCAACCTACCAAGCTCTTCTCATAAACGTTTCTTTGTGGCCGTCGTACCTAGCATCGTTCAAGGGACGAATCGATTCGACCTTGTATCCTAAAAACTTCATCTTGAGCTGCATCTCTGTCTTGTGCGAGAACTATAGCGGTTTCCAAGAGACAGAGGTAAAATGGTGTGGTGTAAGTGAGCGTGCTGCCTGTGCTTTCCACTGCCTCCTGGTATCAAATCAATGTCCTCAACAACAATCGCCAGTGGTATACCTGCGCGACACCGATACACGCATCTCTAAACCTATTCGTTCATGGCGATCAAGAAGAAGCAAGGAAAGGTCAATATCGGCGTTGGACACGTCCTGTAGGGAACTTTGCATGAATGGGGTCCAGTTTCAATTGGTGCTTACTTTGGATGCTTGGCACTGTAGGACTTTATAGAGTTGGCGATGGGTTTGGCAATTGTGCGGATGGCCAAGAAGCCAAGTTTAACAGCGGACATCGTTCCTTGTTAAAAATATATGCGCCTCTCTCCTTCAATTGATCAGAGTCGGATAAGCTTGTAAACGCGAGTGGGCGGTGATAAGGTAGGGCTCGTCTGAAAAGCAGTTCAGGAGCGCTTCCAGACCTCTGAGTTGTGGTTCAGGCGGGGATAAGAGAAAGTCGATGGGGTTACGGTGGCGTGGGGATATGATGGCAGACGGGACGTGTCACGAATGTTTTCTGATGGGTGTTTTCCGAGATGCGAGTCGACTTGTTTCTCGGCAGTCTATGGTTTAGGGGTTCCTGATAAGCTTGAAGGTCCAAGTGTAAGAGTTGTTGGGTGTGAAGAGTAAAGGGAGGTGTGATGAATAAAGTGAGAAGAAAAGTGGAAAAGACAGATGGCGCCTGGGGTCAAGTAAGACTGTTCGGAAGGCGTGAGAGTCCCGCTCCAAGAGGTGGCTTGTTGACAAGGCAACTTTCACCACTGTAAATGGAAATTTTGGCGTTGGTTCGGGACGAGCCGACAATTCGACTCACTGCGCAAGGAGTGCCGAAGGTCTAATTGCTATTTCAGGTCATTTTGCCATGCCCTTCGCAGCGACTTTAGCAATAATTGCACACTCCATTTCTTCAATTGCTGCACAGGTGACCAATTGATCGACATATCCATGCGCAAAGATCCTTGACAAAGATAAGATATAGATATTGCAGAAGGTTTTTATTCGAGAATAAAAGAGTCCAAGGAAGAACCGCGTTTAAGCAGTCTCGCCCTCCTTCTTGAAGACGTAGGTCAGACCGCAGCGACCGCAGTACTGACGGTCGTGGTGCCAGGCCATGAAGACACCAGCGCCGCAGGTCTCGGAGGGGCACTCACGACGGAGACGGGTGATCTTGCCGTTACCATCGACCTGGTAGAACTTGAGAACGGCCAACTTGACCTTTCTCTTCTTGTGCTTGATCTTCTTGGGGGTGGTGTAGGTCTTCTTCTTGCGCTTCTTACCACCTCCCAAAAGGTCGACGTTAAGGTCCAAGGTGGACATGGCGGGGATGGTGGCAAGGAGCATATCGGAGGAAAGAGTCTTTCCACCGAAGGAGAGGCGCTGGACAGCGGCAGCAACACCTGATCATTGTTCCGATATGAGAAGAAAAGGAAAAAAAGAGAAGAGAGTCGTCTCGTCTTAGTTTTTTGATTCTTCCTCCCGGGAACTACAGCAGTAGCGACGAACAAAACTCATGCATAGTCATAGAAAGTCGATTGAAAGGTCGAAATCCCGAATCACAGATTCATCCAGATCCTTGAATGTTCCTGCCGAAAAGAGAAAAACGTACCCTCACGCTCCTGGATCATGGCCTTGACATTGTTGATGTTATCGCCAGACTGGGCGTTGACGGCGAAAGTGCCGGTAAGGGACTTCACGAAGAACTGCATCTTGACTAATGGTTGCATGAACAAAAAAAAGTCGTTAGTTTCTCCTCCTTTTCTGAAAAGTGATCCAGCATATTGCCATCATGCATCATGGGTCAGCAAAGAGAGGTGGGCAGCGAAGCGATGATCATCCCATGATTGGGATGGTCTTTCTGAGAGTCCCGACTCGCTCCTCTGCCCGATGCGATTGCACCCTCCCTTTCGGCGATGACGGTAGTGAATTGGCCTTGCGTCTCTTTGTCGTCCTTGTAACGCAGGATCTTACTTGAAGAAAAAGAGAAGGACCGAACAAAATAATCGCAGTACTGAGGAGCTTAACAACAAAAAAATCCATTGCTGGATTGAAAATGTATATGCTTGGTATATTGCATCCACGCAAATGTAGCATCACGTGCAGTTCCAATTTTTCCATTGGGTCCTCGCCCAACCCCTATCAACTGATGTGATTCAGGCACCATCACCTTCTCGCAGTGGAGTCTGTACCTGAGGTTTCAATTTTGCCTCTCCCTTTCCATTCTCATATCGCCTCCAGTTCATGTCGATAGTCAGTAAGATGCCAGCATGGCAACTGCAAGGAGATATAAATGGGCGTAACTGGAGGACTCTCTCTCCTCTTCTCTCCTTCTTCTGCTTGCATGGAATTTCCCTGTTCCTTGTCCTTGTCAGGTCAAGCGCCCGCCATTTCTCATCTCTCTCTCGGAAAGAATAAAAGTACACCTTGGAAGTTGACAAACAAACAGGCCAAAAAATAAAAATTGAGAGCATCTCGTATTTCATTTCTGAAAATTATAAGGAAGGACAGGCACCGGGTAAGGTAAGATGCCCAGGGCCAGGCCGTCAGATCCGACCATTACAACCTGTCCATGCTTAACTCTATAGAATGCCATTGGACAGCCAAGAAGAGGGGGAGGGCATGTTTGATGGAGAAGAAGTCAGGAACAAGACAATTGCCAGTCAGTAAGTCTTGTTGTTGGTGAGAGTTAAAGTTCAGTTGAGCTTGGTAGACCAAGGTAAAGAGATGACAAGACTTATATCCTTTATGGAAGCATTGGAAGGCGAGGTGTGAAGTGAACACAAAACCCGAGACATGCACAGTACTCGTTGCTTTTATTTTATTGCTGCTTTGTTTGTTGCTGGTGATGCTGTTGTTGTTATTGCTGTTGTTGTTGAAAGGAAGGTGGTTTGCTCGGACAACGCAAAGGAAAGAGATGAATTGTCTGCCTTAATTTCGGTATCGCTGACTTGTGATCTCATGGGGCATCATTGCCCCCCCTCCGATCTGACCACAGGGCTTTAATCGCTTGTGTAGTATGTGCCAAACGAACAACCTTTTCTTAAACCTCTTCCTGTCTTGTAACTCTCACTTCAACCTCAGCCAGTTACTGCATCGACAAACTGATGCGGCACGCACTGCAGCAGGAGTAGCCACAACCCACCTCTCATCCTTTCACCCTAGGAACCCTAATCCCCAGAGCCAGCCGCCAGGAACCATCTGCCGCTTAAACTCCTGACCCCTGCAGACCCCAAGGACATTCATCATCCTTCATCTCTTTTGCAGTGTTGGTCCCCTTCCCATTAGGATTACACCCTATTACACACCATCCAACCAACTCGACAACCAACTAGGCTCATCATCTCACACCCGACAACACACCCGACAACACACCCCCACTCTCGCTCTCTCCACCTCCTTCAGCATCACATTCCTCATCCTCTTTCATCACTTCTGTCCTTCTTACATCTCCCAAGATCGCTAGGTAAACAGCCTCCCCGCAATCTCTCACCCTAACCTGACCCTCTCCTTCTCACCTGGACAGCGTCAACCTATCTACCAATTCCTTACTCCACTACCCTAACCAGCGCAACCTGACCTTCACTTCACCCCCTTTTACAACCCCGAGACCCGCTTGTCAAACCACTACTCCTCCCCCTTTTTGCCTTTCGCCTCATACAAACAAAAACAAAACAAGCTGCCTTGGGTGCTAAACAGGGAAGAGGAGTCGTGTTTGGCCTGTTTCCGCCAAGCCTTGCGCAGAAAGGCAGAGTGTGTCAGTGTTCGCTGTTTTTTTTGTTGCTGTCGAGCTGGACTTGAATGGCGCTACAGCCTCTCTTCGTGCTCCATCATCGTACACGCGACCAAGTTCCCAGTCAGACGGGACTCAGACCATGCCTGTCTCGGGAAAAAAAAGAGAGGAAGGGAAAGAAAGAATGATAGAGATGGCAATCTCGATACCGTCGCCCGTTGATGCGTCCGCTTCCAAATCCTCCGCATCATCTTCAATTTTCCTACGACATACCTCCACTCCACTCCTGCTCGACTCCACACCACTCCTGCTCGACTCCACTCCAATGCGCTCCGCATCCTCCTAGCACTTTGTTCTGAAATTGGGTGCTTATCCGTTCTCAATTGCCCTTTGTCCGAGAAAGATGAAGATTATCATAGCCATGGCGTTTGTTGTTGTTGTCAAATTGACAGCAAGACATTACTGGGACTGCATGCTGTGTTTTTTTTTTTTCCTTTTTGTACAGCATATATGTTCTTTGCGGGATACCCTGATCGTCTTGCGTAATTATTTTGTTTTTTCTTTCTCAGTCTTGTGGACCTCTGGGAGGGTTGTTTATGTTGTTTATCATTTTATTTGGAACTTGGCTCTCCTGTCTCCACCCCCATCCATGCCTTCTGCCCTTCCCTCCCTCCCTCTGAGTTGCTTTTTGTGCATTTTTTTATATGAGTGTGTACGACGCACTGGCAATCTAATTTTAACCCGCAATCATGCCTCTGTTCTATCCCTGTCATCGCTAACGAATCGAAAAATACCCGCACACAAAAACCATACCAGTTTTCGCACTTTTTGGACTGGTTTGTTGCTGTTGGAACAGATACGAAGACAGCGACTGACACAAGGAGATACAGAAAGAACGCGCGCGTATCGCGATGTTTGTTATTTTGGGTACAATGGAAAGAGAGGAAGTGAGGGTGAAAAAGTCAACGTATTTGTCCAGGAGACAGCTGTCTCTGGATCAGTGGAGGATCGATGAACCACGGTCCATCCGGCCTTTTCCCTTGTGCTGCATTCGAGGAGACAGAAAAAACGATGGGGAGACAAGAATGCTAAGGAGAGAAAGTTGCTTGAAGTATTCTCTTTCGTACTATCCCTATCTTACGCATGCTACGCTAATAGGTTATATTACACGCTTGTATCGGGAGAAGGACCGCTTTTTTTTGTATCGGCCTGTGTTGTGATATCTGGATCGGGGTCATTATCTGTTTTTGGCGTTTCTCTTCCTCTCTCTCTCTTTTTCTTTTTTCTTTTTTCTTTCTTCTTTCTGTGTGCAGGCAAGGCAACGTGCGCGCTGCTTGGATATGCTGCTCGTATGCGACCCGGTAATGCGATACAACGAGTGAGGAAGTGATGAAGATGAGAGACACAGCGGAAGAAAGGGAAAGAATGGGAAGGGAAGGGGTTCCCTGGCCTTCAATTCCGCCTTTTTTTACATCACTTTGTTGACACAACAGTAGCAACAACAACCAACCAGAGACAACAAAGAAACGAAATATAATTGAATAATCTCCCAGATGGAGATATGGTGTACAACACTCATAGAGAGAGAAAAGTGCTCTCAACCCTCAGCTCAGCGGTTGAACCTTGTCTTCTTTCTTCCTCTTCCTTCTTTCTTCCTGTTCTTCTTCGTCTTCTAATTCCCTTTTTTTACTTGTTTGGCACACGCCCCTCACTCCTCCCACTGTGTTTCTCTCTCAGTGTGCTCTCTCTCTCTCTCTCTCTCTCTCTCTTTATTTTTCTTTCTCTTCTCACTTTGCGTCCCCTCTTCTTTCTTTTCTTTTTTATCTCTTCATACTCTCTCTCTCTCACTCCCCTTTCTCCTTTTTCTTTTTAATCATTCATATCATTCCCTCCTCATCCAGCATACTCTCTTTACCAACGACCCTGTACATTATATCTCCTTCTTAATAACCCTAATCGTCTCTCCTTCTCTCGCTTTACTCTCACTCTCACTCCAAAGTATACCACAGCCAGGCCAGGCGCCCTTGTAAAACTCCACCTACCGCCGACCCTCTCTTCCACTTCCTCTCTCTCTTATCCACTGGCCAAAGAACTGCACTCAATTCGGATCAGGTACGACTTACCACCAACCACCATCTCCACCTCCCTCACCCACGCGTCTCTTTATCGACCACCACCACCCACCACCTTCCAACGCTGTTGTCCCTTAAAGGGCAAAGAGAAGCTCTTTTTATCCGCCTTCCAGCCTAGCTGAGGACCCCTCCCGCCTTTGTCCAACAATTACCTTCACTTCAGCCCCATCCTTCAATCCCTTCTTCTTTTCTTCCTTCTCCCTTCATACCCTGCTCAATTATGCCCTTCCAACAATCTCCAGCGCATTCAGACAGGACTCTATTATCCACATTCCTCTGAAAAAGAGGATTAGTACGCACATACGCCAACGCACCTCTGAGCATCCAGGGGGTTGCTATGGATAGGCGTGTTTTTTCAAGCAAAAAAGCGTGCGAGCAAACAGACAATCAACGCAACGTGCTCTCGCTCTTATATCGGAGATGGACCAACCATGGGACGTACAATCATGTCATCCTGACCACACCCATCCGTTCTCTATGCACAAACACAACGAATTTTTTTTTTATTATTATTATTATTATTATCATTATCATTACCATTATCGTTTGCTCCACCTCCACTTTACCCTGCTCTATCTCCACCACATGTTATACAAACGGTGGGTGGTTTATTATTGTTCACCAACAACAGTATGAAGAAAACACTATCGTCATTGTCGAGTTCTATTTGACACCTAGAAGTCAGGGTTCTGTTAGTGTTCTATTCTTTCGTTGTGTCAATTACCCGGTCGGACCCTCTTTTACAAGAACCTATTTATATCAGCAGACAGACAACAGCACACACACAAGGTGTCATGGCCATCTGTCGCAATGATATCGTTTTCCCCCTTTTTATTTATACCTCCTCCACTGTCTACGAATATTTTCCTTTGTGTCTGACTCTCCCCTTCCATCTCTGCTTGCAGCTGACATTCACGAAACATCCTGGCTTAGGGTCGACCCTGTCTTACTTCCCTTCCCCTGTGCCTTTTCATTCCTTGACCTTCCCTTCGCATCATCGATATCATCATCGTCATCAATTGTGTTCCCCGAAAACAGACAGACGGCCTGCTCGCAATTGTGGCCGCACCTTTTTTATGTCCTTTCGGCGATATCGCTTGCATACCTTTACAAGCGCACTAGCCAAGTGCGATCAATCACCAACCGCCCTTCCTCCTTACCAATCCAAACGCCTTCAATGATCACACACCTCTTTTTTTATACCCTTTATACGCACTTCGTCTGTTCCTATCCGTCTCATATCTAACACTATCTCATTCTGTTTCTTTGTACTCCTCTCAACTCTTCTCTGCGCACCATAGATCCCCACAAACATAAAACCTCGAAAGAAAGAAAGAGAATCACCTTACTTCATCCAATTGCCACGACACGACCCTCCTCTCACCGGTGAACCCCACCTCAAGGTAACCCATCGCTCCAAAACGGACATCCATCTGTGCCCAATTTTTCCTCAATTACAATAACAACTAAACAACAAGACCTGTTTACATCCAATTAGACTTTTGACACAAAAAGCACACGCGTGTTTACATTATAACCCCCTTCCTTGCACAATGGACCACGACGATACACCAGCCCAGGGTTTATCATACGATGAACCCCAGATTCGGCGACAGAATGGCGCTGGAGCAAACTCGGGACTGAGTGTCGACACCAGCCGGCGGGGCACCAACTTCAAGCGCCAAAAGTCCCTTATCCGACCCGACCGTGAGCGTATCGACAAAAGTCACCCTCAATACTACTACAGAAACGCCACACAAAACCTCGATGGATCCGGCATCAAGGTCCAGGCTTCGACCACCGGTATTGACCCCACAGGCGCCACCCCCATCCGCACAGGAGGCGTTCGTCGCGGAAAAAGTGTTCTTGGTCGTGAGATCGAGAAGCCCGGCCAGCGTCCTAAGGTCAAGGCTTCGGATACTAAGCGCAAGCCCATTGTCGACATCAAGAACCCTCTCAAGAAGCGGACCAAGGAGTGCCCTTCTCCTTGGATCGTCTACTATAACGCCGTTACTTGCTGCTTCCCCTCAGCGCTCCTCAAGTCTTGTGGTAAGGCTGTGTGCTGCTATTGATTCCATTTTGCGTTTATTTTATTGCGACGACTGACCACATGACTGACCACACGTTCCCCTTTGTGATATGACGTTATAGGCATGCACACCTCGGACATTCAGAGGGCCTGGCGCGAAAAGATTGCTCTAGTTTCGCTGATTGTCCTGATGGTGGGAGCTGTCGCTTTCTTGACCTTCGGATTGCAGGCGGCTCTGTGTCAGGACGACCGCACAGGAAAGTATGAGTTCGGAACGCGTCCCGAGAACCTGATCGTCAATGGCATGGGGTATTACTTCAACACTGACGGTGCTGGCGGAGGACAGGTTTGGACGCATCCTGCCATCAACTCACTTATCTCGAATGACCGCATCGACATCATGAACGACCCCACCTACGGGGCCAAAGGCATGGATGCCTCGTTCCTGTTCCAGACTCAAGTGGGTGGCGCTTGCGATGGACTGATCAACCGAAGGGATGCCGCGGCTGCAGGAGATGCGACAGCCAACTATTACTTCCCCTGTGTCGTGCGTAAGGACGACGGTTCCACACCAGTGAACGGAACGGTCGACACTACGGGCACTGGGTGCCATACTTCCTCTGCTACCCGGGCGACATGGGACGGACTGATGGCTGGCTCCAACTCCCCCGTCTACTACACCTGGAACCAGATCCAGGATGGCAATCGCATGCTCTTTGCATTCGACGGCGATGTCTATGATGCCTCCATTCTCAAGTGGATCAAGCCTGCATTCGATCTCGACCCCACCCTCGATAATCTCCGGAACGGAAACATTCTCTTGCAGAGGGATCTTTCGTACATGTTTGTCCAGAAAAAGCTGACCAGCCTCCGAGCATGCCTGAAGCAGGTTGCGCGTATCGGAGCCATGGATTCCAAGACGATCGGCTGTATGACCTCGGATATTATTACCTATGTCTCACTGGTCATTATTCTGGGCGTCGTGTTTATCAAGTTCTTCTTGGCCGTCTTCTTTGGCTGGTTCCTAAACCACCGTCTCGGAGGATTCGACAACGAGACGTACCAGGATCGCATGAAGCGTTCTGAGCAGATCGAGGCCTGGAGTTCCGACATCAACCGACCTGCTTTCAGCAACAAGAGACAAACCCTTTTCCCTACGACCTCTCGCTTCACCCCCACAGGCGCCGCCGCCGGTGGTTCGTCAAGTGCCCTGGCCACTCCTTCTTCCTTGGGTACCCCCAGCGCTCGTCCCTTGTCGACCTTCAACCGTCCCACGAGTGTCTTTAAGACTTTCAACACTCCCCCTGGTTCTCCCGGCATGAATCCCGCCTTCCTGTCGGCCTCGAACAGCAACTTGAGCAGACCCTCGTACCAGCCTGGCATTAACGGCACCCCTCCTCCTTCCCCCCCACCTCTGCCCAATGCCATGAGACCCTCCAGCATTGCCAGCTTTGGTGGTCTTCGCAACATGTCCCGCCGCTCCTCGACCACTTCTTCGTCCACGACCCAGCCTGTTTCCAACTGCCCTCTCCCTGTCTCGCCCTTTGTCATCAGCCAGCCTCCTGTTTCGTTCCAGCCGTTCAACTTCCCCTTGATCCACACCATGGCCCTGGTTACCTGTTACTCTGAAGGTATCGACGGACTGAGGACCACGCTCGACTCTATTGCTACCACGGACTACCCCAACTCGCACAAGATGATTGTTGTCATCTGCGACGGTATGATTATCGGAGCAGGAAACAACATGTCGACCCCCGATATCTGTCTGTCGATGATGCAGGACGACGTGATACCCCGCGACGATGTGATTGCCCACTCGTATGTTGCCATTGCCGACGGAACCAAGCGCCACAACATGGCCAAGGTCTATGCTGGATTCTACAAGTACGACGACGAGACTGTCTCTGACAAGAAGCTGCAGAAGCGTGTCCCCATGTGCTTGATCGTCAAGGTCGGAGGCCCCACCGAGCAGAACATGCCCAAGCCCGGAAACCGTGGAAAACGTGACTCTCAGATTATTCTCATGGGTTTCTTGCAGCACGTTATGTTTGACGAGCGTATGACCTCGTTCGAGTATGAGCTCTTCAACACCATCTGGCGACTAACTGGAGTTGCTCCCGACCGCTACGAGATTGTGCTCATGGTAAGAGCGCAACCTCTATGCAACTGCGCATATGATGCTTGCACAGTTCAATTTTTTTTCCCGCCAATGCCTAACAACACCTTTCATTTATTGTTTTCAATGCATAGGTGGATGCTGATACAAAGGTTTACCCTGACTCATTGTCCCGTATGATTGCTGCTATGGCCCACGACCACGAGATTATGGGACTCTGCGGAGAGACCAAGATTGCCAACAAGACGGACTCATGGGTGACCATGATCCAGGTCTTCGAGTACTACATTTCGCATCACATGTCCAAGGCCTTCGAGTCGATGTTCGGAGGTGTCACCTGTCTGCCCGGATGTTTCTGCATGTACCGTATCAAGGCCCCCAAGGGCCCCAACGGCTACTGGGTCCCCATCCTGGCCAACCCAGATATTGTCGAGCACTACTCCGAGAACGTCGTCGATACGCTCCACAAGAAGAACTTGCTGCTCCTCGGTGAGGATCGTTACCTCTCGACTCTCATGTTGAGAACCTTCCCCAAGCGCAAGATGATGTTTATCCCCCAGGCCATCTGCAAGACCGTCGTCCCCGATACCTTCAAGATTCTGCTGTCCCAGCGTCGTCGCTGGATCAACTCGACAATTCATAATCTGCTGGAGTTGGTCCTGGTTCGTGATCTGTGCGGTACTTTCTGCTTCTCGATGCAGTTTGTTATCTTCATGGAGTTGGTCGGAACTGTCGTCTTGCCCGCCGCCATTTCCTTCACCATCTACCTGTGCGCGATTTCTGTCTACAAAGCCATCACGCACGACGAGGCCATCCCCGATACTACCTTGCCTCTGCTCCTGCTTGCCGCCATTCTGGGTCTGCCTGCTGTCTTGATTGTGATGACCTCGCGCAAGATGGTCTATGTCAGCTGGATGTTGGTCTACCTCTGCTCGATCTTTGTCTGGAACTTTGTCCTGCCCGCCTATGCCTACTGGCATTTCGATGATTTCTCTTGGGGTCAGACCCGTATGGTTGCCGGAGAGGTTGCCGGAGCTGATCACGGTGGTAAAGAAGGTCAATTCGACAGCTCGCACATCACAATGAAGCGCTGGGGTGAATGGGAGCGCGAGCGTCGATCCAAGGCGGCGATCCTTGCTGGACTGCCTGTTCCCAACTTTATGGTGTCTGATTCTGGAGAGGACTGGTCGGGTCAAGTCAAGGAGGAGGAGCTTTCGGACGAGAGCTCTGGCTCGCGCAGGACCAACGATAGTGCCATGCCCTTCGCGATCAGCCGACACACTACCCAGGGATCTTCGGGGTCGAACGGTGGTTACTCGCTCGCTGATCCCGGCTACGGCAGCTACCCTGCTGGACCTGCACAGGATTCGATCCCACTGTTGAACATGCATGCTCCTGCTCCTGGGGGCACGATTGGACGACAGAGGGTGTCGCAGTACAACAGCAACCCGTTCTTGCCTAATGCCGGCGACCGGATGTCTAACTTTTCCCCCCCTCAGTCGCGTCAGTTCACGTCGTCGCCCAAGCTGAGCAGTAACCTGGCCTCGGCAAGCTACACGCCTCCACCGCCCCCGCCTGGAGCTCGTCTGAACTCTATTGATACCAGGGCACCCTCTCCGCTGTTAGCCATGGCTGCCGGCAGTGCCAATGCAAGTTCTCAGGGTCCCATTGCTAGGACTGGGTCGCCAATGCCTCGCGTACTCTCTGATGGATCCAACGACTCTTAGAGAGTAGTAGTCATTCCTCTTATTGTGTCATTTTTTTTTGTTATCTCTTTCTAAATACTTTGGATGGAAGGCAACTAGAGCCTTCCTTACATCTTGTCAACATAATCCTCCCTCCTTCTCCTAAAAAAATAAATAGTTCATAGTTCATATCCATATCGTGTCTTGTGTTCTCTGAATGGAACACATTCCTTGTTTGTTTGCTTGTTTGTGAGTGAGCGCGGTATTGACTAAAGCACTACAAGAAAAAATGGACAAGTCCATTGACCTGACGACAAGAGGGTAGAAACGAGAATTATCAGGCCAGTTCGCGACAAGGAACGCGTCGAGGGACTATTGTTGGAATCTGCGGTCCCGATCTTCTATTTTGCCAAGGGGGTGGGGTGCACGAAAAAAAAGGAGAGTTGAAGAAAAGAAAGCAAGGGACACAAAGTGGAAGAAGGGGACAAAGAGTAGAGTAATGGTATAGATACTATTGAGAAGAGGGGACTCGCGCATTATTCATATCTCTTCTGCTTCTTCTTGGTCTTATCTTTTCTCCTTTTCTTTTTCTTTTTCTTTCATTTCTCTTCTGGCAAAGATCCTTTCGATACCCGCTTCACGCACTTTGTACATATCACTCTCTCCTTTCCCTACTCCTCCACTCGCCTCTCATCTATCCCTATCATCAAGAAACAGTTCTCCCTTTATCCATTTCATCCATACACACATCATACTTCACGTATCACGCCCACAGCAAAAAGCGATGGTCGTCCAGAAACAGCGCCGGCCGAGGTTAATCCTCCTCCTGGCAACAGCACTCCTCCTCCAGGGGGTCCTCGCTGCCCACAAAAATAACTCTCCTTCCTCCTCTTTCTCCTCCTCACTTGCCTCCTCTTCCAACACCATCACCGCCAACAACAACAACAACAACAACAACAACAATCTCGACATTGACGAATCATTTCAGCTAAAGGCCAAGAAGGAGCACAAGAAGATCGCGGGTGTGGATCTGGACGCGGCGGCAGAGGCGATCGAGAAGGCTGTCGGGCCTAGAGCGATGGCTGCTGCCAAGAAGAAGGCCGATAAGTTTCTTGCCGACCATAAGAAGAAGAAAGGCGACAAGAAGGATAAGAGCGACGACAAGAAGAAGAAGAAGGCAGCGGTGGCTGCGAAGAAGAACAAGGGTGATGACGAGGAAGAAGAGGAGGAGGATATCGCGATCAGCAGCACCAACAACGAGGAGGAAGAGGAAAACGACATCCCGATGAACATAGAAGACGTCCAGGACTACCTCTCAGACATGTGGGAGGACATCAAGGACCTCGGCAACGACGCGGCCATCCAGGACCAGCTCCAGAGCTTGAAAGAGAGTGACGGAATCCAGGCACAGATTGCGCAACTCCAAAGTTTGGGAGATGATAACCCGGAGATTCTGGATAGGATTGAGAAGTTGCGGGAGGGATTGGATCCGGAAGTGAGGGAGGGGATTGGGAGGGTTGAGGAGGGTGTTAGGAAGGCGGCCAAGCAGTTGGGGAAGCGGCATGTTTGGCACCAGAAGGACGTGCAGAGGCATGAGGGTCGTCTTGAGGATAGCGAGGCGACGGGGGAGGATGGGTTCGAGACCGACGTCAGTGATGCGGGTGATGAAGCCGAGATGAAGAGCCAGGCCGCAGCCAAGAAGAACAGAAAGCACCAGCATCAAAAAGGGGGGCTACATGAGGAGGCAGAGGCGGTCGGTGGTGGCCAAAAGAACAAGAAGCACGACCGCGACTTCAATAAGCCTACGAAGCAACATAGACACGGAAAGCATGGGCAGAGAGGAGCCAAGAAGGGCGGTACTCGAAAGACGAAGAACAACGGAAAGGGCAAGAAGCATCTTCGAGTCGCTAAGAAGTATGCAGTTAGGAGGAAAGGGAAAGGAGGTACGATCCGTGATGGTCACCCCGGTACTCCTCCAGTCGTTGTACCTGAGCCTGTCGCCGTCCCCACATCCGCCTCTGCTCCTGTCAAGAACAATGGGCGGAGACCCGACGGTCATCGTCACCGCCATCATCACCATCGGAAGCAGCGTGGAGGTAACCATAAGGGCCGTCAACACCCTAGAGCTAGTAACGGTAGTGGTCTAGGCGCAACCCTTCCTGGTTTACCTAACTTGAATTCGAGGCAATACTGACGCGATTGTTATATTTCGTATGATAAACATAAATAGGCGACGAGACAAAGGGTCCCAATCCTCCAGTCCACACGGTGCCCACCCCTCCATCAATCACTCTCCCTATCGAAGTTCCTCTGAAGGACGCCTCACCCACAGAGTCAACCGTCCCAAAGCCCCAAGAACCACCATCATCACCAGCTCCAGAGACTCCTAAGGAGCCCGTCGTCGACGATACAACATTCCCTCTAGTCGATACTCCAACTCCTCCTTCCAAGCCCATCACCAAGGCCGAGAACCCTGCTGAGACTATTGTCCAGACTGTTTTCCCTACCGAACAACCGCCCCAACAGCAACAACCAGAGGCACCCAAGGACGAGGAAAAACAACAGAACAAGGACAGGGAAGTCCAGCAGCTCCCACCCAAACCCGAAGAGATTTCCCCTCCAGCTCCAGTTCAGGAAAAGCAGCAGCCTGGTGATATTGTCGTTGTAACCTCAGAGCCAGATCTCCAAGAGAAACACCACCATCAACCTGCATATGTCAAGGACTTACAGCGACTGCCCTACCCTGTTGACCACCAACTGCCTCGTGTCCCGGGAACTAGTAACAATGGTGACGCTCAAACTCCCATGGCTGCTCCAGTATTGGAGCCAGAGCAAAAGGAAGTGCCCAAGGTTAAGGAACCCGCTCCTGCTTCACAGCCTCCAGGTACCGCCCCCAAGTCATCCGATTCTGTCCCAGCTTCAGAGCCTTTTCATGAATCCGACCCAGCGGAAGTAGTCGCGGCGCCCTCGTCGCCAATCGCGATCCCGGATCTTCCGACCACTCCTCCTCGCACCCCTGCTTCAGCAAACGACAAGAAGCCTCTCGAAGAAGACGACGGCGAGGACGGTGAGGACGACAAGGTTGAAGACCATAAAGACGGTGGTGAATGGGGCGAGGATGACGATGAGGATGAAGAGGTCGGAGGAGGCGCTGCTGTCAAGACCGAGAAGGATGCTGCAGCCGCAGGCGTGGGTGTCGGACTTCATAAGCGTCAGATCCTTGCTATCAGAGTCTTTGGTGTCAAGGGAGGAGTTGTCGACAACAAGGCGGCGGCGGCTAAGAACGATCCGCAGCAGCAGCAGCAGCAGAGGAGGGAGAAGGAGGGGTCCAAAGTCGAGAAAGAGGACAAGAAGGCGCAACGACAGGAGTCGACTGGGGCGGCGGTGGAGCCGATTGCCAAGGCTGAAGAGACGAAGAAGGATAAGGCGCAGGTTGTTGAAGCCAATATGGCCAAGGACGGCGACAACAAGCATGTTAAGGACGACAATCACCAACAGCAACAGCAGCGACAAAAAGACCAGCAGAAGAAAAAGGAGGTTGTTGTTGAGGCACAGGCGGATAAGAAGCAGCAGCAACGGAAGGAGGTTGAGCAGCGGAAGGAGGACGATGATGACTTTGTGGAAAAGGAAAAGGCGGATATCAGAAATGAGGACGATATCACCAACCCTAGACCGGCCAAGAACAACGATGGCGCCGCCAATTTCGAGTATGATGGTGGCCAGAAGGGCAAGAAGAACAAGAAGAACAAGAAGGGCCGCGAGAAGAAGAAAAACCGCCAGGACGATAACGAGAACGTGGGTCAGGGCCAGAACAACATCGTTGACGTCACTGTTAATAAGGATCAGAATGCGGCGGCAGCGGTGAATCCGTTTGAGGTCGGGGCGACCAAGGTCAAGAAGGCTCACAAGAAACACAAGAACCATCACAACCAGGACCAAATCCCGAACACCTTTCAAGCCGATCCCCTCCCGGCTGCCGTCGACCCTTTTGCAATCAAGAACAACGGTGGTGCTGTTTACAAGAAGGGTACCAAGGCCAAGGATACCGATGTCCAACAACAGCAGGACGACAAGTCCAAGAACGAGAAGCCCAACTCTGCACCACCTTCCAACAACAACAACAACAACAAGGATCCCAAGGCCATCGCAGGCACGCCATCAGTTCCCATGTCGAGTGAAGGGCCCGCCGACAGGGAAGCGCCCAACAGCCCTGCAAACTCCGGTCCTGCAGGAGTAGGACCAATAACGCCACCAAAGGAAGGAAAGGACGCCACGGCTATCGGTGGAGGAGGAAATGGGTATGGAACGGTGCCGATGTTTGGACCTGCACAACTCGATCTCGGATCTGGTGGCGTGGCATCTTCGCGTTTAATGATTGGTGGTCAGTGGGTTGCTTCACTTTCAGTGGCTGTTCTCGCGACCGTCTTCATGTATCTTTGAGTGAGCTGTGAGGACGTGAAAAGTCACTCAGGAAAAAAAAACATAATACTATGTTTAGATATCTTTGTAATCACAAAAGGTGGACGCATACGTCTCGTTTTTAAATACTATGGTATCTTTCTCTTGGGAACTGAAAAAAGAGATGGCGAGAGGAGGAGAGGGGTGGAGAGAAAAGAGAGAAACAAATTTGTAGATCTTAAGATTGAGGTGGGGGAAGGGGTGGAGGTAGAGGGTATGGGGACGAAATGAGAGGAGAGGGTAATATGCGCGGCTCTGCTGGTTTGTTGGAGTGTTTGATATTATCTGTCGACGATGAGGACGGAGGGACAGAAGAGGAGTTGATCAATGTCGTGTCAGAGGTCGAAGTCGAGGAAGTCGAGGAACTATCTCGGCTTGATGAAGTTCCAGATGACCTTGACCCAGAGGCTGGAGTTCCAGCTGCCACGTCTGGTGTGACTACTGCTGTCGAGGGTGTTACTGGCGTAGGGGGTATTGATGATGATATTACTCTTGTAGTTGTTGATGATGAAGGCGTTGTCGAAGTTGTAGTAGCGGTTGGTGTGGAGGAAGTAGAGAGCGACGACGTGGTGACAGAAGATAAACTTGCAGCAGCAGCAGCAGCAGCAGCAGCAGCAGCAGCGGCAGCCGCCTGCTTGGCCTTGATCGGTCGATAGCTAGCCATATGGACTTGCTGCTGTTGCAGCTGTGTAGCCGTCAATCCCTTGGTAGGGGTTTCAGTGTTCATCCACCTCAGTTTGTCAAACACAGGCGTCCGAGTTGACGGAGCCGCAGCTCGCTTGGGATCATTCAGATCCGATCCCGATCCAGAGATACTGCTACTTCTGCCTCCTGTTCCACCACCGCCACCACTTCCTCCTGCCCTAACGCTGCTAATGGTTCCAGTCACCATCTGGGTCACATGTGTACCCTGGGCAAAACTGCGAAAAACCACGTTGCCGTTCCGTGAGGACCGTCGCTTGCTGTTGCTGTGGATCCGGATGTGGCGCTTGAGGTTACTGGCGACGTTGAACAGACGCTTGCAGTGTGGGCACTGGTGTGGTTTCTATAGAGATTGACGCGTATAAAAGAATTATAAATTATCTGAGCTCAATTTGATCGTCAATTTGATAAATATCTCATCAGTGCAGAAACAAATAATTAAAAGACAAGAAAGTTACCTCGCCAGAATGAGTGAAGGAGTGGGTCAGGAGCTGACTAGGCCGCGAGAACCGTTTCTCGCACTGATTGCACTTGTGGCTCTTGTTCTCCTGGACGCGGATCCGCCGTGGTTGGCCATCAGGGGCAGAAGGAGAAGCACCGGCAGAGGTGTCTTTCCTACCCTTCTTCGGACCTGGATCTCCATTCGACGCAGAACCACTGTCAGCTTCAGAGAGAGACCTATCTTCGTCATCATCCTCATTTTCATCATCGTCCTCCTGCTCGTCCTGATCACCTGTATCCTCGTCCATATCCATATCCATATCCTTAATCCTTCCAGGTTCCTTGTTACGACGAGAGCTTGATCCAGAGACGGTGGCGGTGGCAGAAGAGGCCTCCCGGGGCGTGTCCAATCGCGCCCTTACGTCACCTGATCCTCTGGCAAGATCCCGCCTGTTGACTGCGGCTGTGGCGTCCCCTCCCAGCCCTCCTCGTCCATGTCCTCCGCTGCTACCCTCGCCGCTGCCGCCGCCACCTCCACCCTCTTGTTTCAGTCTTCCTTGACCGCCACCAAACTCCACAGTCTTCCATTTTACTTTTCTTTTCTCCGAATTCGGAGAAACGCGCCCTTCTTCCACCACTTCTTTTCCACCGCCAGCCAACCCATCTACCTCTTTCCCTCCGTAGCGATGATGCTGGTTTTGGTATTTTTGGTGTTGTCGATGGGGCGGATGTGGAGGTAGCGACTTCAAACCTACCCTCTCTTCAAAATCGGTCTTCCACGATTTATACAACTCCTCCAAGTCGTGCTTACTGTAGTAGCCCTCCTGACCGAGTCGTTGTGCCATGGGTTCCGCCGTGCCGCCCGGAGGTTTCGTGCCGCCACTATTGCTCCACTTGCGGGCAACAGAAACTCCCGCAACAGGACTGTCTTTGGGAAGACTGATTGCAAGCCGAGTCTTGGGCGAGGTCGATGACGAGGGGCCCAAGGAGAGCGAAGGGAAATGAAGTGACGGCGAGGGTGAAAGCGATGTCACTTTCCTTGGTTCGTTGGTTGTGTCGTTCTGAGCTTGATGAGTGCGGGCGGTGGTGGTGGTGGAGGTCCCGGTTGCGACGGAAAGCTTTGCTGACGGTGGGCCATCCGTAGATATCGAGGCCGAGGATGAGGACATGCTGGGACTGGGAGCAAGTCCTGGCACGGTCCGTCGTGTATCTTCGGTGACCCATTCCTGCGTGTTCCTCGGATCGAGTCCCTCTGAGCTGCTGCTGATCTTTCCTGACGTCTTTGATTGACCAGGTCCAGGGGTTAGGTGAGAGTCGGAGGCGGGGACAGATCCGGGACCGTCCATGTCTACTATATCCTCCATCTCTGTATCCTGCGTCTCTGGTGGGCTGATGTTTTCTCCTCCTCCTACTTCACGGTCCTGAGGAAGTTGCAGCGAATGCGGACGACGCTGGTCTTCAGTTTCTGGAGCAGCTCCGCCAAGAGTGTCTGTAGAATGTCGTCTCACCCAGGATGGTGGTGGTGGGCGATCGGACCAGGGAGGGTGATGGTGAAGACTTGGGTGGGAGCCGTCCGCTCCTTGGTCCCATGTTGTGGGTCCGTGTGACGCCATGCCAAAGCTGGTTTGACTTCTCCTAGATGCCTCGTAAATGTACTCGTGCCCGAAGGCGTGTCCTCGTCGGTAATAGCCGAATCTTTGATCGAGCAACGGGTGACCCGCCCAGTGAGGCGGTCCTCCAGTCCTTGGGTCGTGTGGAGGGACATCTGAGTAATATGGCCGTCCGCGTGGGTCCGACGGAACAGCCATGCGAGCGACAGGGATGTCACCCAAAGTCCTGAAGTATGTCCGAGGATTGCTGCCGCCTGTATGAGGTGGATAGCCAGGTCCAGGTTCTATGTTGGGCAGAGACGAATGTCGGTCGACTCTGGCGGTCCTGGCCACTTCTGGTGGAGGGCTGGTACCCTCTCCTCTTTGTCCTTCATTGAGCAATCGAGGGCGATGAGCATTGTCTGAGCTGAAGGGGTCAGGCGGTGAATACGTCCTGCTCGGCGGTCGGGCAGAGTGAGGGTGGTATGGTGATGGTGGGTGATGTCTGTGATGACTATAGTCATCGACTGGTGGCTGCGGTGGCGACATTCTGTGTCCGGAGAGTGTCGCGCGTTGGTGCATGCCGTGGAGGTCATATGGTGCTCCCATGACCTCCTGGCTGAAACTAGTTTGTCGTCTTTGTTGCCTTCCCAGTTCCAATTCTTCGTTTATATGGACCTGTGGGGCCATGTATTCTCGAGAAAGTACTTGGTCGTAATGTAGCTGATACTGCTGCTGCTGCATTTGTTGTTGCTGGTGGGATGAGTGATGACGAAGATTTAACTGGGATTGTTCCTGCGGGGGAGGCAGACGCTGTTCCTGAGGAGGCAAGTGTCTGAGATGTGGGTATCCGCGACCATGATCCGGTGTGAACGGTCGTGGTCGATAGGGATGATGCCTTTGCAAATGAGTGGCCGCCATGGACTCGGCTGATGGTGTAGGGGGCGACTGGGACCATGCATGTGGCGGGTGTTGGCCATGATTAGAATCCAATGTGCGGTTCGCTGTATCGCCTCCTGCGTAGTCTGGCCATTGTGGCCGTCTTTCTGGTTCACGGCCAACAGAAGTTGCGACTGCATAATCGTAGGCGGGTGGTGGCGAGTACGGGTGCCTTCTCGATGCCAGTGCTTGTTCTGGGCCTGGCCGACCAGGGTCTCGTGGGTAGGATGCTTCTAAGTGTCGAGTTGATGCTGGTTGTTGAGAAGGCTCGTGTTGGTGGTAGTCCCGATCCCTGGCCGCAACGTCTCTCCCGTCCCGAGTCTCGACAGTCCGCGGAGGTACTAGCAGTTTAACGGCGAGTGTTAGAGTGTTGGAATGTTTTGGTAAAGTGTTAGACTCTCCTGGCGATTTGTGGTCACATGGATCTTCCTCCCTTGTTTTTATACCGTTGCAAATTCCCCTCGTTTGCTTCTTTAGTATGCGTCTTACCTTCGAGACCTTCTTGACTGTCTTGAGACGGATGCATGTACGCAGGAGGTCCGTCTGGGCGGGACGGAGAGATGGTGTAGTGGTGTTGCTGACGGGGATGGTTATCTGTAATGGAGAGAAAGGGAAATCCCCAATAAAGAGGTTGAGAGTGTGTAATAAAACGTTCGTTCTGACTTAGCACACTAAGCCCCACAAGGTTATGAATGACGGCATCACTCACTACTGTAATCGGTCACCTCCTTCGCTCCCGCGGGACACAAACTAGATTTTCAGTGTTCACACTACTCTCTGGAGAAGGTTTGTTTGTATTTGCTGCTCTTTTCCTGTTGTTGATTACGAAAGCAATTAAGTTAGGATAAAGGAAGGGAATAAAGGAGAGAAAAAAAAAAAGATTCAGAGACAAAAGGTGGCAGGTGATGTTGCAGTAAGGAAGGAGATGTCTGTACAGCAGAAAAGGAGAGCGATCGATCGTTTTGTGCGTCTTCTTTTTCTCTTTTTTGAGCAGGGCGTTCGAGGCGCTTGTGGTTCAGGATCGCCAATGTCCCAATTGGATTTTTTCCTTTGTGATTGCCCTTTTTTTCTTTCTTTCTTTTGGTGCTGTTAAAGGGGTTGCAGGGAGGACCCTTTGATCGCGCCCCTGTTTAGTGAGTAAATGTGGTACTGGGAAAGAGGAAAACAAGAGGGAAAACAGACAGAGAAGAAGAAAGGAGATGATGTGAGTGCTATTGAAAATGGGAAGTGAGGGCTGGATGCAAATGAAAAGATCCGGCTTCTCGCTCTTATACGTACATATTCAACACAGGAACATAAAGCAGCGTTTGCTATTGTGCCGTTGGCATCGCCCACGTAGACGAATGCTTCAATTCAGCCAACCCCTTTACCTTTCACTCTGGAAGGTGCCCGAAGAGCAAGGAACTCCATCCTAGACTTCACACGAACAAGGGATAAGTCAATGAGAAAAAAAAAGGTATCCTGGTGAACACCTGTCCTCGTGGGCAAGACGACACGATTGGCCCTTTTTTTATTCGTCACTTTCCTTTGGTCACCCCTCCATCTTGCTGCTAGTGAGGTGCGTTTTTTTTGGTGTCCGAGTGTCTTTTCAATTTCTCTGTTCTTTTTGGACCCCTCATTCCCCGATCTGATTGAATTATAATAAAGTATGCGTGTGTATTCTGTTGTGCAAGAGTGTGTGTATGTGTGTGTGTGGGTGAGGTGCGAGTGCAAATGTAAGTGTGTTGTACGTCGCTTGCTGTTAATGTCTGACTAATTGAAGTGATGATCTTCGAGGATCTACCTAAGAAAGACCTTCACAGCAAAAAACCGTGGCGGGATATGTTTTTGTTCATCTTGTCAGGGAATTTTCCACAAATGTGTCCTTCTAAGCCTATGGGCCAAAAAAAAATGAACACGAGGATCCTCTGCGGTCGAAAGGGGGAAAGTATAAAATGCAACAAACAGGAAAGTTGGATGGTGCTCGTCGAAGGATAGAACTGGTATCCTGGTCCAGAAAGAATCAAAGCCCGAATAGTCGGTAGTAAAGCCATCATGGAATCCCTGACGATGAACAATTAAAAAAAAAAAAAAAAAAAAAAAAAAAAGAATGCGAATGGACTCTCACCAGAAATCGGAAATGCTTGGTTGGGGTTTGGTTGATGGTCCTGCTTGTCGCAAAGCTGGAGAACTTTTTTTGTTGCGTTTTAGATGGGGTGTACAGAGTTAGAGCCGAGAGGAGGTTGAGCCTGGAGAGAGGGACCTAGAGCATTGCAGCTCTCATTCCAGCTGAATGGAGGAGGGAAGGGTGTGCAAGGTGAGCTGGAATGTTGAGTGGCGGAGGGAGGGACCCTTATTGTGGATGGATGCGATAAGGCAGGAGTATGTTGAGAAGGAGAGGTCGATAAAGAACGAAAGGATGGATCGAAACGGGGGCGGCAGATAGTCGAAAAGAAAAGTAGTCCTGTCCAAAATTGTAATGGTTCAGTTTTTCAGAAAATCCCTTTACTTTATTTAGTTTTCGTTGGTCAAGGAATCATGTTGGTCGGAATCTTCTCTTTTTATTGTTAAGAGAGCTGAAGAAAGGGGAAGTCAAGGCGCTGTGCTGTAGTAGACTACACGCATTGACCTTGAGCTTACTCGAACAAAGGAACACTGCAGCAAGTATGGCAGGTTCCCAAGCCCGCCACAGTGACGTTGCTCGAACTCGAATCGAGGGTGGAATCTGCGCTTTGAATCTCAAATCGAATCGCCAGATCTCTAATTGCATTTTTAGATCTTCCCACAGATGCAACTTCTACCCATTAAGAAACATTTGATCTGGTTCCTGTAAATGCAAGGTGACATGCATTCAAGGAATGATCGACTCCAAGGGAAGAATCTGTTTTTTCACGTGCTCGTAGCTTCCTCGTACCCCGCATCCATCCCACATACACTCTTGTGTTCAGTCGCTCTCTCATGCTACTGGACAAACTTGCACTTCCACCTTCTCCACAGTTTCCTGTTCTTTGTTACTTTGTTGTTACTTTTGTTTTTCTTTCTCCTTGGCTTTATTTTTTCTCACCGACATTCCTTTCTTCTCCCATCTCCACTCCTTCTCTTCTCTCCTCCTCTCGACAACTCCTTCATCTGTACAACCTCAAAACGAAAAACAACAACAACAATGGCCGCCACCTTGTCTCTCCAGCACACCCTCCCCAAGCTGCCCGTCCCCACCTTGGAGGAGACCATCGCCAAATACCTCAAAACCATCGAGCCCCTGACCACACCTGATGAACTGGAACGCAACAAGGAACTCGCAAAGGACTTTCTCAAGCCCGGAGGACTCGGTCGCACCCTCCAACAGCGTCTCTTGGATGTCGACCGTGCTGCCCCTGACAACTGGCTGGACGACACCTGGTGGATCAGGTAAGGTTCAGTCGACTCGAGTGTTTCCTAGCTCTGGTTTATTTACAATTGGTCATGCTTTTTGTTCCTAACATGGATGTTTGTCCTTTTGGACATTGGGATACTTTCTAGCAAGGCATACCATGAGTGGCGCGAGCCTTTGTTGGTCAACTCCAACTGGTACATTTTGATGCGCAACGAGTACAACCACCCTACCGAGTTCTATTCCACTGTCGAGAACCCAGCCTACACAACCTTCCAGGTCAAACGTGCAGCTCACCTTGCCCAGCAGTTGCTCGACTACATCGACACATTGTACAGGTACTTGACCTTCGCTGGAAGTTTACTTTGCTGTTAACTTTAGCTTGTTCTCACAGCAATGTCGCCTGATATGGGTATGTGTCTAAAATTGTCTTTGTTTGTTTAACAATAATAGACAGAACATCCCAGTAGAAATGACCAGGAGCGGCCCTCTTTGTATGCACCAGTACACACAGTTGATCGGCATGACCCGTATCCCTCAGGCAGGATGCGATCGTCTCGTCAACACCCCCTTCCCCTCGCCCTCGAAGCACATTGTGTTGATTATCGATGACCAGTTTTTCAAAATCGACGTTGTATCCAAGGACAACAAGCGCCTCCTTGACGGAGACATGGAGAGGTATGTTTTAAAACAAGTGAACATGTTCACTTCACGAGGCAATATTTTAGCCGACTGGGTCACAAAAAAAAGCAGTCTTTGGTGAATGAACCTTCTTTTTCTCTAATTGCAAACCGCCTCATTTCAATGGACCATATCCCCCATAGACAATTCTTGGATGCGATTAAGCAGTTGGAGAAGATCAAGGCATCAGCCCCCATTGGAATCTTGACCTGTGACCACCGTGACGCCTGGACAAAGGCTCGCGAGCACCTCATCGTCCTCGACCCCAAGAACCGCGAATCCCTCCAGGTGATTGAGGACGCCCTCTTCTGTGTCACCCTCGACTCTGCCGCCGAGGCAACAAAGGCCGATCGCAAGAACGACTTTGCCGAGTGGGCCAAGTTTGGAATGCACGGTCATGGTGGTCGCAACCGCTGGTGCGACAAGTCTCTAAACTTGATCTTTGAGCGCGACGGCAAGTTTGTCTGCCACGGTGAGGTTAGCTTCTTTTGTTGCTCTGCTTTGTCTTTCTGGGAAATCAATTGATAGCCAACTTGACTTTGTACTGACCGTGCTTTGATTTCCTTCTCCTGCAACAAAATAGCACTCGCCTTGCGATGCATTGATTCCAGCATTGATCATGGATTACATTATTCGCAAGCCCACCGACTTGAACGCCCCCAGCACCAACGCCATCATTGACGCCCCCAAGCACCTGTCCTTTGTCACTGATGCCAAAACTCAGGAGCACCTCAAGGCTGCCTCTGCCACCATCGAGGCCCTCTCCAAGAACAGTGATTGCGGTATCGTCTACTTTGACGAGTACGGTTCAGATTATGTCAAGAAAGTCGGTACGTTTTCCTTTGCTGTTTCTTTTCAACTGTTCGAGATAACACTTCCCTAATGTCTCCAATTTCTTCAAAATGAGTTTACTCACGCAATTTTGATTTCATGTTCCGCTACGTGTGCGATGATCAAATAGTCAAGGCCTCGCCTGATGCGTATATGCAGATGGCGCTTCAGCTCGCATATTACAAACAGATCGGTCAGCCCTGCGCCACCTACGAGACTGGATCAACTCGCGCGTTCCGCCGTGGACGTACCGAGACCATTCGCACCCTCAGCACTGACAGCTATGCCTTCTGCAAAGCTATGGAGGACTCTTCTGTCGAGGTAGGCATGCTTTTTCTCTCTTGCGAATGAGCTTCGTCTCGCTGATTTAACGCATTTTTTCAGGGTTTCAAGTAACATATGGACTAACTCTTGCTCATCTTTCATATTATCTTCTCTCTTATTGGATGATTTAGCCCGAGAAGAAGGTCAAGTTGCTTCGCGCGGCAATTGCAGCCCACTCCAAATACCAGCGTGAAGCAGGAAACGGCAAGGGCATCGATCGTCACCTGATGGGTCTCCGCCTCTGCCTCCAGTCCGGCGAAGCCCACGGTCTTTTCCAAGAGCCCGTCTTTGGCAAGAGTGGCGCCTTCCTCTTGTCGACCTCTGGATTGTTTGCTGGTGACAACTTTGTCGGTACGGGCTTTGGAGCCATGTACCCTGATGGTTACGGTATCAATTATTTGGCTGGTGGTAAGACCTTGAAGTTTGGAGTCGAGTCCAAGTTTGAAAGCAAGGTGACGAGCACCCGTGAATTTGGCGAGTTTTTGAGACAGGCGCTCAGGGATATGAGGACTGCTGTTGAGCAGACCTTGCCAGAGGACCAGCGCAAGGTTGCTGCCAAGTTGTAATACGAGATTTACCCCCCCAAGTTAGTTTCGGAGTTGACTTCTGATGATACCACCCCCAAGTATTGGATATTTTCTCTTATTCTTTTTTTTTACTTGAAAAGAATAAACTGTCCATATAATTACATATTCACTTAGATACGACTTTGCGGAGATAATTCTTCCTCTGTACAATGCTTTCGTCTTTTTTTACTTTAGTTTATTGATGGTTCTGTATTCTAAAAGTGATATGTCCACGGCGCTGCTGGCTTAGGGCTTGCGGTAGACAGTGGTGGCAGCAGCCTGGTTGGTGGGGAAGACGAGCATCTCGGCAATGTTGACGTGATCGGGACGGCCGGCAACAAAGATAACCGTCTCGGCGATATCGTCGCCGTTCAAAGGGACCAAACCCTTGTAGACCGAGTCAGCTTTGTCCTTGTCACCACGGAATCTGATCACCGAGAACTCTGTCTCCACCAAGCCTATTATATGTATCACAAATTACATTGTTGAACAGGAGTTAGCGTTTTGAATGTCGACGAGTAATATCTCCTAGTTGTAAGTAAAAAAAGGTCAATGTGAAAAAAGGTGTGAAATTACCAGGGTTGATCTCAGAGACGCGGATGGCGGTATCGACGGTCTCGTGCATGAGGGCACGGGTGACGGAGGCGACAGCAGCCTTGGTGGCGCAGTAGATAGATCCGTTTCCATAAGCCTGTTGACCGGCAACAGAACCAATGTTGATGACATGGCCCTTGTTGCGGGCACGCATGCCAGGGATCACGGCCTGGGTGACATAGACGAGTCCCTTGACGTTGGTGTCGATCATGGTGTCCATTGCCTCCTCGGTGATATCCTCCAACTTGTCCAATCCAATCACGAGACCTAGTTATTATTGTAGTTCGCCGATTTGAAGGTTAAGGTAGATATGAAACTGGGTGGTGAATAACAGAGAGCAACCTGGAGTCGTGGATCACATCTACAAACATCCTTTTCCTTAAGCACCTTCCTTCGATTACTCCTTCTAAACTGCGTTTTCCTCAACTCTCACTCTTGAAACTTACCGGCATTGTTGACGAGGACATCAATATCGCCAAAGAAATCAATGGCGGCGTTGACGTTGGCCTTGACACGGACATCGAGGACGTGGGTCAAGATCTTGATCGAGGGGTACTTGGCCTCCAACTCTTGCTTCAACGCATCCAAACGGTCCTGACGACGAGCCGCCAAGAACTATCATTCGGGACCAACAAGGCCATGTGATATAAGGGCCGACTGTTAGTTGATTGCCGACTCCAATTGGTACTCTGTATTGGGATGATTATCCTTGTCCGTTGAAGCTATGCGCTCCTGTTCTATTTACCAAGTTGGATCCAGCCTGGGCAAAGTGGCGGGCGCAAGCCTCACCGATTCCGGAGGAGGCACCGGTGCTATCAAGTTTCAAAAACATAGAAGTGCGATGGCTAAGAAAACAAAATTGAGGCAGATACAGTGCGGCAAGGCAGCTGATAACTGTCCGAGTGCTAATCGAGTGTCTATGTGTCTGTGGGAAGACTGAGGTCCACCCACACACACAATAAAAAACAATGCCGTTGAGGTTCTCCCGAGCTGAGCTGCAACAAAATGGCATGAGGTCAGAGGTATGGTGTTGTGTTGCTTGTCCTGGCTTACATCAAAACGTTCTTTCCCTGAAGTCTGCTCATTGTGAATGTTATGTTGGGGTATGGATGAGGGGAGGTAGTGAAGAAAGAAAGAAAAGATGAGATGACAAGACGAAATATAAAAAAAATGTCGTGCGAAAAACTATCAGAGTGACTCCATTCGATTGGTTCATGTTGCTCGGCGACCTTTTTTTTTATGTTGTTTATTTTCAAAGGGTGCAAAAGGTGCGCAGATGTGAGCTAGCGAGCTATTCAGCTTGAAAGTCGGTGGACTTCAAGGTAAGAAACAATGCAAAGAATCTCTTGTGTGTGTTTGTGTGTGTGTGTGTGAGTGATTTTTTTTTTTTTGGTTGGTGTTGCTGATATTGATTGTTGTTGTTTTTGTTTTTTGCTGGTGTGGATATGTGAAAGAAGGGTAACAGAGGAGAAAGTAAGAAAAAGAAAACGCGAAATATACATTCGACTACTACAGGAAGTAGTCGGGGACGTGGCGGCTAACGTGGGGCTCGCCACGGCGTGGAGCAGGGTCAAACTGCAAGAAGGTGTACTTCAGGTGCTCGTCAATCTCCATGATGGCAGCCTGGTTGCCACAGCGGTAGCAGTAATTTGGCGCACTGAAAATCGTCACGACATTGCGATCCTGGCACCAGTTGTAGCCCTAAAAAAGTCGTGTGAGTATCGATCAATTAGTACTCCAGGTTCACCAGTGGTTGTGTGAGATGAATTCGCGGTTGTCCGAGGATGCAGCAAAGAAAAGACAAAAGGCCGAGAGGCTTACCTCCATAACCAGCTGATGGGCTCTGGCAATCAATGTCAATCCATTGTTGTGGTTAAAGGTCTCGGAAACATCCTGTCCGAAAGTGTAACCGGCACCACGAGGCGAGATACCCCATCCGCAACGGTCATCGGGGTCCGACCAAAGCAGGTCGCACATGGGACCCTCGTGTGGCACCTCCTGAACGCGGTCCAATGAGCGGATATGGTCCAGAGAGTCAATAGAGGGAGAAAGACCACCGTGAAGACAGAAAATCTATATAATGCAACGTAAATTTAAAAAAGCCGTTGTGAGTGACAATGTAATAATAAGCAATCATATCACCCATTGAAGCAACAAGCGAAAAGAGAAAAAGTACCTGGTCCTCGATCAAGGCGGTGAGGGGGAGGTAGTCAAAGAGGTCGGTGAAGGTCTTCCAGATATTGGCGTTTCCATACTTGCGGAGACACTCGTCGTAGAATCCATAGACCTGAGTAATCTGACGCGACTCGTGGTTTCCGCGGAGGATGGTAACGCGATCCTTATAGCGGACCTTGAGGGCGACCAGGAGGGTCACGGTTTCGACAGAGTAGTAACCGCGATCGACGTAGTCACCCATGAAGAGGTAGTTGGTGTCGGGCGAGTTGCCGCCGATACGGAAAAGCTCCATGAGATCGTGGAATTGACCATGGATATCGCCGCAGACGGTGACAGGGCAGCGCACAGGCTGGACGTTGGACTCTTCCATCAAGATCTCGCGTGCCTATAATAAATAGGTAATAACAAAAACACGGGGTTTCCCCTCCAGAATGGTGAGATATTTGTTCAATGCTTAGGCGAACCAATTGGACTTCGTCTTCGTTACCTTCAGCATAAAAAAAAGTGTTATAAAGCGCACGTCACTCGCTTATGTTTCTCCTTTGCTTTTTGTTGGTCATACCTTCTCGCAGAGTCTCTTGACATCGGCCTCGGGGAGCTGCTTGCACTGCATCAAGTGCTGGATCCAGCCGTCAACATCACCGACATCAGTAATAGTTGTCATTTTTTAAATACTGTACAAACCGAAGTTGTTGGGGTCGTAACAGAACTAGAGAAAAAAAAAGGTTGCAGGAAGCGTTCCTACATCCAGGGGTGAAAAAATAGATGAGAGTACAGTGTTAGCCTTAGGTATAAAACACATACAACGTCGATGTCAGCTGTTGATGTGCCTCCTGCTGTGTTCACTGAAAGAAGCAAGAGTGTCGCTCCGGACCCGAATCAGTGAGCACCACCATGACATCAACGCAACCCCGTCCTCTTCTTTTACTAGGTGATGCCAAGTTCTTTCTTTGTAGCCATAGAGTGGCTCGCATTCGAGCCTTATGTACGGAGCTGACCCCGTTGTTGCATAATATGCATGCCGCTTTGACAGCATGCCAAACAACGGCCGAGATGGTCGCTGTTGAGCTGCCTGCTGTCAATGGCATTTGCAGTTGACAGAAGGTGAGAGTAAGGCGCAAAGTTGGGGAATGGGAGCAAGGGTTTGGCGAGGACATAGGTGGCAGATGGTTTGAGCCGGATGTACCTTTTGCAGGGGTGAAGGAGGGAGGAAGGAGTGAAAGGGAGGAGTGTGAAGGGAAGGAAGGGTGGGGAAGGAGAGACGATGCGGAGTGAAGGAGAGGGTGAAGAGAGAAGGGAAAAAGTAAAAGGGAACAGAAAGCTGTAAAGTGAGTCTTGTGGATCCCACTGCCAAAAGAATGAGTCCAATAAGGAGCGACCTATGCCAACCGCCCACTCTCCTAACACTCTCAGTCTGTTCCTTTTTTTCTCGAACCATTACTAGCTGGTGATGCTGATCGCACACCATCCGAATGCATCCTCATTCATACGTTGTTAGTCGTTGTCTGTCGTGACCAAGCATCCTTTCTTTAGCTGGGGTTTGCCTTGTCATAACCTTCAATACCTTTTCGGTGCCTGTGTGTGAGGAGTGAAAGGACGCTGCACTTGGAGGGTGATTTTTGAAAGACCCTCCCCACAGGGGGATGGTGACGTCACATATATCACGCTCGCACGAGCTGCATCCCTCACCTCGCCGATAAACACTTTCTACTCTGCTGCCAATCATCTTGAATCAAATTCCACTCCACTCCTCCATCACTCACCCCTCGCACTCTACAACAATGGCTGGTCCCCGCATCATCACACACTCTGTCCGCGTCTTGGGCGCCAACCCCGAGAACGTCATGCGCTGGTAGCGTACCCCTCTTCTCCTCTCTCTCCTCTTCAGCTCCTTCCTTTAACACGTTCCTTCACAAACGGAGGGACCTTCTTTTTCCGAATCACAAGGAAGACATGAACGGAAACAAGTCTTTTTGAGAAGGGCGCATAAACACAGGAGCGACTGCAAAGACATGATGGCACTCATTACATGCACGATCGGGATCGTCCTCTTTTATCAAGTCAGGAACATACACCGAAAAGGATCCGACAAAAGAGAATAGCGCCTTTGCACCCGATCACTCGCCCAAAATGATGCGGCTGAAAATTCCGAACTGTTTTCGGACTTCCGGAGCAGAGCATACACCTCATACAACACACATCTCGACACTCTTGTACACACTACCCACAATCTCTATACCTAGATACGCGCACATACCGTTCTCAATTCGCGTTTCTAATACCCTCTCTCTCTCATCTTTGTTCAATTGGGAACTAATAGGGCTGGTTCCCTTACCCTCTTCGGTGTTGCCGCCGGCTCCGGTGTCCTCTTCATTGCCGAGTGCCTCCCCCCAGCTAAGGTAGGCCACCTGTCACCATAGCATGTTCTATATGATATTCTGCTCGTCAAATATTTTTCCATTGTTCAATTGACTAACGCCATACCTCGTTTTCCTTTCAATGAACAAATAGCGCGATCTCTTCTGCAAGCTCCCCGCTATCGGCAACTACTGGAAGGCTTACGAGGCCAAGGACGAGGAATAAACAATGCCTCTTTTTTGACCTTCTCAACCAACCACCTCCCGAGCATTATTATTTTCAGATAGATAAAAAAAAGTCGTATGCGAGAGAAATGATATTGGAGCAACAACGAACAACACGAGCTGGATGCGACATATCGATTACAAAAACCCCCACTATCACCAACCTGTTCGCGTCTGGAACCCTCAGATGTTAATAAACAACTCACTCTTTCGATGATGTTTGTGAGCAGTTGCTACCCAGACATTTGGCGTTTCAACTTCTTGGTATCCACTGAGGCTTCCTGTACAATTGGCCCAGTGTATCCAACTGCTTATTTCTCTAAGCGCGCGCGTGCGAGCGGGCTTGTACATTTGCCCTTTCAACCACATGAATTTGAAAAGAAATCATTGCTTGTGCGTTTTTATTGTAATGCCTTATATGTATATGTGTAAATTAGAAAGATTGAACGTTTCGAATGATTGAACAAGAGATATTTGTTCTCCATGGAGTTAATTGGAGCTGGAATATGGGTTCTTGCGTTCCATGTCATCTCCGATCGTTAGCGTCACTGTCGAGTAGGAAAAAAAAGAAAAAAGGTACAGAAGGTTAATATTCTTGGTTCTTCTTTAGTCGACCTGTATGAGATGAATAGATGGGTAGACCGGGACTTACGGATAAAGTTGGCAAGATAGACGGAGAAAAGACCAATGGTGAGCAGGGTAGGAACCTTCCTTGTGAAATAAACGACATCCTTGCGCTTGGTGACCATGTAAATGTGACGCAAATGGTACAACGTTGTTCCATACAGCAGCGTTAACAGGGCCAAGACCAGCGTGAGGACTCCAATTGTCCCCGCAAGTTCGTTACCAAAGTTCAACAACATGACTGCAATACCACCCTGGAGGATACCGAACCGGATCCAGTGCAGGTAAAGACGCTCGTTCGAGAACTGGGCCAGACGACCGGTACCCTTGACCTTAAAGACTGGATCGGGCTTGCGCCAGGATCGGATGCGCGCAGCGAGGTTCTTGCGCTTCTTCTTCAGCTTGGGTTGATCGTCATCCCCTTCCGCAGCCTCCTTGTTTCGGCGACGGTCATCGTCATCGATTTCGTCCAGCCCCGAATCCGAGTCAGTCGAACGGCGATGGTTGTTATCATTATCGGGGTGCCAGAGCTGTGGAGTCATGGGCCGAGGTCCAGACTCAGTCGCATTATTGTTTCCACGGTAAGTCATCTTCTTTGTCGGGAGCTGCTTCTTTGTGCGCGATCGAGATCGATCCTCGAGTTGGGATTGTTGGTGTCTGGGAGGGTTGAGGGGCTCGTTGGAGTGGGTCGAAAGGTTGGAGAAGGAGGCGACAGAGAGGGGACGATCGGGGCCTTCGACCGCTACAAAGCTACGCTGGGGTGGGTTCAAATGAAGCTCCTCAACGGCCAGAGGGTGGTTAGGGGATGGTACAGGGCCTGCCAACTTGGTGAACGGTGATTGCGCTGAAGCGGCTTGGTAGTTTGGCTGGTACTGTTGGTGGGTGGGTGGGGAAGGAGGGCCCGGGACTGGTGGGTAGGATCTGTTGTTGTTGTTGTTAGTGCTGAAGGCGGACGCTAAACTTGGTGGTTGAACTGGAGCCGCGTTGTTGTTGTTGTTATTCCTGAAGTCGGCGCGAGGTGGACTCTGGGAACGATGGTTGAACAACTGCTGCTGTTGCTGCTGGCGAGGTGGGCTTATGGCACGGTTGTAAGCAGCGGGTGGACTTATGGCACGGTTGTAAGCAGCAGGTGGACTTATGGCACGGTTGTAAGCAGCGGGTGGACTCTGGGCACGATTGTATGCAGCGGGTGGACTCTGGGAACGATGGAACTGAGAGTTCTGTTGTTGTTGTTGTTGTTGCTGTGGTGGGGGTTGGCGGTACTGCGATTGAGGCTGGTACTGCGACTGGGGCTGATATTGAGATCGAGGCTGATACTGCCCTTGAGGCTGGAACTGCTGTTGCTGTTGCTGGTGAGGATAAGGGTAGGAGGGCGATAGGGGTTGTGTTGGTGAGAGTGGTTGAGTGGGTGAAAGGGGTTGCTGTCCTCCGAAAGGGTTTATGTCGGTGCGAAGTGCTGGAGGTTGGTAAGAAGAGAAGCGGGAAGGGATGTTGGGGGGAGAGGAAGAAGGAAAAGAAGAGTTGTTGTTGCTCCTGCTCTGGTTGTTGTTGTTGTTGTTGTTGTTGTTGTAGTTGTTGCCTGAGGGGCGATTGAGAGCAGCCATTCTGGTGGATTACACTGAAGGAGATTATTTAACCCCTGTTGACTTCAAAGTTCAAAGGATAAAAAGCGCTCTTTGCCTGGATTGCACCACACGACTTTTCTCTAAACCCAGCGGACAAAAAAGATAATAATAAAAGGTATTTTTAGTACATTTGGACTGGGAATGGTCAGAAAAGACACCTCTCCACCCCTTCTTCCTTTGCACCCCCCCAACCCACGCATTCGAGCAGACATGTCATTCTCAACATGGGTTTCTCAAAGGGATGAGGCTGTGATTGAAAAAAAGTACTCTCTCACACTGCAACTCCTCGCCTCCTCTTTAGAGCCGATTACCGAGAACTTCGACGAAAAAAAGTGGATTTTCAATTTCGCACACATTTAAGAACAGTTGGTACATGTACATGAAAAGAAAGGGCTGCATCTTTGGGATCCCGAAGATACCCTCGAGCACTTTTTTTCGACTTAGCTCTGAAGAAGCGGAGGTATGCTGAGTAGGTAGCAAAGATGTGGTGGTGGTGCTCATCGTGTATCTCTGCAATTCCACAGAAGAAAGTAAAAAGAGAGGGACCGCGACCCTTCTGCGTTTGCTCTTCTAAAGTTGTCTGGCCCCTTTTGTTCCTCCCTTTTTTTCTCCCCCGCCTCTTTCTTTTTCTTTCTCCCCCCTTCCAACTCCCTCCCCTGGCTGGAAAAACAACGAGTTATAACGAGCAAGGAGGATACAGGACAACGAAACGTAAAAAAGTGCCGAGGAAGAAAAGCCAGGGCTGGGCTAAGGCTTGGGGTTTGGGATACAGCTGTTAATGAGGACTACAGGACATGACAAAGGGGGAAAAGAAAGCCATCCTCTCTCCGCTCCAATACTGGGACACACCAAAAGGTTTGCTCGTCTGACTGTTGCGCTTAGGATTTTGAACCAATTGGAGACAGACTTTTAGGCATTAGAGCCGCGGGAGCATGAAGATAGAATTGATGGAGAGGAAAAGAGAGCATGAAAAAATTGATATGTACCTGAAGTGTGTTTAGTTTGGTCGCGTGGGGGGGGGGGGGGAGAGGAGGTTTTTGTTCGAGAGGAAGGGAAAGGATGGTCTGTGTTGATGGAGAGATGAGGAAACAAAAGAGAGAGAGAGAGATGTCGGTAACAAAGCCCTTATCCAGAAGAAGAAGAAAGAAACTCCTTCCTTTCTCTCTGCCTTGGCCACCCGAGGGAGAGGGCATGGCTTGTTTGCACCAACCACTCACATACACAACACCCTACTGTGCAAGTTTACTTTGCGTCTTCAGGTTTCCACCTGTCATTCTTGTTTTATTTTTACTTTTCCTTCTCGGTATTCTACGCTCACAAACCAAAAAAAAGTCTTTGTGTGTACGCCTGCCCACAGTCCACACATCCTCAGAAGCAATTGTCAAGTCCAGCAAGCATGTTAGCACCACCCACACCCTCCTTTCAAAAGGAGGCGATGTGTGTGTCTCCTCTTTATGAGACACATGGTCCACCAGACCTCACTCTTTTTTTTTGTCTCGCCTTGGTTACCCCTGGGTGCGATCTTTGTCTCAGTTCAACTGATGACCTTTGTTATGGCAGGATCAGTGATGAAAAGAAAAGGGGAAGGAAGGCAGAAAATAAGGCACTATTGATCACCGTCTTGTTCATTGGTGATAGAAACAACCCCAAGGGTGTAAAAGCTTTCAAGAGAGTGCCTGCTAATTGTCAAGGTTTGTTGGATTAATTAGACCACTGTTCCGTGTGGCCTTGTTTTTGCTTCAGCCCTCACGAAAGAACAAGACAACAACAAACGCACGAGATCCAAAGAAAAAACGACTCTGAGCCCGAATGAAACTGAAATATTCAAAATGCTAGTCCACCCCCCATGGAGTCCAATCAAATCTAAGCCTTCGTTTTCGACGCAACAACATGCTCATTCGTGACTTGGAATTGTTCTTGCGGTCCGGCCCTTGAAAAGCAAAAAACAGAGTTATGAGTTCTTTACCAACGTCTCCTTTTCAAATTGCAGTTTTTGCTGCTGGGTCTTGGTCGATGCGCTTGCGCTCCCTTGTGCCTCTACAGCCCCTACTGCGCCGTCTGGATGACAAGAATTTGAATTCTTATCGAAGGCTCGCTCCACCCTGACCCTGTTTATCGTACAGTTGAAGGACTATATCGAGCGCAAACCTCTTCTCAATCAAAACCTCACACACACCTGCATCTCACACAAAGAAAACGTGAATAAACGAATAATTAGTCAACACATCGCAGGAAAGGACGGAAGGTTTGCCAACATGCGTTCAAGAGAAAGTGTTCGAACAAAAGTGAAGGCGTACGTGGGATTTGGAGAACACATGCAAGAGGATCCAGGAATGGCATCCGTACCGGCGCACATACATGTACGTTAGCGCCATTGCATACATGGAGATCGACTGAGATGGTGTAAAATGCGTACAAAGAAAAGCAAAAAAGGACAGTTAGTAGAAAACGGGATGGCTGTGTTAAGGCAGGGCGGATGGCATTTTTTTTATTTGTGCGCTAATGATTTTCCCGAATCCCGACGAAGAAGACAACGGTGACTGACGACGATTGTCGATGAAAAAGCTCAAAGGACAACCACGAGCGGCTGCAAAGGCAATCGTGCCGTGCAACAACATGTCAGGCTTGTTGCTCTCATAATATACATTACGCTCTTGACGAGTGTATGCCTATTTAAAAAAGAGAGCACAGATGAAAGAATAGCCCGATGGTGCAATTTGTCTCTGTCTCTGTTGCTGCCCTGCACAAAAAGCAATAATTACCATTTACCACCCCTTCTCTTTCTCTTTGTTTCCCTTTGTTCCTGCACCACCATTCCCACTACTCTTCTCCTTTCCCGTTATCCACACCCCATCTCACTCCATTCCTCGCTCGTTCTTTTGTGCCTGTCGTCATTCCAATTGTTCCTATCCCAGCATCGCATCTATCAATCATCCCTTTTTCCCTTGCACGATTTTTGATCTCCTCTCTGCATCTCCCCTCTTTCTTCCTTTCCCTTTTCCCTTTTTGTTCTCTTCCCCTCCGCCACCGGTTCTTACCCTCAATTCTCAACGCACTCAACACAACCGCAACAAAAATCGCTCCGAGCAAACGATGTTGGCAATATTCTTCTACAGCGTAGCATCGCTGCTACTCCCGGTCATTATAATCAACGCCAAGGATCCCGTCATGGACTTTTCGCAACTCGTCCCCCCAACCGCCACCACCATCTCCACAACTTTCCCTCCAGCCCCTGTCCCTGCCGCAGGCGTCGGCCACTCCTCGTCTTCAGTACCCCAGGACTTTGTATATGTGGCCTCGCCATCATCATCAAAGTTCGGATCCTTCCTCGTCCACATCCTCCCAACAAAGAACGGTCGATCAATAGCTTCATCATACTCCTTCATCTCCTTTTCTTCCTTCCGTCGTGCGTGGCGATCAAGCCCCAGGCGATCCTCGCCTTCGTCGTACAAAGCTGCAACAAAGAGGATGGCAGAAAAGGATAGATGGGAAGTGGAGGAGAAACCTTACAAGTCGAGATACTCTCCACGGGCTGCCTCTTCGACCTCTTCGGAAGAGTACGATGCATATGGTTTCCGACAAAACGCCAGCTACAACAGTAAGTAACACTTCCCTCTTTCCTCGACAGAATTCTCTGTGCCAAGAGAAACAGAAATTGTCATTATGTATGCGTTGTTTCTCTTCCTCGTGCAAGGGTGTGTGAAGGAGAGAGAGTGAAAGAGCACTTGGAAGGTGTGCGTAAGTGTGTCAGAGCGAGGTAATGCGGGAATTGAAGTCATAGCTTTGTGGGCGTGGTAGGATTAGCAAGAGAAAAACATAAAACAAGCCCTTTCCTTTTCTCGCAACAGTGACAAAAGCGACAGACATAACGACAAACGACAAAGAGACGTGGCATGGTGGCAGTAACCTACACGATAGCAAGTTCAAAGAGTCCATTCCTAAACGGGTTGGACATCCTTCCCTTCCACACCGAATTCACTCAGATCGGTCTGTGCTTCTTACAACAAACAAGAACACAGACCAACGCATTCCTTTTGTTCCCCAACCATTCACTTCCTTTACACGACACACACATACACTCGACTCAATAACGATTACCCTCGTTTCTCTTCTTTCACCCCGCATTGAATCGGGTATCTATCTTTTGCCACTCTTTCCCTCACCTATTTTCCTTTCTTTAGTGTCCTCAGTCCTTTCTCTCTCTTTTTTCATGTACGTGGTAGTATTTTAAAGTTGTTCTAACATGCCCTGTGCATTTTCCTCTTGTCTTCCTTCACCCCTTTGCCCTTTTAGAATCAGGGTCCTGCAGCCCAAAAGACCAAACGGATCAACAATCTCAACAACAACGACAACAGCCACAGGAGGACCGCTTTATTGCCCCTGATGACTGGAAGGCACCGATGCAACATATCGCGCTTCCTGTCAAAGCATGATTCCCTCCTTGGGTTGATTGTAAATAGAGCATAGAAAATAAAATAAAAATATGGTACTCCTTCCTCACAGTTCGTTACAGGAGTATGATATGCGTTGCTGAGTAGATCGAGGGTGGAGTCTTGTCTAGGTGCGAGAGTGATAAGAGGATATTAAAGGCATGTGGCCGAGATAGGATGTCTCTCTCTCTCTCTACTCGGCCATTGCGCATGACACTGGCAGTTCTCCTATTCACCATCGCTGCAACAATAACATCATCTGTAAACATCTCAGCCGAGACAACTTCAGAACAGATCCTCGCCATCGCATCCAGGTGCGACCCTGTCCTCTACGACTTTCAAATCCCAAACAATGGTTGTGACGAATCCGATGCCGACGAAACCTTCCTTGGTCACAGACGGCGCCACCATCATCACCCGGTGCACGGCCCCCAGAACCATCACCTTGACCTGTGACGATAGGCCTTTCAAGTATACGGATGAATTGTTGGATGTTTTGAAGGTCATGGGTGTCAAGGCGACATGTTTTATAGATAGAGATAATAGTGCGAGGCTGGAGGATTATGAGGTAGTGAAGAGGGCGTACGGAGGGACATCAGATTGGGTCGCATACTTGGCCGCATAAGGACTTGAGCAAGATGAACGCGAGACAGGTTCGCAATGAGATGGCTGATCGTAAGTTCCTCTTGGGCGGCCGTTTATTCGAAGGACAACAAGACCACGAAAGAAAGGAATGTCATTGATCGTTTCGACAATCTAGGTTTCTTTCTCTCTTTCTTTTTGCCTGCATGGAAAAGTGGACAATGCGATTAAGGAGTTGATAGGGGTGAAGCCTAGGTACATGCGCCCACCCTCCGGGAGCCTCAGCATCACGCTAGAAGAACCTTGGGTGCCATGGGCTATAACGTCGTTATGCGGGACTTTGACACCAATGACTGGAGATGTAAGTTTTCTTCTCCTTCTATTCTCAGAACCACATTATGCGACAAAGTAGAATGGTTTCAATCGTCCAATGTTCTGATACATTTTGTTCTAACCATCCGCCACCGCTATCCATCCATACTCCAACGTAGACTCCAACGACATCAACATGAGCTTACGACTGATCAGGAAGGCGATTGACAGCGGGCATAAAGAAAGGGGTGGGCACAATATCGTGATGCACTACATTATTGAAAAGACGGCGACGATGTTAACGCCTAGGGCAATTGACTTGATCAAGAGATTCAAGATGCTGTTGGCGAGTGTTTGGGAAACCTTGGAAATGAAGCGTTCATTTGTTATTTATGTGAGGCATGTTGGCATGGTGCGAGGTCAAGTAAAGGACGAAGAAGGGAGCCTTCAGGAGATTGGAAGAGACGTGATTGGGCCAACTTTAACGGCCATTAAGAGAGCGAGTGTATACAGTTCGGTTTTCTGCGATCGGATCATCAAAACACCCTTGAGGTTGCAAAGAAAAAAAAGATGAAGGACTCGTCTCCAGTCCTTCTCTCTTATCCTCTCTTTCCTTCCTTACCCCTTCTCCCTCTTCCTCCTCCTCTCCTCCTCCTCTCTCCCCCCTTCCCCTCTTACTCTCCCGGCTTCCTCCCTTTTTTTATCCTCTCCTCAATCCCTTCTTCCCCGCATAATAAAAAAAAAGAGTATGGAGGATCAACCGCTGGACGTCCACAGTTGGCTGGTGGTCATTACTTTTATGATCGTCATTGCAATCGTCATTCACCCCATTCGAATCCCACTCCCCATCCCTGCCTTCTCTTCCTCCTCCTCCTCCTCCTCCTCCTTATCTCACCCTCTCTCTAACCAGTCGACAGCACAGCAGCAGCAACAGCAGGAGGGGGACTACAACTCGGACGACGCTAGTCCGAATTCGGCACAAGGCCCTTCCCCGACTGCCATTGCCACCGCCACCAACCTGAAGCAAAAAATTTCGTACCACTTCACGCTCAACATTGCAACCGCACCCGTCTTGGGAGTCCTCTTCTTGCTCGCCACCAGGTCGATTGAAGGCGACAGCGTTCGGGATGGAATTGTTGGGGCACCCGGAAGTGGAGTCGAACCCTATGCGGTCATGATCCTTTTTTTCTCATTGGTAAGGGAGTGCGGAAGGGATAATAACAAAAACAGGAGTCGTTACATGTGCTAGAACCGTAACCACAGTGGTACTCATTTCTTTTCCTTTCTTTCTCTACTTTCCGGTGTGTCTAGGCTTACATCTGTATCAGTCTGGATATGACGGGAGTATTTCAATATGCGGCATTCTGGATCTCGAAAAGAGGAGGCGGGAGTGGACAGCGGGTCTTTCTCTCGTTTTTCTTACTGTCAACGGTGATGAGCGGATTGACAAGTAACGATGTCGTTGTCTTGACTATGACGCCTTTTCTGGTCTATTACTCGCAGGCTGTCGATCTGCTCACACCCATCGCTTTTCTCATGGCAGAGATTCAAACCGCCAACATCGGTATGTAATGCTCATTGAGATGTATGCTTTTGTTGTTCGAGGTAGAGCGTAGATTATTTACCCTTACATTTTTTTGTTCTGACTCGGTCATTCAAATTAGCATCAATGGCATTGTACATTGGAAATCTGACCAACGTGGTCGCTTGCCAGGCTTACAAGGTCTCGTTCCTGGAGTACAGCGCCTGGATGCTGCTCCCCTGCTTCGCAGCCGTCGCCACCTGCTACATCATGCTCCGGATCAATTTCCGTCACGAAAAGTACATCCCCAAGATCGTCAAGACCCCCAATGTCGATCCTCGCTCGTGTCTCGTTGATCCTGTTGGTGCCGTCTTTGGATTGTCGGTGCTGGCATGTTCGTTGATCTGTCTGATCGGGACTTCGTTTGCTCATGTCTCTGTTTGGATCGTGACGGGCCCCTTTGCTCTGCTGACACTTGCGCGCGATATCTGGTACGACTCTCAGGGCAAGTTTAAGCCCGCCCAGGTTGCTGTTGGTTCTCTGTCTGATCGCCAATTGGGGGATCGCGGGTCGATGACTGGAGGAGGAGTTGAGGCTACTGCTGAATCCGAGGAGAGTCAGTTGGAGAAGGGATTGCCGGAGATTGCTGTGCCTGAACCGAGCATTGTCCGACCTGTGTCGATCTTGACTGAAAAGGATAACGGGAAGCTGGAAGATGACCAAGGAAGCGTCGAGACCGTCAGTGTTTCCTATATACCAGCCATCATCCCCACTCCTACCACCATGACTATCACTGACAACAACATCAACAGCCAAGCATCATCGGAGGATACGACTCACCAGAGCTGGGCCAGGAAGTTCAGCCGAAAGTTTGAACAAAAGTCACCACTCCTCCACGCGATCGCCATCCGGATGCCCTGGGCGATCCTGCCGTTCACGTTCAGCATGTTCATCATGGTTGAGGGACTGTCTCATTCTGGCTGGATCGCCATCTTTGCCAAATGGGCCACCAAACTGGTCCCTAACTACGTGGCCGCGACATATGCGATCGGGTTCTTGTCAGTTCTGCTGTGTAACATCTTCAACAATGTGCCTATGACCATCCTGGTAGCCCGAATCCTGCAGCACCCTAACTTTGTCGATTCCCCGTTGGCAACACCCGAGGTGATCAAGGGATGTCTGTTTGCGCTGATTGTCGGGAGTAATTTGGGGGCGTGTACGACGTTGATTAGTTCGTTGGCGGGACTGATGTGGGACTCGGTGTTGAGGAGTAAAGGCAGTGGAGTTGGGTTCTGGAACTTCTTTAGATGGAATATGGGGGTCATGCCGGTTGTTATCCTTGTCACTCTGACCGTCGTTGTCATCGAGCTTACTGTTATCTTCTAAACACTTATTATTCTTTATTGGAAAGATACGATACCGCCGCAGATAGCGCATTCATACGCATTAATACTCATCATCATCATTAACAAAACCTACTTCGACAACCTACTCAAATGACTTGGCCTTCTGTGTCCCACGTTCTGTTGGTTGTGTTGGCTCTTGCAGCCCACTTGCCATGTACATTATCAATAGCAACCATACTATTACAATTCGTTCTGTTCTATATCCTTTCTTTCTATGTTACATCTTATACCATATAGACAAACAAACACAAACCAAACCAAACAACAAACACAAAGATGCTTATCCTTTCTTAATCCTTTTTTTATATCCTATCATATACACTCCTACAAGAGAGGCCGATTGGCCATAGTTAAATGACAAGCCCACAAATGCCAAAGGCAAAAAAGAAAGGCCGACATAATGGCATAGTTAAAGAAAGGCCGATAGAATGCCATCGTTACAAGCCCATAGTTGCCATAGTAAAAGAGCCCACGGCACACAGGTTTCCCTCGATCCCATACGAACCCCTATTTGAGCCCGCAATCCCATTTTGAGTCCGCGATCCCAAACTTGATTCTGAGAGCTGGAGAGAACTTGGGGACCAGGAAGATCCAGAGTTCTTGAGCTAAAAGGAAGAGAGAGAAGAAAAGAGTTTAAAGGATTAGAACGTCCCTTACTCTCACCTCCACCAGCATATGCCAGTGCTACGGAGGTCGGGCGTCCCCCCCACCCCCACCGCCATGCCGGCCCAGCCTAAATTGAGAAGGTGAGTGGCGCATGGTCAGGTATGAGGGGGGGGGGGTAAGGGATACCTCTTTGCCCTCCTCTCCGCACCCTCTTGTCACTAAAGTGATAGATTGGTAAGATGTTTGTGCCACTAAGTTTGTTGTTGTTCCATTTTTGTCGCCTTTGATATAATATATTCATAGCGATCGTTAAAACGAAGAAATGCAAGAGAGTGTGGAGAAACAGGGTAAGTGAACGAAATAAAACAAGGCGGATGTGCACCTTACTAGAAAAACAAGGAATGGGGCGAAGACGGGGGGAAAGGGGCAGGAAAGAGAAAAAGCCACACGCCACGCGCACCCCTTCCTTTTCCTGTTGCATGAAGGGAGAGGAAGGAAAGTGTGTAACTTACCAAGTGTCGCTGAAGCAGCAAGAGACAGTAGAGGCGAGTGCAGAGGAAGGGCCAGCAGAGGGGGCGAAGAAGAAAAGAAAAAAAGATAACCAAGATGATTGGCGCTCTCGAAGTCACTTGCTGACAAGGGAAAAAGATCCTTTCATTAGCCGTCGCGTCACTCTCAGCATGGAGTTGAAACAGACAAGCAAGGACGCGACTTTTTGTTTAACGATCTCTCTGGTGTAGGTTCAAGAAAAAATGTTACATCCTCTCCTCAACCAAAACGTCCTGGCGCCCGGTGTTCCAAGTCTGACAAATCCTGGAAGACTGGGTTCCATCTCCGCCTTCACAGCTCGGGTTCGACTAGTATCCATTCGGCCATGTTAGTTCCTTGATGCCACTAATTTGCGTCATGGTTTTGAGGCAGTCCCCTGTGGCGCGTGCCACCAATTATCTTTTTTTCACACTCGGTTGGCTCTCACTTTTTTTTTGCTTCACTCTTTCTTTCTTTCCTTCACACACAACACACAAGCCCGCGCCTTTGTGCAATTAGTACACTCATTCAAGACCCCCAACAAGCAAGCACACACAAGCACATCTTACAGCAAACCCCCGTTCGACTATACACAACAGACAATCAATGGACTTTACATTCACAGTACCCTCGGGCATCCCACCCATTACCTTCGGATCCACTACCTCCACAACCACAACCACATCAGACACGACATCTCCCAAGCAACACACCTCCTCCACAACAACCGCAATAGACTCCCTTGACGAACACATCTCTCTGAAACGGATACACGGTGTTGGGGACACGAAGCAATGGCGTCGAAGGCTGATTCATCAGATCGAGGACCGGATCAAGGACCGGAGGGAGGCGATTCATAGTGCTCAGCGGAGGGGGTTTGTTGGTGCTGCTGGGTCGTCGGGTAGTAGGAGTGGGAGTGGGGTGAGTAGCAGGACCGCAGGTGGAGGCGATGGAGGCGAGTTTTTGGGAGTGGCGGTGCTAGGAAGTCAAGGAAGAGAGGCTGCGGGATTGTTTGGACAGGGACTGCCCGCTGCAGTTGGTTCTGGTGGGGCAGTGGTACCAGAAAGCGACACCTACATCAGCGAGGAGGAAGAACGAGTAAGTTACAGCGGACGAAGAGAAAACCAACGAGTTTATGTCATCGTCGCCATTCACTCGCTTCCTTAATTTCCGTCATGAATTATTTACACGTCTCTTTATCTTATCTTCGCGTACCGCGCGTTCATTAGAGGATAGTTGCAGAAGTATGGGAGGCGTTCAAAAATGAGAACTATGAGGCTCTAGCGCAGGCCTTCCAAGGCATGACCGACAAGGAACTTGAGGACATTGAACAGGACATTCTTCAACACAACTGTAAGCTTTTTTTTCTTTCTGGTTTATGTTAGAGACGGCGGACGCACAATCCTTACATCGCTCCACTTGACATCATATCGCCTCTAACAAACTACCTTCCTGATATTTGCAAATTTGCATTGAATAGACGCGACGGAGAGCGACCCAATGTACGAAGCAGTCATGGACATGGAAGAAACCAACATGGAGGAATACGTCCAGCAATACATGAACCAACCAACCGAACAAGAAGCGGCCGCCAACGAAGAGATGACGAAAGCGTTGTCAGTTGCGTGGACTTTGCTCTCCAGCACAGCCTGTATTCGTTGTCATCAAGGAGTTATCATCTTTGACCCTGTCCTGCCTGGGTCTCTTGCTGAGGGTGCGCGTGCTTTGTGTAACGGAGCACCAGGAAATGGAACTGGAGAAAGAAGGGAAGGGTGTGGATTTCGACTAGAGAGAGACGCTCTTCTCTACCTCGCCAATGCCGCCAACACTCACAGGTAACACGCAGTGAACTCTCGATCACAATAGGGCATACACGACATTGTTGAAATGCAAAATCACCTAATGACTCGCGTCGTCTCTTTGTTACAAATCATAATAGCAAAACATGCAATGGACAACTTCAAGTCGGTTATGACGAGGACATGGGACTCTTGTTAGCATGCCCGCACTGCGATTTCCTCGCTTAGACAAAACAGAACAAAACATACATCAAGAAGCGATAAACAAGCAACAAAAAAAAGACAGCCATGGTCTATTCCTTCGACGTGTATTGGGTGGTATGTATAAAGAAGGAAAGGTGAGCTGGAAGGACCGCAAGGCCCAAACGCATTGTAAGAGAATGAGAGGAGTGGTGGGGGATAATGGAGAGATAAATGTACAGATATTCCAGTGTTTTTCTACAACAAAAAGAAACGGGTAGCCAAGGGCGTGTAGTTGTTTAAGTTCCTCAAACTTGAACTTCGCTCTCAGTCAGGCTTAAGGTCTCGCGCTCAATGTGGTCCATGGCCTCAGCTGTCCTTCTGAAGAAGTGACTTTCGCCACCAGCACGCTCCAAGAGCCCTGATTTCACAAACAGCTCGCGCGAGTTCTCACGCAGCTTCACAAAGTAGACCTTGATATCACGGGCGTGGTAGGCATCAACAATCTCGAGCAGGATCTGTGCTGCACTGGCATCCAGCGTGGGCATATTCTCGACATCGAAAATAACGTGGTCCACGGGGTTGAGACGAGCCTCCTCTGAGGGGTGAACGCTCATGTCTCCAAAGACCTCAAGACGGTGGAGTCTATCCTTGAGCTGACCAGTATTGGCAAAGTAGAGTCCTTCCTCGACCTTGACAATAAGAACACCATCAATGTGCTCGGCAATGCCAGGGTAGTCTTTGATAGGGCGGACTACGAAGCAAATATAAAATGTAAAAGACGATTAGCATAAATTAATTAATAATCCAGATTAGTTGTCTCTTGTTATCAAGTAAAAAACTTACATTTGCCCTTGGCGCCAGGCATACGTCCCATGATGGTGATGCGGGGGTAAGTCGAGGTCTTGATGACAAGCAAGAATGACAAGGCAATGGCGATCAGAGTTCCAGCCTCAACAGAGACGGTGATGGTAGCAAAGAACGTGAGGAGCAAAAGTCCCAAGTCGAACCAGGCTTGGATCTGCCACATGAACTTGACGTCGTGAGGGGTCTCTGAGAGCAGCGACAAGGCCGCAACGCAAATGATGCCAGCCAAAACAGCCTTGGGGAGATAATAGAAATAAGGCAACAAGAAAAAGATGGACAAGAGGACAATGAGAGCGGTGATGAACCCAGCAAGCTGGGTACGAGCGCCGGCCTTGTCGTTAATCTTACTGCGGGAAAGAGAACCAAAGGCGGGGATGGCCTGGAAGAGACCTCCGAAGATGTTGGCGACACCCATGGCGACCAACTCGCGGTTGGGACTGACAGAGTAGTTGTGCTTGGTGGCGTACTGCTTGGTGATGACAATCGACTCGACGAAACCAATGATCGAGATCAGGACAGCGGTACCAAACAGACTGCGGACAGGGACGCCCTCAGGTGCAGAAGGGATGGAGGGGAGCTGGATACCACCAGCATCAGCGGGGGCTAGGATAGCAAGGCCATCTTTGTCCCAGCGGAAGAGACCAGTGAGAACGGTGTAGAGGATAACACAGAGCAGAATTTCTGGAATAAAGGCCAAGAAAGGGACTTTTGTGAGTCGCTTCTTGAGCGAGCCGAACGAGAGCAAGAAGGCAATGCTCGAGAAGGAGACGATCGTGGTCAAGGTGTGAATGCGGCCAAAGTTCTCAGCAATGAACGCGACCTTTTCGACGGTAGAGGACTGTTCGCCAATGCCAAATTCCTCGGCGATTTCCTTGAGTCCAAAGAGGGTGATCGACTGCTCAATGATAACCACGACAGCGACGGCGGTGATGAATCCGCGCAACAATGCTCTAGAGAGAACAGAGTCCAGGAATCCAAGACGAACAAAGCCCAGGAAGAAAGTGAAGAAGCCGACAAAGAGGGTGATGATGCATCCGATAGCGACTGCAGTCTTGGGATCCGTGCTGCCGATGGCATGTTGATGCTGGGCAATAGCAGAACCAACCAGCATAGAGACAAGGGCTTCGGGACCGACAGAGAGCTGACGCGAGGTTCCAAAGATGGAGTAGATGACACCGGGGATAAAGGCAGAGTAGAGACCGTGGATGGGGTCGAGGTGGGCGAGGGCGGTGGCATAGGACAGAGACTGGGGGATGATGAGACAGGCGACGGTGAGGCCGGCGATGAAGTCGTGTCCGAAGCCGTCCATGGAGTAGTGGGGTAGCCAGCGGAAGACGGGGACGTAGTATCTCAGTCGTGTCCTGAAGGTGGTCCAGAGGTCTGCGCCTGGACCTACTTTGGGGTCTGTGTGGTCCAAGAAAAGGAAAACATGGGTCAGTGGCACTCTCTTTGTCGCCACTTCGGAAAAAAAAAAAAGCAGAGCAATGGTGGGGAAGCAAGCAAGTAAGCTCTTTGGGTAAGAAAAGTCACTTACATAACTCGTCATCCTCCTCTGGTTGCTGGTAGAGATGGACTCTGTTGTGCTTGGCAAAGGGAGTACTTTCCGAATTGTCATCGCTGTCAGAACTGTCGTCGTTGACAGGGGAGTAGCTGTCTATTACATTGTAGTTGAAGAGATAAGCGAGCACAAAACAACGTGGGGGGGGGGTTTTCGGAAAAAGCAATTGTTAGCTAGTTGTAAGGTCATGACGCAAGAGCAAGTCTATGTCTTCCTCCGCTAGCCCCCTGTCCCTGTTACCGTCCCTTGTCCTTTGTCCCTTTGTCCGTGACCCTTTTTTTTATTGCTGTTGTGGTTGTTGCCGTTATTACGTCGTCAGTCTATTGTTCACTTGAACTTGCAAACTTGCAATGCGCAACCTCAGCTCAACGGTGGTATTGTTGTGTGAGAGAGAGGAGTTGACTTACGAGGGCTGCTTCCGGAAGGCTGACCCTGGTAGGAGCGAGCCATTGTTGTAATGTGTCCTGTGGGGGTGAAGAGGGGAGTGGCGGGACGAGAGAATAAAAAAAGAGAAAGGAATCCGAGGTGAGAATGGAAGAATGGAGTGAGGAAAGTGGGGAGGGAGTGGTGCTGGTGGGGGGAGAAGAGAAGAAGAAAAGAGGAAAAGGCAGAGAGGGAAAGACAGAGAGGGAAAGGCAGAGAAGGAAAGAAAGAGAAGAAAAGACAGAGAAAGGGCAAAGGTGGGAAGAAAGGTAAAAGGGAGTAGAAGTGACGGAAATGCAAAGGGAAGGGCAAGGCCAAGAAAAAAAAAGAAAGATTTCTGTCTAATATGCGTGTGAGAATTGTATTTTGCGCTGCTTGAAATAAAAAATAAAAAAAGGGAAGGAAGGGCGAAACTGTACCCTGACCAAGGTATTTATCCAACTCATCAACATTGGGCACACAAACACACATACTCGCCGCGGGAAGAACCATTGCAACTGCCCAACAGAACTGTAATATTTTCTCATGCCAAAGTAAACAAAGAGGCAGACAAGCAAAAACAAGCAACGGGCACCAAGCAGAAGCCAACAGCAACAACAACAGAAACGGGAACAAATCGGTGGGCAATAACAACAAATAAGAAAAACTACAATGAGGCAACCACACGGAACGGTACTCATTCTTGTTCCTCTCCTTCACTTCTCTTTTCTTTTCTTTTCTTCTATTCATGTCTTCCAAGGGGAGTAAAAAACAACAAAAACACCATTTTCAACCATCCATGCAGCCAAGTTTGTCTCTCTTGTCTAGAAAGAAAAAAAGAAGCAAATAAATCTCCGTCTGCTCTTCAATTCCTCCTCCTTTCCGATGCATCTTCTTTTTTCTTTTTTTTTTTTCTTCTCCTCAATGCTCTAATGCGTCATAGATACAAATCAGCGTGAGGTGTCTGACCTCCACAGCTCACAGGCAGCAGTAATCGGGCCAGATATGTTTGACTCGACGATCGGTAACCCCTTCCCCTCCTCTCTTTTTCAATTTTGATCCCCCTGTTCGCCTCTTTGAACGCAGCGTTGTTTCCTCAGTCCAGTTAGGCTTCATGGTATCCATGAGAAAAAAGGATAGTAGTAGTATTAGTAGTAGTAGTAGTATTAGTAGTAGTAGTAGTATTATAGTAGTAGTAGTAGAAGGTAAGGGGTCGGTCCTAATCTCGAAAGAAGAAAGAGTAGCATGAAGGACCAAGGTTTCGTCTCGCTCAGCAATCAAACCTTCGTGTCCGTTTGCCTTCTTCTATTGGCATTTTTTTAGCCTCTTTGGTTTCCGGTAGACCAACCAACAGCCACTTTGTTCCCCCTTTCTTTCGTTTCTTCTCTTGTTGTAACGAAAGAACACAAAAAAAAAAAAAAAAAAATGAGAGCTAACACAAACACGCGACAAACACCTACCCTGGCATCAATTTTGATGTTATCTTTCTCTCTGGGGAAAGTGGGACAGGGATCCATCCATCTATGAAACACTTTTTTGTGAAATGAAATATAACATGGGTGTGGATGACGATCCTAGTCTTTCCTTTCTGTTTTCATTCCTTGAATGACACGCCCAATCTCGATCCTACGCTACTCACAAATAAACAAAACAAAAAGGCGAAATATCCAAACAGGTGTTTGACCATGGCTCTTCAACGTTCTCCCTTTATTATTACCCAAACAGCAGAAAGGGGATCAAGAGGATCGAGAAAAGTGCTCCCTCCAGGAATCCAACAGCGCAGGCAGGTCCGCAAGTGCTTTCAGCTGATAATCAACATGTCTGTTCTGCTCCAAGGACAAGTCCAACTCCTCATCGGAAGATGTAATCAACACCGTCCTTGCTCCATGTATATGCGCATACTTCAATGCCTTCACGCTATCATCCACCACCACCACCTCAACCTCTTCTTCCTTCTCGTTATCGTCGTCATTCTTGACATCATACTTCCCTTTGATACCTCCCTGCTGACCACCATCTGCAATTGCAACATCCTCCTTCCTAGAAACGACACACCGCACGCCATTAGCCTCAAACACGCGTCGATAATACTCGTCCGAATTCTTCAAACAGTCCACCCTATCCGCCCCAAACACCCCATCAAACTCCTCAAACACTCCCAATCCTCTCAGAATCGTCTCCAGATCCTCAAAACTATCCGCAGAACTCGTATACAACGTCAACCCCTCGGGCATGGCCTTGATCGAGCGAATCGCGGAAAGGGCGCCTGGGAAATCGGCACGGACTCGTTGGATCGCATAGACGTGAGCAGATTTCGCGATTCGGAAGAGGTCGTCGTCTGTCAGGGAAGGGAGGGTCTTGAAGACGAGAGGGTGGTTGACTGGGAGGTGGCGGGAGGCGATCTGGCACATCTCTTTTATCCAGATCAGCAAGTGCAGTCTCTCAAAGATCCTGTACACATTCGTCTCCTCCCTCTCCTTCTCTCCCACCTCGCCGCCGCTACCATCAACCACCGTTGTCATCGCCTTTTCTCTATCCCGAGCCTGTGCAGCAAGCAGAGTAGCCTGGTCCATAAACTCATGCCACCGACGAAAGAACGGCCCAATCATTTCCACATTCGCCATCCCCCAGACCTGTGCATTCCCACCAAGGGCCGTCGTGGGGAGATATTCTCCCAAGTATCGGACCCATTGAGGGGCACGTTTGGCGTTGTCGTTGATCACCCCGCCCGAGTCGAGGAAGATTGCCGTCGGCATCTTTGTCGGGTACTTTTTGAGAGTGTTGTTGTTGGATCGGACCATCATTGTTTTCTGTTCCTGAGTTTTGGTGGTGGGAAGGTTTGGAGTCGGGCTGGATGATGATGATAGATGTTGGGAGGATGAGGGAGGAGGGAAGGAAGGAAAAGTGGAGATAAAAAGAAAGCACAAACGCAAATGCATGTGAAGTAAACTTTTATACCCGTTCCATACAGCATATTCCGGCGTAGGGTGGTGGTTGATACGCCACAACCAAACGAAAGGGAGACAGGGCTTCGAAAAAGAAAAACGAGAGCCTTCAGGTGATAAAGAAAACGCTGCGGAGATACGCAGTGGATGTGTACAAGACTACAAGGTCAATAGGTGTTTATTAGCATCGTCCATAATACATGGCAATTTGAGTGTCCGTAGCAAAGAGAAGGCCAAAATGGGTCTATTATTGTGCCCGGAGCTTGTTTGAAGAGGGCCCGTCGGACACCAAGAACCCGACCTGGCACTCCTTCAACATATACTCGTAGTTGACCCATTTGTGTGTCAAATCTAGAGAGAAAATAAAGTAGTGACCACAAAAGATAAAGCGTTAGGCCGTGTCTCCTACATATCCGTGAAAATGAGTAATTGGAGCAAGGGCTGAAGGAAGTAAATGAGTAGGAGCTTACTGAAGAGCCGTGTGCCGTCACGACCAGCACAGCGCATGATCTCTTTCTCTCCTCCAGGATGGAAGGGCAGGTATGCCGTCATGTTGTAGACTTTGCCGTTGAGTACTGTCCATGCATCGTCATAGCTCTTGTGTTCTTTGACATCTTCCAATGTGTAACGGCCAAATGAATCCACACCCTAAATAACAGTGGAATATCAACAATTGGGTCAGCACAATGAACTATATAGGCACAACACCACATTCCTCATTCGGACAAAATGTGATGATAGTAACGTACGCGAAGGTCTTTTCCAGAGGTGGTGAGACGAGCCCAGTCGAGAGGAGAATGTCCAGGTGCCAGGGCAAACTTGATCCTCCTCTTTGACTTTGGATCCGTCGAGCAGGCAGCCAGGCGCTGGGGTCCACCTACTGCTGGGAAACTAGGCGTCACCTCATCTAAAGAATTTAGAACAAAGCATATAGCAAAAAATAAGGATCATTCGCACAGGCACACACAGGGACATACACCACAGCAAGTTTCTGTTGCTGCTGCGCTGCGCATGGGCCAAGGGCAAAGCTGATGTGCAATAAAAAGAATTGGGAGGCACAGACACTCGAGTAATTGCCTCAAGGTAATTGATGAGGAAAAGTAACGTACTGTCCGGATCATCAGCAGTGGAGAGGGTCATGAAAGGCGTATCTATTGCTGTTGAGGTGGCAAGATACGGCGTCGCAATCTTAACCTCGGACGAATCATTCTCGGAGTCCGAGTCCGAGTCGTCGCTGCTACCGTCAGAAGAGGTTGTTCGGATGACAGGTGGTTGGAGCGAGTTCAACGAGATTGTTGGGATGGAGAGGGAGCTGTTTTTAGATGCAGGCTGGACCATTATCCTGTTCTGGCCACTGTTGACATTGTTTGCATATGGGTGAGAGGCTGTTGTAGTTGCTGGTGCAAGGGTATCTTTTTGGGGGACGGTGATGGTGCTGTTTTGAGTTGTGTTTCCTGTGGAGGCTTCTTCGGTTGATTCAGCATTAGTTGTGGTATGAGGACGGACGTAATCCCTGATGGCCGAGAATAGGTATGACATTGAGTTGAAAGCGTTGAGTAAGTGAAGGAGTGGAGAGGAATGGAGTGAAGTTTGGTTGGCGAGTAGGGTTGATGACAAAAAAAGAACATGTCAAAAATGCGATTCCAAAGTCAAAGTTTTTTCGTTGGGCTAAATCCGCTTAAGGGTGAGAATGTCACTCAGGCACTACACGAACACTGGATGCTCAGTCAGCCAGCCAGGCTACGAATGCTCATCTCCACGCCCATCTACTCCGCAAATAAAATATCATATAAACGGAGGTTTGTTGATGTTGCTCTCATGGACAATTGTTTCTGGTTTTTAATGACGATGACTGTACTTCACGTTTCCAAACTGATAATACAATCCGCAGAGTGCCAGACTTATCACAGCCGGCAGCAGGTTCAGCTGGACAATGCAGTAGACAAGGATCGTGATCACTCCCGGTGAACGCAGCATGATACCCATCGCAGGCGACCGGAACATCGTGTGCAAAAAGTAGCATCCGCAAATAGTCGAAATCACAAACATCGCCGCCTGTGTAAACTTGCTGTTCTTGGACTTGTTGCTGAAGTACACCATAATCAGAATAGCTACGCAAGACAGACACGGGCACAGAAAAAGATAATTAATATACACTCCCCATTTTGATTTGTGCACACGGCAGTAACAACAAAATGGGGAACAGGCATGTGTAACAAATGAAATACAAAAGGTTACCTGGGAAGATCTTGATGACCTTGTGGAATATATCGCTTCCTCCGTATGCCTCTCCGAACTGGCGATGGACAAGAACATCCATGACGACAAAGAGGCACGTCGTAGGGATTGAAAAGAAGATGCCCTCGAAGATGTAGTCTCGATCCGCCGCTTCCTGAGCCTGCTTCTGGCGGCGTTTGCGCTTGTCATTGGCATTGACTTGATCGATGATTCCAGACTCTGTGATGATCTTCCACTTTTCAGGTTCTATGGAATTGATCAATGAAATGTTATGCCGGTCAGTCGGGGAGACTTGAGAGTTCACTTTCCTAGCATAGGGTTTTCCCTTGCGGGAAAGGACTTCCTATTCAAGAGATGAGGAGTTGTACCTGGGATATCATCGATGTCAGAGTCAGAGACATCCGAATCAGAGTCAGAGTCGTCCTCTTCATCGTCTTCGTCCTCATCAAACTCCTCGTCCTCCTCCTCTTCGTCGTCGATAATTTCTTGTATCTTTGCAGTCTGTTGAGTGGATGCATGTTGCTTTCGTCGTGTGGTCGATTGAGAAGAGTCTCTGGTGGCGGATGAGACTCCGATGTTGCTCTTTGTTTGAGGTGCGTTCTGTCCTGCCATGTTGCTATTGCTGTTGTTGTTGTTGTTGTTGTTGTTGTTGTTGTTGTTGTTGTTGTTTTTGTTGATGGCGAGATTGTGAGATGGAATGTGGATGACAACAAAATAGAAAAGAAAGAAAAAGAAAAGGAGAAACAAAAGAGCGAACACCCACCACAACCATCGACCTTGGATGGCTCGCCCGACAGTCACGCAACCAAATTTTGCCATGGTTGCAAGGAGCTTGAGGAGGAGAGAGAGCAAGCATCTTTTGATCAATTTACTCTCTTGATCAGTCAGGGACACGATATAGTATTGATAAGTTCTCCACCATCCACTGATCACAGTAATGTCCAGCGGGACGCGCTGATCAAATGGATGAAGGCGCGTAATATCATCGTGCGGTTCACCGTGCTGAATGGAGCATCGCCACCAGTCGCGTGCGAAAAAGGTCTCGAACGCGATCTTTCTTTTCTTCAATCTCTTTTTGCTTGAACTCTCAAGACGCTTAAAGGAATCCATCATCTGCCATGAACATCCTTCACAGCCTAATGACATGTTTCCCTTTTGCTTTCACTCTGCTACAGCCAACTAATTTCCGCGCCTCCATATCCTACGTGCTCTGCAGTCAAGAAACAAAACACGAGATCCACGAATAACGAAAGCGGTGCGCCTCTGACAAGACGACAGCCCTGATCAAGCGCGAATAGCGTTAATGCATTCTAATGCAATCAATGCCATTGACAGAAAGGAAAGGGAGTCTTCAACTGTGCCTCCACTTCATCCCCCTCCTCTTCTGTCTTCTGCTTTTTTCGACAGACCCCTTTCCTTTTTGTTCACGGGATGGGCTGTTGTGTCGTTTTGGATACTGGTCGACCATAAATTAGCACCGCCTGAGCACTAGAGCATAAAAAAAATACATAAAAAGGTCGATGGGTCGCACAGGAAACCCTCCACACTCAAGAACCCCTCTTTACACTTCACATACTCACATACCCAATAACCCCCACTCTCACCCTCATTCAAGAACATTAACATACACCAATGATGTCAGTCAAGGAACAGGCTAACGCCCTCAACAACTCTGCCACCAGACCTAATGCCAAGGAGAACGCCACTCATCTCCTCGTAACGTTTACCTCCTTTGACGAAAAAACGCGACCCTCATCTTTTCGTTTCCTCGAACCCATGAACTTTTTCTCGTTGGCATGCGGATGGCGGCTTGGGCGCTTTTACCAGTACTAAACACCCCTCCTCGCGTCTTCCTTGTCTATTTGGTATCTAACAGAAGGATGTCAAGAACGCTGTTGAGACAATCGAGGTCCAGGATCGCAAGGCCCTGTATCTGTTGGAGTGCGAGGACTGCGAGTACATCATCCAGGGCAAACCCATCAAGATCTCCATCGGTATACCCTCTTCCCTCTCGCACTTCATTTGAGAATATGCACCCTGCTTGTCGACGCACAAGATAAAACGCCGGTTTTGCTGACACATAATGTTCAATTCCTTTATTCGACCAACAGAGAGCTGCAAGAACTTGACTATCAAGGTCGAGGGTAAGGTGTTAACTGGCACCGTCGATATCTGGAAGAGCGAGAAAATCAACCTTGACGTAAGTCTCTTGTTGTCTTATTAGAGCATGCACAATTGGCGGACCTTTGTTGAAAATAGTCAACTTACAATTAATCCTCCTTCTTCCAGTTTGTTAGATCGGTGTCTGCCTTCCAGTTGGACAGCATCCAGACCATTACAATCAAGATGCCCGAGGCTGAGTACTTTGGATCCATGATCTGGGCCGGCGTCGACGACATCACATTGAACCTCGGTATGCCCCTCCTCTCGTTCGGACTATACACAGTCAGGTGTCTTTTTTTTTTTTTTTTTTTTTTTTTGGGGAGTGGTGCTAGTCTCTCTAACATTCCGTCCACTCTGTCATTTGGCTCTATTTTCAAAGGTGATGAGACCCATAGCTTGAGCTACAGTCAGTTGCAGGCTAGAAACCCCGCATTGCGCCCCGATACTGACCAGTTCAAGACTACGATTGTCGACGGCAGCATCAAGACCGAAGGTACTTTCCCTCTCTTTTCTAATGAACAAGCAGAGTATGAAGAATACAATTACAATTGAGGGGCTAACACGATTGTTCTTCATGTACATTTTCGTGTGTGTGTAGCAATTGTGCGTATGGACAATGGATACCCTATGACACGCGCGGAAGAGTCGAGCCTGCAGGCCAGCGAGAAGAAGAAGGAGGAGATGCTGCGCGGAGCACCTAAGGCTGACGATGAGTAATTGAAATTGGCAGCCCTTGTTGAAGAGGCAAGACATAAACTTATTATTAAACTTGGGTGTTTCTGCGGCGCACCCTTGTTTTGCTTGAAAAATAAAGAACAAAAGGAATAAAGAGCGTCAATGGACGTCGTTTTGTTGTAGTTGACTACGGCAGTCTATGACCCATCATGCATCTTTTTTTATTATTTCGTTTGCTCTTATTCACTTTCCTTCGATTCCCTTGATGGCAAAGCCACTCTTTTTTTTTTTTTTTTGGAAAGCTTAAAGGCTTTCTCTTCCCTCTCGCTTTCTGTTCACCACAACCCTACATACACATCCACTCTTATATTCCTATGACTATCATTCCACAACATCAAGTACAACCATCACCATTCACACACACCCGCACAACAGCACTACAATAACGTCCTTTGCCCGTCTTTTCCCTTTTCTTTGCACAAGTGACAATAGCACAACAGCTTCCTGCCTTTCTCTTTTCTCCTTTACCTTTCTCTTCTATTTCTCTCTCATTTACATCATCCGACTTTTTCCTTTTTTTGTTGCTCGACCCACTTACTCCCTCACAGACACACACACAGCTCTGCCCATCAGAACAACCAACGACACGCAACAACAATACAAACACACTCACATCATTACTCACAAATGGAACCACAAGAAAAACTCGAGGTAAGTCAGTCACCCCTCCTCCTCACGAGCTAAAAAAATGAACCCGCTATGTCTTCGCCCTTTTTTGATATCAAAAACGACTTGTAACCCTACCCGGCAAACATTCACAAACCCGCTGACCCTAGTCTTTCCTTCCGTATTCGTCCACTTCTTGTAACCCTGCTCTTAGGCAATGTTTTGCCCACATCTGGACTCGGCGCTGGTCGCTTCGATCTACCATGACATGAAGGATTTTAAGGCTTGCATATCCATCCTCTCGGCCCTCGCTGCTGATACCCCCGGAGGAGGAGCAGGGCCCAACATGAATATTACCGTCACAACTACTACATCAAAGACATCAGCACAGCAGACCAATGGCAGGAATCCAGCGTCAGCAGCCATTACCAAGAACAAGAAATCAAACCTAGCTCCTTCGACCGACAAGAATATCCTGATCTGGAGCGAGGAGGTCGCCAATTCGAATACCTCCTCAGCAGCAGCAGCAACGTCATCACCAGCACGCAGTGGTCTGCTCAAGTCCAACAAGCAAGGCCAGGTCACCAACAGCTCCTCATTCCAACAGCCGACGACCTTGGTCAACTCCCCTGCGATTCCCGTTACTCGGGACCAACCCGTCAAGGCCAGTTACAAGGCTGCTCGAAACCCTCGTTACATGCAGAGGCACGCCGTTGTTGACCTGCCCGTCGAAACGTTGGACGATGCTGAAGAGGATCATGACCAGGAGCTCCCTGAAGAATACAACGTGAACGATGACGAACAGAGTGCAGTTGTGGGCGACCAGGAGGCACTCGCGGAGGTTGAGACCGCCTCAACCGACGGTGCAGGACCAAAGAAGAAGAAGAACCGACGACAGAAGCGCCATGAAAAGGTAGGAAAAGGAGAGCCTCTGCCACCCTCCTTTGGAGTTACTCAGCGCGGGACGTGGAGGAAGGATGCCAATGCCGGACTATTGGGCACAGGGGCAGGCGACGACGACAGCAACAGCAGCAGCCAAAAGAGCGGCGACAGCAACGAAGCGGAAGATGACGAGGACGAGGACGAGGAAGGAGATTCGACTGTGGCGCCTGGGAATGCTACCCGTCGCAGTGTCAACGGGATCAAGACAGAGGAGCTGGAGTTTTTGAAGAGCTGTTTCCCGAACCGAGAATATTCGGACGAGTATCTGGCGCAGGTTCTGAAAGATTGCCGTCGGGATCTGGAGGCCGCTGTGGAGACGATTCTCAGCCAGATGTTCCTGGAGAACGAGCAGATCGAGACGTCGTCTTCAGGATCGGGGTCATTCAACTCATCACTGACGAACTCGTCAACCACCACCACCTCTTTGGACGACGCATTCTTTGAGGGTGCACAGAATGGAAAGGCGTCGAGGAGGAGGTGGAAGACGACAGGCTCTGCAGGATTGGGATCGAGAGAATCGGACGGAGTTGTAGCGTGGGGTGCTGCGCGTCACCAGCCGGTCTGGGATGGACAGAACGACCCTTTGCTCAAGACCGTAGACCGCCAGGAAGATTTCTTGATTCCGGAGAGCAACGAGTGGGTCACGTTTGATCATCAGATTTCGATCCTCATGAACCTTTTCCATACTGTCCCCAAGAAGACTATCGTCTCGGATTATCATGCCAATGGAGCCCATCTGTTCAAGACTGTGGAATGCATCGAGGCCCGACTCAAGCAGGAGAGCCGCATTGGATCTTCAGCAGCACAAGGACGGGAACGCCAAACTCAATTCGATATCAGCCTGGCTCAGCTGATGGAGATGTTCCCGGAGCACAGTGCGGTTGGACTGAAGAAGATGTTGGTCTACAACAGTGGCAACGTTCAGGATGCGATGAATGCTGTCCTTGCAGCAGATTTCGCGCGCGCGGATATGAACGATCGGCCCACCACCAATGGCAGCGCGTCGAAACGTGCAAACCTCATTCCGTTTCAGGCAGACATTCGATATGCGGGCAAGAATGAGGCCCCCCAGCCCACAAGCAGCGGCAACCGACTCAAGAGTCTCCCCTCGACTAGCAACCCCTTTCCAGGAGGACCCCGACCTTTCCCCAACACTATTGTCGACAATGCGAATGCGGATCTGTATAACGATGACGATGACCCCGTTTGGTGTCGTCAACGAGCGCATGAGATCTTGGATCAAAGGAACGAGCTGTTTAGAAAGGCTGCCAAGGCTTATCAGGCGACCAAGGGCAAGGGCGCCGGGATGGGTGGTATCGCGGCCTACTATGCCGACGAGGGCAAGAAGCTGGATGTCCAAGGAAAGCAATGGCACATGCGTGCCGCTCGCGCCGTCGTTCAGCAGCATCGGTTAGTTATTCTCTTCATTTCTTTCTTCTGACTTTTCTTTACTACTTCCAGTCGCGTTATTTTTTAACCTTTACTTCGTGATGTTATTATTTTGTTTTTTTTTCTGATAATAGATTGGACAACAATGATCCAAACTTGGTGGACCTGCACGGATTAACGGTGAGCGAGGCGCAGACGGTGGTGCGCGAGGCGGTAACACAGTGGTTCTCGCGGGCAACAATGCAAGCTTCACGAATCGCTGCCAAGCCGCTCAAGATTATTTGCGGTGTCGGATCACATTCCAAGGACAGGATCGCGCGTCTCTACCCGACCATCTTGAGTCTTTTACAGAAGGACGGGTGGAGATGCGAGGCAGAGGGAGGAGTCATTCTCGTCAAGGGCGTTTCTAGGATCATGCCCTCTAAGAAGTGAAAAAGAGCTTTTCAATGTTTGATTGGCGCCAGTGTGTACAATAGTCAGATGCCAGATACCCATCACTCCGTCCTCTTCGCCCTCTCCCCGTTTCTTTTCCCTTCCGTGTATTTTGTCTCTGGGTTGTGTATACCTTTTTTTCTTGGGGGGTGTTTGATATCAGCTTTCTCACCGTGTACAATGCCATTACTACTCTCTCCATATCTGATTGTGCTGAAATTCATGATTTTTTTTTTTGGAATGTTTTGTCAACTTGGCTCGACTATGAACTGACGAATGAATTAAAACTAAAATGAAACATGGAGAACGCAAAAGAGAAGCGCAACAAAAGGAATGGCTAGATCCTTTAGTGCTCTCCTAGCAAGAAAAGGTGATCAGACAGAATTTCCCCCCTTGGACAATCAAGAAATAATGATCGCAAAAAAAAAAAAGCCAGTATCCAGAATCACTCGCAGACATCGATGATGTGAAAAAAAAGATGTTGTATTGTTTTGTGTTTGTGTGTGTTTTTTGTTTGTTTTCCCCTCCCCGATTCATAGTTGCTTGATACTCCTGAGCCAAATAGGTTCTCTGCTGTACAAGAACAAAAAGAAGAGGTTTCCTCTTTTCATTCCCTCCCGTCTGGCTAGTGCTTAGGGTCCCATCTTCTTCTGGCCCTTCTGAGTCTTTGACAAAAGTGCCTTATGAATATGCTATTTGTCCGATAAAAATAATGATGCGATCTTGGTTAGTACCACAACAAATGAAACCACGCTCCGGACAAAAAACAACGACTTGGCTTGAAGAAAGATACGTACGGGAAGAACACCACCACCTGCGATGGTTGCGCGAATCAATGAGTCCAGCTCCTCATCTCCACGAATAGCCAGCTGCAAATGACGAGGGGTGATACGCTTGACCTTCAAATCCTTGGTTGCATTTCCTGCCAACTCCAACACTTCGGCTGTCAAATATTCCAGAATCGCTGCAGAGTAGACCGCAGCCTTGGCGCCAACACGGACATGGTTCTGGGTACGATCTTTCAAGTAACGGTGAATACGGCCAACGGGGAACTAATGTCGGTTATTATGTTAAAAAAGGATGGTGCGTATGTGAGCACGAGGGAAATGTGTCTTGTTTTTCAACCTTGCATTATGCAAGGTATCAAGAAGTGCCAGTAACAATGATAGTACTGCTGCTAGAGCTGACATATCGTTACCTGAAGACCGGCACGGGCAGAACGAGAGAGTGCTGGCACCTTTTCACGGCGCTTCTCTGTGATTTTGGTCTGGCCAGAAGCAGAAGCTTCGGTTCCAAGATGTGCATCAGCCTATAAGGATCGATGCGAAAAGCAACCAAGTGAGTTAGAAAAGACGCGTTTATATGACCAAAATGAGAACACTTCTCGAACGCTCCACGAAAAAAGGGGAGGGGTAAGTTTGAGGGAAAGGGTTGAGAAGAAAAAGACCAGAACTGAGACTAGGACAATAAATATGTTGCCGCGTTCCTGACATCCTTTTTTTTTAGCTCCTGAAAAAACATAAACACAAAGGGTCGAGCGTAATATGGCTCTTGACGCGTCGAGTGCTTGTTTTGTTTGTTTGTTTATGTTACTGATGGTGATTGTTGGTTGGTGTCGTTCCTCTGATGTACATTCCATCGATTGTGGTTGATTTCTGTTTGCCGCTACTGCTGTTGTTGTTGTCAGACTATGACGCGATTGGAACGTAGGCTGCTTTGTGAGAGTGCTTGGCCCTATCTTTCTTGTCGATAAAAAGTGCGCCTTTACTGATTGTCGTAGATAATGAAACTGTCGCGCCTTTATGCCGGCCTTGTTCTGTCGGGCTATCAGTCCGTCCGTCTGTCTGTTGATGGAAAGAGTGTCGTGTCTCGTGTGTTTTTGCCATGGCCATATGATCAACCCTGGATCCTGTACCCTCCTTCTCCTTCAACGGACATCTGCCCCTCCTCCTTGTCTGTTTGCCGCAGCTCAAATATCAAATATGAAATGAAATAAAAATAGTGTCGACGAGACAAAAAAAAATCGTTTTTGTTGGCTCTGTGAAAAAAGAAAGCTGAAAGTGTTGATGGTTGTTGTCGCTGTTGCTGATGTTGGGAAGAGGGGGACGGATGGTATGTGCTGGAATTTGGTACCACTGTTGTCGCCGTCTTGGAGGTGCGAAGTGAGTCATATGGTCGAGTGTTCTCGAGTCGTGTTGTCTCCTGGTTCGCTGAGCAGACCTTCCTCCTCTCACTCTCCCTCGCTGTGAACTTTTGTTTCACAAGAAAAAAAGTTGGCGGGGGAACGAGGGGAAAGAAAAGAACAGTCGAAGGGAGAGCGAAGGGTCATGGGTGTCCTGGTGGAAGAATGAAGGATGTTGATGTTTCTGTTTACACACGCGACTGTGCCTCGTTTTTTTTTGCCGCGTTCCTTACCATTGTGTAATAAAGGAGAGAGGAAAAGAGAGGGAGAGGGAGAGGGAGAGAGGGAAAGGGGAGGTCGAGGTTGATGGGGTCGAAGGAGAAAAAGTAGAGAACAAACAAAAATCAAATAATAAAAAAAAAATCTAAATGCTCACCGAGGGACGGAATCGAAACGCAGCTTATGCTCTCCTATACTCATACCGTGATTCATCCTTGTCACGTGCATATTGCATCAGGGTAGTTACATGTTGGATATTCTTTTTATTGACAACTACGAACACTTCAGAAGAAGATGGTTTCCTTGCAGTGGAAGCGGGGGATCTTGCGGTACTGAGGCTCCTTGGCGACTCTCCAGAGATAGACATCCAAATCACACGACGACATGCCCTTCTCCCCAAACTCAACCTTACCAATCTTATCCTCACCCTTCAGATTGGCCTTCTCCACAATCTCGCGACAACCATCTACTGCAGCCGCACGGAGACGGTACGACTCCTCGACCGTCGTCACTCCATCCTCCTGAACAGTATGCTTCAACGACTCGGGTAATACCAAGATCCCAAAGTGAACCATCATCGTAGGAATCACATTATCGGCAAAGATGGGGCTCTTCTCCAATCCCTTGAACGCAAAGATCGGCTCCGTGGCTCCAAAGCGACGCTCAAGGCTCGAGGCCAACAAGAACGCCTTCTTGAAAATATAAACCTTCTCGCCATCAATCTCTGCACAATCCTGGAATGCTGGGAAGGTGTTGATCAAGATCTCTGCAAACTTCTCGCCCGATCCGTTGGCCCTCTTGGCGGCATCGATCACAAACGCGCCCAGGGTCTCAAACTTCTTCTCCTTCAAAACACGTCCAGTCTCGTTCAGGACTCCCTGAAGTTGTCCTGCAAGCTTGGATGCGATCGAGGGCTTGGACATGGTGACATGGGCCAACTCTGAGGGAACATCCTTCTGCATCGTAATTCCGAAATGTGATCCGACCTCCCATCCTGTCAGCCTTGAGAGCGCGTCGGCAGTGGTGGCCGAGGACGAAATGTGGAAGGACATGATGCCAAAGACTATGGTCTCAAAGGCGCCACGATCCGAATCCTCGTGAAGTTCCTTGCGGAATCCGTGTCCAGTGTTGAGGATATCGATCAAAGAGAGGATGTTGACTTCTTGCTCCAATGAGTCGAACTTGAGAGGGAAAGACATTCCATTGGCGACCGAGTGCTTGTCCCAGGATTCTTGCGTGAGTTTGTCGAGGAAGCCGACAATTGCGTTTTGGTCAATCTGTTTGATTCGAATAAAAAGCGAATGTAAAGTAAGGAAATGATGTGAGTACATTTTAAATGTAAACCGCGACAATAAAAGTAACCGATGAATGAGAATGTAGAAAAGAGGCATACCCTGATGTCGCTGCGCTCGCGGCACTGCTTGGTGCTGGTGTAGACGGACTCGTAGAGGTTGGAGGGGCAAGTAAAAGTCATTGTGAATGTTGATGCTATCCTGCTGGGAGTGTGGGAAAATAAGAATAAGAGATGGGGGTAAAAGTGGTGAAGAAGAGTATGTAGCCATGCCACGCACGCGCCCTTTTAATACCCAAGAACAACCGTCACTCTTTGTGCGCCGCAGGAAGCCATTTCAAATCCCGGACCTGCACAAGGGAAACCAGCTTGGTTATCTGTCCGATGAGAATTTTATTTGTTAAACTGCTTGCGCAAGTGTGAGTGTGCAAGGTTATCTACAGCGCCTGAGAATGCGCATCAATAGCCTCTTGGATCAGTCGCGCCTCCTCATGGGCGTGCTGCTCCCCTTTCATGCGCGCAATGTGCTCTTCAATCGACGAAACATCGGTAGTAGCCTCAGCGCCATTCAATCGGTCCTTGCGCTCCTCATCCTCCATCCTCCAGATATCCTGCAACGGAACCTCATCTCGAGTCTCGATCAACGGGATCTCTATATTAATATCATCCTCCGCTGCCGCCGATTCGGAAAGATAAAGGTCTTCTTTGTCCGTAGTGCCGCGACCTGCATGCATAGCCATCACCATGGCCGATCGCTGTGAGCGAGGAGAGGGAGACAAGGGACGAGGTGAAGGACCCCGGGAAAATGATGGAGAGGCGAGCGCAGAAAGTGTTGGTGACTTCCAACGATCTTGTTCGTTCGACATCGCCCCGATAGACATGGGTGACGCAGGAGGTAATCGATCCTTATCCATCTCGGGAACATCTAAATGCTCTCCGCTGTTATCCAATGTATCGATACGCAGACCTTGTTGTGCCTTGGTTTGAGAGAACTCGAATAGCCGATCTCGCATCCCCACAGCGTTCTCGGAGAGTTCCTGAAGAGGGGATCGGGAACGAGATGAGGCTCGAGAGGAATTAGCCGAGAGAGGCCCTTTCCTCGAAGAAGAGTGCAGTGTTGGCGGGGTGTGATATGTCGATGGGCACGCTTGCAGACTGGTATCGAACTCGTTCATCCTACCGTCGCACTTGTAGATTCCTGCCTGTCGGTGCGGATGTGGTCTGTAGCTGGTGAGTGAGGCTACTGTACCCGTTTTCTCCATAATTGCTGTTGCTGTTGTTGGACTGTCAGCAAAGCCATTGTCGAGTTCCAGAGTGTTCCAATGAAACAAATCCTCCCCAAACTCGGTCGTCATTATCATGGGGCTAGTTGGATAAACATCACCACCACTTGTCTTTTTTGGAAACAAGGGCACCCGAAAGGGCGAGCCACCTCCATTGTTGTTTGTCCTGTTGGTGCCCCCAAATTCACCCAGGAGTTGCGATCCCGATCGGCTCCTCCGATTGTACTTCACACCGATGTTGGGTTGATGGTAATGCTGCTGGTGCTGCTGGTCGATCTGGAGGAGTGCTGAAGGTGATTGGGGGTTGAGCATAGACCTGCTCCGACGTTGTTGATGTTGATGGTTGTGATGATGACGATGACGATGGTGGTGGTGGTTATCGAGACGACGATGAAGTCCCGTGGTTCCCTTGTCGGACCCAAGCTTGCCCAGCCTACTCTTGTTGGTGTAAGAACTTGGGGTTCCTTCGACGATGAACTCGACACCGTTGCTGTTGGTACTGTTGGCACTGCTGACGCTGCTACTGAAGCTGTCTTGGCTGTCGGACTGGTTGTATACCCGCTCAAAGTCAGGCATGCCCATGCGGAGAGGCAAGGAAGGTGGGGCAGGGACGATATGGGCGCTCTTGGATTCGCCCTCGTCGATAGAGAGGCGAGCTAGCCTGACTTCGAGAGCTGGTGGGAGAACTCTATCGACGGATCGCTTGTGGTGACGATTAATAGGGATAGCTGCTGTCTGGTGCGATGCCATTTTTTCTTGAGTCTGCGTCTGTGAATATGGATATGAATATGAATGTGTCAATGGATAGAGTATGATGGGTATGAGAAGGCAAAGGTAGAGATCAAGGGCGCTGGTATGGTATTTGTATGAGGTAAGCAGACACAGGAAGACGTGAGAGCGAGAAAAGCGTGGGAGAGTAGGAGAAGGTGGAAAAGAGTAAGGAAGGAAGCGAAGGAGGGAGACAGAGAGAGGGGTTAATCCAAAAGGTGAACAATATGAGGAGATCCAGACAGAACGGCTAGCGTCCTTGCTGAAAAAATTATTACTAACGAATTGTCTGGGTGAGTTTCACTTTGAATTATCGATTCATGCACCACAACCGCTTACTACTAAGCGACGCGCGCTAAAGAGCAAGGAGGGGCTGGACCTTCTGGGCTCGTGTTCAGCCAAGGGTAACATACCAAAGGATATAAGATACTGTTCGTGTTCGTGTTTTATTGCAAATGTATAGGGTACAGGTTGTTGGTATTAAAGATTACAAGGATACATAGTTATATGTGTAAATGTTTGGGTGTGGGTATTTCATGAAAAAGCCATTAAGTGTCGTTATTTAGTGGCGACGACTGAAGTAACCTCCAAAGCGAGAGGGCTTCTCGGTATAGACGGCGTTGCTGCGGGAAGGGCGGAAGTTACGGCGGCCCCACATACGGAACTGGACAGCCATACCAATGAGGGCCAGAACTATAAAGGTCACCAACAGAGCAATTTGCTCACCCGAGATAGACCCAACGCGACCGCCAACGTTGCTGCTCTTGGAGTTGATGAACGAATCAGTCTGCTGGATGAAACCCGTGTGGGCATAAAGATCGACACCGGCAACAAACGCATAGGCGCCCAAGATGGCCGAACCAATAATGACGGTCTCGTGTTCACGAACAAAGCCAAGGATGAAACCGAGGATGGCGAGAACTGCCAAGAAGATGCCGCGACCGACGCTCGAGGTGATCACACCACCAGACTTCCAGCCCAAGATCCAGAGACCCAAGGAGTACAGAGCCAGAGCACCGAGAATGGCGACACCGAGACGAGAGCAGCAGACGAGGAGGAGACCTCCAAGGATACCGACCACGATCGAGACGACGAGGAGAAGCGTTTCCGAGGTGACACCACCGTTGGCCATGCCGATGTAGGAGACGTTTCCGAAAAAGTAAAAACCGATCAAGAACATGCAGACACGGAAGAAGCGGTTACCAAAGAAGCAGAGGATGAGACCGGTAATGATCAGGATCGCACCGGCAATACCGGCTTGGACAGAGAGGTTATAAGGGCCTGCGCGGGCCTTGTCGAGGGCATCGCCGTCCTTGTCACCGCTGACAGGTGCTGCGTGGGCGGTGAAGAGGTTGATGACGGTTGAGAGGAACATGAGCATGTAGATGGGTGCACAACGCATCATGGACCTTGGGCGAGGCGAGACTGCAGCGATCGAGGACATTGCTTTTTTGTTGTTCTTTGGTGGTTGTCTTGGTGGAAGGTGGAGGCGAGAGAAGGTTGTTGTTGTTGTTGCTGCTGTTGAATGAATGTGAAGGTGAGAATGAAGAATGAAAAAAGCAGCCAGGGTCGGTTCCTTTTATACTTCCAGGGGGAACACAGATGTTAAGTTAAACTAGCGCGTGGGTGATAAAGATAATGACGATGGTGTACCAGGTTGAATAAAAAAAACTAATGATGTCACGTAAATATTCGGACGCATGCTCCACACGCTAAATAAACTTTAATCGACAGCTAGGAGGAAGTGATGGTAGAGTGAGGTCATGGTCATTAACAGCAACAGGGCCATTGTTCGCGAAGAACAAAATAAACATTACCGCCATGGCCTGGGCGTTAGAGTCAAGAGGAGAAAGGAACAAAGAAGTAGTCGAAAGGGAGTGGCTGTATTCTCCCAGTACCCCCAGGACACAACCACCACCGCCTTCCCTTTTGTCATGAGAAAACAGCATGCCTTCGGCTCATAAACAAAAACGATACCTTTTTTAGTTGCCGTTGCTTTTCTTACGCCTCATTTCAAACATGCATTTATGCTGACGAAAGTGTTATCCAACCATGACCCCCAGTAGAGCATAGCTATGAATGCCTGCGTCTACGAAGGCTTGTACTTTCTTTTTCGGTAGACCTTTCTTTACGGGAAAAAAATCCAGGCACGATCGCTCACTGATCGAAACATCTCCCTCTCTGGCCAACCAACTCATTCTAATCACCCCTGGATGTCTGCTCCCGCGTAAAAGTTGTATGAGGAAGGGCCTTGCTTACAGCCAACTTGGTGGTCGACACGTTCTTGTTCTGTTCCTCAGGCCTGGACTCATTATTCACACACTACTTCCCCTCGATGAGACAGTCAAACGTGATTACAAAGACAATGCAAGTGAGAGCCCCACTTCCCCTCTTCCATCGCATAAGGAAAGTGAGCTTTCAAGTTACGATAAGGAGACGAGTGTTATCAAACCGAATCCTACGACCGTACCATCACCTCAACAATGCTCGTCTTTTTTTTCTTTCTCGCTCATTCTCTGAACTCCCCCTGCGCTCCGCCTCCAAATCTCTTTTTTTTTCTTTGCTCGGATCCATGTTGCTGCGATTGGGGGAACATTGCTACAGACCAAAAGTAGCAACGCGAAAAAAAAAAAAAGGTAATTCTCGCCTATTGATGTCTCCTTTCTCGCTTGAGGATCAATCGCCTCTTTCTACCTACATGCACATCCTTTATCCCGTCAATGAATGAATGAATGAATCGTTTATTGGTACTGTACACAAAAAAGATAACTCTTGTCTGAAATGGGGTCCATTTATGGCCCTGATGCGAATATATATATAAAAGAAAAGTAAAAGAGATACTAAGCTGCAGACATGGCAGCTCCAGTGAAAGAAGGAGTGAGAAAAAGTCGTCTCCGTGAAAAAGAAGAAAAGAGAAGCCCCCTTACGAAACAAAAAAGTGTCCTCCTTCAGATGGAACTTGCTCCTCTCCCCCGTTTTTTTTCTTTCTGTTCTCCTTCCTCCCCTCTCTGTACATCTTTCGTCGGCGTAGTCGTTCGTCCTTTGTCGCTGACTGTGATAGGTCCATCACTATCGTCCTTGTCTTTGTCAGTGTTCCCTTTCCCCACCTCCTCCACCTTTTCTCCACCACCACCACCACCCCCTTCCCCTCTCTCCTTCTCACTACTCACCACTCATCCTTGTCTCCTGAAAGTTAGGCGCACTACAAAAAAGGAGTAGTAAAAGAAGACGAAGAGGAGCGAAAGACAACCGATTTTTTAGCGGCCAACTGGCTCCACTGTCGAAAAGTAGGTAAACTCAATGGAGCGGTAGTACTCCATCAATGGTACACTGCCTCCTGTCCCCAACCGCATCTCCACCTCCATCTGATCTCTGCTTGCAAACGATGATGATGATGAAGAAGAGGCTGTAGATGCCAAGGAGTTGGAGGAAGACCCAGATACGATGGTTGCTGTTGACATGGAGGACGATGCTGCCGCGACTGTTGTCATAGCTCCACTGGAGTTGTATGATGGTAGTCCTACTGGTCTTGTCAATGATGATGACAACGCTGCCGATGCTGCTGTTTGTGCAGCCTGCGTTGCTGCCGCATGTGTGATTAGACTCTGTGGGTAGGTTGAAGTCGTCAAGGTAGTCGTCGAAGCCATCTTGTCTCCATCCCGACTCAATACACTATCCTGACCATCCTCATCGTCCTCGTCCATGATGGTTGTAATCGAAGGCCGCTCATGTTCCCCATCACCGTTGCCGTTGCTGTTGCTGTTGTTGCTGTCCTCGTCTTCATTGACTTCTAGACGCATAAATCCGCGGTACATGTTGACGTTTGCATTGAGGATCTGCAGTCTTGCATTGCGAGCCAGGAGGTTGACTTGATCTAGGGGGAGAGAGAGGGTGGAGAAAATCAACCGTGCAAGGATAGGAAATAGGATTTTTAGTCGGACAGCCCTGCCATGCGAGTGGTAAGAAGGCGAGCTCTAGACCTCCTGAACAGGGGTGAAACATGAACTGTTGGGAGTTTTTACCATTTTTGAGGTTGAGCAGGATACATGCGGTGTCGTCTCCAACGATGGCCTCTGCAGACTGAATAATTTTACCAGCTACAGGATCAAACGAATGGGATTGAAAAGAAGCAAAGAGAGTGCCCAGTTAGTTGATTGAAATGAAGATTGAGCGATAGCGGCAAGCGTGGGAGAAGAAAGGTTGGCAAGCAAACATACTCTCAGGGTGGATGGTCTCTGCGATGGTCTCGACGGAGAGGACCCGAAGTTTGAGGTTGCAGTGGTGTTGGTCTGGCACCAACGACGCAACATTGATAACTAGTTTGAAAGTAAGGAAACAAAGAGTTAGGTGTGAGCGAAGGGGAATGCTTGTGTATGTGTGTGAACCCGGTTCCTGGACGAGTGGATTGCAGAACCTGGCTAGTACTGTCCACTTACAGGTGGGTGAAGACATGAGGCTTGCTGCTTTTTGAGAAGGAGAGGAAGCGGGTTGAAGTGAGAGTGTTACTTGATAAAGACAAGGGGCTTTATGGGCAGAGTTGAATTGAATTGAATGAGAAAGGTTGTTTTGTTGTTGTTCAGCTGTAGAAAAGTGTTGAAGGGACAATAAAGAAGAAAGAAATAACGAAAGAGGAGGTGCGTCCTTTATACTGTTTGAACGCTTTAATGATGTCCCCCACAACCAATTGCTGAGCAAAGATGTCCTCAGGTTTAGGTGTCTTACTTCGTTACTGACTGGTGTATGGTTGCAGTGGGGTCGGGGCTGGAGTTGGGTTGGGTTTATGGCCATGGGTTTTCTGTGTGCGTGCGATTTGTGTCCCCTCCTAACTCTTTAACAGCACAAACGTCTATTTTCTCAACAGTTCGTTCTCAATTGGCCTTGCCCGTGCCCCTTTCCCATGTCTCCTTTTCCCTTCTCCCGTTGTAAGCACAAAAGGAACACTGTCGCATAAGAATAAGGAGCAAGGGGTCTCGTATGTGTTCCCTCCGATTGTGTGCCTTCCTCTCGCTATTCTCACTTTCGATCGAAAGAAAAGGAGGGGAACTTGGAGTCCAACACGAAAACAAACAACAGACAGGAAAAAAAATGGAAACCATAGGTTGGGGCTCAACAAGTCGAAAAAGGCAAAGCAAGAAGGACGGGGGACGCGGTGGGGTCTTACAAAAGAAAGCTGGGATGAACAGCCTGGCCTCCATCCATTCATGCCATTTCCATGAACGGGTAAACCACGCAGGAGAGTAAAGGGTCAGGAAGGAAGAAGATCCAAAAAGATGAAATGGGTGTCAGTTGGCTGGACAAATGATGGGTCCGTCAGAAGTTCAAAGGAAAAGCTGACGCTGACAACCAACAAGGTACATGGCAAGTAGCACACAGCATTTGTGTTGCTTTCTTCGTAGTATCTCTTTTCCCGCAGCGAGAAAGGTGACAGAAAGAACGGAGGAGAGAACCACATAGCAAAACAAAACTGCCGGGAAGAAAAAAAAAGATGCATTGCAGAGTGAGTGGTTGACCCATAGCACCACGGATCTTTCAGTATCTTCTCATTTTCTTGTTGTTCTTTCACCAGCTGCACCGGTGTGGTCACTCGTCGTTAGGGTTTCTTTGACATCAAAACGACCGACAAATGGCGGCGAGCAAGGACAGGAGGTGGTTCTAAAGACAGATAAATAGCAGAGTGCAGTGACCCATTCGCCTAAAGACTCCATGTGGATGGGATGTAAGTGAAAGGGCGATACGCTATAGGCATATTTCCTTCGTCACGCACTTTGATCGTCATTGACATCATTCTCCTCGTCATGAACGCCCCAAACCAGATAGCCTCGCCGAAAGCATCCCAGTCTGGTAGCACTAACAGTAGCGACAAAATCGATCGCGTTTCGCGACAATCAGATAGACAAACTGACAGATGAAAAATGACTGAGCACATTTGTTCTTCTAGTTCCACCATTGAACAGAGCATCCCTTAATGTGGGGTCCTAGAATCAAAATGGTGTCTCTGTTTCTCCCTATGAGGCGTGTGTTTCAAATAGAGGAGTGATATTAAAAGGGAGCCATCCTCCTAATGGATCATATTTCCAGAAGGTCCTTCCGCGTGAGTTGAAAAATGATACACCTTCCTTCACCTTTACCTGGACAAGACTCAAATCTATTTTCAAATCAACGCAGACGGTGTATTCAGCAGAGTCATGTTCATTACACCTATAATAGGGAGACAGAGAAAGAAGGGAGTGAGGAAGGGATGGATGACAGGGTTGCTTACCCACGCACAGGTATTTTTCGTGGCGCCCCTCATGGTGGACTTACTTGACTATGGAGATCCATTTTATTTTGTACTTGTCTCAACAGCAAAAGAACGAAAGTATTTGTAAAAACTGGTGTGCACATTGCAAATGGAGGAATTCACAACAACAATGACAGCAAGCAGTAAAAATAAAAACATCGGCTTAAGAGGAGGAGAGGGACTTACCTATCTGACAATTCGGCGAGCTCCTTGTTGTTCAGTCAGGGTCCGCTATATCTGAGTATCATGGAGAGATAGATAGAAGCCATGAAAAAGGGAAGAAGAAGCGTCTCATACCATGCAGTTGTGCATACGATGAGCCCACAGGGACGCAGCACAAAATGAGGAGTGAATGAAAGATAGAATTTGGCGACACAACCGATATTTGTAACTGCAAGCAAGGGCTTTGCCGACACCCTTTTCACTGTATGATGTGCATGCTAACTTGCCAGAGTGTGCCGACCTAGCGTTTGATGAGGATGAACCTGTGAGTAATGGCCGGCGGCTGCAATGCTTTTCCTATGAAGACGTGTTCGCTTCTACTCAGACAAACCTCCTTCAGTCCATCACCCCAATTGCCCGTTGTGTGATCAATTGGTCGCCGTTTTGGAAGTTTACAAGGCGAAGGTTGAATAGAGTTGCTGACCGGTGTTGCTTTGCTCCAATGGTGTGTTGACAACAAATCCTTGTCTGCTGACACCATTGACTATTTACGCCGTGTGCCCCTGACCAATATACTCATGATAGTTTCTACAGGTCCACTTTTTTCAGTCTCCAACCCTGTAGCAAGACGCGACGTGGCAGACCGTTGGCGCACCCTGGAATTAATGACCAGAGGGAAGGCTATCTCTTCAGAGCCCGATTGGACAATAAGTACGATGATGTACTATTCTACCAAAGGTTCAATTGCCCGTGAGACCCCGTTTCCCGGGTTCTCCTTCTTTCCTGTTCTGCGCAGTTTTGCCTTATCAAAGGGTCTAATTGACAATAAGCAGGTTTTAGCTTTGTGACTGTATGCTATCTATTCTTGGGTTCGATGGTATGGGCACCCTTTCCCTCTTTCTTCCAGTGGGCGTTCACTTTCTACGCCGACCTGAGCTCTGTTGCACAAACCTTTCCCTCCCCCAGGCTGTTTTGGAGAGATAAAAACGGCCTATTTCCCCTACTTTTCTACTTTTCTATTCCCCATCCCCTCCTTTTGACATTCTCACCCACACATTGCCCTCTTCTTTCATTCATCTCCACATACATAACACATCAACCTCAGTCATGACCAACACCATAGAAACCGTCATCCCCACCGCCACCATCATCAAGCCCACAACCAATCTCGCCGAGGAATGTCCCTCCAACACGTCGGTTGAGGAGTACGCCGCCAAGCTCGAGACCGAGTACAACTTTACTCCCGTCCGTCTCGACCTGGACCACACCCACAAGCAACGCATGCTCGACGCAAAAGTATACAACCCCGGCGATGAGCTCCTAGTCCTCGAACGCCACCGTGTCCGTGAACTGATGCAGGTCTACAACTCGACCCAGTCCACCCCCGAGGGGGTCCTTACGCGTCGAGCCCTCCTCCACTCGATGACCCGCGGTCGTATCGGAAAGGGCTGCTGGATCGAGCCTCCCTTCATGACTGACTATGGATGCAACATCACGATGGGCGAGAATGTCTACATGAACTTCAACTGTGTGGTTCTAGACTGTGGCCAGGTCACGATCGGCAACAATGTCTTCTTTGCGCCCAACGTCCAGCTCTTCTGTGCCGCGCACCCTGTTAACCCTTTGACTCGGTCGAAGGGTATCGAGTTCGGGATGCCCATTGTGATTGGTGATGATGTCTGGGTTGGAGGTGGGGCTATCATTTGCCCCGGTGTCACTATTGGAGATGGCGTCACGGTCGGAGCAGGAAGTGTTGTGACCAAGAATGTGCCTCCGTATACCATTGTTGGAGGAAACCCTGCCAAAATCTTGAAGGTGTTGAGCAAAGAGGAGTGCGAGAAGGAAGACCGCGAGTACGAGGCGCGCAAGGCTGCGGGTAATGCCTATGATGACTGGACACCGGCACCCAAGGGCACCCTTGCCCTCCCCAAGGCCTAATTTCATTCCTAAAGTAAACAAACGCACATTCATTCCTCGACTGATGCATTTTGCGTGTCTGCATCAGTTTATTTCAATGTTCTTGAGTGTGTGTGTGTGTGTGTGTGTGTGTGTGTGTGTTATACTTGTGGAATGGGAGGTGGGAATCCCGAGCGAGCTGACTGGTGCGGTTGCTTTCAAGGAGCAGGCATGTCATACTCGAATGGATCGTTATTGGTCTTTCGGACAGAAATACCAGTCAGCTCGGTCGTCTTTGTCCAAGCCTGATGAAAGATCTTGACATGGCAATACTCCTTGCCATCATCCTTACCACCGCCACAGTTCTGTCCATTCCAACCATGCTGGGTAACCTTCAACTTGACATAGTAGTTGGTTCCTGCGACGACCTGGGTAGCATACGAGACGGGCTCAAAGGTGGGCGCGCTGTCGGCGATGGAGGAGATGTGGATGTAGGCCTTCTGGATCTGACTGGAGAGCTGGTGGAGGATCCACTCGAGTTCTGGATCGGATTCCGAGAGAGGGTGCTTCTTGTCGATGGGTATGGGTTTGTCGATTCCTCCTGGTACGCCTGACATTTTGTTGAGTGAGTGTATGTGAGGGAGTGAGAAGAGTGGGAGCGAGTTTTTTTATTATATAGAGTGGGAAGATGAGAAGTGCGAGGTATGAGATAAAGAAGAAGAAGGAGAGGATGAAGATAAAAAAAGAAGAAAGAAAGAGAGGATGGTTTCAACGACCAAATTGTACGAATTTAGGTCGCGTTCTGATATTGACTTCAAATCATGCGGAATGTCCCTCGACCTTCTAGGACTGCGAAAAGATAAGGTCACATACATTTTGCAAAACATGCCGAGCTTTACACACACTCTCGGGATGGAGGAGATCCCCTTTTCCATCCTCCACACACCCCTTTATTTTTTCTCTCGCAAACAATGGCCTCGTCCGTCCTTGCTCGATCCAGCATTCAGTCTGCTCGTGTATGTCTCCTTTCAGAAATGAGTTGTTATTGGAATATAGTTTTTCCATGTTCCGCCATTCCAGATTCAACAGAGACGAGGAAAGGGTCGGCAGGTCGGGAGCGCCATACAACAAGGACCGCAGAGAGCTCGTTCTTCAAGCCCCTAACTAAAGGAACTCACGCCATTTTCTTCTTTATTTGTCCATTCTACTCCTTGGTTGCGGGAATAATATAGACCATTGTCCGGGCAGCAACACCTTGCTCTAAGCCTCTCTCTACATACACTACTCGGGTAAGGGGTTTTCTGTTTTTGTTTGTTGAAGAATGGTGTTTTTGTTTGTGAAGGATAGCACGCTGGTTGGTTGGTTGGTTGGTCGTCTATGCCATGTCAGTCCAAGTTCCAGTGTGGTCAATCCGAGCTAGCTTTCTCTTTGTTTCTTCCCCTCGGACCCAAAAAAAAACAATACCTAACATTCAAATCCTCCTTCCACCAAATAGGCGTTTGCTACATCATGGACACACTCAAAGCAGGCAGGAGGATCAACGACACCTACAACATCAACAACCCCAGCAACCAATATCACAGAGTCGGAAGAATCCAGGGCAGCACCTAGCGGATTCTATGGCGGCTTCTTGCGCAGTTTGGCCAAGGTGACAGGACACTACACCGTCAGTCAGACTGCTATGCGTTCGACCCATAACTTTTATGAGATCTGCGCTAAGCAACTGCAGGATAAGCGGTCATTCTGGATTGACAGTACGTACATTTTGGGGACGACCTTCTTCCATTCTTCGGTCGGGAGAGAGACGCGCTTGCTACCTGTCCCCTTGGGTCACAAAACACCGCATCTAGCAATAAGCGCGTACAGCCATGGATCAAAGCGTGTGCCTGTTTTGCTTCTTGTTTCTCACCACGCTTTTCCTTTCCTCTCTTTCTGGACGACATTTGATGTAAAAACTTAGCTTGTGGATTGCCCGACAACTTCCAGACCTGGTTCTCAATTACCCATTTGCACGTGTGGTTGTTGATGGTCCGTATCCGCGCAGAGGATCACGGAAAGGTCTTTCAACAGCAGCTCGTCAACCACTTTTTCCACGACATTGAGGATCGCATGAGATACAACCACAAGGTACGCAAAGGATATGTGTTTTCGTTTAGTCATACTGCGTCGACCATTTTTACAAGCGTCAAGTCAAGAATGAGTAACCGACCTCTTTCAACAATGCGTCTTCCATGTCACTAGATCTCTTCGGGACGGATTATCAGCACGTACATGCACGATTTTTTGGCTCAGTTCCACGGAGGAGTTTTGGCTTATGACGAAGGCATGTGCAAGGACGATCCTATCATGGCAGCAGCTCTCTGGAGGTAATTACACTCTTTCAGGATCATACTGTATCAAACAAAGGAGCAGGAAAGAGGACAAAGACGTGAGCCATGCCCGTGCTAACCATTCCTTCATTTTCATATATCCCACAGAAACTTGTTCACATCAAGCGGAAACCCAGCTCAGATTGCCATTCTTGTGGATTACGTCCGCAAGGAGCTGCAGCACTTGGATACCATGAGCTCGGACGATTTCTTGGAGTCGCGTAATTTGTTTGGCACCCAGGCACCAGCTCTCAAGGGTGTCCCTGGAAAGTAAAATCACCCATAGAGTGGGATGCATATAGAATTGTAATAAAAGCGCGAGAAAAATCGATTTGAGGTGGTTGGCATTTGGCTGAGAGACAACTGAGAGACGCATTTTATTATAACTAAGAGTCGAGTGGCCTAGTTGGGAAATGATAATTAAGCGGTCGACGATGGAAGGTCAGCCATGGTTCATAGAAGCCGTGAGTCTCAAAGTGTCACGATAGTGCATGCGTGTATGTGAAGCTCATTTACCTGTTGAATCCTCCGCGTCTGTTCATGTACTGACGATGCTTTCGCTGCTTCTTGATATCGACTCCACTAACATCTGCTCCTGCAACCTTCTTGCCCTATTATTTTTCATGTCGAAAGCAAGACTGATGTGAGTACGCTTTCCATCGTTTTCATAACTATCACAGTGCCCTTTTTTCTTAAAAGACTAAAATAAAAAGAAAAATATTAGCAAGGGTCGCCCGTGCAAAAGGAATACCTTTGTGGAATCAAAGCCTCCGAAGCCCATCATAGCCATCATTCTCGCCTCCTGTTCCTCGGGCGTCAGTTCCTCCAGAGGCTTAGTCGTGTCAACAGAGTCCTCGTCCATCTTTTTGTCGTCCTTCTTGCTCTTTCTGTCTTTGTCATCGCCACTGTCGTCGTCTCTATCGTCCCTACCACGTCTACTTCCTCTGGGACTTCTGGATCTGGATCTTCCACCGCGACCTAACAAAATTAAGGTAACGAGTCAGTTGTTAGTGGTTATAGCGAATACAATCCACGCAGTAACCGGTGCGGCATAGGACAACAAAACGAAAAGGGTGATTCCTTACGGTAGGGCGATCTGGACCGCGAGCCCCTCTTTCTCCTATCATCACGATCGCGATCGCCACGATCCTTGTCAGAGCGGTCCCGTTCCCTGTAATCACGACGGCCACCAGCATCATGGCGACCATAATCGTCCCGTCTGCCCCTATCACCACGGTCCCCTCCTCTGTAATCCCGTCTGTCTCTCGACCGATCTCTGTCACGTCCCCCTCCACCTCCTCCTGAGCGCGAATCTCTGTAACCTCCTGAGGCTCCACCGCGACGGCTACTGGAGCTGTTGTTGTAGCTGATCTCGCCATCCTCCTCTTCAGGTGCATCCCAATCCTTAGGGGGACCCCTGCGGCTGTTGGAGCGATCTGGGCTTGGGCTGTATGGCATCTTGATGTTTGAGGTTCGGCGGGTCCTGCTGTGTTGGTGGATGTGGCGGATTGTTGGACAAGGTCAAGAAGAGATGACGGTGGTGGCAAAGGCAGATCTCTTTTTTATTTCGTTGTTCTCAAAAGCGGTCCTGTCCTTACTTCGACCTGCGCCACTAAGCCAAGGCTCACCACGTGGTTTTAGTGGGAAAAGGGAACAAAAAGGTCTTTTGCCCACTTGACCGAACCCCAACCTTTATTTTTCTTCTCTCCATCATTCACCTCCGCCCTACACTCATTCACAACACCATGAAGACCCACGCTCTCGCGGCAAGGTTCACTATTCTCCTGTGCCTCGCCCCTTGGCTGGCACTCCCATTGCAACTCCCATTCCAACGACCACGAAACCAGCAGGACCCTTTTCATTCTCCTACTTCTTCTCCACACTCCTCACAGTCACAGCAGCAACTGCAAACCCTGACGCCTTACACGATGCCGTGGGTAAACGAGTTGCAGGCAGTCTACAACACCTTTGGAGAACACAGAAACGACTCGAGGTGCCCGACAGAAATCGAAGAATGGACTTGTCAACCATACGATTTGACCAAAGCCGACCTTGTCCGACCCACAGACGTCTGGCATCTCCGAGCTCATGTATGTTCTAACTGGAACCTATTTCATTTTATGACTATCATCGCTCTTGGCCACCTTGATTGTGCATAATTCTCACGCTTCAAATGCGTCTTTGTTCATAGGACATCAAAGCGGTCGTATCGATTGGTGACAGCATCACTGCAGGATTTGCCATGGTCTCTGGTAAAGAGTCGTTCAAGGACCAAAAAAAAATGAAGTACTCGGTGTAACTGTCAGCATCGTTGCACAAAAACAGAGATGGGTTGACATGGGAGCTGATGTATGATTTTTTTGCGTAAATAGGTCGACCCCCATTTGCCACCGTCTTGGAGTTCAGAGGCAAGGTGTTCTCTGGTGGAGGAGACAAGGGCGAGTACACGCTAGCCAACTTTTTGAAGACATATGGGACCTCCTTGCAAGGAAGTCCGTCAGGGGTGACTCTCCCTCTTGGTAAGCGCATATATTATTGACCTTTCCCATCCTGCTGTTTCGTGCATCGTCGTGGTTCAATTCTCATGTGCTTGCATTGGCCATCATTGTATTTTCTTACTGACCAATTGTCTTGCATGTCAACTCTATCGTACTAGCCCATGGCAAGGGCTTGAACACAGCTGTAAAGTAGCAAAAAGAAAGATCTTTGGGATTATGGTCTATCTTTCCTTTGCTCCTTTTCCCACATGATGATAATGAAACGACTATGGTGCACCTGCATCATCTCCCTCTGCCAAGACATTTTTTTCTTCGCTCGTGATTCACTTCTCTTCTTATTCCCCTACACCTTCCTTAATCTGATTTTTACGTGAACTCAATCAATATCTATTATAGGTGAGTGGAGCCATTGCCCAAACGCTCCCATCACAGATCGACCGACTGAAATGGCAATTCGGACTGGCAGGACCCTATCGCAAGTACAAGGACGAATGGAAACTGGCGACTGTCTTTGTGGGCGCCAACAACCTCTGTGCAGCCTGTACCGATGGCGACAACTTGCCGGCAGTAGCAGATCCTGAAGACTATGCGGTGGCACTCAAGGATGTGCTTATTGATCTGAGAGACTCGATTGGACCTACATTTGTCAACCTTGTCGGAATCTTTGACGTCAGTTTGGTCTATGAGCTCTCGCGCGGATATCCGTATTGCGAGATGTTGTTTGACAAGATGCCGGTGCCCATCTGCTCTTGTGCCAATTCAAATGAAGACAATCGCAAAAGTAATTTATCTCTTTCTCTCTCACCATTTTGTGAATTGAATGCATCAAGTCATCATGGATGTAAGTCTTGGCGCTGACTCTATTCTTCTATCTTGTTTGTAGAGGTGGGGGATCTTGCGGAGCAATACAATGACGTGATGAGAAGGGTTGCGAAGGAGGTCAACAATGAAAGCGACAGCTCATCCTATGGCGTTGTGTTCCAACCAGGATTGACAGAGTTCAAGGATGGCTCATCTCCCTATGGCCAAGGCTACATGAGCGGACTGGACTGGTAAGTTCGACGCGAATCATTATTGTCCCGACTAGGGATGTCTATGGGGTGCGGGTTATGATAGCAAATTCCTCCGATCGTTAATACTCATCGTGTCCTTTGTGACCCATAGCTTCCACCCAAACAGATGCGCCAATCAAGTCATGGCGATCTCATTGTGGAATGTAAGTTCTGCTTTGCTCTGTTTTCGTTTTTGTGCGGATGCAAACTCACGTTGTATGGCTCTCCATTGATGATTTATTGACTTCCTTTGTCGGTTTCTGTTTTTTATCGCCCGTCCTAACAAACGTTCATTCTGTCATAGAATATGTTCTCGAGTGCTGATGGCAAGGATAAGCCAATGAAGCCCGATGATCTGGAGATCTTTTGCCCTGGACCTACGGACTACCTCAAGTGAGGAAGGAGGCTTCATGCACACATTGGTTCGATCTCTCCCCACCCTTCTTAATGGATAGTTCGACTACCATTTTGCGCAACTTTTCTATCCTTTGCGAATAAACGCTACTGGTTTGACAGAATGGATCCAGCAGGAAGTGATGGTGGTAGTCAGGTCAATACAATGTACAAGCTCATGTGCAACGCGTCAATAAAAGCAAGTCCCGCTGCATTACCCGGTGGGGGTCACCATCAGAGTTGTGGAGTCCTGACGCCCGGACGTCGTGTGCTGATGCCCGAAATCTTGCGGTAATTTTCGTTGTCTTCTCTGTTTTGCTAAACCCGTACTCTGGTAATTAGAAGCTCAAAAAGATTAGTAGCGTGAAATAACAGATAAAAGTTGAAGGCTGTTCATGAAAATAATAAACGAGCGGAAAGAGTCGCTTTTGAAGCGCTATCAGTAGCCTATCCCTTGCTCGGAGGCATGCCCTGACTGTGCGAAGTCCTGCGACTGTAGCCACACACCTCCTACAGGTCCTCGCAAATAGCGGACCAGAGTCGGTTGATGAAGCATCTTTCAAAGTGCGAAAGATCTTCACCCGCCTCTACAGCCGAAGCTCTTTAAAATCCGCAGCGAATACATGTATATGTATCCAAATGCGGTGAGTCCACAACCACACATCTTCTTTCAAGGCTAGAATTACATAAAGGAAAATCACTCTAGAAGTGCTATCAGAAAGCCCACCCCTTGCTCGGAGGCATGCCCTAACTGTGCGAAGTCCTGCGATTGTAGCCACACACCTCCTACAGGTCCTCGCAAATAGCGGACCAGAGTCGGTTGATGAAGCATCTTCCAAAGTGCGAAAGATCTTCACCCGCATCTACAACCGAAGCTCTTTAAAATCCGCAGCGAATACATGAGTATCCAAATGCGGTGAGTCCACAACCACACGTTCTCTCCATGCCATATGCTCTCGTCTCTTCATCTTAGTTGTAATGCTAACAAAAGCAAACACACTACATCACCTTGGAAAGGGGGCTGGTAGGAGAGGACATCTGATCTGGTTCTGATTCGACGAACGAGAATTGAAGAGGGAGTGAAAGGAGAAGTAGGAGAGGGGTGATGGTGAACAAGAAGATTTGAAAAAGGTATTCAGCAACAATGTGAATTACTTTATCTCGCGTATTTTTGCATAGCGCGCGCAAATGGTTGTGGCGACGTTATTGCCCATCCCTGAAACCATTTATTTCCAGCCAAAAAATGGAGAGAAGTAAATCTTACGCGCCACCACTCTCCAGCATCGCTCCCATCATGAAGCCTGACCTACAACGCGCCATTGTGCAGGCAACTTCCAGCCTGAAGAACCCCGCCTATTTTTTACAAGACCCTACTCTTTATACTTTCGACACCTACTTCCGATCATGTCCTGATGGTACTTCACGCAAAGCAGCTGAAAACGGCTGGCGTCAGAAGCTCATTCCCAATTTAAGGAAGAGTGGCAACCTACTACTTACGGAGACAGGATCTCGTCTTGAGAGAGCATGGCAGGCCGATCGTGGGCAGAGACAGGCCGACCATCATGACGAGCGCTCCCGGCACAAGCGAGCTGCATTTCTACAAAGTGCTCTGGATGACCATCGCGCGGCCATCATTACTCACTCTACCCAAAAACTTCCCCGAGATCTCCAGGAGCTGTGTAAGTTAACTTAAATTGTTCAGCTCCATTCCATCACTGTGTGCCCAAGAGCCTTAACCAACGTCTTTGTATTTTAGTGCCAGTTCCTCCTGAGCCTGTCTCCCAACGGTCGCGTTCTACGTCACCCACGAGTCTATCGTCATCGACACCCAAAGGGTCACAAGTGGCATCGCCGTCTTCAATCCACACTCAGGCTCTCGCCACCTTTGACGATGCCGCGGAGTACTTTGGTCAGGCCAAGGCACTTCAGGATGTGGTTTTGGACACATTGCAGGAGGGAGATTTTGTACCTGCGTGGGCTAGAGACAGACCGTTATGGAGGTTTTGCATGTCTGTTGGCTCTTTCGATTACGGCCCCTCTATCACTACTTGGTACAATGATAGTCGAACCGATGGCATCCTGGATTTTCATAACGTGGACAAGATCGCGTACGTAGAAGCTCTGTTGCATGCTTGTTTTCCGTCTCAGTTTGTTCTCTGTCCTCATCTACTTATCTTTTTTCATTGTACTAGTCTCTTGTCTGGCATCCTCCACCTCCATGATCAGCACCATGCCCTCAATAAGGCAGCCATCGCTTCTATTCGGAACAACAGCCTGGAAGTGGTGTACACCACAGAGGATGAGGACAAGAGCAAAGCGAAGGCAGCTGCGACAAGATGGAACCAGTGGGTGATGGTAAGTGGTGGTAAGTGTATGTGCCCTCACTCTTTCTCTTATCGACCCTTCTTCTTTCTCACTTCTTCTTTCTCACTTCTTTTTTCATTCTTGCTTTTCTCTTTCAAATACAAAGACTTTTCGATCTCTTGTCTCCGAAGAGAAGCAGCTGGCACAGAAGGAGGGTCGCGATCCACGGCCAGTCCCCACTAACAGCCTTGTGAAGGACATCCTCTCCTCATATGACCTGTGTGAACAGGAGGGGATCTTGCCGGTTTTCTTTGCAGGAGTGAATACGTTCCGAAAGTTTAACAACTGGAAGATCCCTCAGTCAGAGATGAGCTGGACCACATCAGTGGTTGTCCCGATTCTCGAGGAGTTCATGTTTGCGCAGCATGAGGTCATGTTCACCTGGTAAGACACTTTGTATTTGTTTCACGATTGTAGCTTATCCCCTCAAATGATCGTGTCGTCCTCTCTAAGCAACGTTGATTGTAATCACCATTATTGCTTCGTGCCAACTCAAGCACATCGGCTGGCAAGATATGCAAGGCCCGAGGTAGCCTAAAGGAGCAACCATCCCAACCAGATGTTATTGGATTGGTCGATGAAGGAGAGACAGAAGTCTACTTTGGAGAGATCAAGGTTGCAAAGGCCAGTCTTGAGGAGCAGCACGTAGATCGTCTTCGACTGGCCATCTTTTCCAAGGATGTTCTGGATCTGTTTGAACGGACTTTGGAAAACACTCCTCCTGTTGTGTCCTTTCAGGTGGTGGGACGGCAGGTCGTCTTTTTTTTTGCAGTCAAAATCGGCAACACCATCTTGCACTGCAAGCTATCCTCATTCAGCATGCCAGTGACTCTGGCTGAATTGGATCTTCAGGAAGATGTTTTTTTTTTCCTTTGTTCCAGGTCCAGTCATTGATCAGATTGACAAAGGAAGGCTTGAATCGTAAAAGACGAGTACCTCTGGTCACTGATATTTTCCCCACTATGGGTACTCCAAACCGCCCTATGGCGATGAATAAGGGCAATTAAAGTATTAAACAGTAAGACTCTAGGTTGTTGGCGGCATGATCATTCTGGCATACATATACTTCGCAAAGAAAATTCGATCTTGCAGCACCTCGCATACGATCAGCGAAATGACTTGGGAGGATGTCTAGGTGTTACCTTGTTATATTCTCTCTTAGTTTCTAATAGGATGAGGACAGAGACGAAACTGGTTGGATTGAGAGGAAGTAGAAGTAGAAGGAACCAGGAGTTAGCATAGTAAGGATGGGATCGGGGTTGAATAGGTACACCGGGGAAAGGGTGCTACCGGATTGCAGGAGCCCGTCATAACAGGGACACTCAGGAACCGATCAGCAATCACTGGATGAACTTGATGCAATGAATTAGTGGAGAGTTGAGTTTCGGGGGCACATGACATTTTCTAGCTAGGTTTCATTGGACAGCGCGACTTCCTGGGAGAGGGTGCAGGTTCTTTTTTTTTAAAAAAAAGGAGTCCTTTTGACTCGAGATGACAACATGCCCTCCCTACTTCTCCCTCACCAGAAAGGAGAAAAAAAAATGAAAGAGATGGATGATACGACGAAAAGATACGAGCGTGGGTGTGAGAATAAACTTTTTCGTGCGACCAACAGAAAGAGTCATACTGCAACTAAAAAGCGCCGAATTGCCTTGCTACACGAAAAGAGAATAAACCTTGTTGGCAGGGACCCCACTACAGGACGGACAGGACAGGGAGCAAAAGAAGCAGACGAGGACAAATCGGACGGATGCAGAGTGGAAAGACTACAACCACCACCACCCTTCCTTTCGGTAGAAAGAGAAAAAAAAAAAAGAAATCTTGTCGTTGCTCCTCTTCTCTCCGTGCTTCCCTATCTCTTATGCCCCCTCCCCCCCTTCCCCTTTTCTCTGATCCACAGAGCGGTCTAGACGATAGGAAAGAGGCGCAGAAAAATAAAGGTGCAGGGACATTGATGTATCAGTCCGTCGCTGTGTCGTACAGCAGATCAAAGAGGAGAGAGAGAGAGGGATGGGGTCGATTAGAGGTAGGGACTCGGGGAGAAGAACACAAGCATGTTTACTCGAAAAGGCAATTCGCTTTTTTTTCCACACTTGTTGTTTCATGTATGTTAACAAAGTGAACAGGAACCTTGTTCGGTGTTCGTCTGTTGGTACCCCTTTAGAAAGGACAAGGAAGGAGTTGTTATCCCGCCTGACATCGAATGCATTTTATTGCGCAAACGAGTGAGATGTGATCATAGTTCACGACTGTTGTTTGTTGTTTTGTCGGGGACTTTTTTTTTCTTTCTTGCCCTATATTAACCTTCAGTTTTTGTTCCTCTTTCTCTTCTCTTCTCTTCTTCTCCTCTTCCCTATCCTCTTTTGTAAATCATTTATCCGATCAAGCCCTAATTTGTTCGTTCCCCCTTGCATTCGCCCGGTGGAAAATAATATACCCAGTCGATCCGTCCATCGATAGCGATCCACCATTAGGTCTTACTCCTCTTCTAGAAGACATCTTCGCCCACATTAATATACCCACGGCCATCATACATACATACAACACAATGAATATCGAATCTCAAGCACCGACAGGCGTCGATCAAGCCAAAAAGTCCGCCTCTACATCCGCCCCACCAACAGCTGGTAACATCAGTTCAGCCGCAACCATCGTTAACCAACCACCCCCATCATCAACCGCCGCAAACCTGCCCCGATCCATGACCGAAGGTTCCCCGCTCCTACTTCGTCACGAGGGTGGTCTTCAAGCATGGCTAGTCGTCCTGGGCTCATTCCTGATCCACTCGTTCGTCTTTGCCCCCACCGAATACGTCTTTGGTATCTTTGAACACCATTACTTGACCATCTTTCCCGAATCGAGTCCGTCGTCGATTGCGTTCGTGGGCTCTGTCGGATCTGCGGTGACTTATCTTGCGGGCTTTTTGGCGGGGATTGTTGCGGACCGGTTTGGGTTCCGGTTGACGGCCATGACTGGATCTGTTGTTATGACCGTTGCGCTCGTCCTTGCATCCTTCTCCACCCAGGTAATGATCTGTCCACGGTTCGCTCTCATAGCTTTCGTGCATTCTGCGTACTAGACAACTATAAGCTAACCGACTCTTTCCATCTCGATCGCTCTCTCGCCCTTGTTCATTAGGTATGGCACTTGTACCTGACACAGGGTGTGCTGTTCGGCATCGGCGCCTCGCTAGCATACTACCCAGCCATTGCAGCACCTTCTCACTACTTTTCTCGAAAGCGTGGTCTCGCCACGGGAATCGCAGTATCGGGTGTGGGTGCAGGTGGATTAATCCTGGCACCGTTGACCAACTCCCTCATTGGGCATTTCGATATCTACTGGACTCTCCGGATCCTTGCCTTTATCTGCTTTTTTATCTGGTAAGTTATAAAACGTCAAAGAGGAATGTGTGAATGGCACGTTAGAGAGGATATGCATTTCACATGGTGCAGATTCCGATCTTTTGGGTTTTTTCTTTGTCCATTGCAAGTTAATTCTCTAACTTCATTTCCCTGACCCTTATTTGTTCAAAAATGAAAATGATAGCGGCGGTGCAAGTTTGCTGATCTCGGAGAGCAAGGAGCATTACGCTACCAAAGAGTCGATCGAGGATGATGTGGATGAGAAGCCAGAGGGTTCTATTGGTGAGGACAAGTCCTTCTTTGAGGCCTTGAAGGTCTTCAAGGATCCCCAGTTCTTGTCTTTGTCTGTTGCAGAATTGGCTGCTTCGATCGGATTCCTTATTCCTCTGTACTACATGCAAAGTAAGTGGTTGTAGCTGTTTTTTGTGAGCTGCTTTATTGAACGAAAGAGGTAATGACGATCGCTCACATCTCTTGTTTCTCTCTTTGTTCAAATTACCAATAGCATACGCGGTGTTCATTGGATTGTCGACAGAGAAGGGCGCACTTATCCTGGGCCTAACCAGCGGCGCATCTCTCACCGGAAGAATCCTCCTCGGCCTAATCTCCGACTACGTCCCCAACTCCTATGCCCTCCTCTTCTGCTCCTGGGCAACAGCTCTCGCAATCGTCGTCCTCTGGACCATCGCTCGTTCTTTCGGAATGCTCCTCCTCTCCGGACTCATTTTCGGATTCTTTGGCGGCGGTTACTTGTCTCTTGTCCCCGTGGCGGTTGCAGATTCCTTTGGAACCATGCAGATGGCTTCTACGATCGGACTGATGTATGCGGCGGGTGGATTGGGTATGCTTGCGGGTGCGCCGTTGGCCGGGTTCTTGTTGGATATTACAAAGCCGGATATTTCTTATTTGCCCGTTACGTTGACGGCGGGAGGGACGCTGGTGCTGGGTGCTGTTGGTGTGACGAGTTGGTTTTTGTATAACCGACGGGCTAGGAAGGCGCGTAAGGCTGCCGCTGCTTTGCGGGCCGATAGTTCTTAGATGACTGTAGATAGATGTTCATCATGCCATTCATACTTAATATAGCTTGGTCGCTTCTTTTATTTTTCTGCTGTTACAGCTCAAACTGGTCACCTACTGTTCATGCATTTGCTACGCAACCGCAACAAAGACAGCAAAATATATCATTATATCTGGGTTCTGAACAGCGAAAGAGTATGAACAAAAATGGAAAAGAAAGTACAGTATATCGCGTGCGAGGAAAACACCAATTTTTAGTTATCGAGAAGAATGGGTCAAGATAAACGCATAATACTCTCCTCGATGCGTCGCATGCGAGATAACACGCATGTTCTGATAATTTAGCTTCACTGGGTAGTGTTCGTAGGGGTGTGAGAAGGAGGAGCAGTGGGAAGGAAGTGAAGAGGAGAAAAGAAAAGAAAGAGGATCGAGCAAGCCAACAAAAACGAGGAAAAGTACCATCCAAGAGCGTGGCGTGCAAACTGAGCGGGAAGGCACAGGTCGATACTCGCCATCTCTTTCTTTATTTTGGTTTTTATGCATCATATAGGTGCACAAGAAAGAAAAGAAAATGTTCATCCTCTGAAAGGGTGTGGTTTGAATGTGAGTGAGAACTCTTCTGTTATCGAGTACTAGTGCGATGAACATTTCATGAGCCGGTTCAGGTTTGAGGTCTATCTACGCGTCTACTATCGTATTGCTGACATTTTCGCTGTGGTCAATCTAAAGGGGATTGTGCGACCACATCATTTGCCTGACGGACTGCCTTTGCCATTCCTCTTCTTATTTCACCTGCTCTGTATCCATGTTAACACATACAATGGAAAACTGTACTTAATACTTTGCCGCCTTTCCCCAGTTAGCCGATTGTCGGATCCCTGTTAATTGCCTCCCTCCATCTCTTTCTCTCTCTTCGCACACATACATTCAAAAAGAAAATAAAGAAAGAGGCACGTTATTAATATACCACCCTCGGATAAGAAACGAACGAGCGCATAGTTTGCAACCCTATCTAATTGACGAAATTTCTTTAATTGAATGATATCTGGTATACGTCACTCTCGCATTTTTTGGCCGCGTCTGCTTCGTGTTTCGCACCTTTCAATTTGTCAAATAGCGTTCGTGTGCTTCGTCCTTTCTTTTGTCTCTTCACTTTTACATTGAACCTTCCGCCTAGGACTAACCATCGACAAAACACTCACTCAATACACACTCAACACACTTTCATAACTCGAATCAAGTCGCACCACTATGGTAATTCACGCAGGAACACCAAAGGACAAAAGAAAGAAGAGCGCAGAAGAAGCAACTTCTCTGCCATCCCAACCTTCTTTGCCTCACGACTCTTGCACAATGTGCATTGCTAACACGCAAGCGCCTCGTACACTTTGCTGTTTTGAACATTTATAGGGTAACCAACCTTCATCGGAGCAGCCAAACAATGGCAAGGGCAACCAGAAGAAGGAGGTACGTTCTTCTCAGCTACCAAAGTTGCGAAAGAAGTGGCAACTAAGAGCTATGTTCTAGCTTGCTCGTTTTCTTCAGGATAGGACGCCTTTTTCGTTTGTGTGAATTTTATAGCACAATCGCTAACTGATTGTGCTACTATCGGTTGCGCTTTGAACGTGAATAGGAGAAGGAGCAAAAGAAAAAGTGGGAGCCCCCACTGCCCACACGTGTTGGAAAGAAGAAGATGAGAAAGGGACCTGACGCGTCATCAAAGCTGCCAGCAGGTAACTTACATTGGATTTGTTGAAACATATCAGACGAGGTATCAGCACCTCTGACGGACCCTATGAATATGAAAGGAGGATCTGTTCTGACAAGCGTTCGCCATTCCTTCATCAACCTTGAATCAAAATATGTAGTGTTCCCAACGACTCGATGCCGTCTGAAGATGCTAAAGATGGAACGTATCAAGGATTACTTGCTGATGGAGGAAGAATTTGTAGTGAACCAGGAGAGACTGAAGCCTCAGGAGGAAAAGACCCAGGAGGAGCGATCCAAGGTTGACGATCTTCGAGGTACACCCATGAGCGTCGGTACTTTGGAGGAGATCATTGACGACGACCATGCCATCATCTCGACTAGCAACGGACCTGAGTACTATGTCAGCATCCTTTCGTTTGTCGATAAGGACTTGTTGGAGCCCGGATGCTCCATTCTCCTTCACCACAAGGTAAACTACGGCTTCGGCTTTTTATCATAGTCATTATTGTCATTTCGCTTTATCGAGATATGCAACGTCAAAGGAACAAGACGACTAACCAGATGGACTTTGATTTTTTTGTATGGTAGACGATGTCGGTTATCGGTGTGCTTCAGGACGATGCTGACCCAATGGTGAGCGTTATGAAGTTGGAAAAGGCACCAACAGAGTCATATGCCGATATCGGAGGTTTGGAGAACCAGATTCAGGAGATCAAGGAGGCTGTCGAACTGCCATTGACCCACCCAGAGTTGTACGAGGATATGGGAGTCAAGCCCCCCAAGGGAGTCATTCTCTATGGTGTCCCCGGAACAGGAAAGACCTTGCTCGCCAAGGCTGTTGCCAACCAGACCTCGGCCACCTTCTTGCGTGTTGTCGGATCAGAGTTGATTCAAAAGTACCTTGGAGATGGTCCCAAGCTTGTCCGTGAGCTTTTCAGAGTCGCCGAAGAGAACGCTCCCTCGATTGTGTTTATCGATGAAATCGACGCTATCGGAACCAAGAGGTATGACGTTGATCAATTGACCTTTTCCACGTTGCTAAGCAACCTCCTGTTAATGTGCACGTTTCTTATTGCAATTGATGCTAACCATCTTGCGCCTTTGACATTTACTTCTTTAGATACGAATCCAACTCGGGAGGAGAGCGTGAAATTCAAAGAACTATGCTGGAGCTTTTGAACCAGCTGGATGGTTTCGACTCACGAGGAGATGTCAAGGTCATCATGGCTACCAATCAGATCGAGTCCTTGGATCCCGCGTTGATTCGTCCTGGTCGTATTGATCGCAAGATTGAGTTCCCTATGCCCGATGTCAAGACCAAGCGCCGCATTTTCAACATTCACACTGGCCGTATGCAGCTTGCGGACGATGTTGATCTGGAAGAGTTTGTGATGTCGAAGGATGAGCTCTCAGGAGCCGATATCAAGGCTGTCTGCACAGAGGCTGGTCTGTTGGCGTTGCGTGAGCGTCGTATGAAGGTCAAGGCTGATGATTTCAAGAAGGCCAAGGAGAAGGTGTTGTACAGGAAGAACGAGGGCACACCCGAGGGCTTGTACCTGTAATTTGTCTTACTCCTACCTTCAATCAAAATACAAACTACAACAACAATTGAAATATAGCGAATTAGTGCGTCGTAGAGGAATGTGTGCCCATCCAATACAACTTTTTTTTCTTCCACCGAACGCGTTGTATTTTGTCTTCTGTGGCGACTTCAACCTTCACTGTTGCGCACGTGACGGCTCTCCGACTCAAGTACTTGGCCGCATTGTTTTTTCTTCTTTCTTCATTCCACCCTCCACAACATGTCGAATACCGAGGCAACACAGATCAGCACACATGGCAGGAACAGGGATGACATGAGGCGTGATGCCAAGAGCTTGTACGGAAACACCCACAACCACAACCATACATTTCGTAATACCACATCTCTGCTCATATATTCCTCTATGGCAGTCGTTCGTTGCTATTTGCTCGTGCGAAGAACAAAGTGATCAATTGGGCTTACAGTTTTTCAATCGCATATGGACTCGGATACTGTAGGTTGAACCGGCTTAGGTCTATTCAGGCAGATGCGGCTTTTGTCAGCGAGATCTCGGACCTCTTCCCCCAGTTCCCTGTCATCGGTAAGCTTCCCAATGCCCCTCCCATATCTACGAAATGAAAAGGACATCAATAGCCATTGATTGTTGCGCAAGGCAGCTCTAATATCTTTTCTTTGGCCAAATGCTGCCTTTCCTTTATTAGCAAACGAGCGGTGCGGGACGTGGTATGTCCACCCCTCCAAGGTAACCCAACTAAATTACCTGATACGTACCATTGGCGATGCATGAAAACGATACTCGCCTCTTCGGTTGCGCTAGACTTATCAATTGCTTCTGTCGTCATGACCAATAGATCCATAAGCCAGGGGTGTACTTCAAGTCGACAGACGGGCATACAGGAATTTGGGACTTCAACCTGCGACGATACAACCCACACTTGATCACGACCATCATCAAGCACGGAGGGTAATGTCTCCTTCACAGACTTTCACCTGACGCATGCCTCTGAATGAACTATTGCCAGAGTTGAAAGGAGATCGTTTAGCTGACACATTTACCATTTTTACCATACTTTGTCTGATATAGATGCATTATTGTGGATTCGACAAGGAAGGGCAAACGAGTCCCGGACGCACTGTCAAAGACAATCCCGATCTGGTGTGGGACCATCAATAATGCCGTTCGGAAATGTGCGCTCCAGAATCAGGCTGCCCATGAGAACAGTGGCGAAGCAGTAGCAGGTGGACACATTTTGGAGAAGGAGCAGGATGGGTTATCAACATGGAAAACCGCAGCAGAAGAGATAACTACAACTAAGGATGAGTCAGGGGCAGAAGCATCAGAAGCGGCGGCGTTGTTGATTCCGGCGTTGAATGGCGACAGTTGGGATACGCGGTATCATTCCCTCCCTAGTTTGATCTCAAGATCTGAGCATGTCCAGATTGCGGACAAAATTGAGGGCTTTGCCGAGAAACTCATGGTAAGCGGTCTCTCTGTTTACTTTCCTGTTTTGCTAGACGTCTTTTATGAACTACAAGTACCTTCAATAACACTAAACTTGTCAATATTATGTAGAGGTTCACGGATATGACACCATTGACGACAAAGCTCCTAAAGCCCATCCGCCCCATCTGGCTGACACCACAAAGCTTCCTCCTCCGACACGACTTGCCAGACTACAGTCAATGCTCGTTCCTCCCAGTGATCTGTCTAAGCGCATCACGTGTTGTTCAGGACGGGATGGAGGAACGGGATGGGTACCTTTATGTCCAGGGATCGGGCGATGATGAAGAGATGTGGTCGAAGGGGTTGAAACCTGAACTGTTCTGGGAGAATGAGGATTATCTGCTGGAGGAAGGGATCTCGTCGGCGGAGTGTGAGCTACGCGCGGGGGAGGTTGTGAAGGAGGCAAAGCAGAAGTTGATGGAAAAAGCTAGGCATCGCCAGGAACAGTTGCAGGAGCGGAAAATATCTACGAGAAACGAGGACTATGGACATGGTGTGGTAGAAGGAGGGAGGGTTCATTTCACGCCGTCGATGGAGTTGTGTTCAGAGATCAAGCCGAGTTCAATTTGGATCGGGAATAATGCCAGCGGGCGGATACCGGATTGTTGGGATGCGGGATTCGATATGGTCATCAACTGTGGCGCAGAGATTAAACGACACCCTCTGTGCGAGTTCAGTAATAACGGTGGAGAAATGGAAGCAAGGAGATATATTACGGTTCTTGGAGGTGCTGGTCAAGGTGGAGCTCAGGCGACACTTTGTGTGCTCCAGAAGCATCAATGGAGTGCTATCGAGTCGTCAGCGGTAACAGCGGCAGAGCAACGAGACAACCCCCCAGCGCGCAAGGAGGGCGAGAAGGACTTTTATTACCTACACCTCCCAATCGCCGAAGGAAAGAAGGGCCAGCATCAGTTGTTGGAGATGATACCTATGGCGATCAAGGCCGTCCACCTCATGTTCACTACAAACAACAAGGATACCAAAGCCGGTCAGGAAATAAGGAAACCGAGGATATTGGTGCATTGCCAGCAGGGCATGGATCGATCTGTCGGGATCTCGTTGGCGCTGCTTGTGTCGTGTTTTGACGAGACGACAGGTGCGTATTCCAGTAGTGGTGATGACGACTTTGCGAAGGCGAGGGCAAGTAAGGAACTGATCCAGAGGCGGTTGTTCCAGGTCATGTCGCATCGTCTGGCTGCGCGGCCGTCAAGGGCCACCCTCAAGATGGTCAATACTTTCTTCATGAGTCCCACCGATCCTCCACCTGCCAAGTACAAATCATAATAAAAATTGATGGCAACAATCATTTTATTTCATGTCCTAATATCTAGTGTACCCGCCAGAGGGCTCGAAATCTTGTGCTTCGATAAACGTTCGAAAGGTACGATAGATGCTGGGTCCCCGTATAAGCCACGCACACGTACACCGGACTTCCAGCTCTCTCAGTTTGGAGCATTTTCGGATGATAGGTGATGAATACTGGCCTCTGGGATGGCTACGTGCGTAAACGCTCCGAAGTCCAAATAAAAGCTGTCGAGGGTCGAGCGCGACGTCCGCAAGATGGCCTTGAGGATCTGGTCTTGGTCCGTCTTAGGCATGGCGATTATAAAGAACTGAAGTCCCTTGGGGTAAACCTGGATCAAGCGGACAAGGTCGGCGACAGATAAAGAGTTGTCGCCAGGGTCGACTCGAAGATTGTTGATGTTGGGGCAATGCGTGATCGTTGTCTCCAGGATCTGTCGGAAACTCTCGTGGCCGATTTCATCTCTGGCGTAGAACGAATTTCTCTAAACGAGGAGCGTTCTTGAGCACAGTAATGTGGACCCAGGACTCGCAACCTCCGACTTCTCCATAATCACACCCTATCGAAAAGTGCTTCAAGCACTCGAAGAGTGGCTATTGGTACGAACGCTCAGACTCTGCGACGATCGATGCGGCAATTTGGGTCTTTTCGGCGTGGTCATGGCCCTAACAGATGCAGCACATGGACGGTCGCTGGAGAGGAGAACAGTGCTTAAGGATCGCAAGTATCAGAACGGGGTCCGACAAGACCATCTCGCCTGATAGGTTTAACGTTGTCAAGGTCGGATGGGCTGCAATGCTTGCGAGGAGGGAGTAATCAAACCCCAAGCTGCTTTCGACCATGACCTGAGGGAGCAACACCTCCCGCAACTGCATGGCCATGGCGGCGATAAACCGAAAGGTCCTGTTTCGCAGCCACAAAGTCGTAATCACTCTGATAGGGATCGCCACCATAGTTTATATAGGCAAGTTGTTGGAGGTGTCAAAAAATAAATGAGATGATATATGAGCAATTCCCTCCCCTCTCTCAGAAGTTGAACAACCACTGGAAGTAGCCATTACCTCTTTTACTTTTTGCCAGTTCGCAATAGGACGAGATCTGTTGTGCAGAGTCGAAAGATATGGCAAATTTTTTTGTAAGGTGAGCACTGAGAACAGTAGCAGAAGCCAGTGCGGATTCGGCATACTGATAACGCCACCGTGTCATGAGCTGTGCCTCCAATTGCTGCTGCACTACCCATTTGTATGTTTGAGTTCCCTGGAAATCTACAACAGACTGGTTTCCTATGCGCATACGTACTCGTCGAGTGGTGATGTTGACATGGTTGAGAGTGAGAGAGAGGAGAAAGGAAGGGAAGGAGAATTGAGAGGGATTTCCTCCGTCGTGAATGACGATAAGAATAAGGGGGGTGACGAAAGGAAGGAGGGGGCAATGTTCTCATTCCTCTCATTCCTTTCAAGCATACCAATTGTCGTCTCGTTTTTGTCCTCGTTCTTGGTATCGACCTCCTCCCTTTTATCTTTGATTTTTTTCACACTCAACAACTTACATACCTTCTCGCAACACAATGGACACAGCAAGATCTAGAAAGGCCATTGCCATCGGTCTCGGCGCCCTGCTCTTCCTCAACCCTATCCTTGTCGCTGCCCAGAACGACAACAACAACAATAACAGGCCACACCAGGAACTCGAACGTTTTGTCGCCCTCTCCTCCGACCATGCAGTCTATGATTCTGACGACTTTTCCTTCCAGGAACTGGCTGCGTCTGCTGTATCACCCTTCTGCAAATCATTCACGTTTCTCTGCCATGTCCGCTGTCTCCAGAGAGGCGACGCCAAGGATCCAACCAACGCAAGCACCCCATCTGCGGGTCAGACGGTGTTCAAGGGTGAGATCAACCGATGCACCCATGTCCCCAACACCAACACCAACCGAGTCCTCTGTCTCTGCAACAATGGTGTCGATCTTACGGCGGAGGTCGATTATGCGTTGGAGGGTGTTGTCGATATCGAGGCTGCTGGAGGAGATGGAGTCGGAACTGGAGAAGCTGGCAAGATCCGTAAGGTGGTCTATAGTGCTACCAAGACTCTGACAAAGGTTGTCACAATCACCCAGATGGTGACCACTACTGTTACCTCTGTTGCACCAGCACCCGCATGCATTACCGTCACCGAAGCTGTAGCATTTATCGCTGATTCCTTGGGAACAACGCCAATCGCCAAACCCGTACCGACTCCACCACCCGTCGAGGCAGGCAAGCCCGAGGAGCAGGACGACGACGATGAGAATGGAGTCTCGGCTCGCAGCGAGAGCGTCACCAGGATAGGCGCTCATCATGGATTCGCCAAAGTGAAGAAGGACCCTGCTCGGCAGGGGGGGCCGAGTATGGCGGCGAACAGCAAGGCTCTGTCTCAATTTGGAGTGGTTGCGCAAGAGCTGGGTCAAACAGGTGATTTGGCCAACGACTCGGACGCATACCAGGATCCGTACCTGGAGCAGGAGCTGGCGGGTATGTTTGGCAACGGTGAAATGCAGGCCTATGAGGATGAGGCGGAGGTTGAGGCCGAGGAGGAGCAATACTCTAAACCCAGTCAGGACAGGGACGAAAACGACGAAGATGATAGCTATGACTATGACAGCGACGAGGACGAAGATGGGGTCGATAATGAAGGACAGCATACGTTCCGCGCTGCATCGGCCGATGATCGAGAGTACGAGGATGAGGATGTAGAAGAAACAGGAGCTGGAGGGGTGGAAGTGGGCGATGATGACAAATAGCAACACAACAGCAGTGGCACTAGCAGAAGTTGAGCGCGTAAATAGCATCGAGCGTAGCGCCATCGAGGTCGTACGTAGCAGCTCAAATAAGACCAAACTAGACAGCTTCTTTCTATGCAATATCAATCAAAAGAAGCAATTTGACACGCATGCGCATCTCTACGATCGAAAGAGGGTTCTACTATTCACAATCGAGGTGTCTAGACCCTTTCATGCGCAGTGAGAACGGTAACAACATCACATACTTTTCTCTGGCAGGCAGGCGGAGCAAAGTGGCGGCGTATTGTGGGTGTATGATTTGAAATCAAAAGTCCATTAGCATGGACGCGCGTCGACTTTGTGGAAGCGCACGGAAATACCAATACGCGAACATAAGCACTAAAACCAAAAAAATAATTCCGTATCCGACACGCGCCGTACTTTGACGCCATTCAACATCATTCGCAGACAGGAGAGGACATAACCGGACAGATGCACCACATTCACCAAATTCATATACACGTCAATGAAAAGTTCCCACATCTTTCACTTTTCTCCACAAAGAACCATTCGCATATAAATAGGCACGGACGATGGCACCATAGATCGCCATTCGACTCTGTCTTCTTTTCATCCCAAAAAAAAAAAAAACACCTCAACACCTCACCCAAAATCACACTCAGATCAACAATGACTCGCACGATCGATAATACCACCCGCGCACTCTTCAACGAGAACGCCCTCAAGCAGGACAACACTTTCAAGATTATGTACTTTAAGGTCCATGCCTTGGGAGCCAATGCCCGTGCCATCCTTGCTGCCTCTGGCGCCAAGTGGGAGTGTGTCTTCCCGAAGGTACCCTCTGTACCCAGTATCTCATATCTTAACCTTATCACAGATAAAAATGCAGTGCAGTTTCAAAAATCTAATCAAAAAAACACTTCTAAACACTCATACTCTTTCTCACTCCTATACCTACAGGACTGGGTGAACGAAGAGAAAAAATCCACTCTCTTCGGAGTTCTGCCCAACCTCTTCGAGGCCACCTCCACCGGCGAAGTCATCGAGGTCGCAGAATCAGACGCAATCGAGAGCTACCTCTCCCGCAAGTTCAACCTCCTGGGCAACGATGCATTTGACGAGATGAAGATCAAGGCATTTTGCTGCTCCATCCAGTCCGCGTCCAATTTCCTATTGATCAAGGTCGCAGGTATTAAAGACCCCGAGGTCAAGGCCGCTATGCGGACTCAGTTTATTGAGACGACTGTCCCCCGATTTGTGACGTACCATGAGCGGCATTTGGAGGCTAATGGCCGCAATGGACACTATGTTGGCGACAAGGTAAACAACAAAAAAAGTCGTACTACTCACCTTCTCTTGTGGTTGTTCTTCTTGTGCGTGGGTTATTGACACGTCTAACATCATTCACTTGTACTATCGTTTTTTTTCAATCCAACATAGCTCTCGTACGCGGATATCAAGCTGGCGGTGGTGTTGGTGTCGATCTTCTCGGTGACCGGAGAGAGCCAGATCAACAAGCAGGATACTCCTGCCATCTGGGCTGTTTGGGAGAAGGTTAATGCTATCCCGTCGTATGCTAAGTGGGTCAAGTCTGAGGAGTACCAGGCCGTTAGCGAGGGCAACTTGCAGCTCTTGGGATACTAAATCCCGCTGCCTCGTGTCCTCTTCTTTCCTCTTTCTTTTCACTTTTCAATTTAGTCTTGGCGCAAAGGGGATGATCATGGTGATAGCGAATATATTATACGCGTATTCTTTATTCGGTGTTTCTTTCAAAAATGAAAATAAAATATGAACTGTTCGTGGATACAATCTGTTCGTGGAGGGAAAGGGAGTATTGTTGCTTACGCGTTCTACAACTTGATGGCCTTGGTCTCGAACCTGGCAAACGCAGGATCAGGCAGACCCTGAGGCGCAAACAGATCCGGCTGCTCCTGACCCGCTGATTCCGGCAAGACAGTAGCAACGTTAATACTATTGCTTAAAGGATCAACAGTCCGGACACCTTCAATCACAAACCGGACTACCATGCTCTTGTGAGCCTCCTCCTTGGGCTTGCTCGTAATAAACACACGGGGACCGTTCTGGACAAAGGTGCCTCGGGAGACAGACTTGACGGTCTCGCCCGGTCTGACAAAGAACGAGACCCGCCAGAGGGGGTTGATGGCCTCGTCGTTGGTGCGGATCCGGACTTGAGTCCTGAAGGTTTTGGTGGTCGCGGACTCGGCCTCAGTGGGGCTGAGTGCGAAACTGACAAAGTCTTGTCCGGATTCGAGTTCGACGAAATCGATGAGGTAGTCGTCAGAGGTATCCTTGTCTTTGGCCTTGTTGATTTTTGCCTGGGCGTCGGCGACACGTTCTGGGAAGGTAAATGGCTTCTGTTGCTGTTGTTGTCCCTGCTGTTGTGGTGGTTGTTGCTGAGAGGCAGTATTGTCCTGCTGGCCATTGTCGACAGAGTCCTCGTCCTCATCTTCCTCATCTCCATCATCATTAAACTCAGGATAGCTATCCCAGGTCGTGTCGACAACGTTCCCAAATACACCCCACATCAAATCAATGGCATCCCGCATCTGGTTCCTCATAACCATCTCGGCCTTCTTTTCGTACTCGGTGTCTGAGCAGTTCTTGACGGGCCCCTTGATAAAGTCGCAGCCGCGGGATGTGCAGTACGTTCCTGGTGCACAGGGCTGCAAGATCCATTTGCCTATATATATTTTTTGAAGAGCAACCAAATGAAGGTTAGAAAGGATTAAATTCACTGTTGAAAACATGCTGTAGCGGCCGAGTAAATGACAAAGAAAAAAACACACCAAAGAGGCAGGTTGCAAATTCGTATCCGTCGCATACGAATGCACCATTGGTTGGTGGAGTACACGCAGCATCCTTGATTGGACACTTTGACGGCTCTTTGTTATCTCCAGAGGAGTTTGACACCGAGGGAGCTTGTGCAGGCGTTAGTGCAGGTGAAGGAACGGGGGCTGGAGCAGGAGCAGGAACTGGTGAGGGTGGTACTGGCGCTGGAGAAGGAGCTGCTTCAGATAGTGGAGGAACCGGAACTGGAGGTGGAGCAGGCGCAGGAGGAGGGGCCGGTTCAGATGGTGGTGGGACTGGCGCTGGGACTGGCGCTGGTGGTGGGACTGGCGCTGATGGTGGGACTGGCGCTGGTGGTGGGACTGGCGCTGGTGGTGGAGGAACAGGTGCTGGCGGAGGCACTGGGGCTGGTGCTTGGACCACCGCGGGGTCATCTCCACCGCAGACAAGGTGTCTTGGTCGCTTAAGACGACTGGCGGCAGCAACACTGTACTCAGTACCGGACTCCAAGTTGCCATAAGACTGCGAGATATCCCACATCATGACACCTCCAAAGGAGCTGTACTTGCATCGAACATTGTCCATAATCTCCTCGAGCCGTTCGATACTGACATAACCGGCGTTGGCAGCGGTTCGACTGGCAGGGACACCGAGATAGACCTTAACATTCTTGTTGACAGAGATGGTCTTTGCCCAGTTGTCCCACTGCTCAAAGTTAAAGTTAAAGGATCCATAGGCCTGTGTACCACAGTAATTGTTGTAGTACTGCACAAAGACCATGTCGACCCATGCTGACTGAAGTGTTGCTCCCAGGTATGCGTCTATTCAAGTTGAGAGAGTAGTTATGTGTGAATGAGTGTTTCTTTGTGTTCATAAAAAACGGATGTTGTGCGACCGTGCTATGCTTACCAGGGAAGGGACACTGAGGGGCAGCAGAGATGTAGTACTGTTTCCTAGAATCGGCCGCAAACAGCGAACGCAACTCTGCAATAAAGGCCGGGTAACCTATTGTCGACCCTCCTTCAATACTATTATTTCAAAAACGCGAGCAATGCAACTCTGTCAGTAACGCAACTCATCACTACCAGGAGCACAGGAAGGTCAAATAAACCAGTCCTTGGAGGATAGTACTCACTCGAGGTCAACACCATCCAGTATGGCATCATCCAATGGCCGCGTTCCGGAAGATCCACCCAAAAAGAGATTCCAAATGGTATGCGCAAAGTCCCTTGCCTCAGCGTCATCCGAGAACCCATATGCACCGGCGGCACCACCGAGGGACAATATCACCGCTTTTCCTTTCGATTGACACATCTTGACCCCTTCTCCCGTGCGAGGACAGTGAAGCAATCCAGTACCAGGGCTAGCAGGAATTGAGAGTTGCGTAAGTTTTTGTGTCGCTGCAATCAGTCGTGAACTGGGGGGAAAACAACTACACGAAAAACAAGGGGCTGTCGAACTAGTGAACAAAGAAATATGATAATAAAACTTACAAGGCAGAGTTTTGTTCACACTGGTTCGAAAGATCCATCCTTGGTAATCCTCTGGACGCACTGTTGAAGACATGCAAGAATGACACTACAATCACATCCTCGGCCCCTGATGTCTGACAGTAATCTCCCAATGGTTTTTGCCTATAGGAGGCGGGATGTAAAGGCGCGATGAGAAGTTAGGTATTGATGTTTTTTTAGGTCCCTGCGCGATAAGAAAGCAAAGTAACGCATACTCACCAGAAACGCATATCTCCTCCGGCTGCTCCATAAGAACTATGATGGGAGATTGTTAACAGATGCAAATCAGAGATTGTCAGTTACAAAGTCATTGTGGACTAGCTTTCGTAGCAAATGAAGGACCAGTGGATTGTCGCCTTACTTTTGCCCCCAATAGTTGACGAGGTTGCTATCCGAGTGGGGATCAAAGGCGCTGACAGACGAGCCCAAGAGGCCGAATGATAGTAGACCAAGGCAGAAGGAAATCGAAAGCATTGCTGCTGGTCGTGTCATCGTGTGTGTCGACTTAGTTCTCTTTTCTTTTCTCTTTTCTTTTCTCTTTTCTTTATGGCCAATGAAGGTAGGAAAGATGTGCGGTGGAGTGGTGATGAAGAGGAGGGACGGGCAGAGCGAGAGGAAAGAAAAGAAATAAAGGAAAAAGAAAGAAGATGGATTTTAAAATGAAGGATGTAAACCAGCAAAAAAAACAGGAGTAGATATTAGGGGGATGGCAGTGGTCTTTCTTGAAAAGGGGTGGAAACTTTAGAGGATGCTCCTTTCTTCTTCTCTGCTTTGCTATGAGTGATGTAGGGGGCTTACAAAGGAGAAGGAAAGGAGGGCCTTTGGAGTGTCCTTTGTCACTCATTCCAATGCGGACTGGAGAATGAAGTTGTGAAGCACCTTAATAGTTGTCGCTGTCATTCTTGTTTTGTTATTGTTGTCATCACTGTGAGTGATGGTCATTTTCTCCTTCTGAATCTTAGATGGCTGTGGTAAGCAGGAATGGCTTACAGTTGTTTCTTTACCCCTGAGAGGGGCGTTGATGGTAGAGTGTTCCTAGGATCGATCGGTGCCACCAAAAAAATCCAAAGTGGCGAAGACGGCCTTTGATGAGACGGCTGATCAATTGATGAAACTCATCCTATCTAAAATGATGGCCGTGATGTTGAGGTCTGAAGTCGCTGTAAAAGCCTATGCAAAGGTGTGATGAGAGTCCTTGGCGAAAAGTTAGTGGTTGGCAGCGACACTTCATTAATTAGGCTAGGACACAATTGTGAGGTGGAGATGGTTTAGCAATTGTGGGCATGGTCTGTTGAGTGTGGGTGGTAGGGAGGTCTTGGCAACATGTGTATTGGGAGTGCTGGGTAAGATGTCTTCTCGACCAAGCAAGCAACAAGAGCGAGCGTAAGGTCTTCGATCTTTTACATGGTTTGTGTGACATGTGATTCATGGTGTTGTTGGATTTAGGTTGGGTTGATCGGATCGAGCAAAAAGAAGAGGAGAGAAGAAAAATGAAGACCCATCGGACCGTACCTCACCACACACCAACCGAGTACCGTACAACCAAAAAAAAAAAGGGTTTAGCGCTGATGACTGGTTGAACGTCCCTCCGTCTCCCCGCTTCACTTCTTTCCTCTTGTTCACTTTGCCCCACACGGCTTACCTTTTCTCTTCTTTCTTTCCTTCTCTCGCTTTTCTTCTTTCCCCTTTACTACACTCATCGCCAAACCAACCAACAAACCCACCCACCCAACAACAACACCACCACCAACACTCACATACAAATATGCCAGAGGTCAAGAAGAACCCCACTACCGTTGTCGAGGACGATCTGGACGACGACTTCCTCGATGGTAATAAACCCAACTCAACCACATCACTTACTCTCACATCTCTAAGAAAGAAAAGGAGGAACACTCATTTCAGGAACAGGAAGCAACTCACACAAGTACCACGTTGCACTCATTCTAACATTGTCTCGCCTTGCTTGTCATCCCTCGCTCTCCCTTCATCTCGTCACCTTGACCTTAGGTGCCTTGGACGGCTTCACTTCCGCCAAGCCCGCTGCTCCCGTCAAGCCCACTGCTACCCAAAAGGTCGACAGCGCCGCCTCTACCACATCTTCCAAGCCCGCAAAAACACCCGAGTCGCTTTTGCTGAACCCAGAGGACCTCGAGGATGACGACGAGGCTGCTGTTGGAGGTCTGGATGCTGAATTCTCCAAGCAGCTCGCTTCGGGCATGGAGGAACTCATGAAGGAGATGAACGGTAACACCGAGTTGCAAAAGTCGTTCGAGGAGATGTTCAAGGGATTGGATGTCAACGGAAAGTCCACGGCAGCACCAACACCCAAGGCTGCCAGTGCGGCCAGCTTCCAGGACAGGATTGCAAAGACCATGGACAAGTTGAAAGACAGCTCAGAGCAGGTCGATGTAAGTGTCTTGAATCGAAAGAACACTGGAGTTATGTGTATTATACTTTACAGAAACAGCTACATGGAGGATGACATACCGATAACAAATGTGAACCACAGAGAGCTATGCAGGCAGGAAGGACATGGAGCAACACTCAAGGATGGGCGACATCTATGCACTTTGAACACTTTTTGGTTGTTGTGTTTTGTTTTTTTACTCTTTTTGATTTTGTGTCCGGACATCGGGCTCAACGGTGGATGGGTCGGTCGGATTTGAACACACAAACCAAACCATATTCGATCAAAAAAATAATAAGACGCCTCACCCATTCGACAGCTTCCTTCTCGAAGCCGAAGCGAACAACGCAACGTGACGCATTTCGTTTTTTATCTTGATCCAGACGCCTTTTAATTAATCACACTGCACTCTTTCTAACGAACTATATAGGCCCAAGTTGCAGAGGAATCTGAGGAGGCGCTTATGGCCGAGATGATGAAGCAGATGGAGGGTATGGCTGAGGGTGGCGATTTCCAGAACGTCCTTGAGGGCATGATGGAGCAATTGATGTCCAAGGACATCCTCTACGAGCCCATGTTAGACTTGCAGAACAAGGTACCTACCGTTTCATTTTTTTCTCAATTGTGCCAATGTTGAATGAAGGTCGATCTGTTGCTGGATTAATCCATCTAACGTCTTCTTCTGTTTCGTGTGTATACAGTACCCCCAATGGCTCAAGGACAACAAGGACAAGATTTCGGCAGAGGAGTATGCCCGCTACGAGAAGCAGTATGGCTATGTCAAGGAAATTGTGGAGTTCTTCGATCGCCCCGATTTCGACGAAAAGAGCGATACTCAGGCCAAGAGTGTCATCGATCTTATGCAGGGCGTAAGTTTTTCAACTAGTCGTATTTTTCTTTGTAAAACCGGAGGTACCTGCATGACATATCGCCAGTGTGTAGAATGTCGGCTAACCTACCGTTTTGACTTTTGCGTGAAATAGATGCAAGATTGCGGACAGCCACCTGCAGATATTTTGGACGAGCTTGCCCCTGGTCTTGAGATGGGTGCTGGTGAGTGATCTCATATGTGATATTTCATCTCGATACGTTTGTTGCTTTGCTTTTCGTGGCCTACATGAATTTGCATATGCTGACGCGCTTTACTTTGTTTTATGCTTTTGTGATTTAGACGGTGTTCCTAAAATGCCTGACATGCCCGAGTGCAACATGCAATAGAGGATCCAAAGGCGCGAGAAAAAAAAATAAAAGAAACCAAAAGAATGAACATTCAAAGATATTGCCGAGCGTGCTTGCGAAGATTTCGATTGGGCGATTCCAGGACAAAGACTGCTTCAGAGTCGTCAACACGTGTGCATGCTTGATTTCAAATGCCAGCACGGACATCGCTGCAGTTATTTGGCCTTCTTTGAGGGGCGCGACACTCTATTGCCTATTCCGATCCAATTGACAATAGAAGCTCTGTGGCAAGGACATCTCGAGAGGACCACCAGAAGAAAAGACAAGAGAAAAGAAAATGCAGTGGTGTGGTGGACAATCCGAAGAGTACCACTGCGAAACAGCGTGGTGGTGGGGACAAAGGAGATCCGAGCTGTAGGTGTGAAACCCCTTAATAGAAGAGTGGCCACTCCCTCCAGAAGACTGGACACTCCTTTTTTTTCTTTCTCCTCCCCCTCCTCGCACCTTACTCACTCATTCACACTCCTCATTCTCTCCCTAAACTCCATTCGACCCTAGCCCTTTTCTCCATCGCACCTTTTCCTTCTCTTACCGACAGCACAGCACACCGCCACGCCGACGCAATGAGCTCAAACCTCTGTCAGCAGAGTCAGGCCCACCGTCTCTACAGCCTGTACTTGCACTATGACGCCTCTCACGCTGCGAAGCATGAGGACCCAGAGGTGAGGTGACTGTTCTTTACCCCACTCTTTCTTCCTTCTTCGCTCTCAAGAGGAACCTTGCTTGCAGTCATGCTGACGACCTGAAGAGAGAAAAAGGAAACAAAAAAAGAAAGAGCGCTGGCTAGAATGGATAACAATCGGCGTGCGGACAATTCATAAGCGACGATTTAAAGAATCATGAAATGGCTTGTAGCGTCATATCTAGTATCTGGATAAAACATGGAAAAAAGAAAATTAGGTCCCTAAAAAATAATAAGGGTGTGGGGCAGGTCAGGCTTTCTACCTGGCCCTTCCCTCTCCTCCACCGACTCCTCCTCCTCCTCCTGCTCTTTTTCTAATTGGACCCTGATACCACCTTCTGGATGAGTGGGTGGGGTCACTTTACACCGCCAAATCCAAGTCGTTGTGGCGATTGGGTGGTTTTTTTTGTGAGGGATGGTAACTGCTCACCTATTATGGATGTCATGCAAGTTCATGCTCTTATCTGCCTTGAAAGGCAACAAAGAAAAAAAAGACCAACAAGTTTGTTAAAACCATCATTGACAGTGTTCCTTTCACATGCCCTACCTGTGATACTGGTTGCGTTTGCGCTTTTTCCCTGCAACAGTGCAAGGCCGTCCTCAAGCAATGCTTCGCCCTTCTAGAGAAAGACTATGTCGTAGGCACGGTCGCAAACCACAATGGCCAGCTCTGTTCGTCCTATCCGTCCGAGCTAGCCATCCTCGAAAAGTCTCGTCGCGCACCTACCACTGACACGACCACCACGGTCGATCCTCGTCCAGACACCCATTCGATCCCCTCCGACAACCAGGATCTCTTTCAAGTGAACAGTGGTGAAGAATCCTTCTCACCCCATCCTGCCCTTTCTCCCCACCGACCAACCTTCCCGCCAACGCTGGACTCCCATACTCGAAAACTTCCCTCGGCATCCTCGGCATCCTCTTCATCCTCCTCACCCTTTATTTCACGGACCTCTAACACCGCCAACAACAATGACAATCTGCTCCACAACAACACCGACTTTGACCGCGAGCTTTCCCGCCCTGTTGACATGGATAACTCCTTTCTGGAGGAGACAGGCGATCAGAGCTTTGATCTTGGAGAGAGCGGGATGATGTCGTTCCAGGACATCAAAACAGAGCTCGACTTGATCCAGACCCCTCAAAGTCCACACCAACGTCATGTCTTGCCGTTCCCTTTCCGGATACCCAGACCTGAGAAGAAAGAGAGCGTTGCAATAAAAGAATATGTGCCTTCTCCTCCTACCACGGACCCGGTCTCCTCGCACAGTGGGAAGACACAGACACCTGGCCTACAGTTGGTAGACAAGGACAAAGGTTTGTGCACTGCCGTGTCCTTCTATGTTATACAATGCTGCCTACCCCGCTCGCCGCCTAGGATTGAATTGAGGTCTAGGTTCTCATTGCTCCTTGTGCTGACCACACGATCTGCTTACGGATGTGGCCTCAAATAGTGAACGATACCCATGAGCTCTCAAAGCAGTTCGAAAAATCACACTTTGCGCGCGTCCGGGCTCGATTTGTGATCCCCTGCATCCTGGTTCGAGGCAAGAACATTTGCCGATCTGCGACGCTGTCCAACGAAGTCGAGGTCTTTATGCATAGCGTCAACCAAAAGATTATCGATCTGAACCAGAAGCGCAAGATGTTTCTCTACGGAACAGGAGAGAGGAGGTAAGGGTTCGTCTGGCAAGGACTCTTGGTCCTTGAACGACTTGTCTTTGCGCCATAATGACACCCCCCTTTTTTAGCGTCTCCTTCTCTTTGTCCTCATTTTCCTTGGAATGAGTTACCTGAATAACACCAACCTGCTTAATTTCTATTGTTTTTTACGGTCACCCTCCTAGTCCGGACAAGGAAGAGCGCGAGTCGTCGTTGGAGAAGCAGCGTTTAGAGGACATTGAGCTATTGCACCAGCTGGGAGTCACATACATTAATGATCTCATGGTGGAGAATCGCAAAGTCAAGTATGTCCAGGCTTTCTTTTTTTGCCGCTTTTCATGGATACTATAGCTATGACATTATCTTACCTAATACCTTCCACCTGTATGAATTTCGCATATGCACTAGATATGGCCTCAAGGTCACCTCGTCGGAAAAGGTCGACTCGTTTGGGCGGTACTCAAAGTTCAAATTGGTGGCAACTCCCTATCCTGGTGTCGAGTTTTTCCAAAAGTTCAAGGCGAACAAATACTCTGCTCGGAAGCTCTGCTTCGACTGGTCTCAAAACTTTGCCGATGCCGAACTCCAACTACCGCCGGGCCATGCCGACTATCTAGGGATCCGTTGGAGGGATTACAAGAGCTGGGACTTGAGTATGTGCTTGCTTTGAACTCATGTGTATATAAATACGCATGGGTATATGAGTCTAATCGTGCAATTACTTTTCTTTCCCCTTATAGTTGAGTTGACACAGAACTACCTCCGCCTGTACCTCACGCATGTTTCTGACGACTCTAGCGATCAGACCATCCCTGAGACTGGCAGGCAGTTATCAAAGGGTCTTTTAATCCATTGCATTTCAGGCAAGCGACACTCTCGCGTATGTCTATCATCGGTGCATTTTCTTGCATGCATCCAGTTGACGCAATATTAACAATGCGAGTTTCTTACTTGCTACCTGATAGGCTGGGATCGTACGCCGCTGTTTATCTCATTACTCAGGATATCGTTATGGGCGGATGGAGAAGCGCACGAGTCTCTGACAGCTGCAGAGATTCTCTACTTGACGATGGGATACGACTGGTTCTTATTCAAGTAAGTCATGTATCAAGGCCCGGGGGTGGGGGGGATGTTGGCTCTTTGATTTGTTTCTTATTTCTCATTACTAACCTTGTGCTTTTTTCTTCATTGTATTAGCCATTTGCTGGCAGATCGTAGTCAGCGAGGCGAAGACATCTTCTACTTTTGCTTCTACTTCCTCAAGTTCATCTACAGCGAAGAGTTCTCCCTGTCCTCGATATCCAGCACCAACAAGATGGGCAAAGAGGCGTCTAAGCAAACATCTCGACAGGCAACACCTCGTTCACCGCTGCTGAAGGATATAGGACGAGTCAGGAATGGCGTATTCGCATCAGCATCTCCTGATCCTGTGGACCCCAACAGTGCCATATGCGATGAGTGCCAGGTGCGTAGGAGGCCCTCGATCGGCCGAGATGCCTCGTCCATCAAGAACAGTCACGATGCCGCTTCGTCGACAGACGGCAAACCTTCCAGTTGGCAGTTTGTCAGCTTTTCGACTCCACCTGGGCGAGATAGACATGGGTCGCCTCGTGCTCCTTTTGCCCCAACCCTGCAGGCAATATCCAGAACATCAGGATCACCCTTGGGTGCCAAACGTGGTTCCTTTCCGCCTGGGTTCATTGAGGATATGAGAGTAGCACCTGGGGAACATGGGTCCCCAGACATACAGCATTCATCATCCAACGCCAGCCCGTTCACGTTCAATGATGGACGCCTCCGACTTGGCGTCCAGCAATTCAATGCCCGTCGATCATCTTCGAGCAGTATACCCGGATTATTTGCAGACGAGTCGGAGCGGCACCAGTCTCCAGGAGTCTTGGCGTCAGAGTTTGCTCGTGTGTCGACCTCGCCCAATTTGCTGAGCGAACAGTCGCGCGGAGAGAGTGACGGCATGTCAAGTGAGTCTGGATCGAAAGGAACCACTGGTGAAAATCGTAGTGCGCCTCGCAAGAGAGCATCGACTTTTGACGGAGGGCTGTTGCTCTCTTCTGGTCAGGACTCGCATCTCGACCACGACGATATGGGCTCCAAGAACGGGTACGAGGAAGAGGAAGAGGAAGAGGAAGACGATCTCACCAGCGGCGACGATGACAACGTGAACGACGAGACGAGCAAGCCCAAGGCAGCAGAAGCAGTTTGCTGCCAGTTCTGCCACCAGCCCATCTTGTCTGGATCGCGTCCTGCTCAAGTCCATTCTGACTCAACGGAGGCTATGTTTGCTGTTACCAGGCAGACCGCGCCAGCCCACGCCGAGGTCCTGCGGCACTCTCGTCAATCCATCAAAGTCAACGCCAACCAGCTTCAGGATCGTGTCCGGAGCATTGAGGGACTTCATACCGATGACTATGCTGGAGCATATCGTGACAGTGCCGCCAACGAGTGTGATCGCGAGGAGAATATGTTCCAACTCGAGATTGATGAGCGACCTGCCTATCGACGATGCAGCGAAGGAGCAGAGCTCGACTGTCTGGATCCTTCATGTCTGTCCAACTCGGGAGGATACCATGACCCCATGTGCAGCAACTCGTGTGGGGAGTCGGATCAACTAGCTGGAAAGGCGTCCTGCATCGCCAACGACACTGAGAGCATTGAAGGGGACGAGAATGAGAGCTTTTGGGATGAGACATCGACGGTCGACTATGGATGTAGTCCTGCCAGTCTCTTGAATGGGTTTGGATTGGGTTTGACCAAGTGTGAGCCTGAGGCTGGCTCAGGCAATGGCAAGATCGGTACTGGAAACTCTGGGGCTCGCGGGATCAAGTCTGCTCAAGGCAGAGTGGATTCGGATGAGGACGATGAAGATGATGACGAAGATGACGACGAAGATGATGACGACGATGGCACAGCCAGTATCAGCTCGCGTCGAAGCAGCATCAAGAATGATCACCACGAGAACGACCACCTCTTCGCCCCCTCCCTCGAAGGAGTGTTCTCGAACAGCACAAGGTCTCGCAGACGGTCAGGACAAAGCAGGACATCGATTCCGAGACCCATGCACCCAGCGCAGAGCCACGAATCGGGCTATTCCTTGGCGGATCAAGATGGATCATTGAATGGTACTGCGCGCGGAGATACTGGCGCTGGTGTGAAGTCAAGTTCTGATAAATCCCGGACGCTGACCCGGCGACAAAAGCTCAAGCAACTTCGACGTCTGTTCATGGACATTCGAGGCGAGATTGGAGACGGATCACGACCTCCAAGCCGGGCGCTCGATATTGCCAACAACAAATCAACAGTCGCCTCTGAACTGGATGATGAAGAAGAGATCGGCACCTCACTCAGAGCAGAGTCATTTTCGGACGACTCTGCCTTTCAGTACCGGTCATCCATATCTTCATTTGCTCGACACACCGCACCCGTATCGCCTTCGACGACCTCCTCGAGGCTGCAGGACTTTGGACCCAACCAGTCACCGTTCCATCGCGGTCCGTTGGTGCGGCCATATGGCGAATCACCTATCGTCTCGCCAACAGCTCAATATCAGCACCGCTCGCAGCATCAGCAGCACAGCCAAGCTCCCCCAGTAGTGCCCTCCGGACGGAAGAGTCCCTTTGAGTGGGCCGCTTCCCTTGGTTCATCCGCCTCAGAGATGATCTCGGGAGGATTTGGTCAGTCAAGCTCAGGGTCGGGAGTCGTCAGGCAAAGCCCTTCCTTGAAACCGTCTGTCTACCCACAGCACCCTGTTCACCCGTACCAACTGAGCGTGTCACCCTCTCCAGGGTCACCGCAAGTTCACTACCATCAGCAGCAACAACATGCGCATCATCAGCACCAGTACCTCAGCAACATCCAGAGCCCAGTGTCAGGAACAACTACACCGATTGAAGGCTTTCAAGATGTGGGATCCCACCTCTCCGATGATCGCTCGGGGTTCCGTGGCGTAAGGAGGCATTCCTTAATATCCTCGACCACATCATCGACTTCGTCGTCAAAGTTACGCGGAGGTCCAGGCGGTGCAAACGGTATCAAAGACAAGGGCGGAGAAAACTCTGGGCGTTGGGACTGGTAAGCTCACGTTCTTTTTATTTTTGTTTTGTAACCTCATTGCTAATAAGGTTGTTTTGGAACTCATTCATTCTTTTTCTACGATTTGTCTATTGGGAATAATAGGATGCCCGGCATCTTTGTTTAATGCGAGGCGTACTGACTGTGGCTGAACTACACATCAACAAATTTACAGAGTAAGTGCAACCTCGATCTGGTGTTGATTTTGTTTGTCTTCTCATGCTCAAGGTCTAACCCTCGTTTTTTAATCTTTTCTATTCATTTCAAGGCGGTTTAGATTGTAGCAGGGAGAAAGGAGAAAGAGAGAGAATAGGAAAGACTTTTTTTTGTTCATTCTACATTGCGTTAAAAGATAAAAGCTTATTGTTTCTACCATGCATCTGACAACTTGCTCTGGCATCGATTTGGTGGCGTGAGCAGTCACACTAGCTGATTCGCAGAAAAAACAGAACCAAGATCAAGTCCCTCTTTCGCTTCCCATGCAGTTTTCGTTCTTTCAGGACCAGCACGATGTCATCGTTCCGAATTCCATCCGCCCCTGTTCGCGCACTCAATCTTGGCTTGCTGCCAAAGAGTTCACCAATCTATCATGCCGCACTTCAGATCCGGGCAAAGAGCACAGCAGCGGCATCAACAGCACCAAGTCCTCGTAGCACTGATCTCTGGAAGAAGCAGAGCATCAACAACAATCACAGCAGCGAAGCCTCGACAGGAAATACGACCCTAGCTCAGGCACCCATATATACCACCGGACTCAGCCGTCTCCGAGAACACTATACCACCTCCATCCAGGAGGACATCATGATTACATCCTACCGACACCACCACAAGCAAAAGAAACAGATCCCGGAGGGCGTTAAGGTGGAGTTGAAGGGTAACAAACACCTGAAGCCATTGCCAAGGGCATCATCACCGACAGAGATCCCAGAGTTGGTCAAGATCGACGTTCACTGCATGATGAAGGAGGCGATTACGAGCAAGTACAACCTGTTGAGCGGTGTCATGGCGATCCAATCTATAACAGGAGAGACACCGGAGATCATCTTCGCCAAGAAGGGCGTTCATAACTGGAAGCTTCGGAAAGGTAACGTTTCGCTGCTTTGTTTTGCATTTTTTTGTTGTTGAAAGTTCATTCTCAACAGGAAAGAAAAAAGAAATGATAGGATAAGGTTCTAACCGATTGCTTACACCAATTGTTATCATACTCATAGGAATGCCTATTGGTTGTAGAGTGACATTGAAGGGCGACAAGATGTATCAGTTCCTGGACAAGCTAGTTGAAGTGGTTCTTCCAAAGATGAAGGAGTGGCCTGGGTTGCCTGAGGGATCAGGAGACGGCACAGGAAACATTGGAATGGGATTCCCCCCGTCGGCGCTTTCGCTCTTTCCGGAAATCGAGAGCAACTTTGATATGTATCCTCGGATGACGGGATTCGACATTACGTTCAACACGACCGCATATACCAATATGGATGCCCGGCTCTTGATGAGTGGGTTTAATATGCCCTTCCAAAAGTCCAACTCTGGTGGTGCTGCTGCTGCAAGGAAGGATTCTTCTGCAGCTGTTGGTGAGGCTAAGAAGGCTGAAGACCCAAAACCAACGGACGCATAACGTCGCCTTATCCATCCCTCACTCCTGCATATATATCTCTCTCATGTCATTTTTCGCATAAAGCATTCAAAGCATTCAGTATATCATATTGATCGCAGGAGTTTGATTGATTGCAAAGTTCCCCTTAATTGTGATCGTGGACTTTGCAGAGACAAGCCACCCAAAAGAACAGTCCACAGCCCCCAGCAGCCGCGAATTGGATTGAATGGCTCCATTTCACTGCTTCGTTCGCGCCTGCTTCTTGCTTCCTCCCCTTTCTCTCTTCCCCATCCTCTTCCTTTGACCCACCACCTCTCCCCGATCACTCCACCCCGCCTTCTCTCTCTCGCTCTTCCCTTCGACCTTCTCGGCCCTAGTTCTTCGCTGTTCTTTGTTCCCCTTGCAAACAAGTCCAGCGTCAGTTCTTCTTCTTCTTCTCTCAGCCCCTTTTCATACAACCAACCAACAAAACTCACAATCCACCTTTTTTGCTCCAAGAGTAACAAAGCAAAGCAAAACCAACAACAACTGTGGTTACTCGCTAGCTGCACTTCACCCTCTCTAGTGATTGACCCCATACCCATACACCACCTCGATGCCCGCCCCACCTCCTGAGGAGAAGCCTCAGTGGTCCCGAGGCCCTGGCCCCCAGGGGTACTCGTAAGTCTCTTTCTCCCTGCCTGGCTCTCTTGGCTGTCTGTCCCCCATGACTAGCTTTATTTTTTTTGCACTTTCTCGCCTTGACACCAAAAGGGACACGCCTCCGCTGTTTTGAGTCCACAGACCCTCAGTCTAGTCTTTCTTCACAAGTACTGACCGTTGCAATGTTCCCCTACCCTACTCACCTTGTACAACAGATCGCCTTCGGGATCCATGCAGCCTCATCCCTCTGCCTCACCATACTCCCATCATCTTCCTCCTGTTGGTGGCCCGCAAGGACAGGACCAGCACGCACCCAGCCAAGGAGGACCTGTTCTACCTCCCCCACCCATGTCTATCGTAGGAGGTCCCCCACCAAGGTCAGGCCAGCCCATGCCATCTTCGCGTCCTCCTACAAGCCCATCTTTGAGCAGTGTGCACGGAGGCAACGCACATCCTTCTGCTATCATGCCACCTTCTCACGGCCTACCCCAAGGCCACAGGGTTCCTGATGGCCCCCATCACCATATGGCGTCGTCCCCGCAGCCAAACCACATGGCTCAATCGCCTCATTCTGTGCCGCCACCACATGGCCAACACTCCGGTCCCCATATGCCGTCGTCGATCAACCCATCACCCCCTGTAAACAACCCTGGACCAGGACCAGGACCTAATTCTGGTTCTGCACCACCCCCACCTCCCGCGCAACAGACTCCCCCAGCTTCTGGTGGCAATGCAGCTATCTCTCCAGCGGCAGGAAGCAACTACAGGCCCTTGAATGTCAGAGACGCGTTGTCGTACCTTGATCAGGTCAAGGTGCAGTTCCAGGATCAGCCCGATGTTTACAACCGCTTCTTGGATATCATGAAGGACTTTAAGAGTCAAAAGTAAGTGCACCCTTGTATCGTCATGGGCATATTCTGCAAAGGGAAAATGCATCAAAGGCTTGAATTGGTACTCTTCGATGAGGGGAACCAGCATGGCTGGTTTAGGTTGATTGGTTGGAGGACTGCTTGAAAGCGCCATTATTTTCAGGTGGCTTCGCAGGTCAGGGGGGTGGGGAGAATGAGTAGAATGAGAGGAGAAAAGGGGAGGGGGATTGCGCGTCACACAGTCAAGAGTGTTCAAAGCTAACGCACAATGGTTCGTCTTCACTGATAATAATAATATTAGCATCGACACCCCGGGGGTCATTGAGCGGGTATCAACTTTGTTCAAGGGACATCCTGCACTTATCTCGGGATTCAACACCTTCTTACCGCCGGGATATCGCATCGAGTGTCTCAGCAGCGCCAATGAGACCAACTTGATCAGGGTCACAACCCCTTCGGGACACACGACGACTCAGATGGGCGGACCAATTGTTATCCCTGAGCGTCTGCCTCCACCTCCCGCGCCCTCCCACTACAACCAGCCACCCTCATACCATATGCCTCAGAACAGTGGCTACCAGCCCTCGATCCCACCCATCTCTCAGATTCAACTCCCTCCTGTCAACGCACCTGGCTATATGTCTCAGCCGGCTACTCAGCCTATGGGGCCTTCAGGATCACAGAACGGAGCCAACAACAAGAAGACTCCAGTCGAGTTCAACCATGCTATCAACTATGTCCATAAGATTAAGGTACGCGGGCTCAATTTGTACTGAGGCATCAATTGATTGATTGCTTTACATTCGACATGATGGAACATTATTCGTCACGCACTCACACGTTGACCTTTTGCCTTTTCATGATTTAGAACCGCTTCTCGAATGATCCGGAGACATACAAGCAGTTCTTGGAGCTACTTCAGGCCTACCAGAAGGAGATGAAACCGATCACCGATGTAAGCGCTGCTGGATGGATGTCGTTGGTATACCCTTGGCATCTTGACTGGATGAAAGGTTATTCAGAGGTGATTCTAACATAACAATCAATTTTGCCACCAAATCTGAATAGGTCTACTCCCATGTGACCCTTCTGTTCAAGAACGCGCCCGACCTGTTGGACGAATTCAAGCAATTTTTGCCTGAGAACGGCAACCCTCCCAACCCCGATCTCTTTGACGAGATGATGCCACAGCCTTCAACCCCTGCTCCTCCTCCACGGTCAATGCCCACCCTCAACACTCTCAGCAACGGAATGGCCGGTATGTTTCATGCTACTGGATATTGTACCTCAAATGTGTTTGTCTGCACCATGATGTAATTATGCCAACTAATTATTTCAACTTTTATTTGCAATAGTTGGCGAGTTCCCAAGCCCACCTCCAAGTGAGATGTACACCAAGAAGGTCCCACAAATAGTGCCTGTTCCACCAATGGCAGGAACGAGCAAGAAGAAGAGAGTGACGACGATCAACGAACGGCCTTTGCCCGATGGTGGTATTGGCACTAACAAGAAGCGCGTCAAGCACAGTCATACGGCCGAGAACGGCGGTATCTCGCCACCCATGGCTTCAACCCAACCTACAGTCGCGTCAAAGAGCCCTGCCAGCGTTGAGGAACTTGCCTTTTTCGACCGTGTCAAGAGAACTTTGAACAACAAGCAGACTTACAACGAGTTCTTGAAGTTGCTCAACCTTTTCAGCCAGGATATTTTGGACCGCAAGCTGCTGGTTGATCGCGTGGAGTCCTTCCTCGCGCCTCATAAAGATCTCATGGATTGGTTCAAGGCCTTTGTCGGTTGGGATGGCAAGGATGAAGTCATTGAGAACGTCGCCGCCCCTCGCCACAAGGTTGATCTGAGCACCTGCCGCCGCTACGGCGAGAGTTATCGATTGTTACCAAAGAGCGTAAGTTTTATTACCATGCTGATGCAAAAGTGTCGTATTCTTGATCCAGTTGACTGAGACCCAGGCAATGATCCTCTAACCTAAACTCCTATTTTTGTTTTACCTTTCATAGGAGACAATGCTGCCCTGCACTGGTCGTGATGAGATGTGCTGGGAAGTTTTGAACGATGTATGGGCATCTCATCCAAACTGGTCTGTTGAGGGTGAAGGTTTCATGCCCCACAAGAAGAACCAGTTCGAGGAAGCCTTGCACAGATGCGAGGAGGAGCGTTACGAGTTTGATATGAACATTGAGGCCAACTTGCACACGATCGCCCTTCTCGAGCCTATCGCCAGACAGATCCAGGCCATGGGTATCGACGAGCGCGCACGATTCAAGCTCCCCGAAGGTCTCGGTGGAACTTCCAAGACCATCTACCAGCGCATCATCAAGAAGATTTACGACAATGAGCGCGGTGCTGAAGTGATTGATGCTCTGCACAACAACCCCGCTATTTCCGTTCCCGTCGTCTTGAAGCGACTCAAGCAAAAGGATGAGGAGTGGAAGAAGTCACAGGTAAGCCTTCATTTCTACGTTTCTTTAGGATGCAGTGTGTCCCTCAAGAGTGACGTTTTATCTCACCACTGACATGAATTCGATTGTACTATTTTCCGATTTCTAGCGGGATTGGAACAAGGTGTGGCGTGAGCTCGACAATAGGAACTTTTATAAGGCTTTGGATCACCAAGGCACGTCTTTTAAAGTTGCTGACAAGAGGTATATCACCTCGAAGGCTCTTGTTGCTGAGATCGAGGCCCTCCGTCGCGAGCAAATCGACCGCCGTTTGGTGCCCTCTGTCCGCCCTCGCTACCAGTTCCAGTTCCACTTCAAGGATGCCAACCTCTTCCGCGATACCAACAACCTCATCCTCGCCTACCTCGACCGCCAGCACACCTTTGTGAGCATCGATCGGGAGAAGATGGAGAGCTTTATCAAGGAGTTTGTTCCTCAATTCTTCTGCTTGGATGACCAATTTTTGAGCGATGGTGATGTCTCTATGGGAGGCACTGATGACCATGTCCCAAGCACATTTGATGGGTCAGCTGATAGAAGCCGTGCCTCTGGAACTGGAGGCAAGCAAGGAGATGCTCAGGTCAAGATGGAGCCTAAGGATGACTCGATCCCTGTCAGCGGACCCCGCGTGCCTGTTGCAGCCGATAAGGAGCAGCCGAGAGCCAACTCTCCAAGCAACACATGGATTCAGGTTGGCAACTACGATGTCAAACCCACCAGCTTGGGTGCTGCACCCGTCTCTGCCGAGACAAAGCGTTCTGCACTCAACTTTTTCGGCAACATGACCTATTACTGCTTCTTCCGCTTGTACCAGGTAAGAAACCTCCGATGCAACTCGTCGCCGAATGGTTATCATGAATTTATATTTGAGTGCTAACTCGCGTTCTCTTTCTTCATTTTTGTTGTAGTTGGTATACAGCCGTCTGGAGACTGTCAAGGCTGCAGCCTCCGAGTTGAGCAAGTCTGCTTCGGAGCGCAAGATGGCTAACCCCGCTGCCATTGACCTCGGCCTTCAAGATCCTGATAGTAAGAGGCTCTTCCTTGTTGTTTTGACTGTCTCGATTCACGGAGTGCTTTCAATTGAATATTGAATACTGACAACGATATCTATGTTTTATGATAGTTGACCCAGAGCAAACGATTGTCTCGGGCGATCCATATGGCAAGGTTCTCGCCAACATCCACAAGGTCTTTGACGGCGAGATGGACCCAACGGCATTTGAAGAGCATGCTCGCTCTGTCTTTGCCACCAAGGCGTATATCATCTTCACCATGGACAAGCTTATCGCCGCCCTGTTGAAGCATGTAAGTCATTCGTTTGGTATCTGTTCTGAGTATATAATTATTCCTAAGGCATACTAACCACCTTTAACTTTTCTTGATGTAGGTCCACACCATTGTCATTGATCAGAGATGCAACGAGCTCATTGCTATGTTTGTCAAGGACCGCCAGCACGAAAAGAACAGCAGGCGACAGCAGATCATCTACCGCATGCAAGCCGATGCTGTTGTTGGCGATGAAAGTCTGTACAAGATCGAATACGTAAGCCATGAACCACTACATTTCTGAATTGTATCACTGAAGCATCTCCTGTGCCCTGGATCCTTTTCGATGACTCTAATCTTAATGCTCGATCGTTGCTTCTTTCTTGAATAGGCTAAGGACGAGTTGGCGATGAGCATTCAGTTGTTGAGCAAGAACGACTACACGCTGGACACTGCAATTTCGTCTGAGGAGAAGTGGGGCTACTACATTGACAGCTACGTCCTTCTCACACCAACAGAGGGCGTTCTCCCATCCAACTTCCCAACGTTCTTGAAGCGCAACCTCCCCGAACACATCCCCGACGAGCCCCCACAGGACATTATCACACACAGTGGATTGGAGGTCAAGATCTGCATCAACACATACAAAATCTTCTTTGTCAACAGCACGGAGGACTTTTTCAAGCGCAAGGGTTCGAACCCTTCGAAGGAGAAGCTGAAGGAGGGTCGCGCCAAGCGTTTGGGCAAGATGGATTCGTGGTTGAAGGCAACGTTTGAGGACCAAGAGTCGGACCCCGCCGAGGCGACGCAGTCGTGCCAGAAATGGTTCTTGGAGGGACCTGAGGATGCACAGGCTGGTCTTCAGACGAGTATGTCAGTTGTACCGGGCAGTGAAGAGGAGGGCACGCAGGAGAAGAAGACGTACAACACCGTTTCAACAACAGCCGCCGCTGCAGCGACTGAAGTTTCGTCTTCTGCCGATGTTGTCTCAACAGAGGCAGCGGTCCCCGCAGAAGCAACATCAACGGTACCGGTAGCAGGAGTCGAAGAGAACAACGAGGACAAGGAGGCAGCTGTTGAGACGGACAAGGACAAGGATGTGGTTATGGCGGAGACGGATGCCGCATAGTCAGTCTAGCCTGTCAATCTCATATTGTTTCTTTTTTTTCATAGAGGGGAGATGATAGCAGTTATATCAGAATGCCATTTTTTTTTCTCACGCTCTCTCTCACTCTCACTCTTACTCAATCTCACTCTTCTCTCTCCCCTCCTCCTCTTGTGCACGTTTTCTAATCTGTCAAATACATTTCCAATCAAACAATAAATAATACCGCTCTGAAGGTGGTGTGAGTGTATGAATGCGGAAATTCCAATTTTTTTTACTGGTTTTTGTGATGTTACTCTTTTTTTTTTTTTGGTGGGGTACTATCATTGCACACAGATGGTGGTGCTTTTCCATTATCTCTATCTCTCTCAAGCGCAGGCTTGGTCTCAGGAACTACTACCGCCTCGTAGACTGCCGATAAAAGACTTTCCGCCAGAGGAGCCAAAGGTCTTTGCGGCCGAGGCCAGGCTGATGCGTGGTGTGCTGTGAGCGCGCTTGAGTTTTGCAGGGTCGATGGTCGTATGTGGAATCGGAGATGGGGATGCTGAAGACGCTGATGGTGGCTTGAAGTAGTGAGAGGCTGACGTGGGTGATGGGGGGACAGGACCGTGATTTCCGTTGGTACCGTGTCCGTGTCCGTGTCCGTGTCCGTGTCCGTATCCGTTGCTGTGATTATAGGAAGAAGAGTAATGTGAAGAAGTGGAAGCAGGCGAAGGGGACGAAAAGGTGTGGGGTAAGGGTAAAGGATCCGAGGGGATAAAAGAAGATCCCGTCGTCGTCGAATGCGGATGGTATCCATTGGTCGAAGTGTAATGAGGCTGTCCTGACGAAGTGGCGGCTGCGATTCCGTTGGTGTAGACATACGACCCACTGGTGATTTTTTGGCCGTTCAGCATCGATGGGTCCTGGATCTGTGTTGGGCTCCAGGGTCCACCGTTGGCTGTCGTACAGCTGCTGCTGCCGTTCGCCAAGTGGGCCTGCGAGACTGGACTTGGTGCCGACCCGCCATTAAACAGGGCTCCCATCACTCCTCCATTTTGCTGCTGCTGTTGGACTGGCTGCTGCTGCTGCCGACTGGCCAATTGTTGATGGATAAGTTCCTGCTGCTGGGTATGAGGCATCAACCCTCCAAAATGGTCCAAATCGGCCGATCCAAGTCCACTGGTCGGTGAGAAGGGCAAAGATCCAATGATTGGGCTCTTGAGCGAGAACGAAGACTGGAGCTGCTGTTGTGCCCATTGCATCGGCGCAATCGTGCTCATATCCAAATCTCGTGCCTGGTAAAACAAGACGTATCCCGATCCCAACTGCGCAGAATCTCCAAAATACTTGTGGATGTCCGTTTCGTCAATCGCCTATAAATTAAAGAAAAAATAATTGGGCGTTAGGGCGTAAAAAAAATGACCAGAAGGGTTAGAATAGATTAATAATTACATCAAACATTACAACAAAAGCCCTCTCTCCACCCTCCTTTTAATACGTTACCTCGACAGTCTCATCGTCAAAAATCAGCCACTTGTCTTCGTGCTTAACGACTGCGACGTAGTGTCCGTGATGAGGCCCGCTTCCGATGTGAACAACAAATGCATTCAAGTCGTAGATCCTGTCGGGGTCCTCCATGTCGTCCACAGTGTTAAAGAGTCGGAGCTCTAAAGGGAACGAGACACGATATGAAAGCTTGACATACTTCTGGAGTGCTTCCTGATACTTGAATCTCTTGAGGTGGAGCGAGAGGATGTTGGGGAGTTGTTGAATTTTCATCCTATTTTCATATTATTGCGCATCAAGTGATTATAGGAGATGTTAATTTTAAATACAACTAGCCGTAATGTATCGAAGGTTCCGAAGGTACAAGAGGCCAAGTATCTGCAGTGTATTTCATACCTCTTCTCAGCTTCTTGGAGTCCACAGCACTCATCGCAATAGAACTTGTCCTTGTGGCACAGCATCTCGGAGGCAGAGAACTGTCGCAAGCAGCTCGTCACAGACGAGTTTTGTTCAATATCCAGCGAAAGATCCATGAACGACTCTGCTCTATTTGTTGTCTTGTATATATTTTTTTTGTGTTCGAGAAATAAAAAGATATTCGAGAAGATTAATTCGATAGCCCACAAGATTGATACTCCGTCGCTTCCCGAGAGAACAAAGAACACGCAACAAACAAAACTTTCGAGATGCACAACAACACCAACTGTTCATTACCTTTTCGCATGTGAGGCATTTAATCTCGTTTGTGAGCTGGCCTTCAAACAACTTTTGAACCCACATCTTCTCCTTGGGCTTGGGTATCGTATTATCAGACTGAATCGATGACCGGTCGCCAATCGACTCTCCACCGCCGCCAAGGTGGCCGTTCCCATGGGTGCTTCCTCCTGATGTCGACACCGTGTTGATATCGGCGCCATTCACCTTGATCCTGACCTCATCTCCGCCCGACAGCGTCATCGACACCTCCTCGGTCGAACTCTTTGCGCCAACAGATCCATTCGCGATGCCATTGCCGTTGCTCGTCGCCGTCCCGTTCAGAGTTGCTGGTTTGTGCTGATTATCTTCGATTTCTTTGAGGTTCTGCTTGTGGTCTGCTTCGATATCTTCGGAAATAGTGCTGATAATGAACATCAAGAACTCGTGTGCGTCCTGATGCATTGAACTCCTGAACAGCTCTATAGCACATTGAAAAGAGGGGGTGGAAATAAGGGTTAGACATAAAACAAGCGGCATACATGGCATTTTTGGCATGCATTTCATAGCAATCCAGACTAGTCTTCCACTGGGCTGTGTGTGTGTAAAAACAAAGAGTCCATTGCGTTTGTTTGTTTGTTTGTTTGTTTGTTTGTTTCTTTGTTTGTTTGTTGTTGCTTTGAGTCCTTATCGCCCATACGATTGCACCCCCCATGAACAATGCCTTGATCAATCAAAGCTCCTTACCATTCTCTTTCTTGACTTTGGCGACAAAGGCGGTAGGGGTGAAGAATTGAGTCTTCTTGGAATGGTTTTGGATCCGTTGGAAAAGATCCTGAAGACAGAGGAACATGGATTCTTGAGGCGCAGAATCAGGATCGGGTCCACCGCCGTTGGGCAGTAACACTCCAACAATGTTCCGTTGCCCTACGGCACCTGCTCCCACTGCTACGGCTCCTGTGACTCCTGTGGCTGACACGGGTGGTCCATTACTGCTGCTGTTGCGTTGATGGGCCCGTCCTGATGCTGCCGAGAGTGTTGCGCTGGGTGACATAACTCCATTGGGTCCTGAACTGGACTGGGGTGTGAAGTAGGACGATGCTGAGCCGTTACTGTTGAGATTGAAGCTGGGGGTCATTGGGCTGAGTGGGTAGTGAGAGACCAAGTTGCCAGTCCCGCTCTGGTATGCCAGCACACATTCGCGAAAGGGTCGACAGTAATATAACGCCTGTAGGATCGAGTTACAATAGCTAAAAGGCAATTGAAGCGGGAGCAAGTCCTGTTAGTAAAAAGCACTAGCAGTTGCACTGAGGCCTTTGGTCCCTTTTTTATCAGCCCCATCCACTCTCGAACGACAAGGGAAAGCTCCTTACCAGGTGTTGCCAAACTAAGCAGCGAGCAAGACCAAAGTGGACGTGAAAATGACATATCCAAAGTAGATGGATAAAACAGGAAGAGTCGAAAATGGGGTTAATGTATAGTTCGTCCAAGGCAGAGGACGAGAACATGGAGCATAAAGTCTCCTCCTGTTTGAAAAATACGCCTTCTGGTGCTGATGGTAAACATTCCTGTTGGTTGTTGGCCATGAGTAATGAACACTGTCCGTTGTTCGTCCGACTGTGCTGCCTTATCGGCTCTCGTTGACCACGTTTGCTCCTTTTGTTCAAGACGTTTTTGACTGGTTGTTGCCGAGGACTGAAAAACAGGCAAAGCGGCGAGGGAAAAGTTGTTGCTGGTTCTTGTTGTTGTGGTTGTTGTTGGGGGAGAGACGACGACTCAGTCTCACACACACACTCACACACTCCTGCACACGAAAACCTGGACATAACAGGCAAACATCGACCAAAAGGCAAGCAAACAAAGACAACAACAACAACAACAAAAACAACAAAAACAACAAAAACAACAAAAACAAAGAGTGCGCACAAAGAAGTCGACCACAAACCACAAGCCAACTACAATACGCCAAGAATGAAAGGTCCAGAGAAAGAATAAACTGAGAGCAAAAAGCTCAAAAGCACAAAAAGGAAAGGCCTTTGTCGCTTAGTTGCGTTGTTGGTGATGGTGGTTGTGCAAGTGGTTCATCGCTCTCGCTGTCGTCCAGCTCCAGCTTAGTGTTGTTCAGTGTGTTGCTTCAGTGCGGCCAATTGATATCTGCTTACATTCTCAAGACCGATGGGGATATCGTTAACCACTGGCTTCTCTGGCTGCGTCTAGTGTATTATTTTTGTTGGGTGGTGGTGGTGGAATGTCAATGGCAAAGCAAAGCAGGAAAGGAAAAGGAAGAGTATTGTCAGAGGAGCGATCGTGGTAACGTGTGGACAGGCTTTGCGGCGAGTGAGAGATTAGGTAGTGTAGAATGTTTGGTAGTTGGAAGGTATGGAGGACGATTGAATGCATGGATGAGTGACTGAGTGCAGGAGAGTGCAAGTGTTGGTATTTCTTACCACGCCCATCCATTTGAGAAGAGCCATGACGGCAAGTTAAGAAGAAAGGCGAAGGGAGGGTGGAAGGGAGGAAGGAAGGAAGGAAGGAGGGAAGGAAGGAAGGAGGGAAGAAAGAAGGGAAGGAAGGAAGGGTGATGGAGAAAGGTGATGGAGGACGTGTGGGGAAGGGAGTTGGTGGGCGAGAGCTGGAGTGCGAGTAGGGATAAAATTACAACGGATGGATGGGTGGGAAAGAAGGAAGGAAGGAAGGAAGAGAGCCAAGAATAAGAGTGAGTAGGGGATTAAGAAGGAGGAGAATAACAGTCGATAACCATGGGCGTAGCAGGAGATGTGAGGTATATGAGAGAGGCAAAAGTGGAGAAAAATCTAAGAAAGAAGTCGAAGATGGGAATGAAGGGGATCGAAGGAAGGCAAGGGTTGGAGAAGAAGGAGAAGAAGGAGAAGGAGAAGGAGAAGGAGAAGGAGGAGAAGGAGAAGGAGAAGGAGGAGAAGGAGAAGGAGAAGAAGAAGAAGCAAAGAATGAAGGAAGAAAGATGAACAAAAAGTGACGCATACTCACATTCAACTGGAGTCGATTCACTCCTCCCCACAACGGCACCACAAGAAAGAGGTGACAGAAGTAGAAGGAACACGATGACGAATAAGGAGTGTCCAAAGGGAACCATGGCTGTGCTGTTGTCCTGTTCCTCTTCTTTTGATCCACTTACAGTACACTGCATCTAATCTGCACATCAAGTGATATGGAGTGCCAATTGACAAACAAAGAGATCAAACTCGACGACTCTTCCTCGCCATCTCGAGTCAACTTCGATCCACGTTTTTAGCTGCCCCGCTCTTGCTCTTCTCTTGGTACCTACACAGTGCAGTGGCCCACACCCCATGCACACCCGCTCACCATCAAGAAAGCAATGGACACAAAACAACATCCTGCCATGCTTGTGGTTGTTGTCTTTGCCGCTCCATTCTTGCATTATATACACCCTTCTCCTTCCCTTCTACATGTGAGATATGTGATTGCTGCTGCTGCTACTATTCCTCTTTTCTCATCCCACTTTCATTCCTTCGCTTTCTTTCGCCTTCTCACCTCACCCATTTACAAACCTACCCACCTCTTGAACCTCTCATACCTGCATCTCTTTGTGTATTGTTGTTTGTCAACAAAACATAAACCTTGTTTTTCTTCCTTCATCATCCCCACGATCATATTTCTTTGTTCTTCTGCTGACCTTTTTTGTGCCCCACCTTTTTTGTTTCCCTTCATTCATTGGATGCCCCTGTTTCTACTACAAAAATTATATGTGTGTTTTTTCTTTAATTACTTTGATACGACGAAATACAAAAACAGCAAAGAAAAAAAAAAAAAAAAAAAAAAAAAGGGAATGAATGGTAGAAAAGAAAAGAATAGAAAGAAAAGAAAAGAAAAGAAAAGAAAAGAAAAGAAAAGAAAAGAAAAGAAAAGAAAAGAAAAAAAAAATTACATAATGGTGCACTTCTCATTGTTGCCCTTGTCACCCTTCTTGGCGTCAACAGGCACACCCTCAAGACGCTCCGTCGCACGCTTGTCTCCAGCAAGAGACGCCTTCTTGTACCACTCAATCGCCTCCTCCATGTCCTTGCGTGGGCCAATCCCAACCTCAGTGAAATATCCCATCGCATAGAGCGCCTTGGGCAAATCCTTCTCCGCAGCACGCTTGGCCCAGATATATGCCTCTGCATCCGACTGGGGCAAGATCCCTTGGGAGCCCACAAGGTACCATGCCGCCAATGCAAAACATGCCTCTGGATGCTCCTGCTGTGCCGCAAGTGTGTAGTAATGGATCGACAGTCGAGGGTCCTGTTTGCATCCGAGCTTGCCATACTCCCAGCACTCGCCCAGACGGAACGCCGACGCCGCATGTCCCAATTCGGCCGCCTGAGAGTACAACGACACCGAATACTCGGGATCCACAAACACAATATTCTCAATACCACGCTCGTGCAGCTGCGCCAACTCGTACAGCGCAAACGGGAACTCGGGTGTTGCTGCCTGAGATGATCGCTTCAACCACTTGACTCCATCTCTGGGTGACGCCGCCAATCCAAGCTCTCCGTACAGAGTAACAACGCCTAAACGCCACATAGCTCCGGGGTGATTAGCCGACGCTGCTTTCCTATGATGCCATATTAGATAACAATATGTTAATAAAAGGGTCAGCTCAGGCACAGAAACGGGCGGGCGTATCGTATTTACCCCTCAAAATGTAATCATCCTTCAGTCCGTGGACCAATGTTATCGCGGGATTGGATATCGTGAGATTTTATCTTGTCATTGTTGTGTTTGTGTTGTTGATGTTGTTGATGTTCACTCCAGAGTGCAGAGTGCAAAGGAATGAGAACATGCTACTCCTTCGACGCATGACTCCTTTTGCTTCTCCATCTTGTCCTTGATAAGCCATCCTTATATGCGGTAGACCCTGTTGAACATTCTCCCTTCTCCTCCTATTCCCCCTCGATGTTCGATCCCTCTTTTTGTTTCCCTTGAAATCTATAAATCGCCACATCGCTGCAGATCAAGAATAGCAAAGCGTGGGTCCTTGTAATCCTTGGTCCTGAGGCAAGGGCTGTCTTCTTGTCGAACGACAACGAAAAAAGGTCTGCAGGGAGCCCCCCCTTGACATCCCATTGTTCGATCGCCTCCTCTTTGCCCCCTTACAGACCTATTTTTTTTTTGTTTCTTCACCATCCCACTACATTACACCAGAGAAGTATCCAATAGTCCTTTTTTTTTCTTTTGTCCTTTTGATATCCTTGAGTGCTGGCCTGACCCCTAGCCTCTTCCTTCCTCTGACTCTCTGACTCTCCGTCCCATGGTTCAAAATTGCTCTCCTGGACATTCATGGAACAATCTTCCCATATCTTTTGCCACAGGCCAAAAGAACATGAACTGATTGATGCAGAAAACCCAAAAATAAAATGAGTTATTTACCTGTAAAATTGGACCGCCCTGGCATTGTCCTTGCGAGTGCCCAATCCCTCATCATAGCATCGTCCTGTACGGTAGGCAGCATCGGGATGTCCGTGTTTCGAGGCCTGGACCCAAAGAGGGAAGGCCTTGTCAAAGTCAGGCTTGCCCTTTGCGAAACCAGAGGCAAAGCATTCGGCGAGGTAGTGCTGCGATTCGGCATGGCCATTGGTGGCCAGCTTGCGGAGGAGCTTCATGGCCTCGTCAAACAGCTCTGCCCTCGTCTGTGGATCCTCCAAGGGCTTGCCGGCATCGATCATGAAGGCCGCAAACTCAAACTGCAGCTCGGGGTCGTTCGTCTTCTTAGCGTTTTGGCGGTAGAGTTCCAGCGTCTGGGTGTAGGAGAGCAAGGTCGCTTTGTGGCCTGGCTTGAGATGGGCATGCGACAGGAGCGACTGGTCGCCATTGGGAGATTCTGGCTGTTCCATCTGTTGTTGCATCTGCTGTTGCATGAGCATTTGTTGTTGTTGCCACTCTGCGCTTCCAGGAAGGAGACCGCCAGTCGCCATCTGTTGTTGCTGGTACATCATTTCCTGCTCGTACTGCTGCTGCTGCTGTTGTTGTTGCTGGTAGTACATCTGCTGCTCGTATTGGTATCGTTGCTGCTCCTCCGATTGCATTTGTTCCTGCTGCTGCTCGTCCAGAGGAGGCTGGTCGTCGTCCTTTGATGGGGGGGGAGGGGCCAAGTCGTCGTAGAACTGCTGCTGCTGTTGCTGCTGTTGCTCCTGTTGCTGCAGTGTGGGCTGTTGTTGTTGTTGTTGCTGCTGTTGCTGCTGATGGTCAGGGTAGGCTTGCATCTTGAGCTGCTCAGAGGACAGCATCCGATTGGGATTCGACTCTAGGTGAACCGATCCACTCTGGATCGTTGGAGAAACGCTTGCGGCCATGGATGACAGACGGACACTGATGCGGGATGTCGGCTGAAGGTTGTAAGAAGGTAAGGAGGAAGATGCGGATGCGGGGAGGACGGAGAAGTAGGAAGTGGAGTAGAAGGAAGGAAGAGGAGAACGTCAAGGAGAGGGAAGGAAGAGGAAGTGGGTAAGGAAAAGGAAGTGGGTAAAGAAGAAGGACAAGACAAACAAAGAAGAAAGAGAAAGAGAAGAAAGAACGTAAAGAAAGGGGGAAAGTGAATTCACCTTTGAGAGCGAAAAGTGAGAGCGAAAGGGAATGGGATGAATGGGATAATTAGGACCAATGCTTCTTGCCTTTTCTGCCGCCACTGTCAATCGATGCACACTCGCTCCCAACCCTTTGAACAACAACAGCAGCAACAGCAGCAGCAACAGCAGCAACAACAACAACAACAGATAACAGACAAGCCATTGTTCACGATATCAAAGACGAAAGAGAAACCAACACAGCAGCACGCTCTGGCTGTGTTCATTGTTATTATTGTTTGCTGACTGTCTATGAATGAAATATAGATAGCGTGTAAGTGCAAGTGCGGAGATAACATAATTCCGCTCCTCTTTGGATGTTGTTGCATCTCAAAGATGCCTTTGCTAAGCACTCCAAGTGCCTTCCCTCTCCTCGCTCTTGACACCACTCCCCTTCCGTTAGTTTCTCACACTCATCCAAACACTTCAGGCACGAAAATAGAACATCGTCCGTAACTCTTTGGCTCTGGTTGGCCATTCCAGGCGCCAATGAGAGCTGCCCATGCCCTGCCCCTTTGTGCTTGCTTGGCCAGTCCTCGGTACTCACACCCAGTCCTGTCGGCTACCGATGCGGTGATAGATTTTTGTCTCCTCATCTTCCGACATCATGCATGGTTGTAATCGCGTGGATTACCCTCAGCCATGAAAAAAAGAAAGAGTCAATGGAAGAGGCTCGGAAATACCCAAGCATACCAGTGAATCATCACTCATCTTCCATCAGCAGCATAAACATGATCGGACACACCACTTCCTCCACAAACATACCCTGCCTCGTATCCACTTTCCTTGTTTGTCCCTCGCGCCTTACTAATGATCGTCTGTTTGACGACGTCGATATTATCAACTCTTTTCGTCCCCAGAGAAGTTCTATCTTTTCTTTTTCACCCCTCTCCCCCCCCCCTCACGCCTCTCGTTATTTTTGTTACTGTTGTTGCTCCTGAGAATCAGATTAAGAGCCTAGTGACACAACAACCAAAACCAAAACCAACCAATATCAGATGAACCAAATGGCTCCCCCAAAAAAAAGAAAAAATGGGCCAGTGCTTTGTCGCGCTTTTTTGTCGGTAACCTGACGGTGTCACAAGTGCGTTGGATTTGTTGTTGCTGCTGAACTCATATAAATTTGGCACGTTGCGAGACGAGCGACATCAATTGGAAGAGTTCTATCCCTCTACTTCCTCGGTAAGTTGCCCGTCGAAAGAAAATAAAGAAAACTTCATAACATTCTTGCCCAATGTCATCCAGGCACTTTGTTGCTCTGAAACGGTATCCTGAAAAAAAAGAGAAAAGAAAAGGTGTATATTTGTGCCTGTTGTCTATTGGGGGTTCCTCCACTGGTTTCGTGGGTAGCTACTGCTGTACACTCTATGGCTTCGTTACCTCCCTTGTCCCCACTTATGCTTATGCCGCGGTCTTGTTGAATGGAGGTCGAGATCCAAAGATAGTGCTTCCAACACGGATGTTGGTCGATCCCTGCAAAAGCGCCCTCTCAAAGTCATCGCTCATTCCCTATGTCCCAAAAAAGTATATATAAACCCATTTTTTGGTCGTGTGAGTGGCCTGCATTTTTTTTTTCAATGCCAGCTTAAGGGTTCAGTGCTCCTTCTCTTTGCGCCTTGCACCTGTGTCCTTCCTTCTTTTTTTCTGAATCTGCGATGCGTTCATCCTTACCATGCTTAGTTCTAGATCGTTGATTTTGAGAGCATCCTGGATGGTGGTCCTGCACTCGTTCAACGCCTAATATTAATGAAAAGAGGAAAAAGCACAGATTTTTTAGTGCACTTTTCTTCGTATCAAGCTAGTGAGATCGGAAAGAGCCGAAGACGAGGATGGGGGGAACAGAGAGGTCATTCCTTTTCCTCCCCCGCACCGTCATGACGCAAAGATGATATGATGCATTCCTGTTTGTTTGGTGGTAGGACAGCCTACTGTCATTTCCTCTCGCTCCTGCCATCCCATACCTTGAAGTCCGGGTTCTCGCCATTCTCCAGATCAGGGTTAGGCGATCCGATAGTCATTAATCCTGCCAGTTTGAGGTGTGAGCAAGTCGACACGACGTGCTGGGCAACCTCCAGTACCCCACTTGGCAACATTCCGCTCTTGCCTATTCACATTTCATAAAACAAGAATATGTTCACAGTTGTAAGTATCAAGCGCCGGCACTGACGAAGAATTGGTGGCAAATGCCATATAACTCGAGCTCAAATAATAAATGTCTTCCTGTGGTGCTTACTCCCTTCACCACTGGTGTTGACTTGCAGAAAGATACGAAGCGGCTCGGGGCGTGCTGCTGCCGCGCATGCCTTGTCTAGTGTAGTTGCCTTCTTGGCGCTGTCGACCGTCTCCACGACAAACACGTTAGGGATCGCTATATATTTAGAACAAACAATACGCCATTGGTTAGGACAAGGTGACCATACGTGTGGGTGAAAGAAGGTCGCGGACCCTCTATTCTTTCTAGACCAAAAGGTCATCCCGGTGGGGTCGTTACCTGCAACAACCTTGCATTTGTTCGACTGTAGAGACCCAATAAAGTGCCATTTGATATCACCAGGAAGCTAGTTTATCGAAAAGCATCCAAAAACCACACAGACCAAGAAAATAATTAGTGTCCGCATGCAAGAACGGCAAGGAAAAAATGGGCCGAGCATTGGCCAACAATGCATATCTCTTTCCAAAAAAGTGCCTTTCCGTAAAACATCTCAGCCCATTGGGACATTCTTTCGGCGACTTTTTACCTCCTTGCTCTTTTCTTCCAGCTCCTGAACCTAATCGAAAGAACAAACCCATAGAAAAAAAAGGGTATGAGATTCAGGATCGGGTCATGTTGAGAAGTATGAGAGAATGTGAGAGAACGTGAGAGGGTAAGTCTTGCACATGTCAGTGCCTAGACCATCCCTCGGACATGTTAGGGACTGACTTACATAGTTCTCCCCAAAGTTTCGATGGCCTGACTTCTCGTACGCTGCAAGGATGTCCGATGCAGGCTTCAGCTTGCTCACTGCGACTAAGCGCGCCTATGTTCCAATTGATCAATTAAGAGACAGAAGGCAATGAGTTTAGCCAAACTATGAAGAGTCACCTTGCAGCATGTGAGACCAATACAGAGGGTAGGGCGCGGATGAATATCATGTATGGGGTCGATTCATCTCCGAAGAACGGGAATTACCGTCTGGGCCGATGCGCCTTTGCTTTGAAGGGTCTCGTTTAGCTTAGCTTTGACCCCAGCCAAGTTGTCGGCAATCTCCTGTGCGCGCTCGGCTGTGTAGGCGAGACTCATTCTTGAAGAAGTGGTTGCGAATGAGCGTTGAGTGTAAATTCGAAAGGTGGAGATGAGGGTAGTAGGGGTAGAGATGGCTGCTGAGATGAGTGTCCTTGCTGTTGATGCAGTTGCTGATGTGAGGATGCAATGGAGAGGCGAAGTCATGAAATGGTTGACAAATGTGGTTGTTCCGTGGGTAAAGAGTGGGCGGGATAGAAAAAAAAAATGGACTCGGTTGGCACTCGTGCGACCACGAAAAACAAAAAGTTCGCACGTCGCGCAGTCACATTTCTGATCGTAAGGATGGTCAATGGTGGTTGATCGGAGACATGATCCACTTTTTAATTGTCTCACGTTTTACAAACAAAACAGGTCTCTCATGGCAGAGGGTGGGGTTCAACTGTGATTCATAGGCACATTGGCGATATTTACAAACCAGTAATTGTATCCTACAAACTGTGACAATGATAAAAAAACGCGTAGAAATGATCAATGTTCTCGAAACTACGTCTGGCCTCTCTCTATCCCTAACCCTACCAGTGTCATCTATGTATGTCCATTGTCCACCGATTAAATCAACCGGAAGAACATGTTTTCCATCCATATCTCAAAAAAAAAAAAAAAAAAGAGATCATCAGTGCACAAATCAACACATGGGCGAACAATCCAACGAACGAACCCCTTTGCGCGCGTTTGGATCTTGGTTTTCTTCTTTATCTTGGTATGAGGATCTATCTTTGAACGATGGAGCAAAGGGCCCGAGGTGCGGGGATCTATTTTTTGTCTTCATTTTAGCCACTAAACAACTTTCTTGTTTGCTAAAAGTTGAGTGACCCCGTTCAAACCAAGTCAAGGGCTTAGTCAACTTTTTGGCGCGAGGAACCGAAAAAAATAGATACGGCGTGAGAGTGTGATAGCGGAAGGGGGGTTTAAATGATGCAGAGAGCACAAATAGAACCTCTTACTCGGCATGCACCGATGGTTACGGTTGATGAGCGCAAAAAAAAAAAAAAAAAAAAAAAAAAGGTAAAACGGGGGAGGAAGAGGAAAAATGAGCGGAGCGCAACAACCAAAATAAATACGGTACTTGTTATCCGAGATTGAATGAGGTGCTTTCGCTTGTCATGGAGCTTGTCTTGTTTTTGTACTGCACCCTTTGACATAGCCTAGCCCTCTTGCCTGCCTCCTTGCCCATACAGAGTCGGTGTCCATTTCCCAGTATGTTCCAGGGACGAAGCATGATGATGAAACTGAATGTACCCTTTGCTTCATATGAAATTTGTCAGGCACACAACTCTCATCTAATACCAACATAGCGTCAGGTACCAAAAAAAGAAAAAACAAACAAACCCGACGATAACAAAAAAAAAAGAGGGAGCTGGTTTCCAAGCATTCCTGAATCAATGTAAGCAAGACATGAGCGAGTAACCATGACAAAAAGCAGGTGCTGTACACGAAGTTAACAACAATAACAATACACTCGTTGCACCCACAATTTGAAATCTTGTATGTATTTTCGGTTTACAAGTACGCACGCATTTGGAGTACCATTCATCTATCTATGACCATGACCGTGACCAATGTGAAAAGGGCTTGCATTCGCCATTATGGCGTAAATCAAGGGTTCTCAGCCTGTAGTCCTTCGTCGCCCAACCCCTTACATATTCCCCTGTGGGTATGCTGTGATTGTGAGAGCCACAGGGTTGAGGTATTCTTGTCACGACGGCCACTCCTTCCTCTGATCTACCTTCACATCTAGATAGAAATGACGAGTGGCGAAAGGAGAGGTGATGCCTTCTCTCTTGTTGTGTCCACTGCTAATTGTTACTATCTACCAGTCGTTAATTGTTCAACATGAGAGCCAAAAAAATGAAACGTGAATTGGCCAATTTTTTATTTTCAATTGATGACCCAATTCTGCTCCAGTTGACCTCGACACACAGCCAGAACTTTTTTTTTTTTTCATCTTGTTTTCATGGACAATTGTCCATTGAAAATCGCTCTCTCTCGTCCTGCCTTTCATGGAGTATCTTGTCGCACCGGTGCAAGAAGGAAAAAAACCGGAGGGAGTATTTCCAAGGTTTTCATCGAACGGTCTCGTTCGTTCTTCGATTGCTTTTCAAATCGAACCACTATCTACCCAACAACACAAATGGTGTGAGTCTTCTCCGTCTCGGTCTCCGTCCCCTTTGACATGTTTTTTTTTTTTTGTTGTTGCATTGTTCCATTTTGATCAAATTAGGTCCACCGGTAAAGAGGAGGAGCCCACATACTCCCTCTTTAGGGCGATCTCAAACCTCCTCTCCCTCTCTCTCTTTGCCTCGTTGTTGTTTTTGTGTTCTCAAATGTCGGCGATTGAACCGTTCTTTGTGCTGAAAAGAGAATGAAAATGAAAGGGCGATTCTACCGCGCCAAGGTTCGAGTCCCTTTGTTTTTTTTTTTTTTTAATCCTCTCAGGCGACTTTTTTGTGAAAGAAACATGCTAGAAGGGAGGGAAGAGGGGAGACATGAGAAAAGAAACATAAAACTCAAAACTATTTAGGGTGCCTTCTAGTTCTCTCATTACTTTCTCTTGCACCTGCTCCTCAACTCTGAGAGAGAGAGAAGAGAGCTTAGGTTGAGCTGTCATCGAAACAACCCTTTTCAGCCGTTTTTTATTTTTTTATTTTTTTATTTTTTGAAGTACCTCTTTTTATTTATTTTCGTTTAGGATGCTGCACTGCGGTATGTCTCCTTCCGTTCACATTGTTGTATGTACCATATATGTACCCGTTCACTCTGAGACATATGGCCGCGTCACTTCAGTATGCTGGATATCAAAAAGCATAAAGCACATAAAAACAAAGCGGACATCCGAGCCAGTGCAGGTGCAAGGGCTGCAGGGTAAACAACATTAAGAGTGAAAAAAAAAAAAAACACAAAACATAAAAAGTAATCAGAAGTGGGTCATGGAGTAGAGGATTGGATTGGCGAAGGAGGGGAAGGAAAAGGTACATAGATACTCTTGGTTTGGAGTGGGTTGGGTAGTAACGCGACAAAGAAAGAAAAAAATCAGCAAGAACCACATGCGTACGAATGCTATCATACCCCCTTGGAAAATTTGCAAAAAACGCAAGGTAAAGTGAAAAGAGAGGCAAGAGGATCAATTGGCGAGGACAACAACAAAAGATGGTGATGAGGTGAACATAGAAACAGAGGTAAAGGAAAGCTAGAGCATTACAGTTTCGAAGGTCGGTTTGGTTCGATTGGTCGTTTTGTCCATGGACCGCGCGGGCGATGAGGCCAATAAGGGATGCGCCGAAGGCAAGGAGAGAAATGAAAATGGCTGGACTGATGCCATGAGCACCGACTGTCGGCCTAATTCATTAATACGGAACAAAAGGACAGAAGGAGGAGGGGATGGTGTTCTATTCGGGTGCAGACTGCAGTGTATTAAAAAGAGTTCGAGAGTACAACAGTAGGGTGGGTAAACCAGTTTGGGTGTTGAAGGGAGGGCGAGGGGGGAAGGGGTGATTGGATTGTTGATGTGGTGGATTCAGGGAGCGGAAGGGAGGGGACATGGACCCTATCCCATGCTATTGAATCGCCCATCATCCATTCATTCATTCGTCCCTCTTTTCATTTCATGAGCCAGCATCCTTCTTCCTCTTCTTTCTCCTCCTTTCTTCTTTGTCTCTTTCTCTTTCTTCTCTTTCCTTTTCTAACCTCAACTCTGTTCTTCAACTCTTTCTCTTCCTCTTTCTCTGTTTCCTATCTGCTTCTTCTTCGTTCTTCGCCTCTCCTCTTCAACTTGTACATTCACTCTTCTCATTCAACTCTCCTCATTCACTGTTCTCATTCCTCATTTACATATACCTGGAAACTCTACTCTTCGACGACGTGTTAATATTCCACCACATTGTCCATCTATCTCTCCCTCTGTCCATAGTCCCGTCTTCTTCTTCCCTATTGTTCCCCTCGACACCTTGTACCATACCTCCTTTCTTTAACACGTCGACTCGACACTCACTCCTGCACATATTATCACTACACCCCCGCGCCAATTCAATTTTCAACCATTAAACCCTTTCTCGCTCGGCCCACCTTCACATTTGCCAACAACTCTCGCGCGTGCTTTTGTTTATCTCCACCTTGTATCACAAAAACAACAACACCCCTTTCCCGTTTCCCTCCTTTTTCCATCGTTCGGTCTACACGCTCTCCTACACCTTTCTTTATCTCCGTCACAACATTCGAACTTCTATCCTCACCCGACCAGTTGACCGCGACCGCCACCACCCACACCATCATCAATTTGAATCACAAACCACCATCGCATATCCTTTTTTTTCTATCGTAACGCCTCCTCCTTTTCATCAAATACTCCGTTCCTCGCACGCCGAGTCCATCTTCAAATGGCCATCAGTCCCCAACCATCTACATCCACCTCCGACACAACACCGGGCCGTTTGCGCGTCCTTATTGTCGGCGGTGGCATTGGCGGTTTGATGCTAGGTTTGATGCTTGAGCAGGCATCGATTGACTATGTTATTCTCGAGAGGTCACCGGAGATCCGGCCGTTGGGTAGTGCGATCTCCATGAACGGCACTGTTCTTCGTGTCTTTGAACAACTGGGGTAATGAAACTTCTAGCATGTCTGACTGTCTTGACTTTTTGACCTGGCCTGGCTTTTGACGTTAACTTGGCTTGGAGGGGAAAAGAGTGGAATGGCCCCTGGAGAACGACGGCTCGTTTTAGTTACCACCCTGGTTTTGGTTCATCTCGTCAATACCATATGTCTGTTTAAAGAAGACACTCCTAATTGGACGAATGAATCATACATTACACAAGTCATCTAACAGCTGGCCCTTTTTATTGTTCGGTGTGTTAAAATGAATGACATTAGGCTGCTGGAGGACCTTTACAAGATCTCAAAGTTTTCGGGGAGAGTTCATCTTGTCAAGGAGGACACGGTCACCCAGGGCCATGTCGATCTCGAGCACTATCGCGAAAGGTAAACTTACTTTCCTTTACACTCTCGCGCTCATTGCAATACTACCTTTTGGAAGTTTTTTTTTACGTTAGTTACCCCTGGTCTGTTTGTTGATATTGCTTGTTTATTTTGCTCCCATTAATCCCTTTACTGTTCTCTCCGGCTATACTCACCTCAATCGCACGTTCAACCCCCCCCCCCCCCCGCCCCTTTTTCAAAACAAACAGATATGGTTACTACAGTGTGGTCTTTGGACGTCCAGAACTCCTCAAACTGCTCATCTCTCGGATTCCACCAGGAAAACTCATCCTCGGCAAGCGCATCCTAACCACCGCCCGCACAGAGTTTGGTGTCCTGGCTCGTTGCTCAGACAACACGGCTTACGAAGGAGACATCCTCGTCGGTGCCGACGGTGCATATAGTTCTGTCCGGCAGAACATGTACAAGGAGCTCAAGGACAAGAGGATGTTGCCCCGCTCAGATTCCAAGCCTCTCAAGTTTGACCAAAACATTGTTGTTGGTATCACGGACGAGCTCGACCCAGAAAAGTATTCCGCACTGAGGCAAGACTTTGCTGAGATCCATGCCATTATTGGAAACAAAGCCCCCTACACAGTACGTCCAAATCGTTTGCTTACTAGAAGTATTGAGCACAATTAGTGACAAAGAAAAAAGATGGAATTCTAATCTAGATGATGCCACAACGATCACACTTGCCCCTTCTTTTTACGTAATAGATGTGGCTGATCCCTATTCCCGGCAATAGGTTTGCTTGGTCTATCGGCGGTCGCATCCTCGACTCCGAGGCCGGCAAGGAGGACGTAAGGAGTTTTTCCTTTGCTGAGTGGTTTCCAGAGCTTGCGACTGATGTCTGCGATCTCGTCCGCGACTACGTCCTCCCCGACCTCACGAACTCTTATCAAGAAGACGGTCACTATAAGAACAGAAAGACAGACGCCGATATGCACCACCAATATGCAGACATGGCAAGTATTAGTGATAGTAGTATTCACAGTACCCTGTCGACCGAAGATAGCTCGAACGCAAGCTCGCGGGGGACCAAAGAGCTCAAGTCTGAGCCTTTGCACTCGGCCAGCATCCACCTCCCTGACAACATCCCGGGTCTGCTCCCAAGACGTCAAACGCCTACAGCTAAGCCAGGCACAGTCGGCGAGCTTATCGATGCTACTCCCCCCGACCGTGTCTCCAAAGTGATGCTCGAGTCCAAGTTGTTCAAGACCTGGTACCACGAGCGCACAGTCCTCATCGGTGATGCCTGTCACAAGGTCCTTCCATTCGCAGGGTAAAAAAATCTTGACAACCGCTCGCGTAATGTTTATGTCGTCCGTGCCATTCATTTAGTATGAGTTTACTTAACGCGTTGCGTCTTTTTTTCTTTACACCTACTTTTTGAACAGGCAAGGTGCCATTCAGGCTATTCTTGACTGCATCTCGCTGGCGAATGCCCTCTACGACATGAACACGGTTTCGGACGACGACATCACCAACGCCTTCAAGCGTTACAGAACCGAGCGCTTTCCCATTGCCAAGAGCTCCGTGTATGGCTCCCGGTCTTTTGGCAAGCTGCTGGACTATCAGGGCAAGCTCTCGGACTTTATTCGCACTATCACCTTCAACAGCGTGCCCACCTGGATCCTGAGGCTGGCGACCGACAAGATGCATTTGAATCGACCTCAATTGACCTATCTTCCCATGGTCCCCGATCATGGCTTAGCCAAGGCCCATGTCCAGGACTATTCGCCAAAGTACCTCGCAATGCTGGTCGAAGAGCGTCAGAAGGCCCTGGCTGCCTCTACCGCAAGAAACTATAGCCATGACACCCAGAGGGAGCAGCGGAACGGCGATCTCTGCGCAGCCGTCACCGGTGCGGAGCCAGAAACTAGGAATGAGAATAACAACCTTCACGACACACGACCCATCCGCCATAACCACGGCAACAACCTTCACCACAGCAACAAGATCCACGCCGACTACCCTACTGACCCCAGTGTTTACGACAACCGTAACGACCACAACATCGAACACAATGACTGCAATGATAGAATACCTCGCGGCGAACGAACCAATGGCAATGGTAATGTTGGTCGAAAGACCCAGAATCGTTCCCGCGATCGAAGACATGAGTACCTCGCCTCCGATTTTTACCCGTTTCCTGAACCACCAACTGCGATCCCCACCACTCCTCGCCAACACCCACTCCACCACCAATACGACACCGCATCCATCCATTCTACTTCGACCACGAGCTCTACAAGGGAAACCAGGAGAAAAACTTCTCGCACTGAACTGGTCCCACCCCCTCTGCCCACTCAAGCACCTCCCCGCCACCACCTTCCTGAGTACTTCCATCTCCACTCCGAGGACAACGTCAATCCGATGATCGCTCCTCCTCTTCGCTCGCCCTCTACACGGTCCTTCAACCTTGGTCCACAGCACCAGCAGCAGCACCATCAACAACACTATAATCAGCAGCAGCAGCAGCATCAACAGCAGCGTCCATCAACGGTCAAGCGCAATACGATCATTAGCGCAAGAAATATTGCAACAACAACACCACCAGCGACGTCTTCTTTGTACTCGACTGCGTCCTCTTCAGTCGCCTCCTCGCCCTCGTCTTCCCCCGCAATCCAACCCGCGACTGCTTACGAATTGCACATGAACCCCGCTCGAGAACACCTCCATTGGTCCGAAGGGTACAACAACAGTACCAGCCATTTTATCGACAGCCTTCAACATCATCACCATAACGGCAGTGCGCCTGACGACAATGGTCTCTCGTCTTCTTGTTATTCCCAGCAACAGCAGCAACAGCAGCAATTGCAACAACAGATGGAACAGCTTCAATTGCAACAACAGATGGAACAGCTTCAATTGCAAGAGCAGATGCAGCAGCTTCAACACCTGCAGCAACAGCAGCAACACTTGCCCAGACTTCCCCGATCACCCTTGAGGTCATCATCCACATTCGAAGTTGAAAATTCTCCCTACAATCCAAACCATTAAAAACCTTAATACTTTCCTGCAAACAACCAAACCAAGAAAAAAAAATGTGTTGGCGCATTGGCGGCATAGTTCGATTGCAAGTACCGCGACAGAGTTTGGGGTATTTAAGTGGAGAAAAAGTGTCCGCTGTGAAAATTTTCTTTTCTCCTCTTTTTTCTTTGCGCTTCTCATTCCATTCCACCCATTCCACAGACACATTCCTCATCACAAAAAATGGCCACTCAATCTCTTACTCTCCAGCCTAGCGGCCACAAGATGCCCCTCTTGGGATTCGGCACCTGGAAGGTCTCCAAGGACACCACCGCCAATGTCGTCCTCAAGGTAAATATACTCGACTATCAAACCAACGGAATAGAGAGCAAGAGAGGCAGCGGCGTATCCTACCAGTCATCCCTCCCTGTATTCAAATAAGATGACCCTTGCTCGCGTGTTCTTTTTATTCGTTGTCACTAACGATTCACCCTGTCCTTTTATTACGGAACACCTAGGCTATTGAAGCCGGATACAGGTACTTTCACTTTCACTTTCACTCTACAGTACTTCTGAACAGAATGGCACTGGCGGAACAAGCTCCTCTGTTGTACTTTGTGGAGGGGAACGAAAGCTAATCATTAGCACTTGTCAATCACCACTGCTGTAGACTCTTGGACTGCGCCTGCGACTATGGTAACGAGGTCCAGGTCGGACAGGGTATCAAGATGGCCATCGAGAAGGGCATCGTCACCCGCGAGGAGCTCTTCATCACCTCCAAGGTACATATTTTCACCTGTGTCCACATCTGTATCTGACGTTGCAAACTTTGCCGCCTTTGTCCATCCTGCAATGTCCTGCATACATGTCATGCACACAATATTACCTTTTTCTAATACATCCAAACAACGATACCCGTTCGTAATATATGTAGCTCTGGAACACCTACCACCACAAGGAACACGTCCCCTTGGCGTTCGCGCGCACCTTGAAGGATCTTGGACTCGACTACATCGACCTCTACCTGATCCACTTCCCCATCTCGCTCAAGTACGTCCCCTTTGAGGAGCTCTACCCTCCCGAGTGGGGCAACATGGAGCAAGACCCCGTCCCTATCCACGAGACCTGGGCTGCCATGGAGGATCTTGTCCGTTCCGGCAAGGTCCGTGATATTGGAGTTTCCAACTTCCCGGCGATCCTGTTGATGGATGTCTTGTCGTATGCCAAGATCAAGCCTGCTGTTCTTCATATTGAGGTCCACCCTTACCTTAACAACTCTCAGTTGATCAAGTAAGTTTTCGTCGTTTTTGCTCGTATCCCTTTTTTTCTTTGGGCAAAAAAAAAAAAAAAAAAAAATCGTGGGAATGTTAAAGCAAAAAAGAAGAGGGGGACACTCCGAAAGATAACCAAAACGGAAATCTTTTTGCACTTTTGGGACAAAACGATAAGAGAAAAATAAGAGAACCAATGCTAGCTCCATTTTCTAGTCGAGTATTATTTATCATGTACATTTTCTCGACTACAACACATTACTAATACCTTATTTCTTTGTTGCGGGGAAATATAGGTTTGCTCAGAGCAAGGGTCTCCAGATCACCGGCTACTCCAACTTTGGTCCAGCTTCCTACGTCGAATTGGGCTCGCCCACTGCCCAGAATGCCGTCCCCCTCTTCAAGGAGGAGCGCCTCTCCAAAATCGCCGCCGACCACAAAAAAACCGTCGCCCAGGTTATCTTGCGTTGGTTGGTCCAGAACAATGTTGCTGTTATCCCCAAGTCCTCGGACCCCGTCCGCGTTGCCCAGAACGCTGATATCTTCTCGTTCGTGTTGTCTGAGAAGGAGGTTGAGGTTATTGATGGAATGAACATTCCTTTGCGTTTGAACGATCCTGGTGCATATGCCAACATCCCCATCTATGCTTAAAGAAAGGTACTCCTTTCCGCATTGTACAGCGTCTAATAAACCCTTATAGACGATAAACCCGACTTTTTGTTTGATGACATTTTATTTTGCGAGCATACGGTGATAACGTATAGAGAGAACGAAGAATATTTGGCTGTCAAGATGGTACAATGCTTTAGAATGATCGTCCACCGGTCTGGCGGCGGTTCAGGAAAGTCATGAGGTCGTACTTTGTCGCAACGCCTAGACACCATCTACGTTCATCATCCGTCACAACCGCAAACGAGTGCTTCTCAAAGAACTTTGACAAATCCGACAATGGTGTCATTGGTGTAATTGTCTCGTATCTAAGTAGAAAGAGAAGTAAAAAAAAAAAAAAAAAAAAGAAAGGCACGACAGAAATTAGTTTTACTTGATTTCGTTCGTTTCTGGTAACAGCTCAGATAATAGACGAGAAAAAAAAAATACAAAAATGCCGACGTGAAGCTTACTTTGGGCGGGGTCCACCAGACTTGTCCTTCTTCAAGAAAGAATACATCCACTTTGAAACCAAATCCGACTCCTGCGCCTGGCCCTCCTCCAGATGCGTCGTCAAAGCTGTCAATGAGATATAACCCATCAACTTGCGGTTAGTAGGGTTCAGAACTGGCAACTGCGAGAACTCACGGGTCATCATCAGATCCAAAGCATATCCCACAGTGGCTGTAGGTGGAATGGTGACGGCGGCGGGCAACTGTAACTCCTCCACACTGGCAGCTCTGTACTTCTCGTGGCGGTGGTAGGCGACAGATTGAGCCATTGCCTCGTCCATGAGGTCGTGTTCCAGCAGCCAGTCGTCTGAAAGTAAGGTTGAGGAGTAGTTGCGCCCAGTGTCGTTCAAGATTGTCAGGATGCGGGGCTTTGTCTCCTTGGAGAGTGACTCTGAGTAGCGCAGCGCAGCAGCAACAACGCTTCCCGAAGAAGGGCCTATCATCATTCAATTGAACAACAACAAATCATCAGTACATGCTCCTACTGGCGAACGCCATACGGTTAAGAAACAACACACGCATCGAAAAAAAATGAAGCATACCACAATACAAGCCCTCCTCCCGAATGATTTGACGCGCAGTAGAATACGACTCCTGATCAGAGACCTTGATCCAGGCATCGACAAGGGTCTTGTTCAAGATCGAGGGCGTAAAGTTGCCTCCGATATCCTCAACCTTCCAAGCGCTGCTCCTGTTGACGCCATCCTGGATCGACGAGTGCTCTGGCTCGACACCAACAACTTTCAGTCCTGGGATCTTGGACTTCAACGTCTTGGCCAATCCTGTAATCGTTCCTCCAGTCTCGACGCCAACCACCAACACATCCAGACGTCCTTCGCACTTTGTATAGTGATGGCGGAAAGGTGTGGGAAAATGGTGTGATTAATACCGAGAGAAAAGCGAGATAGCGGATGGTTATAACGACCTATGTATGATATTATTTTCATGCGAGAAGGTATTTGTTACCTGAAAGAGAATCTCTTCGGCAGTTTCCTGTGCGTGAACCTCGACGTTAGCAGCATCGGCAAACTAGTTCACATTGAGAAAGTAGCAAAAAAAAAAAAAGTCCCACAGTTAGCCAGTATGTCCGTCAGTCAGGACAAATCAATCTGAGTCACATTCATTCTCCTACTTCTTCCACCCCACACACACAAGCACCGACATCATCAACATACCTCGTCGATAAGAATGGCATCAGCAAGGTCGGTAGCAATCTTCTTGGCAATCGAGAACTGGGACTCTGCAGCGTCAGCATGGGCCTCAATCGGGGTGCGCACAATCTCGACACCCAACGACTTGAGGAGCTGAATCCTGTCCTCACTCGTCCTCTCAGGGACCAATCCAATGACCTTGTACTGTCCGTGGCGTGGTGACAACAGTGCCAATGAGATTGCCAAGTTGCCACTGCTGGGCACCACCAGAGTTGTGGTACTCTTGATCTTCTTAGCGGCTTCCAGTCCTGCGAGAATCCTTTGTGCCACACGGTCCTTGATCGATCCGCTGGGGTTCGAGAACTCTGTCTTTGCGAGCAGCTCGACTATGCAGCATAAAGGAGGAGGGGTTGGGGTGTCAGGTGCTGAATACATTCACTTATTCGAATAGAATCATGTTCTGTGTTGAGTGTCCTGGTGTACCTTGAGCCTTGTTACTCGCAGCCGAGAGTCGGACGATGGGGGTGTTGCCGATGGTGGCTACATGATGCAAGAACACGATGGAGAAGTAAAGAAAAGGTATATCGTGTGAGTTCCTGAACCGGCAATGTTTGAATGACTGATAAGTGTCTCCTACAAACAACAGAGAATAGACATGCCTAAGACAGAGTCAGCAATGGCGGGAGGTGTGAGTTTGGTGGATGCCATTATAAAAGTATGGGAATGTGAGTGGAGTTGAAGAAACAGGAGCGAAGGGAAACCTGCAAGCGGGTTCAAAAGTGCAGACAGTAGAAATGGTGCCATTTGTGACGGGGGAGTGTTATTTTTGCCACTAAAACCTTCGTATAAAAAGAATGAGTGTGAGAAGAGACACCGTTGCTCTCTTTTCCTCATTCAAACATTCTATCCCTGCGACATCAGTCTTGACTACTACTTCAGCAACGAGGCAACACTCGAACAACGATAATGAACTCGGGGAGAACACGGCGCATAGCACACAACAAGTACACACGTCTGCTCTATCAGGTCGAACTAGGGTTAGTCCGTCCCTCCGCCCTACAGAATCACTTCCTTTCTAGGCGCCTTCTTGACCTCACACTGGACCCCTCGACGACCATCCAACGGGAACACGTCAGTGCAGTCAATACAATCGACATCGAAGAAGCAGAAGGCAGATAGTACGTTTCTTTCGCTTTTATGTCAGCGTGTCTTATTTGCCATACATGCCATGGTTGATAGGCATAGCTGTTACTGATTTGAGGCGAAACAGTCTATTATCAGGAGGCGGAGATGGCAACATTTACATCTATGACCTAGAAGAGTCTCAAAGAGACGAGCGACGAGTTATCAAGTGCATGGCGAGCGCAGAAAAGTAGGTAGAAACATTGACGAGGACATGCATCACAACTGGTCGAGTTTAGCAAAATATCCTCGTTTCGCCTACTAACGCCACCAATAATATATTACGTGTGCAAATACTAGGACAATCTCAGGACACAAAGGAGGCATCTCGCGTGTCAACTGGTACCCGTTCGACAACGGCATGTTCACATCATCGTCCTTTGACAGCACCATCAAAGTCTGGGATACCAACGCCATGGAGGTAATTACATCGTTGTTTTAGCAGCCCATTGGAAGTACCGTCGAGTCGATCCGCGACCTTTCATAACAACGCGTTCCTTGTTTGGTATTGCTAGGTCGCTTGCACGTTTGACCTAGAGAACAAGGTATATAGCCACGCAATATCCTCAAAGGCAACGCATGGACTCATAGCGAGTATGTTTTTTACTGTTTGTTTGTGGACATGGAATTGACCCCAACCCCAGCCTATTAACCCTTTTTCGGACGACTGGCCAATCCCCTGCTCACTGTCGACTAACAAATTTGCTGTTTCTGTAATGAAAAGCTGCATCGTCTGACCCTAGGATACGACTGTGTGATCTGAAAACAGGAGCATTCACCCATTCACTATCAGGACATCGAGGAACTGTGCTCAGTGTAGAATGGTCGCCTCGACACGAATATCTATTGGCGTCAGGAAGGTAAATCAAATATCCTGCTATCCGCTCAATCTATGAGATCCTTATCTCATTTTGTAATGGAAACTAGCTGCATGAGCTGATCCACTCCTTATTTGTCATAAACAAAAACATGCCGATTTTCATTAGCACGGACACGACAGTACGCCTATGGGACATTCGCAAGTCGTCGTCCTGCCTCTGTTCACTCGACATGCACAACACCAACTCGCCTCCGCTTTCAGAGGCCAATGTGGCCCACACAAGGACGGTCAATGGACTTGCGTTTACGCCCGATGGATTGCACCTGGTCAGCACAGGACACGACGATAAGATGCGACTCTGGAATCTTTACACGGGCCAGAACACTCTGACCAACTATGGGACAATGATCCGGAACCAATTCGTGTATAACCTGGTGCCCGTGATCTCGCCCATGTCCGCAGGGTCCCCGACGTATGTCTTCTATCCGTCCAATGATCGGTCGATCTTGATGTATGACCTGATGGATGGCTCGCTTGTGAAGCGCCTGACGGGTTCCTTTGGGAGGATAACTGCTCTCGCATGGAGGCCAAGGACACAGGTAAAAAAAAAATGGGAATCGCGGATGAGGAGAAATAAGTGGAGAAATTAATTGGCTATCATGGTTCAATCGTACGTTATGCAGGAGCAATTATATTATGTCTGACTGAGTATGTCCGCACTAAATGTATTATGCGCTTCGTATGAATGTAATAGGAGATTTACAGTGCCGGAAATGACCACGATATCCTCGTCTGGGGGCCAAAGAATGTGAATCGGGATAATGCATTACAAGCCATGGCCGACCTAGATACTTGGTCTGATAGCGATTGAACATCGTCATTTTTTTTCCTTCTCGTTTTCTCTCGCGATCTTTTTGATAACGTATTGTTTTTTTTTCCACCTTTTTTTTCTGGCCAAGGAAAAGCGCAAACAGTTGACAAACAATAAAGCACATACCGGCGTTGGTCTAGAGATTGAAAAAGGCATGTTAATGATAGCGCTCGACAAACAAAAAATGTCCTTGAGAAGAAGGATATGGCCAGGTGTATGTCTGTTGGCGGGTAAACATCAGGGTCGACGACCTCTCCCATATCTAATCCAGATCCACGGATTTCGTTTGGATAACCATGCATCCCTGCATTGATCCCTCTTTCTTCTTACCCGTGACAACTCACACTCGCCTGCAGGTGAGTGCCTCTTAGGATTAATATCCAGATCGATAAAGATATAACTCTCACATCTTTCTGTATCGGATAACGAGAGTGTGAGGGCTGACCTGCAGAAGGAAGTGAACACAAGAAGCAGGAGTGAGTAAGGAAAGAGAGAGAGAGGAGCAGGTTACAAATTTGCCGAAGAATGTTGGGAGTGTTTTCTACTCGTTTTCTTTCGATCCTCCTTGATCAGTAAAATGTGCAACTTTAATTATTCCTCTACCCATTTCTTTTTCTCGCCCAACTTATTGAAAGAACATAGAAGAAATGTATTCGCGAGGGACACTTTCCCATACCAACAAACTAAAAATCAACTTGTGCTGATTCTCTCCAGATTATCTTGCGTGTTCGACCTTTCGAAATCGATGGGAAACCCTTTCGCTTGTTGACGATGATGGCCCTGTTGTCTGAGAGCCCCCTTTGGTTCGTTTACAGCACAATGGGCCCGAGTGAAATAGTCCCTGCCAGTGACAACAAACACTCCGTGGGTCAAGGGCCAAGGTGATACACACGGACAGCAAGATATCCTTCGACTTCACCCTTCACCCAAAAGAGCACACGATAACGATCAAACTTTTGCAAGAGAAAATTAAGGCGCGTTCACAAACCATGGACTGGCATCATGCACTCTCCCTTTTATTTGTGTATCCCACGGCCACAGAATGAGAGATGACCAATAGGGCTTTATCACAACTAGCGCACCTTTGTGTGGAGGAGGGATGGTAAGAGGAGAAGGTATAGAAACACCGAGGGTTGGTACTTTGGCCGGATGTGAAAAAAGTGAGATGAGGAGTGAGATGAGGAGTGAGATGAGGATTTGATGTGAGCACACACCCCTTTGATAAAACACTAGCCTACGCTACTTCCCCTTTATTCTCATCCCGAAACCATACCCTCATCGATGTTGGGCTCGCGATGTCCATGGAGTTTTATTCGCGATATTAGCTGCTTAATTGATACATAGTGTTGTAGCAGCCTGTGTTTACTCGGCTAGGGAGTTAGCCATACTTTTTTTCAGGGACAAAACGAACGGTCAGGGAGCGAGTTTGTGCCTGAGGGTGATTGAATATCGCAGTGATTGTATCCGCGCATTTCATTCCATTCACTCAATACTTCATACATTTCTTTTCCGTGCTATGACCCGAGGCTTGGAGGAGCATATTGGGCCATCCACTCTATCCAAACATCCCTGTTTTGTTTACTCGCCCTTTCAGCGCCCATTCGCCTCTCACAGCCATGTCCAAACATTACACTCATTCAAGGGAACAAAATCAAGGCAGACTTTTCTTATCCCAGGAGTATCTCCAGCAAAAACGTATATAAAGAGGGACTTTCCTCGCGCCTTCAATACGAACTAAACATCGACAACAACAACATCTTCCTTCATTACTTATCCTCCTCAACACAACAACAACAATGAAGTCTTTCATTTCCGTCGTTGTCTTTGCTCTCTCGTCCTTGGCTCTTCTCTCGGAGGCCCACATCTCCTTCCGTTACCCATGCCCTCGTCGCGGCCCTTACTCCGAGTGCCCCCAGCCCAAGGATAACGAGTGGGACTTGGTTGACTATGATGTCCAGTCGCCTCTTGGAACATCTGTAAGTCGTTATGCACGATATCAATTTGATGCTAGTTTAACATCGACTGCTTTTGATACAGTCGATTGACTCCTAGTTCTGAATTGAGCGGCTCTAGAACTCGATTAGCGACCCCATTTGCAAGCACTCCAGCTCGTTCGCTGGTATCCGCCCCACCTTCAAGGCCGGCCAGACCGTTGCCACCAAGATGGATGTTGATGTCAACCACCGCGGTGGATCGTAAGTTTTCCTTATTGCTGTGCTCCACATTCCCACATGATCATTTTTCTTTCGTCGTCCAATTGCTAACCTAATCATCATTATTAACGCGTTCACCTTCTTTTGATGAAATGCAGCTGCCAATGGGCCCTGTCGTACGACAACGGCAAAACCTGGGTGGTAAGTGTGCAGCACAACTGAACAGACACGAACACATCACAGCCATGTCTATCAGCGATAAAGTTATCTAACGGCTATCTCGCCTCATCATTTCCCTCTCCCTCTTTCTACTACCTCTCCTATGGTCCAACAGGTCATCCAAGACCAGTTCCGCGACTGCATGGCCAATGCCCCTGCCAGCAGTACCTACACCGTCAATGTGGCCATCCCCGCCAATGCCCCCTCGGGTGCCGCCATCCTCAACTGGATCTGGAACAACAACGAGGGTAACCGTGAGCTCTACTCGAGCTGTGCCGACGTCGTCATCCAGGGCTCCAGCGGTGGCTCCCTCTCTGGAGTCGCCCCCCTCTTTGCCAACTATGGTCCAGGAAGCCCCTTCATTCCCGAGGCTGCTGTTTCAGGCGGTAACTGGGGCAAGCAATATTTTGATGCCAGAAAGCCCATCACTGTTACCGTCCCTGCCCAGAAGCTCAAGCGCCAGACAGCTCCTATTTACTAAAGAACAGATGAGATGGGCGTTTTTTGGGTGAAACATACAACCTATTACCCGTAGGGGGTGCGAGAGTGAGAGCACAAGAAGAAAAAAAAAATGCAAAAAACGAACCTTCACGTAGCGCTCGTGGGCTGGCTCCCTTGCAAACACACTGTTATCTCTTTTCCCCTTCCTTGAAAACCATAATAAAAAACAATGCTAATGATCATCATTCAATTGGTCTCCGACCTGACAGAAAACAGGAAATGACCTGATGCGCTTCCCTACTCACCATTGAGACCTTGCAGGGCGCATTCCTGTGGCGCGCAGTGGGGGGGGGGGAAGAGCCAGAAAGTAGAATAGAAAGATGGAATGATGGAACTGGGGGTCGTTTGGGTCACAGCGCAGATGTATGTGCTTTTTGTTACTGAACAGAAAAGCGTATGTTTGTGTATCATCGTCATGCATGTCCCTCATTTTTGGTACTCCGTGTGTCGGAAGGGCGCTCCCACGTTTCCCGAGCCAAGTTAGCTTCCGTGAATCATCCCGACATACATCACTCTTGAGAGAGAGAGAGAGGAGATGCCGACCGTGCTTCACACCATTCCCCCCCCTCAATTGCCTTCAGAGACACAACAAAACAATAACAACAAAGTGCTGTCTGCTGGGGATGGCTCACAGCTGCAGCATGATATTTCGTGTCAAATAGGCAGATTAAATTTTTTTTCCCACTTTCCCCTTTTTCTCCATTCTTCCCACCTTTTCTTTTTTTTTTCCTTCTTCCTTCCACCAACAATTCCTCCACCACACACACACACCCTCAGCAACACTGTCAGCACTTCTTCCCCCTATATTCCCACACTTCCTCTCCTCCACCCCCAACTCAACCATAGCACACAGAAGAAGCAACACCCCTTCATTTCCTACAAACCCTAAACACAACAAAACCATGGGGCGCACAAAAATCCTGATCGCAGGCGCAGGAATTAGCGGTCTGGCCATCGCTATCATGCTGGAACGACTGCCAGAGGACAAGAAAGTCGACTACCTGATCCTTGAACGATCCGTCATGATGAGCGCCATGGGCAGTGCGGTCTCGCTGCAGACCGCCGTGATCCCGCTCCTCAAGCAACTGGGCATCTGGCCTGAGATAGAACGCATCAGTAAACCCATGAGCCATTTCTGTATCAAACGAGCCGACGGCTCGGAGCTGGGAACCGTCGACTATGCCTATGGTGATAGCGAGTACGTTTTTCTTTAGTGTTTTTCTTGTTGCCATGGATGGTCTGTACCTTAGCGAAACGGGGAAAGAAAACTAGCTGACCCAGTCACATCTTTTTCACATGTGCGTAGGTACTCATATTACGGGATTGTTATGGCAAGACCAGAGCTGCACTCTATTTTGATGAGCCATGTCCCCAGCAGCAAAATCATTTTAGGAAAGAGGATCGTCGCCACAAGTCAGGATGACATAGGTGTCTCCTGTCACTGCGCAGATTCGACCATCTACCATGCCGATATCCTCATCGGTGCCGATGGTGCTTACAGTGCCGTTCGACAGGCGCTTTACAAGGATCTTTGGGCGCACGGAAACTTGCCTCGACAGGATATTACCCCCGTCAAACTGGATCAGGTTGTTGTAGTCGGGGTTACAGAGCCGCTTAGTCCGGCGGATTACCCTATGCTCAAGGAGGATGTCTGTCAGTTCAGGATTGTCCTTGGAGGACATGACCGACCCTATACGGTAATTTGACGCTCCGCAAGGGACTTCAAGTCGTTGTTGCATTAGAATGAAAACTTGCAATGGTCCTAAACCTTCTTATTTTCTGTTCAACTGCGATAATGAAAAATAGATGTGGATGGTACCATTAACAAACAACAGATTGGGCTGGTCTATCGGCGGGCGGAGCAACGCCTCGGACGGATCATCATTTTGGAGCGAGAGCCAGGAGGAAGCAACGGATTCGTATGCATTTGCGAATGACAGCAACCGGAACGCGGACTGGTCTGAAGCCGAAACAGAGTCGATTGAAGAGATTTGTTCACAGATGCGCTCAAAGCGGAATCCGTTCGGGTTTGGAACCTATGGCGACTTGATCGATAAGACGCCCCGACATATGATCTCCAAGGTCATGTTTGAGGAGAAGGGGTTCCGGACGTGGTATGGCGGGCGCACTGTTCTCATTGGCGATGGTAAGACCTTTTCTTTCTGTTATGTGGAATGGAAATGGCGTTTTGCTGACACTTGTGAGAACCATGAGGCTAACTACGTTGTTGTTACTTTTTCGCTTCCTTCTGTAGCATGCCATAAGGTACTTTCATTTGCATAGACTCATAGGATGTCAAGGGTACATTGTGTGGATACATCTCGGACGACTTATCCGCAAACTAACATCTTTTTCTCTTTTGATTAACTTTTGACATGCGGTCGATGTTTCAGAGTGTACCATTTGGAGGGTAAGAGTTCGTTTCTGATCAAAGCACCTATGCATCCAACTGCGCGACTTCAGGGTCTAACATCCAACCTCTTTTCTTATATCTTTATGACTTTTGCGTCCCTTTCGGTTAACTCACATCCAGTCAAGGCAAGTTCAGAAAACCAAGCACACTCAACTGGCGAATTGAACGATACATTTTTTATGCCAACTAATATATCTCACACTTTCTCTCACACACACTTCCAACTCGACAGGTGTGGCGAATGCAATGTTTGATGGCGCATGTCTGGTCAACCTGATCCACGACCTCTCTTCACAGCCGACGATGGACGAGCTGGGCGACCTGTTCCAAACCTACTTTGAGCGTCGGTACCCAGCAGCACGGATCGCGATCGAGGGCAGCAGTCAGTTCTCGCGACTCTTTCATGATCAGGTAAACACAGAATTGAGGATCGCAGTTGAAAAACTTGAGTCTTTGTTGTCGATTGCGTGCTCACCAACCCTCTACTCTTGCCAATTAATACCGTAGGCACAGGTGGAGGAAGATGGACGCGTGGTGATGTACAACAGCATCCCCCGGTGGCTGCAGCGCTGGACTCTGGACAGCAACAACAAAGTCGATCCAACACTCGACTTTGTCCTCACGAAAATGTCCTTCGCGCCCTCTATCCAACCCTTTGCCACTGTCCAAGACGAAACGGTGCACTTTGACGCGGATGAACAGCCCACGTTGGGAGGATCACATAGACACTCGTTCCCACCAGGAACAGCAGTATCGGGGACGGCAGTAGGAGTAGGAGGCGAGGCAACTGTGCCATTAGCACATTCACCCTCGGTCCCTGTAGATATCCCTCATTATGTATCCCACAACAGTAGAAGTTTTTGAAGCCCCTTGTCTTCTTTTTCTCTGAACGACCATGTATTTATTTCTTTCTTCGATATTTCAAGGATTGGGAGAAAGGTGTGTTATGTCTGGGAGCAAATTAGGAAGGGTGGATGGCCGTTGAGTGTAACATAAAGAACCTATGGATTTGGTATGGTGTCGGTGCCAGGGAAGAGAAGAGGTGTATCTACCAGCTCCAGTCGTTGCCAAAACCCCAATCCCAATCGCAATCATCACCCCATTGACTGCCTCCCCAGCTGTTTCCAACCCATGGTCCCCCACCTCCCCAGCTGTTTCCACTCCATGGCCCCCCACTACCCCAGCCGTTACAGCCCCAGCCGCCACAATCACCACCGCGCCATCCTCCCCCCTTCTTTCCCCAGTCGCAATCGCCGCCCCAGCAGCCGCCGCCGCCGCCCACAAGACCAACAGGACCAACAGGACCAACAGGACCGACAGGACCGACGGGCACCGAGATACCAACAGGGACAGGGTAGTTATAGGGCTGACTAACGGGGACTGGGACAGGTTGAAGAGCGTGGGGCTGGATGTTGACGATCGGTTGGATCAACGTGTCGGTCGAGACATCCGTAGGGGCTCCATTCACGATCGTTAAGGGTGAACCACCGGGGCCACCAACAGGTCCTGGAGGACCCATAGGCCCTCTGCCAAGCTGACGCTTCTTGAACGATGCAAGACCAAACCTTCCACTACCTACAAAGCCATTGGTGTACGCGGGTCCAACACCAGGGGTCTGGACGTTGTTGACAAGGGGGTCGAAGAGCTGGATCGCGGGCTGGAAGATCAGGTTTGGGTGGATGCGTGTGGTGGGGATGACCTCGGTTTCGCTGGTGAGTTGGACAGTCTGGGAGGGGACGACCTGGTCAGGTGGCGCAACGAGGCTGTCAAGGCCCTTTCCTAATCCTCCGCTCAGAAGGTCTGGAGTAAATGCAGGGTTGGCGAGATCTCCTCCTCCGCGTAGAAGGTCTGAAGAGAAACCAGGGTTAACGAAACCTCCTGTTCCTGCGACTTGAATGGGAAACGCGAAACTGCCGAAACCTCCTCCTCCGCTCAAGAGGTTAGATGAAGAAGTTAGGTCAAGGGCATCCAGATCAGATCCAAACGCGTCAGGGCTGGCTAGGAGATTTGTGGGGTCAAGGCCAGTGATGCTAAGAGAGCCAAGGGAGGCCGGGTCTGGGTCTGTAAGGAGTAGAGGCGAGGGTGCTGGTGCTGGTGCTGCAGAGCAGACGGCGACGAGGGTTAATGCCGCGAGGAGAGAATGACAAACAAACTTGCGAGTCATTGTGAAGAGGGGGTGTATGTGTTGTTTTAGGTCGAGTTGTTGCTTGTTGGCAGTTTTGAGATGAGAGTTTGTTGGCTATGTTCGCGGTTTTATACGCTGTCGTAGGCTCGGTGCAATCCAAACTCCTCACCATAACGTTGTAAATTTACAATAGCAACACCATCAGTTGTTAATCAGTCATAGTGGTCACGGTAATTACACGCCACTAAATCAATCGTCGAGTTGCAGAATGATCGTTAAACCGCTCCCGTTGCCCATTCCTGCTGATCTCTCCTGTGTATCGCCTCAGCCCAGCACGTGAAGACATGTCAACGATGGCCAAGATCGGTTCTAATTTGAACAATAGTTGGCTTTATTAGCTCAACACACGCAAGGGTTTCTTTTTTTCTAATGGATGCTTGTGTGCTGATCCCGGGTGCAATGTGATAAGGAGGAGAGGCGACGGAGAGGGGAGGACGTGAGAGGGAGGAGATGGGGGCATTGAAGTGGTGGTGATAATACTAGTCGTTGAGAGTCGGTGAATGAATAAACGCCGTTTATGCGGCGGTCTTCATGTTGACCATGGTCCAGTAGGTACCTAGTAGACGGAGACAAGATATCGATTGATAGTCAGTGACCTAAATTTCTTTCTCCTTCTGGCGTTGGATATCCTGAAAAAAAGCAAGTAGTCCACTTACCCTGCTCAACTGGGGGTTGATCGGGAGACTTGACCCACTTGTAGTTGCGGATGACGGGGGTAGGGGGCAAGTTGGAGGGGGTGTAGATGGGGGTCTTGGCGCTCTTGATGACTTCGGTCAAGGAGGCGTTCTCACCAGCCTTGGCGATGGCGGACTCTCCGGAGCCAATGCTATGGAAACATTGGAGATTTAAAAGTGACGATTAGCGCACTGCCATATCGAAATTGGTCGATAGTCCTGAAGTACACGAGGTGGGGCGACGAGAGACGATTAAAATGGAGCAGCCAAAAAGACGTCATCTCTTTGATGACCAGATCGCCCTGGAGTGTTTCGTTGCCCCTGATGCTGATGCTGTTATGATTGGTTTGTGTTATTCCGTTGGTCCTTTCAACTGGTCGCTCCTGGAGCAGGGCATCTGCAGATTGTCCAGATATCCAGTACTGTAGCGACATCCGTGATGAGCTTAAAAGAATGAGAGACTTACGCCAAAGCCTCCTTGGCAGCGAGCAATCCAGCGACCTCCTGCTGAGAATAGACGGCCAAACGGGGGTAGTTTCTCCTGAAATCGCGTCCATAGTAAGGGTTCTGGGCAATGTCGTTGGCAAGGGGATCCTTGGGGACAAAGGTCTTGGGCTGGCCACTATTGTTGTCGTTGTCGAGATGTGGTCATGGTCCAGGTACATAGAAATAGATTGAAATGAGAGAGAGGCGTCCGGTCAGTGTGCGCGCTTGACTTGAAAAGATATCGGATAAAACGCGGGCGGGAATATTGTCCAGTTCCGGAAGCACAATGTTGAAGGTTTACCCAGGGGCGACACGACGGAACTCCTTGGCATCGGGCATACCGGAGGAGACCTTGGGGTTCTAGAGAATGAAGGTTCGAATTGTAGAGATGAAGAGTGAGACAAGTCATGTCATGATGATATGTCGGCCGGTATGTTTGAAATGGTCGTCTGTCCTGAACAGGGGTCGATTCAGATCGGAAGAGGGTGCTGCTGGATTATCGAAAGTGAGGCGTTGTCCAGGTGTGTGCGTTGGGTGTGTCGTTGGGAGCTAATGAGATAGCGTACCACGGTGAGGGCCTTGCGGACCGAGTTCCAGAAAGCTGATTTGGCCATGGTGTTTGCGGTGAGTGTGATGGTTGATGGAGAAGTGTCAAAGGGAATCCGAAATCCCGAAACGATCCTCTGCTGGAGCCTGGCGGCGGGAAGGATGACGCCTGGTAGTTCACCGTGACGCATTTTTAATTTCTCTTGAGCTGATCTACTTTTTCTTTTGAAGGCATGAACTTTGCCCAAAACCAACAACTTGACCATAAGGACACATGGATTCGGACGAGGAAGACAGCTATAGCCTCGGAACCCAGCAGCTGGGCGATGGCAACCCATTGAGAACCTTTTCTCTTGACAACCTCCCGGCTGAATTCGTTGCATTCCTGGCAAAGAACGAAATCGACCCCGCCATATACACTGTCACAGACTTGCCCAGATATGTTCGCCTCAACCCCGATCCTCATCTCACTATCACACCCGAGGAGCTGGAGAAGCAGCTGGGCACCAAGGTCGAACCCGTACCTGGACTCGAAGCATTCTGTAGGCTCGATGGTCAAGCTAAGCTCAGAAACACACAGGCGTAAGGACATCGTTTCCGTTATTTGCTGAATAACCATGGGAGGAATTGAAAAAGAACAAGGGTAAACCTAACATTGTAACCCTTTTAAATCCGGCATTAGTTACAAGGATGGCAGGATATTTGGCATGGATCTCAGCTCAGGAATTGCTGTGTATGCTCTGGACGTCCAGCCAGGAGAGCACGTCCTAGACATTTGCTGCGCACCAGGTACGATCAGTTGTCAAACATTTGATCAATTAACGCGCACAGTTCACGTCGTTGATCAGTACACTGGCGCGTTATTTGATCATAAATATTTTGAACGCGACACTCAGCCTCAGTCTCTCTCCATTATTAGGCGCTAAACTATGTATGATTGCAGGACTCTTGACCAACTCGGGGCATATCCAGTCCGATCGTTCAGGGGGCGGAAACCAATTGCAGATGGACATTACAGGAACGGTGACTGGAGTCGACATCTCTCCACATCGTCTCTCAACCTGCAGGAGCCTTTTGAAGCGCCATCGTCTGCAACAATGTGCTAGACTCTTTCAGGCAGACGGAACAAAGTTTAGTGTGATGAGGCCAAGTGCGATCGACACGATCCGTGCCAGGATCATGGCCAATCCCTCTGGCACAAAGAAGACTGCAACAGATGGCCAATCTGGTTCACAGGCCAAGCGAGCATTGGAGGATGAAGATAACAATAATGATGGTTATGGACAAGGAGAGAGCTCACAGATGGTGGTGGATGGCGGTCAAGAGTCAGCGGTAAGGCAACAGTTTCACATCAACTCTTTGGAAAGCGAGAGTACCCTTAAACGACACAGGGCCACATTTGATACTCTGAAGGGATTGGTCACAGGATCGACAGGAGCGTCGGCACTGTTCAATGGAACAGACACGAATGGTGACCAGGAAAAGGTGATGCCCTTTTTTGCACCAAAGATTCTGCGCAACGACCCTCAGCTCCACACCGAGGCGTACAAGTATGACAAAGTAATTGTCGATGCTGAATGTAAGTGAAACCTTTCCTTTCCGTCGTACGCGATTGGAGCTCAAAACGATGGTCAGGTACGAACGCTAATATGTTTACTCGAACGTTTTATAGGCACACATGATGGATCGATTGCGCATATTCTGAAGTACGAGGCGTGGGGCTGGGACAGCTTCCACAAGAACTTTATGTCGCAGGATCGCCTTGATTCTCTGTCCGACCTTCAGCGTGGCCTTTTGATGAACGGATTCCGAATGACAAAGGCTGGAGGAATCATTGTCTACTCGACCTGCTCCCTGTCTCGAGCGCAGAACGAGGATATTGTGGCTTGGTTCATTGCCGGCATGAGAGGAAGGGCTGTGCTGGAACCATTGCCAAAACATGCCCTGGGCATTCAGACGGCTACCTGCAAACGGCCCTGTCGATCGATTGTTGCCAGCGCCTCGGGCCTCCCAACGGCGACGGACCCGAGTGGCCAGGTGCAGTGGCAAGGGACACCACAACAAGAGGCCGATATGGAGAAATTCCAGGACCACATCCAGGAGATGTGCCTGAGGTATGATCCATTAGCCAGCAAAACAAGCGGCTTTTTCTTGGCCCGGATACGAAAAATTGCATAGACTTGATAATAAAAGCACAGCTAATACAGTACGAACGTTACTTTGTGGGCAAAGTGGATGGGGACACTAGCCCTCTCCTACTCTTTTTTTTCCTCTTTACTGATAAACGTTCTTTCGTCTATTCTAATACACTATTAGTCATGGACGAAAAGGGTTGAATACTAGTGGGTGGAGAAAAAGAAAGGTCTCTGATGAACACCTTTGGACCTTGGGAAGGGAATATTACGGAGCGAGGAAATATACATGCTAAATGGTTGGTTGGTGGGAAGGTCCATCGGCTTGGGAGAAGGAGCACCAAAACGGAGATGAAAGGTGGAGGTGAAAAACAATGCTAAAGAATACAGTGATGGGTAGATGGGGGGAAGAGGAGTAGGAGTGTTGTTGCGGAGGAGATTGTTTAGATCTCGGTCTTCTCGACGACCTTCTCGTTGGCGTAGGTGTTCTGGGCGGCGGCTGCACGAGCGCGGTTACCCCTGATCTTCATGAAGACGATGGAGAGGATGACAACGAGCCAGTAGACGCAGTAACCGGTGATGGTTCCGACGGAAGCAACGTGCATCCAGCCGAGGATGGAGTTGAAGAAGGCCCAACCACCGTTCTCGGGCTGGTTGGGGTCACCGTAGTTGAGGGCCCAGACGTTGCCGCGGGGATCGTATGTGCCGGCATCATCGGCATCACCTCCAACAATCTTGCCCCACTTATCCATCTCGTAGGCGTTGATGGCCTTAGCGAAGAGACCGGCGGCGATCAACAAAAGGAAGCAGGTAGAAGCAACGAAGAAACGGTGAAGAGCGAGACGGCTTCCTCCACGGTAGATAATGAAACCAACCAAGGCACCAGCAAGCAAACCAACAACGACAGCAAGAGGAATAGCCTTTCCTTCAGCATCGAAAGTAACCTGAGCACGGAGGTAATGGAGAAAAGCAGTGTTAGATACAGAAAAAAAGGTCTGTTCTTGAAGGACGTAGCACGAAAAGAAACGACAATGGAATACTTACACCACCAACGAAAATCATGGCTTCCAAACCCTCACGGAGAACGGTGATCATGGGCAGGATAAAAAGGGCGTACTTGCCGGTAAGCGTGGACATGCTGCGCTTCTCCTCGGCATGCTGCATGGCCTGGCCCAACTTTCCGCGCCACTTCTCCTGCAACTCCTGGGACTTCAACATGGCCAAGGACATAGCGGTAATCATAAAACAGGCAATCAAAGCGAAGGTACCCTCCCAAATCTCTTCACTGCTCTGGAAGACGTTCTTGGCCAAGGAGTTCCTGGAAGAATAAACGCGAATATTACAGGTGGCTGTTAGGAATGTGCACTACTGACCAACTGGCAGAGACCGAACATGGTTTAGGAATGATACAGCGGGAACTCACCAGAGAGCAATGAATGTTCCACCGATAATGAGCGAGATGATGAGACCAACAAGCACACCAATCCAGATGTGCCACTTGAGGCGGCGAAGGAGAGCAGCGTCATCAACAATGACCTGCTTTACGAAAGTGAGGAGAACCGAGACGATGATGGCAGCCTCCGTCGTCTCGCGGAAAATAATAAAGAACACGGGGGCACTGAAAATTGCCATGGTGGACGTCTTTTGGAAGAAGGGAAGTTGGTGAGGTGTGAAGGAAGGACAGGGGTCGAAGGATTAAAAAGAATCAAAAAGGGCAGGAGTGTTTGTGTGCGTTGGTATATATATATGTGGGCGTGGCAGCTTGGGCTATTGAGTCCGATCGGTACGATTGCAAAATAAAGTAGGCCGAACAGAGTACAAAGGTCGGTAAAGTGGTTAGGCCTTTACTGCCTACTGAGGGAGTTCAAAATTCGAGGTACACTAAAAAAAATGAGTCCAGAACAGTTGGGCTCGTTGTGTATTGTAAAATCATCCAAATGAAGGAAAGCGAAAGCGTACCCCTGACTTAACGTGGGCAGGCTCTGCAAAAGGGAAGCACAAACGAAAAGGTGCACATCTTCCTACTCTCTTCTTGCTTTTCGTTCTCCTTCTCTTTAGGACCAGCGACTCTGTCCTGGAAGCATAAAAATGGTCGTTCTCGCACTCCCAATCCCGTCTTAGTACAAAGACGAGTACGGGAGGGGTGTATTCCTCGAATAGTGGTGAAATGTTGAGTGAGAGAATGAAATAAAATTGTACAGTAAAAGACCTCAGATCAGATAACTCTTTTTCGTTTTTCACCTCTTGTGCCTGGAACAGTTATCTGATTTCCAAGTCGGGTACCGAAGCAAAGAATTTTTTTTCATTTTTTTCGGTACACTCAATATTCTCTTCCTCTCTTTCCCTCCTCATTGGGATTTTACCCGGAAAAGCGTCCCGTTCGTTCACTCCTCAAAAACTTTCTTTTCTATTTACTTTTTAACCCCCGTCATCATATGCAGAAAAGAATCGCTTTTGGGCAACTTGAACCACGCTCTCTCTGCTCTTTTCCTCCTCATGGGTCAGATGGGTCAGTCCACAGGGACTAAATGAGAAGAGTGCTTGAACCCATTGAATTGCACTGAATACCATTAGCAAAGAACCAACACCATTGCTCTTACCCTCCCTTTTTCCTTCCTTGCGGCCAGTCAAAAGAGGTACGATAGGTTCCTGTTGGACCCGAGTCATGGCAGTAAAAAATGAAAAAAAAAATCACAACATTCGCTGGATCTGATAAGATAGCCTTCCTAATGGAGACTCAGTTCGTCACATATCCGTCCTCTTCACTCCTACTCCCAAAGAGTCTCAACTCTCACCCCCGAAAGTACAGTACTATACATGTGCCGTATTTTGGGTACCGTCCCCGCCAAAAGCTGCTAGTTGTTAACACACGCCCTCACACCCTTTTCTCTTGTTCCCCAAAAAACAATGCATTTTTTCGCCTTTGCCATTTGTCACTCTTTTTATCTGGCTTCCAAAACTGCTACCCTTCTTCATCTTCCATCTTTGTTTTCCAAAGGCGCGTGTTCCTCCTCGCTTCTTTTTTTCACACCCCTTTGCGTTACCACAATTGTTGTCCATGCAGAGAGTACATACCATGTCTTTGTACCCTGGCCATTTCCCTAATGTTTTCCCGGTAAACATACAAACACAAATGAGGACCAGTGCGGCAATCGGCCGAGGCCCCTGGGGTGCTTGATATTCTCCGCCATCCTCGTTGCCCTATCAGTTCTGGTTGTTATCCTGCCTCATCTTTTTCTCTCTCTGCGTCCTCTTGTATAGATGCTGCTAAGGCTCTCCATTGTGCTTAACTATGCGATGAAGCAAGGAGCTAACCATCCATGAATGATCAACAGGCAAAAAAAAACAAAAGAGGAAAAAAAGGCCGACGAGGTCTTGTTTCTAGATACTATGATGATTGTTTCATCTTGTAGCTCTTTGTTGACGACGCGACCTGAAAAGGCCTGCAATTCCTTCTATAACAACAGTTGCACTAGGACAATGTCCTCGTTCTAACCCTTGACTAGCCAACACCCAAGCCCACTGTGCAACGACATCATGGTTGTTTGAGGTGCAGCACCGTTCGATATTCTGGCCAACGGTCATATCCTTCCTCTCGGATGGACAAGCGCGCTGTTGATGGTAGTTATTTTAAGATTGGCAGTGGCTGAAGCTGTTAAATTGGTAATCAGTTCAAGAGAAATCTTGCAACCCGCATCCATTTTTTACACCTTTTTTTTTTTTTCTCTCTCCATGTTTTCATCTTTGCCTTGCACAAAAACACACGCCTCCCCCAAAACAAATCCCCACTCTTGTGTTCAGGGCCATCGTGTCTTTCACAATAAAGTAGTTTTCCTTCTTTAAAAACGATCATTGTCTCCTATGCACCCATCAATTGAGGCTCAGAATCGCCGCCCACTTCACAAGTTCACCCTGACATGCAACAAAAATGAAAGTTCGGGTGTCATTTTTCAATCCTTGTCGGATGTCGCTTCGTCGAATGGTCCCCGTGGTCAACGCTGTCCATACAATCCTATTTGTACAAAAGCGTAAGAAGAGGAAAAAAGACGATGGTAGAGTAAGGTATTTTTTACAGCAAAAAATGTGCATTGCGAAACGCAAATGCATTTTCTTTCTCGCATCGGTATTTTTCTTCGATCAATTGCAAGTGTACCGCCAAGAAAAAAAAATGGCCTTGATATCAGTGGAGCAAGCAAAATAACGAACAAGCCTTGTGCCGTCAGGAAAAGCCATCTATGGACTGAATGTAAGTCCCCCTTTCTTTTGCTTTTTCTTTTTGCTGTCTTCTATCAAGCAACGATGCGGAGTTATGGTGAGGACGTTCGTGAGTAGTGGGGAAAAGATGCACAATTGAACAATCAGATCAGTGCGCTTGACTCAGCTTTTTTATCGACGAATATCCTTTTGCTGTTGGTGAATAAAGCCAATTGACATCGCCTTCCTCACCCAACAAAACAAAACGCGAGAAAGGACTCGCTTATTAATCCTCGCTGGTAAGTATCCATTCATTGACTCCCATCATGCACTTAACTGATCAAAAATTCTTCCGCGTTCTCTTTTATCTATAACATGAAGTGAAATGGATTGTAGCATGAGCAGGAGACAAGGAATACAACTCGCCACCAAAAAGCGCATAGGGAAATCGCTGCGACGGCCACTCCAAAACGTTCAGAACCAAGGACAGCTGGCATCACTGCACGACAACTATTCATCCCAACACGCTCGGATACCCCTTACAAGGGCTTCGGATGTCTGGAAGTTTACGTATCCCCGGGGGATTTGCATGTACTTGCGCCAGTTTACACTTACAAGGTCTGCAGTGAAGGAAAGTACCATCGCGAGAGTCACGATGCAGGAGCGACGGGCAACATCGTCGTTCATTTTATATTTGACATGTTTCACCTTTACCATATTATCCTTTGTTTCATCACTCATTTTCTTAACAACGTTCTTTTTTTTTTCCTACCACTTATATCGTTCATCCATGTCGTTCGTCATTTTCAGGGTCGGACCCATCGTAAAGGTCCATATATGTCCTCAGACATTTTAATGGTGGGAACTCACTCGTTGGCAATTGGCCGAAAAACGCCTTTTGTGCCCCTTTTTTCTAACTCGTTTTTGCGCAAAGGCTAACCACTTCAACGACTATCGGTTATTCCTTAGCTGATTGGCAAGCGTGTCTGGAACTGTCTGACAGGAAAGGAATCATCAAATCGCCAAAGCCCTACAAAAGGAAATCTACAAAGATGATCCCGATCGCCTGGGCTGACATGTGGATCTGGATTGAAAAAAGAAGCGAGACAGGGCACGTTTACACAAGAGGCCAAAGGAGCAAAAGACTTGTACGTATCGGCGACTCATCAAGGATGCAGTTTCGGCAAGCCGACCTCGCCCCTCTCAGAAAAATGGTCATTTTGTTTATGAGTTGGTCAGGAGCCCGACATCTCGTTGTTGGTACATTGATGCGAAAAAGGCACCGGAGGTGGGAGCCGGCGGTAGACATAATTGTCCATCGATCGCATTGTCTTCAACAACAATAAGGTTTTACCAATGGGCTTGAGGTAACGGCAAGCCGCTTCTTGAATGCGTAAGTACTGGGAGTTGACTGTAACATGGTCTCTTGTATGCTTTTGTTTCTATTAGACAGCCTGTTCTAACGCGTCATTTTTTACCCTTTTCTACATCAAGTCATTCGTTGAGAGGGTCGAGGTGCGCGGGCGAAATGGATCACAGAATGGGCCAAACTTGGCATCGGTACGTTAACGACGTCCACGACAGCCCAGAAAATGACTGATCATCTCAGACAAGCAGCAATGAAGTCCTCCAGCGCCGGCCCAAGTTTATTATTGAACGCGTTTTTTTTTTGGTTATTGTAACCTCAAATATCTCCTACAAATATGTTCGTGCCTCATCATTCGGTCGCACATCTAGCCTCAATCAACCACGGCCCTAGTGGTCGCAATTGTATGAATAAAAAAAATGTTTAATCTGTTCTTATTATTATTATTATTTTTTGATTTCTTGCTCGTGCCCTTATTCGCTGAACCATCTCAGCTACATCCTTTCTCTCTCTCCGAGAAAACTAGCAGACGGAAGTCGAATCCAATCTCTTTTAACCACAAGGATGATTAGCCTAGCCTCCGCTCGCGCATGAACACACATCAAAGTACAGAACATACTCGCACGGTGTAGAGATGGTAGATCGACACACGGTGGTAGCGGAGAAAATGTCGGGATACAAGATGGACGCTACATGATGGATGCCTACAAGATGAACACAGTGTCTTGCAAGAGAAAAAAAGAGATGCGGTGGGAAGATGGAATGGTTTGTGTCGTTCCTACTCTAATCCCAAAAAGGCGAGAGAAAAGCGAGGTGCGTCTTTGTTTATTGGCATCTGCCTGCCTGCCTCCATCTGTCTTCCGTGTCTGACTGTGTATCTGACTGTATGTATCTGATTGTGTATATCGCTCCCTGAAATCATAAACCCCCCTAATTTCCATCAACCCCCAGCTACACCTTGAATCCTGACTTTTCTAACTGTCAAGGCCCACTCGCTCTCCTTGAACTATTGTTGCTCTTGTTGCCTGTCTCGTAATTGTTCATATATATCCATCGGTGAGTTGATGGGTGATAAATACCATGAGGTATGTTGGCGCTAAGTGTTCAACCATGATCCCATCGAAAGCGCGAGAACCTTTCATGTCGTCTTGGGGTGTCTTCCTGGGGTGTTGGCAATGACCGATCTTGCTCCAGTATGTGTGTGTGTATCGTAGTCATGGCGAACTCTAGATGTGGTGACAATAGTATGCATGTGGGATGAGAAGAGTAGATGAAAAAAAGCTGCTAGGCTTTGGATCCCAGTCGGGGCAACCCGAGGATAAGAGAAAAAAAAACGGCAACCGTGATAAACTGGGCCATGCCTGCATATCTCTGGGAAGGATGCATCTAGACACATTTTTTTTAGTACGATTGTACTCGGTAAATGAAGTTATCACTACCAGGTTTGATTTCCTTGAAGGTATCTAATGGCACAAGAGAGCAAGGGTTGTGTTGAAGATCAGGAGAGACATTTTGACCTGGGGTTTGGTTTGTTGAATTGTTTGGTGTGTTTTGGGCGGAGCAGGTGAAAGTTTTAAGGTTGAATGGCCAAGATGAAGTGAGTCGACGGGACCATATGAAATCACAAATCAAGGAAAACAGGGAAAACAAAAAGGAATGGGGTGCGTGTGGACAAGGAACTCGCTCCAAGGGGCCGGCCTAACTTTATATGATGCGATCGGGTTGTTGTTTCGTTTGTTTTACCCTCCCTTCAAGGTTTTTTTTTCGCCTTTCCTTTTTCTGCTGCATCTGTTTTTTTTGTCGCCGTTGTTCCTTTGTTGCCTATATGACTCTGTGCACTAAATGCTGCATACAGAAAAGAAACAACAAACAATTCGACGGCTGAATGAACAGAAAAAAAACTCAAAACAAGTGTGTAAGCGGGTTGGCAAAACAAAAGTCGAGAGCACAAGTTGGGCGTGGGTTGCAACTTGCCCAAAATGCATACTTTTGTACATATGATGGCGGACATTGAAAGAGGAAACAGAGGAAAGGGTCAACAGTAGAGAGGATCGAACGGGACGCCCAGCCGGGTAATATTCGAATGACGAGCCAGGCTGAAGAGCATGTAGGGGATTGAAAAAAGGGAAACTTGATGAAAAAGAGCTTACCCTGGTGTTGGACTTGAGAGTACCCGGAAAAAATCTGATAAGTGTTCCAGGCACACTGGGAAGAGTTATCTGATCTGAGTCAGTATTTTTTCTTTACATATTTTCTTCTTTGCTCATCTCTCGAGACCAGCATACAATTGCTCCTGTACTCGTCTTTGTACACACGCTAGAGCATTTGTGCCTCCAAAACAATGAAGGAGTGTGAAAACGAAGAAGAAAAAAAAGAGATGTGCGCCTTTTTTTTATTTTCTTTTCATGCAGCCTGGTGACTACCTTAGACTTTTCTTTTCGACGCTAGGTGTTTCGCCCAACCGACCACATCACCAAAAACTCAGAGAGGGCGCTTGTTGAGTGAGCAGAGTGAAAGAATCACTACAAGAAAGACCATCTGTTCTGGACTCGCCCAATGGATATGTAGAAAGAAGGAAAGGGGGCACAATGCGACCAGGAAGAGGAGAATGTCACGCCGCCTGGCTCTGGCTGGTGGCTGAACCCCTACCTCCTCTTTTTCATGGACGTCACTTAGTAACGCAAAGGGGTGCGAAAAAATAATAATAACATGGGGTAAAGAGCGCGCGCCATTTGGAGAAAAAGAGAGATGGAAAGATGAAGGGGTGGACTCTTTGGAAGCCAGCCAGGGAGTGACTAATGAAAAAGGACAGAAACGAGATGTAAAATTCAGGTGTGCGCTTTTGGGAAGGTTGTTCATCGTAACTAAGCTCCTTTTGGCGGAGACTGTAACTTTGAGAAAAGTACGGCACATGTACATGGAAAGGAAACACCAACAAAATGTTCAGCTGGAAAACAAACGGCTGTTTTCATGGGCGAATTGGGAAAGGAAACAACAAATTTATTTGCTGGATAGTGTTGGTATGTAGTTTTAGTGCTGCTGGCGTTGGTGTTGGTGTTGCTGGTAGTGAGTACTATCTTATCAGATCCAACGAATAGTTAGCGGTGCTGGTGTCCCTGTTTTTTTCTGGCAGTGACTCGGGACCAAATGGTTCTCTTTTCTGACTTGTCCGTAACCGACCTTGACCTTTTTTGACTGGCCGCATTGTATCCCGGGCAGGGCAGGGCGGGCCTGGACTGGACAAGGCCAAAGAGCGAGCACAAAGAGAGAGATGATGCGGATGTTCACTCTCAGCTGCATTCGATACCACGCACACTGGTTGACAAGCGCTACTAAAGGTACATTCTTCGTACACCACACATACACAAATCACCAGCATCAACAACAACAACAACACCCTGTTTTTTTTTTTTTTTTTTTTTTTTTTTGTCCAAAGGAGGAAAAGGGGGAAGTAGAGCCTACTCCGCCCGGGTTTGGTTTAGATGCTTTTTTTTTCTCTTTGTTGTTATCTGTTGTTGTTGCCTGTTCATCCATCTGATACTGAATTTTTTGACTTCGTTTTGTTTTTGTTAGCGATTGACCCCATCTGATAAAGACTTTTTTCATATTGACAGACGACCTGGACACTCCTTTGTCTTTCAGGCTGGACCCTTTAACAAGAGCAATAGGAGGAGAATGGGAGAGGGAGAGAGAGAGAGAGGGAGAGAGATGGAGCCAAGGTTGAGTTGGATGAGAAGAGCCAGAGAGTAACGAGGAGGTAAAGAGTGAAGCAGTGGCCACCCACATTACTCTCTTTCTCTGTTGATTCAATACCATTTTACTTTACACAAAACAACACACCCTACCCAATACCAATAACACCTCTCCCGGTCCGCACGCACTGCAAGTGATAAATACCCGGCAGTCGCCCTTCTCTGTCGCCTTTCTTTACCCTTTCCCTCTCTCCTCACCCTTCGTCCTTCCCTTCCCTCCCCTCCCTCCCCTCCCTTCAACCCCACCTCTCCTCCCTCTGGTTCTATTGTACTTCTTGCTTTTGTTCATTACAAAAGGTTGATCAGAACCATCTCATTCCTCCTTTCTCTTTTTCTTTTCTTCACCCCTTCTCTCTCCTTTCCTCTACCCCCCTGCTTTTCGTGATGCTCGCCTCTATTAAGAGTCTGGCTCTCCTCGCCTTGGCTGCCACCGCTGCCCAGGCTGCCATCGTCACCTACGACTGGAACATCACCTACGTCAACGCCAACCCTGACGGTCTCCACGAGCGTCGTGTCATCGGTGTCAACGGCCAGTTTCCGTACGTATTTGTTTCTCTCTTTATCTGATTGATAACTCTCAATAACAAGTTCGCTGTCAGCTAACATACCTAACTCTCTTCTCGACCAATGTAGCATCCCCGCTATCAATGTGACCTTGGGCGACACCCTTGTCATCAACGTTATCAACCAGATTGACCAGCCCACCAGTTTGCACTCCCACGGTCTCTTCCAGACCGGCAATGCCCAGTTCGATGGTCCCTCCATGGTCACCCAGTGCCCCATCCCCCCAGGCGCCAACTTCACCTACACCATCCCCATCGAGCAGCACGGTACCTACTGGATCCACGGTCACACCAGAGGCCAGTACGTCGACGGTCTTCGCGGTCCCCTGATTATCCACAACACCAACGAGACCTACAAGTACGACGAGGAGTACACCATCGCCCTTGCTGACTGGTACCACACCGAGCACGAGATCATGCTGGAGCAGTACCTCTCCATCTTCAACCCCTCCGGTGCCGAGCCCGTCCCCGAGTCTGGATTGATCAACCAAAAGACCGATGCCAAGTTCAACTTTGTTCCCGGCAAGACCTACCGTCTCCGCATCATCAACATGTCTGCCCTTGCCATGTTCCACTTCTACATCGACGGACACGAGATGGAGATTATTGAGATCGACGGTATCGATATCGAGCGCACGAAAGTCACCAGCTTCCCCGTCACTGCTGCCCAGCGCTACTCTGTCCTCGTCAAGGCCAGAGACGATGCCACCCAGAACTTCATCTTGCACGCTGACATGGAACCCGACATGTTCGATGTTATCCCCCCAGAGCTCGAGCTCAAGGTCACGGGTACCATCGTCTACAGCGAGACTGCTCCCCTTGCCCCCTCCGGCGTCACTGACGAGTACGATCCCTTCAACGATGCTACCCTTGTTCCCGTCATCCCTGAGGCCACCCAGCTCCCCGACCAGGTCATCCCTTTGAACGCCGTCTTCAGCGTCCTGAACGACTACAGCAACAAGGCCACCTTCAACGACATCACCTACGTTATGCCCAAGGTCCCCACCCTGTACACCGCCTTGACCACTGGCAACCTCTCGTCCAACCCCGAGGTCTACGGAAAGTACACCCACCCCTTAGTCATCAAGCACAACGAGTGGGTCGAGATCATCATCAACAACGACGATCCCGGTAACCATCCCTTCCATCTCCACGGTCACGTTTTCCAGATTGTCGGACGCAGCACTGGCAAGTACAACCCCGCCGATGGTCCTTACCCCGGTTATTACAACTCCACCAACCCCGCCCGCCGTGACACCGTCCTCGTGCCCTCAGAGGAGAACGTTGCTATCCGCTTCCATGCCAACAACCCCGGAGTTTGGCTGTTCCATTGCCACATCGAGTGGCATCTCCAGGCTGGTCTCGCCACCACCTTCATTGAGGCCCCCGAGCTCATGCCCAGCATCTTGAAGATCGACCCCAGCCACATTGAGCACTGCAAGGCTTTGGGCATCCCATACAGCGGCAACGCTGCCGGTAACGAGGGCTTGAACCTCGACGGCGCCAACGTCGGACCCGATCCCCTCCCCGGTACCTTCACCGCCAAGGGAATTGTCGCCCTTGTGTTCACCATCATCTCGGCTTTCTTGGGTCTTGCCACCGTCATCTGGTACGCCCGTGAGGACGATGCTCATATCTCGGCCCAGGTCGCCAAGAACACTGAGGAGGAGCACTAAGCGAGTTTGTAAATGGTATTATTTTTTTGGCTTTGAGACAAAAGGAAGCAAGCGCATGCGACCAAGTACTCTCTTCTTTTCGCCAAAAAACGCTCCAACAACATCTCCAGTACCTCTTTCTTGACAAGACGTCGCTCCTGACGCCTTGCCAACCCCTTCAACCCTGTGTAATATAGCGATATCTCCTTATTCCTCCACCACACCTTTTGCATTCTCAAATAAATATTTAGTAATATCAGCGTAACAATTATCTTGGTCATACAGTTGTCGATTGTGCATTGCTTCAATAAGAGTTTACCCTTGCCTCGCACCTACTCTTGCCCAATTGATGCTGAACTTCATGCTGACGCCTTTAAGGTGTTTTGTTTCCTGTTCGGAAAAGACACAACTGAGTGTATCAAATGCTGTGGCATGTCGAGTAAATGTGTGAATGATCGTTGGACGCGAAAATCAAATCGCAAAACGCAGGTCCACGATAAAATGGTCATGTGACTATTTTCACCTACATGGCGATCATTCGGACTGCAAGGCGGAGCTCCTTCTTTTGATCTAGTCTTTTATTCGTCATGGTACTAAGACGTGCAAAAATGTTGCACGCTCGACGGATGCTTATCTTTGGGGACACCTATCCATCTATCCATCGATCGATACCACGAATGAATATACACCCATCGTTGACTACGCCAGGATCTTACTCTCACCGGCAACATTTTCCGTATTTTTGAGGGAGGAAGTTATGATCGGCATCAGGACCCATTGGGAACTCCAACACATGGTGGTTCATGGAAGAGAACAGGGCAAAGCTGAATTCGGTGAAGGTCGAATGAGAGATCTCATGCCGGACCTCTGATCTTGCACCTTGTACCGACGACTTCCTCAGTAGCACCACTCTTTGCGGCCCAGGTCAGGGAGGGACCTTGTTTTCAGTTCGGGACTATGATGATGAAACCATCATCTCAACCGCTGCTCAGGAATAACGTTGGCAACGCCAACAGGGATGAACCCTTGACCCAATAGTTATGACAGGAGAACCACCCACTTGTACCAGCGGGAGAAACCCAACTTCGTCACTCTTAACTACTATCGACCGCTAACTCGGCCCTACGTCTTGTTGTACTGCGTTTCTTCTCTACAGCCTAAGCAAGTCCAAGACATCAAGCAGTTCCTCGAGATCGCCCGCAGAAAGGACGCCAAGTGTACGTAGACAGACCTTGAAACGTACTGTCAGGAGCTCTAGGCAATCTGGTTGCAGGACTTCAGGAGGAGAAAGCAGGACAGGAACGCTGATCTGGAGACGAAGCGCGAAACAAACATAACGCCAACTATATTTTACACGCAGGATCCCATTATCCGCCACATGTCTCTCTTCTGCCTAAAAGAAGCACTGTGTCTTTCAAGGGAACTCTCAAACAGCCATTCACCTACTCGCTCAGCTCAGGAACACCCTACCCTGCGTTCTTCTCGCCTCCACAGCTTTTTCAGCAGCGTGAACTGCGGTGACAGGAGAGAGTGCGATCTCTGACTCAAATGCCTGCACCTGGAGTTATATTCTAGGACAGAGGGCTAATGCGAAAACGGACCATTCAGGAGCAAGGCACCTTCAGCAGCGCCAACGACACGACAGGACAGGACCATAGCGAACGGCAATAAAACCTGGAGGAAGCTTATCTCGAAAGAAAAACGACAAAGCACTCACCTTACTGCCTTTTCTACAACAAAATGCGTTCGTTTTCACTTTAGCCGGCCGCATCAAGAAGAACGGCAGCCAGATCAAGTTCAAGGTCCGCTGCTCGCGCTACTTGTACACCTTGGTCATCAACGATGCCGCCAAGGCCGAGAAGCTTAAGCAGTCTCTTCCCCCCAGTAAGTCTCCTTCCTTTCTGTGTTTTTTCTTGCTGCTGCGTATCTTGTTTAAAAATACCTTTTGCTAATGCGTCTCGTTAATCAACTCGTGTCTTTGTGTAGCCCTCTTGATCGAGAACATCAAGAACTAAGCGTGTTGTTTTATACAGCTTGCTTCGGCGATTGAGAACAAAAAAAACTGGATAGGGAGAAACGGATACACAAATAAACCGTGATAACTAGGCATGTTTTTGGTTGTCGCCGCCTTACCTTTACCTCTGTTTCTTTTTTTTTGCTTTTTGATTTTTTTGACTGCATGTACTTAGTTTGTGACGGGTTCATCTGTGTCAGGCACAGAATTCACTCCACGAAAATTCAGTGCTGTTGTTGCGCGCCATCTCTTTTGCCTCTTGACCATCGCATTTGTCATTACCCCTTGTTACAGGACAACCACGAAGTGACCAGGACCCCGACAACACGCATCGCTTCCAGCAACTCTACAGTCGACCCGACCTGCTGCTCATTCTCATCCACACCACACTCGCATCACCTACAAGGCACACCAACAACCATACCCACCACCACTTAGGCTCTCCTCTTTTTCACACCTTCCTCTCCTCTCGCGCCACCATGACCGCCATTTCAAGGATCCAGGACCTTTCCTTCAAGACATCCATCTACGGCATCGAAGAACGAATCGTTCTCGATATCGGGTCCTGCTACCTCAAGTGTGGCTTCTCGGGTGAGGCGCGCCCTCGACACTTTTTGTCAATGTTCCTGTCCGAGGAAGCGTTGGATGATTACCTTGGTCTGAACCCTGTCCACCGTCAGCACTTGGGGCATGAATGTGGCGAGATTTGTAACGAGCGGACGACCGAGACTTGTCGAGGAAACAACCCTCTCGAGGTACGCATACATTTTACCTGTCTTTGCTGGGGCTTCGAAGTTGTTTCTGTCCAATAGAGGCGGAGAGCCGTGATATTGAAAATGCACATGACAGAGAAGTCTGACCATTACGATATTTATTATTATCATGCGATCTTTTCTTTTCACTCATAGTATGCAGAGTTGTATGAGCTAGATATGATGAGAAGGAACAGTCGTGGACAAACAGAACAGGAACGGCTGCAGATTCTCGAGGAACGCCTGTCTGAATACCTCTACGAGGTCTACTTCAAGTAAGGATACCCTCCTTTTGTTAACATTGTCGGGATCCTGTTGTATCCGTCGACGGCAATCATCTAACAGGAGGATCATTTCTGTCGTTGATGGTTTGGTAATAGGTACTTGTTGACGGATCCCAAGCAGAGAAAGGTCATCATTTGCGAGTCGCCTTTGGCGCCCATCGCTCTCAAGCAGACCATTGCCAAAGTGCTTTTTGACAAGCTGCAGGTGAGCACCCTGACACATATGCTATTCCCTAAGCGTGTCTACAAAGAGAAATCATAGTATTAACCACACGTTTTGCTCGTATGAAACGTAATAGGTCCCATCGGTCTCGTTTACACCATCACATCTCCTCGCATTGTTGACTACAGGAACAGCAACAGGACTGGTCATTGACTGTGGACATTTGGAGACCTCTGTTCTTCCCGTAAGCCATGTTCAAACCCCACTATGCCTGGAGTATCAGCAAAAAAGGACCGCTACCAAAGTCCAACATGGCTGACCCTGATACCAATTCCATATTCAAAATAGATCTACTCTTCACGCCCAATGACACCGTTTATCAGGACAACACCTCGGGCGGGCAAGTTCTTGTCGACTCACTTGAAACAACTCCTTCGCGACAAATGCCCCATCTCGTTGGTGGAAAACCCTACAGATCTCCGAATTATACCCGAGGGCATGCTGACAAGCGCGTTTCTGGAGACGATCAAGACCCGGCTGCTGTTTGCTTCCCCCTTGATCATCAACGCAAGGGACAACATTAACGAAGACGAGATGAACAACAACTATCGGGATGTTTCGACCTCGACGGAGGTCCAGGTTGATGTCTGGCTGGAGGAGGAGGGGGCCAGGGGTATTCTGGCTATCCCTGGGTGGATCCGTGAGCGTGCGAGTGAGTGTCTGTTCAATGGCGACGAGGATGCGGAGAGTTTGACGGACGTGATTCTGGAATCGATTTTGAAGGCGCCTTCGGATCTTCGGCGACCTCTAATTAGCTCCATGTTGTTGATTGGAGGCACCGCCCAGCTGCCCAACTTGCAGAACAGACTATTCCAGGAAATCAAGAGGTCGCTCCAGACCAATCCTCGGTGGAAGCAATTGTCAGGATTGGCAGACTCTGTTCGGTTCCTGGACGACTTGACGACTGGCGACAAGTCTGCGACCCCAAGTCGAAGCCCCAGTCATCAATCGGTCATGGATCTCGACCCTGGAGCTACCTCATTTGTGGGATCTCCAACACTTGGCGGCTCTAGTATGAGTCTTGACCCCTCTTCGGCCGCGTCGCGTGAAAAGGATAGGAGAGCCAAGAAGAGTCAAGCCAAAAAGGCGTATCAGAGCAGTGGAAAAGTGTTTATGCCCAATTGTCGTGCTTGGATCGGTGGATCCCTGGTGGGATCGTTGAAGTCGTCGGGTCCAGAGATTCTGAGGGTGAACTTTAATGGGACGGTACCGGATTGGTCGACGGCTGGTCTGACTGGCGCGTCGCCACTTTCGGGTGGTGCTGGAGGAAACAGTCAGCATCAGGATCCTACTGCCGCCACTGCCCTCGTCGCTTCCGCACTTGCCTACTCCTACTAGTTTTGTATAGGGAGTTTCACTTTTTTTTCCACTGCTCTCTGAATACAATCCTCGCCACGCAACACAAACGAATGCGTCCTCTGTAAACTGACATTATGGTTCGCAATCCTTTTTTTTTTTTGTCCTTCTGTCTTTGTATGTGTGGAGAAAAGGTTCAGTCCAACCCTCAAACCTCGAAACGCAATTCGCGAGTTGGATTTCGCGATGAGGGATGGATGAATTGCATCTCAACCATGAGCATGGTGAGAATCAGCGACCTTGGTTACATTAGCAAGATCTTTCTTTCAAGGGGTGTTTGGATCCACTGGTCGTCGATCATCATCGTCTCTGGAGTTCCATTTCACCATCCGTTGATGGGCGCGTATGGGGTCACCTGACGGGCTGATGAGTTGAATGCTTGCACTGCAACTCTACAACTCCAACAAATACGATCGCGTTTTTCAGCCTCGTGCTGTTCTCTCCCCAACTTCCCCACCTCACTGCTGATGACCTTGGCAAATTCCAACTCCAAGCGCAACTGCAAAAAAAAAACTATGCGAACAGTAGTCGACCAGTTTTAAGCTGTAGCAGCAGAAAAAAAGGAAAGAAGCGACCAAGGTGTATTAAGTATGAATGGCATGATGAGCATCTATCTACAGTCATCTAAGAACTATCCCGCCTTCAACAGCAGCAGCAGCCTTACGCGGCCCTCCTAGCCCGTCGATTAAACAAGGACCAACTCGTCATATCAACAGCACCCAACATCAGCGTCCCTCCCCCCCGTCAACGTAACAGGCATATAAGAAATATCCGGCTTTGTAATATCTAACAAGAACCCGGCCAACGTCGCGCCCGCAAGCATACTCAACCCACCCGCCGCATACATCAGTCCGATCGTAGAAGCCATTTGGATGGTTCCAAAGGAATCCGCAACCGCCACGGGGACAAGGGACAAGTAATCCCCGCCAAAGAATACGAAAATGAGTCGGAAGAGGAGGAGCATTCCGAAAGAACGAGCGATGGTTCAGAGGACGATGATTGCGAGAGCTGTTGCCCAGGAGCAGAAGTGGAGGTGCCTAAATATGTGCATGACGCTCGTTCTTTTTTTCTCTGCCAAACTTTCCGAAGTCGATGCAGCCGCTGCCAGCCAGGCCATCACACGAACAAAAGTGAGGTTGTACGATCAGGAAACCCCTACTATCGATATCTTCAGAACGACAAGGAATCGGACAGTGTGGTCTGAAAGGATTGACAAAAATGAGGTCGAGGATTGGTGAGAAGTCAATGGATGCCAAGAGGATGTAAAAGTTTGCGCCCTTGTTCCTAAGTAATCGAAAGTCGTCATGTAACAAATCATCTTTTGATGATTGGTGTTTGTGGACTTCCTCAGGAAGACAAGGTAAGCGTTGGCATTGGGAAGGTAGCAGAAATGATTTTACTCTATAGAATTTATTATTTGTGTTGCTTTTGACTATGTTACATTGTGGGGGGCAGCAAGATATGTATAAGAGGAAGCTGAGATACTAGAAATTGGACTTGTTGAAAATGACAGCCCTTAGTTGTTCCTTCTACTGTAAAGGGGGTATCCACCTCGACCGGCTCAATGGTTGTTGGTGGTGCTCCTTTGATTTGTTGAAGGGAAACAATCTGAGGTTGTTGTTTGTCGCAAAGTTGTCGTTTTTGTTGTATTTGCTTCCGTTTGGTTGTGTTAATTTGGTTTGGTTTGTTGGTTGAAAGTAAATGTCGCGGCGTTTAGATGGAGGCGGCGGCGGCAGCAGGTTGTGGGAAGGTTAAGCTCTTCAAGGAGCGGGCTTGGAGACCACCGGTGACGGGCAAGAGGGTGTTTCCGACCAAGTACTCGTCAACCTCACGGGCGCACTGACGACCCTCGTTAATACCCCAGACGATCAAGGACTGACCGCGACGGGCATCACCAGCAGCAAAGACGTTGCCGACGCTGGTCTGGTAGCTGGACTTGGGGGTCTCGATGTTGGAACGACCATCGAGCTTGACGCCGACGGCCTTGAGGAGCTCGGCCTCTGGGCCCATGAAACCCATGGAGAGGAGGACCAAATCAGCCTGGAAGTATTGCTCAGTTCCAGCCATCTCCTTCATCGACCAGCGACCCGAGGCGTCCTGCGTCCACTCGACGCGGATGGTGTTGAGGCCCTTGACCTTGCCGTTGCCGTCCGAGACGAACTCCTTGGTGACGATCGAGTACTCGCGGGGATCCTTTCCAAAGTGGGACTGGACCTCAGAGTGACCGTAGTCTTGCTTGAAGACACGGGGGAACTGGGGCCAGGGGTTATCCTTGGCACGGGTTGCTGGAGGCTGGGGGAGCAACTCAAAGTTGACGATCGAGGCGGCGCCGTGGCGGAGGGAGGTGGCAATGCAGTCGCATCCGGTGTCTCCTCCACCAATGACAACAACGTGCTTGCCCTTGGCAGAGATGTACTTGCCGTCGCTCAGCTCTGAGTCGAGGAGGGACTGGGTGTTGAGCTGCAAGAACTCCATGGCGAAGTGGATACCGTCCAAGTTGCGGTTGGCGATGGGGAGATCACGAGGCCAGGTGGCTCCGGTGGCGAGGATGAGGGCATCGTTCTGGTTGCGAATGTCGTTGACGTCGGTGGTGACTCCGACGTGGGCGTTGGGGACAAAGTTGATGCCCTCGGCAGCCATGAGGTCGACACGGCGCTGGACAATGCCCTTGTCGAGCTTCATGTTGGGGATACCGTACATCAAGAGACCTCCGAAGCGGTCGTTGCGGTCGTAGACGGTGACCAAGTGACCAGCTTTGTTCAACTGGTCAGCGGCAGCCAAACCAGCAGGGCCAGAACCAATGACGGCGACCCTCTTACCAGTGCGGACGGTGGGAGGGCGAGGTTTCATCCAGCCCATCTCGAAACCACGGTCAATGATGGCGCACTCGATCGACTTGATAGCAACGGGCAGCTCGTTGATACCAAGGACACAGGAGCCCTCGCAGGGGGCGGGGCAGACACGACCGGTGAACTCGGGGAAGTTGTTGGTCATCAAGAGACGGTTGAGAGCCTCCTCCCACTGGTTCTTGAAGACGAGGTCGTTCCACTTGGGGATGATGTTTCCAATGGGGCATCCGGTGGTGTTGGACTGGCAGAATGGAACACCGCAGTCCATGCAGCGGGCAGCCTGGACCTGGAGCTCGCCGTCAGAGAGACGGGCAGAGATCTCCTTGTAGTCCTTGGTGCGCTTCTTGGGGTTGCGGTAAGCATCTCCGCGACGCTTGTACTTCATGAAGCCACGGAGCTTGTCGACCATCTCGCTACGCTTCTTGTACGTCTCAGAGTCGACCATCGAGTCCTCCAAATCGACCAGGGCGGGTTCGTTGGGCTTGGGCTTGGCAGCCAGGGGGGCGGCAGTCAAGACGGGGGGGACGACCTCAGTCTTCTGGGTAGCAGCAGCGAGCTTGGCAGTGCGCTGGGCCTCCAAGACTTTGCGGTAGTCAGTAGGCATGACCTTGACGACCTTGGGCAAGTACTCGCTCATGTTCTTGAGGATGCGGTCAGCAATAGCCGAGCCGGTGTAGTGACGGTGGTCCTCGAGGGTATCCTTGAACCAGGCAATCTCCTCGTGGTCGTTGACGGTCTCAAACTCAACCATCTCCATGTTGACCTTGGACTTGAAGTCACCAGCAACATCCAAAACGTAGGCGATACCGCCAGACATACCGGCAGCAAAGTTGCGACCAGTCGAACCGAGGACGATAACACGACCACCAGTCATGTACTCGCATCCGTGATCACCGGTACCCTCAACGACGGTAGTGGCACCTGAGTTACGGACAGCGAAACGCTCGGCAGCAATACCGCTGAAGAAGGCCTTTCCGCTGGTAGCTCCGTACAAGCAGGTGTTTCCGATAATGACGTTCTCCTCGCTCTTGAAGGACGAGACCTTGGGAGGGTAGACAATCAGGCGACCACCTGAAAGACCCTTTCCAACGTAATCGTTCGAGTCACCCTCAAGCTCGATGGTGACACCGGGAGCCAACCAGGCTCCGAGAGACTGACCAGCAGAGCCCTTGAGGTTGATGTGGATGGTGTCGTCGGGAAGACCGTTCTCGCCATACTTGCTGGAGACGTGGTAAGAGATAGTAGTTCCAAGAGCACGATCGGTGTTGACGACGCGACCCTCGAGCTCGACACGCTTGCCAGTGTTCAAAGCATCCTGAGCCTCGCTGATGAACTTGTTATCCAGACGAGTGTGGTGCATGTGTTCCTGCTTGCGGACATTGAAGGTGGCTGCGCCGGGGCGGAGGGTGAAGGCAGGGGTGAGGATGGGCGACAAGTCAATGTTGGCAGTCTTGGGGTTGCGACGGGTCTCATCGACCATCAAGACATCAGTGCGACCAACCATCTCGTTGATGGTACGGAATCCAAGCTTGGCCATGATGGTACGCAACTCCTCGGCAACATAGTAGAAGAAGTTAATAACGTGTTCGGGCGATCCAGCAAACTTGTCACGGAGGTAAGGGTCCTGGGTGGCAATACCGACGGGGCAGGTGTTCAAGTGGCACTTGCGCATCATGGTGCATCCGAGGGCAATCAAGGGAGTAGTAGCGAAACCCCACTCCTCAGCACCGAGCAAACACGCAATGGCGACATCGCGGCCGGTACGGATCTGACCATCAGTCTGGACGACGACACGTCCACGGAGGTCGTTGAGGACCAGGGTCTGGTGAGACTCGGCAAGACCGAGCTCCCAGGGAAGACCAGCGTACTTGATACCGGTCCAGCGGGAGGCACCGGTACCACCATCGTGACCAGAGATGAGGATGTGGTCGGCCTTGGCCTTGGCGACACCGGAGGCAATGACACCGACACCGACCTCGGAGACGAGCTTGACAGAGATTCTAGCGCGAGGGTTGGCAGCCTTCGCGTCGTAGATCAGCTGCTTCAGATCCTCAATAGAGTAGATATCGTGGTGAGGAGGGGGCGAGATGAGGCCGACACCGGGAGTCGAATGACGCGTCTTGCCGATCTCCTCAGAAACCTTGTGTCCTCTATTAAGGTTTCAAAAGAAGGAAGAAAATGGGTTAGCATCAATCGAAAGGGAAAACGGGTGATGTCGGAAATTTCACATGAAATCCTATTTCGCCACCAAATGGAGAACAAAGGAAAAAGACGGAAAACAAAAAACTTACGGCAATTCACCGCCCTCACCGGGCTTGGCTCCCTGGGCCATCTTGATCTGGATCTCTTCGGCGTCAGAGAGGTAGTACGAGGTCACACCGAAACGTCCCGAGGCAATTTGCTTGATTGACGAACGGAGCGAGTCGCCGTTCGCCTTGGGGGTCGAACGGGCAGGATCCTCTCCACCTTCTCCAGAGTTGGACTTGCCTCCGATGCGGTTCATGGCAACCGAAAGCGTCGAGTGGGCCTCCATCGAGATCGATCCGTAACTCATAGCACCAGTGCAGAAGCGCTTGCAAATCTCGGTCCAGGGCTCAACTTCATCAACAGGGATGGGGTTCGACTTTGTGAAGTCAAACTCGAGCATACCACGGAGGGTGCAGGACTTGATCTGCTCAAAGGCGTTGCGGGAGTAGGCCTCGTAGGCGTTGTCGTTCTTGCGGCGGACAGCATCCTGGAGGTTAGCAATACCATCGGGGTCGTTGATGTGGGGGATGGCTCCGTTGCGCCAGTGGTAGTCACCAGACTCGATGATACCCTCAACAGCAACAGTCTCACGCGAGGGCCAGGCACGCTCATGGAGGGCAAAAGCATCCAAGGCCAAGAGCTCAAAACCGACACCCTTGATTCTGGAGGCGGTACCGGCAAAGGAGCGAGCAATAACGGGCTCGTCGAGACCGAGGGCCTCGAAGATCTGGGCACCCTTGTAGGACTGGAGGGTGGAGATACCCATCTTGGACATGACCTTCAAGATTCCGTTGCTGGTGGCCTTGACGTAGTTCTTAATGAGCTTCTCAGGGCCGGACTCGGAGCGGATGGCGTTCTCACGGTGAAGCTTGAGAATGGCCTCCTGAGCAAGGTAAGGACAGACTAGAAACAATAAGAGATAGATAGATAAGGGTGAGTGAGTTACCCTGTTCCAGGTACATCCCAGGCGAGACCAAGGAAAATGCTATTTCATGTGACACTTTTGATAATCACTCTAGTAAATGGACAAAATTAAACTTACTCATATCGGCACCGTATCCGAGGAGGACACAGACATGATGGACCTCGCGGGCCTCGGCAGTCTCGACAGCAATGGCAACACGGGAACGTTTCTTCTCGCTGACAAGGAAGTGGTGGACACCACCGGTGGCAATCAACGAAGAGATGGCAACACGGTCAGCAGAGGCACCGCGATCAGAGAGGATAACAATCTTGACGCCATCCTCAATTGCAGCAGTAACCTCGGAGCAGATACGATCGAGGCAAGGAAGGTACCCAGCAGGTCCCTCGCTCTTGGCGAAAGTGATGTCGATGATACGAGTGGTCCAGTCAGCACGGGTGATGTCAAAGTTCTTAATGGCCTCCATCTCGCTCAAGGTGAGGACGGGGGTAGGGAGCTTCAACTTGTGGCACTGGGCGGCGTTCATCTCCAAAAGGTTGCCCTCAGGTCCGACATAGCACTCCAAGCTCATGACAATCTCTTCACGAATGGGATCAATGGGAGGGTTGGTGACCTGGGCGAACAACTGGCGGAAGTAGTCAAAGACAATCTGGGGCTCGGTCGAGAGACAGGCAAGAGGGGCATCGTTACCCATGGAGCCCAAGGCCTCCTTCCCGTCGGTGATCATGGGGAGAAGGAGAAGATTGAGTTGCTCAATGGTGAACTTGAAGGCAGGAAGGCGTGGATCCTGAGTCAAGGGGAGGCTGTCGATCGAGGCGACCATGTCGAAGTTGGGGGCGTTGGCGAGAGCATCATCAATCGACAACATCTGGGTGTCGACCCACTGGCGGAAGTTGTGGCGGGCAGCGATCGAGAGCTTCAACTCGCGATCATCGACAACACGACCCTCCAAGGTATCAACCAAGAGCATCTTTCCAGGCTGGAGACGACCCTTCTCGAGAATGCGCTCGGGGGCAATGTTCATGGTTCCAACCTCGGAGGCGCAGATCATGAGACCGTCGGTGGTCTTGTAGAAACGGCAAGGACGAAGACCGTTTCTGTCCAAGGAAGCACCGCAGTAACGTCCGTCAGAGAAGGTCATCAAGGCTATTGTATCATGGGGGTTAAGAGACACAAACCATATTAATGACTAAGGTTCCATGGTGAGCTCTGTTGTCATTGGACCACGCGATAGTAGTCAGAACTAAAATGAACATTTTTTTGACAACATACCAGGACCGTCGTAGGGCTCCATAAGACAGGCAGCCCACTCGTACCAGGCCCTCTTCTCGGGCTCGATGTTGGCGTTTGACTGCCAAGCTTCGGGCAACATCATCATGACGGCCTCGGGGAGGGTGAGGACGCCGTTGACGACGAGCAACTCGAGGACGTTGTCGAAGGCCGAGGAGTCGGAACCGCCCTCCTCGATGATGGGGAAGAGCTTCTGGAGATCGGAGCCAAAGTAGTCGGAGGACATGACACCCTCGCGAGCCCTCATCCAGTTCTTGTTACCACGAAGAGTGTTAATCTCACCTATTGTTTGATTGGTAACATATAGAATAGAGGATTAGCGTGGATTGAATTTGAGCCAAAAATTAAAAGGGAGAGAGAGAAGCGAAATCGCTGATATCATAGGTGGATTCGGTCGCAGAATGTCACATGGGCCGAGAGAAACAACAAGTCATCGCCCAAGTTGTATGGAACAGAGAGAGCAAACGCTCCCTGGCTCGAAAGGGCGAGATAAGATGCGTTGATATGATTGGCCAATGTTGGATAGAGTACTGAAGGAGAATTATTTTGAATTGAACCTTAACAAGATAGTGACCTCTTCTCTTTATCCTCCCCGCAAAAAAAAAAAAGGCCGAAGGAAGGAAGGTCCATTGTTGTACCCGCAATGTTTGTTTTGTTTGTGTTGCCTGTTGATATGGTAGAAAAAAGGGTTGTCGTGTGTTTGTATCTCTACCTACACGACTCGCAGTGTAGGAAGGCCAGATTACTCATATGATAATCTTAAAAGATAATGGAGGGAGAGGCGCTTACCGTTGTGAGCAGCCCATCGCATAGGCTGAGCACGATCCCAGGAGGGGAAGGTGTTGGTCGAGAAACGAGAGTGGACCAAGGCAAAGTGGGTGGCGTACTTGTGGTTCTGGAGATCATAGAAGAAGTCGTAGACCTGGACGGGCGAGAGCTGACCCTTGTAGACAATGTTCTGGTTGGAGAGCGAGCAGATGTAGAACCAGTTCTTGAGAGTGATGGCGTGGGTGGCCTGCTTTCTCAAGATATATAACTGACGGTTGAAGAGCTTGTTGTCGAACTTTGCATGGACAGCAGAGTCAAGAACGACAAATGGTTGTTGGATCGAGGGCTCCTTTGACTTTGCAGAGGGTCCGAGGATGGAGTTGTCAACGGGGACGGCACGCCAGCCGAGGACCTTGAGGCCGAGCTGCTGGGCAATGGACTCGAAGGTCGACTTTTGCTCGTGGACGTGGGGCTCGTCGGGGCGGAGGAAAACGTTACCGACGGCGTACTCGCCCTGGCCGGGGAGGATGATGTTGAGGCGTGAGGCCTCCTCGACCATGAAGGTGTGGGGCATACCGGTCATGACACCGGCACCATCACCGTCCCGGGGGTCGGCAGAGGTAGCGCCACGATGAGTCTATATATATTAAAATATAATAAATTGGTTTTTTTTCTTGTGTGAGATGGATATTTGATCTGACACGATAATAACGAGATGAAAGTAGGGTGTGGTGTGAAACAGGTGTTTGTTTGTGTATGTAAACAAAACTAAAGAAAAAAAACGTGCGTGTTGTATGGTGTTGTGCTGTGGGGACTAGCGTAAGGGCGGCACAAGGTAAGGTGAGCAGTACGCTAGCTGACAAGCTGCGGATGAGATGGAATGGAATGGAGTAAAGGAGCGAAAGTGGGGTAAGGAACGACAAAAAATAAGAGAGCCAAGGAGGAAGTGGTGAGTGAACGTACCATGTTGCAGAGAATGTTGGAGGCGTCCTTGAGGATGCGATGGGAGTGCTCTCCTTTGATGTTGGCGATAAAACCGACACCGCAAGAGTCCTTCTCGTTCACGGGGTCATAGAGACCCTGCTTGACGGGGAGGGCACCGGCCCAGGAGCCGTTGGTCTCGATGTTGTTGCTGTTCATGAAAGCTTCCATTGTGATGAAATGTGTATGTTATAAAAAGAAGGGGTAGTTTGTTGGTTGTACAGGGAAGGTAAGGCAAGTGGTGATGAATATACAGAGGAACGATGCTGTTTTGTTGCAAATACAAGAAGAAGTCAAAAGCGAGTATGTAAAAAAGAGGGATATAGGGAAATGATACAAGGTATGTAAAGACAAGAAAAGGGATCCGATGAGAACAAAGGGTGGAAAGAGGTGAGCAGTCTCTTTGTTAGGCAATGTTACAGAAAGGATGAGTTAAGAGAGTGGGGAAGTGAAGGAGAGGAAGGACGAGTAAAGAAGAACAAAAAGAGAGGAAAAAGACAGGGAGACAAGTGAAGAAGAAAAAAAGAGAAGAAAAGAAGAGAAAAGGAAAGAGAATCCGAGAGGACTTTTTATATGTTCCGAAGGGCGGGGGGGATGGATGAAAGTGGATGATGATGATGGAGAAGGAGAGGAGAGGGCTCCGTTGTTGTTGACGATAATCACCACACACTGTGTCTTTGTTTGTGTCGGTTGATCAGATACAAGAACAAGAAACTCTTTTTTTCCACTGGGTCCATGACATACCCTCTGTTGACAGACGATAAAAGGCAACCCAAGACCGAGAAAGAATGGAGGGGACAAATGGACCGATGATGATGGAGAGCGAAGCATCCAAGGCATCAGAAAGCGAATAAGAGCGCATAAAAAAAATTAAAAAAAAGCGGGATCGACTCGCCCGAGTCATATCTCTCGCTTACAAGATTGAATACACTCCGAGGTGTATTCGATTGAATCATATAACTAAGGCTATCGGGGGCAAGGTTCGACCTCGGATTATTTTTTTTGTCTGGCTGTCATATGGAAAATTGGAGTTGGTTGTTCACTTTGCTTTGCTGCTAACGAAAAGTGAAGGGGAGGCATTTTTAACTTTCCGGTTGGTGTCGAATGAACGAGAGTGAGATGCGCCAGTGGTCCACTATCCCTCGTTTTTTCTGCTCCTTCCTCTTCTCTCTCCCCTTCGCCACTCTCTTCACTGGATTCAATCTTGTATTGGTACTCTCTGATGGTCGGAAAAAAGAAAGAAAAAAAAATCTCTCTCTCTCTCTCTCTCTCTCTCTCTCTCTCTCTCTCTACCCCTTTGGAGAACAAAGAAAACATCATCAGCGTCATCTTCACCTCTAGTCTTGCTGCAGGTCTAGTGCGAAAATTCTTTTTTGCTTGGGTGGTGTGCACACCTCACCTATCTATCTCCTTGTGACCGATCTGCTGTCTCTGTCCCTTATACACATCACACAACATTCCTTCTGCCACGATGTAATCGTATCCAGGTTGAGCTGTGTTGAGGATGTGTAAGACGATGCTCCATTATGTGTCGACATGTACGATCTGTCGTTGAAATAAGTAGTCGACAGAGGCAAGGAAGTATCAAGGTCATCCAGCGGGCAGAGATGTGACTGTGTGTCTGTCTGTCCCTTTGACGCTGCTCGGATGTGTTGGTCCAATGGATAATCGATAATGGGTGTGAGTTAGAACGAGTGACCGAGGAGAAGTAAAAAAATGAGCCCTCCCCCTTGCCTGATAAACTTTCGAAAGATAAAGAAAAATCATCACGGAACAGATTTCCCTTCTGTCGCAGTGTAAGGGAAGGGAGAGGGCGAGGAAGATATCGGAATGGAAGGGGGTGTCATGCATCTTTCTTTTTTTTTTTTGCTGTACTTGTATCACTCGACTTTCATCAACCTTTCAATTCCCCTGCCTTCCCTTGCTCTCTCAAACCCTCGCGTTTTTTATCCATCCTTGTCGTTCTCCTCCTTCACACCAACCAACCTTCTATCAACTGAAAAAACAAATAATAAAAAGGACTCTTGCTTGACTCGATCTGAATGCTGCTTGTATGCTAAAAAAAATATACCAATCTCTCTCATTCCCACTCCCATTGTCTAATGCGACCTTCCCAGACAGCCAGGATAGGGCCTTCTTTTTCGTAATGCATGGTGACCATACGATACATACACACAAAACATAAAGAAAGTCCGCAGTCAGATCTCTGGCAACCTCCATTGACCATGAAATAATCTTAGCAGTCAAACAAGTAAAGACGTTCATCTCCTTGCGATTCCCTCCGAGGTTTTGAACGTCTCCCCTGGCATACCATCGTCCTTTTCTTTTTTTTTTCCTTGCTTCCCCTAAAAGTCCCTACTTCGGAGAGGCGCATGCTGTGTTTCTGTCCCACCCAACAACAACAACAACAACAACAACAACAGCAACAATAACAACAACAATGATCATGAAGCGGTTTGAACGGACAAATGGCCTTGTTTCTTGTTTTTTAAAGCGGGGGTGGAGAAGGGGAAGTGTGAGGGTGGGTAGGGTTAAGATATGCTATCCACCAGCCGGGTTCAATTCGTCCACTCCATTATTTGATTATATTTCCCCTTGATTTCCGTCACTTGTACTACGAAAACTAACCAAGGGCTTGGGGCAATTACGGAGAGAAAAAACTGTACGTCCAATGAAGGGCAGGGTGGCGAAGTGTGGGATGAGAGGGAGATACGGGGATTAGCATTTGCTCCCCACTCTGTTTCTCCATCCATGAACAGTTTTTAAAAAAAAAAATGCTCCCCGAGCATTCCTTTTGAGTGCCCGTGGGTAGGTGGGAAACTTAGGGCTTTGTTTTTGTTTGGTGGTCAGGCTTTGTTTTTTTTTGTTACTGATTTGGTCCGCATGGACAAAAAGACTTTTGGGGTTTTCTACTCTAGTTTGTAGGAAAGAATAGGGACAGTAATATGGAGGGCGTATGTATGGCACGAGAGAACCCGAAATCTGATACCCCTCTCTGTGTGGATTGAATGGGATATGAGAAGAGTGAGTGTCCATTGCCACCCCAGCATCCCTTCTTTTTTTTACTTGACCTGCGGTTCCGGATCGTTTCGGCTATTTCTTTCTGCGTTCTTTGTTTTTGTTTGCTCCATATAGATAGATGTTGTTTGGCGTTGAAGTCAAGAAGAATGCACGCGGTCTCATGAGATGTAAAAGCATGGTGGCTGAAAGCAGGCCAGCAACAAGAAAATAAATGGTCTCGGAAATCTGACTAGTCTCACTGATCAAAAACCTGAACTGATTGATTCCTTCCCGGTAGTGGTAGCTCGACCACAGGAGGGCAGGCCGGAAGTCTCTTATCAGTAAGAGCGTCCTCGCTATGTTACAGAAGCGAATTTCCGAGCCTGTTAAAACAAAAAACGACCTACCCTTAGATAAGGATCAACCCTCTCTTGTTTTTGTTTGTTTGTTTGTCAGAAAAGCAAGAAGAGATACAAGTTAGGGGTGTGGGAGAGAGATGAACGAAACCAAGGTACGGTAACGCTGAACCATCCCTCCAACCATCCATTCACTCGCTCATGCATCCTTCCTTTTTTTTTCTCCTTCTTCACGAGACACAGCAACATACCCATGCAGAAAAAAATTGTTCTTTTTCGTCCAGCGCATCCGTCATCGGTCAGGCGCGCGTCGAGGTCGACGGGAGAGTCCTTTGTTCATATTTGTTTGATGGAGAGACACAATCTTGATCTTGTTATCTTTGTTTTGCTGGTCCTTTTGCGTTCCTCGGTCTCTATCTTCCACAATAAGCTCCAATTGGCAGAACAGATAACGAAGGGCGTAAAGCTATACCTCTCCTTCCTTCATCATCAATCGTTCAAGGCTTTCGAACAAACAGGGTCAAGAAACATATCGTCTGACCAATTGTAGTTCATCAAGCAATAGTTCAAGGTTTGCGTCCTTTTCATTTTTGGTGAAATGACATCTCCTTATCATCCACATCCAAGGGCAATGTAGCCTATGGTACGAAGGGAGAGGAGTGTGAGGACTCACGATGACAAGTTCATCAAGATCAAGAGAGTTGCCTCCGATCAGGATCAGGGTGCATAATCGATGTTGTACAAGAGCACCCCGGGTTATCGTGGCTGATCGTCATTATCGGTTTCTGGCTCTCAGCTATCCCTTCTTGATCAGTTATTGATGATGATTATTGTTGTTGTCTGTTGTCTCTTTTACTTTCCCCACATCAGCAGTGCACCTTGTCCAAAACAACAACCACTATCTCCTCCACACGCACTGCATGCGCAAGGGAGTTGGAGGTGTAAGCCATAAACACATGTCAGCCAAGCATTTCTATTCGTCCTCTCGGCAATTTTTTGTTATCGATCAAGTTCCAAATAAAAAACGTGGCTTAACCTTCTACTCCATTCTGTGATAGATAAGTCCCTCCTGCCCTTTATTATGTTTGATCAATCCCAAGATCATGTGCCAGGATTCTCCTGTGGCTTGGGCCATGAATGCTGAGCGAGGATATGTCTGTGCCTTCGCCCACTCAGATGTTGATTGTTCCTAATGTGCTATGAGGAAAAGCGATCGAACCACTCGTCTGGCTGGCTGCTCAACCTTCGAAGCCCTGAATTGCCAGTACGATTGAGCCATGCAAATAAAATAAAAGGCTCATACCAGTCCGTCGTGGTTCTTCACATTTGTTGGTCGATCGAGTAAAGAGACATGTATCACTCCCATTACCCATTGGCGTGCGAAATGAACCAAACGTCTATTCCGCCACCAACTCTCATGCATTTGACACACAGACTGACATGGGCATGTGTAAGCGATATTACTATTCTTTTTGTTCATCCAGATTTTTATGAAACCTCAGGGCTCACAGGGGTGCAGCTCGCATACGGTCCGACAAAAGTACCTCAGTACATAGTGCATGTCAGCAAGAGACTAGATGAATTTTTGTGGGAACGAGCCTATCGTTTGGGACACGTTCTTTATTTCTCACCGGTGATCGAGGGCATGAGAGCTCCTTTCGAATGCGCCATAAAATGTCGACGCGCCACTCTTCTTTTTGAAGTGTTGCAATTATCTCTCGACAGGTGAGTGCTGGTTGTTGTTGTTCCTTTAGTACAGTACTCTGGAAACTACACTCATGAACACAAAAGGCGAAATGGTATTTTTATCTTCGAAGGGACACAAACCAAGACCTCGCTACATATCTTCGTACAAACAAGGCGGCGTAATGGTCCGTGTGGACACAAACTGACTATCCCACCTCACCTCACCACAAAACAGACCGCACATGCATCGTTTTAATGTCATTGATAGGTTCATAAATGGAAGCACCTTTGTCCTCTTCTTGTTATTTTTGTCCAGGCACACAAATACAAATGGTCTGCCAATTTATCCAACATGCATGCGCACAAACACGCAAGGCTTTCTGTTCTTTGTTCTTCTCTTTTTTTGGCCGATATTTGTTTGTTTGATTGTTTGTTTGTTTGTTGATGTGTCTGAAAAATGCAAAAGAACGAGAGCCGGGCTTTGAAAACTGAGAAGAGAGGTAGTCTACACACGATCATTCATGCTTACCCCCACTCCGAATTTAATCGGCAGAGAGACAGAACAGGCGTTGGTCGCTTGAAAAGGACATCTTGACTCCTGCTGGACTTTTCTGTAGTCTCAAGGTCCGCGTGAAAAGACCAAAGTGGAGACATTTCAGATCCAGCTTTCCCCAAGACGAGTTCTTTTGCAAGGTAGCTTCATTCTTGGCTTGAACAGCCTTCCACTCTGGTTCTCAATTACATAAACCTCATCCCACCTTCCTCTTTTCTCTTGTGACCAACAATGAAGGCTAGTGGACAACTGAGTGATAGCAACATCAACAAAAAGAGCCCTGGTGGTGGGCATATTTGTGTCCAAAGGGTGTGTTTTTCCCTTGGAATTAGAGTGAGAAAACGGATGACATGGAGGGCGTAAAGCCAGCCAAAGTTTTCTTTTAGAACGAAGAGTGCCTTTTGTTTTCTGAGCCCGCATTATGCCCTGTCATTCCTCTGCGTCTTCCACATGAATGTGATGAATGCGTATGTACCTTCAACGATGAAGGCTCTGCGTGTGTGAGTGGACCCAACCAAACTCCCGAGTTGGACCACCTTGCTTTACCCGGAACGACTGGTCATTCCTCTCACTCTCTTGCTCTTTCTCTCCACAGTTGGGAGATAAAAAGGACGCCCATGCGACCCTTTCACCCCCTTCTATTTTCTGATCCTTCTCCTCCCTTCAATCGTCCCTACCATCTTTATCTCCTCCTTCCATTTCCTCTCCTCTCTCTCCTCTCCTCTCCATCTCACTGCCGTCTCTGTAACGACCCCTACTTACACGCTTCACAACCCGCGTCCTATTTTACGACCGGCCTTTTGCCTGTGTTACTCCTCCGTCTTCCTCTCTCAACTCTCTCGCTGAGATCTTTCTTTCTTCAACTTCCAAAACTTCGCCACTCTTTCTTACCTTCTTTCGTCAACTCAACATCAAAATGCGTCTCACCACCTCAATCACCCTCCTCGCCTCAACAGCCCTCCTCGTCCTGACATCCGCCCAGGGCCAGATCGCATCCCTCGACTCGGCCGACAGCTACTGCTTCTTCCTCCCACCCATGGTCGGGGGCGACATTGCGGCTAACGAAGATTCGGCGATTGCCTTCTGTAACAAGGCTAACCCTAAGGCTCCTGGCGCCAAGGTCTTCCCTGATGGCTTTGTTGCCTCGGTTCATTGGGCTACCGGTGACAGCTGGGTGCAGGTCACTGTAAGAAGAATTGCAATGCAACAACTGATAAATGACAGGAGAAAGAAGTGGATGCATGAGTTTTCCTGGGTGAACTGAACTAATCGTATTTTCTGTGTTGATTGTTTATTAGGGACAAATCGACCCTTCGAAGTACAGCTTGAACCCTTGCGATGCGTAAGTATCCACCTTCATCTCTGCCTCTTCATTTCTTTCTTTTTTCACCCACCCTAGCCTTGCAAATACGCCCATTCTTCTATCATCAAACCCTTCTAACCCTCCTTCTTTTCCCTACTTCTCTTCTCACATCATTGCCCCCCTCTCAATAGCGGCGGCCAATACGACATCCGCGCTCCAGTAGGAGCAAGCTGTGCGGGCTACAGTCACTTCGTGAACGTGATCGAGCCCACTGACGGCCTCTACGCCATGCGCTGCTGCCAGAACAGCGCCGAGTGCGTCGTGTCAAAGTCGACCTACGGCGTCCGTGTCATTTTTGGAGAACAGTGGGATTGGTCAGGCCCCCATCCTGATGGTCTCTTGCCGGCTGCTCAGGGTTGTGTGGATGGACAGTTGCCCGGTGGTGGGAATGGGACTGTTACGAGTGGTGTGCCCAGTGCGACTGCGACGGCGACTTCGAGTACTGCGACGCCTACGATTGTGTCGCCTACTGCCACGGGTCCTGTGGTCAATGGTACTGCCTCATCGGGTGTTGTTGGCCCTACTTCGACTGGTGGTGCTGGAAACAACCCGACGCCTACTCCTGCTAGTGGTAACGCTGCTGTTGGCGCCAACAAGGCCGCTGTTGTTGTCTCTGCCCTCTTGGCCACCGCCATCGGCCTCTTCATGGCTTAAAGTTCAGCGTCTCCACTCCTCCTCTTCCTCTCCCTCCTTGTCAACGATACTTAATTACTGCTTAATCACAACAATAATAAAAAAAGGATGGAACGCGATCGTGATGCGATGGTTGATAACAAGAAAGCTTTTTTAATATTCACTTACAGTTGTGGCTTTTCCTTTTGCAAGAGTGGAGGGGATAGGTAGGTGCGTAAAAATGTGTATGATAAAATTGTGTCTAGTACTTGATCTCGTCTTCGCCTTGAGCATCGCGCTTGATTTCAGTCAGAACCTTGCGCTGTTCCAATGACCGCGTCAGGCGGTCGCCCAGGTTACTGTCCAGCGTTTGAACTACTCCCGACAGGGGCTTTACAATCGTCTTGTTCACCTGCTCCTGATACGTGTTCTAAAACATTTCAAATCGCGTTAAAAAGAGACCGTTAGATCGTCATAAACGAGACCAATAACCACGGTATCAACAATGCTAGGTAAAAAGGAGGGAGCAAGCGCGAATACGTACGACAATGTCCTGCTTGAGCTGCTCAGCTAACGACTCGGCCTCCGCCTTAAACTCACTCTCTGCAGCCTTCCACCGGACCTGCAAATACCCTAACCCAGCCAACGCCAACAACCCCCCACTAGTCAAATAAACCTCTGGCGGATACTGTTGCGCCAACCCCATACCCGTCAAAACCGCAGTTCCTTGCAACCCCAACCCCTGCGCCAACGCAACTTGCCCGCGTTTCTGCAACCGCTCCAATGCTCCAGGACGACCTGTCTGCAAGGAATGGTCCAAGGGGTTCCCGTAGGCAGAACGATGTTTCCAAATAATATTGGAGACCACAAAGGCGTCGTTGTGTTTGATATCGTGTTGGGTATCAGATTGGGCGGTGGTGAGGAGTTTGCGAGCGGTGGTGAGGTCTTGAAGGACCGAGGTACTGCCGATAGGTTTTGTTTGTTCTAGTTTTGTGGAGAGGGCGTCGATTGCTTTGAGGGTCGTCCGGAAGGCTTCCTGTGAACTCTGGTGCAACCTACCCAACGCATACGCCATCTATCATCATCGAAGAAAGGTGTTGAAGAATTCAATATAAATATAAATATAAATATAAAAAGCTTGTAAATAATCTCCCCGAATGCATACAAGAAGAAACACGCAGATGAGAATACATACGCGGTGCTCGGTCTCGGCAAAGGCGCCAGCGGTCCAGAGCTCATGCATGCGCTCGGAGATTTCTCCACTTCTCGCAAAGAGCATCCAGAAGGGCACCTCCTTCTTGAAGAAATGGTCCAGAAGCCTCCTCATCTGTCTGACATCCCTATCCACCTCCCCATCCGTGACCTGGGCAACCATCCTTTCATTCTCTACAGATTCAATCCGCTTAATCTCCTCCGTCGCCAATTCGGAGAGCTTATCAACCTGCGCAAAAGTTTCTAGCCTTCCATCAAGTCTCGACTCCATGTTCTCGATTCCAGAGGTCATCAAGTCGCGACACCTTGTCAACAGCGCCCCCCGACGGTGATAATCTTGCTGTCCCTCCAAGATCAATGTGCTGGCGACCAGTCTCTGAAGGGCGCCGACAGTCTCCATGTACCGGGTCTCTGACTGGTGGCGTGGGGTCAGTCCGATGATGGCGGGGATGGGTTCAGGGTTGGAGATACGAAGGACCTTGACGATGCTTGAGTCCTGCTGGTTGAGGTTGCTGTATCCGCGGGGCGAGGACTTGACGGCGTGGGCGAGGTTGGCCTTGAGGTTGGAGATGGTCAAGGTTTCGTAGGAAGAGTCTGCGCTGTTCATGTCTGCGACGACTAGGATGTGAGACTTGTGGCGGTAGCGGTTCAAGAAGTGTTGCTCGCGTTCCAGAGACAGTTGGCGTTGGGCGTCGGTTCTGAGAAGGATGAGGTCACTGCTGTAGACAATGTCGTCCATGGTCAAATCATCCAAATCCAGACCTGTAGGCAAAACAAACGCGGTATGAAGAAGGTCCCATATCAGTATGCCTTGCTGTAAAATAAAGCTCTCGGAAGAAGACTCCTGCGATAAAAATTCAGGGTCTCGCATCAAAAAAAAGGCAAATAAAAAAGCTTGTACCTGGAACTTCAACAATCTCGCCGCCGTCATTGTCGCTGAGTCCCTCGAGCCAACTAATGGGTGCCTGTTCAATGTTCTCCTGACCATTATCCTGGAGACTATACGTGCTTCCATAACGAACGCGGTGAACCTTTCCCGTATCCTTGGCAGAGCGACGAATATTCTGCTCGCTGGGCAAAAGCAAATCCATGATCGAATCCTGTCCGCTCGACTCCCCAATGACTACCAGGTTGAAAAAAGTGCATAATAAAAGTTGATTAGTAGACAGTCAATGAGCCAGGCAGCCAAGAGCAAGTTGGTCTCACTCAAAATGATATACACTGCACTGATGATGAAAGATATAAAAAAGTGAAACACGCATACCTGTGACGCGAAGACGTGTTCGCTCTAGCTCAAGGTCGGTCATGGCCGTGTCCATGCGGCGCGCCCAGTACTGAGCCTCTTGGTCGTCCAATGGCGTCGCGTCCAGCTTCTCGGAAGGTGCATCCTGAATCTGATAGAGCATGTCCATTGATGTCAAGAGGCGTCTCTTTTGATCATTGAAATACGCTGCCTCGGTAGGTTTCTTGCTCTGGTTGATGCTCTTGGGGAGCGGGGTGTCGATATCGTCGGGTATATTGCTGTTGCTGCTGTTGTTGTCACTGGTCTCGGCAGTAGCGGCAGCCGAGGCGGTGGCATGGTGAGGAGTTGAGGAATGGATGCGACGGGTTCTGGATGAAGATGCAATTGCAGGCAAGAGGGTCTTTGCCAGCAAGCTTGCGGGTGTCCCTGCGACGACAGCCTTGGTGGTCCTTGTGCAAATCATTCTGAGGTGAGAGGGCGGGTCGAGCAACGGGTTGAGCGAAATGAGCTGCCGGGAGGGATAGGTGGAAGGAGGAGTGGGACTGGATTTGGTTGTGGCTTGGCTGATTAGCAGACGATGCACGGAACCTAAACAGCAACCAGTCAGAGGACAGATCAATTTCAGGTACCATCAGTACTGAAGAGACAAAACCATGAAGAAATATCACACCTTTGTCCTCTTCTCCCACTTGATGGTGATACTCGACAGTGATCTGCTGTTCTGATAGGATGAAAAGAATGTAGATGGCTAGTCTAGCTACATACCCAGTGATACTTTTTGCCTATCGTCCTCTCTTTGCCATGCTCCGCTGGGACAAGCGGATGATGTCACAAAGGCAGAGGAGGCACAGGAGCCTGATCATTTTGGGGGACGGAAGGAGTCAGGGCCCCGAAAGTCTATGAGCTTTTTGAACATCCGATGTTTCGGTCTTTTCTTTCTTCTTCATCATCAAGAGCATTCGACGCTTGGTCAGTTGTTAGCTCAGGATGAGAACAGAAATAACGGTCTGGACGCGAGAGTGAGAATGAGGAGGAGAAAACGAGAAAATGACAAGAAGTAGACATTGTCATAAAACATAATCCTTTTTGAAGGATTGTGGTTTAAGTTCTATGGGTTAACATTTTACAGTGCCTGGATGTTGACTCAAGATGGCGAAACCTCGCTCCTTCTTCCATCAAGAAGAGCATAGCCCTACAACTTGGACCCTTCTTCAATACACATCACAGGAGCAAACAAACAAAAAGGCGAATCGGTCTTTGGTGTGGCATCGTGCATTACGCATTGTGAGGGGTCCCAGGGCAAGGAAAAGGGGAAAAAAGAGGAAAAGAAGAGAGCCAACGCTGGGCTGTCGTGACCATTCGTGGGCGTACGTGCTCTCGTTTTTTCTTTCTTTTGATTTATTTGCAAAGATGAAAATAGTTTTTCTGTCAAACCTTTTTTTCTTGATCTCAGTTGCCATGTTTCGCGGATTGGACATTTTCATGAACCGGTGGATGAAGGAAGGGTGAGGAAACAAAGATAACTTTGAGGTTGAAGACAGACAGACACAGAAAATCTGTCCATACAGGAATAAAGAGGTGTCAATTGGGGCTAATGCATTTTGGTCGAATGGCAAGAACGATAGGATGAGAAAGGATGTGCTACTGGATTGTGTCCTCATCGCCCGTGTTTTCGTTATTCCAGATCAACGCCTTTTTCTATCGGAAAACAAGTGAGCGTGAGCGAAGCAAGTGTAACGAGCGAAGTGTAAAGGTGAAATACCACCGTGCAATTCCTTTAAATTGACTTGGCTCGAAGTTAAGAATAGACAAGAGTCCGACACACAGACAAACACACAGACAGACACATACGCACATATCTCTCCCTTTATCCCTTCGTCTCTCGTTGCTTGAGTTTGGCTGCTTGCCCCTCGGCGGAAATACCTGGGTGCGTATGTCTGTCGTATTCAAACAATGCGGCAGCATACAGAGACAAAGACAGCGACAGAACAAACATTGTCAACCCCGGCATTGCAACAGGGCAAATCTCTTTCCTTTTTCCAACCACCACCCTATCTCACGCCCTGCCCTGTCTACTTTACTCTACACCTCTCTCATCCATTACTGCTACTGCTCATTCTACCGTCTTGGCTGTTTTTGCTTCCGTTCACTTTCTTCGCCTTTTTTTTTTTCTTTTTTCTCTTCTTTTTTCTCTCTTCTTTTCCTCCCGTTCCTTTCTTTTTCCCTCTTTCCTTACCCTTTGCCCTCTTTTCTTGCTCTTGTCTTCCTCACCCTTCCTTTTACTCGTTCTTTTCCTTCCGTTAACTTTGTTCTTTACCTTTAATTGCTTTTTTCCGTTCATCCTTCGTGCTTTCCTTCCTTTTTGCTACACTAATACCCTTACACCAACTCCACTCTCATACCTTTATTTCTGTTCCTGAATCAAACAAAACAAACAAACAAACAAATAACAGATCGATAACCCAACAATCTATTTAGCACCTCAATTGTACCACCACCATCGTCCCTACTCTCTCTCCTCTCCCTCTCGCACTTACCATCATCGACCACCCACATAAACACACAAACACAGCACTCAGCAACAACAGTACAGCAACAACAGCGACAACAACAACACGAAGTTGACCTTCAAATATAACATATATCCACAATGGTTCAACTCACATTACCTTTACTCGACAACACCGACAACGAGAGCGGCAACCTCAACCAACCCGATTGCGACCCCTCCCAATCGATCTACAACAACAAGTCATGTATCAAAGACTTTCTCTTCTGCTCAGACGACAACCCATGCCCGTCCAAGATCCCCTGTGTCGACCGGGTGTGTCAATGCGAGCCCAACAACAAGTCATATATCACCCTGACGCCTAACCCGGTCCGCATGTATACCCTCGGCTGCAACTTTGACAAGACGCGCGAATCGGACACCTGTCGAGATTATGAGTACCAGGTGGGCAAGACCTGTCTCCTGAACTATTGCTCGAAAGACGTGCCCTGTTATGCCGGCCGTTGCGATTCTAAGAGTAATGTCTGCACCAATATCACTGCCTCTGCTGCGCGACAACCTCTCCCCGTCAGCAATAACCAAGTCATTTCGCTGGGAGACGACCCCTTTGGCACACATAAGGAGGGCCTCAGCCCAGTCTTGATCATTATCATGGCGGCAGCGGCTGTTGTTGCCATTGCTCTGATCGGATGCATTGTGCGGACTGTTACGCATTGGACCAAAACATCTGTGGCCTGGGCTTCCGACAAGACAGGCGGCAGCGCGGCGGGCGACGACGACAACAACGGCGATGAAAAGACCAACAACAGGAGTATGCCCTTTGTCAAGGAGGTGTCGAATGCCGGTAGCAACCAGTCCGACTCATCCATCATGCGGAAACCATCAAAGTTCACCGGCAGCCATTATATGCCCGAGCACGTTGTCCAGTCCTCCTCTGCGTTGTCTGATATCTCGCCCTTTGGAACACCCGTGCATTCCCCTCACTTTTCTCCTTATTCGCACCCGGATCAGGGCAGTGACATGTCCCTGTCCAACCCCTTCCGCCACAGAATCGACGATAGCAGGATCTCGATGGACTTGCTAAGCAGTGGCTCTGCTGGCCATATTAGGGACGACCACCCAATGTCCGAGTTGAGTTCAAGCCCTGAGCTCAACTCTATCGATAAAGTCGACCCTGTGCCCGTGGCTCCTTTCCTTGCTCCTGCGCATGGCCCCTCCTCCTCCTCCTCTTCCCTCTCCCCTCCCCTCGGACAAGACCTGAGGATATCGCGGTCTCAAACTTTCCATCGCCCTCCTTCAAGCAACCTGTCGCCAGCAATCCACAATCCCCTTCACCAGACCGAAATCCGATCCGCACCTTTGCCATTCGTCGGCTCCAGATCGCCTCCACCCCCACCTACCATGCAATCTGACAGGATCGTCCCTCCCATGATGACCTACTCACAGAACAACAGAATGTCATCGGCCACCGTCATGGCCCCATCGATGTCCTTGGACTCGTTGATGGACTACTCGGGCAACCATCCCAACCACCAGCGCGACTCGGTCGTCCTTTACGACTCCCCTCATTCCAGCCGTCCAAATTCACCTGCGCTCCGCCCTTCCGGCTCCTTAGGATCTCCGCTTGTCATTCAGTCGGGTGCAGAGCGCCTCCCGTCCTTGACCGTCCCTCACCGGCAATCGATGTTGAGGCATAGTGCTTCGGTGCCCCAGTTGGTCGACCCCTCATCGGCGCCACCTCAAGCCAAGAGGAACTTACCCGCTGGGTTTGCCTCCAACCCTGTCACCGCCGCTCCCAAGCGCTTTTAATATCACATCACTCCGCACGCTCACTCACCCATCACATACACTCATAAACATAATCTGCATCCATTCATTTAACTCTTTGTTGTGTGTGAGCGATCTTTTTTTTTTCCTCTGTTCGGGGGTTGTACTGTACCTGTGCGCGTGTACGAAAGTTCTTCCGAGATGAAAGAGTTGTGCTGGGCGTTACTGAAGCTCTGAACCCAGCCCCTCAGTAGTGAAAAATTGAGCGGAGGAGGGGATGGGTTCAGAGCTTCGGCTTTACTGATCACGATTTGGTGGCAACATCACCCAACGTCTCTGACTGATACTTCATGTTTAATCAGCGGTATCAGAGACCTTTGGAAAGTACTCTTTACTCCTATCCAGTAGCACCTCTCGCCATCCAGTCTCACACATGTACTACCAAGTACCAACATGCAATGCGAAGTGAAAGCTTTCTTTTGCCCCCTCCCCTTAGTCCCTTCCCCACCCGCTCGTGCATGTTTGATTGGCATGCCTGTCCGCAAACAAGCACAAAATAAGACTGCTTTTCCTAGCTGTTTCTCTCTCCATTCACACCTGCGCAGGGACAGCAGGGAGAGGAAAAGGGAATAAGAGATGGTGAGAGTTTTTTTCTCTTTTCTTCCTCACCTCGCATGACGACCGGATCAATGTCACTCAAGGCAACCGCCAAAGAATTCACTCCATCATTCAACATCTCCAAGCAGCCTCAGACTGGAGGTGCCGCACCTATTCCTGACACCGTACCAACACCGTCGTCGTCGTCGTCTTCGTCTTTGTTATTAAACCAACCTTCTGAAACACCCAAGACCCGATCGAACGGGAATATCAAGGAGTCTTCTGTACATAATAATAAGCCGAGGCCCCAACAGAAGCAACAGAGCCGTGGACAGCCACGACAAGAGAACGGTCAACAATCAAACCAGCACCAGCATCACCAGAACGGAGGAGGAGAACGAGGACATCAGAAATCCGATCAAAAGCGAGATCCGCAGCAACGGACTAACGGACCCAGCAACAAGTCTCGACACCCACACCCACAACAACAACAACAACAACAACAACAACAGCAACAACAACAGCAACAACAACAAGCATCATCAACAACAGGATCAGGTCTGCAGTCCGGTAACCATGGCGGCAAGAACAACGACCTTCACAACCCTACCCCTCACAACACTTCTCGGAGGATCAAGAATGCCAATGCGCAGACAGGCCGTCCTTTGAACAAGGAGCAGAATCGGTCATCGTCATCATCTTCAAATACACCAACAACAACCTCTGCTGCACAGGGATCTTCTTCGGCACATGGATCAGGGAAGCACCAGCATCAGCTTCAACAGCAACGAGACAACAACTCTGCAGCGACTGCGGCAGCGTCAGGAGCGAAGCCACGGTCTGGATCGTTCTCCAAGACGTCTGCGCAAGGATCTCACGCATCGACAACCAACGCAAAGACGCGCAAGGGGTCGACCGACCACGCAAGTTCGGGATCGAGCAATAGCAACAGTGCCGCTAATGGGTCAGCAAATGCAGGAGGATCCTCGAGTGCAGGAACAGCCTCTGCAAGCGACATTATCCCAGGAATGGAAGCGACTGCTTTTATCTGTCTCACAGATGTCATCCTTCCTGTACGACATGTGGTTAAGGATGGAGTATCTACCATGGAACAAGGATCTGATGCCTACCTCGATTGGGTACGTGTTTCTTTTTTTGGTTCGTCCTGAGATTACCTGTTGTCGCTGCAATTCCCTTGCTCTATATCCGGATAAACTAACCTATGCCTTCACCTTGCACCAACTGCTTGCCGTTTTGATCTTACGAATAGATCGTGCGGTCGTTGAAAGAGCATGAAGAGATTACACTGATTGGTATGGAGGCAGCGATCCCAGACATCATTGCACTCGTCCTTCGGGCAGGCCTTCAAGGCATAGGATATCAAGGTACCCCTCCCACTCTGACAAATGAAGCCAGCCTTGTGTTTCTTCTATGACACCTGAGAGTCCTGTCTAATACCTCTACTTCTTGTCCTTGCTTCCTGTATCGTAGAGATACGAACGTTCACGACGCAGGATGGGCTTGGAGGAAACAAGAGTTGTCTCCAGTTCCGAATGCGTCGAGGACAAGGATATATCCCCCTCGAGAAACGTCCTCCTCGGTCGTAGACCTCAATATAAAGAATTCGTTCTCACAAAGCGTTGTAGTGAAAGTCGTGGCAGATGGTTTGAATGTGTATATTGTACAGCTTTTCTATTTCTTTGAGTAAAACAACATGGAAGAAAACAAGCAAAAATGATAATAGGGTGGATAATGCGATAAAAAGACAACTAATGGGAAAGTGTGGTATCCCGATCTAAAAAGGTGCTAGTTTTTGGCAGGGAAGAGGGGTGGGGGAAGGAGGGGATTTTACATGAACTTCTCTCTGCCAAAGGCCCAGATACCAGCTGCCACTGCGCAAACACCTCCTGCTGATCCAGCGGCACGCAAACCAGCTAAAAAGATCGAAATGGAGAGAGGATGAAAGGTTAGAGCAAATTCCGTTTATGTGCATTGTGTTTGTCCGTGCTATTCGAATGTCACCGGAGAAGGAGATCGGTGAGAGGGCTTACCGGTCGACTTGAAGACAGCACCAGTGATGGCGCCAGCAGCGATCGAGTTCAAGGGGTCATGGTAGCCACGAGCCTTGCCAATGATACCGTTGACTCCGTTGTACATCAAAGCTATTAAGAGCAGAAAAAGGAGGAATTAGCACTCTTGATCCAAAGACCTGTTCCTGTATTTCGTTCTCTTGCTTGAACCAAAAATAAGCACTGATCAGGTCTCTTACCCATGACACCGGCCGAGTTTCCGATAAAAGGTCCACGACGGGTCATGCCGTTCAAGACAGTGTTGAGACGGATCTTGATGGCAGGGCTTGGGGATGAACGGAGACCCTCATAGAATCCAAAGGCACCTCCCATGCTCAAAGCTATTGAGTGGTCAATAAAGAATCAATATTAGTCACCCCATACTTTTTCGGATCGACCGTTTTGTACAAAACACTTGCTCAGCACAGATCAAGTCTGCCTTTCTCCTGCAAACACTTCCTTTTCGTCTTCCTTCATTTTTGAAAAAGAGAGGTGCTTACCAGTAATATAGGCGACACCAGTTCCGTAGGTGAGGTCATCGGCCCAGCCTCTGCTTGGCACGACGCCGTTCTGTGTGCCTGGGAGACCATCGCTGTCCTCGAGGTTGAGGTAGTCGAGTCCACCACCAAGGCCGGCCAGGGGGTGCAGACGAGTGGGGTCGTATGAGGTGTTGAGGAAGGAGCTGACGGTGTCGTTAGGGTCGAAGTCCTCCTGGTTGGCATAGATGGGAGCAAAGGTCTCCTCCTCCTCGATATTGGTGGTGTGGTGGGACATTATGTGTATATTATGTGGTGGGTGTTGGTGAGGGACTGATCTGGTAAGTTGATGCTGAGACGAGAACTGGCTTGTTTGCTTCGAGTATTCTGCTTGTTCCTGAAGGGTCTAGAGGTGTCGGCGGGAGTCAGAGTGAGTAAAGGTCGAGGAAGGAGAAGGAAGAAAAAGGAAGAAGAGGAGAAAGAAGAGTCAATGAATGGGAAAGTGGGAAAAAAAGAACAATCGGGGAACGTTGGGGAAGGAGAAGCGGGGCTGTCGAGGAGTCGCTTCTGTCACCGCAGATGGTGATTTGTTTTCCGTTCCTTTCTCTTCGATGACAGTCACTTTTGCCGATGTCACATGATATCGGCATCCTCTCAACCGTTACTTCGTGTAAGGAAAAAAGAAGGCCGGCTCGCTCTCAAAGAAAGAACTAGCCCGCATTCCCTTGCACCCGCCTTTTTCTCCTCCACTCAAAACTGCCATCATCTTCACCAACCTTCCTTCACACTTCTCATTGCTTTAAAGCCCTCTTCTCAAGGACAAACGGCGTCGCTTTCCTAGTTGTCATCACTCACACTTACACGCAATGTCGACTCCAAGTCAACCATCGTCAAACTCCGCAGACAGGTCACACACGGCAGTCGCAAGCACACTTTCCTCAGCCCCGGCTGGACCTGGAGCCCAAGGAAACGCCCCTCCTCCTCCTCAGTTCAACCTGTCACTTCCCAGCGCATCTCAGCCCGATATCAGTAAGGGATTCGAGCATCTTGATCGTGTCGCTCATATCGAATGGTATCAATCGGCATACTGACTGTCTGACCCCACTTTTTGTTCGCTTTAGTCCGTGCCAACCAGAAGGATTCATATTACCAACAAATCTTGAAAGATCAGGTCAAGGATGCAGTCCGTGAGATCTTTGGTATGTTGCGCCCTGCACCCAGCCGATCGGAACGAACAAGCATTGACAACCTAGAAGAGTAAAAGCCAAACCCCTTGCTAGGATGAACGCTAACCGATCCATTATTTGATTGAAACTGTCACTTAGGAAGTCGCACACAGCACATGTACCACACGGAGGTGGAAGTGTTCTCGGATCTTTGCTACTACACATTGACGACGTTGCTCGGGACACAGACACTCGGAGAGGAGTACTGTGATATCATGCAGATCAACAGTTCCTCTGGCACCTTTCCTTCGTTTCCTGTAAGTTTACTTTTTCAGTGCAGGTCCGAAGAATGCGGAGATAATTGGTGCTGCCAGAAATCCGTCTAAATAAGTCGCACATCTTCGTAACACTGGCTATATGTGCTTTTCTTTAATCACGAAATAGCGTCGGTCGGCACTTGTGTTTTGGCATGTGTTGATCCCATACATCTACTCCAAAGGAGCGCAGGAACTGAGGAGGCGCACAAAACCCCAACCACCCCAGCGACACAACCACCACCAGGGACACCGCCTGGATGCTGCACTCTCGAACGCAGAACCCAAGAAGGAGCCCTCGGCAGCAATGATAAAACTCAAGACCTTTGTCCACAACTGGTTGCCAACATTCCAGACCTTTTTCAAGACCCATGGACATTCGGCCCACCTGGCTGTCTTTTACTTCTTTGGCGCCTACTACAGCTTCTCGAAGCGTGTGACAGGAATTCGGTACATCTTCAACAGGAAGCTGTCACCCGGAGAGGAGCGGTCAGGATACGAAGTCCTGGGGGTGTTGATCGTCATTCAGTTGGCGATCCAGCTCTTCCAATGGCGCCGACAGTTAGCTGCTGAGGCCCAGGAAAAGGCTTCGGCCGCTGCCTTAGTTGCGGGTAACACTCTTGGCGAGAAGGGTGCGGCCTCGCAGTTTCAACAACAGGAAGAGGAAGAGGAAGAGGAAGAGGAAGAAGATTTCCAACAGACCACCGCACAGGCAAATGTGCGCAAGTGCACCCTGTGTTTGGATCCAAGGACTAACACGACTGCAACCCCATGTGGACATTTGTTCTGTTGGACCTGTATCCGTGAGTGGTGCCAGAATAAGGCAAGTGGCTCCCCGATTTTAAGTCGTTTTAGTGCCGTTTGATTCTAACCAATCGCGTGAAAAGCAAGAGAGCTAAAAAAACGAACGCGTTAGAAGGGACTATAGCTAACCCATTTATTTCTATTCATAATAGCCTGAGTGCCCTCTCTGCCGTCAGCATGTTCAACTGTCGGCCCTGCTCCCGATCTATACCAAGCTGTATTAACGTACTTCCTTCCCCTCTCTTTCCGTCCCTCTCCAAACCATCTAATCGGGAAACGGACAAGGACATGCAAGAATATTTTTTTCCGATCTCAAATAAAGCAATATTGATGCACATAACAAAAGGTACAGCCAATTTACTCCTTCCAGGGTAGATTGCGTGTCAATTGTCAATGTGAAAAGTGGTCTAGGAATGGAATGATGGCGCTGTCCAACTGGTCCTCCCGTTTGGAACTTTGGACTGCCACACCCACAACCCCTGCCTACGTCTCCAACCCCACAGCCCAATTCCATTTCCATTGCAAGATTTGCCGCCACTTAATTGAATATTAGCGCAATGTGCGAAAAGCCGAAAACGCAAGGGTCACCCACTTACCCTCGCCTTCTAATTGAACAAAAAAAAAGGTAATAATGGAGGCAGTACGAATTGACCAACATCATGCTTGAGAGGAATCGTTTCAAGTGTGAAATAGCCCAAGGATGACTATGAGAGAAACAGAGTCAGAGAAGCCTTTTCTCCCTCGGTCCCTTATCTTGAGAAAGATAACGTAAAACAATGCTAATAAGGATTGGGCCTAATTTATGGTGCGTTTTTGTTGCTGTGCCTGAATTCCCAACATGACAGAAAAGGGCAAGGGTAGGAGAGATATGCTAACGAAAAGACAGCGGGAATGGATATTGTCCAGGGGCTGAAAGCCAGACTAGGGGCAGGAACAAGGGTATAGTGGTATAGTGGCATAGGGGTGCAGAAGGAAGGACGGGAAGAAGTGCATGCGGTATGGTGACTCCTTCGATTGTTGATTTATGTGCATCTGAAACGGTGCCTAGTTTATTATTTTACGTTCACTAGCCAACATGCCACAGAAATGTACACGTTGTCTTGATCTGTTGTCCTTCCTTTTCCCTTCCCTCCTTCTTTCGTCCATTCTTGACCCATGCAAGGTCAAAAAAACAAAGGTTTAATTGAAACTTAAACCTAAGGATGGGACGAAAAAGTCCGAATAGAGGTAATGGAAGGTGATCCTGGAACAACGGAAGAAACGTAAGGGAGGACAATGCTCGATTCGCTCGCGCGTGGCTGGGACAGAAATACCAGCACGAGATCCACGTACCATACCATACCATACCATACCATGCACCTTTGTCGTCTGTCAGCATGCCAGGTTTTTTTGTGACACGTCAGGGGGCGGGGTATCGCTCCCTTCTGTACCTTCTCCTCTAGCCACTCCGCTTTGCAGATACAGAAAAACGCACCTGCAGGGCCCTTGACCTTTCTTTATTATCCTCCTCCTTCTCGTCTATACCACACACCCCCCACCAAAACAAAAGGAACGCCTCTAATACAAGCGAACGGCATGGTCATCTCATCTCTTTTTATTCTCCTATTCCCGGACAACAGATCAACAAATATAGCCTCCTATCCCGTTGGTATAGCACATACACATCCTTTGTGGTTAACCATGGCTGCATGCAATATATGATAACATCTTTTTTTCTTACCTTTGCCTTCCCATCATTCATCTCTCCTTTCGCTCGCAATTATTGCGTCGACTGCTGTTCTGCTGTTCGATCTCTCTGTTTTCTTTTACCAAAGAAAAAAGTGAGCGTGTGGTTTGCATGGAGTTTGGACTTGGAGGCGAAGCTTGTGTGGCAGTATGGTGTGTTGTATGGACCCGAGAGTGATCAAAGGAAGGGAGTGCGTGTGCGTATGTGTGTGTGTATGTGTGTTTGTTATGAGAGAAGTGTCAACCGAAAAACCAAACCAAGCCAAATGTTGAGAGCACGAGTAAATACAGTTGTGCGTGTGTTTTTTGGGTGTGTTGTTGTTGCTGAGAGCCAACAACTTTTTTTTTGCCACAAACAAATTGAGCAAAATTGACTCTCCCTCGTCATCGACCTTCGGTCAACCTGGGGAAGAAAGAGAGTTAGTCTGGGGGTCTAGGTTCTTCCTTGGTATTTCTCAGAACCTAACCCAGGAAAACAAAGACTAACGAAATGGACTACCCGAAAATGTACATTTTTGTCGCATGTCACTTCTCAATGTCAATGTATCCACGCTACAGAGTCATCTCAACTAGTGCGAAAACTTCATATGAAAGAAATGAACATACGAAATGAACATACGAAATGAAAATGGCCAGGGTCCAGAAAAGAGGGTACAAAGGGCAGCCTGACAATAGTTATCTTTGTTTGTGGGTGGCGAGAGAACCAGTGTCGAAATCAAAAAGAGCACATATCCCCGCGCACACACTCCCTCGGAGTAGAATAATAAGTAATAGAAGCCAGACGGAGAAAGAACAAAAGGTAGGGAAGGTGTAGGGCGCGGGTGCGGGTGCGGCGCAAGGCTGGTTGTGTGCTCACCACCGTTTTTTTTCTTTTCTCTCCTTCCATTTTGTCATTTCCCATCTGCGAATTCTCTAAATTGCATTTGGGGGTCTGTTGGGTTTGTTGGTTAGACATGCAGGGCGTTGGGATGGGCAGCATTTTGTCCCGCCTTCCTTTTTTCTGTAGGCCTTTGGAGGTTATGTACATATACAAATGAATGGGACACAGAGAGAGAGATAGAAAAAGAGAGAGAGAGAGATAGAGATGCTGTTGTTTGGCGAGAGCACGGCATGCCAGTAAACAAAATGAAAAACAAGAAAGTATGAGCCAACCAGAATGGCGATTACACCCACCATGCCCATGTATACCGTCTATCCGTCCGTCCAGCAGACAATTGGATATGCACAACAAGTGGAATAATCAGTGATTCATGAAAGTGAGGATGAGTTTGGTGAAAGTACTCCATCGATGAAGAACAGAGAGGGCGAAGAGTGTGGATGATTGTGAAGTGTGAATGAGAGCAAGAGGTGGACACAAAGACAACAACCGATATGCAGACTCTTCTTTGTCGTTCGGTCTTGTACTCCTCATCCAGAGACATGAACGAAAAGAATATCGAGAATGACCAGTTACATCGTAGGACCTCTCTTTGAGGAGTGTGAGAATGAGCAGAGGAGAGGTGAGAAAAAGAAAAAGGAAGGTCTACGTTTCTTTTTGAAGGGACATGGGCATTGGCAGGCACAGTGAGAAAAAAAAAAGCAAGACAGCATTCCAGGGACAATTTTTTTTCTTTATGGGCAGATGAGAGTGAGTAGGGGCCAACAAAATTTCTTCTTTGGAGGGCTTGCAACGAGAATTGCGGATGAAGACTGCAAAAGTGGCAAGCTGTTGACCGTTGTGCAGCATTCAATTGCTTCCAGTACGGTAGGCAACCCGCGGCGGCCATTCTTCTTTTCGTTCAGGCGTAATATCTTCAATGTTCAATAATAAAAGAATAAAACAACGCGCTCGTGTCTGCTCTCTCAGTGACAGTTCGATTAATTGATTAATCAATCAAGCGATTCAATTGAGACATTCGACAAAAGGCGTTCCTGAATGACTAAGTGCCTGTTGGTCGTCTCAACAGCGGCAACTTACGCATTGTCCAGAGCAACAACATACCCCTCAGTACCCTTTTTCAGCCTCTATTGGATTTTTCATTTGAAGCAGGGAAGATGATGGAACACCAAGGGAAGAAAAGCATATAAAAGCAATCAACGGCCTTCTTTTTCTGACTTTTTTTTTTCCTCTGTTCCTTCAATCCACACCCTTCCCGTCATCCTCGACAACCCCCTTCCAACGACACTCGCTCGTTTCCCCTGCATCCGAACACCCTTACCTCCTCCCTTCCCCTGCACAACCTTCGTCTACTCTTCCTCCGACTCCAACTCTCTCCTCCTGCTTTTCGTCTAAATTCTCAATCGCACCCTCTCTTCACCTCATCTCTCACTCTATCTAACAATGAAGGTCCTCTCCATCTTCGGCAGCGCTGTTGTCGCCGCTTCCGCCCTCCTCTCCTTCATCCCCTCCACCGCCGCCCACATGGCCATGTCCAACCCTCCCGGTCAGGCCGGTCCCTGGACCAAGAACCAGAGCAGCCAGGTCCACGCCTTCATTGGCTTCAAGGGCAAGAAGTTCCCTTGCGGTGGCTACCCCAAGGGACCCGTGACCCAGTACAGAGCTGGTCAGACCATCAACGTCCGCTTCTGGGTCTATGGTGTTCCCAGCTGGACAAAGTTCCCCCCTAAGGGCGGTCTTAACACTGCTCGCCACGGTGGTGGAGCCTGCGAGTTCTCGCTCTCGTACGATGGTGGAAAGTCCTGGAAGGTTATTGGACAGTACACAAAGACCTGTCCCGATGTCTACTACGAGTGGCCCGTCCAAATCCCCAAGAACGTCCCCTCGTGCAATGACTCGAACAAGTGCCTGTTCGCCTGGTCCTGGACTGCCTATGCCACGAACCAGTTCTACCACCACTGCGCCAACATCCAGATCACCAACGGTAGCGCCAAGGGCCGTCTCCCCGAGCTCGACATGACCATTGTCGATGTCCCCGGCCGCAATGTCAACCAGAGAACCCATGCCCGTGGTGATGGCAAGGGTGGCAAGTCCTCCGGCCCCAACAAGGATGAGCGTGCTCGCTCCACCAACGGCTTCTACGCCTACGGTGGCAAGGCTGGCAAGAAGGGTATCGACCTCGGCCTCGTCAAAAACTAAATATCCTTTTTTCCGCTCTCTTTTACCAAGTCGTTGAAAAAAAGTGTTGATACAACTTTGTGCAGAGATAAAAAAAAAAAACTCGTAGTCTCTTGCCCAAACGTCTAGTTCCAACCTTTTCCTCCCCTTGTCCAGCAAGAGCCGGCCTCTTTCTTCACATTAAAAAAAAAACAAAACCCCAAACGACTTTTTCACTTTATACCTTTGTAGACTTATTTCCTTCACTTGTACTGTAATAAAACCACACTTTCACCACATTTTCAACACACTCGCATTCACACAAACACACGCAAAAGCCGCAACAAACTAAAAAACAAAAGCCTGTTTTAATTTATAAGAGAAACATGGACCGACATCGTTCCGAGTGGCGGGGCCTTCAACTGAACTCACTAACAATAGATGGAAAGGCAAGAAGTAATTGAGACGGAAGCGAAATAGGAGTATTGGGGGCCAAGTAGGAGAATTATTATCTTTCTAACGAACTGACAAAGGAAGGAACAAAAATAACACGATCGAAAACCACAGAACATCCGATTGTCCTCTCCTATTACCCTTCCCAGTTCCCAGTTCCCAGTTCCACACTCCACAACCAAGAGTTCAAATCAAACCCGAACCTTTTTCATTTCTGGCTGATAAGTGAGGCGCTGGTTTTTTTTCGGTAGCAATTAGACGGAGTGTGAACAACAACAGACGCATCGTCTGCGGCGCTCACATTGCTTACGAAAAAAACCCCGGGTTGCTCTCCTCTCCCACCTTCACGAACGCCGCATCCAACATATTATATGCGACCCCACTTTGTCTCTCTCTCATTCCACTGTTGCCGTATCTATCCCTATCAATCATGTCTCGCCCTATCCCCCTTGTCTTTCTACTTTCACAGAATCCTGCGCCCACCATCTCCTCCTCCTTTCCTTCTCCATACTCCTTCTTCACCCAGCAAACGTCGTCCCATTTTCCCCCTTCTCCTTCCCCTTTACTTTGTGCGCCCTGAATAAATAGACGGTATGGACACTCTAGATATCCAAGCAGGAGTCAGTCAATTACTAACCTGATGTGTAACAAATACTCCTGGCGTTGCCTTGGATCGCCATTTTTTTTTTTTTTTTTTCGTACACAATTTTATTTCTCTAACAAACAGCATAGAGAAGTTATTTGGAAGTAAAAGGGGACTACAGACCAAACTCTTCAGTGCACCATCCGCCAGTCGCAGTCCGGTCCAGAACCTGGCTCTGCGCAACAATTGTCGCTGCTCTTCACAGCTTAAACGGAAGAAAATAAAACTAGATACGAATGAAGGGGATTCTTCCCATCCTCTCCATCATTGACAACCTCCTCCTTCCTAACAAACTCTCCAACAACCGCTCGTCAGCAGCGCGTGGGTCCTTGGTCGCTCCAGGGCACCTTCCTTCATCATGTGTGGCTAGCGAAGCGCCACACGGACAGAAACCATCGTGCGTGATGTAACCGTATCCTTGACTCCAGTCACCTCGGGGGCCTGTGTATTTGGATGTCTTGTCCTTGGCAGAGATGCCCTGGCTTTGTTCCCACGCGATCGTCGCGGAGCACCGAGGTTTCCAGATCAGCTCCGAGGCCTGCGCCTCCAGGTAGCCAACAAACTTGTGAAGGACTGTCTTGGCGATGGACATTGGGGTCCGGAAGACCGCGGACCATTCAGTCAACATGCTCAAGGGGTGATGCCGCGGAGGAGATCCGACACATTCCACATCGGTTTCTCGTCTCGATCGGGAGCTGGACTACCGCTGTGCACGGCTCGAGCTCAACCGATGGAGGAAAATCCTCGCACATGATCCGCATCCGAAGGGGGCCACCAGTGTATGGGTACTGGCCTCGGTACCTGACGACCTCTGTCCACCGCGCGTTTGTATTCCCGCTTCCTGGCTGCGTTGTAGCTGTTTGTCGCCTGCACACCCCACTCATTAATCTTGCCCATGGCCTCCTTCCAGATCTCAGTGGTGGTCTCAGCTGCCGAAGGGCATTTCCAGACGTGATTGTTATCCTCCTTCTCGAGCTCGCATCGTCGGCACACGCATGTTGGGTACAGGTTGGGCTTGCGAGCCTGCATGGAGTTCAGAGTGGGCAGCATTCCATGCAGCTTTTTGATATGATGTGTGCGTTGGTGAGAGTCCTTGCTGTTGCTGTAAAAGGTGAAGACTGCGTGCCTGTCGTGGACATAAGCCAAGGTCGAGTTCCATTCCACGTCATCGATGTCAGGGATCGCCCTCTTGACCCGCCTCTGTGACGTCCAGGCCTGATGGTGACGGATTGTCGATTGTTGTTTGAGGAGCTGACGTAGATCGATTTCAACAATCCCGCCGTAACAATGTGCAAAGGTCGTGATATCCGTCTGTTGAGTGAGATCCACCATCCAGGGCACTGAACCACTCTGTGCTGCCACCTTCGCCGCCTGATCCGCAAGTTCGTTTCCGTGGATGTTGCTGTGACCTTTGATCCACACCACTTCGACCCTGCCTGGCCGAGATTCCACAGCCTGCCAAAGCACCGCCCAGATACCCGCATATGTACTCCTGAATCGCTTCCTCGGTAAGGTGTCCCGACGATTCTTCACCAGGCGACTATACTGTTCCACCACTGACTGATTGTCCAGCTTGACCACAATGTCCTGTTCCGGTGGTGCTGACAAGACTGCGGCTAATAAGCCCATGAGCTCGGCCTTAGCCGAGGATGCGTGACCGTCCGTTCGTCCTTGTACTGTCAGAGGGTTGTCCTGAGTGAGATCCACCACTCCAAAGGCCTGGGATACTTCTAGCGTTCCCGAGTTCAGAAGAGATCCGTCAGAGTACAGGACGCGAGGGGTAGAGTTGTCGACGTGTGTGTCCTGAACTACGCGCATTGACGCCGCCTCTCCTGGAGACAGGCAAAGGGGGCCGATCTGTGTGGTCGGGGGTCCTGGTACAGGCGGTGGTTGGACTTGATGGCGTTCTTGCAAAGGAAAGCTAGCATCTGTGTCAAAGGCTGGTCTGTATCGTGGTTTCGTTTCCTTGAGGCTGGATAGGATCTCTTTTAGGCGAGCGACGACCAAGCGGTGTTGTTGACGGAGTGCTTCCTTTTCCTTTTTCTGCTGCAGTCTCCTTGGATCGCCAAGGAAAAGAAAAAAAAAAGGCTTTTTTTTTTTTGTACACAATTTTATTTCTCTGTAGAAGAAAAAAAAAAAAAAAAAAAAAAAAAAAAAAAGGCATCGCCGTTGGCGCAATTTATCACGTGATTAATTAGCAAAGGTGACTGAGAGCACGTGATATGACTGCTTCTGAGTTGTTATGTCACTAAAATAGTTTTTAAAATCTCAGTAAATATCTGCCCGGCTAGCTCAATCGGTAGAGCGTCAGACTCTTAATCTGAAGGCTGTGGGTTCGACCCCCACGTTGGGCGCTTTCATACGAAGCATCTTCTTTTTGCTCCCTCCAAGTTTGTTTTTTTATGGTATTGTGCTTGACAAGGCTTTCTTTGCGGTTTTCTTTATTATTATTTTTCATCAACGTCTTGGCGAGAGAGGAGTGAATGCTGCTGGTCTGTCAAGTAAGAAATACGATACAGGTACAAAGAAGGAGATTTTCCATTGCAGTTTCACATCGAGATGTGGGGCCTGATATTGGTCTGGAGTGGAGGAACAAGGATAGAGCCTTTCAAATAAAGACGTGCAGAAGTTGTGTTAGCATGAGAATAAAAAACAAACATTCATGCTAACACTACAAATAAACAATACAAGAACCCTTCAATATCTGGTCACTGATGAGGTCCTTCGGATCAGGACTGATGCCTTCGGAATTATAGCAGGATCCAAGTTGTTGGTGGTAACTGGTAGTTGCAACCATGAGGCGAATGGATGGAGTATCTTGCGCTTGTCAGACTTGCGGTGTTTGTCCGACTTGAGGTTCGAGTATCCGGCAATGACAATTGCCACAGCGGCGTTAGAGTCCCGTCCACGAATTGAGTATCCGAACTTGAAGGCCTCGCATTCGGAGTTGGTGCATTCAACGAGAAGCGACTGACTCTCAGTCGCTTACCTTCAAAGAGACATGCCTGGTCGGAGAGGGAAGACGTTCCCCCTCCCCTTCAATAGCAATGTTTGCGACATACCTGAGCAAGTGGGGGGTTCAGCGAACAGCGACAGAGGGTTCGTAGAAGGCTACAATGCCCTCCCCTCTCTGGGCATGCATCTCGCCGACCTGCTCTCAGACCCAAGGTATGAAAGCCCTTTTGTTCTTCTAGCGTAGAGTAATGTTATACTTGTTTTCGGTCTGCAACAATGGGATATTATTACTTACCAAATGATAGCTTTCGCGTGAAAAGGCAATTGAGAATTGACTTAATCGTAACGTTGCCTGTTCCTGTTACCTCCGTTAATTGTTTTCTGACCGACCCGAACAAAGTGCAATGGAGAAGAGAAGAGAAGAGAAAATGCTCTTTTTCAGTCAAGTCATGGTATGATTGTAAGAGCAAGTTCGTCATTTGTGTGTGTCTTCCCGTTTGTGTACGCCCTCCACCATCGAAGAGCAAGCATGCCATAAAATCGACTCAGCCCAAACGCGAAAATTTCCTTTTTTTGCTTTCTGTGTGAAGAATCAAGGCTGCCTACCTGATAAGCAGTTTGTATTTAAGGCGCGAGACCTTCTACCCCATTCGTGTTTTCTCTTTTTCTCATCTCTATAGCTCTTTCTCTTTTTTCATAGCAAACAATCTCCTCTCTTTCTCTTTCCTTCTCTTACTTACCCTCTCTCTCACACTCTCACACTCTCTCATTCTCTGTCTATCATAACTCATTCAACAAAAACTAAAATGCTTCGCGCTACTGTCACCAAGTTTCCCCAACTCACCTCAGCTGCCACCGCCTCACCCCTCCTGGCCAGAACCACTCGCATGGTAAGCAACATAAAAAAACCCTCAGACTTTTATTGCTGTCATGCTCGCTACCAGCTTTCAATCCAACGACCAACGTCAACAGAAAAAAAAAGCGCATGCTTTTATACACACTTCGCGTACTCATCATCTACGCATCCCTCCTCCCTCGCCGATTCCTAGGTCCCCGCGGTTGGCTCTGCGCGCATGATCCGCCGATCGTTCAACAGCAACAACAGTGGAAAAAGACAATCCCTGCCCATGAACACGGTATATTTTTTTGATTCCTTTCTTCTTGGAGAATGGTAACCCACACGCGTGGAAATAAACCTTTTTTCTTCCGTCCACTGCGACACGCCCACTAATCTTCTTTCATGCATTGACTCCTACTTGCCCATAAAAAAAAATAGGTGATCAAGTTTGTTCCTCAGCAAGAAGCATGGATTGTTGAGCGGATGGGTCGATTCCATCGGGCTCTGGAACCAGGTCTGCAAGTCTTGATGCCTATTATTGATCAGGTCAAGTATGTCAAGAGTCTCAAGGAGGTTGCCATTGAAATCCCTAGCCAGCGTGCCATCACTCAAGGTATGAGAACAAGGAGTTTCTACCATGCCGTCTTCTTCACATCATTATTTTTTGTTTCGTCACACATTTTCAGCCTTGATTCTGTCGCGCTCTGTGGGTTACTCCCGCTAATATTTCTAGTCCTTCAACATGGTGAACATAAAATAGACAATGTGACACTGGACTTGGACGGAGTGCTCTACCTCCGCGTTGTAGACCCCTACAAGGCCTCCTACGGCGTCGAGGACGCAGAATTCTCAGTCTCCCAACTGGCTCAAACAACCATGCGTGCCGAGATCGGTCTCATGACCCTTGACCGCACCCTTGCCGAACGTGCCCACCTGAACTCCAACATTGTCGAGGCTATTAATGGCGCCGCGGCAGATTGGGGGATCCGCTGTTTGCGTTATGAGATCCGTGATATCCACCCTCCTGCTAAGGTCGTTGAGAGTATGCACCAGCAGGTCTCTGCTGAACGTACCAAGCGTGCTCAGATCTTGGACTCTGAAGGTAAACCATCTCCATCCCTCGCTCGCGTTTACATATTTGTTTGATTTTATGCGACCTGTGGTGAACCCTGACCTGGCATGCTAATAATCTAATGCTCGACTCACCCCTCGCTCCAAAAAAAATAGGTTCGCGTCAAGCAGCAATCAACGTTGCAGAAGGTCTGAAGCAATCCGTGATCCTGCAATCAGAGGCCAACAAGGCTGAGCAGATCAACCAAGCCACCGGCGAAGCAGAGGCAATTCTCCTCCGCGCCAAAGCAAACGCCGAGGGCATCTGTCGTATTGCCGAGGCCATCACTAACAGTGAGGGTGGACACCATGCGGTCTCGTTGACGGTTGCTGACAAGTATGTCGATGCCTTCTCCAAGCTCGCCAAGGAGAGCACTACCTTGATCCTGCCAGCTCCTGCCAGTGATGCCTCCTCCATGGTTGCTCAGGTAATGCACCCACGCCTTTGAGCCTGAGTACTGTTGTCCCACTGACTGGTGTTATCCTCGACGACAATGTGCTGACAATCTCTCTTTTTCCTTTCTCTCGTCACTGCTAGGCGCTTACCATCTATGACGGTATTACCAAGAAGCGTGGTGTCTCTATTGACCAAGCCGCTCATCAGAAATAGTCTCATCCAGTTGAACGCTACATCCTTTGTCTTTTTGTCTTGCCTCCTTTGTATCCTGTACCTCGTTCATGGAATAAATCACACGTTTCATTTAATAGCCTAGTGCCATTCTTGAAAGTGTTGTTCCTTGATGTGTTTTTTATTATTTCGAACTCTGAAACGCATCCGCTTGAACAAACTGTCTACTCGCAACGCCTCCATCCAAAGTGTTCGCCATCCATGCTTTCTTTTTTGGTGGTTACTACTAGGTTTTTGTTGTTTCTTCCTTTTCTGCTGAAGATATTGGTCGATGGCGAGTTGCGAGTGTGAAGTCGGGTGTGTAGGTTGAGTACGGCAGGATCATCCTCGCCTTGGACAGAGCGCGGTTATGAGAACCAGCGATGACCGCACGCCTTGTTGCAACAGATGTAGTACAAGGTCATTTTTGTCTCTGCGCTGTTTCCTTGCGCTTGGAAGAAAACTGCCTCCTCGTGTCCGCACTTGCTGCATCTCATCCTTGTTCTTGGCTGTTATCAAGGCCATCCCGATGAATAGTAAACGAGGTTCCAGATTGAATCCAAGGTAGTTGTTGAGTAGTCCAGGTGCGGTGTTGTTCGTGTGAGTGTGAAGAAAACGGTAAATAGCAGTTAGTATAGTGATACTCTCTGGCTTGTTCATGCCTTGCTTCAGTGCCTGCACCTATGATTCGGCGCAGCCATGAAAAAGGCAGTTCCACATACCAAAGTCGGATCCGTGCTCAAGTCCTGGACAAGAAGAGTTTGTTCGCTAAAAGGTCGAAACGAGCACAAGTTATAAGTTGTATGAGTACTCGTGTTGTCTTCCTCCTGGTTATCCAGTTACCTCATCATTATCTTTTTTGTTGCTTTCAGTCCAACACATACGCTGGTGCATGGACGATTTCGTTTCTGTAGACACACTGGTTGTCAGCCTTCTCCTGGTAATCACAATTCCGGCAGGCGAACATCAAGCTCCGTCCTCGAACATCAGGGTTCGACCGGTCTTCTCGTGGGTACAACAAGTTGTTGCTGTAAGAAGGCACAGAGGATAAAAGAAGAGAAGAGAAAAGAAAGTGGGCGTGTCAGAAAAGACGAAGGGGGCCTTTTTTTTCTCATGCGCCGGCCAAAGCGCGATCGCCTCTTGTGATGGGATCTGCGTTTGCGTTAATGCTCCTTCCTGGACCATGAGCAATCCTCCTGCCGCCTATCATTCTGTCCTGATGTCGACGCTTTACTTTACCATTCTGAGCAGTAAAGGAAAGAAGGCATTGTAAGAGAGTCTGGTTGAGTCCTGAGGCGGATGGTAGCAGGACTGAGCGAATGATGGTGGAAAAGAAGAAAAAGTAGCAACGAGTGGGAAGAAATAACTAAAAAATCAGTGGCAATGTCGACGTCACCTTGTTTTTAATTTGATTGGAAAAAGGGCGAAGGCAGAAGTAGATGTCCTTGTGCCAACTGAGGATACAAGGCGTGTATTCATGATTATCGTTGATAACGACGGACATGGCATTAGTAGACTACAGCGGGGTTCCCGCTCGACTGGATGATCTTTGTGCCGGTTGCTCAAGGTTCTCTATTAGGCGAATAATTGGTCACCCTGCTTGCCTGACGGGATGTGTGTTGAGCTTGTTCGATCTCAATCCACAGTTGGACACCCAGAATAGCGACGGTTACAAGCTCCAAATTAATTGCGTTAAAACCACAAGAGAAGCAACATAAAAAAAGAAAGAAACAAGAAGGGAGACCGATGGGTGTGCTGACAGATGGTGGTATGGGGAGCGATTCTATTTAGTAATCTTTTTTTTTGTCCCACTGAAAGAGAATGAGACAAGGTTCAGCCCGTTGTTGCGTTTCTGTCCTTTTGGACATACATAAACACGCCTGAGTCGCTCCAGTCGACCCAACCCCAACTGTCTTCCCTCTTTGAACGCTTTTATCTTCCCTTTTTGTCTGCCCTTCATCATCTCGTTTCTTTTCTTCCTCTTTCCTTTTCCTTTTTCTCATCCCTTCCTCCCTTCTTCTCACAACTCCACCCAACTCATCCTCAAGACCAAGAAACATACCCGAACAGATTACAGACAGACGACGGACTCTCACATACTTCAGACCGCCTGACAAGTGCACCATGGACATCCTCAACTCACCACACATCCCTCCATCGCTGATCGGGGCTCTCACCTTCTACCCATTCCTGTTCACAACGCTCGGACGGATGCAGGCTGTCAAGAACATCCTCCCGCCCAAGGCAGACACCCAGAAGCAGTACCATCTCTGCAACAAGATTGTCGCCTCGGTCCACTCGACCATCATGACCTGCACAGGGCTCTACCTCCTCTTCACCGTTGACTGGTCCAAGAACGATATCTCAACCTACAAGACCGCTCTTACGCCCTTCCTCGTCGGACTCGAGCTCGGATACCTCACCCAGGATACGGCCTTTGAGTTCTACCAGCGCGCAAAGTTCGGCGTCGGTAGCAACTTGATTCTCTTTCACCACGTCTCCGTCATCCTTGGATCCGCCTACTACCTCTATGCACTCACCATCAACAATCCCGGTCCTTACTTTATCGGAATGTTGTCGCTCATGAACATGAGCACACCCATCTTGCACTTCCGTTGGGTTCTCCAGAGCAATGGCAGGACATTCGTCAACTCGAGACTCAAGCGCTTCATCGACACTGCCTTGATGGTCACCTACTTCTGGTGCAGGATCTTTGGTAACTGGTGGATGGGCGTCGCCATTGGCACCAAGCTCGGTATGACCTGGTACGAAGCACCTTTCCACATCGGCAAAAAGTTCACCATTACCACCACCACCATGTTCTTCATGAACGTCGTCTGGTGGCTCATCCTCGCCAAGCAGTGGCTCCGTTCCGTCAACTCCTTTTACTTTACGAAACAGGTCGTCAAGAAGTCCGAGTAGAGTCAAAGGCCTTTTTTCTCTTCTTTCTTCAAGTTTTGTTGTATCCTACCACTTTTAATCCCTTTCATTACTCCCCTTTTTCAACCTTTGTACACACTCTTCCTTCCTCTCTTACTCTTACTCTATCCTACCCCTTTTCTCCCAACCCCACAGAAATAATAAAGTATAACCGATGCATAAATACCTCCTAAAATGAATTGAGGTGGAGACAAGAAAAAATTACTTTGGTCACACAGTAGGAACGTTCGCTTCATCACATTCCACAAACAACAGGGGGGCAATGGAGAGAGAGGTGGAGTAAGGACATGTACTGTGCCGCGGCACGTGTGTATGGCTGCTGCTTGGCATTCAAACGTCAGAGGGTGTAGCTATCTGGTGCTGTTGTTGGCTTTTTTTCTGATTGATTCAATTGCTCGAGTCTTCGCCTTCCCTTTGTTCATTCAACACACATTGCGGATGAGACAACCTGTCTTTGTTTTTAGACACACTTTTTTTTGCGCATGAGAGCGACAGCCAAGACATTACAGCCTCATGCGTGATGTATGATGTATGATGTCGGGGTTTTTTATGCCCCGCTCCGTAATCAGAGAACAAGGACTGCATGCGGTTCTTGTTTGCTCGCTTGGTAGCAAGAAGATATGAAATCAACGGACACCCCTTTGAAAGAGTAGCTAAAGGGGAGAGAAGAGGTGGAGACTAGCCCTTTCACAATTGGTACAACTCCTATTCGACTTTTTGATTTGAAGATGTTGGGGTGAAATGACTATTGATCAGAACGCGTAGTAAGGAAGAGCCTGTTGCAAGAGTTCACATCACAAGATCGCAGCTTCACCACTCGCACGTTACCCGAGGGCCAATTAAACTCGATGAAAGAAAGAGCGGCCTAGGAGCGGCAAAACATTAAACGCCTTGCAAGAAAGAAGTAAAGATAGACACGGCAAACCGTAATCCATACGGTACGAGTTATTATCAGTATATAAAAAAGGGCAGGATATTCCCAGAACCATGAAGGTGAGAGTAGCCAGGGCGGTTGGGGATGGGCATCGCAATCAATCGATTTTGAACCGACCATCACCATTAGCTTAGCAAAGTCAAGATGGATGATGAAGGATATTCGAATGCAAAGAAAGAAAGAGCTGTTGAAACGGAATTGGGCCTTTTTCCTACGGATAAAAATACAATTGCTGAAGCCATCGTCCTCCTTTTGCATCTTCACTCTTCCTTTCCTCATCACTGCATACCTTTCGCCCTCACTTTTGTCTTTTTCTTTTTCTTCTTCTGTCATCACACTCGTATCGACAACACTCTTGATCTATCGTCGGCATCAAACAACAGGAACAACACATAGCAATGGACCATTCACTGAGCAAAAAGTGTCGTCTCTTTCTAGGCATACTGCTCGCCTTTACGAGCGTCACCGTCACCGATGCCCACATTTCCATGATATACCCATTGCCAAGAGGACACCCCTTCAACCCCAACACGTAATAACCTGGCTTTACATCATGTCTTTTCTCAACCAGGACAGCCTACATATTTCTGCCAAGGCAAGCTGTTAACGACTGAATTCTATTGTACATTAGTGGCTTTGTTGACTACAACTGCAGAGATGCACCACTCTACGACGGCTGTGGCGGAGGCATCGGCAAGACGTTTCCATGTGGAGGCTACCCACCAGACAAACAAGTGGTCCAATCCTTCAATGCTGGTCAGGTCATCAACGTTCGTTTCGGCAATGCTCAGTTTGGTTCCGACGGTCAACCTCAACTTACACCTTCATCCAACCAGGCGCGCCATGCTGGCGGCCTGTGCGAGTTCAGTTTGAGCTATGACCAAGGAAAGACGTTTGGTGTCTTTGCACGGTACCATGGTTCCTGCCCGGATATGTATTACGACTGGCCTGTCAAGCTGCCTGAGAACTTGCCTTCTTGCGACAGCTGCATTTTTGGTAAAAAAAACGCCACTTTCTCTCTCTGTACTTTTTGACGTGATAAAATGCGACCGCAATATCACTGCCCAGAAACTAAGCAATCAACTAACCGTTGTCAACTGATCAATAGGCTGGAGCTGGATCAATGCAGCGGCGACACAAGCAGAGTTCTACATGGGATGCGCGGATATAAAGATTGTCGGCAAGTCTGGTGGTGCCGGTGGAGTGCTGCCTCCCGAGATTGCAAACACGCCTCTTCGACTAGCCAACATGCCTGGACAGTCGTACTACCGTGCCGCTGGCGATCAGTTTGGCAACGCAAAGAGCAACGGACCCAACCAGGCAGAAGTCGATGCCAATATGCGAAGTGCTACCGGTGGAACGGACTCGTCCTTTCAGGCAAAGTATAATAAGCGAAAGAGGAGTGCAAGGACGCGTCGTGGCCACTAGAGCTGATCTTCTTGTATTTGACGGTAGATAGTCATACTTCCATATGTAATACATATGTATCGATCCATGCTTGTCTGTCGCTTTGCTGTTTGATCTCCGCGATGGTTGTTGATTGTTGGCACACAAGTGTGAGTTGCAACTCCTACGATCTAATTCCGTTCGGTGAATCGCCATTCCTTCTTTTCATTTTTTTTTCTATATGAAAAGTTTTCGCTGGCGCTGTTTTTTGATCCTTCAACTTTTTTATTCTTTGATCAGGAGCACCACACGCAGAATCGCATATTGAAGCATCACATTTCTACGACGACTGGCTACTTGGATTCCTCTAGGGGAACTCCTTGTAGACCTCGACCCAAACACAATTGAAATGCTTTAGGGAAAGTCCTCGGACCCGAATTGACAGAAAGTGTCGCCAATAATTTCATTACTGGTCAAGTCCAAATCCACAAAAGATGGATCTGTTATGTTTTGGGTGAAGATTCTCTCGCAAGAGGGATGAATGCTCCTCAACGGTCTCGTTTTTGTGGTTTGGCGTTCGTCATGGTTACAGTCATGCGATTGCGGTTGTCCTCTTTGTATGAAGAGGATGATTGTAACTCAACGGGGCTCACTCGCGAACGTGGTCTCCTGCTTCAAAGAATCTACAAAAAAGTTTTTTTTTTTCTTTTTCTCTTATTACTTAAACAATATTCATAATGGGTGGTGGTTGGGATGTAGGATGGGTATGCACAGAAGGCAGAGAGAGAGTGTAAGGATAAGAGAGCGGTGTAGGGATGTATACAAGCACCAAGGCCGTAGGAGTGATGCCTTTATCATCAAAGGTCAAGACTACAGCCCTTGGGTGCACAAGAGGATGTTGATAGAGTCAACAACAGACGATCGGAAGAGGAAGTGCTCTTGTCTGCAGCGGGTGAATCATGTTCTTTGTCGTTGACGTTGTTCTGATTTTTCTAGTCAGTCTGGACTGGTCGGTTGTTGCAGCCATGGCAGATTCAGATACACAGACACACATGGGAAAAATAATAAACATTTTCGTTATCATTCTTCATATTTCTGTCCTTGTAGCAACCATGCATTCTCTACTTGACGATGAACGATACCTAGGACAGACATGAACACTTGCAACGATCGACACTTGCGTGGGCAATGATACGAACAAAAGAAGAAAGAAAGAGGCATTTAGTCGACTCTACTCTTGGCGCGCTTCTTTTGGAAACGATGCTACGTTTTGCTTTTGTTGCGGAGAGGAACATGCACAGGTTGCGTGGGCGTGGGTGCACAGAACTCTCGACTCTCGCCGTCGAATGGCGAATGGTGAATGACAAGAGGAGAGATAGCAAAGGCAATAAACAATCAACAAAAGGTGTGCGTGTGAGCAATTAACCAAACGCACCACGTTTCCCACCGACACCAGACTCACTTCTTTTCCTTCTTTACACCCACTCATTCTTTTCTCCCTCTCATCATCTCTCGTCCTTCACTCATCCCAGGTCTCATTCATTCACTCAACACTTCCCCTTATCTATCTTCCTCATTCCAACTTGCCTTCTTTTCAACACACTCGCACAGGAAAACGTGTGGCGACGCGAATTGAACGAACCCCTTTATCTTTTTCATCTCTTCTACTGTCCTTCCCTTATCCCGCTTTTCCGCCGCCGTTGAGCCGTTTTGAACGACCATTATCATGAGTTTCACGGTGCAGACAAGCCTGGACACAAAGGTCCCCAACGTCATTGAGCTGTTGGGACCGGCAAGTGCCACGGTTGTCCATGATATCTCGGGCTCGCTTCGCCTGCAAGTTCAAAAGGCTGTCCAGCTCAAGCAACTCTCTGTCACGTTTGTCGGAGAAGGTGTGCATACCCTCTTGCCTTTATTTGTTGCTCCGCCCAACACATGAGAAAGACAACGTGGTTATCTCAATTGACTCAGTCGGTACTAACTTATACCTGTATAACCCGTAGCATTCGAATCGGCTACCATGAGGACAGTCAAGAGCGAACCTATCACCCTCCACCGCATTGAGGTCCAGGCTATCAAAACAGCGACGCTCTACCAACCCGGGGACTACACCATTCCCTTCCAGATATCTATCCCGGGAAACATTTCGACAACAGACTGTTCACTGTTAAAGGCGTTCAGCCTTATCTGGGGCTACGAGCTCATCACGGTGGCGGTGCCCTCATCTCTGCTTGGTCGCCGTAAGACCATTCGACAACCGATCACGTTCAAGCGACTGCTCGTCCCACAATCCGATCTTTCCGACGCACGATACTCGGCAAAGCGACCCAACGAAATCGAGTGCTCGATGTTAGTGCCAAAATTCATGAGCACCACCGACACGAAGATCTCAGCCAGAGTCTTTATGCATCCCCTCAATTCAGCAAGCAGGGTCAAGAGTATCGTTGCCATGGCCATTCAGCAGGAAAAGATCCAAATGACTAATAATAACATAACAGAAGGGGTCTCAGCGAGGTAAGGCAATCGTCTTTTTCACGCGTAATATGTCATTGGAATGCAAAGCGTCGAATAGAAGCTGACTCCATCCGTTCCCTCCGAAATTGTAGTGTTGCGGGCATTGTGGAGGACATGAATCCCATGATTTCATCGGATGCCGCCAAGACCTTCAGCAATACCGTTACACTTACAAATCCGGACCAGGAAGAGTTCTCGGCGGCCTGGGGGCGGGAGCACCCTGTTGAGCTGGACCTGGACATTCTCTCCAACGAATTGGTCGCGACGGAGACCCTCGACTGGGTCAAGATCACACACGGTGTTCGCTTCACGATCGAGTTTGCCGATTCGACTGTGCGGAACCTGGTGGTCATGGCGCCCATTCAAGTCGGCAATGTCCTGGACGAGCCCTGGTCACTGCAGGCAGAGCCCGATGGCAGCAAACCCCCCGGTTATGGGGACGAAGAGTCAGTTCTCCTTGACTCCAACACGAGTCGTGTCAGTCGTAACGAACTCCATCGAGCACTGTATCCTGAGCGCGTGCCACTTGTTCCTGACCTTGTCGATGACATGCCGCCCATGTACGATTACGAGGACGAGAAGCAGCCCATACCTTATTCTCAATGCTGATGAAACCTTCTCCACCCACAGCGTACATCCGATGCTGAGCGGTCTTAGTTCCTTCACCCAAAATACCCAGCTGTCATGGTTGATGTTCGCGCTGTTCCCACTGCTATGCTAGCTGTGCTCGGTCGTATCTCTCCCCATTGGACACTGCCTTCAGTATTAATAAACGAACACGGAATGTGAGTTTTCCCAAATTGTCAAGAACGAGTGCCTGTGATGTTGGGCGGTGCAAGTTGTTATTGTTATTACCCAGAACACAAAATAAAAGTGAACACGAAATGATCAATCATACCCAGAAAGTCTCCATCCTTGTCAATGGTAAAAAAAACTTCCTTCTTCATTCTCCTTGGAAATAGTATCCTCCTGTTTTTTTTTCATCGTGTCGTGTGATGAGAAAGGTCGTCATCGCCTTTTTTGTCGACTTTTTGTTTGCCTGCTTTTTTTTGCCTTTCATTGCCTGCGTCCAGTGTGTCGACCTGGTAAAAAACAATACCCGCAGCTCTTGTGCTGCTCACACGCCAAGGGCTGAGTCTACTTATCTGTTCTGAAAATAAGAAATCTTTTGAAGGAGAAAGTACTGTACAGGGGGTGTCAAATGCTCTCAATAGGCTATGCAAAAATAACAAAAGGAAGAAAGAAAGGGAGAGAGACGGACGTTGGGTGGTCAGACAGGCTTGAGTGCTTGACCATGACGCACTGGGGGCACAGGAGGAGGCTAGACTGGTTGATTTGTTGTTGGTATTCATTTGAGGGCATTCACACAATGCAACCTTGAGTCTTCGCCAGAGAAGAGTTTGCCACGAAGTGAGCCGCAGTGCGCCCAGCATGCTATCCTTGTCATCGTACATCTTCGGGCGAAGTTAATTCCACGGTGTCGAATATAAAAAGGAAGGGGCGGGTTGCAATTTTCTTTTCTTTTTTTCTCATCAATCCACCTCTTCAACACTACTTCTTCACACCAGCTCTTCTTCCTAGTCTTTTCTTTTCTTTTCTTTCTTGCAACCAACATCAACACCACTCTCACACACCGAATTATATACAACATGGGTTTCACTTTTGACATTGAGCTCAATACCGAGCAGCCCTTCATCATTGACATCAAGGCCGATTCTCACCTCAGCCAGACCGTCGAAGGAGCGATTGTTATCCAGATGGACCGCGCTGAGCACTTCAAGGTTGCCACAGTTGGCATTCATGGACATGGTATGTTTATTAACCATCACTTCCTTTTCGTCACCTGCTCCCCTGCTCCCCTGATGTCCGATTTTGTTTTCTGACTTTATCTCTCTCGATCATATCATAAAAATAGTCGGTCTCGCTTTCCCCGACTCCACAAAGACCCCCGTCGTCTACGAACGTCTGATCGAAACCCACGCCGACCTGGTCGCTGCTAACGACGCCAACGGCAAGGGCCGTATTGAATTTGAGCACTCTGGCACCCAGCGCATCCCCTTCCGTATCGACCTCCCTCGCGCCCGCGACCTGCCCCCCACCATGATCAACCGCCTCGACACTCACGAGATTGACTGGAAGTACGAGATCCACGCAACCCTCAAGCGCGACTATATGTTATCTTCCACCCGTACCGTCAAGCACGAGCTCATCATCCGTCGACAGATTGTGCCCCGCACCGAGACGACTGCTATGTTGTCGGCTTCTACGGATATGCCCAAGCAGTTCCGGTGCAAGTTGACGGCTCCTTCTCGTGTTAGCATGGGTCAGGATAAGCTGAGGGCCACTGTTGAGATGAAAGCGCGGGATAAGTTGTACATGGTCAAGGAGATTGATTGTGCGATTGTCCAGACTGAGGAGATTAACTATATCACCAAGCAAGCCCATCCCACCGTAGAGAATGCGTAAGTTCCTCTCTTTTTCGATTTTTTGAGTTATCGTTTTGGTTGTCAGCTGGCTACACAAATATGAATTGAATTCCCCGGAAAAAAGAACGGCGAGGGCTCTTTGAGGCTTTGAGAGGGAAAGTGTATGGAAAGAGAGATTGCAAAGAAAGGGGCTTTAGTAGTCAATCTGTTCCAACATCACCTCGCATTGCATGGCATGATCCGACGACCTACCTTTTTCCTTTTCCGGATCGCATCCTTTTTTTTTTATTCCCCTTGATTTTCGCTAACTCTTCTTTCTCTCCTTTCTCCACCTCATTAGTCATTTTCCAGGAGTCCCATTCACAGTCAACGCCTCCCGCCTAGTCTCCGCCCACAAGAAGATCTCGAACGACGACAACGACATGGACTTTGGACGGGACAAGCCCATCAACATGGACATCCACCTCGACAACTTCCAGCTCATCCCCACCGACCGCGGTCTCTCCTGGCTCGATATCTCTCAAATCCTCCGGTTCACCGTTCATTTCATGGATGTCAACTTGGATCCTATCGTCACCGAATTGCCATTGTTTGTGGACTATGAAGATTTCTGTGCAGTCAAGATTGCAGAGTTGAAGGATGCTCAGCAGGACAAGTCGCGGTTGGTCGAAACTTTGAAGGTTGCCGGATCTGAGGATCATATCCATCATTCCATGATCAACGTTGCCCCTGATTCGCCTTAAGGTCGCTTTCCGCAGCCATCTTTCTTGCTTTCTTTTTTCTTCTCGTTCTTGATATCAACAGCCATTCAACCATATACCAGATACCAGTTCAAACGTAACCCAATAGAGTTCATAGACAATAAAACATTCAATGTATAGCATACACAACGTGTCCATGTGTGCTCTTTTGGATTTTTCAGTGTCGTCCTTCGATGTTTGCAAAGCGACATGCCTACTTTTCTCTCATTGTTTTTTGTGAGTATCGACTTTTTTGTAATATTATTTCGCTGACAAACTGTAATAGTAACAGAAGAAGGGTAATAGACAAGAGCAGGAGGCAGAAACGGATGGTGTTTATTGTACAGGGGAGCCAGGGTATTTATATGTGCTAGGCTATGGGCTCCAGGATGGTGGTGATTAGTTAGGTGGCGATGTGGTTAGGTGGGGATGTAATTAGGTGATAATGTGGTTAGATGGGACAGTGGTTAGATGATGCTAATGATCTAGGGTCACAACAGACTATGATACTGTGACACAAACAGCACAAAGGGAAATTGGAGGTAAATGGGCTACAGACCCGGAACCTGGTTCTACACAACAATTGTCGCTGCCCTTCACAGTTTTAAACGGACGACAAAATAAAATTAACGGGGATTCCTCCCTTCCTCTCCAATCTTGATAACCTCCTTCCTAACAAACTCTCCAAGAGCTGCTTGCGATTACCTCCGAGGCCTTTTTCGAGCGTGTTTTTTTTTGATTTTTTTTGAGCGTGTTTTTTTTTTTTTTCGTACACAATTTTATTTCTCTGACAAACAGCATAGAGAAGTCATTTGGAAGTAAAAAGGGGACTACAGACCAAACTCTTCAGTGCACCATCCACCAGTCGCAGTCCGGTCCAGGACCTGGCTCTGCGCAACAATTGTCGCTGCTCTTCACAGCTTAAACGGAAGAAAATAAAACTAGATACGAATGAAGGGGATTCTTCCCATCCTCTCCATCATTGACAACCTCCTCCTTCCTAACAAACTCTCCAACAACCGCTCGTCAGCAGCGCGTGGGTCCTTGGTCGCCCCAGGGCACCTTCCTTCACAATGTGTGGCTAGCGAAGCGCCACACGGACAGAAACCATCGTGCGTGATGTAACCGTATCCTTGACTCCAGTCACCTCGGGGGCCTGTGTACTTGGATGTCTTGTCCTTGGCAGAGATGCCCTGGCTTTGTTCCCACGCGATCGTCGCGGAGCACCGAGGTTTCCAGATCAGCTCCGAGGCCTGCGCCTCCAGGTAGCCAACAAACTTGTGAAGGACTGTCTTGGCGATGGACATTGGGGTCCGGAAGACCGCGGACCATTCAGTCAACATGCTCAAGGGGTGATGCCGCGGAGGAGATCCGACACATTCCACATCGGTTTCTCGTCTCGATCGGGAGCTGGACTACCGCTGTGCACGGCTCGAGCTCAACCGATGGAGGAAAATCCTCGCACATGATCCGCATCCGAAGGGGGCCACCAGTGTATGGGTACTGGCCTCGGTACCTGACGACCTCTGTCCACCGCGCGTTTGTATTCTCGCTTCCTGGCTGCGTTGTAGCTGTTTGTCGCCTGCACACCCCACTCATTAATCTTGCCCATGGCCTCCTTCCAGATCTCAGTGGTGGTCTCAGCTGCCGAAGGGCATTTCCAGACGTGATCGGTATCCTCCTTCTCGAGCTCGCATCGTCGGCACACGCATGTTGGGTACAGGTTGGGCTTGCGAGCCTGCATGGAGTTCAGAGTGGGCAGCATTCCATGCAGCTTTTTGATATGATGTGTGCGTTGGTGAGAGTCCTTGCTGTTGCTGTAAAAGGTGAAGACTGCGTGCCTGTTGTGGACATAAGCCAAGGTCGAGCCTCGGTGGCCCGGAAGTAAAAGGGAAACATTGGGGTCCGGAAGACCGTTTTTTTGAGCGTGGATATTGGTGGCGTCGGCAGCACGTGATATGACTGCTTCTGACATACCATGGTATCAAAAATGTCAAGAAACATGAAGTAACATCAGCCCGGCTAGCTCAATCGGTAGAGCGTCAGACTCTTAATCTGAAGGCTGTGGGTTCGACCCCCACGTTGGGCGCTATCATCTTTTGTCTCTCCAAGAGCGCTAAGTTCTTGACGGCATATTTTTGAGAATAGGCGTTTTTATTTTATTTTGCGTCTTTCGTGTGGCCAGTCTTTTCTTTTTTATGCTTTGTCAAAAGAGATCATGCTCGTGAAAAGAAAGTATTAATAATGGTTGCTTTTAATGCTAGCTACATGGTACACAATTGGTCGCGTGGGGTTGGTTGTAGAGTTGAGCTTGCACAGTTCAAGTTATCGAGTTGGGTTAGGCTGGAATGCCAAGTTTCTTTTTAGGGATTTGTTTGTCCCGCTGCCAAAATAAAATCCGTGTTGTGAGCAAACTACAGTATTTTCTCCATTGCGTTTTCATACGCGCATGATGAGACACAGTTAAGGTTCCCCGATGGATGGCGTATGATGTTGAGCTTGGAGAATAATAGATTACAGTACAGTGAAAAAGGCTGTTCTGGGCTCCAGAGGAAGAATACCTACCAGCAAGGATGAATCAGAGTGGGCGCACGTTCGTGTCTGTTTCTGTGATTCCTTTTTATCCGCCCATCCGAACTCTCCGGGGATAAAGTGTATCCGTATGTAAGAGAGAGGAAAGTCGAATGGTATCAAGTGGCACCGTTCGATTTCACAATGTGTACTGTACGTACTCGGTGTATGTGCGCCCGTGTACAAAAGAAGAGGAGGAAGTGTGGGCCAGGGGTGTTGTTTCTTGTTTTGAAAGGGTGCGACGACAAGAATAGAACGCCTTTTTCTTTTTCACTGAACTCCTCTTCTTTCTCCTCTTTTCTTTTCTTCTTCTGTTCCTCCGTCCGTCATTCTATTCCATCCCCTTTCGCACCACTTTTTGTTTATCATCCATCCACTCGTTCCGCTCTATCCCCTCCTCCACCTTCCTCACTCTTCCTGAAATCTTTTCACTCTGTCATAGTTGGACCATTCAATGTACAACCCATTAAAGAAACAACACCTCAAGACCACGGTCGTCTTTTCGGCCTTCTTGACCGCCTTTGGCTTCCTCCAGTTCTACCTCTACACCGACAGTGAGTCCCCCCTCTCTCTCCCTTGTCTTGATCCTTTCCTCTTCCTTTCTCCCCACTTCTCTCACTTCCAGTCGACAAACAAGCCCACAGTTCAACAAATGCACAATTATTATCACAACCAAGCAACAACAAATCACTGACAACCATTCCTTTTCTCTTACCTTCCCCACTCTTCAACGGAATGCTACAAAACCAATCTTCAACACCCAACTTAAAAAAACCCCCCCTTCACAGAAGAGTCAGAAAACATTCGCCTCCCACACTTCAGCGCCATAGAAGCCTCCTTCGAATCCCGTCGCCCATTAACAATCCCTATCACAATCGTAACAGCCGCCAGCGCGAATCATATCTGCGCACTCGAAGCCTTCCTGTACCATATAAAGACGACCCTAGATCAACTCGAGACGGATCCGAGGGAGGATCGGAGAAGGGGAGAGGAGAGGCAGAGGTTGAGTGGGGAGTATTTGGCGACGAGTCTGGATCTGGAGGATATTCGACCAAGAAAGAAGGTGCTTGGTGGCAAGAATCCTGGAGTGAGGAAGGTTGTCAAGGGTGGAGTTGAGGGTTTGGATCAGGATCAAGATCAGAAGGAGGAGGAAGGAGCAATGGTGAAAGTGAGGAGGAGGAGCAGCAGGAACGAACCACACAGCCGAAGACAGCTGGATGAGGGAGACGAGGATTTAGGCGATGCACAGGACGACAACGAAGTGCATACCGAGGAAGAGGGGGATGCAAACACACCCCTGGAAGTCGGAGGCAACCCAACCATCGAGGATCTGCAACAACAACAACAGCAGCAGTCAACAACAACAACAACACCAATCGATGAGTCTTCCTCCAACAACATCCCCGATCATGAGAGCTTAGGAGCAGGAGGAGCAGGAGAAACCTCAATAGAGTTCGAGATCCGCCCGACCGTGATCGTCTACAACATGGGCATGGGTCCCACAAAGAGGAGGAAGAGACGCTTCCAGGCCCTGGTCGAGGCCGATGGGCTTATCGACCAAGCGGTCGATCTCGATTTCCAAAAATACCCCGATTTCTGGCAACTCGGCACGCCGACCCGCGGAGAGTATGGATGGAAGGCCGGGATCATTGAGGAAGTCAGTCAGCGGGTCCTTGCTTCCCCTTCTTCTGGGATGTTGCCTCCAACCGATCTCCAACAGCAACATCCTGGATCCGCACCACCACTCTCCAACAACAACCCAACAACAAACTCTACAACAAAAGGACCCCGCCACGAACAAGGAATCGTCCTCTGGCTCGACTCAGGCGACAGGATCAGCGTGCCCTTCCTCCGCTGGCTCCCGAGCTTCCTCCTCCAGAACGGTATGTGGTCCCCGCAATCCCAGAGCGACATGCAGACATGGACCCACCCGGGCCTATTCAGCTACTACCACGACTCTATGGACAACTACGACCCCAAAGAATCCAACTGTAACGGCGCCGCCATGGCGTTCGATGTTCGGAACCATACCATGCGTGACGGAATCATGCGGGAATGGGTTCAGTGCTCTCTGACAAAGGACTGTATCGCCCCCGAGGGCTCCTCCCGTGCCAACCATCGTCAGGACCAGGCAGCTTTGACGTATTTGGTCAAGAGGATGGGGTATGGTCGGGAGCTTTGTCATGGGATGCCGGATGTTTATGGGATCCAAGTGAATCAGGACCGGTATTGTAATGAGGATATCGCTGCACAGCCGGATCGCGTCGTCTACAATTAGAAATAGCCAGCCAGCCTTTGCCCTTTCATTTTTTCACTTAATTAAAACATAATAGATGCAATGAGGTTTAATTTTTGAAAATGAAAAAAGTGGATGAGTAGGAAGAACTGGGTAACAGTATGCATGCAAAAGGTGAAGAAAAAGCAGAATGGTACAAAGTGCAAAAAATAACAGCGAAAATAGTAATAAAGAATCCTACAAAGGCGTCAAAAAACGCCCGTTTGTTCACTTGTGGGCACCACCACCGCTACTGCTTTGACTCCGCTCAACAGCCCCCGCCATCTCAATCAAGAGGTCAAATTCGCCAGACCGCTGGCACATGTTCCTAAAGATGCCTCCCTCCTCCTGGATCAGCTTCCAGGGGGTATCGAACTGGACAACCTGACCATGGTCCATCACCAACACCTTGTCAAAGTCGATAATCGTCCTCAACCGATGGGCAATCGTCAGCAGCGTCGACTCCCTGAATTCCTCACGGATTGTCGCCTGGATACGCGCATCAGTCTCGTGATCAACCGAGGCAGTGGCCTCATCCAGAATAATGATCTTGCTCTGCTTCAACAACGCACGGGCAAGGCCAATCAGCTGACGCTGGCCCTGAGAAAAGTTACTGCCGTTCTCCATGACTTCACTGTCGAGGTTGCCGAACGAGTTGGACTCGGCGCCATCCTCACCAATCAAGTGCACACGTCTCAAGGTCGCCCAGAGAGCTGCATCATTGTGCTCGTTGAAGGGATCCAAGTTGGTGCGGATGGTGCCGATAAACAAGACCGGGTCCTGGGGGATAATCGTCAACGACGATCGGAGGTCGTGGACTCCAAGAGTTGAAATATCGATACCGTCAACAGTGATCTTTCCTGCAGTCAACTCCATAAACCGGAAGAACGCCACAGCCAACGTCGACTTTCCTGCTCCTGTGCGACCAACAATACCAATCTTCTCCCTAGGCTTGACGTGGAAGGACACATCGCGGATGACTGGTGGGTCGTCGGGCGAGTACTGCATCACGAGGTGCTCGACATTGATCTCGCCGTTGTTGGGCCAACCTGGAGGAGGGCGGGCACCCTCAATCACTGCTGGTGGCTCCTGAGGCAAATCCATGTATTCACGGACACGCTCCACAGAGTTCATGTTCATCTCCATTTCGGAGTAGAGACGGCAGAGCCAGAGGATGTGATCGGTGAAAGTGAGGGAGTACGAGAGCGAGAGACCGGCAAGACCGGCATCAATGCTGGTGTTCATGATAATCAAAAGACCGGCAAAGAACGAAACAAGCGAACTGAGGACATCCACGCGGATCGAAAGCCAGCGGTTGCAGACCCAGAGGTAGAAGAAGGGACGGTTGTGTTCATCCAAGAGCTCGAGGTTCTCGTGCTGGAAACGCTTTTCGGCACCATAGGCACGGATTGTGGCTACACCAGAAAGAGACTCGCCAAAGTGCGAAAAGATGGGAGACTTGGTAATGGACTCGATACGTTTCAACTCACGCGAGGAACGGAGGTAGAGGTTGGCCATAGCGACGAATAAGATCGTGATAATAAAGGCTGGGAACAAGAACCTGGGAGTGATGACGCTAATGACAATAACGACAGTCAGAGTACCCAAAAAGTCAAACATCAAGTTGGACGAGATGGGCGCGACATCCTCATCAATGGTACCCATGTCTTTGGTGAAGCGGTTCATAATTCGGCCGAGGGGAGTGGTATCGAAGAAGCGGACAGGCGAGTTCAAAATCTGGGACAACAGGCGACGGTGGATCGAGCGGGAGGCGTCAATTGAACCCTTGTACTGGACCATCTGACGGCACATAATGGTGAAAATGTAACCGAACGAGAGGAGCGCGTAGATTCCGAGGTAGTAGTTCAAGTCGTGGATTTGCTTGTTGGGCTTGTCGCCGCCGAGGGCAGAGAAGTCGGTATAAGCGGAAGCTTCGTACAAGGCAGAGATGGGGCTGACAGGCTGGCTGTTATCGAAAATTTCTTGACGGCAGACACGCTGAGGGTGATTGCCAAAGTAGGTGTGGTCACCGCGGTACTGGCAGGCAAACGACATCAACAGACCAGAGGCGTTGAAGGCAACACCGGAGGTAGAGTCGGCATAAGAGGTGACTGAGGCAGTGGCAAAGGTGGCAGCGGCGTTGACATTGCCCCCCTTATCCTCAGAAGCGCCAGCCCAGAATCGGAGCCAGGTGTCAGCGGAAACTTGAGCGACCTGCATCAAGAGGAAAGCACTGGCGAGGAAAATCCAGAATGGAATGCCCCCCATCGAGCCGTAGTACATGCGGTACACATTCCAAGTGAGAGAGCCATCGGTCTTGCCCTCATCCTCCATAAGCTTCTTCCTCTCAACAACAGGGATGGTCGAGTCGGTTGAAGCGTCGTCAGTATGAGCCTTCTTCTTGCCAGCAACAGTCAAAGAAACAGTTGAAGATCCAGGAGCGCCATTGTCGTCTTCAGCATCCTCCAGTCCAGCAACAGTACGCTCCTCAGTAGGGTGGTCGTCCATGATCTGTTCCTCATTGGTTACGTCGTCGCCGAGAACACCGGATTCAAACACCTGAGTTGAGGTTCCGCTTGCAACAACAGATCCGTTTCTGAGGACAACAACATGAGCAGCACCGCGCAAAGTCAGCGAGACGGCATGAGTGACGAGAATACGGGTACGACCCTGCATCAATGGACCCATCAAGCACTTGGCAAAGAGCCACTTGGCGGTATGGGCATCCACAGCGGAAAGACAGTCGTCCAACAAGATGTGTCCAGCTCTCGAGTAAATGGCACGGGCCAGGGCAATACGCTGCTTCTGGCCTCCAGAGAGCGTGATACCGCGCTCACCGATTTCAGTTTGGTCTCCATGCTCCAGGATCTCAAAGTCGCGCTTAAGGGCGCACATCTCAACAACCTGATCGTAACGGCGCTGCTCGAAGGGCGATCCAAACAAGATGTTGTTGCGGACGGTGTTGTTTTGGAGCCAAGCCTGCTGGGCGACATAGGCGATCCCGTTGGTCAATCCAGTCACAGGGTTGATGTCGTGTGAGTCGCGGCGGGGCAAGAAGGCCTGACCCTTGACGGGGTTAATCTCGCCGAGAAGAGAGAGCAAGAGAGAAGTCTTTCCGCTTCCAGTGGGTCCAGTAATCACGGAGAGTTCGCCGACGGGGAATTCCAGGTTCAGATCCTTAAGCTCGAAGTGGTGTCCGTTCAAAGTCTCTCCGTTATCGTGAGCAGCGTTGGCAGCATCCTGTTCAGCCTTTCCAGCATACGAGAATGTGGCGTTCTTGAATCCGATAATGGGGTCGGTAGGCAAGTTCTTGCGAGGCTTGGCGGAGGCGTTGGCATAGACAAGAACCTCCTCTTCATCTAAGAAGCGGTCGATACGGGCAGCAGAGACCTTGCAGCGCAAGCACTGCGACAACATCTCGGGGAAGGCATCCATGGGAGCGCGCAGGACGTTGAAGAGGGCCAAGGCTGGGAAGGCGATCTCGGGTGTCAAGACGTTTCCTGCAATCTTGGTGTAGGTGAAGAATGTCATGATGGTGACGGTGACAGGGGTGCCGAACCAGAGGGCAGTGCCGAAGATCCACCAGGTAAAGCGACGGCGGAAGCGAGAAAGTTCGCGCTCACGTGCCTCGTCGACCTTGCGGTAGAAGTTGCGCTCCCAGGAGAAGAATTTGATGATGCGAATGGCCTGAAGAAGCTCGTTCATGAGCTCGGCACGCTTGTCCGTGGCCTTCATGAGGTCGTCCTGAATCTTTTCGACCTTGCTGGTGAGGTACAGATTGAAGGGGATGAAGCAGGCCATGGTGAGGACACCGGCCAGGGCGGACCAGCCCAGGATACGGTAGAGGAACAAGATGGCAAGGGTGATCTGCAGAGGGAGAATGTAGATATCCTGCAAGTAGGCACTTGCGTTCGAAATTTCCGAGGTATCCTATTAAATTTCCCACAACATTAGTGCGTGATGATCAGTCGTCTGATATTTTCATACTTCAGATCAGATCAGTTGTTAGATCAGAAATCAGTGAACACTGTCTTACGTTGGAGATCATGTTGTTGATGGCGCCAAAGGTGAACATCTCGTTGTCCTCATCGTCAGAGTCGGCATCGGGGTTCAATTCCTTCTGGGTCTGGCCAGCACGATCCTTACGGCGGAGAGCCTTGGCGTACACCTCACCGACAACAATAGACCGGAGCTGCATCGAGATACGGCGACCATGCCAGAGCATCTGCGACTGAGTAATAGTCGCAGCCAACATTCCAAAGAACATGCCAAATACGTAGACATATCCCCACTCGACCGAAATAGTGTCCCTGTTCTTCACAAAGTGGAGAATGCGCTCCAGGGCAAACGGACCGGCAAAGGAGAGGAGACCCCAGCAAATAGCCCAGACAACCTGAACAGACAGTCTCTTCTTGAAGTTGATGAAGAGGCGGATAATGAAAGGGTGATTTTTACGAGCGGCGAGAATGGATTGGCGGAAGTGGTGGATAACAACAGAGGAATAATCGCTCAGGCGGAAGTCCCAGATATCCTCGTTGTTCAAGGGGCGGCTGAATCCAAGGCGAATAAGAGGATCGGCCCAAGAGAACAAGGCCAGATCAACGACTGAAGCATAGGCCTCAGGGCAAGGAACGCGTGTACCAGGCTTAGCGACCAAGGCGCGGGTCGACTTGCCAGAGGTCAAGGCCAGAATTGTTAAGACAATAGCATCGGCAAAGTAGATCGAGTCTAGGATGAGCTCCAGAGTCGAAGTCCTGTGAATGACCTGAGAGCGAAGACGGAAGAAGGCGATGGGCAAGTTGATAATAAAGAAAGCCGAGAAGTGAGGAACGAGCGAGACTAATGGGTTGAGAGGACGAACAAGGTGAAGCACTGTCAAAGCGGCAATATAGGTCTAGAGACAGATGAGAGTAAAACGAGCGGGTTAGAACCAATGAACTGTCCTATGGTATGAGCGTTGACTCATCGCAAAGTAAGGTTGCCCATTTGAGTCGAGTACATCGAACAAATGAGGGCAAAGGAGTCGAGGCGCCAGTTTCGATCCATGGAGCCGTTGGATAGGTGCTGTGATAGCCAATAGCCACTGAACTTTGTGACCTGGGACGAGCGGAGATTCTTCCTGCGATCTCTCAACTCTACACCTTCTTGTCTGCCTGGTCCTGCAAGTCGGAAAAGCGAAAGGGCACCTTGTGTTCACACACTTTTGCTTGCTCGTGGGAAACTGCATTATGCAGCGTCGGTCGCTATTCGTCCTATCCTGTTGATTTGACGGTATGAATTCCTGAATGGTGTCCGTCGATGCATCCTCTCGTTCCAAATTGAAATGACGCAGAACACTCTTACCCAAGCAATGGTCGAGATCAAAGGAGTCAGATAAAGATAGGTGCTCTTGTCCTCGTTTGAGCGAACAATCAGCCATGTCATTGAGATTCCGAGGGATATCAAGGCAGCCAGGGTCTTCAATGCGTCGCGGAGAGTGATGTGTCGTCCGGATGGCACCTGACCGAGGCGCATATTAGATTCGACGGAGTTCAAAGGTGCATCATCCTGGTCGAGGATCTCCTGGTCGTCGATATCTGTTTCTGAGCCGTTGAGGTTGTCCTCCTGAGTTGAGATGGGCAAGTAGCCAGACTGGTCTCCTGTATGATTCTTGCGGAAGCGTTTGAAAATGACGGTCCCGAGGATGGTGACCAAGGACAGAGTGGCGAGTACGATTGGGATTCCTGCATCGAGAACACTATGACGTTGTGGCAGGATAGACAAACAGTGTCAGTCAGTATGGTCTTGTGAAGGTGTGTGTGACAATTGACCGAGACAGAAGGTAAAAAAAAGAGAAAGAGAGCGGGGCTATTATCCCAGATGAATATGCTGAACAACTGCGGGCTGAAGAAAAAACCTTCTTTGGCCGGAAGTTGAAACGCATTGGACGAACAAGAGTGCTCAAACAGGAGCTCATCAACCAGACCCAATGTGCGAAGAGGACAAGTAGTACAAAGATGGAAACGATCCCAGAAGAAAAAATGTTTCTCTTCATCGTTGCTCCTGGTCCATGCACCCTTCTCACTTCGGATTATTATTTTGTTAATGAACACAAGCCTAGGGAGTAAGGCGGTAGGTTACGTTTGATGGAAGCACGGAGTAAAGTCATTGTCGATCCACGGTGCCTAAAAGACAATATAAAAGAAATGGCCGGAAAGGGAGATGAGTCGTGAGGGTCGCACAGAGAGTGAGCGCACACAGTGTGCAAGTGTGTTCGTTTGTTCGTCGGTTGCTTGTTTGTAACAAAAGCAGAGAGAATGAGGGGAGTGTGTACCTCTGAGGAGTCGTTTCCGCATAGCCGCGCCATGGGGCCAGGAGCGACGATCATTGTGAAGAATGAGAGTCGAGTTCTTGGTTGGAGAAAACGAGAAGAGGGACGAAGGAGGGAGAGGTCAGGGAACGAAGGAAAGGAAAAGAAGAACGTGAAGAAAAGAAAAGAAAAAGAAAAGAGGACAAGTCAGTCAAACGAAGTACGATTGTCTTAACTACGGCTATGGGAGTGAGGAGGGAAAATGAGCGCCTCCGAAAAATCTTCTTGTGCGCTCTGTTCGCTCATCGATAACACACAAACAAAGCAAGAAAAAAAAGGAGATCGGAGCAACCCTATTTCTTTACAAGTACCTCCAACTGTTGGATCCCTTGGAGACAGTTTCTTCCCATCATGAATGGTTGTCTGTCTGGTTATTCCATAACCTATTGCTACCTAAAAAGGATCGGTCTCCCCCTTGCGCATTCTGCCGCAGTTTTCCTCCGTGTGTGCAGGAGTCTTCGTTTATTGCTCTTACTATCCAAGTCGTGTCTGTCTCGATTGTGCATATATACATGCATCCAAGAAGTACTCCAATCGGTTCGTGCATGTGTTTTCTCAAATTTCAATTGCTTGCTTGTGTGTCAATTGACGCCCATCAGTGGTCCTATGAGGTCTAGATCACGGGTCCCTTACTTCAATGGTTAGAATGTGTGTCAATTGACCCTCCTCCTCATAAACTCTGTCAACGTTAGTCATTCTGTCTATTGCTTGTTGAGATTGAACGAGCGACGGCGCCAAACTTGAGTTATTCTTTCTATTTTTCATTTCTCTGCGGACACAGAGCTCATGACGATGTGGCGCAAAATGTTATATCCATTCGGGACAGCTCTAGAGGCGCAGTATGCGAGAAGAGGACTCTCCCTATTGTAATAAACTAGTCGCGTCCTGACTCACTGCCTGTGTTCCCCGTAGCTATCGAAATGCTTGATACGCTATGAGTGAAGGACGAAACGCTTTTTTTTTTTTTAAAATCTGTGGGATTGAAAGGAAAATGATAAATGAAAATTGGTGGCGTTTTAAGCTAGTGACAAAGCCACTGAATTCTTGAGAGGAAGATATTAACTTCTGTCGGGCAGCGATTCATTGATCCTCCTCTATTTTATTTCTGTGCGTAATGACAGTGTGACAGCGACAAATGCATATATATTCAATCCCATCTGACGGATACCACCCATGGGTCGATAACAACCCATCCATCCATCCCATCATGGCGATATCGACCATACTGGCACCATCTACAGCTGCTCGTAACTGTCTCATCAACCGCCGTGTTGCAATGCGGACAAATATACTTCTCGGGACTCGGAACTTTTGAACCAGATGGCTGCAGGACTCTCAAAGTGTCTCATGGACTCCATTACGACCAGGATGAGTCTTCACAAACCCATCTTGTCTGGAATGAGCAAGTTTTGACACGTAGACGCCGGGCGTTTTTGATGAGAGAACAGGACCACTCTGCGTGGACAGGAACCAGCAGTGAAGGAGCAGCCAGTTCCATATACAAGTAGTTTTTCAGCTTACCGACCTGCATACCACAGTTATGCCCAACAAACAGCTGCCGCTATCTCACTCGGGATACTCCAGATATGCAGCGACCGGCAGTTTCGATCCAACAATAACAGCATAATCAGGAGCGACTATGCCCAATACTCGCCAACCTTTACCTCTCCACCCATCCTCAAACCTCAGCGAGAACAAAGGAGACTAACATGGAACGATATCTATCCTTTTTCTCTCGCGTTTGCAGGACACAATGAAGGATATCTACAAGGAAGAGATTCTCGCTATCCCTGAGGGCGTCAAGGTCGAGGTCAAGGCTCGCCAGGTCACCATCACCGGTCCCCGCGGTACCCTCAACAAGAACTTCCGTCACGTCGAGATGGACATTGTTAAGCTGGATACCGCCCGCCTCCGCCTCGTTGTCTGGCACGGCAAGCGCAAGCACGTCGCTTGCCTCCGCACCATCCGCTCCTTGATCAACAACATGATCATCGGTGTCACCAAGGGTTACGAGTACAAGATGCGCTTCGTCTACGCCCATTTCCCCATCAACGTTATTGTCGCCGATGATGAGAGATCCGTCGAGATCCGCAACTTCTTGGGCCAGAAGATCGTCATGAAGGTCCCCATGTTGGAGGGTGTCACCATCTTCCACTCCAAGGACCAGAAGGATGAGATCACCTTGATCGGTAACGATCTCGGCAACGTCTCCCAGTCCGCTGCCAACATCCAGCAGGCTACCACCGTCAAGAACAAGGATATCCGTAAGTTCTTGGATGGTATCTACGTCTCCCAGAAGGGCCAGCTCAAGGGTGCCGACGAGGAGTAAATTCGACAAACACCTCTTTATTCTTCATTAAAGCTCTGGAGCCACGAATCCAACAAAAACACCTCCTGTTTTTTTCCCAGTTGTTATGAATATCTTGAATGTGTAAGCGGCAAACGAAGGCGAGCGTATTTCGAGAGAAGGGAGGCGTGTTCCGCAATTGGGCATAGTGGTATCAATACGAGACTGGGAACATGCTGATCTAGGCGGTAGTCATATCATCATATCAAGAGTGTACCACCAGGACCTCAGCAGCGATGATGGTTCTCTCCTCAGGGCAGACCTTTGCCTCACTAGTATCCACAACCAGTGTCAATCGCGTGGATATGATACATAGATCAGCAAACCAAATAAAAAAAAAAAGAAAACAAATTTGTTTGCACAAGCCACCACAATATGCCTCCTTCGAAGCACTTTTTTTCTTAATGTTCCCATACTATACCCTCGTAGAAAGAGTCTTTTTTTTTTTTGTTTGAACATTCACTCGCCCATTTGGATTGACTGCTCGCATCTCCAGTCTCCTTTCCCTTCTCATCCTTCTCTTTCCCTTCTCCCCTCTTTCCATCTTGCCTGAGACCTCTTCCTCCTCGTCCTGACGGTCGCAACCGGATATTAACGAAAAACACACAGCAGGACACAACACTATATATCCATATCACATAAGCCATGCCCAAATCGACAACAACAGGAGAGGTCGCAGGACCCTTTGTGGAGGTTCAAACCAAGTTATATATCCACTTGCCTCCATGCTTCGCCACCAAGCCTATCGAGGGTATCCACGAGCAATTGAATGGATTCCTCATGAGGTAAGTTTTTATTTTGTTTGCTTTACTTGTCTTCCTTAGCTCCATTGAAAAGGCTGCTTTGATCGGCATTGAACAAAGGCACTCACCAATATATGTTTATTATTCTCTCTATCGACAGATATATGCCCCAGGTGGACGGTGTTGTGTTGGCGCATTCGGACCTGAAGCTGTTGCAGACATCGGCAAGGATCATGTACGACTCGCCCTACTGCCATTTCTGGATCTCGGTCAAACTCTTGGTCTGGAGACCTGTCAAGGGATCCACCCTTTGTACGTCTACGTCTCTTTTTGTTCCCTTTTGCCAGCTATACCAGGATCGACAGCTTGTTGCCAGTGTCACTTCTTTCATGGATTGGTATTTTAAAAGAATCAGTACCGGAACATTGGAGAAGTCAAGCCTAACAAATCTCGCCCATTGATTCATCCTGGTTTGGCCAATCAATCAAATCTGATAGACGGAACGATCAACTTGCAGTCGCCTGATCACATTGGTCTTTTGCTCTACGGCACCTTCAACGCCTCGATCCCCTCCGAGTTCATCCCCAAGGACAAATATGTGTTCAACCCCAACAAGTCCTACAGCGGATCCGACAGCGCCAACGGCGATCCCGACTCGCCTCTCATGGGTACTTCCCTCCTGAATGGAGAGTGGGTTCACAAGAGCACAGACGAGAGCATCGGACACGACGGCATCATTGAGTTTGAAGTCTCCGAGTACGTCACTGAAGTCTGTTTTGTGATGTTACATATGGCGAAGAGCAAGCTAGGTCAGGAGAAGTTTGTTGATCTAACCATGGCTTTTCTTCCTCTTCTTCTTCCATCTTTTACTTTCTCAATCATGTGTAATCAACTGGGAAACATGGAACGAACAGACTGGTCAGGACAAACGACATGTTGACTGTTACAGGATCGTTGATGAAGGTCCCCGTTATGACCCGTCGCCCCTCGATGCTCCCCAAGCACTCTCCTCTCCTCTCTGATGATTCCTCCTCACAAAAGAAGCGGTCTGCACCAGAAGAAGATGAACATGAGGCCAAGAGGATAAAGAAGGAGAAGAAGAAGGCTGCTGCTGCTGCCGCCGCCGCTGCTTCTACTGAGGAGAAGCCCAAAGACAAGAAGGAGAAGAAGGAGGTCGTTGCTGCTACACCTACCGAGGCTACCAAGGAGAGCGGTGAAGAGAAGAAAAAGAAGAAGGAGAAGAAGGACAAGAAGGACAAGTCATAATTCATGTCATCTTCTTCTTACACTCCTTCTTTATTCTTTATCTCACTCTTTTTTTTACGTCTTTCTCACTTGCACCTTGGCGCGTTGGCCCTTTAGAATTTGCATATCCATCTTACACACACACGCATAAAAAAACCAACTTTGTACCTTTCGTGCCTGGTGACTGCCATTTCGACCCATTGGTCAATTGCTGCTTGTGCAGCAGGTCCATTTTTTTCTTTTGAGCATTCACAATTTCATCCTCGCAGACCGACGACCATTCGAACAGGACATCACTTTTTGTACAGACAGCAACTAAAGAACCAGGAGCACCTCACTTTGCTTTGCTCGCATCACCACTGACGCACACACACACACAAGCAGGAGGGCACATTCATTCAAGAGAAAAAAATAATTATGGCCGCAGCAGTACCAACACTCCCCTTTGTGGCCCTCCAAGCCCACAAACCCAGCGCGCCTCACGAGATCCTTGCAGCAACAACAGCAATAACGAGTTCACCAGCACCAATAGTACCAACCACAGGAGGAATCGGAGGAATCGGAGGAGGAATCGGAGGACTTAATGCGACGATGGCGACGACAATGACCAGGTCGTCTTCTTCGGTCAGCCTACACCCGCCCCGGTCTGTGAGTTCAGATATCTCACACTTGCGGAGCGCTAGTTCATCCACAGGAGTTACAGGAGGAGGAGGAGGAGGAGGAGGAGGAGGAGGAGGAGGAGGAGGCGCAGGGGCAGAGATCTCGGGTAGTGGTACGTCTTTTTCAGCTGGAGGTCGTCCGTTGTCTGTAGGGATGCTCCGGTCCTCGACTGCGCCTGTACCCCAACACCACATCCCCTCCACCACTGCAACAACACCACCCACAACCACCACAGCAACAGCAACGTCAACATACTCAAGACTACCTTCAGCCTCTACAGACCTGTCCTTCCCCACAAATACATCCATCCCCACCACAATCCAGACAAGGACCCTCCACCCACAAGTCCATTACATTTTCGAGAATGACCCTCTCGAAACCGAGATCTTGGAATCCATCCCCAAATCTCAATGCATTACTATGGATTTTGATCCCCGTTCCGGAGTTATTAAGAATGTGGAGAGTTATTTGACACATTTACAGGTTATGGATGTGAGGCTTGTTCAGTCCTTTGGACAGGAAGGGCAGCAAGGGCAGCAGGCGCAGGCGCAGAGGGTGACATCGGGTGGGTCTCCGGGTTCAATGCCCTCGCCTTCTGCCTCTGCTTCTGGGGCTGGAGCAGAGACAGGAGGTGGAACTGGTGCTGGGGCAGTATCGTCTTCTTCATCAACATCCTCACTGAAAGCTACCAACACGGCCAGTAGTGGAGGAGGAGGAGGAGGAGGAGGAGGTCCAGCGGACGATAACCGGACCCATTCGATCACCTCCCCACCACAATCACACCTCTCAACATCATCGCCCTCTTCATCCTCATCTGGAGCACTGACAGTTGGAGGAACACTCCTGGCCAGGAACAACCCCTTGAGCTCATCTACATTACAATCCTCCTTCAAGACCTCGCGGCGGTCGACTGATAAAGGTACCCGAGGAGACGCCAGCGTCAGCGACGACAAGTCAACTTCCCCAGCGATGACGACGACAGCCACGACAATGGCAACAAAGGATTGGACGCTTGTCATTGATGCCGTAGAACTCAACAGGAGGGACCAAGAAAGGTAATTGAGCCACGTCCCCCCCCTCCCCCTTCCTCACACCCACCATATATTCCCACGCGTCAAAAGAAAGTGTCTCATCAACCGTTTGTTTCTTCCTATCGAATACATAGTGATTCACAACTACTGGAGCAATCCATGATCTCCAGCTTGGATACGGATTCAATACCCGAGGACTACATCCTCCACTGCGACGCTCTTATGAAATCCTTTTCTGCCAGGTATGAAAAGACGCTGAAACAGCCTGAACACTCAATCAATGTCGCCTCTGATCGTTCCCGCCCGCCCCCCTTCTTCCTCCCTTCCCCCTCTTTTCCCTCACACTTACACATTTTTTTTTGCCCACGTTTGACACATGCGTAGGAACTCACTACTACGGAAGGTCATCGATTATGCCAATACAACAACATCGCCTACAGGGACTCCTCCATGAAGCAATAGAAGGACACATAATAAATAAATCGAACAATTTTTTATTTGCCGAAACTAGAAATACAGACAGGAAAATTACGAGCAAAGATGAAATATAAAACTGAGGCGCAACCAGACGACGACGAGGTCGATGAAAAAGAGAGGAGGAGGGGGAGGGGGGAAGGAGGGTATGTGTTCTATTAATTATATCAATCAAGGTTATGAGGTTGGTGTTGTTACATCTTGACATACGCCTCTGGCCAGCAGTAGGATTTGTTCTCTTCAAAGAAACTCGAGTACCCTCCCTCCATCACATACACCTCTGGGTAGAACAGTGCAGGGTAGTGCGAGACATTCCATGCCCTATCCTGGTTTCGAAGGTGACGCGCCCTATTTCACATATCCCGAATGTAATACAAAGTCAGGAATTGTCATAAAACTACAGCTGAAAGAGATTCCACAGACACGCGTGTAAAACTTACAGTCGGGGTGCTCGCTTGGATGAGAATTCACAATGAAAGATCAAAAGGACCCGCTTGTCGGTCGTCGCTGGCTGCAGCAACAACTTGTCCAATTCGTCCGTGGTGTTGATGTTGACCGCCGACTTGATGTGCCCGCCTTCAAATTCGTACGGGAACCGGCAGTCGATAATATGGAGCAGGTCGTATTGGTCCTTGTATTTGCCTTCCAGCACATCCACCACCTATTTAGTATGTCATTGGAGTATAATGACAAGAATTAGTTCTCGGTACATGCAGCAGGGACCTCGCCCGCCATTGCAATAATTATGTCGATTAAAAGAGCACCTACGGTTTTGGGACTGACGCGTCGGGTGGTATCGTTAGGTTTGGTGATAAAGTTTGCCGACGGCAAGATCATGCACTCCTCGCGTAAAGGGTCTGGAGTGTAGCTATCGGAAACAATGACCATAGCCTTCTTTGTGCTGACATTGTTCGTCTCCAAAGTCTTCATGAACTCGCTTCGACTCGAGATCATTGTCTGGTGTCGTCGCCACATGATCGGTCGTTTAGTATTGGTCGAAATGGAGCTGGAAGATTGTGACTTGTGCGACGCATGAGGACGACTGACTTTATCCTTGCCGCCCAAGGGCTGCTCGTCGGAGGTGTGGTCGTGGCTGTCGTCGTCCGAGAGAGTGAACGTAATCGTTCCAGAGTCAGGGTTAGGTAGGGAAAGGCTAATCACTTCGGGGTCAAGATCCACGAAAGAGGGCTGGTAAAGCATCCGAAGACTCGAAGAAATAGGAGCCTTCGAGATCTTTTTGGCGGAGGGTGGCGATAATGCTGTCATGGCGGCTGTGCAAGATTCAAGAGCAGAACCGATCTGCAGTTCTTCAACTGTCCCATCCTCAACTTGGTCATCCTCGTTCTCATCACTGCTTTCCTTATGCAGAGGCTCGGTGTCGTTTTTTACTTTGTCATCCTTGTTGGTAGAGTTCCTCTGCATCCACGGTGTATCCTCGGACAACGTAGTAGGTTTCCTGATGGGCAAAAGTGCATTCGTCTCCAGCTTGGTCATGAATGGAGTGACGAGGGTAGTCTGTCGGAGTAAACCCTGCGTCCGGTAAAGTCGTTTGGATACTGACAAGGATGATTTCGATGATGGTATCCTGGAAAGTGGTCTGCTGGACAAGAAGGGTGATCCTGAGAAAGGAGAATCTGAAGAAGGCTGCTTTGAGGACTTGTTTCCTGATACACTCACTGGACCCGAGAATGTCAAGGAGCGAGTAGGCTGAAGCAGCGGGGATGCTGAGCCAATGTCGCTTTTATGGGAGGATAGTCGAGGGTGATCGAGAGTTCTCGCTATTGTCGTCGCTGTGGCTATTGCTGTAGATGCTGGTGTCGAATCTGTTGATGAGGATGATCCGGCCGATGGTATTGGCAAAGGGTATGTGTTCGATGAAGCTGAGGAGCTGGAAGATGCCTTTGAGCGAGATTTTCCTGCCAGAGTCATGGCCTCGGTGCTGATCTTGTAACCTGATATCCTTGATAACGGGCGTTCCAGAGTGGACTTTGTGAGGATGTTACGAGCCACGGGCTGCTCTGAAGGGGTGCCATGGGGACGCGATTGCAGAACGCGAGCACTCTGTGAAAAGTGGTTGACGGACTTTCCATGTCTATGTGTGTAGTATATAATAAGGTCAAAACATTGCGAGGGATAATTTCAGCCTGAAAACAAAACCGTCCCTGAAAAAGGTGAGACAACAACGTGTAGATTGTCATTTACCCAGTCTCCAGGAGGATCTTGGCCTTCTTGCGCGGTTCAAACAACGGCTTCTGAGGCCTCTTGATATCTACTCTATCGGTATGTTGGAGAGGATTCAGTGGCTCTGTCTGCTGAAGTGCCTGTGCGGGTTGTTTACTGTCGTGTCGCGATCGTAAAACAGTGGCAAAAGAAAAAGGAAACCAATGCGTTCAGGTGGAGAAAGATTAATTTGCGTTCAATGTCAATATTGGATGAAATAATAGCAGATCAGCCTCCTGAAATATAATTGCTTCCCATGGTGTTTGTTTCCTGCTTACATGCTCATATTCAGAGAAGAGGGGCGTGATCGTTCTGTCGAGGGGTGTTTAATAATAGAGGTGTATGTAGTTGAAATTTTGTTGTCGGGCATGCTCTGTTCTGTGGCGGTCTTTGTTTGGTGCGTAGAGTGAGTGCTCATAGCGATGAGGTAGAAAAGAGTGAAGGGCGGCAAAGAGTGTGAGGTGTAAAATAAATAGCCAGCGATGAGGATGAGAAGGACGCTGCGTGCAAGAACACAATAAGCAAGCGCAATAGAGAGCGAGTGAAGGGTTCCACTGAAAGACAAGGCCCCGAAACGCGTGTCTGGCAGTTCCTTTGTTGTAGATGGATGTCAGGCACGCGTCAAAAGAGATGGGGGATAACAGGTGTTGTCGGCAAGGCACATCCACAGTCCAGACTGTCAAACAGCAAAAGAGAACCGCTGGTGAAAACGAGCAAGGGAGTGGTGAAAGTGAATGCTGCTGGGTGCAAGGTTCGGCGTGAAGAGTGATGGTGTTAGGAAATGAGGAAATGCAAAAAAAATAATCGGTGAGTAACCACCTCGACCAAGTCCACACACAAAAAAACATAAGGGTGGCTTTAGCTTCTATCACATGATCTGCTCTAAAAGCGTCCAACAGCACAGCCACAGTTGGGATCCCAGCTCCATGGTCCGACGCGTCTTATTATATTACAATGCCAAACTTGTAAAATAGTTTATTTGCGGTTGTAGTTGTTATACAGTGGAGGAGCAACAGAAAAAGTGAGACATTACAGAAGACGCGATAAATACGACGGAGTGAGTAAGTGAAGAAAAAGCAGGGTGTTGATACAAGGCGATTAGAAAAAAAGAATTCAGAAAACGAGGAAAAGAAAAATACCAAATCAAAGAAAAAGACAAAGAAAAAGGACTATTGTACAGGAGTAGACGCGGAGGAAGGTGGCCGAGGGGTCGCACTGATATCGCTCTTGCGTCGCGTCCGCTCCTGCAAACCCTTCTGTTCCTTGAGCTTCATCATCTTTTCCCATTGCTGAACATGGTGCAGCCGCATCAACTCAAGCTCCTGTCGCTGCTGGTCCTTCAAGATCTTCAGGTCCTCATCCAAAATCTCATCGTCGTCCGACATCTCCGGGCAGCTCGAATAGTTCGATCCGTTGGTGTAGGCCGCATTCATGCGATCCGGGTGTTGCGTCCTGCCAGAGGCCGAGGCCGCATCCTTCAGGGTATGATTCATCAGCGTCGACTCCAGCAGTGGCTGCTGTTGCTGAGGCTTGGGGAGTGAGGTGAGGGCATGCTGGTGCGACTGTTGAGGATGATGTTCACCCTCGTTGGTCGAGTGCGGCAACCGATGTGGCTCCTGAGATAGGACGCTCCCGGGGATGGAGAGTGGTGCAAGTGCAGGTCGTCCCATGCTTGAGGCAGGGACTGAGGCGGCTGACCGAGACCCAGTGCTCGACTGCACGCCGTTGCCATCCAGTGTCGCCGCAATCGAGCTCCGTGCACTTATTGGGCGAATCTCGGGACTGCTAGTGGCTGAAATCGTGGACGAAATACTCGGTCGATGGTGGTCGCCGACTGGCTGGAATGGACTGGGTGAATTCATAAGAGGCTCTGAGGGGCTGTTATGCAAGGGGGCTGACAATGGTGCTGACGCTGCAGAGCTGATCATAACAGACGTGTCAGCGGACGGCGAGCGACGGTGGTAGTTGATGGAGGAGCTGGACACTCCGTGACGATACGGAGATGTATATCCAACATCCTCTGCGCCCTTATTCGCCTTCTTGGTGACTGCTGCTGCTGCTGTCTCAATATCGCGCAACGTAGCCCTGTAGGAGCCACCGTTCAACTGAAGGGCCGCCGAATCCTGACTAAACTGCGGGGCGGGCGCCTTATCCGGGACATAGACGCTCTGAGGACGTGAAGTGGTAGCAGGCGAAAGTTCACGGTTGGGAAGAGGAGGCGAGAGAGGATGCTGTCCGACGACGGGATGCTGGACGGCTTCAGAATAGGTCGCCTGATGGTATTTATCGGTTCTTTCGCCATTATATTGCACGTCGTCTTGTCCTACACTCCGAGGAGGTTGTGCGTGCTGGAGGGGTGGGAAGGTTGCCTCGGTCACAAGAGGGGGTTGCTGGAAAGGTTGAGGAGGAGCAGTTCCGTAACCTTGGTCTGATTCAACAGGCGAGACGTTGTCGTTCCAGCCGCCTGATACGTTCGAGCCGACGGAAGAGTAGTGATCGTACAATGACTCTGTGGGCGAGGTTCCATACTGGTCCATGTCATAGACGGAAGGCACGTTCAACTGGCGGTTGTGACCATTCTTGAAGTTATTGGGGGGCGTCCGAGAGTGACCTGCGCCAGAACGTCCGTGTCCGTGTCCATGTCCATGTTTGTGGGGGATAGGACTCCTGCTCGACCGTGATTTCTCCTTGATATGACGGCTGTGCTCTCTTCGCGACAAGACGACGTCGTCGATCAACTCTTGAATTTTGGATGTGGCCTCCTCGCGGTCGTCTCCTGACAGAATCTGCTCGCGAATCATCTCTGCAACTACCTCGTCGACTGTATCGATGCTCATGTCGAATGGAAACTTGATTTCGTGCGTGCCAGCCGCAAAGTTCACATCCCGAGGACCCGCCACAGGACATGTGCAAATCATCTTGAGATTCAGTTGGTCGCCGATTGCCTCTCCATACTGCACCACTTGGATGTTGCAAGTTTTTGAGTTGGCATGTGAATGCAGAGTTGGGGGTTCCGTGCTCATGTCCTCCTGCGAGTTCGGAGACTGACTCGATGTTGACTCCTGCGGGTCGGCCCCTTGAACCTGCGTAGCTTCTGTTGATGATTGTTCTGTGGAGGTCGGCGTTTGGGGCAAGAGGTTGGAGCGGATGTGGTATGTCTTGTTATCGGCATCGACTGTAGTTGTGGTCGTGAACGCTGTTGTAGCTGCGGGTATAGCGATGGGTTGAGTGTCCATCTTGACGGGCGATGGGAGAGTCTTTGGGAGCGCAGCGGGCAATGGAGTAAGAAGAGCCGAAGTAGGAGACGTCGCCAGCGACATGTGAGTTTGAGGGTAAGGCTCTGCAAAAAAGGAGCGATTGGAAGAGTTACCAGCGGAGGTAGACATTGGACTATCTGTCATCTCGATGCCCTCAGACATGGAGCGTCCGAGGTGGATGTAGAGACTTGCGGCTGATGTCGGGATAAGAGGCAGATTGGCGCAGGGCTTCAAAAAGTCCGAGTCGAGCAACTCTTGTGCGGAAGGACGCGTGTGGTCATTGTGGTCGAGACAGCGGTTGATGAATTCCCTGGTCTCGAGGTCCTTAACGTGTTCAAGCGACGCGGGCTTGATACCCTTGGTGACCTTACGGTAGATCTGAGCCTGGTTGGTGCACTCGGAGTACGGATATTCCTTTGTGACCTGGATGTTGTGGAGGTAGAGCACAGCAAGTCGGAGCACAGAGAGCGTTTGCCAGCCAAGGATGGAACAGCAGATATATGGGTATATTTAGATGAGAAGATGGAAAAAGGAAGAAAAGCGTTAGTTATTCCACTCTGACAGGCACTTGATTTGACCCATTAAGGTAGCGATCGTTGCTATCAGATTAGCGGGGATATGCATGGAAGCGCATCGACTGTGCGTCATTCCACCACAACAGTGCGGAGTGCATGTTGTTTTTGGGCGTGTGCGACGCAGTCGCCCAACGGTAATTTGTCATAAAGTCGACGTTCAAACAATAAACCAGACAACAAAAATACACTCAAAGAGTAATAACTTGCCATTTCCAGCACACACATGCCAAAGGCATAGATATCGACCTTCTCGTCGTACTTTTCGTCGTAGAGCTCCGGGGCCATGAACTCGGGAGTGCCGAGGACAGACGAGACGTGGGTCCTATGGCGGACGACAGCGAGTCCGAGGTCGCCAATCTTGAGCTGTCCGTTGTTGCCGTTGATAAAGATGTTGTCGCACTTGAGGTCGCGGTGGATGATGGGCGGGTTGTGGGTGTGGAGGTAGACGAGTCCCTGAAGGATCTGACGACACCAGGACTTGAGCACCTTGGGCTTGAGGGTGCCCTTGAGTGTCTTTTTGAGGTACTGCTTGAGGGTTCCTGATGACATGAGCTCGGTGACAAAGACGACGCGCTCTCCGCCATTGGGTGCCTTGGTTGACCAGGATGCGTAAAAGTTGATGATGTGGTCGTTGCGAATGGACTGGAGGATTTCAATCTCGGAGAGGATCTTTTGGGCCTCTTTTTTGGTAAGGTGGTCGATGCGGAGCTGGTTCCAGGCTACTTCGACACCTTCCTCCTGGTCGAAGGCTCTATAGACGTTTTTGTAGGCGCCCTCGCCAAGGATGTCGCTTAGGCGTTGGAATCGATTAGAGGGGTCGGTCTCGAGAGGGGCCTCTCCGTCGGCGTCGTTGGAGTCGCTTGGAGTTGAAGAACCCATGATGTTGAGGAGTGGTGTGGGGTAATGATGTTGGAGGGAGTGTTGCTGCTGCTGCTGCTGCTGCTGCTGCGGGTAAGAGAGTGAATGTGTTGGAGTGGTGGCGTGTTTCTTTCCCTTTGATTTGAAGGAAAGAGAAGAGTGGAGAGTTGTATGGATAAGAGTGGAGAGTTGTATGGATAAGAGTGGAGAGTTGTATGGATAAGAGTGGAGAGTGGGGAAGTGGGAAAGAGATAAGCCTGGGTTGGATGTCTTGAAAAGAAAAGTCAAGCCGGATATGAAGGAAGTAAGAGAGAGTAGGAGTATTAAAGGACGGGCATGGTTGTTTGATGCAAGGGAAAGATATACATCAAGGAAAGGGAAAAAAAAGAAGGGGTTGAAGGGAAAGAGAGAGGAGGGAAAGGGACTAAGGACAAAGGGCAGAGTGTTCAGGCAAGGGTACAAAGGAAATGGGTGACTGACTGGCAAGGAAAAGGGGAAAAAAAAATGCTGCGGGAGGTCAGAGAGACAGAGGAAAATAAATGGAGGGAAAAGAAGAAAAAGAAAATAGAAAAAAAAAGAAAGGACGGACGGACGGACTTGAATCACAAAACAGCAAAGAAAGATCCGAGGGACAATGATCACTTTCACAATATGATTAAGATGAAGACGACAAAGCAAGTGTAATTGATCAGTCTGCTTCTGAGAGGAGGAGGGTGGGGGGGAAGGATGAAGTAGGAGTTGGGAGGAAGGTGGGGGAGTGATGAATCCGAATAAGAGAGAAGAGTGGGAGAGAGAGAGAGGGGGAGACAGAGAAGCACACTGACAAGCAGAGCAAGGCACTTCTGCTGGCGGTGGGAAAGGGAATGGGAAAGAGAAAGGGAAGGGGGGAGGGGAGGAAGTGAGAGAGGGAAAGAGAGAAGAAAAGAGGGAAAGAGCAAGAGAGAGAGAGCTAGTGGTGGGTGGGTGGGGAGAGCAAGAGGCACCGGGCCGGGAAAAACATGCACTAAGAGAAAAGTGACAGAGTGACGACGACATTTTTTTGCTCTCCCCTCACGTTATCTTCTCTGTGTATGCGTGTCTTTTGTACGTCTGACCTCGGGCGAGTTGCCACCAGCAAACTGCTCTCACTCCAGTTCTCGACGCCACCTTCTTATTTTGCCTTGTGCATCTCCTGCCAAACCCAGCATAGTTTACATGCAACACCAAAACACCAAACCAACCATCGCCAACATCACCCTTTAGTCTTTTATTCAACACTCCAATCCTCACTCAGCATTGTCCCGAGCTCATTCACATACCTCCATTCTTCATTTTGACCACAAACCATGGAATTTTCTCGAAAGCTACTCTCAACCCTGACAACAGGACAATCAACTGACCCAGGGCGCACAGTAGGCCTCAGCTCCCCTTTCGAACTGCCTCGCGATTTCATTATGGATGATACCACACTCCTTTTGGTCATGCCTTTTAACGCGTATCACAACGTTTTTCTTTTTCTGTAGGCTGCCGATGCCACGGCGTTCTCGGAAGAGTCTCTCGATGCCTTGCGTCTGAACATTTCCAATCCTAGCTTGTCAACGGTACTTTACCCGTCAAATACGATCATATCTCGCCATTTAAATCTCTCCCACCTACGGCAATGTTCTTGGACGTGGAAAAGGAGTTGAAACGATGGAAAGCCTAGATACGGGAATATTGGTCTTCTCAGCCACCTTTTTCAGTCAGAGTCCGTACCTTCTTGTGGATTCTAATGTGCTTTACTCCGTTTTGCCTTCTCCTAGGCGGCCATGAAAGACAATATGTTAAGGCTAATATATGGCGAGATGATGGGCCAGGATGTCCAGTTTGGAGCCATCTATGCTCTTAAGCTCGCTCAAAGTGGACAGACAGTTGGCGAGAAACGAGCAGGTACGATATGAAGGAACATTCATGTGTACATTGGGAAGCTCGCCCGGTATATGGATGTATGCACACTCGACTAACAGAAAATGTGTGGAACGTGGTAAATGAATGTACGAAATAGGGTACCTGGCCTGTTATCTGCTGCTCCAGGAGGGGAATGAGCTCAACATCATGTTAGTCAACACGTTGCAAAAGGTAATAGGATTGCATGTGTCTTGGACGAGTGTAATGGCTGGGACGACTGTTTGTGTAAGAGAGAGAGAGAGAGAGAGAGAGAGAGCAAAAAGTCCAATGCTATCTATGCCTTATATCTACCTGCAAGAGACAGGGCAAAGGGACAATGCGGAGGCAAGCGGATTAACCTCTGCTCCATGGCCCAACTGTATCTATTCTAGGATTTGACTAGCAGCAACTATCACCACGTCGTGGTGGCTCTTGTCACTCTCTGCAACATGACGTTGCCAGATGTGATCCCGTCCATGGTGAGCCATGTCCTCAACGCCCTTTCCCACACACAGTAAGTCCTTCTTTCCTTTATTCAGTCTTGTATTGGCAAATAGAGCGGAATCCTTTGGTTTCAATTCGCCTAGATGCCTTATCATGTTGCAACTTTAATGAAGCTGAACAAGATCCAACGCTTTCGTTGACTCCAATCTTTGTCTTTGCATGTTGTGTTATTAGCGAGTCTGTTCGCAAGCGAGCGTTGATCGCCTTGAAGAACTTTTATACCCTCGACATAGATCTGATCCTGCCTTACTTCGACCAGATCAAGGGCTCGCTCTATGATCCAGAACCAAGCGTCATGTCAGCTGCTCTTGGATTCTTTGCCATTGCAGTCAAGGTAAAAAAAACCGCTATCTTTCATAAACAAAAACAAAAAGATTAACCTGCAGATCAAAGAAGAAGGGGGCGATACGAGTACCAACATTAGCGAATAACAATCCGTGATCTAAATGTCTTTTAGGACCATGCAAGGGAGATGAAGGAGCTTGTGCCGGTGTTGATTAAGATCTTGCAGCAGGTCGTTGATGGGAAGCTCCCCAAGGGATATCTGTACCACGGCATGGCAGCGCCTTGGATCCAGATTCGGTGCCTGATGATCATGGCTCAATTGGGACACGATGACCTTAGGTAACTCAACAGAATTGACTTCGTTACGTTCTTGCGGTATACCGAATACGACATCCCTTCCTGGTCCTGAGTTGAGATTCATGAGTTTTGACTTGGCTAGGAGTGTTTTTGACTGACTGACTGGGAGAGAGATCTGGTTAAAACTCCTTTGTTCACTCACTAATTGGTACTCAATTGATTGTGTCTCATTTGTCTCTAAGTGCAAGTACGGCCATGACGCCTGTGGTCCTCAGAGTCTTCCACAAGGCCAGCCAAGGAGTGGATGCGGCGTTTGGTAAGTCGAGGCCTCTTGTTTTCCCTACCTGCTGGGTTGAGCTGGCGTGCTCCGGAAAAAGGAGATATCTCTCTCCTTTCAGGATCACATAAGCTGTGTGTGAGGCGAATGCGTGAGTAAAAACAACATGCGGGAGAACGAGATGGGAGCACATTGAAGTTCTACAGCAGCAACAACAAGAGGAAACTTGCTCGTTCTTTCAAGCAGGCCGCAACATTAACAACAACAACAACAACAACAAACAACCGACTTTTTCTTTCTTGCTGCCATCGTCACTGTACTCTCTCCCTTCATCATCACAAACAATAACAAGAAAAAAAAAGAAAAAGAAAAAAGAAATCCAGGCACCGCGACACACCAGCGACAACCGTCCATACATGTCCCGACTATCGTTCATTTTTTTTTTCTCTTTCGATCCCCGATGGAGTTACGAACAATTGTTTCTTTGTTCCCATTTCACAAGCTGACCTTATTGGCCGTTTGCAAGGAGGATATCTCTTTCGCCTTCATCTTTTGTGCTCACCATTTCCCATGTGTAACCCGTTCATTTTGTTCGTTTCTTTCAGTCCTTTTTCTCTCCCTCGTTTTTTCTTCTTCCCTTCTTTTCTTTACTTCTTTGTCGCATTCAAATTGCAGCAGCAGAGAGAGATACTATGAGGCATTTTATTTCTTTTTGTTCTCTTTTGCATCTCTTGGTTGTCTCGTCCACATTAGCGTTCTTTTTCATTCAAATACTGAGATTATGATGATGATCGAGCCCCTCCTTTACTCGCCATTGGCTGTCCCCAATATCCCCCCGACTGTCCAGGCTGTCTTCAAAAAAGACATCTTTTTCCTTGTACCACAACCAACAAAAAATCTGCTACGCTAGTCATCATTTTTTTTTTTTTTACACCTTCAGGTTGAATGACCCAGACCTTATTCTCTCACGCTAATTTTCATATCCATTCTCTAATTACAATCTTCCTGGCTCCGTCGCTTCTTTTTATCGCCCCTTCACGATGAACAGGAGTGTTCTTCGAAGTGCTTCGGACACTCAACAGCTTTCACCCCGCCATCATCCTCGAATTATGCCAGTCCAAGGAAAGCACACGAAACCCGCTTCTGTCCATCCCCAGATTCGCCACCTCGACTAACCCTAACCTCAAATACCTCGGCATCTCGATGCTCTGTCAAGTCAACCCTGATGCCTGGTCAGATGCCTGGTGGACAGAGGATCTTCTGAGCGCGGTGGTTCAGGCTCTTGAGAGTCGAGATGCTGCGATCCAAAGGCGAGCTCTGGACCTGTTGTATCGGATGTTGACGCTTGAAAATGCCCAGAACATTATTGATCGACTGGTTTATGCCTTCTTTCAAGAGCAGGATGGTGGCCTCCAAGGAGCGAGCTCTCAACTGGGATCGGCGTCTTCCTCGCGGAAGAACGAAAAACATCATCAGCAGCAACAGTTACAACTATCGTCGTGGTTTCCTAGCCGAAAGGAAACGATTCTAGGACAGATCCTGGATGCAGCAGAGCGGTTCGGTCCGTCTGAGGAGTGGTACCTGAAATTGATATTTGATCTGTTGGCTCGAGGCGGGACAACGATCACACTACAGACCGCAGAAAAGGTCATGGGCGTACTCGAACGAGGCAAGTTTACGCACACTCGCATTTTTTTTTTAACCTCCTCTCTTTGCTTACTGTGGGACCCATTAACGTAAAAAACAAACAGAACGATGACTTACCTAGATGCATGGATGTGTGTATCCCTCCGATAAATGTCCGACCACGATCGACTAACAGAAAGAAGAAAATTATGTTTTTTTTTTTTTTTTTTTTTTCCTTCCCCGCCTCTCTGCTTTGTTCTCCCGCCTTTACGCCTCCGTTCCTCTTTCTAGGTGCCAGGAGCCCAGGCTTTGTCAACTCGCGCCTGTCTATCCTGGCGGCTCAACAGGCTATGAGGCTACTTGTCCAGGAAGACTACAACCTCTCTTCCACGTTGGACTCTACGGCTCCATGTCGCCAGCCAGCGCTTGCCTACGTTGTGTTTTGGGCGCTCGGCGAGTTTGGTGATAAGTTGACGACCTCGGGTGCGGACGTGGAAGAAAAAGAGTTTGATCTCGCCTCGGTCCTTGAAGCCCTTGCTCGATGCCTCCTCGTCAACCAAGGTAAATCATCAATCATAGTTTTCATTCGTCGTCTTGAAAAAAAAAGGGGGGTGCATGCGCGGGTAATCTTTTTCATACTTGTTCGATATTCTAACCCTCCCCTTTTTTTTGCCCCTCTTCGATGTGTTTTCACGTTGACCACAATTAGATCTGCTGATACAGTCATTTGTTCTGTCCGCATTGACCAAGCTGAGCGTGAAGACGCTGCCGAACCCAATTCCCACCAGCATCATGAACGTTGTCCGGCAGCAGTGCCAACAGCACAACACGAAGACCATGCTGTCATCTTCGTTGGCGATTATTGAGGTCCAACAACGCGCCGCTGAGTTCCTAATGATTGCCGAACTTGCTGTGTCTTGATAGCGTAGTAGAGTAGATGTATTCGACGTAGTTCGCAAAAAGAAGCGAATGCCGCACAGTTTTATTATGTTACAAAAAGAAATGAATGAAGCAAGTGAAAGAAAGAGGCGAAAAAAATAAAATAAAGGAAAGAAAAGTGGTTTACAGGTACTCCCACATGGCACAATCGACACAGCCAACCTCAACTTTACAACTTGGCACATCCTTGACCTTCAACACCCCCTCAATCGTATCAAAAAGCCTATGCGTCCGGATATCCACTCTCCAGTTATCCTCCCCAACAGGGTCATACACACACGTCCGTCCCGTATGACATTTACTCTCGAGCGCAAAACCCGAATAATAACATGCGCTCCGGGGGCCGTTACAGACTCCTTGGAAGATGGGATCGGCGGTGTGACCGACATGGAAGAGTGGGAGATCATACCAGTCGACTGCTGGAGGTGCGGGAAGGTGGAGTCGTTGGGCGGCGAGGCGGTCGCCTGGGGTTTCGAAGGTTACGGTAGGGACGCCGAATGTTAGGCCGAGGAGGGCCGAAAGTCCACCACCGAGACTGTGTCCTGTTAACCAGACCTTGCTGTCCGGGTACATATCCTGAACCGCCCACAATATCGTCTATTTTCGTCCCACAAGTCAAAAAGATATGGAAACACGATGTTAGTGACAGGGTGTGTTTTTTTTTCTATGAGCCTCTTCCAGTGCTTTGAGAGATAGTGAACGAGGGGGGGGTCGTTGTTTTACCATGGCGATGTTGTAGTAGGCATCGTCAGAGTTGACAGAGTTCTCGATACAGGTCTGGTCACAACGGTATCCTCCCGTGCTACAGTCACAGACACCTCTCCATGTTCTGTCGACTTTTGCACAGCAACACGAGAACAACAGGTTGTCCTACAAACATGGATAAAAGGAACAAGAAAAAAAAATGTTACGACATGTGGATAATTGGCTGAACCTTTTTCTTTTGTCCCCAACGAAAAGAAAAGGAAGAAGAAGAGGTGTCCTCATTGCTACACAAAAACAGGACACAAAAAGAGTGAAAGAGCACACCATACAAAGGCAGGATGCATTACTAGGCGTATATCGCACATCGTCAACATAAAAGGTAGTAAAAGTACCACTCCTCCCCCTCTTTAACATCCGCCCTGCATTCCAATGTATCTTCCTTCCACCCTTCCCCTCCCTTCTCTTCTTTCTTTTCGATACAAATCACAAAACGCAAAAGGCAAAAACGAAAGACAACCAACCCTCATCTATAAGCAAAAGGCAGCGAAAGGAGACAACTTACGTTGATCTTGTCGCGGGTAGCGGTGGGACCACCTCCACCCAGGATGGCGGCAGAAGTGCCCTTGATGGCGATAATGAGCGTCGTATTGTCTGCTGACGAGAACACATGACCCCTCACCCCATCCTCCTCCCATCCAAACGTCGAATTCTAACAAAAAGTCGACAGAAGTAATATAAAAAAAGGGTTAACAATCATCATTGGCTGTATTGCGTTGTTGTCCCCTTTTTTTGGCTTGGCCTTTTCGGCTAGTTCGTCCGAGTGTGCATACTTGGATACTGATGGAGTAGTGGATTAGTGGGATGCAGGTCTTTAGCACAACAGGAACGGTGGGGTGACCACATGATCCAACCCATTGGCTCAATGTCGCTGAAAATCCAACACCTGCATCCAACTGTTACAAAAAAAAAAACCAGCAACGACAATCCATCAAGAGAAACTTACCACGTTCCAGTTGCCTTCAAGGTCATACCATCCAGGACTCGTAACCTCAGTATACGAGTTATAATTCATCTTGGACAACTGGACAATCGTCTCTTTGTCCGTCACATCGGGCGCATCGACCACCTCTCTTCGATAACTCTCCGGTCCAAATGACTGGTCCTCTGTCAGACCCATCGATCTGAACCCTTGACTCCTCTTCTTCCCCCTCCACTCCCTTGTCTTCCCTCTTGCCAGTGCTGATGCTGATTGTACCGAGTCGTCGTCTTGGTTCTCGTGGGGTTTGATGGTAGTAGTCGTCTTGACTTTGAGTCGATGTGTCAACGACTCGCCAGTGAGGAGTTCAGAGAGGAGGATGTCGACAGGAGACAGATCCAGCTGTCGAAACAGTTTTGGGTATTTGTGCCCTCCGTGGTGGAGGATGTGTCGAAGGGTCAGCACCGAGTCTGGGCGCTCCTGTCCTGGTAGGGGTCCTTTCAAAGGCTGCGGATCATTATGCTGATGGTGCTGGTGCCGTTGTGCTGGAGGTCGGAAGTTGTGCTGTTGCTGTGGGAAAGAAGCGTCCTGCGGTGGTGAAGGTGGTTCTGTGGAGGGCTTAAAGAAGGGAAGGTGGAACGGGAAGGGTGTAACGAGGAGTGGGGTTAACGCCAAGAAGGAGAGGAGAGCAAGGAAGAGAATAGGGAAAATGGAGGTGGTATAAGCGCTCTGCCGAAGCATGGCCGAGGAAAGTCTCTTTTTGTTAATTGTTATATATCAAAAGTCGGCGGCTGTTGTTAAGGTAGAGAAAGTGAGAGTGTGTGTGTGTAAAAGAGAGCGTGAAGGTGGGGTGAAGAAAAGTAGAGGAGAAAGAAGAAAGGTATGTGGCGAAAGAAAAAAGAAGTGGAAGAGATAGGTTGACAGATGATCGTCTCCAAATAGAGCAATTAGCAAAGAAGACAAGTCAATCGCACGGGCTGCAAAACAAAAGGAACACTTAGTCGCACAGGAACCATGAGCCACAAAACACTGTATGTCATTGACAACAAAAAAAAAAGTGTTGTTCGATGCTGGAATACATTTCTTTTGTTAAATGATGATTGTTTCTATGGTACAAAGTGATAAGTGGAAAAAAATGGTTGATGTTCTCGTCTCGCCCCTCACAGAATTAAGCCAAGAGGGCACCGATACGCTTCTTGAGCTGCTTGGCAGTCTGCTGGTTAGGGTTCAACTTGCGGTCCCAAAACATCTTTTCATAATCATCCCCATACTTCTCGACCAACTTGGCAGCCCAGACCAACTCTCCATCGGACTGGTACCGCTCCACCTTCAACACATTGGCCGCCTGTGCCTCCAAAGCCCGAACAACATCCGTCTTGGCCTTGACGGGCTCAATATCCCGCTCCATGAACTCGGCAATCTCCTCCTTGGACTTGATCTTTCCGACAATGACGTTGATGATGTTTCCGGCGTCGTCGCGCTGGATGATTCCTTGTTCGGCCGTCAGGGATTCTGCGAGCTCCTCGAGGGATTTCTGTTCGTTCTCCATGAGCTCGTCTTCGTTCATGACCTCAATACCTCCTGTCACGCCGTTCAATGACTGCAACAGTCCCAAACGAGCATAGCTAAGTATCAACAACGATTTTAAAAAAAAAGACAGTTAGCGAATGCTTCCTTCCATCGATAAAACAACGGCCTTGAGATAGAAGAAAGAAGAGAGACAGGAGCATACTTCTGACGGAGGGTGGCCTTCTTGTCCCAGTTATCGCGGATGATCTTGTTGCCGATGACATTGACCTTGCGCTTGTGCTTGTTGGCGGTCTTGCGGGTGACCTTGCGCGAAGGAGTCTTGATGGTGCGGCGCTTACGAACGGTTGGCATTGTGATGTATAGTTGTCTGGTTGATGGTTGATGAGAGAGTATGTGCAAGGCACCGTTTTGTGTTTACTAAAAAAAAAAAAAAGGTGGCTTGAAGGATGTCCTTAGATATGCACACTCAAGGCTTCCAATCTAGTGATGAAAACAATATGGCAGTCGTGTTAGTTAAGGGTTTCACTGGGTTCGGATTCCTCCTGACAAATTTAATGAGTGCTTCTCTGGCTCGAAAGTGACTGCTGACTATCAAGTAACATTGGCACCAGGGACTTCGCCCATTCAAGAGAAAGAAAGGCGAGGAGATCTATGCACTAGAAACCAGGGCAAGCGATACGCCATATCGCATCGTTGACACAGAGACCACTTTGCGCGTCTTTTCCCGGGACAAAGATAAGTCGGAATGAATCATCCTCGGTGACATGCTGCCACCAGCCATGACCTCCAATGAGAGAACCCCTCCTCGCTGCGGTTGTTGTAGCTGGTTGCCGCTGTAGACGTTGTGAATCGCAAGAACGCCATCAAATCCTTGACCCCAGGCATATATCTGTCCGTTCTCACAGCATATCACTGTATGAAAGTCACCGCAACTAATCTCCTTGACTCTAGGACCGACCCTGACCAGTGTCGGGTTCAAACGGCGAGGCCTGAGTCTTGGTGACCCCAAAGGCGAGATACCGGCGCCACTGGCATCCATGGATGGTGACATGTGATCATCAAAGTTCATCATAACCGAGCTGTTGGTAGATGAAAGAGGTGAATGTCCGAGATCATGACTCTGGCTTGGATGCAAAGGGGATGCCGACCCGGAACCTAGAGACGAAGCAGACAGTTTCGATCGAGAAGTAGCGCCTAACTGTCCGAATTCGTCATCCCCCATCGTGATGATCAATCCTGAGCTTGACAGGATCACTGTATGCCTCATTCCTCCAAACACCTGCTTGATCGACCTCCCCTTCCAGTGCAACGCGACCGATCTTGGAGCACCCACAATCACCCGTCCGTCGCGGGTCCCAGTGCTGCTGATAGACTGCTTCCATCGAGACGTCGAGCTCATCGTCGATTCGTACCCAAGCTGACCAAAGGTATTGTCCCCCCACGCATACAGCTGATCTTGATCCCAAGCAAACGATCCAGTCTTGCTGGCCCCGATTCCGAGAATGTTGACTGGCATGTTTTCGACAAAGTGAGGTGAAAGGTCAAAGATCGCCTCACCTCCGAGTAATGGCGAGCGAGAAGGTGTACGCAGTCGCGCGAGTTGGCCGTACTCGTTGGAGCCCCATGAAATGACTTCACCGGCGGCACTGAGGATCAAAACATGGTTCTTGCCACAGACCACATCCTTGATTCTCTGCCTGTGTGAACAGATCTGGATAGGTCGAGCAGCAGACTTTTCATGGAGCAGTCCGATCTTGTTACCAGTCAGGTCCTTTTAGTCGAAACAATAAAAGACTGTCAGTTCATTGAAAGACAACATTTCAACGTATATGCCACGGTCGTCTTACGATAAAAATGACGCACGTACCTCGAAACAACCCCATCCCCACAAGTCGCCGGCCTCTGTCAACAAGAAGGTAGCACTGTCCGAGCACACAACCTTAACGATAGGTGACTCCAGCGCGGTCATTCCATCGATCTCAACAAGGACAGGATGAAGAGCCGTATCCTGAACGTATCCTGCTCCATTGTCCGCACTGACACTCCTTCCCAACGCAGTCTCGATATCGCGATCGCTGGCACCCCGCGTCGATGGCAGTCTAGAATCCGACAGCTCGTCAGTATTGGTCTCCCAGCAAGAGTACACTTGATTCGTCCGTGTAACAACGACAATATGACACCGACCAGACGCGACCATCCGAACATCCAGTGCCTGGAAGCTCAACCAACCATGCTGCTGCTTGGTCAATGACGACATGCTCCGAGACTTGATTTTGATACCCATCGACAAGCACGTCAAGTTGTTAGGACGTCCTCCCCAACTCGAACCCTTTCCTTCAGCACCGGCGTACACCTGCAACCCATCCGCAGATCCCGATCCAACAGAGCCAGCATTCGACTCAAGAGATGGCGGATACGACCACGACCATGACGAGCCTACCGTACCATCCGACTGTCTCGAGTCGATGGATTGCGTCGGAGATAATGGCGGCCAAGGAGACGAGCTTTCACTTCCCGGATGGGACGAAGGATCCTTGTGCAGGAAACCAGAATGCGATCGGGTAGGGCGGATGATGATCATGTCCAAAGGCTGGTGGCGTACACGTGGGGTTCCACTAAGAATTGCCTCTGTCACCTCAATCCTGGCTCTCCTGCTCTCCTGGGCGGGGGCTGGTGGCGGCTGAATAAGCTCACTGGGCATGTTCATGGCAGACCCACTGCTGCGTTTTGGTAGACTCATCTTCAGACCATCGTTATCTCGCAGATGTCCTTGGGTATTGGTCGATGAGAAAGAAAAGTCTTCCATTGCAGACATATAAGTAGAGGTGGGTGTGCTCAGCTCCGAAGAGATGTCGTCGCGGGGTCGTGGTGTCGAAAACTCGGAATGCGGGGATCCTGTCACAGGCGTGGCCAACGACTGAGGAGACTGGGAGCGGGTTGTTGGGTGAGGAGTCATGTGTCGTCGCTGGTCACTGTTTCTCTTTCGGCGCTGCAGGATCTGTAGACAGTGCTCCTTCGAAGTAACGATTGGTGCAAGAACTGGAAGAGTGCGACCGGATCCGACCTGATCCGCTTGCAAAGAGTCGTCCATTGCACCTGCTGTGCTATTATCTGCAATTGGCTGGTGAATTTTGGGGGACTGAGGCAACGGTGGAAGTGAGACCAGGTCCCCAACAGGATTTGTCTCGAGTGCTGGAGGTGGGAATGGTCTCTGATATTCCGGGGAGCGGGGCAGAGGTGGAAGTGACCGCAGGAACTCTTCCATCATAGCCTCCTTGGCTGTCGTTGCTGTAGGTGATTGGAATGACCGTCTAGACTCTGGCGACTGAGGTAGTGGTGGAAGCGATTTCAAGATTTCGTCGAGGATGGGCTCCTTTGCAGCGGGTTGGGACAGAGCCAATGATGACGAATGACGTGTTTGCATCCACAGAGGATCTCGGTTGTTCCGTTGAGACGGGAGAAGTGTCGACCTTGGTGCGATTGGGGTGTAGCGATCTGGCATTTCTGTGTCACTCATGAACGAAAAGTCGTAATCGTTTTCGGGGAGGGTCTCCGACAGCAACGAAGGGATTCCATGTCCTGCAGCTGCCTGTAGGTCATAATCGTGCTCCAAGTTTGACATGAAGATGCAGGTCCTGTCAGCCATGGTCATGTTGACTTCGTCATAGATCTGTTCATTGTCGTGGTCACTCTGGTGCCTTGGTTCCTGCTCGATAGAGTTGCTGTCAACATCAAGGTCGTCGCTCTCGCTCAGCAAGTTGAGATTCCTTGCCATCATGTCCGAGAGGGTAATGTCCCTGAGATCTACAATACACATAAAAATGAACAGTGCCTTTAGTATGATGCGTTGTTAACATGTGCCATGTGCATAAACTCTACTTGTCGATGATTGATTGTTGTGTTACCTTCTTCAAATCCATGCAGATATCCATGCAAGCCATCATCCTCATCCTCCTCAGCCTGAGAAGAATGATTGTCCCATACATCTTGCACGCCGACGTGTGGTCTCCATCCCATAATCTTCCTTGTTTGTTGAGCTTTTGTCGAAGCACTGATCGTGTTACGATCCCGCTCTGCGATCACACCTTCCACGGTGTATGACTCTGAGAGCGGGCTGATGGGGGGTGATGGTGATGAATGCGGTGATGTCGGCGAAGGGGTCGACGTGACCGTTCCTGATCCAGGTCGAGTCCCTGCTCTGACTGCTAGCTTGGACACGGGTGACACTCCATGGGTGGCACCGGAACCCAAAGTTGACCGTAAGGGAACACCGCGCGCGACTGTTGAGGGTATCCGCTGCTGAAATCCTTGAAACTGCTGCGAGCCCCCACCGTCGATCGAATCGGGGTGTGGTGACTGTGGTGGATGCCTCACCAGACCGGAGGTTGGTTCCAGGACTGCATTTGATCCATGAAACGCGAAGGCTGGAGAGGGCAGAGAACCAACAGGCGAGCCTCCCGGCGAGAATAGCTGATCCAGATCGTCATACGAGCCACCCGCGTCGTCCAGTTCCGAATCCATATCTTTCTCCAGCTGCTCCAACGCCAGCAGTTCCAGTCGCACCTCCCGCGCCTTAGCTCGTATGAGCTCTCTCCGCTCTTGCCTGGCCTCCAACTTTGCAGTTCGTTGAGTCTGTTCGATCGGTGATGTATCGATAAACATGAATGTCGATGAGTCGGTGATGGGCGAAGGGGGAAGTGCTACCTCTGCAGCATTAACAGTAGCGAGACCATGGGTATGAAGTGATGTGATATGATCCTGCGGTGAATGTTGATAGACTGCAGCTTGAGAATGCATCTTCTGGTAGAGGGAAATCAAAGGGTCTGACGGCGATGGTGCGTATTTGTGACGAGGGTCGACGCCTTTTATCCTCTGGCGTTGGTTCTGTTGGTGCAAAGGGGCTTGTTGACGTTGATATGGTGTGGCATAGGATGCATTGTCGTAACGTTTGTAGATCTCAGTCGTTCGCTGTTGTTGGTCAAGAGTCGGCTGACAGTAACCTGGTCGTGTAGACGTTGTTGTTGTTTTTGCTGTTGAAGGGAAAATGCTCTTTTGTCCGTGAGCTACGGAGGTGGTCGGTGCTCTGAAGGACCTTGGTTTGCCCAGTGAGAAGGTGTAACCAGGGTTTGTTGAGACAGAGACAGGGGCAGAGGGTGTGGGTGAGAGGGTTGAGAGTGGGGATATGGATGAATGGGGAGAGGCGTGCAGAGGGGAAGGACGTGGACGGGTGCTGAGGAAAGGTTTGTGCTGTGTCCTTTGGTGATTGGTGGTATTGGTGTTGCTGCTGCTGCTGCCGCTGCTATTGTTTGGCCTGTACATGACCGTGTTTGTGGTATGTATGTGGGGAATGGATCGGTGGATGTATATCTATGGGAGTAGATGGATTAAGGATGCATGCATGTGGGAGTGGAGAAGTGGAGAAGTGAAGAAGTGGAGAATAGGTGAAGAGGAAGGAAGAAAGGAAAGAGGAAGAAGAGAGGGTGTATGTGTGGAGAGGGAACAGGAAGTAGAGGAAGAAGGCCGTAAGGGTGGGGACGTGGGAACAAGAGAGAGAAGTGACGGAACAATCAAAAAATGAAAGTGATGAGAATCTATGGTATGTGATCCCGACTTCTCCTGCAGCAGCAAATCGAACCAGCATGGATCGCCGTCTCCAAGGTTCCATTTACAACTTGAAGTCTTGAACACAAAAGCAGCACTTCAATCGATTCACACACGTATATACACCCAGTCAGTGAAGGGTGCCCACTCAACAATCACGCCCTAAAGTTCAAATGCTAGTGTTTTAATAATCTACTTGGCAAACGCCAATTAGGGCGTCGGGGACTCTATTCCAGATCCTGCAGGTCAAGAGGTATGGCGCCCTTTTCGTGTCGTCCATTTTTCGACTCCTCTCCTTTTCTCATTCCTCATACTCTATATCTTTGTCGCGGACTTCTTCCTCTGCCTGCTTGCTCGGTTGCTCCTGCATTTGCGTTGTCGCAAGAGGTGGTATAGATGGCAGGAGGTTGTTGTCGTCGATTTTCCTTGCTGTTGGTTCAATAGATCGCGCGTGTTCCTTACTCCTCCTGGGCCTCCTCTACGGCAAGAGCGGTCTCGGCCTCCTTGAGGGCCTTCTGGATCTCTGCACTCTCGGGGTCAAACATCAATCCCAGCTTGAGTGCCTGGATACCCTCCTCCAGACGTCCCATTCCGAACAAGGCCCTGCCCAGACGGAAGTGACCCTTGGACCAGGGGCGCTTCAACTCGATGACACCCTCGGCGTCCACATAGGCGTTGACCCACTCCTTGCGGGCAATATAGGCGGCCGAGCGGTTGCACAGCAGGACGGCGAGCTCCTCACGGGCAAGCTGTGTAGGTTCCCAGAGGGGGCGGTCAAAGGCGATGTTGATGGCGTTGGTGTAGGCGACGATGGCCTCCTGATGACGCTGTGCACGGAAAAAAGTGTTTCCTTCCTCGCGCATCTTTGCAATCTGCTGCGATCGCAGGGGGAGGACAGCCCCTGGGGGAGGCACTTGACCGTTGGTTGACTTAAGATGGCGGGTGAGGTCGTTGATCTCGAGGAAGGACTGGTTGCACTCTGAGCAGACCTCGTTCTTGTGCTGGGCGCAGACGACCTTGTCGTTGGCGATCTGGAGGTCGACGACGGACATGATGGATGATGTTGTGAATAAGGAGGAGTGGAGAGTTGAAAGGAGGGGAGGACAAGTAGATGATGGGCGCTTCTTTTTTCTTCTGTTCTTCTCAGGGTAAGGCAAGGGCCATAAGTGGGAACCCTTAAGGCAGAGAGCCAATGGGAACGCAACAACGGGCGCGAGTGAAAAAATGGTGGCGTCGTCGACAAACAAAACAGACACTCTTTCGCGCTCGATCACTCGACACTCTCTTCAATAATGGCAAGCAGCAACGGAACCTCATCAGCACCCTCAACAGCAGCACAGGTCGCCAACCTCAACGCACAGTTCAAGGGAAATGTCGACTCTTATGAACTCCCATGGTAAAAACTCTTTATTCAACACTCTTGCATCGCTGGAATCAGTCACGGCCCAGAGTTAACGGTGGTGATTGTTGTTGTAATGGACACTTTTTAGGGTTGAAAAGTACAGACCCGAGGTGCTCAAGGATATTGTTGGTAACGAGGAAACTGTCGAGCGTCTCCAGTTGATCGCCAACAAAGGAAACATGCCACATATGATTATCTCGGTACGTGTTTTGTGCCTTGTCAATCGTGCTTATCGCCAGGACCAGGACCAGGACGTCGTATTCGACGCGGATGGAAACAAGCTCACAATTGCTATATTCGCCCACATTTCGTACACTTAGGGATCTCCTGGTATTGGAAAGACGACGAGTGTTCTGTGCCTGGCTCATGAGTTGCTCGGTACTGCCTTCAAGGAGGGTGTCCTCGAATTGAACGCCTCAGACGACCGGTACGTATAAGCAAAACAGGATCATGCGGATAAAAGGCGTTGATTTCACCTCGCATCACCTCGCTTCACCAATTACTCACACCAACACACTTTGTCTCTATGACACCAATAGTGGAATTGATGTCGTTCGAAACAAGATCAAGACCTTTGCACAGAAGAAGGTGACGTTGCCCGCTGGACGACACAAGATTGTTATTCTGGATGAGGCAGACAGTATGACAGCGGGAGCCCAGCAGGCACTTCGACGCACTATGGAGATTTACTCGAGCACAACGCGATTCGCACTCGCCTGCAACCAGTCCAGTAAGATCATTGAGCCTATTCAGAGTCGATGCGCCATGCTGCGATACACAAAGTTGACAGACAAGCAGGTCCTTCAACGTCTGATGGAGATTTGCGACGCCGAGAAGGTAAATTTGTGCATTCATGCCTGACGATGTCATGTTAAGCATTGCGCCAATAAGCTCTAACAGAAAGCTAATTAATTATTGTTGTTCTGAACATGGTTAGGTGAAATACAACGCAGCAGGATTGGAGGCACTTATTTTCACAGCAGAGGGCGATATGCGTCAAGCCATCAACAATTTGCAGTCGACGTGGTCAGGATTTGGATACGTCAATGACGAGAACGTCTTCAAGGTCTGCGACCAGCCTCACCCAGTCATGATCAACGCCATTATTGCCAGCTGCCAGCAGGTCAATGTTGACAATGCGCTGCAGGGCATCCACCAGCTGTGGCGTCAAGGATACAGTGCTGTCGATATCATCACAACGCTCTTCAGGGTTGTCAAGTTTTACGACGGCATGCCCGAGTACATGAAACTCGACTACATCAAGGTACCATATTAATTCGCTTTGGGAGCAGTGAACGGTTGCTGGCAAGTGATTAGAGCTGGAGCTAACTTGACTATTTTTTGCATAGGAAATTGGATTGACGCACATGAAGATTCTGGAGGGAGTCACGTCGCTTGTTCAGCTCGGCGGTTTGATCTCTAGACTTTGCAAACTCTCTATGGACTCTTCCAGCTTTGCAGTATGAGCAAGGGCGACAGTCATATAGTCAACTTCGGGCGAAAAAGTAAAAAAACGAAAATGAAATGCAGAGTGTGTATTGTACAGTGGGTGTATGATAATTAGATGGTCTAGTTGCTCTTCTCCTTCTTGGACTTCTTGCTGGACCGTGGTTCATCCTCATCGGCGCTGCGCTTCATTGGCTTCTTTTCCTCCCTGTCCTTCTTCTCTTTCTTGACCTTCTTCTCCTTCTTCTCCTTCGACTCGCTCTTGTCCTTCTTCTCCTTGGGCTGCTTCTTCATGGACTGCTTCTTCACTGCCTTCGACCTTTTCTCCTTCTTGTCCTTCTTCTCCTTCTTCTCTTTCTTCTCCTTCTTCTCCTTCTTCTCCTTGGCGGCGGTCGTTGTGCTCTTCTTGGGCTTCCTTAAGCCATCATCGATCAACAACTCCGTCGTGACACGACCCAGCTTTCCAGGCTGCTCGCTGCGTGCGCCCTTTCTAGCAGTCCTGCCCTCGCAAGCCTCAAACAGCTCCTTGTCCGAAACTTTGACACTGTAGTCCCTGTAAGAGTCTCCCTCAGCAGCCTTGAGATCGTCGTAGCCCTCGGCTCTGGCAGCGAAACTGGATGCACTATTGGTGAAATCCTTGTTGGTCCTCTTTGCCTCCTCGGTCGCCGTACTCGATGCAGATGCCTTGACGAATCCAAAGAGCCACGATGGTCCTGATTTGGCGGGGGCTGCAGGCTTGGGCTCGGCCTCATCATCGGCGTAGTCATCGCGGGGGGTCATGCTGCCCATGGTTGTAGGGGTCGAGGTTCCTGAGGTATCAGCGGAGACAGCGGCTGAGAGGGAAGGTCCTGCAGGTCTGGAGGTCGAAATGATTCCCATGCGCGAAGTCTGGATGTCTGAAGGGGCCTGCTTCTCGACCTTGACCTCACCGGACTCGTCCTTGTTCACCTGGATGTTGGCGGCGGACTTGTTGAAGACATGGTCCCACCAAGCGAAGTCCCACTTGTCCAATTTTCCTCCAAGCTATTGTTTTATGAAGATAAAGGTTCAATCGGTTCGATTAGCTTTTGGTTCATGGTTTGGGCGCAGTTGAAGACAAGGGGGGGTTGCGTGGACATATCGAGAATCGACTTACACCCTTGGTGTCGTTCTTCTTAGTGACGGAGATACTCTTCTTGATACCGTCCTTGTTCTTTCCGAGACCATCACCGCTCTTCCATCCAAACTTGGCAAGCTGCTTCTCTGCGAACGACATGGCGCAATTCTGACGGTTGTGGGTTGATGATGAGAGGAGAGGGGTGGAGAGCAAAGAGATTCAAGGTCCAGTGTCAACCATGCTTCTTTTCTTGGTGTGCCTTTCAAGAAAGCCTCCAAAAAAAAAGAAAGTGGCTCTACACGTGATATGTGTTTACAATGCCAGTAGAAGGCAGTCACTTTTTGTTCCTGAGTCTTGGGACTCAAAGTGGCAATTTTCCCCTTCACCTCCGAAAGGCGGAATATGATCACCTTCATTGTCCCTCCTCCACCTCGCATCCACTCGAACTCACCATGCTCCGCATCAGCAGCCGCGCCCAGCCAGCCCTGTAAGCATTAACTTATTCTTCACTATTGTCATAACGACAGCACCGGAATGTACAAACCTCAGTTCGGAATACTTACGTTTTACTTTTCGTCCCTGGTTCGTTTCCCTCTACTTCCAGGTCGGCTGTTGCCAGACAAGTAAGTCACAGCGGCCATATGAAGCTCAACAGCCACGCCCGCTTTCAGCGCAAAGGAGCCATCACTTTCATACTAAGTGCGCCATCAAACTAATCACATCAATCTCAATTGTATTAGTATGCTTTCCGCGCCACCAATGTGAGATCGACTGGAATTGTTCGCCCTGCCGTTGCTAGACATATGTTGGTTCCCTCGGTCGGCGCTGGATTTTACCGCCACATGTCGACCGAGACCCCCAAGGCTGCTTTCATCGACCCCACCACCATGGCTGCCGCTGTTTCATCGACCGACAACACCAAGGAGGAGGCTGTTACTGCTGCTTCGACCGCGGATTCCGTCTTTCCCTCAGCAGCAGAGGTTATTGAGAATGTCACAGAGGAGGCGATTGCTACCACCACCGCCACGACCACCTCGGTCATCTCGGAGGTCGCCGCACAGAACGCAGAGTCGATCACCCAGGTGGCTATGAAGTATGGCGATCTGAAGGCTATGGGCTTGGTCAATTTTACGCCCGTTGGAGCATTGGAGACTTTCTTGGAGGCTGTTCACATTTCGACTGGATTGCCCTGGTGGGCGACCATTGCTGCGTCGACGGTTATGATCCGTACGGCTTTGGTTCCCTTTATCGTCAAATTGCAGGGCAATACTGCTCGTCTTCACAACGTCAAGCCTCAACTGGAGCGTCTCACCGAGAACATGAAGCTCGCCAAAGAGACTAACGACACGGCGGCTTTGGCTCGTTTCTCGGCCCAGACTCAGGAGCTCTTTGCCAAGAACGACTGCAACCCCTTGAAGTCCTTGATGTTGCCTTTGTTGCAGGCCCCCGTTATGATCTCGTTCTACTTGGCATTGAGAGATATGGCCAACTTGCCCGTGCCACAGTTCAGGGAGGGCGGTATCAACTGGTTCACGGATCTGACGATTGCTGATCCTACCTATGTCTTGCCCGTTGTTTCGTCGCTCGGATTCTTGGCGATTATGGAGCTTGGAAGCGAGGCTGGCGGTGTTGCTCAGCCCAAAGCTATGAAGAATGTCATGCGCGTTATGGCCGTTGCCATGGTCCCCTTGACCATGAACTTTCCCTCTGTAAGTTTTCGTGGGATGACTTGGAGTCAAAGATCTGATGATGTCACTGATATACGTTGAAAGTTTTCAGGAGCAACAATTGAGAAACGATCTAGGACACTAATTAACGCGGTCTAATTTTTGTAATGTAATAGGCAATCTTCGTATACTGGTTGACATCGAACTTCTTCACAGCCGGCCAGATCTTGTTCTTCAAGGCGCCAGCAGTGCGCAAGTTCTTCAACATCCCCCAGTTGATCAACCACCCCAAGCCCAAGGTTGCGGCCAAGCAGCCCGGATTCATGGAGTCGTTCAAGGCCTCGTATGAGGGCGGCTTGGCTGCCAAGCAGAAGGAGATTTCTATTGCCAAGGATCGCGAGAACAAGACTGCCGCACAAAAGTTGCGTCGCCAGAACCGCAAGAGAATCTAGAGCCTCTTCGTATTATTTTTTTGAGCCCTTTTTCTTTTTTCCACTCGTTTTTTTGCACTTGTACCATTTTATCCCCCTGTTTTTTAATAAGCATCATAGAGTAACACCATTACGAAGTTGTATTCCCCTTTTTTTGTCATTGCATCAATCATCTTGCTACTGTCGCTGGGAGTAAGAGGGAGAAAGAAGTAAGATTTAACAGAGAAGGAAAAAAAGCTAAACTTCAAAGTATGAAAGGTCTGAAGAGCGAGAGGAAGAGGGTCAGAGTGAGAGAAAGAGAGGAATGAAGGGATCAGACAATACAAGGTCGAGACGAGATGAGATCGATATCGAAAGAGGATAAAATGAGAACAAGTGATGAAGTAAAAAAAAGCAAGGGCCTGGGAATGTTCCTCAATCGTTACGACCCATCGCATACTTTTGCTCGGGATGCACTCGAGCATGAGTTTTTTGATTGGATTGAGTAAGGGCAAATGTGTGCCTAAGCAAGACATTGATTGTTGATTGTCCATTTGCCCATGGGTCCAAACGATCGATCTCTCTCTGCCCCTGGCCATGTACGAGTGCGCGGGTACAAACAGGAACAGGCAGCTCTCTTTCTGTGCTGAATCGTGATCGACATAATATCCCCTCATTCTCGCAAACTCTCTAACCATTGTCTAGCGTCTCTCATGTAAGGAGACAACCTTCCTCTCTCTTTTGTTTCAACACCACACTCGGTGTGGTTGTAGCACGTTTGGTTTATCGATGGGAGGAGAGTCTAGCCAACCCATCGTCGCTGAAAATGGGGGGGGAAGAGGAAGTTAGACACTTGTGTGGATCTCGCCATTTCTCCCATTTGGAAAGCGAGGTGCTCTCATATCTTTTTTATTTTCCTTACAAACACAATACGGAATGGTGTTGTTGTTGGTGTCGTTCTCTTGTTGTGCTTGTTGTTATTTTGTTTTTTTGTTTGTTTGAATAACGTGCTGGTTACTTAGTTTCTACTCATGAATAAAAGGGGATCTAAATGTTGGCCGGGCTCTGCATCTGAAGACCAACCTTGGTGTAGTAAGTTCATTAGAAGGGCTTTGTTTTTATTGTTGTGGTTGGAAGAAATATGTCCGAGGCGATTAGGGAGATGAGGAAGAGGGAGTCCGTCCGGACAATGGTTGAATATGTCGATACCATGGGTATGGCATGGACATGGTATGGCGTGGTTGCTTTTGTAGCCAAAGTTTTATTAGTATTATATGAGCGTGTAAAAGAGTGAGAACAGAATGGGGTGTTGTTTTTCTTGGCCGTGCTCCACAAGGCTAGACCGACGAATTGTGGTTGCACCAAAATAACTGAATGAAGGACGAAAATAACATTGCGCTAGGTGAGCATTGAGTCGCAAAGTGTGTGTGTGTGTGTGTGTGTTTTTTTGCCATGTATGCATTGGCACTAGGGGTGTAAAAGTAAATGAAGGGAACCAAAACACTGCAGTTCGATTGGACCGAAACTGGCGTGGATGAATGCAAAACAAATAAAAGACAAACAAACAACAAAACAAAACAAAAAAGATATGAGCACCACGAGCGCGCCTGTTGCCGACGACCAACCGACCGTTAGCTGCGTACTGGTGGCAGTAATTGTTACTGGATTGATTATCATCCACGAGCTGGGCGTCGGTGATGAGTAAAGGACGACAACGTGCGATTGTTGGGCGTGTGAGTGAAAGAGTAACTATCATAGCTGGCCCCAAGGAGAGACAAGAGCGAACAGGCAATTATGTACGGTTTCAAGAGATGGATGGGTTGTCTCCAAACAGCAGGATTCTATGCGTCAATTTGGATAACAGAGGGGTACATGTGTTCGGTACCATGACGGGAGTACAAACATTGTTAGTGCCTGAAAAAGAGGGCGATCGCTTCAAACGATTAATGACTAAAGCGTACGACAGACGCCAGCTAATTTGTAAAAAAAACAGCTACTGTAACGGCTGCCGTGTTGGGTGTTGCTGCAAGTTAGGTTGTGAGCGTGTATATGTTTATAGAAAGGGAGCTAGATGCCAATGGTCGCCAGCATGATGGGTATTTATTTGTAGGCGCGAATGGGTTCGTTACATAGCGAAGTAGCAACAAGAAGGGAATGAAGGAAACCTTCATAATTCATTCCTCTCGGTGCCTTTTATGGTTTTTTTCTCTTTGCGAGAAAACTGTAACCCAAGTGAATTAGATGTCTCTTTGACATGATGATGTGTTGTTAACACGCTCGTCCTCCTTCCTCGGTTGTCCACTTTCCTCTCTTCTCTTCTCTCTCTCGTTCTCTCTCTTTGAGTCTCTTCTTCTCTCTTTCGTCTTTATCCTCGTCGTCCTCTTCCTTTCCTCCTCTCCTTCCCTCCTCTCCTTCCCTCTCTCTCTCTTCTCCTTCCCTTACCTCCCTCCCCCTCCTCCTCTCCTTCTCTCCCCGCCTTCCTTGTCTCATTTATTGATAATATCTCCTTCCCTCCATCTCTCTTTCTTGTCCCTCGTGTATCCCTCCTTCGCTCTCCTTGTCCTCTCCTCCTCTCCTCTCTCCTCTCTCCCGCGCACGACCACAGCACAGGAACCAACAACAACAACCAAGGCCTCCTTTTTTTATTTCTCATTCCCTCTCACTTTTGACCAACAACAACCAACAACAACACCCTTTTTGTAACGACCCATTCCACTTTCCCTTACTTGGGTTTTTATCTTTTCTTCTTCGTTTTAATTCCCCCTTTTTTCACCTTCGCTCCCTCATCGCCCTCTCGTTGACATCGTTTCTTCATTCGTTCTTTTCTTTTTGTCGTCGTCGTCTCCATCAAGAAACAACAACGACCACCAGTTAACAACAACAACAACATTAACGGACAGAAGAAAAAGACGGAGTCAACATACCCTCTTTCTTCCACTCCTTCCTTCAAGTTGCATTTATCATCTCATATCGACCCTTTTTTGCGATCAAAAGAGAGGACCATGCACCACCTGCGACCCGAGACAGCAACTGCCCCTCCTCCTTTTTCTCATCCATAGTCGACCACAAGTCCGCCTTGAACACAAACCTCGCCACCCTTCTCTTTTTTTCATTTATACCCGCATATCTCTCCTTTTTCTTATTTTCTTTCATCCTTTTGAGGCTGTTTTCTCTTTCAACTTCAACAATTGCGCCCATCACCGCTGTATCATCACCATCTCTTCCTCCTCCCTCGCATTATCCATACCCTTCACCCAGTATCACTACCCTCTTTCCCACCTGGTCTAGAAGCCCTCTTTTTTTGCTCTTCTTGCAGTTTTCTCTTCTAAACTGACTTTCCACCCTTCCAACGGGCACATATTTCTGTTTCTTGTGCTCATCTAGCTGTAATTGCTCTCGCATTACATCCGGCTCCGACACCCCTCTATCTATCTCTTTTTCACAACTCTCTCTCTCTCTTTTCCCCTATTGCTCCCCTGCTCCTCTCTTCTGCTCTCTTCCTTTTTTCAGATCCACCTCTCACTCTTGTAACGCCAAAAAAACCCCCACGCGGCATAGACGGATCGACATCAGATGTTTTCACTAAAAAAGAAAAAGACAAAGGGCATTCAAGGCGGCGGTATCCAAGGTGGTAGCTTTGCCCACGATATCCATAGCGACGAGCCTCTCGAATGGCTAGAGCAGCATCACAAAAAGACAATGGGCCACTCCATCACTAACGCCAACCACAACAACAACAACAACAACAACAACAACAACAACAACCACAGCAATAGTTTTCCCATTCAACAACAACAACAACAATCTAAACATCAATACCCACGCCCACCACCACCACTACCACCCCAACAACACTTGCAGGAACCCTCCAATCAACAGCTCGGCCTATCATCCTCTGGTTTTGAATACCCCATGAGCGGAGACGAATCCGACAACCACCATAACCAAATGGAGCACCTTCGGTCACAGTTCTACACGCCCGACCCCCAGAAGCGGACAAAGGAGTACCACATGGAGCAGTCGATGCAGGCTATCGAGCACCTCAAGATGGCTTCGCGGCCGAATGGCTGGAAGAAGATCGACAAGCACAAGTCTGGCTGCACTGTCTACCAGTCGACCACCGCTACCACAATACCCAGCCACGGCGATCACAAGTACCCGGCCTTCAAGGGCGAGCACGTCATCCATGGACACAAGGCCCAAGATGTATTTGCCATTGTAGGAGTTCGCAAATTATGGGAGTAAGTGCTTTTTTTGCTCGCGTTATCCGTCTTTCGATTTTTTTAAAGTTGTTTTGGTCCTGTGGTGTTTGTGTGCTTGTTTTTTCAGGGCGTTCTCCCGCTCGGGTGCTGCAATTTGATCGCGTCGGCGCTGGCGAGGAGAATTTTCTTTTTTTAGGGGCCAAAATTGATTGGTGTTGTGGGGACGCGTCTCTCTCTTTGGGGCTGTTGTTTGTTTGTTCCTGTAGAACCGTGACGACTAAGAAAAAGGAAAGGTCTATTGGACGGAAGGACAATGGAGGGATGCACAAGAATTACTACTCTCTTCAGGGATGAATTAGCCCATCGGAGAAGGAAAGAAGGAAGGACGCAAAGAAGAACGAAAAGAAGGAAGGAAGGAGAGGGGGTAGAAAAGTAAAGAAAACGAAGATGGCGAAGAGAAGAGTAGGGAGTCGGGTGAGAGCAGGAGAAGGAGGATCTCCCTCTCACCCTCTTTCTCACTTTTCTTTGTCAAGTTGCTATAGTCAACTACTCTTCGTGTGTGTGTTATAGCTCGATCCTTCTCTCACTCCCTCTTTTGGCTCATTCATCCACTGTCTCTCTCTCTCTCTCTCTCTCTCTCTCTCTCTCTCATTTCTCCCTCCCGCATACATGCACACACACATACTTATGTCTCCTGGCTCCCTCGCAAATCTGTTACAGATTTGACATAGACACGGTCGACCCTTTTTTTTTTCTTCTTTTGGCGATGAGTCTGGACATCTTTCTAACGGACGAAACATCTCCTTTTCTTTCACCCTAATAGCGACTGGTACGATGAACTCAGCTGCGTAGAGACTTACGACGACGCGACCAATCTTATGTATATGGTCATGAAAGGAACCCTTTCATCCAAGTAAGTCTTTTCCTTACATTCTTCCCGCGGCCTCCTTATTGACTTTCTCCCTCCCCTGGTTCTTCCCGTCTGTTGAGTTCATATGCCTTGTTTGATACCCTGTCATTCTTTGATTAACTCCCTACGCTAACATGTATCATCTTCTACTGCTCATTTCTCATTTATTCCAATAGAACGCGAGATGTTTCGATGGTAGAAAGGACGGAAATCGAGAGCGACGGCACTATCTACTTTGCTGCCTGCTCAGTCGACTCAACCAAAATCCCTCGGATAGCGGGTAAACACCGCTCAGAGATCTTCTTGGCCGGGTGGATCATCCAGCCCCTCCCTTCCAACCCTCCCATCACAAAGATCACATATGTCATCCAGACCGATCTTCTGAACAGGCTCCCAAAGTTCATCGCCAAGCGGTCACTGGCCAAGCGAGCACTCGTCGCCACCGTCATCGAGACCTACCTTAAGAAGAACGGCAACCCATCGACCGCTGTCGCCTCAACAACGACGCGTAAACGCAGTTTGAGCGAGCCTCTCAAGCTGGATCATTCCCTCATCCCACCAGACTCTGACGATGAGGATCTGGAATCTGGGTCGGCTTTCCTTACGCCACTCCACAACGCAAATCATGCTGATGACGAGGAGGAAGAGTCCACCGAAGACGAGTCCCCAAGGCGACAGCAGCCATTTTACCAAGCTGCACCATCGTCCAAGGCCCCTGCTGCTAATACTCGCAACTCTCTCTTCTCGTCCAATTCTCTGTTCAGCCAAGAGTTCATCGACAGCAACCCTTTCCTTGGCGAATCATCAGCCCTCTTTAGTGATTCCCTTCTCTTTGGCAAGGACAACACTTCCGAGAGTAAGAAGCAACAAGACAAGATCGAGACCCCTGCTGCCCTTTCAAAGCCCGCTGTCTCCAAGCCTGTTGCCTCCAAGTCAGATGTTCAGGAAAAGACTCGTACGCCAGTGCCGGTCACCAGGACGACTCTCTCTCCTGACACTGCGATACGGAAACCCCATCAATCCAAGCGCGTGTCGATCCCTGTGGTGCTGCCAAAGTCTGAGGCAAGGATGAGGAATTACAACGGCAGCAGTAATACTCTCTTGTCGGAGCATTCGGAGCTGATGCCAATGATCCTTCCAACGACGCCTCCATTGACGCCTACCGCCTCGATCACCAGCAAGGATGTCACTTCGGATTCAGACGCAGCTCAAACGTCCGAGGTCAAGGCTGTTCCCAGATCACCCAAGAACAGCACGGCAGCTCCCGAGGCGGAGGACACTTTCGACACCCGAGCCAGCTCTATGGCAATGTCCTCGTTCGGAATGAAATCTCCCTCAGCCATGATGGAGGCTCGTCGCCATAGCGCATTGATGGGTCGGGGTACTGCCTTTGTCCCACGCCATAGCCATGCTGTCCCAATCCGCGGCAACCCCAACGTCTCTCTCCAGTCCCTGATCCGCCCCTCTGGACCCACGAGCAATGCCATGAAGCGTCATTCGGCTGCACCCAGTTTGGATTCCAACCGGTCGTTGACATCGTGCCTTCCCATCATGATTTTGCCCCACAGACACTCTGAGACTGCACGCAAGGCTTTGGCCATGTTCAAGGTCTTGGCTTCGAGTCCCGAGGACCGCTGGAGGGCCATCTCAAGCGAGAACGGATTCAAAAGCTACTCGAGAATCATCTCTGGAGCCGGCTTGCCCATGCTTCGTAGCGAGGGTACCATTACTGGAGGTTGGACTGTTGAGCAGATCAACGCCGTGATCGAGTCGTCTGGCTGCCGCACCACCTGGGATGAGCGCTTTGAGAACCTGTCGATTGCCGAGACCTTTAACCATAACGAGTACTTGTTCCATGTTACTCTCAAGGGCGTTGGCTCTATCACGTAAGTTGTTGCTTTTACTCTATTTCCCAAAGCGTACATGTTTTCGGGCTAATATGATTAGATATTAACATGTCGTTATTTTTCCTGTCCATGTAAAATAGTGGCCGCGATCTTGCTGGAGTTACCATCGTTGACAGGGATCCCATGACCTCTGCTCTGTACAACGTCTCGACGTCGGTCCTTGACTCCACCATCCCCGAAAATCCTGGCCGTATCCGTGCGATGCTTGAGCTCTCCGGTTGGTCTCTCCGCCCCACCTTTGACGGCCAGGGCAACACCGTCTCTGTGAACGTGACCTTTGTGGTCCAGGTCGACATTCGTGGAACCCTTCCCTCGTCGGTTGTCAAGTCCATGACTGCCAGCATGACCACCGCCGTCCCGCGCCTCAACCAGTTCATCAACAAGACTGGCTACCCACCATTTGCATCGCACATCTCCGGCACCAGACTGTTGGACACCTTTGATCCCACGACTGGGTTTTACGAGCTGTGCTACAAGGCTGCTCCTGGTTGGACAGAGGTCCGTGTCGGTCGCAAGGTCTATAAGGAGGGCTATGATTTCTTCATCAAGCCTGACGATCCCTCGGTTCGCGTGGAGCTTGCTCCTGATTTTGGTGGCGTTCGCATCTGGACCACTCTTGATCACGAGGGTCAGAGTATCATTGCCCAGGTCTCACGAAAGGGCATGAACATTGTCGAGCCCACCGCACCCAAGGAGGAGACCAAGCAAGATGCCGAGGTTCAGACTGCCCAAGACCTTACCATCAAGAGCGAGCCTATCAGCGGCATTGACAGCAACGGACATGACCAGAACGAGGTCGAGAGGGAATCGGGGCATACGACCCATGCCAGCCGTAAGAGACGCAGCGCCAGCTACTCGGCTACAACTCCAGCATCAGGATCTTTTGCTCGACCTGATTCCCAGGCTTCTCAGAGCTCTGATAGGAGTCGATCGCGTGGACGTACTCCTCGTCAGATCGTGACCCTCCCCGCTGGCACTCCTCTTCCCCCATTGCCTCGCCGATCTAGCTCGTTGGGCAGGCTCTCGATCCCCATCGATGCTTACCTCCCTGGTCCCGATGCTCCTCCAGTACCCACCAATGCTGCTGCCCTGGAGGCTGGTATGCGTTCCAGCACTGCTTCGGGATTCGAGCTTGTTGCCTCGCCTATTGAAAGCCCAAGGCCCATGCCTGACTCGCCTACTATCTTGGAACCTCCAGTTCAGACTGAGAGCAAGCCGGTCCCCACAGTGTTGACCACAGCCGCGGCTGCAGCTGCCGGTGTGCCCAAGGTTGAAACTAAGGTCGAGGCCAAGGTTGATGCTGTTTCAGATGTTACCACCCATCGCTCATCGAGCGCTCCTGCCACGCCTGTGGTTACTCCCAAGTCAGTCGAGGTTGTTTCCTTGGCTTCGCAGTCTTCTCCCGCTGCTTCGCCTGTTCCCTCGGCCACTGCTGCCTTCAGTCCTCGTTCGTCTTCTTTGACTGCTGCATCGACGGCCTCCTCTGCTGCGTCGTCTTCTACCGCCTCTGGTTCCGGATTCCAGCCCTCGAGCCGCCTGAAGCACAGCACCTCGATTGCCTCGATTGGTGGTGCCAGCTCCGGACCCAAGAGGCGCGAAGTCCGTGTCACGTTCTCTTTGGACACTATCGATAAGTCGGACGACGTCGATGCTGCTCAGTTCACTGCCACCTCGAGCCCCTTGGACAACCTGACAAAGATGAACAACGACAAGGAGAGTGTTGCCATCCATAATGTCGTCTCCCAGTCTGGATCGATCGAGTCCCACGAGTGCCAGGAGTATGAGAGCGATGAGGCCGAGTTTGTCGAGGCCCGCGACTCGCTCTCTGATGACGAGATGGAGTTTTCGTTGGTCTTGGCCAGCATCGGTGCTTGGCCCTCGGCATCCTCGTTCTCGGCTTCTTCGTCCTCCTTGGCTTCCAAGCAGGTAGTCCAGAAGGAGAAGCAGGAAGAGATGGTTATGACCTCGTTGCAGGCCGTCGAGAGAGGGTTCCGTCAGTTTGTGTTGGGTTCCTCTGTCCAAGCCAAGGCTGCTATTGTGTTCTTGTTGCTCGTTTACTATGCCAGTCGTCTTTCATCACTCATCGCTTAAAGTTAAGTTGCGTCTGAAAAACAAAATCTTTAGAGTCGGACACAACAACAAACCACCCCATCCTCCTATTTTTCTACATTCCCATCTTCACGCCGAAATAAAAACACCATTAATTTCGTTCACGATCATTGTTGTCTTTTGTTTTTCTCCTTGCAAATGGCGAGTTTTATCTTTTATGAATAAGTTCAAGTGTACACAAGATACTCGTTTTTTTTTTCCTTTTTTCTTGTTTTTCACTGATGGGCGTAAAGTGCTCACCAATTGCGCTCACAATCTTTGTTTTTGAAGCAATTAGTTTAACGAATGAAGGAAGAATGGACGAATATCTTGCCATGGGATGTACTTGATACAATTCTGACTGTGCGTAAGCAAACTAAAAAGTATCCATAAAAGTGAGATGTGCTCTCTTGTTTTTCCTCTTCTTTTTTGTCACTTTCGACTCTCTCTCATCTCTCCCATCTCCAGCTACCCCACTCTTGCCTCTTTTTTTTTTTTTTTTTTTTTTTTTTTCCACGCTGTATATACACTTTCATTTATTCCTTGGACCGTGGGCACATTTTTCGAAACCAAAAAAATCATATCATGCAAGACGCTTCTTCCCCTCCCTCTACAGAATCCGAGTCCTCAAGCCCTTCAAGATGGCCCCGCCTCCCTCCCGAGATACTAGAGCTCATCATGGACATGCTCGATGACGATACCCCAGCCCTCGCATCCATCCTCCAAGTCGACCGTCAAGGATTTTTTGCAGCCGTGCCCCGACTCTACCGAGACCCCTTCTTCCGTATCCGAGAGATCTATCGTCGTAAATGTCACAGTATCCGGATCGATGCCAACAGGACCGAGGTCAATCAACGTCTGAGGCCCAAGACGCTCTCGGATGATTTGGGTTTCTTGCCGACGACGAAGGAGGAAGAGACGGCGTTGAAAGTGTGGAACGCTTATCGGACAAAGGCTTTCTTTGAGGAGGATGAAGCTGCGATTAATTCGAGATGGAAGAGAGAGGCGCGGGAACGGGAGAGGCGGTTGTTGATGACATTGATGTCGACGCTTTTACAGGACCTTTGTGTCCGGTTTCCGGTTATCGCGGGTTCGTTCCTACCACCACCGCCGCCCTTGTCAGCACCAGCGTCAGCCTCGTCTTCGTCAGCTGTCCCGGGTACACCTACCATGACCAACACCTCTGGCACGATGCAAGGATCCCACCACTCATTGGATTTCGGACCCCACTTTCGAGAAATAACCTGGACCAGCCAATACTACCTCCGCCACTGGACCGTCATCGACCTTGAAAAGCTCTCGACCCGTGGCCGGCAACTCCATTACACCTGCTATTGGTGCTTTGCGGACGGCGACAGCAGGGGCCAAGATGGGATGTTCAATTGCTTGTTCCAGGATCGGGAAAACTGGATGATCGGCGTGCCCGAGTACCTACAGCGGGCGCTGTTGAACCAACCAGGGGCGGACAGAATTGTGACTCTGAGGATTCCTATTCGTCGGCTGCGGAGCTTTCAGGACCGGTTGGATCGCGCTCCCAGGGGGTGGGCAATGGCCAGGTCGATAAGGATGTGGGGGTCATCAAGGACCTCGAGTATGAGGAGGGGGGAGGAGCGGAAGGCGCGGGATAGACTGAGGGCAGCGAAGAAGGAGGAAGAGGAGACTCGTGGGCGTAGTTTGGATGCCGTTGCTCTCTCTTCTCTGCTTACGAAAGCGTCGTTATCGCCAGAGGAAAGAAAATGTACCAGGACTGCAGGAGAATCGGACCATACTGTTGACGTGTCGTCCCGGCCTTACTGTGTCACTCTGAACAAACTAACGAACTTGAGACGGATCGAGATCTGCAATCTAAGCCAGAACGACTGCGACTGGGAGACTCTCCGCCGGGCCCTCTTCACCCTCGAGTTTGGTGGCGACTCTGGTGTTGACCTGGAAGACCTGGGGAAGATGAAACCGACACCCGCGCTCCAAAAGAAACGACGCCGCCCCGGCAAGATCCGGGAGCTATGTCTCACCACCCATTCGACTATGGGGCTCGGGATTGACAGGGTCCTGGAATGTCTTGGAGGGTTGGAGGTGCTTGAGATTATAACGCGCAGTTATCAGTGCTATCCTTGGGTGACGACTTGGGATCCGAGTCTGTGTAGGGAGTTGAGGGTTTTGAGAGTGGGTGAGATTGGGCGGTTGACAGAGAGTACAGTGTCGTTGGAGGATTTGGGTCGGTTTTGGAGGTTGGAGGAGTTGAGGTTGAGGATTGATAGTGGACACGTTTTCCAATGGGTTGTGGATGCCAAGAAGGAGGCGAGAAGGGTCAGCGTCGCAGGAGCTTCAAGTTTAAGAGCACGAGCTGGAGCAGTAGGAGGTGGAGAGGACGCCCTACTGGTGAACTGTCTTCCTCATCTGAAGAGACTAGGCGTCCTCAACCGACAAGACCTTTCCGCAGATGTCCTGACAACCATCACCGAGGCGTTCGGAGACCAGCTCGAAGAGCTGGTGATCTGCTTCTCTGGACAAGAGGGTCCCCTCCGGTTCCAACACCCGCTCACAAACCTCACCCGATTGGCGATCCGATTCGTGAGCCTCCTGCGATTCGAGTTTGAAAGCCTATCTCAACAGTGTCCCCTGCTGGAGTGGATCATCATCCAGCACACGCGGTTCCGGCCTGATCGTGATGCCAATGGCAGTGAGAGCCATCCAACTACGATGTCGACAGAGGGGCGACCGTACCATGACATACTGAACCACAAGATTGTCGATGCCCTAGGACAGTTCACCCGACTACGAACCGTCTACCTCGAGGGATACTCCGCCATGTGCGGAGAACACCTTCGGATACTTGTGGATCAGTGTTCAAGTCTGAGACGGATCGGGATCCATCAGATGCTGGCCGTGACGACCGAAGAACTGGCGGCAATTGATACGGAACTGAGGTGCAGGCCGGAGAAGTTCCCGTTGTTGCAGAGAGGGGTGTATAGGCTCCCGAGTCGGATGTCGAATTGGTGGGATCTTGATTTTCATCGGCAGGCTCTTCAGTGGGGGTACGGCCTCGATGAATAAACAAAAGAAAACGAGAGCATGAGCCAAACGTCAATGGTGCCATTGTCTCACTATTTTTTTTTTGAAGTGAGGCGTTCGCATACTTTTTTTTCGATGTTGACGACTGAGAGGATATGTATCTTCTCTTTGGCCTTTTTTTGTTGTCGACAGGGTTATGGATGCATTGTGCGGTATCTAACCTTAATACAGATGTACAAGAAAACAAAGCGAGACAACATGATTTAAAATTACTCTTAATGAGACAAGTTCCCAAAAACACCAACCGCATAGTCTCATCGAGCAGTAAACCGCGCTGATCTGGAGCAAAGTCAAGCAGAAGCAAGTTTTTTTTTTATGCAACTCGGGATCCCAACCTTATCAAGGCAAAAGAAACGACATGAAACTCGCCAACGGTTAGGGGTACCCTTGATCGCGTCATATATGTACCCGATAACGTTCTTGAGAGCGGCATGTTCTTCACCAATGCTGTCCAGCTGGTCGACGACATCGTTGCTAAGCTTTGCTGGTAGTCTCCATGATGGTGAGGCACGCCAGATTTGCCTCGATGGTTGCGACCCCCGTCCTGGAAATTCTGAAAGAGTGGTGAAGAAAGAGGGAAGGGGAGGGAGAAGGTTGCATTCCAAGGTGAAAGAAAGCTACATCTTTGAGGAAGGCGTATGCTGTGTTGCGGCCTGGAATACACATTCTTTTTTTTTTATTCTTCTAGCGACTGGTATATCTCTCCATTTAGCTTTACAGACGTGAAAACCCCATCCTCCACCATCTGGCCTCGCTCGTTGCAAATGCGTCTTGAGAGGGAAATCATAGCCATCCTTTGTGGACTCCTACGGGCGCAGAGAGAAAGGGAGAGAGAGAGAGAGAAATGAGAAGTGAAGGGGCTTGACTCATGTGTGTGTGAATGGCAGCATGCCAGGGGTGATTATCGTCGTTCCATTTCACCAACTGGTGAGTAGCGAATGCGTCAGGAACGAAACAAAAATCCAGCATTTCGCCCAAATGGTCGCTACTTGAAAAATGAAAAAGAACCAAGCCACAGGTCCAGACGCGTTTTTCTGTTTGAGACGATTTCGACATCCTTGACTCCACTTCTCCTCACAAACTGCACCAAAGAAGACAATGTCCCACCCCAGCAGGAATCATACAAACGCACACAATGGAGCCGCATCTCGGACAGGAATCAGTAGCAAGAATACAGCCACATCACGGCAACAGAACGGCTCCTTGGAGATCCGGAATGGCCACCATCCGCAACAACAACCAAAGAACAACAATCAGCGCCAGCAGGGCGGAGCAACGTCCTCAGCAACCCTGACAAGACTTGGGTCAGGAGGAGCAGGAGCAGTAGTCACTTCTGCTACAGCAGGGACGATTGCTCAGCAACAAGAGTCATGGATCAAGAGCCGACAGGTGTACCAGCAACAACTGCTGACAGAGCATTTTGGGTTCTCTCCCCTTTCCTTTGTCGACGATGTCATCAACTCGGTCAACAACATGATCTACCAGGCCTCAATGGCCCTGCAGGAGTTTGTTGAGAACGAGATGGAAGCATGGGCGGTTCAGCACCAAAATCAACTGCCGAAAAATTATGACGTTAAGGTGGAAAGTGCCAAGGTACGAGGGAGATAAAAACAATTATTTGCGAGTAGGGTTATGAGACTCGAGCTGTGCGACCAGGATGCGGACCGCAGGACTTGCTAACAGAAAAATGGTATTTTTTTTGCCATTTTATGTTTAATAGGGTATGCACAAGTTTGAGACGCTGCTGGAGGCTGCGGTTGACAAGAACTTTGACCGTTTCGAACTGTACGCTCTGAAGAATCTGTTTGGCGTGCCTGAGGATGTCGACATCGTTCTCCCACATTATGAGGCTCTGGATTTCGGGATTGGTGCGGATAAAGAGGAAGCACTGGATAAGGAACTCGAGCTCCTTAGACAGCAAGTCATCATGGTACATATCAATATTTGGCACCTGAGTACTGTTGCAGATGTCATTTACAGCGAAGACCAATCTAATTGCAGAAAAATTCTGCCTCTCATGACTGAATAGACAAAGGCGATGAACTACAAGTTAAGAAAGGAGCTGGCGCTTGAAGAGGGTCGGAGGCGAGAACTGGAGAGATGTCGGGAGCAGATTGGATTCCTCAAGGATGCCCTCAAGGAGTACCGCGATGGTAGGTTCCTACATGCATTACCGTCTGCACATGGAGATCAGAGACCGGTACTATCAGATTTTGTGTTCTTAACATTTTGTTTTATTTTTTTCGATCCGCACCTTGTAGTGGCACCGATCCCACAGACATTGATCTTTATCCGTGATAACATCGAGACGCTGCATCGGCGGTTCGGAGCATTGCACGAGAAACTCCAGCGGAATGCGCAGGCAGATCGCCTTGCGTCATCGGCAGCAGCATCAACAGGAGAACGAGCTGTGTCGAGCGTTACGGCATTGCACGAGGCATTGCTGTCACAGGAGCAGGACCAGAGAGTAATGTATATCCGGTCGGTGGTCCGTCGCCAGATTGACGAGCATCTTGGATCAGAGACAGTTGTGATGCATCGGTCACACAACTTTACTGCCCCACCAACGCCATCACCCCCAAGCTAGTCGTGATCTGTGAACCTTTTGTTTCTGCGCGGGAGCATAATTCGCCCCTTCCGGCCTTCTAGCAATTAATCTCTAATCAAGGGAATAAAGCTAGCAGGGAACATGCAAACACGAAAAATAAGAAGAGTAAACGATTGCGGAGCACAAAGCTGGGAGCAGAGGGACAGATCCATAGATTTGAAAGGTAGCCGCAGCTGGAGACAGAAAAGAAGAGAGAGAGTGAGGACGGCACAGGGTAGTAGATTCTTTTCTTGGAGTGAGATGAAACCGAGAACGTCTTTCTTTTTCTTTTCCATTTTTCGCCGGGTTCGTTTACCGTTCTTCTTTTCCTTCCGTAGTATTGTCCGCCTCCCACGGCCAGCCCTCTCGCCACCTTTTTTCTTCTCTTTAGTATTATATACTCTTGCCCCGTACCTTCTCTTACTTCTCTCTCTTTATTTTCCTTCACTCCACTCCTTCCACTTTCCTCATTCACATCGATCACTCTTCCCTTCTCTTCCATTCATTTATTTATTCACCCACTTCCCCACAACAAGATTCAAATGGACAAAAACATTAACATCACCAACACCGAAAAGAGAATCTCGGCTAATGGATTCCCATTGCCAAAACGACTCTCGACCGCACTTGCCAACGGTGCTGTAACAACAGCAACAGCCCAAGGGGACTCGACCGCAGTCTCTTTCCCCATACCTCTGTCGCCCACAACGCCCTCTACGCCCCTGCACCCTCGCAAGAAATGTAAACAACCAAGCTGGAATCAACTTTTTTTCTTCTTTTGTTTATTATGTTTGCGTGTGAATCAGAATCAGAATCAGTGATCTCCTACTTGAACGTTCAGTCCTCGGTGTTTTTTCGGCTGGGAGCATAAAGATAAAAAGAAGTTGTCTGGACAACAGGAAATTAACTCCCCGCATATGCTCGATGGCGTCACGCTCTGTTAATCAATAGATATCATCGGCGTCTGTGCTATGGATGACAAGGCCCGTTCGAAGCCCATGCGGAATATCCTTGACCGGTTGCTGAAAAATGGGCCTTTTGAGGCCATCATCTTTGGCGACAAGTGTATCCTCGACGAAGGTAAAGCAAGCAATGGCACTCTTCAATTCGAGCATGAAGAGCTACTTTTATCAGTTGGACTGCTGTTGTTGCTTTGATCAGTTTGTACGACGGTGCATTAACGAACTCCCATTCTTATCTTATATTTGCAACCCAGATGTCCGAGCATGGCCTGCATGTGATTTCTTCATTTGTTTCTTCTCCAAGGGCTTCCCTCTCGAGAAAGCCATCGAGTATGTCAAGCTCAGAGCACCTCTCTGCGTCAACGAGGTCGATCTCCAGGCACTCTTGTGGGATCGCCGGTTGGTTCTCGAGATTCTGGAGCAGATTGGTGTGCCCACCCCAAGACGCTTGACCATGGATCGGGACGGTGGGCCCCATATTGAGCGATCGGTCATCCAAAAGCTCAAATTGCGTGGGGTTACTGTGAAAAGAGATCGTCCCACGCCAGAATTCAAGGTCATTGATCAGGACACGATCCAAATCGGAGACCAGGTCATGACCAAGCCCTTTGTTGAGAAGCCTGTCTCGGGAGAGGACCACAACATTCACATATACTACCACTCTTCGACGGGCGGTGGAACCAGACGTCTCTTCCGCAAGGTAAGCCACCATGTCTCATATTGATCTGCAGCACTAATTGAAAAGTCTGAGGGGCAATTGAAATACTAACCTCAATACTAACCTCTCGATCGATCATAGGTTGGCAACAAGTCGAGCGAATACGATCCAAATATGAACACTTGCAGGATGGAAGGCTCATATATCTACGAAGAGTTCATGGATGTCGACAACGCTGAGGATGTCAAGGTGTACACTATCGGTAATCATTTCGTGCATGCTGAAACTAGAAAGTAAGTTCTTTGACCCATTTCGTCATTCTGGTGAGAAACGCAAGTATGAATCCCTCCTCCCTCTTGGTGATTTGGCTAACAAAATGCCTCATTTCTATGTGTCATCGTGTCTAGGTCCCCGGTCGTTGATGGACTTGTGCGCAGGAACACGGACGGAAAGGAGATTCGTTATGTCACCCAGCTCACTCCCGAGGAGAAAAAGATGGCGTCTGGCATCTGCAAAGTGTTTGGTCAGCGCGTGTGTGGATTTGACCTGCTTCGTGTGGGTGGCAAGTCGTATGTGATTGATGTCAATGGCTGGTCGTTCGTCAAGGGCAACAACTACTACTACAACAACTGCGCAAGCATTCTTCAGGAAACCTTCCTCCGCAACGCCCACCAGAGAAAGCTCTCGGAAGTAGTCCTGCCCAAGGAGCTCAGCGCCGAAAACTCGTGGAGACTCAAGGCTTTTGTCTCGGTCTTCCGCCATGCCGACCGGACACCCAAGCAAAAGATGAAGTTCTCCTTCAGCTCTGCGCCCTTTAGGGAGCTTTTGAACGGAGGAGGTGAGGAGGTCATCATTCGACAGGCTAGAGATCTCAAGTTGGTCTCTGCGGCGGCTGAGCAGGCTATGGAGGAGGGTCTGGAGGATACCAACAAATTGATGCTGTTGAGGAACATTTTGGACAAGAAGTCGAACCTTCCTGGAACCAAGGTCCAAGTCAAGCCTTCCATTACAAAGGATGCCGAGGGTAATTCCAAGTCCGTCAAGCTCAAGATTATCGTCAAGTGGGGAGGCGAGGTAAGGACATTTGACGCTCTCTCTTAAAAGGTCACATACGATTGTCTCGTGTGCAACACTAACGACGTTTAATTTGTTATTATTGTAATAGTTCACTCATGCGGCAAAATACCAATCGAGGGACTTGGGCGACAACCTCCGCAAGGATTTGATGATCATGAACAAGAACGTTTTAGACGATGTCAAGATCTATACATCCTCCGAGCGTCGTGTGCGCGCCACCGCCGAGCTGTTTACCCAGCGCTTCCTGGGTATCCGCGAGGTTCCTAGGGACTTGCTCTTGATCCGCAAGGAGATGCTAGATGATAGCAACGCCGCTAAGGAGAAGACGGACATTGTCAAGAAAGAGCTCTGGGAGCTGTTGCAGCCGGAGTCGAAGGAGATTGAGAAGTACTGGCCTAAGGGTCAGGCCGATCCGGGCGAGTTGGTCCAGAGCATGATTGAGTCGATGAAGACTCTGCGGGATATCATGCGCAAGAATTTCAGGCGGTTAGACCCAGCGACGATTCAGAAGACTTGGTGCTGTTATGAAAGTCCTGCATTGTTCTTTGAGCGGTGGGAAAAGATCTTTGGCGAGTTTGCGGATGGTGACAGGACCGAGTTTGACCCCTCCAAGGTCTCGGAGCTGTATGATTCGTTGAAGTATGATGCATTGCATAATCGAACATTCTTGGAGACCATCTTCGTGGACAAGGAAGCTGGCGTTGGGATGGCGCCCATGAAGGATCTTTACTCGAAGGCCAAGATTTTGTTTGATTTCGTGGCCCCGCTCGAGTATGGCATCAATGAGGAGGATCGGCTGGAGATTGGGCTTTTGACCAGTTTGCCGCTCCTCAAGCAGGTTGTTGAGGATCTGGAAGCTGCCAAGAGGTCTGCAACTCCTTGCACTCGTCTCTACTTTACCAAGGGTAAGTTTTTGAGCACATTTGATCCTGGACTGACTGCATTTGACTTAACTGCTAGTGACGAACGTATATATGACACGAACTAACGGCTATGACGTTTGCTTTGTTGACAATAGAGTCGCATGTTCATACTCTGTTGAACATTGTCTACTTGTCTGGCATGCCCACCCGTATTAGCAAGTCCGCGATCCCAGAACTTGACTGTAAGAATTCGTATCGTTATTCCGCAATGCAGTTATTTGGTAATTTCCCTGCGACAAAGTACTCACCAACTCGCGCATGTTTTTTGTTGATATTAGATCTGACGCAGATCACGTTCGAGTTGTACGAGAGAAGCGGGCCAGGTACACCCCTGAGTTCCCCAATCGTCGGATCCTCATCCCCTTTAATCACTGGCACCGATAACCCTCTATCTCCACACTCTCCAGAATACTCCCTCCGCATTGGCTTCTCCCCAGGCGCCGGAAACCCCAACATCCTCGACCTCCAAATGGACTCTAAGCACTGTCTCTCTGTCATGCCACGTCGTAATCTGACCGACCATCTCCCCCTCGATGCCGCACTGCGGTACTACAAGACTCAGGTCGGCAACCCGAAGTACAAGAGCGTCAACCGTCGGATCCGAGAGAGCCGGATGTTAGGGCATAAGCTGGTTGTTGCGAATGAAGGCGAAGAGGAGGTAGCGATTATTCATGATGAGGAGGCGCCGTTGATGGCTGTTGGGTCCCCTGTGGGGACTAATGGCCTCGAGTTGCATTTTATGGATCGTGCTGTTATCAACGATGCTTCGACTTCGAAGGAGTAAGTAAGCTCGTTCACACCCACGCATTTTCTTTTCATCTATTTTAGCATATATCATTTTTTTTTTTTTTTTTTTTTTTTTCATTTTCACGGTAGTTGTTCATTGTGGAGTACCATTCATTCAATCGATGAGAATGGCCTCGTTTATTTTTGTGTGGAATACAAGGGTAGGAAAGAATAAAAAAGTTTACAAGATGGATATATAAATAAGAAACAATAAAACGATGTCTACAATGCTTGGCAAATTTCCCAGGCCATCTCGGCATCACTCTTCTTGGTAGTAAGAGCAGCAGCCTTCTTTGACGAAGAGAAACCATCAAGATCCTCCTCACCGCCACTTCCACAACCAGAATCCGAGCCCTCAGAACCATCTTCCCAGGCGCCATAAGCAACCCGCCCGACGTCAATCAAGAACCGCAGTGCAGGGTCAAAGTCGACAGTCGTAGGGCTGAGAGGAGAGGCACCCTTGTTGTGGTGCAAGGAGGCAGAGCGCGTCGAGCGGGTAGCTAGCCGCATGATGGCCAACATGGTCGTCGACTCATCATCCAACTGCCGACGCAAATGCACCGTGAGAGGCAAGAGCGTGGTCCGGATATGGTCCAAGATCTCTGACTGAGACATGTCATCTTGGGCAGTCGACTCACCGTCATCGGTCCGCTGTCTCTGGACAAGACTGCTGAGGGCCTCAACGCCACGCCAGAGACCAATACGGGCCTTGATCTCGACAAATCCAGTAAGGTTCATTGCAAACGACGCCACGCTCAACAGGGCCTTGTCGTTTTCCTCATCCTCGACCTCATTCAATCCAGTGGGGGCCTTGGAACCATTGGCACGACGACGTTCGTTCAAGAGCGCCCATGCCTTCTCGCCGCAGCGAACACTAGGTCCAGCCATACCGCGTCTCAAGTAGGCATATTCGAGCAAAGAGTAGACAATGACTTGATCGTAGAACTGGAAGCTCGAATCGTCATCGTCGTCGGAGCGGGCAGACAGATGGTGGCGAGGATGCATCGTCATCACCTGGGCCATCAAGCGATCGCCCAACTGAGCAGAGTGTTCGTCCTTGGAAAGCCAGAGCTCAGAGATCTTGCCGACCAAGGCATACCAGTGATGACGGGTTCCGGGCATGGTTGTGCGGACGACCTGGTCAAACTTGGTAGGGCTCGAAGACGTGGCGGCCTCCTGACCATGGGCAGAGGAGTTCAGGCGGGACATGCAGTCGACATAGGCATCCTGGAGGACGCTAACGCTCTGGGTCTGGGCAACAACAAGAGTAGGGGCCATGGTCTGGAAGAGAACGGCCTCCGTCTGGGGGTACTCGGCGCGTCCATACATCGCGCTCTCAATCTCGAGAATACTCCGGTTCCAGGAAGCGCTTCCAACATCGACTTGGAGCATACTCTCCAACCAACGGTCCTGGCCAGTGCCAGAGATCTTGGCAGTGTACCGCGCAGACTCCATAAACTGCTGGGCGACAAGGGTGGCCAGGGGCTTGGCAGCTTTGTGGATCGAGATATAAAACGCAAGGGCGGCGGTGGCAGAGACACGAGCACGAGGCTGACGACGAGCATTGGTGTACTCGTCCAAGGTGCGAACAATGGTGTAGAGGAGCATGAACCGGCTGACAGATGAGCCTGCTCCACCAGACATTTGAGCCTCAACAACGCGAGCCCAGATATCGGGGCGGACCATATCGGTCAGGTCAGGGTAGATACCCAAGCGAATCCAGAGGCATCGCCACAACTCGAGCGACAAGGCAAAAAACAGACGGAAATAAGACGAAGGGATAACCTTGGGGACAAGACCGGACAGAGTGGTGTAGACCTGGTGAGGTGAGGCAGACTTGGGCATGACGGGGAACTTTGACTGGGGGAAAGGTCCGCGGCGAGAGTACGAGGGCCAGACCAAGGCGATGAGGCATCCCATGAACAGCATGGTACGGAGAGCTGCCCAGGTATCCCAAGCGACAACTCCAAGAGGGCTCCAGGATGTGCTGCTGGATGCTCCAGTCTCGACCATCGACGGCTGACGAACGACTCTGGCAAACGACGAGCTCATGGCACGAGCTTCTCCTTGTCCGTCGTCCATCAACGCTCTGTTATGTCCAGAATCGCCCTCGGGTGAGCTGAAGAAGGTGGCGCACATGAAAACGGCCATCAGCACACGCGACGCTGCAGAAGTCGAAGTCGTGCTGGTGGCGTTGTCGTTGCTGGGTGGTGGTGTGCTAGGCTCAGTGTTGGAATCCTCTGACGACGACTCGGGACTAGGCGAACCCTCCTCACGAACGCTGGCAATCTCTGCTTGGTGTTGCTCTAAAAGCTCGACGCCTCCGGGCAATGCAGTCAAGAGTCGTCTTAGAATAGCATTCTCAGACTTGGTTCCAGACTCGCGCTTTTGAAGGACAATGATGTATTCGGTCGCCTTGCGCAAGATGGTCGCCTTGTTGAGTTTGGTTGCCTTGGTGACTCCGTCTGCATCCTTTTCATCATCCTCGTCTTCGTCATCCTTCTCGTCCTTGGTCTTGATGTTGCAGAGCGCTGGGACCACGTTCTTGAGATCGCTGATGCGGTCGTTGATGTTGTTGCGGTATCGACGCTCGATGGCATTATGGGCCACCTTCTTTTGTTGCTTGGTTGGCTGAGGTCCCTGAGCTGCTGGTGGTGCTGGAGCAGGTGTGCCCGATACTGGTGGCTTCAGACGAGTGATGGGAATCTTTTGTTGGAGGGTCTGGGGTTGTCCCTGCACTGCAGCGGTAACGGCAGGGTTGGCAGCCGTGTTGGTAGTTCCTTGCTGTTGAGTCGATGAGCCGTCCAATGTTGGCATGACAGGTCCTGCAAATGTAGAGGGGTCAAATCCTGATGTTGGCAATGGCAAGGCGGTGGGGAGGACCACTCCAGGAGTCATCTTCCAAAGCGGCTGAGAGAAGGGCAATCCGCCGGTAGGGGTTGATGGCGAAATCATGTTGGTGGTAGGGGTCATGGGCAGCAAGGTCTGGAAGAACCCTGCAGTCGACGAGGCATTCATATCCGTGGCGCCCAAAACTCCTGAAGTAGCAGCGGTCAGCGATGTAGTAGTACCGGCAGCGGACGAGGCAGGCAACTGAAGGGAAAATGTCTGTGGGGAAGGTGTCGAAGTTGTTGACACTGCAGAACTGATAGACATCTCCATGTCACTCTGATCAGAGCTAGTAGTCTTGGATGACTTTTTGGCTCTTGGCTTCTTGGGTGCTGATGGAGCTGCAGTTTTTGTGGAAGTAGTTGTCTTTTTGGTCCGCTTCGCGCCTGTGGGTGTTGTGGCTTTCGTCTCTGTCTCAGCACCATCGTCCAAGGACTGGCGCTTGGCCGACTTTGTGGGAGAGGACGAAGGGGTGATCTTTTCAGACTTGATCTTGACCGCAGACGCCTGGGAGGCGAGGAGGAGAGGGGAGAGCATGGGGCCATCCTCGGTGGAGGAGAAGGCGCCGGGGGAGGTGGGGAGCATCAAGGTATCGGTCTCTGGTGAGAGCGAGGAGGCCATGAGGTCAGGTGAGCTGAAAAATGCGGCCGAGTCTGAGGGCGAAGTGGCGACAAACGAACCGGCACTGGCAGGGGCAGAAGTGGCCGCATTGAGGTTGACATTCACATTGGCAGCGTTAGCATTGGCAAGGGCCCAGCGGAATGCAGCTAGCTGGGTCTGGGAGTGGAGGAGAAGCTGGTGCTGCTCCTGCTGGGCTTGGAGCTGTTGTTGCTGTTGTTGGAGTTGTTGTTGCTGAACGGCGTTTGAAGTCAAGAAGGATTGAAGCTGGAGCTCAAATGCTGAGAGTTGAGGCTGCTGTTGGTGCTGCTGTTGGTGCTGCTGCTGTTGGAGCTGTTGGTGCTGTTGGAGAGTGAACTGGTGGAGGAGTTGTTGTTGCTGGAGTTGTTGTTGCTGCTGTTGGAGTTGTTGCTGGAGGGCTACTGTTGCGGCAGCGTCGAGGGGGGCGCCAGTGGTAGTGTATTCGTCAAAGTAGGACTCGCACATGAAGAGGTCCTGGATATCACCGGTTGGCTGAGGGGGAACTGCCCCGAAGAGCGGGTTCCCTTGCTGTAGGAACATCTGTGTTCAAGTAGGATGTGTGTGTGTTGAAGAGTCTATCGGAGGCAAGGAACGGTCAGGGTTGTTAGTCGGAGAGATATGAGAAGAAGGAAGGGGTGGCGGAGGGAGCGGAGAGGTGGAGAAGGGGAAAAGAGAGAGGGTAAGTGAGTGAATGTTGGGGTAGGTAATCTTACCGAAGGAGAAGAACTACGAGAGTAGTGAGAATGCGAGGTAGGAGGTTAAGTGAGTGAGCGAGTGAGTGGGTGGGGTGAGTGAGTGAAAGGAGGATGGAAGTGTGGTGTGCTGAATTAAGCGAGAGGTTTGCTAGTTGATGAGAGGAAAGGTGTTGAAGATGTGATTAAGGGAGGGAGTGAGAGTTGGTACTAGTGATGTATGTATCGATACAGAGACAGAGTCGAGGGAGAGTAGAAGGGAAGAATGGAGTGGTCAAAGAACAAAAAGTGAGAGAAGAGGGATGAACGAAGGCAAGGGTCAAGAAGGAGGGAGGAAGGGAGGGAAGAAAAAGCCCTGAATTGCGTGTGTCGATGTGCCTGCAAAAGTGGGAGAAAACAACATCTTTTTTTTGTGAGGTGATCCCAGATCCAGCCAATCAGAGACCTCGATTTTCAATTTCCAGCCAGTCAAGTCTATCTATCTCTGTCTCTCTCAGTCTTGTTTTGGGACCCTTGGCCCTGTCCTTCTCTGTCACTAATGTGTCTTGACTCGAAAATGCGCACTCTGTCAGCCCAACTCAACAGAATTCATTTCTGAGTGCAGAGGAGTGACATGTGCGCGGTGCGGTGAATTATCTGACAAGAAGAGGCAACGCAGATGGCGCCCATTTCATATCGCTCTTAGCTGTTGTGCTCCCGCCCAATTTCGCCTTTGATTCTTCTTGGTTAAAAAGAAAGATCATGCCATGTTTTTCTTGTTTTTTTTTTTTTTTTTTTTTTTTTTTCTGTTCTCGGATATTTCATCCATGTCCCATCTTCAATCCTCTCCACATCAATCGGTATTTTCTCAACAACGCACCGTCCCCTGACGTTGTCGTCACCAGAAAAAAACAGCCCGCTGCGTAGTTTCGAAACGCCTTGGACTACTAAAACCCACGTACATTACACGTACCCTGACTTATTTTTGTACATTTTTGTTTGGTACTTTTGTATTTTGTCGCACTGACAGAGAAGTGACACGAAGCAGCCCAGCTCGCGCTGTGCCTTTTTTTTTTTTTTTTTTTTTCATTTGTGATGTTTATTAGGTAGGCTATAGCTAAGGAATGTTTGGGTATCATAATAGAACAGAGAAAGGCAACACCATCCTTTCTTCTATCCTCAATTGGTCATTAATACTTCTTCTAATTGTTCTTGTTGGCATTGACATCAGCCTTGACATTAACCCGAAGACCAGACAACAGGTTCAAGACACCATCCACCAACGTAGTCCTCTTCTCCTCACAGGCAGTAGGCACCTCCTCAGCGTAGAAATGGTCCAGACGGGGCTTGAACTGGTTCTCGAGGTTCACACGGAGACTAAGAACGTTCTTGGCGTCCTGGGCGTCGTTGCATCCTGACTTGCAGACGAACTTGGGGTCGACGTTTGCAGCGACGTTGATTCCAACCTTCAATCCGTTATCGGTGTTTTCAGGGACAGGGGCTGGCGTCTCGGGAACAGGAGCTGAGGTCTCTGGGACGGGAGCGGATGTCTCAGGTGTAGGTGCAGGAGTCTCAGGGACGGGAGCAGGAGTATCGGGGGCGGGAGCAGGAGTCTCGGGGACGGGAGCAGGAGTCTCAGGGACGGGAGCAGAGGTCTCAGGAGCAGGGGCGATCTCAGTGTTGGTCATCTTCTCGGTGCAGTCCTTGGACAGCAACTCAGCATTAACATTCGCCTGAATACGATCCAAGACCAACTTTGTAATCTTGACATCCAACTCTACCATCTTCTTCTCGAGCTCCTTTTCCTCCTGCTTGGACCATGCAACGTCCAAATTGGCATCTGCAGCGACCGCAGCCTTGATCGCGGGGACCAACTCCTCAGAGCTACAGGCCTTCTTGGCATCATCAATCTTGGACTGGACGGTGATGGTGAGCAAAGCCTTCTCCTTGGGGAGCTCCTCGGTTCCGCTGGTGACCTTGGCGGTTGCGATCTCGCGCATCAAGTTGTCGAGACGGGCATGGGCAATGTCGGCATAGTGGTCAGCAGACGCCTTGATGATGACATCCAATGCAGCACCGTCCTTTTGGGTGCAGTCGCCGCAGGCGCGCTTGGTGAGAGAAGTGCGGGAAAGGTTGGCGTCGGCGTTACCATGGACATTGTTGGGGGCGTTGACGGCTACCGAGGCCTGGCCGGTCAAGGGAGCGGCAACGGCGACGGAGGCAATGGCGGCCGAGATCAAGAGGATGGAGGATGTGAACTTCATGTTGACTGTTGTTGTACGTGTATAAAGTGAGGGGTATAAGCTGGTAAAAATGAACTGAGAGTAGACGTGTTTGCTTGTGTGGGTGAGTAATAGAGAGAGAAGCTGTTGATGGAGAATACGAAAAGTGGCGAGGACTGCAGCTATTTATATGTAAGTGTGTTGCCGTGAGAAAGTGTCAATAGGGATAGAACAACCTACTTGGTTCTCTGGGGATGCGATAGATCGAAGACAGAATTCCTATTACGAAGAAGGGTCCACTTTGTTCAAATGTAAGAATTAGTATGGCCAGGATATGAACTCACGTCTTGCATATTGGCATAGGGAGCACCGAATTGAGCGTGCATATGTATGTTTGCATATAGAAGAGATAGAAAGAAGAAAGAGAGAAAGATACCTTGTCTGAGTAAGTTCTTGTTTCCTACCAAGAGTGTAAGAGATCATTGTTGATCCTAGAAGGATATGATCCCATTCTGGTAGAACCAGACCCTGGGTCAGGCTATTTCAGGAACCGCAACAATCACCCATGTGTCAAGAACAAAGAACTATAGATACGTTATATAAACTGCGAGTATGTTTTGTATGGTGAAAGGAAGGAAGGGAAGGATGCTCGTTGGTAAAAGAATGGAATCGATTGTGTATATGCATTTGTCTACGACTAAGACTGGCGACTCGATTCAATCTGACGCTACTTTTTTGGCCTTGGCACGGTAATATGTTTGTCCTTGGTGTCACTCAGGCTCCTTTGGGATAGGAGAACGACCAACGTTGGATTGGAATCTTGCTCCGATGCCGCTTCCGTTCCTTCTTTTGAATGGACCTCCTTTCCCTCGCACATTCGCTCCTTTTTTCTGGTGGAACAGTCAGAGACACAGATAGATACCAGCAAAAGTTACATGTAGATAGTTAAAAAGAAGGAAAGAGAAAGACACAACTCGCCCTTCGTGAAGCTCACTGTCTCTCCAGTAACTAGCGCGTCCTCTGAACAAGTGGAGGAAATGCATGTATGCCCATCAATCGATCCTCCCTCTTCCCCACTCTCTCTTCTTGTGAAAAGGATACAAAGAGTACAGTACAAGAGGATCAATCCTCCTCTGGTGGGTGCACAAGAGTCCAAGATATCAAGAGAACGAAAAGAGAAGGAGGTTCATATTCCGATCAGGCCACTCGCGAGGATGACAAAGACGACGCGTTAAAGATAAGGACTGTATCTATATCTATGGTGCCTTTCTCTCTGTACCCTTCCTTCTCTTGCCAATTGCAATTGACCTCCAGGGCACCATGTCGCACACAAAGTGGTGACTTGATCCCCCAATGAGTTCCCTCTCCACTCCTACCCCTACCCTACGTCTTACTCCCTCCACACACGCGTCAATTTGCATACATTTTGTCCCCAATAGGCTCGTCTCCTATGAGGAAGAGAGAAAAAGAAGTGTACCACAGAAAGCACGAGGATGGCCTGCACGTTTCTTCTCAGCAATGTTCATTCCCCCTCTTTTGCCCTCTTTCTACAACCAAAAAGTGCCAGGTGTTGGTTCAGATTAGTATTCATTCGTGCCTTAGGGTCCGAACTAAACCGATTTAAATGCAAGTTCAACAACAACAAGGGGCAGCCCATTTCACTCTCTCGACCCTGGAAATAACAATAGAGAGAAGGAAAAGGAAAAGAATGAGCGACCTGGCCCGATCTTTTCGCTTCTTGTTTTCTACTTTTGTCTTCTTATCTACGACATACCTTCGATCGACTTGCACGGACAGATGATCGACACTCTTCGCTTGGATACGACATAGCAACCCAAAGCAAGGACACACGGACTCGTATACCTATAGAAACGGAGCCTATTTAGTCGGAATCGCCACCACAGCAGCTCACAGCGCCCTCGCTCCCCTGAATCACTACCTTACCTCATTCCTATCAACCGACTACATAACAGCACTAGCAATCATGGACCTATACATCACAACATCCAGTCGTCTAACACCAGCAGAGGAAGACGAACTCCGGAGTAACTCAGGAAGCACAGAGCAACTCCAAGATCCTACTCCCAATGATTACCCGATAAAGTCTGCGAAACTGGGATCGGCTACCACATCGCCTGTCATCCCATCCGTTGTCTCTCCATCTTTCTCTGTCCTCGGTGCTCTACCTTCTGCTGCCACAGGACCTGTCAAACCAAAGATGCTAATGCCCATAGCAATCGTGGACAAGAACCAACAAAAACAGTCGGAGAGTCAGCAGGGCAGTCCAGGACGACGGTCAATAGATGCCGGATGCAAGGAGACATTACATGAAGAAGTCCGGTCGCAGATCCAAGCCTCTGCTTCCATGGATGACAATAGAGATGACCTAGTCGATCAGAGTAGACAATCTACACAAGTGCCTACACCTATCCAACGACAGCAACAACAGAAACCTCCTATACCGATTGACAAAGCGCCGAATGATCGGAAACAGTATTTATCCAAACCAACATCTCTATCTCTTCCGCCATCAGGAATCACACCGACCATCCTCGTCTCTGCCTCGTCACCCTCCCCCACCGTCAAACTGCCCTCCATCCTCAGCAGCCCAAGGACCACCACCACCACCAGCGGCAACAGCAGTCATGGAGAAAAGAGCAACGCCGTCGCCGTCCTGGAGCCCTCGAAACCAGTTAGGAAACTCGCCATCCTGAAGGATCCAAGAGGACCCGTCTACGATACTCAGTTATCCTCTTCTGGGGCGCCGGTTCACTCGACTTCACCCACCGTCATCTCAGCAACCTCATCTACTGGTGGTGGGGTGCTTCAACAACGCCGAACCTCTTCATTAGGATCTCACACCAGTCTCACAACCACCCTCGTCACCGGGAGTAGTATACAACAACACCCTTCCACCAGTTCTCTGGCCTTGGAAGCCGCAGGTCCACCTCCGGCAACCCCACCACTGGACACCCAGCATTTCGCGACAGTCTTTCAGGAACTAACCAAATCGATTGAGCAACTCGAGACATTAAACGATCAGATTCTGGAGAAGATGACACTCTACCGATCACCACCGCCTCCACCTGGCCCTGCTCAGCAGCAGGCGTTTATTGTACCGCAGCCAGAGCAGAGATCTAATTTCCCGTCGTCGACAAGGTGTCTGCCACCTTCTCCGCAACCTTCACAATCACCGGCATCCACGATACCCCTCGGTACACCTCCTCCTTCTTCTGCACACCATTACCAAACACATCTACCAGCACCTGCACCCACACCCACAACAGGAGGAAACAATGACAATGACGACAACAGATGGCGGAGGATACTGAAGGGCAAGGCACGAGCAGTGAACTTGGAAGAAGACCGCCAAAGCATTGCCCAATCGTTTACGAACCTCGTCATGGACTCTTGGCCACGGATCTACAAGATCCCGCCTGAACCGTGGCGGACCCCACAGATGCGGCAGGACCGGATTAAGACTGCGACACAGTTGAAGGATGCTATTGTTACGTTCTGGAGTGTTCAGAGTTATTTCCAGGAGAGGGCTGAACTTATACTTGACGTCCAGCAGGTAAATAGAGGTCTGTCTTTTCTATGGAGATGGGGAGGACGTGTTAGACAACGTGGAGGGGGAAGAGTAAAATGTGAACTGACGCCACCAGTTTTTTTTTTTTTTTTTTTTTTTTTTTGGTGAAGTAGAACCAGGCCGAGCTGGAGAACGGAAACAGGTTCAGGATCCTAAAAGCCCAACACCTCGACAACCTCCTCTCCCAAGATCCCCTCCACCCTCTTGAGATAAAACTTATCCTCGACCAACACCGACAACAACAGGACCAACTCACAGCCCTATCTGAACAACTTCAGAATGTCTGGCTGGGGATCTTGTTGCTCCTGGGTGATCCTGACCTGACTGGGAAATCGACGACTGCGACAGCAGGGGGAAAGTTGAATCATCATAGGAGGCTGCATATGGACTCGATGCATCAGTTGTTTAGTACTGGAGGCGGGTCTTCGTCCTCGGGGTATTCGTTGGATTATCGGTATTCGGAATCTGGATGTGGAGGAGGTGATGGAGAGGGAGACGAGGGAAGTGGGAGGAAGGGCCTGTTGAGGTTGAGTCGTAATAAGCGGTTGGGACTTAAGGTGGCGGTGCTGATGACATTTGGTGCGGGCATGATCGCCATGGCTCTCGTCGTCAACACGCGGTGAAAACGAGCAAAGAGTAAAATATACCTGCATGTCCTTTTGGTATCCCTTCAACCGTTTTAGAATCGAAATTGGTTCCAATTTTTCTTTTTCAATTTATCAGGGTTTCCAATAAAACGGGTTGGGAAGGGTCTCGTGTCGTCTAATGAAAACAACGAGGGTTGTCGTTTCCCAGCTCGCCTCATTACCACCTTCGCTGTCAAATTCGACCTTTTTTTTCTCTCTCTCATCATCTCCAAAGCCTCCGTTACTGTCTCCCTCACAAAGAAAACTTCGCCCAACCTGCTCATGGACCCAAGCTTCGAGTTCCTACGTTCCTTTGACGTTTCTAACGGTCAAGGTACTAGCACACTCACTTCCGAGGAGACAGAGGAGTTGTCGTTTTCGGTCATTTGCCGAACTCGAGAGATTGCCGGTGAGGATGATTCCGATGATGAAGAGCGACCACCAGAAAGAGAGCAACCGGCGGGAGAGGAGGTGTCCCCTGCACCCTTAGCTCTCGCGAAAGCGAAGAGGGCTGTCAAGAAAGCGAAGAGGGCTGTCAAGAAAGCGAAGAGGGCTGTCAAGAAAGTCACCCGCGAACCCACAGAACTCCCAGCCGTCCCTGACTTCAAGGACGTCTTCAAACACCAAAAAACAGTATGCTCAGCACAAACCAACCTTCCCCTTGCACTTCAACTCGACAGCGAACTATCACCATTGACAATTTTCAGACTCTTCTTCTCCGACCCGGTATTGACGGATTTGGCAGACAACACTAACGCATATGCAGCATCAAAAGGAGCCGGCACAGGAGAGGGATCGCGCCAATGGGTAAAGACCACACCTGACGAACTGCGCACATTCCTCGGCATCATTGTCTACATGGGCGTGTTCAGGCAGAACTCTGTCTCTGAGTATTGGTCAACCTTCCCTGAATGTCCTCAACACAACATCACTAACTTCATGTCCCTCGTCCGCTTCGAACAACCGAAGCGTTTTTTTCGTGTCTCCAACCCCAACGAGCCTGAGCAACATTGGTTCTCAAAAGTAGAACCTCTTTCGACCAAACTCGCTACCGACTTCGCTCGTTACTACGTTCTCTCCACCAATGTGTCCATCGACGAGATGATTGTTCGCTTTTCAGGAAGGAGTGCTCACACCGTACGCATGAAGGGTAAGCCTACCCCCGGAAGGC